CTGCAGCATTCTGTTCATGTACCTAGTCGCTGACCAATATCGAGGAGCCATCAATGAGTATCGCGATTAAATGCATTGTAGCAAGCAAACAGTATTTCCATCTGAACATTGGTCTCGCTCATGCTAAGCGACACCTCAATATTCCAACCAAGCTTTTCCGGCAACGGCGGAAAAGGTGGTGGCCCGATATCACCCCAGGTTACTCGACTGCCAAATCAGGCAGTTCCTATCTCTGCTGGTAAATTTTTGAATGCGAGAGTTGCACGTCACATATGATGAGGAAATAGAGGGAATAGAGTCATAGTCTGGCTTCGCAGAACGATCGTGCTCGGATTCTGCGACTAGAGTACCCTCACGCGCCATTCAATGTGACGACACGGTAGATCAAGCACAGACAGGCACTGGTTGATTATTGTTTATGGCGCTTCGCAGCCCGAACATTTGCATGATTGGCTCACCATAAGCCTCAACCATCAAAGTTCTAGCTACTGACGCATACGGAGAAATCAACATGATTCTGTTCTGCAAATTGTCTGTTCTGGAGACACATGCACTGGATGCCGGCAGGCTGACAGGATCACCGCGACGAGGCTAAGGCCATAATTGGTAAAATTATACTATGTAAGAATGCCAAAACAGGGGATTCTGAATTAGTGAACGATATACAGGCAATACTAGCCTCTAATATAGTAGTTCTGCGTATAGGAAAACGCGCTGTATACTGTTTGATCCCCACTTTCTATCAGATTTGGAAGCTCGTTACCTCTACCATGACAGCATACGGAGAGAAAGTTGGATGAGGCGATCCCAACTTGGCAGGCGCAAATACAACGTGAGAATTTATCGGTTGAGGTATAAAGAACGGATGGCGTGCGAGACGAACATGTTCGTCTTGCCACCGACTTTCTTTCTGCATAGCGAATCGGTCCTGGGCCAATCGTTAAACATCAAATGGTGGCTTACCTCCAATTGCTGCCCCTTCTGGGCGTATTGTTTGCAGGCGGTGTTCACTCAAAAACATCAAATGTTGGTGATACCGCTGATGCAAATAATACTGTAGGAAGCTGGGACTATGTTCCTGGGGCATACATTATCGAGTATGAACAAGGCCATGTAAGTTGACGCCTTACGTCTACGTCTAAGTTGAAAGACAGACAATCAGGTATGCGCTTAGTCTAAACTTATGATAATGCAGGAAAACGAGGCATCGCTATTTAGCACACTTCATACACATGGACTTCCAGTTTCTAAGCGGATGAGCTTGTCCTATTCGCTCTTCAAGGGAGCCTCAGTCCAATTGGACGCTGTCAGTCTGGATCCTCAAGCTGCATCGACCAAGATCGCGTCCCTTGCTCCTGTGAAGAACGTATGGCCCGTTATGCGCTATCAAAATCTCGAACTCGGCAAATTCGCGTCTACAAGCGGCGTCAAACGCAACGTCGGAGACTTCTCACAGCATGTGTCTAGAGCTGCAGCAGACAGCGACACCGGATATGCGCCACATGTCTTAACACAGGTCGATAAGTTACATGCAGAAGGATACACGGGCAAAGGAATCCGTGTCGGCGTTATAGATTCAGGAGTTGATTACAAGCATCCTGTCCTCGGCGGCTGCTTTGGTGAAGGCTGCATTGTTGCCTACGGAATGGACTTGATCGGTCCTGACTTCAACGGCACGAATACACCTGTTCCTGGTCCATATCCATATCCCGATTGTCTTGGCCACGGGACGCATGTCTCTGGAATCATTGCGGCCCAAAAGAACCCTTTGGGATTTATTGGTGCCGCTTATGGCGCGACACTGGGCATGTACAAGGCATTGGACTGCGGAGGTGGCTCTTCCAATGATGTACTCATGGCAGCGTTTAACCAAGCGTATGAAGATGGGTCAGATGTCATTTCTATCTCTATCGGAATTTATTCTGGGTGGAAAGAGGACCCTCTCGCAGTAACAGTATCACGAATAGTCGACGCCGGCGTCCCGGTGGTTATCGCCAACGGCAACCAAGGCCCTGCTGTCTTTAGTTCAGCTTCTCCCGGCGATGGTGCGGGTGTCATGAATGTGGCGTCTATTGATAACACAGAGACACCTTTTCTGGGGACTGAGGCTTTTACGAGCCTCAATAGCCCCTCTGGTAACTTGACTTCTTTTGCCTGGTTACCTGGAACGCCCGCATTTCCAAATATCACTCTGCCGTTATGGGCTGTTACTCCTAATACTACGACAGACGGAAGTTCGAGTGCTTGCAGTCCGCTCAGCAGCAGCGCGCCTACAGATCTCAGCGATAAAATTGTTCTTGTGCAGTTAACTGGCTGCGATGATCCCACAATTGCGGCAAACCTTGCGAAGAATAATGCCACGTACATAATATACTACAGCAGTGATGATGATCTCGATGAGTAAGTATTTGATATCCCTTTTGATCGTCATACCATTTCACTGACCACATTGTTTGTCTTCATCAGTGTGTATAGCGTTAGTACCGCTCCTAGCACTCTTGGTGCCGGCATGGTGCCCCTACAGCAAGCTACGATATGGCTAGATCTTCTCAGTAAGGGCACAGATGTGTACGCAAAAATGGTTGATCCTCAGTCTGCCAACCCTGGAGCAACATACTTCCCGAACAATGCCACCGGTGGCATTGTAAGCGATTTCTCAAGCTGGGGTCCAACTTGGGAGGCAGATGTAAATCCACACATCGCAACCCCAGGAGCCTCAATCCTTTCTACGTATCCCCTGAATATGGGAGCATATTATGTTGACTCTGGAACATCCATGGCTACGCCGCTTATGGCTTCGATATATGCCCTGATCATGCAAGCGCGATCTATCAAGGACCCCAAAGCGCTCCTGAGCATGGTATCATCAACAGCAAAGCAAACAAAATACCGTGATTCGTATCAATCCATATTATACAACGACCTTGCTCCTGTGGCGCAACAAGGAGCTGGATTGGCGCAGGCCTATGATGCAATTCATGCAACAACCACCCTAAGCGTTTCGAGCATCTCTCTCAACGATACGGACCACTTTGTTAATAGCACATATTTTACAATCAAGAATGGCGCCAAGCAAGCCGTGACCTACTCAATTGGCCACCTCCCTTCCAGATCCAGAGACACTTTCAAGGCCGGCGTGTCATCACCATCACAGAGCTCCAATTCGAGCTCCTCAGCAGCAACATTAACTTTTTCGGATACAAAAGTCACAGTTCCAGCAGGCGGATCTGCTAAGATTACTGTCGAAGTAGCTCTTCCTCAAGGACTGACCAAGGCAAACCTCCCTGTGTACAGCGGATACATTACTCTAAATGGCACCAATGGCGAGAGTCTTGTTCTTCCATACTTGGGAGTATTTGGAAGCCTAAGCAGTCTTCAGGGCATAGACTCTAGCAATGGCTACATTTATCATTCAACGGGCCATTACTGGCAAGCAGCTCCTAACAATGATATTTGGACTCTCCCATATCCTTCAGTGGGTAGCCAGCCTCCAAATTCGGCAGCTATTGATTTCCCTGCGCTCTATATTTTAGTCACTACTGGCGTGCCTCTTATTAGAGCAGACATCATTCCCCTTGGCAATACACCGGCAAATACCACTAAAGTTCTGGGCGTTGACACAGCTGGAAGCTTCCCTGGATTTCCTGTTCAATGGGTCTTCTCAAACATTTACCAAATTCCATTCAACGGCGTAACTCAGGAAGGCATCATATTGCCCGAGGGCAACTATGCCTTGTCGCTGAGAGCACTGAAGATATTTGGAGACGCGAATAATTCTGATGACTATTACACTGTGCAGACGCAGTCATTCAACATCAAGTATAACTCGACGGCGGCTTAATAGAATATTGACATGCTTCATCAAAAGTATATAAATGTATTGGAAATAACGAACGAGCCCCGCTCTTACTAAACAAGGTATTCATTCTTATTAGGGATTCCCGATCCGACAACGTGCTATTTGTATCTAGAAAACAAGAAGAACCACCTTTGTTAGATATTTTCTTTCAAGTAGGCTCTCATCTCGTTTGTAATGTCAATTTGAATGCTGTCTAGAAAGAAATCTTTGTATTATAAGCTGAGCTTAAACTGTGATCATTTTTTTGGGCCCCTGTAGCTGTGACTCTGGATCCATCGATGCGACGTTAGGTGCAGTTCGCGATCTTCGAAAGGGAGCTGCGGGTTTCAACTTGAAGGAGGGGATCTACAGTGAACATCGATTTCTGCTGACTATGCTGGGGTGACAATCAAACAATCATCGAGAGATCGAAAAACCGAAAGATCGCGTTTTTATGTTTTTCAATTCTGTCAGCCGACATGAAATCTGGAATACTGTACGGAGCCTGTCAGTGAATATTTGATTCCAAATCATATGGCGAGTTGGGATGCGTTCTGAATAATCTAGATGAGAGGCCCCAAGATGTCCCTGGGAGACGAGCAGATATCTTTCAATTTCTATAGTTATTGTATCAAGAAGTGACTAATATTTATGTTGCTTCTGCCTTCAGTAGATCTACGATGCGATTATGAGCCCTAACGGCAGCCCGTAATAACGGTGTTTTGCCATTCTTATTTACCGACTCGATATTTGCCTTATTACCAAGAAGCAGTCGGACAGTGTTTTTATGGCCATTATAAGCAGCCTGTGATAACGGCGTGTCACCATTCTTATTTACTGACTTGATATTTGCATTATTACCAAGAAGCAGTCGGACAGTGTTTTCATGGCCATTATAAGCAGCCTGTGATAACGGCGTGTCACCATTTATATCTAGCAACTCGATATTTGCATTGTTATCAAGAAGCAGTCGGACAATATTTTCATGGCCATTATAAGCAGCCTGTGATAACGGCGTGTCACCATTCTTATTTACCGACTCGATATTTGCATTGTTATCAAGAAGCAGTCGGACAGTGTTTTCATGGCCATTATAAGCAGCCTGTGATAACGGCGTGTCACCATTCTTATTTACCGACTCGATATTTGCATTGTTACCAAGAAGCAGTCGGACAGTGTTTTCATGGCCATTATAAGCAGCCTGTGATAACGGCGTGTCACCATTCTTATTTACCGACTCGATATTTGCATTGTTATCAAGAAGCAGTCGGACAATATTTTCATGGCCATTATACGCAGCCCGTGATAATGGTGTGTCGCCAACTACATCTTGGATATTAATATCAATACCGCCATGAGCAAGTAAAACTTTGAGAGAAGCCTCATTGCCATTTTTAGCAGCGTGAGATAGCGGTGTTCTGCCACTTCTATCTTGAATATTAACATCAAAGCCATTTTGCGTAAGCAAAGTAGTAGTAACAGCTGCGGAGCCTTTCTTAGCAGCGTAATGCAGTAGCGTCTGACCAGAGCTACCCATCGAGGTTGCGTCTATTTCTACCTCGTTGCAAGATATATATGCAAAGGTAAAAGCATCATCAACATCTTGGAGAAGATAGTGCAAAACGCCTCGTTTCCGTGAAAATATTGAGTCTCGTCTAAGATTGTTTTTGATATTTCCATGTTGACAGTATCTTTGATATAGATCGTGAAACGCGGATTCACGAGGTAAATTTTCTGCTTGAGATCTCAAAAATGCCTCCAACACTTCGCGGCTATTATTGGCCAGTGCTGCAAAAATTGGCGTACCATAACGCTCATCGCATACCTCAAAAAAGTTCTTCTCAGAATGTATATCGATGAGTTCGGGCAGATTCTTTTCTGAAAAGATATAAAGCATCGTTGCTGAATCTGAATATCGGCGGATATTGTACTTTTCGAGGGCGTTGTTGGAAGATATCCATAGTTGGAGAGGAACACTGCTGAGAAAGTTCTTTTGCTCTATACCATTTTTTTGTGCTGCGTTGGCATGGTAGAAGAGATTAAGAGTTGCGTACTCGAAAAATGGGTATTTCAGATTGATCGAGTTTCTCACTTCTACCTCCTGGGGAGCCTTTAATAGACATTCCAACAAATGAGTATCTTGACTCATTAGCTGAGTCAAGCAACAGTCTTTTAAAAAATCGTGACTGTGACCAGTCAAATTGCTTGGCTCTTCCGACCACTGTTCACCATAACTTCCAAGTAAGAAATCTCGAACAGATTCGTGGATAAATTGAACTTCAGAGGCGCGATTTCGCGTGACTTCGGCTAGGCCTTTCGATGAAATTCTTACGAAAGCCTTCATTTCATCTGATCCTATGTCTTCTCTATCCCAAAAACCTGAACATTCTTTATCGCATTTGAATTGGACAGCGAAATAGAACTCCGGCGGTTTGAGTGGGCGAGACGCGAAAAGTATCCATTTGAGACAAGCTTTTAGCTGATCACGGTTGTCGCCATCTCGTGTAAGAATCATCTGAAACAAGTCGTTCAATCTTGGTGGAATTTCTTTAAGGCGATCGCGCATCTTTTTTATAGGCATCGTGCCTTTAGAACACTCACGGTTAAGAATATCGAGAACCAAGACAACCCAGAGAAAAATTCCAGAAGACTTTGTGAGAAGTTCTTGTCGAAGTGAGTCAGCTTTATTTGACTTGGGTATCCTAAGCTTTGACTTGATATAGTGCTGAATATCGTCTGTATGTCCAGTTTCGTCTTCCAAGGTAACTTCGGTTCCTTGTTGGATGGTCACAGTTGGGTAATGCCGACTAGAGAAGCAGACTCGTAGTAAAGTTTGCTTCTCTCTTGAGCTGCTACATAGTTCCTCAAAAAATGAAACCATATCAGCAACTTGGTCCTGATTGCACTCATCAAGAGCGTCCACAAATATTGTTAGCGACCTACTGCCAAGGTGCTGAACAGCGTGTGCCAACGTTTGCTTCAAAGATGCATCTTGCCATCCATTCCGCTGGACGGTTTTAGCGCCATCAGCGGTCATCCATCCCAAACTGTCTTCTGTCTCTGGAATCCTTTGAAAGAGTTGGTGGAGGAGAGAGCGGTATAATCCCGTCGTTGACTTCTCGTCGTCGGTACCCCGCGCAAGGAAGAAGAAAGAAAGGATGATTTGTGGCGAAGCTCCATTTGCGCTCGACTTGGCTTCTTCAAAAAGGAACTTCATCAAAGTTGACTTTCCAGTGCCCGGATTACCTTTGATCCAAAGCAAACCACCGTGATCTGGTTGCTGTGCCACGTCGTGCCAGGATATGTAGTCGGGCTTAGCAAGAAACCAGCAACAGGTTCCTCTCTGGGCAGCTGTTAAGTGTGTCACACGCTCGTCAATCTTGTCGAAGTAGAGTTGGTCTATCAACGACTGTTTCGTAGTGGCGTCGATAGCGTGGCTGCCTTTTGTAGCCTTAGGTGTCTCCTCGAAAACGTTGCTAGGGCTTGCAGAACCCTCATTCACCTCGAAATAGTTGTTCTTGTTACATTCTTCCTGGGCGTCCCTGCTGTAACTGTTTTTTGTAGATGCTAATCGTTCTGGAATCATGCTCTGATGAGCATGCATGCCATAATCCAAGCGTTTTCTACGTTTATCCGAAATAGAGTGTGGATGTTCTTCACCAAGTCTGCGCTTGCGGTCGACGCTTATGGTTATCGGTTCTGGCACTAAATTTCGGAATCAGATTGGAAAGGTCAGAGTGAGTAATCTGGTATAATATGAGCTAACCATCTTTGGGCGCTATCTCAGTTAAAATAGCTTTGGCATAGGCGGCAGCCATGGCAGCAGCATATGGCTGCCAGTCTTTATTCTTATGTTCGTCTCCATAATCACAAACGCCTCGGATGACGCCAACGGGAATGCAATCCATAGTTCCGGCTGCTTCCATCTCAAGCCCAATAAGGCCGTATTTGTCCCTCAGCTGGTCGCGTTTCCGAGCATTCTTCATGAGCTTTTCTCCTGAGCCTATTGATCCGTACCATACCCGAACACGTTTGTCATCTGGTCTTTGATCTCGCTGCGCCAGACGTTCAATCCCGTCTTTATCAAGTTGATAGAGCATATCTTTGTCTTGGCCAGGATCACTGAACGTGCCTGAAGAGTGCTCTTTATTTTGTATGCTCTCGTAATAGGGCAAAAATAGGTCCGTATCATTTGGCTCCTTCAGCTTGATGCTTCCAATGGCTGCTCTGACGAGAGTCGCTGTGTTGGCCAATGCATAACCGTGGTTTAAAAGCTCGAATCCGTCGTTTCCCGTCTCTTTTCCCAAATCATAGGCTACAAGTCCAGCGTTATCACCCGTGGGTAAGCCGACGAGGACATCACCGAGACGGATATCGAGCGGCGGATTCCGCGAGAGATTCGGAAGACCCGCTGCGACACCAACAAGCAAACCGAACCAAAGATTTGGGAAGAAATTCTTGACCTGGCTCGCAAGAGCCGCAGCAGATCCAGTGCCATATTTTTGGCCGGCAGGGAAAGTTGCAATAATAACGTTATGCCCGCATACGTCGCCAGCTTGGAAGACATAATCATTCCCCGGAGACATAGGGAAGCTACCATTATGCCTGTTATCCAAGAGGTGCAACGCAGCCCGGGCCTCGATCTCTAGCGGAGCAAACCAAGCGACCCTGTAGGCGGCAGGATCCAATATAGTTCTCGGAGGAGTCATGATAATTGAAGCAATATCAGGGTCGTAGATTGGGCTTCGAAGCGAAATGGAGGTGTCAGCTAGGTTCGCGTTCTCGCGCGCCTTGTAGCGCTTTCGCGTCAAAATTTGGTCGATTGGGTAGATAAGTATACATATAATGACGCGTCAACAAATGGTCGCTTGCGAATAAAGCAAGCCAAGTAAGAGGACTGTAAAGATAGGAGGAGATGGTAACAATAGTGCAATGGCAATGTTATTCTTAGCATGCAAGCCTTCAAAGAGGTATGTTAGGGGCTAGGTGCGTGGGAAAAGCGACGAGGCTGATCGGGAGTATGCCTTATGTAGACAACGCTGCAACCCAATCGCCATAGAGCCGGTACACTTTGATTGGTCCGTTTAATTTTCACCTCTCGATTGATCAATCTCCCTTGATTCGTGTAACGCGAATTCGTTACTGAATTTCAGCCAAATAAATACAATTTATAGATAAATAGAAGCCTTCAAAACAACCTGCCACTATCATGCAATTATTATATCGCGTTAATTACGCCCAGCCAACCATCCGTAATAAACGAACTGTGCTTTCTAGCTTTGTGGTATCACTATTCTCAAAGTGCGATGCAATAGTAATTGTTACTATCGCTAATAGCTCCTCAATTCCTCTAGCAGCTCTGTATTTTTACATCTAACTGTTTGCACTATTTCAAGAGTTACTCTGTTTTGCCACCACCTTGCATTAGTCCATATGCTTGGAGGCTGATTTAAGAGTATAGACGTCAATTCAGCCTTCTTCTGCTCAGGTATCCTTGTGTCATTTTGCCCCGTCAATATGTATATACGGGATGTGTCGCTCAATCTTTCTTTAATAACTGCCCGCAATCTTGGCCCTTCGATCCGTTCTGTATTTTCTTGATCTAAATATATAGGTCCTTTTCCACATGCACTGTTTCCAGACAGTATCTAAACAGACCACAGTTCATTTGTTCTTCGGGGATATTAATATTTAGATACATCCTGAAGTGTGCATAAGTCGTAGCCAGCGTTATTATATTTTCTTTACCTTTTACATCCCTGTAATAGAGTACATCTTATTCTTACGATTAGATAACCTCAATTAGTAAGAGGATAGAGTAAGTTGACTAGTATGCAAGTGTTTTCTAGCTAACTCGCCAAGCACTCTAATAATACAAACCAGTCAGCCTTAAGTATTACTGAGAACATTATTGAAGCACGATAGCCCGGCTGAGAATTTTCGCCTAAGACTGCCTTTCTCGAGTAACAAAGGGGTTCCAACTTTATCTCGAAGCAGACTGTTAGTCTACCTGCATTGTGGGATTCCGCTAGTCCAGGATGCTTTACTGATGATAGTATTGCTGGCTTACTAAATCACACATAAAAAAAACACAAAATATCTTGGATTGAACTATTCCCAATCAGCAGGTAAAGGATTAGTCCACGGCCCTACCGAGGCCCACAAGGTCTTGATTTTGTCAAGCCGGGCCAACAGATCCTTATTCTGCTCCGACGCCCCCGTTGTGGCCCCACCCGTATTCGAATCATCCTTGCCAATGTTGAGCGCATGTTCGATATCTCTAATGCCGTCTTGAATGTTATCTGTTTGGTGCGAGGGCTGTTTTAGTACCACAGACTTGCCTCGACAATAGTTGGCCATCTCAAGGGAAGTGGCCTGGGTACTTACTGGTGAACCTCGAGACAACTGTATTTGTGTAGGAGTAGATAAACGTGCGCCACTTGTCCCCGAGGCCTAGCTTCTTGTACTGGCACTTGTTCCACGATGTATCTTTCTATGTATCAAGTCAGCCAACTCACAATTAGATGGGCCATATTGAAGAACAACATACAACGGCGGCAAGGGCGTTTTCTGATTGATCACTTTATGCAAATGTTAGCTTGGAGTTTAATGTGGAGGTGTCCCATACATGGCGACGACTTACAGCCAGCTCCCTACTCTTTGTGCCTGTACCTTGAAGATGTCTTCTGTAGCCTTGGACTATTTTGTGATTTTCCGTCAGTTCCATTGTTCAATACCAGGAGAAGGTGCACGGAAAAACTCTCTGCAGAAATGCTGCAGGTGTGTAGGATACTCACATATTTCAGAGTCCAGATGACGAGCCGGACTTTGTTCATGGCCTCGGCCCACCTCTCCTTCTTGATACAAGATCGGTAATCCCGAATGTAATTCCTAAAGCTGGAGGACCAAGCCCTAGACAATAGAGGAATCACGGTCAGCAACGGATCTTGTGTCCATTCTATAGCACTGAATAGAATGCATGGATCCACGTACGCCTGTTTCGCGCTGTTGACATTCATGTACAGTAGCTGGAACTCGTTGAAGGACTCCTCATTGTTGGGAAGAACCTGCCCCATGATGCTGAGGGGCGTAAACTGCTTGTTCGCACTCGTGTACCAGGGGACGGGGATAGGCTTGCCGGCCCACCAGAATTTGAGGTGCTGGCAGTTAGACCACTCTTGGTCGTCACGCACAAAGTCCCAAGACGTGAGCGAATTCGCCTTCTTAAAAGCGTCAGATGCACAGTTGTCGTAGCTTGCGTCCGTTTCATCGCTGCCGACTGTCTGAAGGAAGTTTTTCAGCTGTGGAATGAAAAGGGGCGGGCTAGGTTAGCTGGAGAACAGAGTGTCGGGCCATACTGGCCGGCAAAAACCGGATGGGATCTTACAATTTGCCATTCCTATATGTGGTGAAGCTGCGGTTAGCAAGTGTTTACGGCAATGGCTCATCTGGGTCCATGTATTTTCTGACTTACAAGAATATGCTCCGTGCCATATTTGCTTGTGTCGACATCTTCTGGGGCTGGGTTGCTTTGCTGACGGAAGCCTAAGAAATGTATCAGTCAATATTTGAGACGGCTTCACCAGGTATTCATTGGGGCAGTTTACCCATGTTATCGCAGTCTGACCAGTCATCGGGTGCCCACGTGGTCCAAGATCCGTACTTTGGAGTCCCGGCGGAAGCATCGGCGACCAAGACTCTCGAGTCCGGGAAGGATATTCCTCTCACAGTGATACCGCCAGCCTTTTTGAGAGCCTTTTGGCAGATGCCAAAGTCTGCCTTGGTGCCACGCTTCTGGATCAGGCCCCGTTCCATGACGCCTTCCAGCGCCCTCTTGGCGGATGTGCTCGAGTCGGGGCAGTCCAGGGGCTCGCTGCCGTCGTCTCCATAGACGGTTGTGTCACACTTACCCAGCGGCGTGTTGGTGTCCGTGGCGCATCGGAGACATGAGCCGCCAGGGTCTGGGAACAGCGGGTTCTGGTCGTCCACGCCGGCGCGCCGAACCAGCATCGCGTCGATGACGGTGGTGTTGGAGAGGGCCTTGCCGGTGTCATCGGAGGAGAGCGGCAGCAGTTCCCGTTTGTCCCTAGACTCGGACCAGCCGTAGCACTTCTTAGGGACGACCCCGAACTGGGTGCTGAAGAGCTCGTTGTTGAGGTTGTCCGGCTGGGCCCAGTTGGGCAGCGGCGACACCATCTTGAGCGTCACGCTGGCCGCCCAGTTCATCCAGTACCAGATGCCGGAGCACTTGTCGCTACCCGAGGACGCGCCCGCGCCGACGCCCAGGTCCATCGAGTTGGAGTACGTGGCGCGGATGTCCGTGTTGACAAGGTCGCTGGAGAGGAAATGTATCTGGATCTTGAAAGCGGCGCTCTGGTCGACCTTGACGACGACGTGGCCCTCAGCCGCCACGTTGGCCTCGGTGCCGGCGTCCACTTTTGTCGACTCCTTGAAGGTGTATATGGAGAAAGGCTTGGGATCCGGCTCTGCCCAGAGAGAGGCCGGGTACATGAAGACCTGCGGATTGACAGTCGCGATGAGCACTTGGCTGGCTAGGCTGCCGGAGACCGTCGCCAGCGACTGCAACTGGGCCGTGATGTCCAAAAAGGGGCCAACAGTAGCAATGCTTGATGCAGTCAGTCAGTAGCGCATTCAGGGGGCAAGGGAGTTGTTGCCGATGGACGAACCCTTTGATGTTGAAACTGCCACCCCAAGGAGCAAAGTTCTCGACTGTGCACCGGTCAGCTTGCAGCTCAGGTTAGGGCTAGGCTTGGAGACGCACGCAAGGGGATGTTGCCCGAAGAGATGGTGAAGTCGGCCTGCCCAGTGATGGAGACCTTTGCAAAGGCGTTGGCGCCGTCCAGGACGAAGTAAGCGTAGGCATCGTCGAGGTTGAAGTTGGTCAGGGTGCCGACAAGTGACAGTCCGAAGCCCAGGTTGGCGTCGAAATAACCGTCGATCTTGGCTTCGATACTGGCATCGGCATTGGGAGGACAGGACCGTCGGGCGTTGTACAGCATTTGGGAGAATGGGTAGTTTCTGTAGATGCCGTGGTTTAGTGTATTCGGCGGGAGGATGGCGAGCTTGTTGAACACGTTCTTCCACCAGCCGTCGTCGCCGTATCCTCGCTTGCCGACTCTGTCCTCGCGGGCCGTGTTGTTCATGAAGCCGTGCTGTTGGAACCAGTCCAGGTGGAACTGGCGCCAATCTTGCGGCGACCGCTTCTCGATCTTGCCCTGGGGGCTCGACCGGACAATCTCTGCAAGGTGGACACGCAATCAGTACTATACTCTACTCTCTTTGCCAGGGGAAAGGCACCGGCGTGTACAGACTCACCGTGCCAGTAATTGGGCTGGTCAGAAGTATCAACGCGGAAGTAGATGTCGCCGCAACCGTCAGCGCGAGCATCCAGGCCCCGCTGCTGTCTCTCCTTCTTCTCCCTGACCTTGCCAAAGTCGTAGTCATACCTAATCTCATAGATCTTGGGAGCATTGGCAAGGCGCCTCGTAAGGTGGGCGGGCGCCGTTGCGTTTTCCAGCCGAGAGAAGGATACGACTCGAACATAGTCATCAGGACCGCAGTCGGGTGGAAGGCGCAGGACCGTGTTCTCAGCGCCGCCGAGGAGAATATCTTGGCAGTTGTTGTCTGGAGACTCGTCTGTGCACACGGCGCGCAGAGACTGTACACTGAAGTCATCGGGATGGGTGTCAGGGCAGTCAAAAACATCAAGATGCGAGCCTTGACGCTTGTCCAGGGTCTGCACATCATGGTCGCATCCCACCACGATGACCCAAGCTGCAAGGAGGAAAGACAACGGTCAGCGAATAGCCCTATTCTTGTCTAGGTCTGCAGGCATAGCTTACCAAAGGGCGAAGTGTTGGGATCGTTGGGGTTACCCGGGTCGAGTGGCTTTGAATCCTTGTCCTGGTAGAATGCCTCGGCGTAGCTGGGGACATCATTGGCGGTAAACTTATCTGACTCTGGGAAAATGTGATCCAGTTCAACGGGTAAGATTCCCGACTCGAATCTGTTGTTCACTGTTAGTAAAATAGAGCCCATTGGAGAACATTGAAGATTGGTCCGGTCCGTACCCCTCTCCTGGGTCGCAGCAGAGCGAATGAGTGGTGCCGAAGAAGCACCAGTCGCCCTCGTCATCTGTTTGGCTCGTGTAGATCTCAACTTTCCTCTATCACGTTGTGTTAAGCGGACCTTGTGTCCCAATTCAGGGGGGGGGGTCGGGTTCACTCACTGGCGGGCATTGTGAGTCGGTACAGCTGAAAGGTCTTCCTTTGCCGTACCACTTGCAGTTCTTGTACTTGACGTCGGCAGGACAGCACACAGGGATATCAACAAATATGCCTGAGATGGCGCCCACCTTCTGCGGCAGGTCACTGCTGCACTTCCCGCCCCAGGAACTTATTTGCTTGCACTGGGGAGCAGTGGGGGCCGATTCGGAGGGGCAGCAATAAGCACGTCGTCCAAACAAGCATTTGTCGCCCTGCTGATCGCCGTTGTCGTCGAGGGCCATGGTGATCTACATGAAGCAAATGAGCTACGTCCCAAGTGTGCCTTGGCCGGCGAGATTGGACGTCAACTTACCTCACCAATGTCACATTGGCTGTAACAGCCCTTGCTCCAGTGGCAAGTAGCCTGGTCCGGAGCGCCCCAAGGCGGACAGCCTACAGTGCATGAGTTAGACGACATATCAATATCAATAGTCATACAGCGGAGCGCGGATGTCACTGACAGAACCGTCGTAGCGGCTGATCAAAGCCGAAGAAGCGCCCTATCCCTCTGCATGAGTTTCCGTCGCTGTCCTGATCAAGCCAAGTCTAGTAGATGGACATGTCAGCCAGATCCGCCTCGGCGGATAAGAGTGTAAACTTTGGCGTCCACTAACCATTGCCTTGGTGTTGTCCGGACAGACATCTCCGCACTTGGTGTACATGCACAAGCTCAAGCTGAACCGGTCCGAGTCCTTGGTAGGGCTTAGATCAACCCCTGGATCGATGTCCTTGCCGAGCACCGACTCCAAGGCCGTGTAGCGCTCATCGTCCTGGTCAATTGCCCAGATCATGAGACCGCCCAGGCCGCGCGCGTTGGCAAAGTCTACTTTTTGCTGGTAGGTTGTCTTGTCATCGTACGAGACCCCTAGAGGCAATCATCAGTCACGGCGTCCTAGATCACGGACGAGCTCGACGGCTATCCACACTCACAGTTCATGCCCTGGCCATAAATCAGCATCTTCACAGCGGCAGTCTCGTCATAACGGACCAAAGCCTTCGCCTGGTTGGCCGCAATAAGGTCGTTGATCTCCTCGTACGAAAGAATGCCCCTGGTCTTGGTACACGGCCCAGCAGCGCCGCCGCTCGACAGGAGGTTGCCCGTCAGAAACTCGCAGCCGACGAGATTGCAGATCGGGTCCGCGACGGCGTAGGAGCGACCATAGAAGCCGATTCCAAGGTTGATGAGGGCCGGATCGATGCCAACGCGCCAGAACAGCTGCAGGGCCAGCTCGACCTCAGTCAGATTGGTATGCGCATACATTCTGTTACCAATCTCATTGTGCTGGTCCCACGTGCCGTGCAAGTCGTAGGACATGAGGTTGATGAAGTTTGAGTATTGGGCCAACCCGGGCAGGTCGAAGCCGCGAAGGTACCAGTACGAGCTGGGTGCCGTGAAAGAGATACCCCAGGTGCCGTGGCCGGAGCCGTCAAACTCATCACGGATGGCCTTGAGCATCAAAGGAAAGTTTTTAATGTCAGCCTCATGACCTCCTCGGTCGGGGGCGGTAGGGTATTCCCTATGATGTGGTTTAAGATCTAGCTACCAGCGTGTGTATGGAGTGGAAATACATACCAGTCTAAGTCAACACCGTCGAAGCCGTACTGGGACATGAAACGCACGAGACGATTTGCAAACTCGGAACGCAAGATGGCACTCCCAGCAATTTTACCAAAGATTGGCTGAGTGTCGGCTTTTGTTCTCGGGAGTCAGCAGCTTGAGGGTAGCACGGGGTTCAAGAAGTGGGAGGCTAAATAATGTACTGACTTCCGTCGTCAAAAAAGTCCCAGCCGCCAATCGACAGCCAGACCTGCAACTTTGGGTTCCGAAACTTGACATTGGTGACTTCATGGAATATCTCCCATGGATCGTCCAACGAGGCGTCACTGGCCATCGGCACAATGTTGAGCTGATGAAGACGGGACATGTTTAGAGATGATCAAGCTTGGTGAAGCAGCATTGGGCAAACCACTTACACTGGTGTCGATGTAGGCAAAGGCAAAGTTGAGAATGTCCAGCTCCTCAACCGGAATCTGAGCTGGGGTCATGACGCCGCAGCTATCGAGGTGTGCTCGCCATGATTCGTAGTAAGCAACAACGCGGTCACGGGCATCTCCGCCGCCGCCTGGGTCCTTTGGAGTCCCGCAGTTAGATTGGCATCCATTCTGGCAAAATTCCTGTCCAGTTGTACTTGTCAGTGTTGTCTAGCTGCGTTTTCAAGGTGGATTGATTCACGGTAGTTGTTCCGCAGAAGCCAAACTGGCTGCAGCAGACGTTCAAGGGGCAGGCAGCTGAGCCACTGGCCGAGTCCTTGCCGCACTCAGCTTTCGCATCGCAATTGGACGTACAGCCATCGCCGCAAAACACCTGGCCGTAGCCGCACCATCCGCTCGCACCACAGCAGGCGCCGTTGAGGCACTTCTTGTCTTTGGAGCAGCTATGGTCGTCGGAGCTACTACCGAGCTGCCTCCTGAAGATTCCGGGAGCCAAAGTGGCGTTGTCGTAGTCTGAGAGAGCCTCTGGTGCCGGTGCAAAGTCTGCGAGAGCAGAGAAACTAAGATCAAGAAAGATAAGAAAGAAGGTCAAGGTTGGTATCATGAGCCCGCATAGGGAGCTCCTACGAGAAGGTTTACTCATGGTAGGTGCTTAAAGAACGAACGCAATTGAGAATTTCAACACCGCTGAAGAAGCAACTGAAGTAAGTGAGAGGATGCGCGCAAAGTTTTCTTATCCAGGGAGCCCGCGCTTGCTGGGCGTATAACGTTCTGTTCACATCTTCCGGTTGAGCCCCTTGCGACCCCTTCTCAGATCTTACAGCATGTAACCTCATTTTCAGATCTGCGCTGATATCGACCATCTCATGACCCCCAAGTTACTGGATACAAAGATTCTGTATCATCAAGCGGCTGTGTAGCTCAGATAAAGGCCTGTTGCAAGATCAAAGTGCAGCGCTGTATTACAGGTTTGCTTGATTAGGCAAGTGGTTGTATAAGGTACCGCTGCACAGGTATGGTATTGTCGCGAGAAGCCTTATAGTATATGTAAGACAACTGAGATCCAGTATTAAGAGAAATTACTTGGTGGAAGCCTTTTATAGGTACCTAGTTATAAAAAGCTTGTTGCCTTTTTTGGTGTAGGGGGCGGGACCGGCCCGAGCCTCGTTTCTCTAGCGTGTTCTTTAATTCCCACCGCCGCCGAGATAGGCAATCGCCCTGCAAGTACTCCGGACAAGTTAAGCGAATTGCCCTCTGGTAACATTGGACGGATCTCAGATCCATATCGTACAGCCCGGTAACGTTTGAAAGATCTCAGATTCATATCATACAGTGTGGCGTGGCACCGTGACTCTGATACCTTGACGCAGTAGGTGAGATATTCTCGGCTGCGAGTAGCAATGCAAGACAGGGACAGCCGATGTTCTGAGGCGTCATTATCGTCGAGCCGCCTTTCACGTCTCCGGCCCTCCGCACTTGGTGTCCCGAGGAGGCCTCGTTCAGCTCCTTCATATGGTGCCTTGGGACTGCGACTCCTTTGGGCTGGCGATCCAGAAGCGAGCAAGAACAAACAACAATCATGTCGCCGCTTTGGATGTCCTTCCGCTTGGCCGTATGGTCCATCACAGCGTCGATATGCGCAGCCAAGGTGGTGCCAGCCCTGCCGCCGCTCTGGGATCTTGACGCGCGCAGCATCAACATCTCGCGGCCCAACAGCATCTCTGTCGCCAGCAATGACTCCTTGGTCCAGCTCTTCTCGGCCTCGCAGGTCGCATCGTTGTCCAGCGGCTGCGCCAGCGCGATGACCAAGCCTCTATCTTGCTCCAGCCTCCTCATCAGTCCGCTGGCGCTCTATACTCTCAACACCCTGACGGAGGCGAACCTGACGGCGCTGTGCGTCACGAAATGCACAAAGTCCATTGCCAGCTACCGCGAGAATGTCTTGAGCGCTTGCGCCAACGACGTCACTTCCAGCACGCCCTCCAACGGCTCTGTGCCGATCCCTGGAACGGGGCTCTATGATGATATTTACAATATCCAGGGCGGCTCTATCAGACCAGTACACCTGGCCGACTATTTCTTGCTCAACTACAAGATCAATTGCCTGCAGGACGAGTATGTTTTTATGATAGATCCCCGTCAGCATGTATGGGCCCACGGCTAATTCACAATGGGACAGTTCGGATCCAGCTAAGTGGTGTTATCTGAAGGCTGGGGAGGAGAATCTCGTCCTCACCAGTTCAAGCTGCGACGCCTGTAGCTTGGGGGCAGTCAGGGCGAGAATCGAGGGCTTTGACGAGTATTCGTCCGAAGAAGCCAGCGCGTGGTCCTCGCATATCACCACTGCGTGTAAGACCACGGCGGCGCCACTCTCCACGCCCAAGTACTCTGTCATTCTTGCGAACAACAAGTGAGTAAATGCATGTAATGAGCCGCAGCACGCACGAGCTGACGCCAGGATGGCCAGCACTATCGTCTCGGGCTACAACCCCAAGCCCACGCCCTGCTCGGGCACCAGCGTGCCTGTGGCCAGAAACGCGAGCTGCGGCGACTTCGCCAAGAGCCACAGCATTGGCACGGAGCAGCTGCTGGCCATCAATCACCTACAGTCGGGCTGCGTTGGCTTTCCGGGCAACAAGACGTCGCTGTGCATCCAGGGCTCGTGCAAGACATACACGGTGGCCGCCAACGACACGTGCGAGAGCATCGCCACCCGCTTCGGCCTCTGGCCGTTGCAAGTGCGCCTGTGGAATCCGATGCTCGACCCTCAGTGCCGAGATCTGGCTCACATGGTCGGCCGTATCCTCTGCGTCAGTAACCCGGGCGGCTACACGACGCCCTCCGTATCGCTGCCGCCCGCCACCACCGTGAGCACGCTTGTGATTCCATCGCCGCCCGGATCATCAATGGCTTATTGCGATCTGCCGACCGTCACTACCATTTGGAAGATGCCCCCGCTGCCGACGGGCATGGTTACCAAGTACCCGCTTGCCAATGGCTCAGTTGCTGGCTGCTTCAAGATGTGGGACAACCCCTACTCCAAGATGATGTGTAATGCGGCCGCGGCCGTGTATAATGCTGATGTGGATTCCTGGATCGAGTGGAATCCGAGCGTGTTGAATGGCAGAAACTACTCCGCGTGGGACTGCGTGCTACAGCAGAATACGTCATATTGCGGCCTCTTGTACGATCCAGCGAGTAAGTGTAGGGGCGGGCGAGATTTTAAGGATCAAATAAGGCATGTAACTTGGATGGCTGACTAGGTTTGTAGACTCGACAACGACCGGCTCGACAGATGCCGACTACGACTTCGTTCCGCCCCCCGAGGGCTCTACTCCGGGAGCCACAACTCGATGTCTTGTGTGGTATACAACAGTGGATGGTGAGATGGTTTTGCTGCATACCCTGCCACGAGAAGAAGCATAGCTAACCCTGGCATCCTCTCTGTCTCAGGCGATAGCTGTTCCTCCATCCTCTCTGATTGGGGGATCACAATCGCTCAATTCTACGCCTGGAATCCCCAGATAGGTACCTATCGGTCAACCATGCGCCCCCCCTATTCATCACTTGTCGCTGACATTTACTACTCCTACAGGACCACAGTGTCGAAGCTTGTGGTCTCACGCAGCCGTACGTCTACAAGACAAATCCTTTCCCCATCGTCATTGAGCCCCTTGATCTTCTAACCCTAGACACAGTATTGCGTCCTGAGCCCTAGCAACGCCACCAGCACCCTGACGTCGGCGCCTTTGACCAGCAAAACGGCGAAAACTACAACAACCAAGGTAACACCACCTGGGCCCACGCAACCTGGTATCTCAAAAAACTGCAACAAGTATGCCCTCGCCAAGTCAGGTCAGACCTGTGACGGGTTCGCCGCGGCGAACGGCATCACAACTGCGAATCTCTGTAAGAAGAAGAGTCTCAAACGTCTTCTCATATTCTCAGCTGACAAATACTACAATAGATGCCTGGAACACTGTCTTGAACGGGGCTTGTACGCAGTAAGTCAAGTCATGTACCTTCCGGCTGTCGTTGTCAGATGATCTAACACGTTGGATGCAGCTTCCAGTCAGGGGCAGCGTATTGTATTGGGGTTTCTAAGTAGGGTTTTGGATTTATCTACTTTGTTACATGTTTGTAGTCTTTTAAGCAAATCATGTAGTCTTGCTAGGAGGTAGGAGGTATGAAGAGGTCATATAACCTTTTCTACCACTATCATTAGTGGCTAATTTAAAGCTAGAGGGACTCTTCGATACACGATGTTGCATTTCTAGTGCTAAGGCTCATTCCGACGAGCTTCTAGTTTAACCTACAATCTTCTACTGTATATAGTCCTACGCTTTCACTATTTCCTTATGTCTTTCGACGTCTCACAACATTCATGTTGTCAGACATTTCAAGTTTCATTAGACAGTCATAGCCTTTTGCAATTGGCTCCTTCACATGACTCAAACATTTGTTGTGCGATGCAAACACATTGCTATCCCTATCCATAATCAAATGAAATGCGGCTTCCTCTTGATTAGAGCTAGCTCCTTTATCACGATACGCATAGAAAGCAGCATGAGTAACGTATCATTGTTGCGTTGGTTGTTGGTACTGTAAGGGACAAGCATGGTGGCTTCCTGCTTATTTCGTTAACAAGCGAGTCTGCTCTCTCCGAGTCCCTTGGCATTGAAGATAAAGGCTTCCGTCTAACGCCGTTCCCAGGCTTGGGTTTCATCTAGACTCATAGATTCTTGCGCAACAACGTCCTTGTGAAGCTTGTGTCTACACTACCAGTGGGTACTGATTTGGTGGCCGGGGCCTAAACTACCCGTGGACATGCATGTCAATACATGTAAATAGTATCTATTATTTACCGAGCGGTCTTATACTCGGATATATTCTAGAAGCGCCTATTGGGGGTCTTAGAAGGAATGCTCAAAGTCGTCTCCGGGATGAGTTGCAAACCATGCAAGAGCTGCTATCAATATAAGCAATGGACACTATCGACTATGAAGGATTTTGTGGGCCGTGTGATAGGCAGGCTAGTACGTAACCACAGCTCCCATATACTATATCCAACTCCATTTATGCTTCCCTCGCTGTTGCTCGCATCGTACACAGCAGGATATGGGACGCTACATTAGAAACTTTATAATAACCAAGCATAATGCGGTGATCCCCGAGGCCGTCGTCCAGAAGAGATTATATTGACTGTGTTTCCGTTCTTCTCTGCAAGCTTGGGACGCACAAGGTAGAGCACAAAGTAGAGACGTAGATCTCAGCTATTCGGCAAGCTGCCTGGTTTGTGGCATTTGCCATATATGGATGTTCTTATTCAACAAGGCCTCACCTGAACTACCTACCTATTCAAGAAAGTTAAAGTAGTTAGTAGCTCTGTATACAATATACATGGACTATTGAACGTGACTCTTATGTGGCATTTGTGAACCAACACTCTCTTATGCTACACTCGCCAAGGCCGAGCCGCTCCTCATACACTCTCAGCTCTCAGCTAAATGTCTATCCCCAGCTAGATATTCTTATTTAAAGGCTCCTGAGGGATGGCCAATATTCATGACTGTTCTCTGCAGCACAGCTTCTAACCCCCCCCCCCCCCCCCCCCCTTCCTCATCCTGCTTCCGTCAGTAGTAGCAAAACATCATGTTCACTCGCAGCTTTTTGCCTCTCCTTACCCTCATGGCCTGCAGCTTGGCCTTCCCGTTTGTGAAACGGGACTGCGCCTTTTCAGCCGATGCAAATGACGGAGACACCTGTGCCTCTCTGGCAGCTGCTTGGGGCATCACCGAAGCACAGTTCAAGAGCTACAACCCCAGCGTTAAGGACTGTTCTGCCCTCAGGTCCGGCTCGTTGTACTGCGTTGAGTGGACTGGCCTGGCAGAGGGCCAGTCCACAACAACGGTAGTGACCTCAACATCCACCTCAAAGGAGGCAAGCACCACCTCCAAAGACTCTCCATCTCCAACCCAGCCTGGGGCGACGTCGAAGTGTAATTATGCATCATCATCCACCATGAAGTGGTTTTATCGCCACGATAGCTAATCTGTTGTCCTTCTAGGCACAAAGTGGGTGCAACAGACGGGAGATAAATACTGTGCTGAAATCGCCGCTACCAACGGCGTGTCCCTCGCTGAGTTCCTCAAGTGGAACAACATCAAGGTGAGTATTGCAACTGGTAAAATACTTTTTGAAATGTCTCATCTTGACACACACCCCATAGGCCGACTGCTCCAACCTCGTCGCTGGTAACTACGAGTGCGTGGCAGTGAGCGGCACCACCAAGGCTAAGAAGCCGACCAGCAGTCTCCCAGGCCACGGGGCAGAGCCTGGGACCATCTCTAGCTGCAAGAAGATTCACCTGATCAAGTCGGGCGACTCGTGTGCTAGCATCGAAAAGCATTACCGCATAACGGATGCGCAGTTTCGCAAATGGAATACTAAGCTGAATGGCAAGTGCAACAACTTGTGGCTGAATTATAATGTGTGCGTTGGCATTTAATAATGCCACGGAGAAAGAAAAGGGGACAGGATATGGTTCAGCTTAACTTTCTAGCTTACTTGTATAACGCGAAATGAGGAAATATTGTTTCATCTTATAAAACTATATAATATTATATACTCACAAGACAATACGCTCCCAGATGCTATTTTAGATTCCGAGCGTTCGTATGAATAAAGTTTTTAAAGCACAGATTCTTAATATCTTTGGAATAGCTATCTTTAGTGCTATTTCGTTTTGCACGACGCTGTATTTTTTCTCCACCCCAACTTGCAAGGCGGCATCAATTATTAATGAGCAAATCTAAAATCTAACCTCTTGCTGCCTTGGATATTCTGATTAGCGGCATATTCTTTCTTCGCTTGATCGCTCATTGCATTCCAGGTCTTGTCGCGCTGCTTGTTTCGGAAAATATAATACGCTTTCGCGAGAAGGAAGAGCACAATTCCGACTATATTGATAATGAAGAGATTGAAGTTGCCGCGGTGGTAGAGCGGAGCATCGCTCTCGACGTAGATGTATGCAGATATGATGCTGCCAACTTGAACACACATCTGACAAGAGAAAACGAATTTTAGCAAAGGCAAAGTTGGATAAAGAGGTTTTGAACCTCAAAGTATGTCTCACATTATATATCGCAGCTGATACTGAGCGCGTACCAACATTGTTCGAATTCTTCGATGTCCAGCCAACTAAAATAGCGTCTGCGAAGCAAAGAGTTAGCAGCATTCGTAGACAGCAGAACTCTGTATCTGAGACATACGGCAATACGGGTACGATGTCAAAACCGTAACGAGAGCGTATGTGCCCCATTGATCAACCATAACACCGGGCCACCATCGCAAAGCAATGACACATGGAAGTGTCCATAGAACTTGTATCATGGACACCAAAGCACGCTCATTTAGCCATTCTGACAATCGAGTGATTAAAATGAGATTGATAATGTGGAAGACATTCTTCAAAAAAAAAGTCAGTTCAGTTGCATAGACATTGAGCGCCGTCTGTGACTAAATAAAGCTCCAGGTAAGACTTACATATGGAATTGTCAACAAATTAGTGGTGAACGGGTCAAATCCTATTTTTCTCAGTGTGAGAGTAATGTATGTCGCAGGTGGACTCGGAGGTATAAAGACAACAACTCCAAGGATGTAAATCGGCCAAAGATCAAAGTCCTTTAGCGTCTCCCACAATCGCTTCGGTGTAATGGCTTCGCGGTTGTGCATATCCCCTTTGGACGGATCATCTCTCAGAACCCTGTTCACAACAATAGAGACCTCTCGATCTGTGAACCAGCCTTTGGGACGAAACCATGTCTTGGTCTGTACGGCAGAAGCTGGCATGAGGAAGAAAGAAGCAAGCCCGACAACAAGCGTGATGAGCCCTTCAACGAGGAACAGCCATCGCCAGCCAGCCCAGCCATGAACCCCGCGGAGGTGTAGCAGAGCAAAGGCGAGCAACGAAGTGGCAATTCCAGTGACGGATAGAGACGTCCAAAAGTAGCTGAGGCGGACTGGTAGCTCGCGGGACGTATAGAAGTAAGAAAGCCAAAGAACGATGTCGGGAATAAACCCTCCCTAGTATTGTTGGTCAGCCTGAGAGGTGAAATCGGATGCAATAATTTAGTTAGTAACAAACCTCCAAAAAGCCTAGCAGACTCCGTGTACAGAGAAAACTTGCTCGACCAGTCAAAGCGCACTGTGAAACGGCAACGATAGACCATAACACCATCTGCACGGGAATCCACCGGTCTGGGCCAACCATCTTCGAGATGAGCTGCGAGGGTAGTTCAGCACACAGGAAAGAAATTCTGAATACGCTGTTGCCGTAGTTGTAATCTTCATGCTGTCAGCGGTAGGTTTGGCCAGGCATGGTGATGCCAAAGGTGCATTATTACCGTTTGTGGTCAGTCCCAAGTCATCTAGCATATTATCCGACACAGCCTGTGCAAGGTTTCCACGATCGACTTGAAGGCCAAAGAACATGACACACTATGCAACTCATGAAGGTTGTTAGTAATATCCCTAATAGCCATTCGTGGTATAAAATGTTGACGCACGGCCCAGAGGCAAATCCGCCAATCCAACTTCCTCACAAGGCGACGCTCCTCTTCTTCCGACCAAGACAGCGACGGGTCAAACACATGCCGACACTCGTACTGTGACTTTTCGTATACATCTCTCCAGTGCCGAGCAACGGCGGGGTCCCTGAATGGATTTTTCTCATCATCATATCCGCCTTCCTCTGATGCCGGAATATCGCTGAGTAGCTGAGCTTCGCTAGGAGTGGTTGACCCAATGATGCTAGAAGTCACTTCTTCAGTGCTAGTATAAATTTTGACGTCCTTCCCGTCCACCGCCATGTTGGAAATGAGTCGGCAGCGTGAAAGCCCAGCTTGATAGATTCTTTATAGCAAATTCCAACTTGCCATTGGCTTCCCCGGTGCTCGAGCAGCTACCAAAAAATAATCGATATACCTTCTACGGAGAAGCTACCAACATATAATGATAAGCCCCCTCATGAATTTACTTATAAGTCCGCAATCTTGGCATCTTCAATTATGCGCTATGATTGCGTGCTAGAATAACCAGGTTGATGGCACTTTGCATGTAGCAGCACGTTTAAAGCTGCGTCTCCCCGCAATGTGCCGCGTGTGATAATGAATTGCGCCATCAGCGCAAGAAGATGCTCGATTGCGCTATTCGGTACAACAAATGCGAGCGGCGGGGAATCTGATAGAGTTTCTCCGCATTGCAAATCAATTTAGCGGTATATAAGACGGCGGTTGGAGAGGTTATCTGCAATACAGAGAGGAAACAGTTGGCGGTTCGATATAACTTCGAAATCTGGCTCAGCATCAAGGCCGCCAATTCCAAAGGCTGTGGGGGTGTACCCTTGAAGTAAGACGCGAGCGACTACCGTAATTCACCACCAGCCATATCTAGTACATTAAAAATGTGAAAATTAATATTAAAATATCAAAAATGAAACTAGATTGATCTTTATTTGAAACTTAAAATAAGCGTCCGCGCAAGTATCTATGGTACTGTAAATCTGCGTGTTCGCTACGGAATACTTCGAGAATGCCGGATTAGCATGGACGGGCGCTTAAGAACTACCCAGTGAAATCTATTCAACCTTTACAATACAAATTGCGAGCTGATAGTTTCAAAATCTTGATATGTGAAGAACATGGTAAAAGAGCGCTTCCCGCGGAGATGCTCATCATTCGCTTGTTATGGGATTTAATGCTGTCAGCTGGTCTTGGTAGCCGCTGCCAATCGAATGTCGTGATATGGCGACATACACACCTTGAAGAGGGTCCCGATGATAGACCTCGGCCTTGGAAGCTGCAATAGCTAGCAACATGACTAAGCAATGATAACGCCTGACTAGAATAAGGAATTGTCTATTACGAGAAGCTTGCCCGACACAATATTGTGACGGCTCAACGCCCTGGTTAGAAGACTCGGAAGTGATTTAGCCGGTCATGGCGGCGCAGTCGCCTTTGAAGAATAAAATGGACGTTGCATTCTCTTCGTGGCTATAACTCTATCCGCCTATTGCCTAGATCGGATCCTATCTATTTAGTTTACTCACTAGATATTGATAAAGATCAATGTTTGAGCTGATATTGATCAACTTAAAGTCATTTTTAAAGTAGCTGACGTAAAGAGCCTGTGGGGGTATACTATAGGCCAAGACAACATGCTAAGCAAATTGATAAGAAAACATCTCCAGCACATTTTCATGAACCCTTTAGAGTGCTCGAGTCAAATCAAGGGTTAGCTGAAACCAGATTGGCAAAGTTCAACGACGTCGAAGCAGCCAAATTTGACGACTCTCTAATCTTTCAATATACTTTCTACGACTATGTCAAGTTCTCCAAGACCTTAAAATTTGCCTAACCTTTTCGAGAGAGTTTAAAATTGACGTTATGGATCCTCTCAGCGCGGATGAGAGCTTCGGTCACTACCGCGATATTAAGTATATGCGAAAATGTCTAGTGCGGAAGATTTAAGAAGCATTTTCAGAAGCGATCGTGTACAAGGCATTCAGCACTAGTCCATCAGCTCTATTTGATCACTCTAAATGAACATCGGACCATGTCTGATTAATTTTATCTCTTGGTAGCCGAAACTATGTAGGCGCAACTCTAAAACTGGCTAAAGACGCTGGATGACCAAAGTTCGCGGGTTTCAATCTCAGCGATTTGGATTTATCAGGACGGCTAAGTATATTGACACACTGCTTGTTTAGAAAAAAAATTTAAGATATTACGAATATCGTCTTTGGCGTGTCATGGAGCAAAGCCTAAGCATTAGCAGCATAAAAAGCCATCTTTCTTTGCGAATATGCTTCGAGAGATTTCTTCAACGTTCTCAATTGTACAACTAAAGACTAGGGTAGATAAGAGAGGAGCTGAACAAAATAAATAAACAGCTGCCGTCACCTAACTACCCTTCATCCATCTTGCTATAATAATAAGCTGTAATTGCGATAGCCGAATTAATTTCCGCTTTAACTGTCACTCGGATATAATTCCCTTTTCTAACGGATAGTAAGTCTATTTGTCAACAATTACCAATACAAAATATCCCAAGTACAAAGTTCTATCGCCCGAGAACTCATGCATGATCAACCAATGAGATCAATATGCCTGCCTGACTGATGTTGGACACGAGGCATTGCTGACACTTTACCATGAAGATTCCAGTAATGTTTGATTGCATCTATTGACTTAGCTATAATGCCTATTTAGGAAAGTAAGACGATTCTTGATCAGCATAGGTTGATCTTTCCAAATTCAGCTGTTCTTTTACGAAATGTATATCCGAATGTAGTAACCTTGCCAAGAAGAGAGTCTGATCTTAACGGTACTGTCGGTCGGCTCATCGGCTCATCGGCTCCCAAGCCTGCCGGATGTCAGAAAATAGTCACCTATCACTTACACATCAGTTAGCAAGCAGTATGGGTAGCGAGATATATTAGGGCAAAACAACAATCGATACATCATTTTCCTATTACGCACACCGCTATATCAGCATCCCGTTGTCTAAAAGACGTATTCATTTTCACCTATAAGTGTGTATTTTCAGCCTTCCAGCGTGATTCTTTAGGCTGTGTCCACTACGTGGGCACCATAAGCATGCATTCCGCTCGGAAGCTCCATGGCGAAATGTTGATTTGCATTGACTAACCGTTTTTGAAAGGTGGCTATATAATTCTATTCTATTTCATATTCCAGTAGAAAGTAATTACTCCCGAAATAAAAGCCGATTTAATGATCAGATATGTATATATATAGAGAGAGACCTCGCATGAAATGTCTAAGCCATCTCAGTCAGGCATCAGTTTATCGACTCTACTCAACCATTCTGATCAGAAGCTATTTCTACCATTTATAAAATCATCTTGTTTCATTTAGCAACTATGAAGGCAGCTCTGGTTCTTTTTTTCAGCGCCGTCGCTTATGCGGACTATGAATTTGCAGCTTGGTCAGAGATTGGCTGTGTTGGGAGCAAGGTTGCCAGCACCTCTGGAAATACTTTTGACAGTTATTGTCATGATATCTCTGGCCAAGGCTGGTACTCCATTGGAGGAAGTGCCATGTCCATCAAGGGCCAGTCAATCGTATTCTGTGAGGATTCTGGTTGTTCTGTGGGCTGTTTTGGCGTCGACGATACTTCTTCATGCTCCATGTTATCTAAACCCTATTACGAACAGCCAATTGGATCATGGAAAGCGGTCCAAAATTAAGATCTTTACATTATATATATGGTGTGTCCGCTTCTTTTTAAAACATATCTTGAATCTTGGCTCACAACGGAATAGGTTCATCGAGCAGGCTGTACCCGGGTTTGCCTCGTCAGTCTTAGCCCTGTGGAGAATCGAATGCTATTCATTGGATTTTTTGTACTTAGTTTTATCAGTGTAAAGAGATATTGATCTCTTCTCTCTTTCTTGATACGGGAATTTTCAGTACTAGTACAAGAGTTATTAATGATCTCAATTCCTCCATCTAACAATTACTACCTTGACTATCCTATGAATATTAGCGCGTGATAGGACATGCATCAAACTGACCAACCCGTGATATTTGAAGTGCTGCCATGTATTTGATTTCAGTCATGATAGCTAGGACTCACTAGATCCATCTTAGCATCCCTAGGACTCATTATCTTAACTGAACTTGATAGCCCATTTTACAAGTTAAAGCTAGATATCGTAACCTTGGAAATGTAGCTGTTAATTACACATACACTCTATATCCGGTGGCTAACGGCTCTGTGTCTCTATTACCACTATATGTTGGTGCTCCAAATTTCAACGTCAGCACTAACGCTGCGCGCAAGCCTCACTATTACCGGACGAAACAAGGCCTATGAGTCGCTACAATCATGAAGCATACCTGCGGACATTTAACCGAGCGGCACACCTTATTACCGCTGCCTAGGTATCTGTTCGGAAAAAAATTGCATGTTCATCTATTTAGGATCTGCTTCACCTACTTACTTATAGTCGCTTTTTGTAGCTAACAATCTTCCGCTCAATTGTACCCTAAATCAGTGCTGAAGATATCATTATAAAGTTTCTGCAGCTATTATTGACATCAAATCTTATTTTTCGTCTTATATAGAACGATACCAAACCTTCCAACGCATGTTGAACACGTAGCTTCTACCGAGGATTGGCCACCAACTGCAACTGCACAAAGTAATTTGCCCCGACATCTTAGCTGTCTAAGATCACACTAGGAATCATGAATTTAGTAAGTAATACTTGTATGAAGGACATTATTCGTTAAAAGTGATGAAACATAACAAAATCTTGTAGCCTAAAAGCCCCTTTGTTTCATTATACCTCAGGCACGAAATCGTTCACAGCGGCGTCGAATCAGATCAGCGCATCGCCTGTTAGTGGTGACGTAACCTGTAGGAGGCCGCGCCACCTCACTACTGAAGCCCAAAATGAAGTTCTCAGCCCATCCAGCCTTGTTGAGGAAACCTCGTCAAGATACTTTTCCCACACTTGAAAGCCATCGATATCTATCGCAATGGCGAGAGTCGATACTCCTGACGTCTCTGACGATGATTTTGCCATGATCAACTCGGCCACCTCTGATGGCCCCGCAGCACCTTACCAGACGCCCGAACTCATCAGCCGCTTCCCGCGAAGCCCAAAGCCAGCGCCTTCAAGGCTGAATCCGGATGACGATGCCGCTGCTGAGCAATCTCAAAGCTATTTCCTCGATGGAACTATCCCCTCAATCTTCAATCCACAGGGGAAAGACGGGAATCTCTCGAGTTACTTCGGAGATGTCCCGGGTCTGAAATATGGAAAATCGCTGTACAAGAAGCTGAGTACCAAAGACGATGTCTTGATCGCCGTAATGGGGTAAATATTCTCTACGCTACCCGAATCTCATTTAGAGCGACTTCTTACAAGCTTATACAGCATGACCGGCTCAGGAAAGACCACGTTCATTGCAAATGCGACCGGGCGAAAAGATTTAAAGATCGGCCATGATCTTACTTCATGTACGACTCTTCAAGTATTCCGGGCACCAGTATTGCTTAGTTGCTGACCAAATGCTTCAAAAGGTACCCAAGAGATACAAATTGTTGAAACCATCATCGACGGCCACACAGTCCGTTTCGTTGATACCCCGGGCTTCTCAGATACATATCTCTCAGACACCGAAGTCCTTGAGATGATTGCAGATTACCTAGCTGCTGGATACTCCAAGGAGCTACGCCTGTCGGGTATCATATACCTCCATCCCATCTCGGATAATCGCGTCACCCATCATGCAACAAAAAATCTCGACATGTTCCGCAAACTAACTGGAGAGAAAAACCTCAAGGATGTGGTCCTAACAACTAGCATGTGGGATAGAGTTGCGCCGGAAGAGGGCCAGAAGCGCGAACAGGAACTCAAAGGCAAATTTTGGAACGTTTTGATGGCGTTTGGCGCAGTATATTCCCGACACAATGGATCCGCCGACTCTGCAAAGGAAATCGCGTCCATGTTTGTAGACAAGAAACCGTTTTACCTACAGCTGCAAGAAGAGATGGGAAAAGACAACAAAGCGCTCAAAGACACTGCTGCAGGGAAGGAGATCATGGCTGAGCTCTCCCGGATGAAGGAGCAGCACAATAGAGAACTCGCTGAGATGAAAGAGATGCTTTTGCGGACTTCGGCCGAAGAGAACAAGGCTGCTGTAGCGGCTCTTGAGCAGCATTATAAGAAGATGCTAAAGGACATGGAGAAGACGCTTTCAGATGAGAGGAGGATGAATGAAGAGGCCGTTAAGTCGCTAACAGAGAGGATCAGTGCTCTTGAGAAGAAGGGGATCTGTTCTGTGATGTAAATGGAGATACCGTATCTTTTTTTGTTCATTCTAAAATGCAATTACTATAGCATCAGCCGTGTTCAATTGTTTTGGCATGACAGGCAGCACGAAAGCTTTTACAGTGAATGTTCATCATTCGGCAGTAAAATCGTGATAATCCGAAAAGTAACTAATCTCTCTACCGCCAGTAGCTTTCATCATATGTCTTACAGTCCTATAATTAGGATGCTCCTTACATTGATCACGGCACGAATCCTCAATGCCAGCAAGACCCCTTATTCTCCAATTATGTCTTGTTATCGTGGGGTCTGTTTTGTACGTACATAGCCTCCCACCAATCATATTCGCTGCACTACCAATTCTGTTATCGTCGTGCATGTTTATCCAGCAAATTAGAGATACATGTATATATGGTGTCCCAGCCCAAAAACCTTGGAGTCCGTTTCAGAGATCATTTCAGCTTGGCTCCTCTTCACGATTTCTCGCCTCATCATAGCCATCGTCAACGTCAGGAGAGATATGATATATACTATAATCACATGGAAATCGACGACTTCACCAAGTATCTCGCCGCCACTGGGCTCTCGGCGCGTGAAGCTGAGATTCGAACATATGTAGCACAGGGCGCCGAAGATGTACGCGCCATCATGAATTCTTCACTCTCGCCAGACGACATTCGACGGATTGCCGCTCGCGAAGTTCACCCTGCCATTCGTGGACGCCTAGTTACAGGCATCATCTGGTATCTCACTTCACTGGCTGCTGAACGCAATCAAGCTTTTCTGTCTGGTGCTTTCCTCTGCCTTGATCCTCATGGCAGGCTTTCTGCCTTCTTCTCGGCTATTGGAAGTCCGCGAACTAGTAGCCATCTCAGACATCACAGCGCGCCAGGCTGTACGGGAGGAATTGACCTCGTCGTAGATGGTGCTTTGCCACCACTCGCCAACAATCACCGGCACGTGCTTTTTATTTCTATTAGGAACGATAAATATCGCGGCAATTGTTTGTTTCTTAAACCTGAGCCTTACGGCATCTCAGGATTCCGGGATTTTGGCCACCATACCGATCGCTATGTCCGTTCGCTCTCGCGCCGGTTCCGATTTGGCGGCAACGATCGTGACGGGATGCGAAAGGAACGTATTCCAGATCGTCATGTCAAGGCCTTCTCAGAAGCAGTATCTCATCTTCCGGATGGCGAGAGCGCCATTGCAGAAGTTGGTAGAAAAGGCGCGGGCGAAGGTATTGCTGGAATGCATGCCTATCTTACCGCAAAGGCCCGTGATGGAAGTGCCAAGCCTGCTTTGGCAGCATTGTTGCGTCGACTTGAAGCGGAGTACGATTTTGTCAGCTTGCGGTTTGGTAATGAAGTTTGCATTGATTTTCCTTTCGAGATTTCCAGGATGCTGCCTAGAGCGCCAGGAATTGGCGGTCCGTCGCCATCCCTTTTGTGGTTGCAGTCTAAGGATCAAGAGATTCTGATATCTGTAGTTACTTCAGAGACGCAGAAGTCTACCATAAGCCTATATAAATAACAAATCCCAGCGACAGTGGTTGGTATAGAGAGTTGCTCCTCTCACAGCCAAATCAGATGCCTCAGACTTAAATAAAGATATCTCGGAGACTTACTTTCGTTGATTAATGGAAACAGGTCAGCTCAAAGAGCCATGGTCGTTTATGATATGGATTGCAAACCTTTCAAAGTTCCTCGACTAGCAGCGTTATGATGACTTGTGCAGTTCAGTGATACTAAATGTTCTTACACTTATAGGATATTGCATCGTTGCTTAAGCAATTAGCTGCTGCCAGTATAGGCTAGATGTGCCGCGGGTGCTATTTTGACTTATACAAAGCTATTATCCACCAATCGTACCAACAAGACCACCTGCTAGCATCTAGTTACTTGGGCCAGGCCAAAGAGAGAGCTATGCACCATCCTTTTGGGGAAACTCTCACTGTTGTAAGCTAATAATAGAATTGCTCTAGCGAGAATAAGATCTTTGTTTGGTGGTTGTAGGCCTCATAGCGTGGGGATTATACGGTGCTTTACTCCACCTCTTGATCGCCGTACAAGTATTTGCCGATGACGGAGCGGAGACGCCAGCAGTGAAGAGCACGCAATGGCACTACGTATTACTATGCCGTTATTAACAGGCACCAGAAAACGTGTTTTGTATTTAGATGAAAGTCTCTGATGCTTCACTCAATAACAGCTGTATAAAAAGTTAGTTATCCTGACTTATAGAGCCGTGCTTACGCTGCCCGCTCAGAAAAGTCATAAAACGGCCTAATCAGCAGCAACAAAGATGGCACCAATAACAGAGCCCATTTACATCACATACCTCAACGGCTTAGACATTGCGGCGCTGAAGCTCACAGATGAAGAAATACTCGGGGCCATTGAAACGGCTCTTGATGCGCAGGGCCGCAAGGAGACAGTGATCGAGCCCCGAGTGCATCTCGTGCCGCGGGATTCAGCAAAGGGCCATTTCAATGTTTTACGCGGGGTCGTCCACCCTCTAAATGCGGCGGGTGTCAAGGTTGTCGGCGATTTTGTCGATAACTACAAGCATGGCTTGCCCTCCGAGTTTGGAATCCTGAACTTGTTTGACCCCGAGACTGGCGTGCCCCGAGCGGTTATAGATGCAACGTCTATTACAGATATGCGCACCGGTGCAGTCACAGCAATAGGTGCAAAATATCTGGCGCCCAGTAAGCCCAAGATCTTGGGCCATATTGGCGCGAGAGGCAGCTCTTACTGGAATATCCGTCTCCTGGCCAGCCTCTTCCAATTTGACGAAATCCGGATCCACTCCAAGCGCAAGGAGAGTCGTGAAGCACTGGGTTCACGCCTAGAGAAGGAGTTGGGAAGGCCGATACGCGTGCTGGACAACTGGGAAGAGACCATTGTAGGAGCAGACATCGTCGTTGAGGCATCACGATTGCCAGCGCCAGAACCTTTGCTAAAAACCAGCTGGATCAAAAAGGGTGCGCTGGTGATGCCCTACGGTACGATGAGTGCTCTAGAGCTCTCACTGACGGATATCATGGACAAGATGGTTGTGGACGATTGGGGTCAGTGTCGCAAGGGCTTGCCGCTGGGAGCATTGCGGCAGCATGTGGACAACGACAAGCTGACAGAGGAGAATCTCCATGCTGAGATGGGTCAGATCGTGGCGGGGGCAAAGAAGGGCAGAGAAAGTGATGATGAGACGATATTGTTCTGGCACCGCGGTTTAAGTCTCAGCGATATTGTCCTTGGAACGGCTATCCTGGACAAGGCGGCAAAGTTGGATATTGGACAACGCCTGAGATATGCTTAGCTTTAGAATGAAAATGAATGAGTTGGTTAGAACACAAACTAACGACCGTCATCTCCTGAAGAACCTGCTCATTCTGCTTATTTATGGTTTCTTCGTTGCATCGCGTATATATACATCACTTGTTGTAGAGCATCTACCCTTACCGTCGTTGCCTAGTTTACAAACGTGATGTTTAGATACATGCTATTTAAAATTTGGAGCTATATAATCGTTCAGATCCATTTCATCTACCGTGGTTTGCAGATACTCAATTTGCGCCTGCACCCACTCCTTCGTCAGTCGATGAGTCTCGGCAGCCGGCCTTCCCTCAGCCTGGAGCGTCTCGCGCATCTTAGCTAGGCGTTTGGCTACAACATCGAAACGATAGCCTGTCCATTGCCGGAACAGCTCATCGTTGTTGCTGATGGGCTTGACTGTACGCAACGTGCTGGTATCGGGCAGTAATGGATCACGCGGACGCATCGAAACAACAAAAGTAATGCGCTCGCCGCTGCCAAGAGTGCGCAGAGCAGCGTGTGAGACCATGCTGCCTTGCATCATCACGGCATATCCCATGCCAGGCTGCCTCATCTTCAAGATGCCGCCGTCGCCTTTGCGCAAGGCCGTCTCGCCTCCTGACATCCCGATCGGATCAGAGAGCATTAGAACGCATACCCACGGATAAGAGTCGTGATGCCACGCAGAAACAAGATCTTTGAGATCTGCGCCCTCTTCTTCTGGTTCAAGGTCATCGTCACTTGCTTTTGGCGGCTCTGGAGGAGGCAGGTTGTCCGTAATGGCACTGCTCTTATCCACGTGCTTTGGCAATTGTACGTTGAGCTGTCCAATCTCATAGTCCATGATGACATCCAACTCTACACCTGCTGCATCTGAGCATGCCTTCAGCACCTCGGGACTTCGCCACATGGAATAGGCGAATGGCGCAGCCTCCCCGTAACCACGAATGCGGTAGACACCGGGGTATTTCCATGAGCCATACTTGCCGACAATCTCGGGGCGAAATATATCGGCACGCAGCTCACGAACACCGGCAGAAGTCAAGAGTGGAAATGGTGCAGTGATGGCTGTTTGTGAACTGGCTTGCGGGAAGTCGAGGCCTAGGTCGTCAAGACTGATTGTTGATGTCGGATGATTGTAGCACAGATGCTGGGGTGGATCGAAAAGGATTGGCTTTTTTTGCGATGCTACATCTATCGGCTCACCCAATAGCTCGCTAGATGCGGGTTGAGGAGGTCTTGCAACACCAGCTGCCGCCATAATTCACAGTTTGTATGGCTGTTTTTTCGTTTGAGATTCAGACTTGTGATACCAGCGAGGTGATAGCCTCACTTTGCCATACTTTGGACATCGGTATTTGCACTTAACACTGCATACCCACTTGCTACCACCGATAACGGTCAAAAAGTTGGCTTCAATCTTCATCTGTAGATCACAGAGCAATCACGCCACCGCATGCTGCAAGCACACGATCAACGCTTATACAATCTCACATTAGCGCTTTGGAATATTGACGGCTTATGACTAAACACTAAAACCAGTTCAAAACAGGCAGTTTACGCCCTGAATATATGGCAGATTTCAAGATCTTAGGTGCTGCATGTCAAAACCAGTTATTTAATATTTTTTGTTAGATGGTAGGTGGTTTAGAAGCGGGTTTGACTCAACGTCTTTTTTAAGTAATATGTAGCTTAGCAAACAACAGGTAAAGAAAGCAAATACGCTAGGATGTCAAACAGAGAAGTTGACCAAATAATATGATTTGTTTATTTATTTCATTAATAAAATGCGTGAGTTCTCGCCTTATTGCTGGTGACCGATTTGCAATTCCCATTTGCTCGCTCGCCGTTTCAATCAGTTCTTCTAATATCCTTTGCTTTTATCCACTTTGTTCGTAAGCTCCTTCCCTTCACTCATTCGGATGAGGTTGTACTTGAGAACTTCAAAAACTCTTCGAGCGTAACTACTCGAATTTCCGCTAACGTGCGGTGAAATGAAGAGATTTTTTGTATTCCATAATCGGTGGCCATCAGGCAGAGGCTCGGGATCCGTCACATCGAGGGCGGCCCCGCGAATTGTACCCTCCTCGAGTGCATCAATTAGATCATCCGTAATGATGACTTCTCCTCTTCCGATGTTTGAAACAAAGGCCTTCTTTTTCGCAAGCAAAGCTAATTCTCTCCGTGAGATGATGCCGCGGGTCCTGTCTGTGAGTGGGGCGGTGATGACGAGCAGATCAAGACCAGAGCTCAGGAATTGATGTAATCCTTCTGTATCGTCGGCCGAGAACCATTTGCTAGGGAAGACTCCTTCTGGATCGCCGAGGCCTGCTGGTGTATATGTTTCATCCTTACGCGACTCAGGAGTATGACGTGGATGTAGATTACACGCATGGATATCCATGCCCAGTGCTTTCACGACACGAGCAATCTGACGACCGATGGCGCCGTAACCAAAGATACCACTATAGATCAAGTTAGACTCGTTGCTTTGTACATATTGATGGTAATAGCTGAGTTAATCTCACACTCGCTGTCCAACTGCATCATCTACCGGATCGTCCAACTTGTGCCACGTTTTCTGGCGCTGAAAGTCGATGTATTGGGGAACTATAAAACCACTCAGACATCTATCAAGCCACGGATCTGTTGAGACATGTTTTACTTTGATGTTGGAAAGCTAGAAATGTGGTTACTACCCATTCAGCTATCTGCGGTCTTGACAGCGGGTTAGCATTCAATACTCCAGTCAACCCGCGAGAAAACGTACCCATGCACACCGCTAGCCGTACAAAGAGCAACATCTGTGCTATTGAACAGAGGGTTTTGGAGAATATGATTTGCTCCGGCGCTTTGGATTTGAACATACTCCAACTTTGGAGCGATATGTGCTGCAGGTAAAGCATTTCCAGTAACGAGGATAGTAACGTCTTTCCACTCTTTCTCTGGAAACTTCTCTTCAAATGCTGGCGTATTCCATATACACCCTTCAACGGTGACTATTTCCAGGCCTGAAAATAGTTGTTTGAGCTCTGAAATCCACTCAGGCTGGAATGTATTCTTGAGGAGTATTTTTGGTGGCCCAGTCACTCCGAGGAGCACAAGCAATTTGTGGCCATTGAGGGCTTTATTTGCGGCAGCGGCCATAATTGGCTTCTTTGACTTGATTTCGAAGTCTCTGCCGTAATTAGATTTTGCTGTGGCAATATAGGTATTATCAAATTTTGGAGTACCTACTTAAAGGCCGTACTGCTGTTTCAGGGCCGAGAGTATACAAGAGGGATTGAGAACGGTGGAACACTACGTATGTAGGGCCTCCGTAACTTAGATAGCGCGCCAAATCCGCTACTCGGAAAAACACCAGTATCTGACCTTTGGCCTATATTATGTCAGCAGTACTACGAAGCTTTCGTCTCGCAATATTAGCTTGCTATTGTCAAAGTAAAAGTGGACATGTTAATTTCACTGGTGACAATGAGTTTTACCAAGGTGACAGTGACGCAGTTTAAGCAGCCGTGATAGGTTAAGGACATTAATTTCTACCAACAGGATTTCAAGATTATTCGACTGCTAGCAAAATCCATAACCGATTCCATGGTTTTGTCTTCCAGAAACTGGAGCTAGGAGAATTACCGGCGTTCGTTGTATGGAACAACAGAGATTAAAGCTGGTACTGTTTATGCATAAATATTTTTTTTTTTACCTAATTCTTCAATAGACTGCGTTTGGCTAGATAAGAAGTAGAAGACCGCATGGCTTTCAACAGCTGATAGCCTAGCTTTGCAATTCTATGTAATTCTAAGCCTTTATCGGCAACAGATCATTGACGCCTCATGACAGCCCTCAATATGCTTTTATATCGGATTTATCTGCTCTTCTTTAGATTCAAATCCTTCATTGCAAACATTGCAAAAAATGGCACCGACAATACTGCCAACGCTACAATGAGAAGGACGTGCATAACTTCCGTGTAACTCTTATCAATAGCGATCCTTTCCGGACTTCCGGGAGAATATGATGAGGCCACTATGAAGGAATTCTTTATCTCAGTAGCCGTCGACTGCGCTGCAGCCGGAAGGTCGATGCGTAGCCGTGGGAGGAGGAGAGCGGTCCAGATGATGCCGGATAAAGCGTTGCCAATAGCTCCTCCAATGGCCCCAGAAACTTCGTACAAAGTTGTTACGGAAGCCAAATCTATACAAGAAGATTCAACATTCATTAATTAGCAATTAATGTATTTTCGGCAAATATTGAGAGAGTTTCCATACCTTCATGCGCTGTTACCGCTTGAACAGCGGTTTGTGCAATAATGGAGATCATCCCTGTCCCGGCTCCTGATATCAGCTGGCCAAATATTATCTGAACGATGCTTGCACTCATATCAGAGTATCTGAGCATCAACCCCGCGCCAATCAACTTTAATACCATTCCCAGCAGAATAGCCCATTTGTAAACACCTGTTAACTTGATGATGAAAGCCGCAAGCAATCCAATGACAGCTGTCGCGACTGCTTGAGAGGCAGTGATATTTGTTGCCGCTTTCGCTGACTGATTGTTGACAATGACTATAAATGAGAAGAAATAAGGCGCCCAGATATAGTAACTCAAGTAGAGGACGAATTGTATGATGCAACCAGCTGCAACGGTCCGATCCTTTGCCAACTTGAAGGAAACGATTGGATGAGATGAGACATAAAGCTCATATATTGTGAAAGCAATAAAGCAACATCCTCCAATAATAATCATTGATAGCTTAGCAGCCGAGGTCCATGACTGAAAAGGATATGTGGAAAGCGTCATTGGAAGTAGAATAAGTGTTAAACTGGCTGTGAGGAGTAAATGTCCAATGACATCAAGGCGCGACCATAACGCAGAAATATTCTGAACGTCACTCTTTGTAGCATTTGCCTGGGGTGTATTACTCCGCCGTGAATATTGCCAAAGTGAAATTAACAGTGGCATTGATACAACCGGGAATATAATCGCCCTATTTGCGCATTAGCTTTTCTAATTATCACCAAGTAACCAAATTGTTGAGTCAGACCACATGCCATATCCCCTTTATCATGTCAGCACGCCCTTAGTTCGCCGTTCTTGGGGAGAGTTCTTACCATCTCCATTCTTCAGGTACCATTGCGCTTACGATTGGAGCTCCAATCCAAGACGTAAATATTGTGGGACATAAGACAAGACTTCCGAGTATTGATCGATTTTCCAATGTTGTAATGTCGGCTATCAATATTTGTTGCAAGAATTGTATGCCGACCTGGCCAATGGTATAGAAGATTTGCCCTGCCGTCAGGCTTCCTAAGTTCTGTGAAGCTGCATTAATGGCAAAGCCAATCAAGATTGCCACGATCGATATGCTGAATGCTTCAAGAAGTCCCCATATATTCGCTGTTTTGGCCAAGGCTGGCTTAACAATTGCATATCTGGTTTGTAAGCAATGGGATTAAGGGTGGTCCAGAGGTGGTACGTACAAAATATACTGAACGGTACCGATGACGGATAACATAGAATGAGCGTTGAACTCGGAAAGGGCATAAGGCTGGTAGGAAATAATGGTTTGCCCCGCAAGGCTCACGGCGATTGCTAGAAGAAATAGGCCGGCCCAAATGAAAGAAAGTAGAACTGGAAAAGGCCTTTCTTGAGCGTTGGTAGTCAAACCCTCCTCATTACTGCAGCGCTCGATGTTGGAAGAGTTATTTTGTGACGTTTTGGCGGCATCTTGGCCTGATACTGAAGCCTGGGAAATATCAGTCTTTTCCATTGCTTGTGCGTAATACAAGTTATCGGTTGGAAATGAGATTGCGATCCTCTTTCCCAGTATTTTATAAAGTGTTGATATAGGCTTCTTTATTTTACCGTGGATGCTGAATCCTGTGCCTATGGAGCGTCAAGGGGCGACTTTATAGTCTACAACATGTCGGTCTTCGGAGTACTCAGGATCAAAATAATAGCAACATCAAGGAGCTAATTGAGACTTTTATCCGAAGTGGGTAACTGAAAGGATCTAGAAAGCTTTAGACGATAGATGTGTACTAATGTAGGCATACCTTCTGAACGGAAGCTGCTCATCCTCTCTAGTAGCTTTTAACAACTATTTTACTACTTAGAAGTCATCTCGCCCTCTACAGAAATAAAAAAAATTACAATCATTGTATTTGCTAGTAACTAAATACATCAATGGCAGTAGTCTCGCATCTTAAAAAGATCACAAAGAAGGAAACTCGCTTTACAATGCGTCATGTTTACGAATTTGGTACTCAACTCATACGATCTGATAAGCCCAAAGTATGTCCGGTGCTAGTGCTAGACTCGGACATAATTGAACAACATTCTTCAGCTTCGGGTGTGCTAGGGGCCGCTTTTGATCATTGACATATCTTATCTGATGATCAAGGGCGTGTGCCCCACTGCCTCTGCTTCTAGGTTTGGGTCTACTCCGAAGCTCTGGATTCGTTAGTATATTATGGCTTGTCGTATGTATATGTAAGTAGCAAAACGAATGTACCTCCTTAATCTAATAAATTATATTCACTGAAAAGAGCTTTTCCTGTCAAAACCCTTTCATTAAAGCGGTCTATATTGCGTATATTCGTTGGTAGCGTTTTATTTTTCTAAGCCTCCCCCCCCCTCCCACGACGCTGCCTCTATTACACTACTTGGGATTATGGGGCTCAAAGCTAGTCATTTCATTCTCTTCTCAAGTTGACAATATCATTGTACTACAATACTCCAATAGTCTCATTAGACCTATCCTGTGAGGCTAATGAAGGCCTTTTCCTGGCTAGCTTGGAAGCTGTGATGAAAGGACTGCATCTCATAAAGCCAGATTCAGGGAACTTATTGTTTCGCAGAGCTCTCTGAGCATATGTGTCACTCTTCCTTCTTCACAAACTTGCCTGTTGGCGGCAATAGTAACATGTAGGTAAGGGCCATCAAGCTCAGCCTCTCCTGATATGACTAGATCGTGCAAGGGTACTTCTTTTGTGGCATCGATATCCCGTGATAGCACCCCTATTTGAACTCGTTGTTCGTTCATCTGACTATCAGGATGGTAGTCAAAATTCTGGTATGCTATGCAACAACTATAGTTCGTCATCGCTTCTGGCCAGTCTGTGCAATTTTTCTTAATCTCGTCAAACCCTAGAGCCTCAAAAGACAAGCTGCTGAGATACTGGTCCTGCATCTTCCGAAGCAACATTTTCCGGTCTGTATCCTGGTGTATGTAGGCGCGCACTGGTATTTCATTAGTGCAAGGACCAATGATGTTTTGGCACGTTACAGGCAGGCCTTGCCGTCCGGAGACAATTCGACCAAAGACCACATCGTTTGTTTTAGCTTCTTTTGATAGCACTATAGCACAGGCAGTGGTGAAAACTGTTGCAGGTGTGATACTGCTGTTTGCCTGGAGAGGGACGCTGATGACCTTTGATGCATGATAAGTCCCGGGAGATACGACTTGTTCTTGGTGAGCACTCCTGTTGACACCTCTTATGACAGCCATTGAAGAATCCTGTAGAAGACAACGCCAGAAATCATAGCCCTCTTTACGGCTGTCAGCTATATGCTGCATATACCGAGAGAATTGGGCTGATGGTGGAAGAATTCCGCCGCTATACAAAACATGAAGAGAGCGTACAATGTGCTCCAGGCTTAAACCGTCATACAAGGCGTGCGACATTCGAAGTATTACTCGCAGTGATGATGTTTGCGCTCTCAAAATGGTAATGCGTATGAGTGGCTGCCCTAAGCGAATAGGCTGTTTGAGATCCATATCTAGGAATGCACGGGTTGCACTGTTGATGTTTTCCTCTGTTTCAATTATCTCAATGGCCAGATCAAGATGCTTCAAGACGATTTGATAGAGTTCATCTGCCACTTCCAGGAATATCGTCCTGAAAATGTCGATTCGCCCGACTAGAGATTTACAAGCCGTCTCTAGACTTGAACAATCAGAATCCGATGGGAAATCAATGTAGAACGGCGTGGGGGTTCGTGGATGGCCCGTTGTAGGATTGAAGAGGAAGAGTCGTTGCATCTGCGTAGCAGGATAGATGTCTTGGATTGTGCCGTGAGAATACCCCAGCTGAGGTGAAATCTCATTTTCGATGAATGCTAGCGGATCTCCCATAGAGATTAGCTGGAACGATGTGCTGCTGTTGGTCTGTACACCGTTGGTCACTTCGTAATTCTCCGACTGAATAAGCTCAATCTTTGCCGCCAGATGGAGGGGAACTGGTTGATCAAAGATATCTTTGACCGATACCGTTACACCTATTCGGCGGCTGATGCGTGAAGCGAGCTTCGTAGCCATTAGAGAATGCCCGCCAAGGTCAAAGAAGTGGTCGGTAATGCCAACGTCGATGCCGAGCACGTAAGAAAACTCCTCACACAGCACGGTTTCTATCTCATTACGAGGGGCCACTTGTGCAGACATCATCTGTTTCCCATTTCCACTGTACGACGATACAGGGATAGAGCTGCGTGAGGCTAATTCGCGACGTATGGTAGCCGCGAGATCGCCAATGACAGGTTGGTCAAATATGTCCTTCACAGATACGCGGGTATTCAGCCGACGGCCGATGCGCGCAGTAAGCTTTGTTGCCAAGAGAGAATGACCACCGAGTTTGAAAAAGTGATCGTTGATGCCGACTTGAATGCCGAATACCTCTGCAAACTCCTTACACAACACGACCTCTATTTCGTTGAGTGGAAGCACCTGTTGAACCCTTTCTTGGGGCTTCTGAGCCATTACTTGAGCTCTTCGCGTAAGGCTCTTTCTGTCAACCTTGCCATTGGCATTGAGAGGCATCTGGTCTATCAGCACAATGTGAGACGGAACCATATACGACGGAAGCAGTGACTGCAGCTGCTCGCGGATCTGTGACACGAATCGACGACTTTGTAGCCGCTGTAGCGGCCGGTTTGTAAGGCTGGCCGATGCTCGAACTTTGTTATCAGTCGGGAAGCGGATCAGAGCACGGTGTCCCTTTTGGGTATGTAAATCATAGCGGTGGAAGACAGCATCCAATGCGCCATGTTGAGACCATTGCCGTGCCGCACTGACCTCAACACGAAAGCCGGCCTCCTCACCAAGCCGCACAAGATCCGTCGCAGAGAGAGATGAGCAGCTTTCGGCGTCAGCGCGGACGGCTGAGATCCAGGCGGCGCCGTCCAGCAGATTTTGAGTCTCACTCTCTCCACTTTCCTCATCCAGAGAGTCAACTATATGTCGCTCGAATATTGTTTTTCTATACGGGATATTGCTAACGGCAACGGTCAGGGCATCCGTCGAGTCCTTCAGGAGGCTGAGAAGTGTATGCTGGTCCACCCGTGATTCTTGAAAGTCGATCCATTCATCCATGTTGATCTGATACAGGGGCTTGTCTTGCTCCTCTGAGCCACGTATGTGTATTATTGCCGCATAGCGGTACGCACTAAGCTCATTCGTGGCCTGCATCTTCTTCGGAAGGATCTCAATGTGTTTGATGTGATTGGGATGCCGCTTTTCAAGCATCGTAAAGAAGGCCGGGTCAACAAGCAGCTCCTCTTCACGTTCTTCCATTTCTGTCATCTTTTGCCGTACAGCGCCTCTAGTCGGCTTGTGGCCCAACGCATGTAACGCCCGAGCGGCGAGAAAATGTTTGTTTGTTGCGAGCGACCGTATGTCGCCAAAGAAGATTCGTTTAACGCCTGGCTTCCTAACCAGAGTGTCCACAAGCTGTTCTAGATAGTCAGACGAAGGAAAGTACTGAACTACCGAGTTGAGCACTACCAATTCTGGGTAGAGATGATCCAGTTGACCTACGTCTGTCGCTGAACCGACATGCACATTGGCTCTTCCATCGAGGGCTGGTATGGACTCAATCGCCTTGGTAACAAACGTGGCCGCTGACTTTGATGGCTCAAGTCCTACGTAGCTTTGCAGTCCAGCACCAAGATTGAACAAGATCATGCCGCTACCGGTGCCGATCTCGAGTACGTGGCCTGGCGGCTGACCATCAAGAAGCGTGTGTATGGTGTCGTCAAGCCACTCGTGCATCTCAGTCTTGTCAATCTCATTTCCGTCGTACATGGATGTCCAGCCCTTGAAATCGTTGCCAATAGCAGATTGAGCGATGGTGTCAATATCGGCATAGGTGTTGCTTTCAAAGAAATCATTCCATCCTTCGACTTGGTTACCAGCTTCCTCCTGCTCGGCCGTATGGTCGTCATCTTGGGTCACAATAAAACCCACCATTTCTGGCTCTTGGCTCTCATGGTTCCGGATGACCACGACAGCATCTCGGACTGAGTCCTGACTGAGAAAGGCACGTTCTATTTCGGCTGGCTCAATGCGATGGCCTCGAATCTTGATTTGTTGGTCCATACGCCCGAGAAACTCAATTTGGCCATCGCCTGGACGGTATCGCCCCTGATCACCAGTTCGATAAGCCCTCATGGCTTGACCGTCAATTACGACTTGGACAAATCGGCCTGCGTCTAGGCTTGGATCGGTATATCCTCGAGCAAGCCCATCCCCGGTGACAACAAGCTCTCCCACGACACCGATAGGGACGATCTGCTGACAACTATCCATGATATAGGCCCCAGAGTTGCTGATAGGCCGGCCAATAGGAACCCCATTGATGAACGAGTCGTTCTTCTCGATGGTATAAACAGTACTGATGACTCCATTTTCCGTCGGACCATACGCATTAAAGACGCCAGCCCGGACAAGTGCTTGCGCCGCAATTGAATCCTGGCCATCGAGTCTATCACCACCTATAACAAGGACCTCTAGCTCCTTTAGTATCGAAGGAATGTTGGCTACACACTGCTTAAGCAATGCCGGTGTAAACAAAGCCGCATTGACTTGCTCTTGGGCGAACACAGCCTCGAATTCCTTGCTGTCCAAAATGGTCATATAATCAATACAGACCAGTGTTCCGCCATTCAGGAGTGCTGCAAAAATCTCCCAAGTAGCGGCGTCAAAGGCGATATTGGATAGATGTGCCATTTTCACTGCGAATGGGAACTTTAATGGGAACTTGGATGTTATCCTAGTCTCCTTGACAAGCCTAACGACGCTACGATGTTCAACCATAACTCCTTTTGGCCTGCCAGTCGACCCGGATGTGAAGATCACATATGCAAGGCTTGTCGCTAATGGCCCCGGGGAGGTCTTGTCTACATCACCATTCATATCATCCACTTCGCGACATTCTGTCAATATGTCGCTGATTTTTGCAAGGTCCACACCAGGTAGCTGGATCTCCGGAGCAGTTACATCAGAACCGAGTAAGACTAGCCTGTGCTGGGGCAGCGAAGATAGAATCGCTCTTAGCCGAGCGGCAGGAGAATTAATGTCCAAGGGTAGATATGCGAGATTCGCTTTCAGAATGCCAAAAAAGGCAATGACTGTCTCGCATGACCGCGGTGCGAACACTCCGATCAAAGTTTCAGGAGCTATGCCACGCTGGCGGAGCCAAGTCGCAATCTGATTGGATTGATGGTCCAATTCAGAGTAGGTGAGGCGACGTTTCGAGTCGACAACGGCAAAGGAGTGTGGGTAAGCATCTACTTGGGTGCGGAAGACGTCGATTATGCTTGCATCGCGGGGATATCCGGTCTTTTCGACCTCAAGCAGACCCATATTGCGTAACTCCATAACACCGTCGACAAACGGGATAACTGCAATTGGGATATGAGGCTTCGCGAGACCTTGACTTAGTATCTCAAAGAATACACTGGCCACATTGCGAATTTTCTCAAGTTCGAATAGATCTGCCGCGAAAACCAAATTGCCGCTTAATCTGTTCGTCTCCTGGAATAGATGAAACTCTATGTCGAACCTGGTATACACCTGGTTCAATAAGGGTTCTGCTTCCAGGCCTTCTAATTCGAAATTTCCAAAATCTTGTTGAGAATGGACTGCAAACATAAGCTGTGCCAGCGGGTTCCGTGACAAGTCTCTTGAGCCAGGTAGTAGTCCTGAAACGACGCGGTCAAAGGGAACATCCTGGTGCTCAAACGCTGCTGTTGCCGTCAACCGGACCTGTCGTACTAGGCTTTCAAATGTTTCGTCATCGTCAACAGTAATTCGCATACACTGAGTATTGACAAAAAAGCCGATGATATTCTCAAGCTCTCGCCGGTTACGGTTAGCAATGGGTGTGCCAATGACGGCGTCTTCAGTCCCAGTAAGTCGATAATGGGCCGCTCGGAATGCTGCCAATAGCACGGTAAAGGGAGTCATTTGCTTTGCTCTGCAGAATTCTCGAAGGCTTCTATACAGATCGCCCTCAATAGTAACAGGCACGTAGCCTGCCTTACCAGACAGTATAGTTGGCCGGGGAAAATCAGTTGAGAATTCGGCCGGAGAGCTGTTCGCGAGTTGGTTGGTCCAGTATTCCAGCTGTTTCTGGTGTTCAGCCACTTGTTCCTCCTGCTTTTGCCATGCTGAAAAGTCGCGATAATGGATTGGGAGGGGTTTCACCATCGACAGAGGGTCATGGCCCTGGAGAGCGGCGGCATAAAACTGGCCCAGTTCACGACGTAAAATGTCAGTGGACCAGCCGTCGGAGATTATATGATGCATGACAATGGAGAGCACATGATCGTTTTCTCCAAGCCGTATGAGTGATACCCTCCATCCCGCTTCGGATGCGAGATCAAATGGAGTGGTCTGCTGTTGCTGTAGCAGTTGCAAATAGCCATCGTTTTGGTCGTCTGACAAGTCCACCGTCTTCAGCTCCTGGAAGATGCTTGCATGGACGACTTGAACGCCAACACCGTCTTTCTCCTCAAATGTTGTCCGTAGAGTTTCGTGCCGTTGTTCTAGGGCTAGTAGAGCAACTCTGAGCGCACCGGTTTGCAGCAGCCCACGCATGCGAACGGCGTATGGTAATAGATACCATGAAGCGCCGAGTTCCAGCTGGTCCAAGAACCACAGGCGGCCTTGAGCAAATGACTGTTCCACAGGTTTGGCATAGGTGGTAAGTGGAATTGAAACATATGGCGTAGAATCTCGTCCGATTACATCCAGAAGATCGGCAAACGTGGGATTTTGGAATATGTCGGAGACTTTTAGTGGTATGCCAGCGATTCTGGCCATGTTTACCATTCTGATCGCAGCAATAGAATCTCCGCCCAGCTCAAAGAAGCTTGCTCCGTCGTTTTCAGAATTGAAATCGAGGTTTAAAGCTCTGTACCAAAGCTCCCTTAGTTTTACCTCCGTCATAGTTGCCGGTGGCCCAAACTTTTCACATGGCTGAGACCTGACATTATGAGCCAGTTCGCTCAATAGTTTGCCAGCAATAGACCGAAGCTTCTTTCTGTCTGCCTTTCCAGTTGCAGTACGAGGCAGATTTTTCATGCTAATATAGTAAGACGGAACTGAATACGTGGGAAGGACTTGTTGCAGGGTCCCATTGATGTCTTTGGTAGCACTGTGATCGAGGACGTGAGTGTCGCTCGTGGGCGCAATAAAGACGCCGTTTTCTTCGTTTTGCAACGACCCTATCAAAAATGCAATCAAGGTTTTGCCACTGGAAAGATCCGACGTTTTGACAGCTTCAGCCACGGGCATGATGTGACCGGGCAGTTGTTGTCGTAGGCGGGCTTCCACTTCGCTGATTTCCACGCGCTGCCCTCGAATCTTGACCTGCGAATCTTTGCGTCCAAGACAAACAACAGTACCATCAGATCTATACCGGACGAGATCTCCAGTTCTATAGAACTTGAAGCCGCCAGAGGCCTGTCCAGTAGGATACCAGACCGGAGTCGTCACGAAGAAAGGCGACTCATCTGGCGGCAGAGCAACAATATAGTCGCGTGCTATTCCTGGACTTTCAATTACCAGCTCGCCAACGCAACCAATTGGAACAAGCTTATTGGAGTCATTTGGGTCAACAATCCAGGACCGGGCGCCTACGGCACGGCCAATGTTGTTTGGCTCAAGGGTGAATGGAGTGACTCTTGTAACGCTACATATAGTTGAACTCTCACTCTGGCCGTAAGCGTGCAGGAGCTGTACTCGAGGGGCCCAGATATCTCTAATCGATGCTGATATCGGTTCTCCGACCAAGACTAATGTCTGCAGCCCGGAGACATTTTCAGGTTGAAGTGTGCCGATATACGAAGGAGTCAGTATCACCCAGTTGATATTGCTTTTTCTGATGAAATCTGGAACGCTATTCATTCGATCGTCGTCGGAAGGAATACAGACGCACCCGCCATGCATCAAAACCGTCACGGTCTCTACCAGGCACGCACCAAACGCATACGACGCGAATTGAAGAGCGCGGGTTTGAGGATTGATTCCTAACGCGGGGCCAAACTTGACAGCACAGGACACAAATCCTCGATGCTCAATCATGATTCCTTTGGGCTCTCCTGTGCTGCCTGACGTAAAGATGCAATATGCCAAGTCTTGGGGCTTCGCCGTTGGTTTCAGCTGGTCCGTATCGCGGGACAGCGATTGTAGAAAGTCATCATTGATTACAATACAGCGGTCAATGATAGTGGTTATAGTGCTGCTGTGGAGGCTGGAGGTGAGAGCGACTGTAGCGCCAGTTTGTCGACAGACCTGGGCCATCCTTGCCGGTGGATCGCATGGGTCGATAAGAGTAAAGGCCCGGCCTGCTTTAAGCACAGCAAGTATGCTAGCTATGATCCATTTTGACTTCTCAAAGCAGAGCGGCAATATTGCTTGTCCTTGGCCTAGGTCAAGGGATTGGATGTATGCGGCGAGACGCGATGATACATTGTCCAGCTCAGAGTAAGTCCACTCTCCATCCCAGGAGGAAACTGCAGTACTATCCGGAGCGTCAGAAGCCCTCTTGGATATTACATCGTGGATCAAGGCATCTTGTGTCTGTAGGCGTTCCGAGTTCCAAGCCTCAATCTCTGCCTGGTCGTCTTGCGTCACGGCATCTAGGTGTCTCACTAGAGGAAGATGTTCCATATTTTGTTGAAGTTGCTGGATCAAGAATCCCAACTGCCTCAGGAAACGAGTCATTTGAGGAGCATCAATTACACTCTGGTCGTAATGCGCCGCCAACAATACCGAGTCACTAGCCATCTGGCAGCTGAGTAGAAGGGCACGATTGGCACAGGGTATAAATTTGTTCGATTCTTCTGTGTTTCGAAGAATCGCGCAACTAGGTGCTTGCGAAGCATCACTTTCAGTGACCAGAAGCACAGTTTGGAATTCACAGGCGGCAGACTCATCATCCCCCATGCGGCGGATATTGCAGAGACCAACCTGTGCAAACTCGTGCATGGCATGATCATGAGCAGTGATTGCCTCCATAATTCCCAAGACAGATTGTTCAAGAGAGCACTGCACACGTATGGGCACTACTGCTTGTGCCAGGCCGTCAACTTCCTCTTCTGACTTGTGAGACGACTTCATCACAACACCAAAAAGTGCCTCCGGTGAGTGCGTAAAGCCTGATAGAAGAACTGCAAGCGCGGCTCGGCAGACGACAGTGTTGGACCACTTCTGTTGGACTGGGCCCAGATATGAGATACAATGCTCTGCATATGTATTGGGATGGGGCGCAGCCAGATGGGAAGGCAGTGAAGGAAATATTGAGGCATCCAAGCCATCAAAGTGCTGCTGCCAGAACCGAGCTGCTCGTTCCAAATTCCCGGCCTGAAGGCTCAGCGACGTTCCAAACCAGTTAGAGTATTGGACTTTTCCACCCTCATAGGCCGTGAGGACCCGTTGAAGAATGTGTTGTTGCAACGCGCTATCCACTAAAGCATAGCTGAATGTCCAGATGAGCAGCCTTTGCTTTTTGTCAATGTCTTCGAGGACGACGTATCGATTGCAACGCGGCCCTATCATAGCAGCCGCTGTCTCATCATGCACTATTGCTTCTTTCATATCGATAGATGTAGAATACATCCACGAAAAGAAGTTCTCTGCCAGCACAACCTGAAAAGAACATCCGACTTTTGGTATAAATATGTATGTCCTTAAGGCTGGTGTCTGGCGAACAACTTCCTTCCAGGCTATGGCCAGCCGTTGGGTGTCGACGCTTCTTGGAATGTCGTAAATGGCACGACCAATGGCGCGTTTCCCATCAGTTGCAGCAAAATCTATAACATCAATTTGAGAGGATGTACATGGCAGAATAGTCTCAATTTTATCTCGATGCAACCCGCAATGCACCATTACCTGCTCGTAAAGGTCGTCGCATTGCTTACCAGCAACGTCAAACTCCAAGGGTGGTGTAGCTGTCTGGTTTTGTTGCCTGACATCCATATTATTGACAGATAATACGTTGGATAAGTCGAAATAGGTACTTGTTGTTACTGGACTGTGTCCGGCTTAATGATGGTCACAATAGCCTTGCGTAGATGAGTTTGGTCGAGTCTCAACAGAAGTGTTGCATCAACAAATCATCAGGTACTTCATCCGAAAGTCCGCAATGGTGTTTTGTTGTAATAAAACAAATGCTCAAGAGGTGAATGAATCTTCCCTTGATGAGTACTTCAGATAATTTCACCTCCAGCTCAAGTTTTCGTTATGCAGTAATGTGACGTGTTGTAATGTTGCATCGTTTTGTTCAAATAGTAAATGTTCTGATAGTATTTGAAGGCTGTATGTTGCTAGCTTAATATAGTGTCAACTTTACTAGTAATGTTGGAGGACTCCTGTGCATTTGTCACAGGTTAATTATCACAAGCTGCTATAAGAGGTGGTGTAATTAGAAGCTCCTGGCATTAACCAATCTTTTGATTCATTCATGCAATTGATACTCTTTCTAGACTTTTACTACTACAACTAGGAATAATTTGCAGAGTCTATGGACCTACGTAGAATAGGGAAGTAAAAAAGTCAATTAATGGTCTAACATGAAGCAAGTCGGCGTATTTAATTATAATTATATACATGTGATGCCAACTTACTGTTGCGCAACTAGATCAGGAATTACCATACACAATATTGTCCACGTATAGCTCAATATTACCTGCATTGGCCTGGAGGTGAACATAGACAATTGAGATTTATAAATGGCTCGCTCCACACCTCCTGCTCCACACGGGGAGGGCCCGTTGGCTGACAGTGGCAGTTGAATCAGAGCCTAATGAAGGGCTGACAGCGATAGCGTGGTGAAAACGCCTACTCAGCTTGCTACTAGTAGCTCCCTGAGGGTTGCTTTCACGTCGATTCAGCTACCAAGTGGCTGGCTGAAATCTAGCGGCACAACGAGGATAATACGTAAGATAGCGCCTCCATCCTTTGCCAAGAATTCGACGGCGGAAAATATTAGTTATTATGCACCTCGAAGTAGGCACGACTGCATACCCCACGCTATAAGCCATGTCCTATGCCACTCCACTCCGGGCGTGGTGTTAGTGTAGTTGTGTAGGAATGCCTTAACAGCCCCTTTGACGGGCATAAGAAATGAGCTTTCATCTTATCTTAACTCTAATGCTGGTAGGTGGGCGTATGAACTATATCTGCTTTGATTGGAAATTGCGAGTCCCCTTTCCACAGTAATGGATTAATACCACAGCAGACGATCATCAATTTGGCGGGTATAAACCACAAGCCAGCCTATCACTATATACGGCCACCAGACGGGCTCAGTGCCTAATAATCTCTCTGGAGATATTTGACACATTGAGGGTGGCAGTAATCATGGGCTCGCTCGCACCTCAACGAGGTGATGAGCTTCACAAAGTTGTTTGTCTGGACGCCTATACGTGTCCGGTCCCTATATTCGACTTCGCCCACGAGTATGTCGAGTACCATAATACTATCGGCGAGGACCTGATTATCGAGCGCGTTCGCGATGCCACCATCATCATCACATCGCGTGTGCCCATCTCGGCCCGCACTGTTGCCGCTTGCTTCCGCCTGGAGCTGATCGCCTTCATGACAACTGGTACTGACATTGCTGATAAAAAGGCATGCCGGGCTCGCGGCATCACGGTATGCAATGCACCCGGCGCCAACGCTGAGTCTGTTGCTGAGCATGCCTTTGCCTTATACATGGCTGCCAAGCGCCAGGTTGTTGACTTGCACCGCGTTACACTCGAGGCTGAGGCCTGGCCTCGAGAAAAGAATGTGTTTCACTTGTACCCGCAGCTGCCACGAGTTATGAGGCATGAGATATTGGGTATCGTCGGATACGGAGCCATAGGTAAGTCCTACGAGCAAAAGAAAAAGCAAATATGAGCGATGTTTACTAACTGAGACTTAGGTAAATATGCGGAGGCCATAGGAAAGGCACTGGGGATGTCGGTGGTAATCGCCGAGAGAAAATCCACGCCGATTAGTAAAGTAAGACCCGGGAGAGAGCCGTTCGAAGAGGTAGTGAAAACTTGTACAGTGCTGTTACTCGCGTGTCCGCTCGATGAAGAATCGAGTAACATGATTTCAGAACCCGAGCTTCGGGCGATGAGACCAGATAGCATTGTAGTCAACGTGGCACGCGGAGGTGTCATGAACGAGGCGGCGCTCCTCAGGGCATTGAAAGAAAAATGGATATACGCTGCCGCCACAGATGTCTTTGTAACTGAGCCAGCGACAAAGGAGGGCTGCCAACTCATTCGAGATTGCCCCAGCAACTTGACACTCTCACCACATGTTGCATGGTATGGAGGCACATGCTTGGAGAATCTACAACTAAGTATCAAGGAAACGCTGGAGAGTTATGTGGCAGGAAAGGTAATCAACTCTGTTCTTTGAAATGTAGTATTGAGATAATCACCGCCAATACATATATAATGTCCATCCTGTATTTCATTTTGCTGATTAATCGTTTCGTCTTTATATGATCCAGAATGCAGCAAATTTCTCAGTTTCTATACTAATGCTTGCTACAATTATACAGCGCATAAATAGATGAGATGCTTAAAGCGTGAGGATGTCGCCATTTTCTCATCTAGACACCAAATCATCTTTGACTAGCACATGTACAAGCTTCTTCTAGTATGACTTGTTAGACTTGCAATAGCTTACAAACAAGGTCTATCCATGGGGTGTGAGATTGGATATGAAGATGTGTGGCGATGAAAGTCATGCTAGACTAATACCGGTGTGGAGTAGGCATGTAGGCACCAATGCATATGCATGCTCCATTATGAGTAGCCCTGTAATGCTACGTCTCTCATTCACGTTTCTGCCTCTTAATTCAGAGACTCTAAGCCGCGAACGATTTTAGAGCCTCATATCATCTACGGCATCTACGGCAACACAGCCAACCCCGTTGCTCGCCCTAACCATCGTGGTAAGGCAGACTCGGATTTAAATCCTTGGTCTATCTTTCAGCTCGCCATGAGACAGGCAAACAGCTCCTTCATAAACTAATCAGGTAAGAAGCACAAATGGCAACATAGCTGAATGGACGAAGAAGAAGATATTCTTATTCCTAGTGAGAGGGGTAAACATTACTAGCACTGCATGTATCATATCCTCAAACAAAGGGAGCGGCTAAGAGCAACCTTAAGGTTGCAGAAAAAAGAGTCTCTGTCCGGATGGGGGAAAGAACAGCTGCATTATCACAGCTGAAAACAATTGATGCGTCATTAATGCTTTCTTGAGGTTGAGGTAAAATGCTTAGAGCGGAGAGAATACATCATGTCTCCGAACTTACGTTGGTGACATTTTTGTAGTCAACAAGCATGGTACTTAATCCTATATGGGATACATATTTTCAAAAGGATACGACACATATAACAGAACCTATCCTGTTCTAGTGTAGTGTAATAATAACATTTATCACTGAAAATAAAAACTCTATACACTTTATCTTGAAACAAATCATGATTTATCATTTGATCTGCCGTTGTTCTTATCAATGGTATGCCGTAATATCATCTGTTGCTAGTAATACGGTACACTTGCACTGCCACTTATGACAGGTCATAGACATTTCCTATTATGAATCCAAGTGTACAAGTTTGACAAGGTGCATCTAACAAACTCGTTGACTGTAACATATGTTTGAATGAATGACAACTTATATAATGAGGATTCCGCCTCTCTGAACCAAGCTCTTTTTCTTTATCACTCTTCATCAGCAAGCACACACTCAAACTACAACATCCTCCCTTTTTATATAAATTCCCAAGCACATTAGCTATACTTACAATGGCTCCCAGCGCTCAAGAGATTCGAAACCTTCTCGAGGTTCACATCGCCCAAGATCTTGCTGAAAAGGCAGGGAACTCGGGAAAGCTTCAGCAGCCCGGACATATAACTAACCACTTCCACGACAATGTTGAATTCCACATCAACGGCCATGAATTCCCACACGCTACCCAATTGAAGGGTGCTGAAACTATCAAGGGGGAGATAGTTGATGGTGGTCTTTCTGATATTCCCAACGTCATCGATTACTCCAAGCCTCACGATTGTCAAATCCTACAAGTGATTGGTGGCGGCCCAGAGAGTGACTGGGCTGCCGCTGTGATTAAGGCTACGGCAACGACTATCACAGGTCTGTTTCTCATTAAGCATTGACCCAAGCTCAAAGTGCTAAACAGTAATTAGGCAAGCCATTCAACCACGAATCAGTCATGACTTTCCAATTCGATAACAGCGGCAAGATCATTCACCTAAAGAACTATGCCGACACCCTCCATGTTCACAATATCCTCCAGGACATCTGATATCAGCCCTGATGTCTCAGAAGAAAGGCTTGTGAGAGATATCAATCGTTATACCAGATAAGGAATCCCATATATTCCGGTAGTATATGTGGAAACTATCATCATGGCCCCCCCTCATTGCAGCCCACTTTCTTCATTTCATCGTTCAAGTGCTGAAATAGCACTTACATCCGCACTCGTTAGTTTATCCTAGTCAATCAAGCTTGTTATATGAATTGTTATTGTTATGTCGCCGTTATCATTCGCGTAGACTGATTATTTTTTGATGCTGAGGCTGCCCCTCGTGGTAAACCACAAGCCCTCAGAGCCATGTATTCTCAGACTATGCTCGTATTCACGTATGAAAGACAGTGGAAGTCACAGCGAATTGTGTACTATTTACGCCTAGTAGCTTCCGAATAAGCTTCCAATCGTAGTCGTGTCGCTTTTCTTAAATCTCTGTAGATAGCGCAAAGGAAAATGCCTCCGCTTTAGTAGGTCAAGCCCGATCCCCGGGTGCCAATTTGAACTAGCCACCTCGATTCTAATTAATAATTAGTCTATGATGTTTATGAGTGTGGCCCGCAGTTGTGCCTCTGCTGGTAAAATCGTCGTCTTCATTCTAGTCTCCCAATGACTCGAACTTGTTGCTTAAACGACGAACGATCCATCAGCAAGCTCAACGCCAAAGTCGCGTGGGATCGCAATCCAACGTGCCAATCAATTGAAGATCAAAACGGGCATGATAACTCCTAAGCTAAAGAGAAAGGACCATCCAATGGCCCGGTGATAGTGACGGAAAACCTCTTTGTGAGTCATATTGTGTTCAATTGCACGAGCATCTTGGGCTTGCTTGGCTATGGCTACATCGCTCAAGTCTATATCATGGTTGACTTTTTCGGTTTGATCAATGCGAATTTCTTCTCCTCAACTATGAACTTCTAGTTTTAAATACAATAATCACATCGCGATGCTTTGAGAACACTTGCGCTGTTGTGTTTGCAAATGCTGGGGGGCCTTCGCACACGTTTGTTGGACCATGGCAGGTCGCTTTGCCACTTGTAGGCGCTTTCGATGGGATTGGGGACAGCTCGGAGAGCTTCTTTATTGCTGAGACTGATACGGAAATTTTAAAGCAGGCGGAGCTTAAATACAAAGTGCGAGAAGACATGGCAGAAAAGGACTGGCATTATTAGGATATGGAATATGACAATGGACGCTTGGAATGCATATATCCAAGTACTCCAAGTAAACAATCTAGTGGTTCATATATTATACGAACGCTGACATTCTAAATGTTTTATTGTCTAGATTATGAGTTTGTAACTTCCATTCAACGTAATGCAGCAGCATAAATTTGCAGGTCGGTATCAGCCCGTAGCTTTGTAGCCGTCGCGGCTGCAATGAAGAAAATAAACCCGGGTTTGACAGCAAGCTCTTTTCCATCGCCTAGAATAGCACCCTCTCCAGAAATCGCAATGACCAGAGTCGGGCCCTTATGATTCCACACTGAATCCTCCTTTCCAGCAGGCATGTCGACACGAACAACATCGAATTCGCCAATGGGCGGTTGATACACCGTTGTATACCCATCTTTTCCTGCCTTTGCCGGCAACTTCAGATTGTCTGCCTGGGTACTCGAGTCGATTTTAAGGGTCTCGGAAAAGAGATCAGCACTATCGCGGTCGGCAACAGGACAAAGACCACTGGCAAGCATGTTGTTTGAACGAGCCATGCACTCCACAATGTCTCCCGACAAATAGCAATGAATACCATCAGCTGGGATAAACATTGCTTCGCCAGGCTCTAGTATAAAGAATTTCATGCATAGAATTGCAATCAACAGCCCTGGGTCCGTAGCAGAATATTGAGATTGCAAGCGCTGAAGCAACTCAAAAGTTTGGCTTGGATAGCCAAGTTTCTGAATGTCTTCTAAAGATTGTTGCTTCAGCTCCTCTTCAATCTTCTGGATAGTTTGTTCATCGGCCTTCAATAATTCACGGACAACGTTTCGTAGAGTTTCTTCGTTCCAAAGATTTGTCCCTTCTGGAACGAAGCGCCGTAGACTCGGTATATTGAACATGGGTGATATTTGGTTCAAGTCTCTCCAGCCAGCAAACAGTTCGAATTGTGACAGAGCCACCGCGATCTCTGGCTTGTGGTTGGTGTCTGAGAACTTTTCGGGGTCTTTCTCGTGAAGTTTGGCTGCAAGTGATTTGTTTGGGTGAATTTGTAATGGCAGAGCTTTGCCTATTGAAAGGATCTATAATGTATATATTAGACTATTATTCTTATCGAGACACAAGCCCAGCTTACCTTTGGTAGAAACGGGAGATTTTTTCCAAACTTCTCCACTGAGTATGAGCCAAGCAACTTTTCCTCGTTGGATTTCAAGAGGACGGCAAGCGGTTGACCTGTTTCCAGATCTCTCGCAGGAAAGTCTGGGTAGTCGCCAAACCACATCTCGGAGTAATAATCGTCATCATTTATGGTGAAGTTGGTTCCAGGTGTATTTTTGCAGAGTTCGGCAGCGAGCGACTGGTGACCTTTCTTTCCCCATGGATAGTTGTTGCAGGTTCCGCTTAACTGGAACAGCCGTGAAACGCTTGCCATGATGTTGTCGTTTTATTTCTCTTTAGCCAGGTGTGAAATGGTCGTGCTCAAAGTAATAGTTAATGACAGCTGTTTGGGAAAAGCAGCAGCGAAAGCTTCATAGATAAAGTCCTCGTATATAAGATCTCAGTTCTTCCCCGACTGACTCGGGAGATACCGTGGCAACAAAAGCATACGATAGCGAGATCGCGCCGCTATTAACTGGATCTATGCTAATACATATCATGATGACCTCACCACTGGGTCCTTGCTGACAGAGGCGGGACCACTATTTAAGCAGCAGCAACCTTCTGGACAAATAACATCTACTCAGTTTGCAATTCATTGTGATAAAATAGTTCATAGGCAATGGTTATGGTCTTAAAGATTAGTGGTTGACGTCAGTAAAACCCTCATTGTCATTAATTGGAGCTTGGTTTTCTCATTCCAATAAAGATAGCGAGGATACTGTTAAAGATAACGATTGTTTACCCGGTTGGGCAAATATTTACAAATTATGTGGAGAATAATATATCAAGAAGTAACATCGACCTACTACATTGAACTCTCAAGTACTTGTTGGTTTTGGATTGTTAAGACCTTTTCTACCCAGAATCTTTTAGGGTAGACCAGCCAGATAGCTCAGATCTCAGGTCACCGATAATTAGGCCAGCGCGCTAGGGTAATAGAAGACACTTTTCTCTCGAGAATGACAGACAGAAATACCTCATTATCACGAATAAGGCAAATCTCCCAATTTGTGAAGGTTCCTGTTCAGCCATTCACCACAACTCCTCCATTGCAGTGTATAGTCTGCCCGCTGATACAAGAGCTGTCCATTGAGGCGAGAAAGACAACACAGCTCGCTATTTCACTGGGCTGGGCTGGTCGACCCATGGGACTGGTAAATTCTTTTTGGGCCTTTTCGTTCATTGTTGCCGGAATTAAGGGAGTCCACACTACGATTCTTGTCAGCACGTCGCAAACAGCTCTTGGCATATATGCTTACCTGGCCCTGGGGCGACAGCATTAACTCGAATGCCCTTTGAGATGTATTGGTTGCTCAATCCTCTTGTGAAGGAAATGATCCCTCCTTTAGTGGAGGTGTAATCCAACAAGTCTGGCCGGCCGATGTATGCATTTATTGAAGCATTGTTAATAATAACAGCGCCGCGCTTCATATGCTTGATTGAGTATTTGGCCATGAAAAAATATGAGTGCATGTTGATGTTGAAAGTATGAATCCACTGTTCGTCTGGCAAGTCGAGTATGTTTTCAACCATCATTTGATCTGCAAAGTATAGTCAGCGCTTGCGTCTTTCATCATTTAAATAAAATAGCTTACAGGCCGCATTGTTAAAAAGAATGTCGATTCCACCCATCTTTTCCAAGGCGAAATTGACTGCATCCTGGCAATTCTCTCTTTTGGCAAGATCCGTGGCGAACAGATGGCAGCTTCTCCCAAGAGCCTCAACTTGCTTCTTTGTATCTTGCGCGTCTTGTTCTTCTTCAGGAAGATACACAATCGTCACTACGGCACCTTCCTTCGCGAACAGCACTGCAGTAGCTGCTCCTATGCCACTGTCTCCGCCAGTAATGAGTGCTCTTTTGCCTGCGAGCTTATTTGCTGCCCTGTAAGTTTCGGTTTTTCCATCTGCATCCGGCAGCTCGTCGCGAACGGGCTTGGGATCGGGCATATCTTTGTCCATGCCTGGAAATTCCTGCTTAGAAACAGGGATATTTCTCTCTTTCACATGCTTCTATTAGAAAATTGGTTCCAACGTGTTGAAAGACTATCATACCGTCTTTGAATTGCGATGTCATAGTGGGCGAACGTGCTGATCAGATTTCGGATAGTACTTGATTCCACCTGAAACGATAAAAAGATGAAACGGTAAAAGAAAATGGCTGCAATAAGATACGACCATTTGCTATAACAGAATAATCACTTAAACTCATGATCTTTCCGTCAACCTAATCGTGACACGCATAATAAGATGAATGATGTGTACGTTTCGTCATGGTGGACCCGATTTTGTATGAGGTCAACGATACAGTTTGAAGTAGCCAAAGGCAATCTATGATACGTGCACTTCAATGTTCACAGCTTGGCAATGACGCGACTTTACCGATAAAGCCGTTGTTATATCGCGAAGTAATTGCAGAGTAGCCCAAGTTGTAAGCAAGTGTCTCTCAGTGTGTGGCGTCATTTGTAATGCAGAGTATATATGACAACTGAGCTTGGCATCGGCTTCTTCCGGTCTACAATCTATCTTCACATGCAAATCTAGGCACTGGTCTGGGCAAAAAAATTTGAAATTCTAGTTTCTGCATCAAGCATAACTATCAATTGCCGTGTAAAGCTTCTAAGCTGGCTTCCACTCGAAATGATGCGGGCCTTTCGCTACCGGACCGGGATCTTCGCCTGGCACACCCGGCTTATTGTATGAGTGCGCCCCAAAATAATCCATTTGCGCCTCCATAAACTTTGTGGGCAGCATTTTGCCTGTGGTATACTTGACGTACTCAAGCGTGGCAGTAAGTGCGGGCAAGTAATGGTCGGCTGCAATTCCTCGAGACACAATTTCCTTCAGTGCCGAGTAGCTGCACTGCAACTCCCGCCCGACGGAGCTATCCAGCTTGATGTTTGTGAGTGTCTTGTTCTCTTTCAGAAGTGGCTCAAGCAAATCGGCGATGAATTCTGATTGAATGATGCACCCTGCTCGCCAAATACGAACGCACTCAGACAGATTGATGTTCCAGCCTTCGTCACTGGATGCCCGGGCGATTAGTTCCAGTCCTTGGTAGTAGGAGGCCAAGAAGGCACAGTAGACGGCTTTGCGGAGGTCTTCAATTATCTGGCCTCTATCCTTGATGTCTTGAATAGGCTTCGGTTCGAGAACAGAGAACGTGTCGGCGATCCGCAACCTTTCTTCACGATTTCCCGAGGCCACGCGGAGATAAAATCCCGCCGCGAGTGTTGGGCAAGATACATGCCTCGTTGCCGATTCCATAATTGACCATGTGGGCGTACCTTCTGAACCATCGTCATCCTGTACGACTTTGTCGAGGACTTCGTCAAGAACGTGGCCGCCCTCCTGTCCCGCTGGTTTGCCATCCGTCGGTTTTCTCGTCTTGCAAATCTCGGAAGCAATTCTGACGAGGAAATTTGTATGCAATTCGCCATGTTCGTTCCATTGCGCAAATATCTCACCAATTTGATCGTAGTCAAGCCCCAATCCGCTATTCAGAAACGCCCAAGCCTCGCAGAGAGCTGAGAGCATACCAACTTCGATACCGTTGTGGACCATCTTGACAAAGTGTCCTGAGCCGCCTGGTCCGATATTTGATACGCATGGAGCGCCGGATTTCGGATCCTTTGCTGCATATAGTTCAAGAAGCGGCATGACTTCCTTCAGTGCAGCAGCATTTCCTCCAGGGGACATACTTGGCCCATGTCGAGCTGACTGATAACCGCCAGAAACTCCCATTCCGATCCAATCTACGCCAATATCTGAACACTCTTTTTGTCTCCTCTCGGTGTTCCGATAATGCTCGTTGCCGCCGTCCAAAATTATATCGCCCTTGCGCAGCTCTGGCTTGATTTTCTCCAGAACTTCATCAGCTGGCGCGCCATGCGTAATGGAAAACAGGAACACTTTTCGGCCACCATTTTGGCCCAAACTGGCTGTAAATTTTGATATATCATGATATCCAGTAATAGTCCCAGTCAGACCCTCGGCTTGGTCAACTTGCTTCATAAAGTTGTCGACATTCGCGCTCTTGGCATCCCAAATAGACACGTCAAGGCCGAGCTCGGAAAAGGCGAATCCCATCATAGAGCCCATATTCCCTGCACCAACAATGCCAATTTGCTTGAATTTCATGATAATATCTGTTTGAGCGCCCATGGTTGCTGCTCGGTCAAAAATAGGCAAGGTTTAAGCCAAGTAATAAAGCCACAGCGGCAAAACTAATCTATAAACACCAGAAAACAAAACAATACGATTGTAGGACGACGCTCAACTGAACTCATATAGTTATGGGGATTGCCACCCGAAAGCTGCATACTTCAATAACAACTGGGCTGCGTTGATCGAATGACGCAATTGTGGTGACAGCGCTGCAAGCATCAGCATGACGTTATACATCTTTTAAATGACAATAGCATTTAACTATCTTAAGGTGTTCTATTAGAAATACAATTTTGATCAGAATACGAGTTCACTTTCTTCTAGAAAAAGTGTATATTGTCGCGATGGGCATCGAATATCAAGGTCACAGTGTCCCTACTTCTTTCGCGTCTTGCAGCGTCCCTCCTTACTTTGACGCGAAACTTCCTCAAAAGTTGGACGCTATTCGCAATGCTGGATTTGATGGAATAGAAATATCTATGCCAGATATAGTGGCATACGGCTGCGATATCGAGCGAAAAGAAATTGAAGAAGATGATTACGATACTCTTTCAGACGTAGCTAGGAAGATTCGAATCCTCACCGATCAACTTGGCCTTGTTATTCTCATGCTGCAACCATTTTCAAGATTTGAGGGATGGAATAAAGATACACATGCAAGAGAGAGAGAGGAAGCATTTACGCGCGCCAAAGGATGGATAAGAATCATGGAGGCTTTAGGCACCGATATGCTCCAAGTATGTGCACCTCAGAGACAAATTATCAGGATACAACGATGACTAACTATCTCTAGGTTGGCTCATCAGATGCTCCAGATATATCATCCTCATTTGACGACCATGCTGCGGATCTGCAGCAGTTGGCCGACCTACTAGCGGAGAAAGGCTTCCGACTTGCTTATGAGAATTGGTGTTGGGCAACCTATGCCTCAACTTGGAAAGACGTCTGGGAGATATCACGCAAAGCCGATCGTCAAAACATTGGCCTTTGTCTGGACACCTTCCAATCAGCCGGTGGAGAATATGGTAATCCGTCTACAAAGTCAGGCTATATTGAAGATGTTAGCCTGGCTGAGCTTGGCGACCGTTGGCAAAAAAGTCTGAGGGAACTGGAACAGACTGTCCCTGGAGATAAAATTTTCTTACTTCAGATTTCAGACGCCTACAGAACGGAGCTACCTCTGCGTAACACGAAGGAGAGAGCGAGATCGGTATGGAGTCATGATTATCGTCCACTACCCTTTGATGGAGGGTATCTGCCGATTCAAGGCTTTCTAGATTCTGTACTGCGAACAGGCTTCAGAGGCTGGCTTTCTGTTGAAGTATTTGACTCGAAGCCCAAGGAGAAAACGTCCATGGAGGAATATCTGAAAGCGGCCATGCAGTCCTTGACTCGCATGCTTGGTAGTGCAATGGAGTGAGTTTATAGACCGAGGAACATATTCTTTAAAACATGTTTGCCACAAGAGAACTATCTGCATGTCATCTACAGGGTGCAGGCTAGGAATGTCGTTTGGGTGTTAAGCTTTGATAGTACTCTTGATGCTCTGTTACACGCTGCTACAGAGTCATGCAAGTGACTACCATGGGACAACCCAGCCAACGCAACACATTTGACTGACAATTCGATCGTCGGCTAAAAGATTCCTTGCACGAAAATTATCTGAGGAAAACAATTGATTGTATTTTTCTTGGTGTTTTATTAGCATAGCTTGAAACTGAATGTCATGCGTGTAATGACGTCAATTTGCGTTTAGCCATATCTCTACTATATAACCTTTCCTGCTATTGTTTTCTTTTGGCTTACTCCAACAGCCGACCTACGCCAAGTGCGCAGTGTGCGTAACGGTGAACACACAACTCACAGCGGATGTTATTTACCCATACGAGATAATTGATACACTCAAGATGCGAACTCGGACTCGCAACATCTGTACCGCTGTTGCTCGTGCCGTGGGCGACGTTCCAGAGGCAGAGCCGTTGGAAAATGACATATCAAGCGGAGGTCAGGCTGTCCACTGTTTGGCCAGCCTCTTTTTCTGTTTAACGAGCATTTTCCCGCCCATATTCAACTTCGACTATTCACGATACCGCTCTTCCGATTTCCACACATTGAGGCATGAAGTCTGGGCGATTGAAGAACACGATTATTCGACATCCTTTTACCAGATTATGCCAGATGGCTCACGGTCACGACGGAGCCGTGATTGGGAGGCGGAACTTATTCCGGTTGGAGATTTAGGATATAGCGGCTCGACGTTTCTTATGACTCGCAACGGGAAATATATCGTCAAGTCACTAGATCGCCGATTCGAATACCGCTTCTTCATGCACGAACTATTTCGTCCTTATGTGGACCATATGACGGCTTATCCTGGCAGCCTTCTAGTCCGCGTCACGGATATGCTCTATGTTCCAGGATCAAACTTGAACAGGCTTCTGGGTCTCTCGGCAACACACCTTGTTATCATGGAGAATTTGTTACACGGAAAAGAGAAAGAGGAAAATGAGAATGCTAGGGCTCAATGGAGTACCTATGATCTAAAGCCAGACAATTATTTCTTCCCGGAGCGCGATATCGCCGGCGGTAGTTTGTCATCTGAGAATGTGAAAAACAAGCTGGTTGATCAAATGCCCAGCCGATTACGAGTCTCAGCGCAAATGAAGGATCAGCTTTTCACCATATTGAACGCAGATACGGAATTCCTTGCGAACTCGAATGTGGTTGACTATTCTCTGTTTCTGGTTCGGCTTCCTGGTCCTGGGCAACATCCAAAATCTCAGTCTAGTACGAAGTTTCCTCCAGGCGATGATACACAACTAGCTGCTAAGAGGAATGATACAGAGACTTGGAGAAATGGAGTGCCATCCATTGACGGTAAATGGATATATCGTATCGTTATTATAGATTTCTTCTGGGCCAGACACATGTTGCAGCCGAGGATACTGTCGGGGCTTGTCAAAACATTCAACATCTATGCCAAAAAAGGTCCAATGAGTATTACAGCGGACCCGATTGAGTACAGGAGGCGTTTCATGGATATGGTTCACAAGTTGATGTCAGGAAGCGATGCTTAGAAGAATCTGTTAATGGCATTGTCGGCTCTGAGTTGCATTTTACGATGCAATTTTGAGAACATTGACACAAATTGCTTGATACATGTCGTAGCGGCGTTTCATTGGGCATGGCTACGTTTCTATCATTATAACAACGGGTCAATCCGCGATAGAACGTATCCCGTGCCTCACCGCTGCCTTGTCCGTCTCACAGCACCGCAGACGCGCACGGTCAGTGATCTACCTACATGTACCTACATGTAAGTAGATGCCATGGCCCATGTTGAGCCTTTATAAAAAGCACGTGATGGCGTTTGCACGGATGCTTAAGAATTTCGCTTCAATGCCGTTTGCCTCATCATCAAATCACTTTCTAAATTTCCTCTTCATACCCCTCCCAATACGTAAGAATGGCGATCCAATTCTGTAGCCCATGCGGAAATACTCTCGACATCTCTCCGAATTCAACAATCCAGTGCGACTGCTGTGGTTCTATGAACAAGAGTAAGCTTACTGCCTTCATCCTAGATCGATCTACGTGGAGTATTGACTACATCTAACTGAACGTGTGTCCCAGACAAATTCTTAGCAGGCATATCAACTACTTCATCAACTAACAATTTCCCTTCTGAGCTTCGCCGGAAACGACAAACGACGCAGCAATTACCGAGTTTGGCTTCCGTGGATACTTGGCCTACGACCAGGGAAACATGCCCAAAATGTGGCGCGAAGGAAGTCCGATACACGACCCTACAATTAAGAAGCGCCGATGAAGGAACTACTTTATTCTATTACTGTTCGGACTGCTCAGAGAGGTATGCACATGAGCTCTTTTGAATTGCAGCCACTTACAAGAAGAGTAATAGGTGGAACGAGGGCAACTAAGCGGCAATCGAACCAAAACGCGAGGTGGAACGCACCGCGACCAGACAGTATCATCGTGAAAAGTAAATAGTTAGATAGCGGATAGAATTTAAGCCTATCAAATTTCCAGACTTCATCATCTTGTCATCTAAGCATTATCTTGAGATAATAACTCGCTTACATACTCAGCAATGACAAGCATCTTCTCTTCAGTATAGCTCCTCCCGACAATTTGTAAGCCAACATGCGCTCCATCATATAATTCTGCGTCGTAATCTTCAACAGTAGCTCGGTCGAGCTCATTCAAAGGAGTATAACCCGGATCGTACTTGTCAATGTTCTGATCCGCCAGAGTGACAGGCACATTGACACTGGTGTAGTTCAATACATTGACAAATGCACTGTAACCGTAATATTTATACTTTTGAGGCCTTGCCGCCGCATAAGGTGCAACTGGACAAATAAAACCGTCGACTGGTCGACCCGTGCCAGTCACCTCAATAGTAGAGTTCCAGTAATCCATGTATTCGGTTTGTAAACGACGTCTCTCAATGTTGTTTGCTGCAATTTGAGTACCGTTAAATTGCTCCGTTGGAGAGGTTCCAAATAGTCGTTGTATCTGTGGATGAATCTTTTCTCCCGAGAGAGCCAAAGCGTCATGAACATCTTTTCCCCCATCATAGCGCCATGAATTGACTATGGCAGCCATCATTGCCTGATGAGAGTTGGCTGGTGGCGTCCATTCAACGACTTTATGCCCAGCCTTTATGAGAGCCGCTGTGAGTATGGAGATGGCGCGAGCGACAGGAGGCTGAGGATTCACAACTCCATCAGTTTTCAAGACTCCGAATACAAGTGGCCCTTTCGAGGTCACCTTTGTGAGTTCTTTGGTCTCTGCTTCTAGTGTGTCGCGCCATGGCATGTCAACAACCCGAGGATCGTACAACCATGGCTGCTGGGATAATATTGCTTGAACGAGTAGCTTAGCTCCCGCCGCCGTTGTGGCCATTGTCCCAACAGAAGACAAAATGCTGTTCTGGCCATCCATAGAGGTTGCTATTCCCCTGTAAGGCAATCGGTCCCACGTTGGCTTGATACCATATGTTCCACTAAATGCGGCCGGCATTCTGACTGAGCCGGCGATGTCTGTCCCAAGTCCACCCGGTGAACCTTTCAAACGGATTAGGGCGCCTTCGCCACCAGAACTGCCTCCTGAGCAAAGGAATCGATTCTTTGGATTCCATGTGTACTCGATAATGTTATTGAAAGTCTCGCCAGACATCAGAGTTTGGGGGCAGCTGGTCTTGCAGTAGAAAACAGCCCCAAGGTTGCGAAGCTCTCTGACTATTTCGCTCTCAAATGTTCCTTTTCTTGGATCGTCTCTATTTCCTTCGAACGTGTCAATCCAGCCGACATAGCCCATGGTCGTCTCAGCTCCTTTGACATGAAGTTGATCTTTTAGAGAAATGGGTACGCCGTGAAGCAGTCCAATTGTCTTCTTGTGCTTAGCAAAGTAAGCATCGAGGGCTTTGGCCGATTCGATAGCGGCGTCAAAAAAGAATTCGTGCACACAATTCACCTAGTATTCTTTAGTATGTCTAGTTATTGTAGTTCTTGATGAAGCAACCATACCAGTTGGTGGGCAATTGATGCTCGATGGCAAAACGCCTCAGTCACCTCAAGAGAAGTCCAGTTTCCTGCTGCGATTTGTTTCGCAAGACCTCCAATGTCGGTTTCTGTAATCTCACTTTCCTTGCTGTTGAGAAACTGGCGTATATATCCATCTGTAACATCTTTCTGTTCCTCAGCAGAAGGAATTTTATCAAGGCGCCATTTCTGCGGAATAGAGTCAAGAATTGCTTGACGCTTTGCTTCCGCTATTTTCTCCCAGTCTAGGGCCATTGTGCCGATACAGAGAAGAAGTCCAAGTCGATTGTATAAGGGGAACTTGTGTAGTCTTGTTTGCAACAGCCAGGTAACACATACCATAGCCAATGGGCAGCTTTATTTATACGTATTCAAATGGACACATACTTCTTCGTGGTAATTGCCTATTCTTTGTTACACATCCTTGTTTGATTGATTTCCAAGCTTGATATTAGGTTCATTGTGTGATTATTTCTATTTGTAATCCAGGACGCGAAACTGTCAATTTGAAGCCGGAGACTTTTGACACATCCATATTTTAGTTCTTCGCGCCTTCTAATGGCGTATAAGTCTCTCGTTGTAAACTAAAAGTCCTAAAGTAAGAAGATATAACTACTTTTTTTTTAAATTACTGATCATGACATTTATTTACTAATCGCGCTATTTGTTTACTGATCATGCTCGATGGAGCCCACTTCTTCTGAAAGAGTCCTACTTTACACGTATGGTTCTGAAAGATTTGTGCTTATAATTAATAGGTAATATGCTTATCACAATGGAGTGATAATATTTATTTATAGTCTCGTTTATAAGGCAGTTACAATTGCTGCTCTGTTTACCCATGGCTGATATAACCAAGTACCTAGCCTAGGTTCTGACTAAAACTACCTACGCAATACGTATCCATAGAATCGGTATGCAAATTTACATAGACTGCATATTTTGAACATTTGAAGTAAATGAACATCATTTGAATTTATTTCATGTACTGTGGAGGTCTTTGGCAGCAGTTATGGCGTTTAAGTACAGCCACATTACTGAGCAAGAGGCAAGGTTGGTCGTCGACCATGCAGGCATCCGCATAGCGGTATGAGCTGGCGTTTGCATTTCTGAAATATCCGAAGAGAGTCAAAGAAGCACCAACTTTAGGATTTAAAGAATATACAACTATGAAATTCACTACTTTGCAGCTTATAAAAGGTTAAAAGTTAATGTTAATTGAGAAAATGATTGAGAAAATGATTGAGAAAATATAGTACCCATCATGGGAAGCTTACTTATTTAAATGAGGGTGCATGATTTGACATATCAAGACAGCATTCGTGTATCAAAGAAACATCTGATTAAATAAAGCAAGATTCCGCATTACAAGTTCTGGAAAGGCATTGCTATTAACAACGTTTACTAATGTGTCTTTCAAGCGCAAGCCATCGATCTATATCGGTGGCGTGTACTCAATAGTCAAAGATCCATATATAAGAGTAATTCGCTATTTCACAACTAGAAGCCTCGAGCTCAGTTGGTGATCATTGATTGGCTGTACGTCACATGATTTGCCCGGCTAGCTCAATCGGTAGAGCGTGAGACTCTTATGAGGTACACGTTCTGTATTACAATCTCAAGGTTGCGGGTTCGACCCCCGCGTTGGGCTTTTCCTATAACATCACCAACACTGAGAGTTGGCTTCATTTTTTGCATGTTTACCAATTTGATCATCCATACTTATTTTTTTGTTTAATTCTTTATTTGATAAAGAAGAGCCCAATGAATTGCCATCAATATACGTAATAGAGCATCACTGAGGTACAAACAGCAACTTCATCTTTTGCCTGGTAACTTTCTTAATGCAAACTGCATTTGACATGATACGGCCGTATAGAGCTTGTTTTATGCTTTCTATACATGCCCCTGTATGCTCAACTATCTAGTGAATTACAGATACGCGTACCATCTTTCACAGAGCTTTTACCCTGAGCAACAACTCTACAACCATGAAGTACGGATGACTCCTGCGAATACATATTGACTGGATTGGCATAAAGTTCAGTTGGCTTGATCGGATCGAGCCGATTGATATCACTGGATCACTTCAGGAAGCTACCAAGTAATGGAGATACTTGTAACAGCTTCTTCACAGTAGTTGTGCTGAGATAGGGTAGATGTTAAGTAATGATTATGAGTGCGTTTATGCTTGGCTATTAGCCATCGTCCCACGTTAATATGAAATAATTAACATTCACGACAAGTTGCCTCACATGGGTATCGTCGCATGTTAGATGACTATGCCGGGTCATCAGTACGTCTAGCAGTGCCAACGATACACTAGACTTTCCTCATGGCTCAAAGTCCTATTGGTACATGGCTCAATTCAAGATACATCAAATCAGTTACTTTACACACAAACTCAAACTCCTCAAACAAGTGTATGCCACTTTTCACCAATTTGCCACCTCAATATTCACAAAGCGCTCATTCGTGATCGCCAGACAGCAACAGTCCAGCCGACGATACACCTCTTGGCTTTGGCGAAAAGCATGACGGTGCTTTTTTCGAAAGTAGGAGAGGCTTCCAGGATGTGCGCAGTGAGGGGACAGTCTGCCGAAGACACTGAGAAACGTAAACTCGACGCTCTGAAACTTTACGTAGAGGGGGAATCAACTCGCAGATCGTAGGCGCTACAAGTTCAGTAGTACAAATGTTATCAGTTCTATTAGTATAGTTTTCAGCTTCAACAGTAAGTCTAACTTACAGCATCAACTTTGCAGGTATCGTCGATGTTGATTGTGCCCTGAAGCGTTTTCGCAATCCACATATGGTATATACACCTCTCTTCCTCTGAGCTCGAGTCTCTCAAATTATTTCCCAACCTGAGTTGAAGCTTCACATTCCTTGGTAAAGGCAACCGCGTGGTGCGTACTATGCTAAAAGCTTTTTCTTATAACATAAGAATTTTATATTCTCATAGGCAAACAAAGCTATTCTTGAAATATTTGCTTCAAGCCACAAGTATGCAACTAGGAATGATTCAACACTTGCAAGATTTGATGCATGTAAATGTATAGCTTGCGCTTCAATGTGTGTTGCCGCCAAAGTCCCCAACGCCAGTATTTCCCATAATTATATAATTACCCATGTCTATTCCCCCAATTCCAGGGGAATGGAAAGAACAAAATATCTCTCTGGATACTTTCAGCCCTTCATCTCGTTTTCGCCCCCTCCTAGCAGCGACACGCACAAGACCGACGCTATCGCAGCCACGCTGCCCAGAATCATCATCTGCAGTCCTTCCCAGAGACAGTGCATCCAACTGCTAGATGCATTTCCGCTCCTCAACAACCAGCTCTTACCTGCGCCAAAAGACATCAACGCCACCAGGCACGCTGCGATGCTCCATCGGAGACCAAGGCCGACAGTCGCAGCGAAAAAGTACGGCAGTAGAGGAATGGCGCCGCCGATGATGTAGCCTAGCGAGATGGAAATACCGGAAGCAACTGGAGAAATGGGCAGCTGGTCGCTGTTATATGAGTTCTCACCGGCGGCGAGCTCAGATCGCGCAAACTGTAACTGACGGGCTGTATCGTATAAGCCCTGACGCTCTTTGATGGTCGACATGATATCCGCAACCATCCAACCCGGCAGAGCGAGAGGTTCCAAATGCTGCCTCACAAGCACTTCTTGCGCATCTTTATTCTTTTCATCCAAGCCATCCATCCCAGCATCCTGACGCAGCATGCCCTTGAGCTCTTCCTCGTCGCCATCCCGGTCTTTCGCCTGATCCGAAGGCAATTCGTCTTTCGCAGAAAGGTAGCCGCCAATGCCCATGCTGATGCTTCCCGCGCAGAGTTCAGCCAGACCGGCGTAGATGACTGTGTCGGTGCGGCCAAGGGAGCTGAGGCCCGCGGTCAGGGCAAAGGGCACTGTTAAGCCATCTGAGAAGCCGAGGGTGAAGTCTGAGAGGAATCGGATGAGGAGAGGGCTTCTTGATTTCGACATGATGATCGCTGTGGGTTGTCGGGATAGGCGGAGAGGTGATGGAGGTGACGAGCTGTGGGATAGCTGCTCAATGGACAAGAAGATGGAAAAACGTGATGGAGGGTAGAGTAGGCGTGGAAGGTGAATCAGCGCATCAGCCAAGAAGCTATCGATAGCAGTTTGAGACAAGATGGAGGTAACACAATCGAATATTGAATTCCTCAGTAGACTTCACGTCAATTCCCGTAGAGCTTTCTCTTGATTTTGGTGGTGGTAAGAAGTATGTAGTAGCACGAGCTTGAGAATAGTCACTTGGCCGGCGCACAAGATCTCCAACTCTGGATCAGTTGAGCATGCGGTCCGACACCAAATGTCCTCAGTCCACACCCTTGCGTCTGCACGCATGTTACATCGCCTTAACAAATAGTAGTACTATCTGCATCCCGGGACAGACATTCCAGCTGCGCAGCCCGCTCACGCATCCCCATCTCTGCGTCCTATTCTCCTCGCCACCAATCCAAGTCAGGACACCGATGGGGCCATTGTCACCTCAAAGGGAAAAGAATCCGCTCTGTATTCATCAACAGGAAGAACAAAAAGGTCCCTTTGGCACACTTCTCCTGCCGACCAGCCGCGAAAAGGCTGATCCAGGCACACACTTGGACGGGGTGGCTGCTCCAAGCAGATGCTCAATCCCGACCCACGTGCGCCTCCAAAAGACCCTGTGCTTAACAACGCATGAACGCTGATTCGGAGGGAGAGACAGGCAGACCGGCTGCACAAGACTGGGGCAACGGGGTCTTTCTTGGAGAGGCAGGGATCCTTGGTTGCGGACGTGGGGTGGCGCCGCCGCCAAATCAACGTGCGTCTTTAGCGGGGATCCCGATGGATTTGCTCTTTTCTCTTGTTTACACATTTATTCCTGAATTCGAGGCGGTCTGCCTATTCGGTCTATCAAGGTAGTTTCAACCCATGCTTTGTACAGTTGTTCAACGACGAGGGCTTTTGAAAAGGAAATGAAGAAGCAGAAAGAAATTTACATAAGCCCCAAATTCATAACCATACCAATAAGAGAAAAGAGGGGAACCCAGCACGATGGATACAGCGACGGATGATGGACGGGATTTCTTTTCTCGTTGGTGGCTAGAAAACTGGAGAGCTGCCCGACTAGGAAGCTGGGACTTTTGAAGTGCCGGAGGTGGCGCCGTGCACAAGCCGATGTAAGTCAGTCAGTCAGTCTAAGCCGCGCCGATAAGGGAGCAGGTCGCCATGACCGCTCTTTGCTTTATTTTTCTTGCCCTCGGTCGACGAGGTTGATCATTCAATATGAAAAGAGAGGCATGTATAGTGTACGCAGATATCATAGACCTTGCTATAGATAGTAGGTAGCTGCCAATTGGCGCGTAAATCTTTTTTTTTTTTTGTTCTGCTAGTAACTGCCAAGCTATCAAGCCGTATCATTCACTCTTTACTCCAACTTTGACAACCGCATAAATACAAAGCTAAAATAAGTAACATTATATATCTTTCATTTGAAAGAAAGGACTTGGATCACAAAAAAGCAACACTTAGTCGCTGGTAGAAACCGGAGTGTAGCCTTTGGGAGGGTTGAGGCCGTCGGGGAGCTCAATGGTATCGGCGTAGTAGGAGGCAAGCTTGGTCTTCTCCCAAGTCTTCTTGATAGAAGGGAGAATGGTGCGGCCGGAGAAGCTGTGGTCGAGCTTCAGGTTGGGGGCGGGGTACTCGTGGTTGCCACCGTCCTCATTGAAGATTCCGGCATATGAGGCATTCCAGAAGTAGCTGTCGGCCGTGTTGGTGGATGGCCACTTGCGAAGACGGTCACCAGTCTTCTGAGCGACCCAATCGAAGACATTGGCACCAACATCCCAGCGACCCAGAGTGTGGAGGTTCCAGTTGGCCTCGACGGTAGCAATCTCAGAGTAGTGGTTGTAAAAGTTGTTGTCAGTAGTGCCAACAAGGTGCTTGGGGACAGCGTCACCGAGCAAGATGCCAAGAATGTTGTTGCGAGTAGTGTAGGTCTCGCTCTCGTCCCAGGTAAGAAGCACCAGGGTGTTTTGCATAAAGTTCTTGTTGTTGAGGAGGGGCTCGAGGAAAGTGCGGCACCATTGGCCAGCGACGGCGACTGTGCTGTCGTGTCCGTCAGAGGTCATGTTGGGAGTGATAAACATCCACTGAGGCAGCTTGTTCTCCTTGAGGTCCTTGTGGAACATGGACCTGCCAGTGTCGATGAGAGACAGGTTCTTGATTTGAGACAGGCGCTGCTCATAGTGGGTTACGCTGTTGGCGAGAATAGCAGGGTTGTGTTTGCGAACGTAGTCGTTGGCACCGTTCTTGGTGTTGACGTAGTTGAAACCCTCGTAGCCAGAGTAGGGCATGTCTTCCTCGTAATGGCCCCAAGAGATGCCACGATCCTCGAGAAGGTCGATGACAGTCGATACATTGAAGTCGGTGGCGTACAAGTCATCGTTCTGCATGCCAAAGTAGTCGCCAGCAACGGAGGAGAGGTAGTTGGGCTGCGATGGGTGAGTGACTCCAAAGTAGTTTGTCAACTTGATGCCCTTCTTGGAGAAGAAAGTGAAGTTGGCTATGGATCTGTCAGCGTTGCCCTCAGACGTATCTTGTCGCAGTATTCAGCTTACGGTCACCATCGGCCTTGTCAAAGTCCTGATTCTCAAAGTAGACGACCACGAAGCGGTCAAAGGCCTTGCCCTTGACGTGGCTGGTCGGGCTGCTGGTCTTGGCCGTGGCAGCGGCAGCGGCAACAGCAGCAGTGCCGGTGGCGGTATAGACCGACTCCCAGGCAGTGGTGGTCTTGACGGGCTTGGACGGCGCGCAAGGCTCCTTGACGACGCCGGCAGAAGCCAAGCTGGCAGCGGCCAGCAGAGAGACAACCGTGGACAGCATCTTGAAAATCTCTTCCTCAGTCACGATCCTGGTGGGCTTTGCTAGGGAGGATGGAGAAAGGAAGGACGCCGCAGATGGGGCAGGGCAGTCGGGTTTAATAGAGCCTCGTTCCGAGACAGTCGATGCAATGTTACGCAAAGTATCGATTTTCGTTCGCTCCCTTTGCAGTCCCGCTCTTTTCCCAACACACCTGGCAGCGTTTTGTGGCCGGTGGAAGGTCCTTCTCCACGAACCCTGTCGACATGTGCTCGATGCTGGCAATGCTATCCACCCATACCAGGCAGGCTGGACGCCGAGTGTAGTCTAGGCTGTGCTTGGTAAATGGCCTCCGCTCATTTGTTGACCGAGGCGACATATTTCGTGTTGGCTGAAAAAACACGCGTCTTCAAAAGAACCCTGCGTCCAAGTTCACGGTGGCTTGTCAAACTTACACGGATCGACGTAGTGCATCGCTCCGTCCTCGCACCCAGTACGAGAACGGCAGCCAAGAGCTCGGAGCCCACATCACTAAGAGGCATCAGACTTAGTCGTATCTTGTTGCTCCTAGCAGCTTACTATGGAGCAAAGCCGCAGCGCCCAACGCCGGGAGCTTGCGCTGCAGGTCCGCCACAGAATCGCTTCTTGTCTAGTCGGCCGTCCCGACACGTGGGGGATACAAAGCCGTCGAGAGGCGCATCTCGAGGTGGCCGGCGTTGTCGATTCGACCGCCGTTGAGAGCATCGCGTGCCGCCTCATCCGCTGAGGCTCCTGGTTCTGCTCAGCTGTCCTGCCCTGCACTCCAGACCTCCAATCGGCGAACCTGAGCCGAGAAGCTGCTGTTTAGCATCGCCGGCTCAAGGTTCTTACAGAAGCTCTGGAAGCTGTTGATCTCCAGCGGACCCTGCCGCGCCAATCGCTTCAACGCCCGCTGACACGCCTTTCCCGGACGCCTAAACGTTGTTCCCTCCGCACTCTGCTGTCACATGTGGACTACCACTTCCATCTGGCCTCTTTGCATGCTGGTCCGGCCAACTTCATTTCATATTTCAGCTACGCCGCTTTCGATACCGGAGCTGTCATCAACCGGTCTTTCTTCCCGGGAGTGGTTCGTTATCAGCCCCAGCCCTGCTCCAGTTGCTCGGCTTGACCCGGTTGGTCGGCACACCGTTGGATCGGATTGCCTACTTCCTGCAGCGCTGTCTACAGCTGCATTTCCCTGCCTTCTCATAGGACAATTATGCCGGGCTGAAGAGCTATGAACTCGGCTCGTCTTGGTGAAAGCGACAGCATTGACAGTGCCCGAACTCGGAGCTTGCCGTACCATGACAATATCGGCCCTGGCAGCTCGCCATCTTCGAGAGTGTCCACGGTGAGTGCAATGGACGCTGCCGGAGTGCGTCAACAGCGAGACTCGACTGATGCTCCGGACGAAGAGGCGTATCAGGAGCTCAGCGAGCATCAGCCATTTATTCGTCTCTCGCATGGCTCAACGCCTCTCCGTCAGTCTCGACCACGCACGCCGTCTGTATGGAAGCTGGGCCTCTGCTTCTTCATTGCTACCATCTCTGTCCTGGCACTATCCATCGTTCCCTTTAGCCTTCAGGCACTTTCCAAGGAATCGTCTTCGGACACCCATGAGTTGGGAGAGCCTCCCATTGGAGACGAGACTGATCACAATGAGGCTGATGCCGAGCCTGATTCCGGACATGCATCTGAAGAATCAGATGAAAACAACCCCAAGCTCATTGTCATCCAGCACGAGGAAGAAATATCAAGTATGCCAGCACTGAGAGATGCTTCGCAGTACATATTATCGAATTCTTGGGACTTCGATGCTGCCCCTGTTGTCAGAGAATACCATTGGACGATTGTAGACGGGCGCTTGAACCCTGATGGCGTCTTTCGGCCAATGATACTCGTCAACAACCAGTTCCCTGGGCCACTGGTCGAGTGTAACGATGGCGACACCATTCGTGTCATTGTTGACAACAAAGCTATTAATGCTACCTCAATACACTTCCACGGACTCTTTCAGAATGGCACCAATTCTATGGATGGTGCCGTTGGCATTACTCAATGCCCTATTGCTCCCAACTCAAGCTTCACTTACGAATTCCAAGTTCAGAACCAGTCAGGCACTTATTGGTACCATGCTCACCACAGTGCTCAGGCTTCAGATGGCCTGGTTGGACCTGTCGTTGTTCACTCCAGGGACGAGAGAACCACTCTGCAGAAGCTGGAATATGCTTCTGATAGGGTTGTCATGGTTCAAGATCACTACCATAACCTTACTTCGGAGATATTGATGGACTATCTCAAACCAGATATGGAGAATAATGAACCTGTTCCCGACAACGGTCTCATCAATGGTCGCGGTATGCGTGATTGCAAGGACTTTGAAGGCTGGGACTGTGACGCCAGTAATGCCACAGCTCTCGTCTTTGACCTTGCTGCCGGTCAAAGACACCGTCTACGCATTATCAACGTTGGAGCCTTTGCCGAGTTTCAAATTCAGTGGGATGAACATCCCTTTTATGTTACCGAAGTCGACGGCACCGATGTACTCCCTGAACCTTTTCATCGTCTCAACATCCTCCCCGCACAGCGTTATAGCATTGTCCTGGAAACCAATGTCACCACTGCCGATGCTTTTTGGATGAGGGCCCGCATGGTAACTCACTGTTTCACCACCAAAAACCGTCGCCTACAGTCCGAGACCCGAGCTATGATCCGCTACACCTCTACCGAAACCAAAGCGCTAGACAAAGACCCAAACAGCAAGGATTGGCCCGACGTCATTGAAGTCCAATGTCGCGATTTAAACGTTTCCGCTCTACATCCTGTCATTTCGATGAACCCGCCACCCGCAGACAAATACATGCGCTTCGACGCCAGCTTCATGATTGGAGACTGGCGCCTCTCACGTGGATTCTTTAACCAATCCACCTGGCATCTCAATATGACTCATCCCTCACTCCATCGTTTTCTCGACGCACCTGCAAATGCGACTTCCCTTGGCTCCCCCATTGCTGTCAATAACCTCGCCTACGACTACAAAAAGGAGCTTGTCATCCAAACCGAGGGCATTCGCACCATTGACTTTGCCATCAACAATTTCGACGACGGCAATCACCCATTCCATCTCCACGGCCACAAATTCTTCGTCCTTGTCCAAGGCCGCGGCGGGTATCCCCCCTCAGAGGAAGATCTTCCGGCTTTTCTCCAGCAGCACGACCTGGAGAACAATCCCCTTCGACGCGATACCGTCACGGTAGAAGGATATAGCTGGGCTGTCATTCGCATCGTTCTCGACAATCCCGGCATGTGGGCCTTTCATTGTCACAACATGTGGCACGCTGAATCGGGCATGGTGATGCAGCTGCTGGTAAGGAGTGACGTCGTCAGGGGATGGTCTGTCAAGGAGCAAGAGAGGGCTATGTGTGGCCTTGAGGGCGTCACTACAGGAATGAGACCGGATGATAGCATCTGGTTTGGCAATTTTGGTGAAAAGTAATGACTATCCAACGTCATCACATTTAAGCCGAAGAAAACATATAAAGGATTATAGGGAAGAGAAGGGAAGATACCACTGATTGATAGAATATGCTGAATATGAGATGTGATGGATATATATGTGTGTATATATAATGTACCTAATCTATATGTAAGCCCACCTAATAGTTCCAAATTACTATATTAAACACTAAGAAAATAAAACAAAAGAAACACATGAAAGAAAAAGACACTTTGAAAGGAAATTTTGTTTGCTCGCTGATATTGTGTGAGCAGTATTCTTGTTTTTTTTTTTTTTCAATTTGAAGTCAGACACAAAGTTTCTGATTGCAGCCCATGTATATAGGACCGCCCATTCTATAAACCTACCCCCTTCCCCAAACCATAATCCCATTTCAGGATCATTGTGCTCAAAAACAAAAAACGAACCCCTTCCCTTTCTAATTTGACAGAAAAAGAAAAATGTCTATCTTCGTTTCATTCTTCACCTTTGCTCTCCGTGCCTTGCTCGCCCAGCCAAACAGCTGCCCCAAAAAGGGGACCAAAAGGTCAGCCGCAAGTCCTATAGCATCGTTTTTTCTCGCAGGTCGAGAGATCCTCCTCCACTCTTCTTCATCGCCGGCCCTGCTCCACTTTGTATATAAGAAGTGACACGGGGCGCCGCAAAGAGAGCAATATGCAACAGCTAAATGGACAACATAGTATGGCAGTGTGAATTGCCTTGACTTTGCCCACGCTGTATAGTGTGACATTGGAACAAAAGAACCGCCGACAAAAGAAACTAATGCAACAAAAAGAATTGGTAACGAGCAGAGAATGCCTACCTCCTTTCCTTATCCGGTGTCCAAACGCCGTGAAAAGACTCAAAGGTGATGTATTTTAAACAAGTAAAAAGAAACAAAGGGTAAACGGTTCATGGCAAGGTCTGTAGTCCTGCCTCAGTTTGATGTAATGAGAAAGTCTGATATTCGCAAGAGTTTCTCAACTGATGCAATAGAACGAACACCTTTGCGCCGATATGCTAAATGCTGATTGTGGGCTAAAGAAGCATTCGAGGACAAAACAAATTTGGCTGATTGAAAAGCTTTATTCAAAGAGCCGGCGCAAGATATGCTGTCGGATAATCTCGTCTATTCAAGATGAATAGGAGGCTATACTCTTCGTGCGATGTTTACTCCAGGATTGACAAACGCTCTCGAGGCGATATCGCTAAAGCGGCGGACGACGTTGGTAGTGCCGCCAGTGACTTGTGATTCATCAAGGATGAATTTGGATGCGACAGCCAATCTGTTCTTTGGATCTGTTTCATCCAAATGCTGCGGAATGGTTGTAGCGTATCCAGCATCAAAGTCTGGAGCGAGTTCGCGAACGACAGCTATAGAATAGAGGACGTCGCGATTCTCGCGACCGTCCAAAAGGTGGCGCATCCGGCTCAGAACATCCTCTCTCATCTTGACGACCGCAGGCGCGTTGGGATTGTCCCTCTTGCGCACGAACTCGGCCAGGCTGTACCAAAAGTCAAATTGGCGAACGCGATGGTGGTCGGCATCTGCAACTGGTGGCGACAGAGGGTTGCTTAGCAGCTCATCGCCGCAGAGCAAGGCCTCGACCACTTGAAGGCGGTTTCTAGCCTCGATGGCATCATTGTCGGGCGGCAAGTTGTGACGCATGGAATTGGTCGCCCTATCTGGCATTTGGTATGCTGTACAAGCCAACTCCCACACGATCCTGGTTTCCAACACCCCGGAATACGCCATCTGGGTATGGTCATTGGCTCTGACACCCTCGAGAATTTTTAAAAAGGTCGCCATGTGCTCGATGAGATTAGCATCCTTGGGAAACGACATCTTGCCGTTCTCAGTGAAATAGTACCAGCTTGTTTCGAAAAAAGCGCTGAGTCCGCTCGCATACATCTCATGGTAGACCTTTGTGATCTCATTGAAGGTCTCTTCGGTATGGCTTATCTGCTGGGCGGGTGCGGGGGGGCCTAACAAATCAATGATTTCGTCGATCCTCATTTTTTTGGCTACACAAACGACAAGCGGATTAGCGACCCGGCTCAGTTTTCACTTTTTCTTCTCCTCCATAGCTATGACAAGCAGCACGGAGCATAGCCAGTCTCACCTCGTAAGTAGCTATTATCGGACCCCGATAGGGACAGCTGATTTGACATGGAGGCCGTAGAGCGTGCAGTGTGATCAATATTAGAAGAAAAGCTGTAGCCCAGATCGGGTTTCAGAGACAAGGCTGGTGCAGAGGTGGGTGTAGATAAAGGATTGTAGTTGCTTGGTGTGATGGATGGAGTAGAAGGATTGGAGCTTGTGGCATAGACGTTTGGCAGCATCGGCGACTGGCTGCCGTACGTGTTGACCAAGCGCTGGACCGGAGATTGTCCAACCGCAGACCCTTGCTGCGTAGATGCAACGGAAGAGGATTCTGAGGGTTGTGACAAGTTGCTCGACACTGGCTGCGCGCTGGTCCCAGTGGGCGTACCGGCCTGCTGTCGAAATATGGGATCGTATCCCAGACACTCGCGTTTCGATTTCCTGCAGTTGTTACAGGTTGGGTGCGTCTCGTCACACTGCAAGAAGAGAAGGGTGTCAGTGCAAGTTTCGCAGCAGGCGCATAGAGAGGGACGCCAAAAGGCTAGCTGACAAAAATGACGGCGATGTAGAGGGCAAGGAAAAAGAGAAGAAGCGAATCGCAAGCCACTGGCGGTGAGACTGGAGGGCGGACAAGATGCGCTGAGGCAGTCGCTGGCTGGCGAGTGGGATAAAGAAGAGGTTTGCAATGGTGCGATTGCGCTGAGTCTCACGCTCGGGCGGGTTTATAGGCGCGCCACGAGTTTCAAAGTTTCTCAGCTCCCTCGGCCGGCAGCTTCAGCTCGGATAAGAGGGGCCGCTTTTTTTTTTCCTCCCTTCCTCGCACCACCTAAGCTACCGCTTGCAGCTCCAGCGTAGATTGTCGCAAAACAAAGGGCAAAACAACAAACGAAGAAATCGCAGAAAAGAAATCTTGTAATGACAATTGGAAGGGTAAATGCGCAGGAAAATGTAAAGCCGGGTTGAATTGGCTCCTGAGAAGGGATGAGGGTGGGTTTGCATCCTCGCACCTTTATACGTCGTTTGCGGCATGTTAAACAGCCCGTCTTGGTTCGTCGCTTAATTTCCTGCGTGCCACCATATCAGCTCCAGTTCTGGTAGAAAACAGCCCAATTGCATTCTCCGGGCCCAATTGGACCAAGAGTGTCCTCTGCTTTTGTGAAACGTACTTTCTTGGGGCCTCGGTGGTTCATCAGTCGAGCATCGTGAGGGAGAGGATATCGAGACAGGCTATCCTGAGAGAAGCCGTAGTTGGAAGGTAGAGGCGTCGAGTGGCTTGCGAAGTATGGAGGGGCCGCCGAGACGGCAGTAAGGGGCATGCTCATGGCCATGGACATGGAATGGTGAGGCATTGGAGGGACGGATTGCTGCGACATGGCGTCGATGGTCCGCATGCTGGGCAACGACATCTGAGGAGTGCCCACGGGGCTCACGCGGTATGCGTCAGGCTGAGCTGCGGCTGTAGCTGCGGGATACGAGGCGTATTGGGTGGTCGGAAGTCCCGCAGCATGGGAAGCATAGATTGGCGACGAGGACGAGCTGGTGGGATAGCCAGCGTGTAGGCCATGGAGAGCCGCTGGCCGGTGGCTCGTCATATCCGACTCGGACTCGGGGGTCGCGGTGGTGTTGGTGGTAGCGTTTGTCTCGGCCTCCCGGCCCGTACCGTTCTGCTGAGAAGGCGGCGGTTGTGTCTGAGGCTCGTGATTCTGCGGCGGCGGCTGCTGTTCGCCCAGCTGTAGCGGTTCCTGTGGTTGCTGCTGTTGCGGCTCCTTGTGCTCTTCCGTCTGCTCTTCTAAGGGGGGCGTAGGGGCGGCGACGGCAGTGGGAGTCGGTTCTGAGGAGGTGGACGCTGTGATCGGTAGCTCGCCAGAGACTGCTTTTGTGGGAGAAGCAGGTTGGAGTTGAGGATGAGGAGCAATGGTCGAAGCGGTGGCCGACTCGTCGCCTTCGCGACCTCCTCCTCCGGAGAGAACCATTTTCTAGGTCTGGTTTAATTTAGAAATTTATGGAGCGGCATGGGACTGGTCGAACAGGGGACGTGACCCCGGGCCGGTAGCGAGAAGCGACAGGAGAGAAGGGAGGGCTGGAGGGCTGGCGGGCTGGCGGGCTGAAAGCTCTGGGTCGTCGTGGAGAAGGAGATGGTTGTTTGTGATATGCAGCGCGGCGCAAAAAAAGCCAACCACAGATGAGGCAAGGCAGAGAGCCTAGAGCGGTGCTGCTGCAGACAAGGTACAGGTGCCCTTCTGGTAAGCTCCCGCAGAACGAAGCAGGAGCTGCATCTGCTTGTACCGGTACCTGCGGGTCCCGTCCAAGTGCTCCGTCGGCTTGTGGGCGGACCCCCAGCAGGGCCGCTGGCACCTGTGAACGGAGTACAGGTACGGCCTCAGCGCCATCCAGTATTGCTGCGCAGCTCAGACCTCGACTGTGATTTAGCGGTCGGCCCCAGCCAGGACCAGGGGGAATTACTCGGCTACTGCTAGTGCCAGCTCCTTGCCAGCTCCTTGCCAGCTCCCGGAACTGCCTCCTACAGGTACGTGTACAAGGCACACGATGACCTCTAGGAGACTCGGACTGAGGGTAGATGTTTGGACCTCAGCAATTGGTCGGAGCCTTGGCCGAGCAGGAACCAATCAATTGGATAAACGAAGATGATGACAGTCCGAGATAGGGAGGCCCTTGAGACAGCGTACCAGCACCCCTCTCCAGAAGATGGATGCTAGCTGAAATGAAGGCAGACGTCGAAGATTGCATCAAGCAGATGCAAAGTACTCGTACATTAATGTGATGGCGAGGTTACAAAGCACACAACTCTTGTACATGTAAGATGCAGCAGAGGACGCAGTACCTCATGCTACTGCATCAGGGCTAGCAGTACCTTGGGTAGTACCTACATGCGTAGCGGCAACTAATTCAGGCAAAGGCCGCCTCATTGGCGATATGCACACTGCAGATGCAGACGCAGACGCAGACGCAGATGCGATGCAGAACCAAGACCAGAACCACACAACCACAATATCAGCTAGCTTCCAGTAGTAGTAATAGATCACTTTTATGTTCCTGGTAGTATACTCGTATATCGATCATCCTGTCTACCTGCATACTCACTGCTCTGTTGTAGTAGCACTAAAATACTGATGGCTATTATAGTCGCGGAGCCCCGTGCAAGGTAGCAACATTTGGGACCGGACTAGTAAGCGAGCCATCACGGACAGCTGCCGGTTCGCTGAGAGCTGAGTTAGCTGCTGTGCCCCGTGTCAGGTCCAATGTACGTACAGTCGATACCACCACCTCCAGTACCTACAGTACAAGTATGCTTGTTGGTGATGGAGGGCTGGAGGGGTGCATGGCCCGGCAAGGCGGCCGGATTGCCGTTGCCCCGGTCCAATCGACTGTCCAGCTGCACGGGCAACCCTGAAGATCTATTGGATTGGCCTCTGGCCACGGCATATTCTTAGTACATACATGTACGAAGTCGTATTGCCATCTCATACCAAACCACACCAAATCACATCAAATCACACCCTCCGCCGCCGCATATTGGTGGTGCCAGCACTAGCAGCCGCAGCGCCATTCATCATCTAAAAACGCGTATGGAGGCGTGGCATTAGATGGCTCTCATTTAAACAAATGAGGTAGCCAAGTGTTTGAATTTACTCGTCACATCAGAAGGAACCTTGGCGCAGTACGTACCAAGCAGCATTGCCCGCAAAATGGCAAAAGCTCACCTCCCAATGCCAGGGGCGCAAGGGCAGACTTGGAATACATACGTACTTGTACACACATTGCCCAGAAGCCAGATAAGACACGTGCCGCCGAGAGATAACGACACCGCATGGCTGTTCTCGGTGAAACCACCCGGCTCAGCTGTATCCATCTGAACATCTGCTCCATCCCTACTACTTGCACATGACTGCCAACAGGGCCATTGACGCCGGGTTCCCTGCAGTTACGGTGTATCCAATGCTCTGCTGTAGGCTGCACGAGATGGAGCACCTGCGCTTTGCCAAGAGACACTGAGGCACTTGGCAGCGAGGTGGGCTTCTTCTTGGCCCGTCGCCCTCACAAACCACAAACAACCCACAAACAGCAACCCAGTCGTCGGCTAACAGTTTCTAGGACCAAATACGCAGTGCGTTCCACTAACCTCTGATGCTCGTGGAGCCTCTTACATGTATAGTCCGGTGCCCGCACTCTCGCCATAAGCAAGCGGCACCAAGAGACGCCGCGATAACGCCTGTCTGGAGATAAGATCGATGGAGATGCAGATTGGCGAGCGATAGACACGAGTAAAAGAAGGCCTTCACACTTGACATGCTCGTATGGCAACTCAACTTGGAGACACCGTGCAGACAACCCATTGATTACTTTGTGCCACTTGGCATGCGCATCTGCTGTCACGGCATCATGAGCAAGCACTTCTCTCACCCCCCGGCGGTCTTCAACGCAACCGTACCTGTACGCAGGTCACACGAGTGCTTTCAGGCATCGTATGCGGGGTACGTACATGCCAGAATGTCTCTTCAGACAAGGTGTTTTACTGTCTCCTAGAATCCAGGCTCAGCTATGTACAATATGTTGGCGTTATATCGTCACATCCGCGCGTTGGAAATAGAACGAAAGCGGCTCCCGCTAGTGCTTCAAGAAGGTAGCAGTATCATACTGGTAATGCTACTTGTACTTCTCTTGCCAGGTGCAGCTAATCGCGGCACCACTACAACCCTGGCTTCAAATTCCGGCTCGACGGAAGGTAGCGTGGTGACAGGGGGAATCGGCTCATAACGGTGAGAGCTACATGCGAGCACCGGCTTTGTGCTTGCATATGGTCTGCCTATACTGCTTGTACATGTGTGCTGCACTGCAGCCCCCGGATGCTTCGCCGATGCCCAGGTAGTCAGTTGAGAGGGGGCGAGCTGGTAGTATCAAGATCGGTACAGTGTACTGAAATATCTGGCTTCGATTATACCCGAGACAATGCTTACAACGGTATTTTGGAGACGAGTCAATCGAACTTCTCGCTACCAAGAATCCAGCTCCCAACGCCTAACCCACTCCTCATCCGAGTGACAAATATGGAGTAGCGCTCTTACCAGGACTAGCAGTGTCGATATACAGGCGAGGCAATTGAGCCGTTTTCTTTGCGGGAGAGCGAGAAAAGGAGCTCACCGAACCTTCTAGGTTCCAAAAAGGCTTGTTGCCTCCTCCAGGTCTGCAACTATATCCCAGCATGGGCCCATGAATAATACTGCTGGTGCGTACAGAGCAGGTACCTATATTGTGGATCGTCTAGAGTCTGTTCGGCCTCCCGTGACTACGATTTGGTACAATTACGTGTAAGTCCCAGTCATTTATCGTCATGAAACCCACTGCTGTTCTGCTCCTATTACTCCGTACCAGCGGCTAAAAGCCAGCCGCTGATAGGAAGGGCTACGACATGACAAGCATCACCACTTAACGCCAACTAATGTTTCCCAGCAGATGACTTCACTGCATTCTGATAGGCTGGCACCGAGCACTGAAATCGCCCAAGGAAGAAATGAGACCCAAAGCTGAACAACCTGGCCCTGGGCCGCGCAATTTCTTTGCGGACTAGCAGTCTGCCAGCAGCTCCGAATTACTACTTCTTTTCACATGATCGAGATCGACTGGATATGAATCCTTCCGAGAAGTGGAGGTAGCAGCAAGATGTCGGGATAGAAAATAGAAAGCACACAAAGGTCAAGATGCATGTGCTGACAACAGCGGCAGTCATCCTATCCCGTGTGCGGAGTGCGTCGAGTAGGGGTACTAGGAAGGGAACGGCTGCTACCTCGACAAGGCGAGAGGCGAGAGGCTGCAGTATCGGTCACGGAGAGCCGCAGCCACTCTGTTGCAACAGCTGCTCCGCACTCCACCACGACAATGCAGTCAATACCAATAGTCCCCCGAGGCGCTACTTTACTATGGCCTGTGAGAGCACGGAGGAAGATCATTTTGGGCTACGGCTGATGCTTGTAGCTTTATACCTACTACAAGTAGGTAATAGAGGTGCCGCCAAATGCCACGAATACCTAGCATTGGCTACAGAAAGTTCGGTACCGCATCATCGCCGTGTATGTTGGCCAAGTTACGGATCAAGGATCGGCCTGGCTCTCAGCGAGAGCCTTGGCAGGCCATCAAAAGGGACGACAGCCGCACATACCAGCATCTGGGAGCAGCGCTGCCATTCTGTATGGCTGATGAACCCGGCAGCACTTCCCCATGGGTGCCTCAGACGCGCTGCGACGCCTGCAATCGACTTCAAGTGTCACAACTCCGTATGTCGCACACCCGACCTCCATGATGCAGACCGCACCGCTCATCCCCAAGTATCTGCCCCGGAACGCACTTCCGTTACCGCTGCAGGGATCCAGGTGGCTGGGAGGGTGACACTGCGGCACGTCGCCAGCATCCGCGGTCAAGATGGACGTGTATGCTGTTAGCACGAGTATGCCGTGGCCTCTTGTTGGCTTTTTTAGTCTACTGCTAGCACGATGTCGGTTGAGAAGACACTATCGACGCTTCATGCCAGCCCACCATGCAAGGAGGATCTAGCCGCATGAGTTAACTTGCCGGCTCTGCGACTTGTCGGCAGCTCCACAAGGCGAAGCGTCTGTTCTAAAAGTGCTGGCCCATTGAACTTGTACACTGGTGCCATCGGCTGTTGTTAGAGGCATCAGTCGCACTGCAATCTCCGTATAAATCAATCGGGATAATTAGCTGTACATTCAGATAAGCGAACAGCAAAGTTCTGGGTAAGATTCTTAGTCTTGAAGACTCCTAATTCTGCCGCTGCCGCCCTTACTCATACTGTACGGGTACCGGTAGTCATCCAGGCAGCATTGAAAGCAAAGATGAGGTGATGAACAGCAACCACTGGTACAAGAAGCTGACCATCGAGCGTCACATTGCCAACTGAAGCTGAAGACGGCCTGGCTCTGGCCCACTTTTCGAAGCCTGGCTCTGGCCCCCCCTATTACTATCACCATACTGTATATTGCAGAGCACAGATACGGACTGCAAGTGCCTGTACAAGTATGGCTTCGTGCGGCTGGGGTGCGCAAGCAGGGAAGACTTAGTGCGGTAGAGGTGGCAGGACAGAGTCGCAACAGACACCATCACGAGACAAGGCTGCATCTTCACCGTTGTTCGGGCCTGAGGCGTTGAGACATCCTCCTTGTTGGCAGAGACATGCATACTCTAGTAGGTAGTAGTGGTGTCACCACCACCACCACGTACCAACATGCATCCAGCAAACTTCAAAATCCATTTATGGAAACCAACTCCGCATTATGCATGCTGTTTGTACTCCCTACAACCTCCTGCAATGTTGGTCTGATCTCTTTCTAGGTCCGGGTATGCAGGCCGCCCGAGCCACCGAAAAATACCGAGCCACTCCATGTCCTTGCTAGGCCCGTCCCCTTTCTTTGGCAATGAGCAAAGACAGAGGCTGCTAGGTACTGCTAGCTAGGGCTGCTCACCCATGCTTCTTTTTTTGCTTTTTCTGCTCCTCCGCCTCCTTAATCGACGGCCAGGCTCGCTACCAGCCTAAATTGACGCGGCAGATAGCCCCTAGTCATCGTGTGCGGAGAAATGCTACAGGTTGCCTGCAGGCATGCATTCTGTGTGCCCGTGCTGAACATGGCCACGCAGTAGTATCATATCACATGCAGGCGGTTTTTCGATATGGCATAATACGAAGCAGTTTCACTACGGCAAATCTTCCGTAGCCCTACCAGCGAGCAAAAGTACGTATCTCTCCGCACAAGTACAACCGTGTTATTGCAGAGATGCATTATATAGATGATGTCTCATAATCTATCCTATAGGATCGTATCCCATTGGGAGATGTTCATCCGCCTGCAGGAAGCCAAGGCCCCAAGACCATACGGCAGCCGACTTACATGGATTCTCGACCGCATTGTTGCAGCAGGGGCTCCACCGCCTGCCAGTCGAGCCCTGACTCTCTCGTCTCTGCTTTTTCGTCTCCAATGACTATCCAAGGACTGGCGCGGCATGCCCGTGTCTCTCTATCATAAGTCCACGCCAAGCAGCTCTTCCTATTCCGGCACTTGAGGCGGCACGCGTCTGCCGATACGATCTCGTCCCATTCCGTGGTTTCGTCGCCCGTCGGCCCCACGTAGTCCCGCATCTGACGTACCAGCTCGCTGCCAGCGTTTTGGAGTGAAGTGTTGGCAAACAGCTGCCACAGCTCACCCCAGACCACGGGCTGCTTCCTCTCGGAGAGTACATGGCCGATTTTTTCCATGGCCCCTGGCTTGCGGAGGCCGTGGAGGGATACGAGGGGCGAGCAGAGGCGGTCTCCCAGCACTCGGGCCATCTCGGGGGGCTCACCGTTGAAATGGTGGCTATACCGCTCGTCGAGATATATCCCCAGTTTGATCAGCGTCAACCCTACCAGTCGGTCCCCCCATGTCTCGTCGAGCGAGTTGATATATGACTGGGCGACGATGTCGGGGCGATCGAATAATCGCCGCACTGCGTCTCCTGAGAGCAAGATACCAGACCCTCCATGTGCAAATCGAGTCTTGTAATCGCCTACCGCATTGCCTATGTACCATGACCTGGCGGGATCCAAGTGGCTTAGAAGAAGATACAATGAAGGCCCGATCAAGAAGGTATCGTCGTCAAGAATAACGTACCACTTCTTGCTAGGCATCTTTCTGTAAGCCAACTCCATGCCTGCTATGAACTTGACCGCTCAGATGTTAGCAGTAGTACTACAACACACGGGTAGAGAGGGGAAGGGGTGGTTTTTTTCCCCCATGAGCTACCTTCAAGGCGTCCAACTCCCACCCAAATCTCTGTCCAAGCTCACTCGCCTTGTCCTCGTCGGCGGAGTCTATGGCTTCTTGGAGAGAGCGGTACTTCCCGAAGCGGGGATGGTCTTGTAGCGACGGACCAACTCTGGTCTCCATCATCAAACTTACAACATTGTGCACGCTAGGCAGCCCATCAACCGTCTCATTTGTCGCCGTCCAATCGCCAATGACAATAAAGTTGCTGTTTTCCTCGCCTAGAAGGTCACCGCTGTGGGAGAAGGCGTTGATCAGTGCAGGTACCCGGTGTCGTGTGCCATAGCCCGTCTTGACAATGTAACCGACGTCCTCGCGTAGGCTTAGCGGGTAAGGCGCAGGACGTTGGTCCAACCATGCGTCTCGGTTCGTGGTTGACACGCGGAGCGAATTCAACAGTCGAAAAGTATTGAAGGTGACAGACAACTTGATTGGAGAGCCGGGGGGTAGCAGGAGGTAAGCGGCGCTGAGAGAGATGAAGAGACTAGCAAACACGAGGATGAACCGCCGGCGAGCAGGTCGTGGCAGAAAGACCATGATGGCCCAGGAAATATGACCCGAAACAGCTCGTAGCTGGAATCTTCTTTTTTTTTGGTGTCTCCAAGATGATGCTGACTCGTAGGGCAACCGACTATCCACCACTACGCAAAGCCAGAAACACGTCTAAACCCTCAAGAAACAGACATAGAGATGGAAAGTGACTATTGGATCATTATTAAAATAACAGAGAAGAAGTACTATTGCCCATACCAGCTCCTTTAACCAAGGTGGCTATGTCCAACGCCATACTAATCAAGGCCGTTCAGGGGATTTCTCTATTTTCCTACTCTCCATCTTCATGACTCTGAAAATGGTAAGTCGTAGCTAATAGTAATTGAAGATCTGCATATAGAAACTAGGGTCCAGTCCCGTCTTTCAAGCCGCCTCCATGCCGGCTCACACAAAATTCTCCATAGTCCTTGTGCAGATCAGCCAACGTACGAGCGTCTATTTTACTACATGGAACGATAAAGACGTCTTTACGGCTCGTTTTTTTTTTTTTTTTTTTCACTCCGTCATTGTTCTACTCTCACAGGCCGTTACAGTCGCTATATCCACTTTATGTCGTCAGGCGTGAAACTCCCTCAAAGGGGGGGGCTAAGCTGTGGTGTCGGTTTTACTAGTGGAGTGATCGACGACGAGTGACGCGCGTTTGTGGCTGTAAGTTTCAAAGCACGCCGTTGTGTGATTTATACGAACACTCTCTTTCTTTTCTATGTACCTACGTGTACCTAGTTTACCGCATAAGTCACATCAAAAACTCATCTACCGCTACTTTCTCAGCAGCAATCATTATAGGGGGACCTACAAATAAAGATTGTTCCTGTAAGACTTCTCCCCAAAAACATCCACCAAAGTAATCACGGCAAACGAAAAACAAAAAAAAAAAGAGTAACTGCAACCAACTCGGCAAAGGTCAATCGTCCTCAAAAAGGAAAAATTGCTGACTCACAAAGGGGGGTTAAAGAAAGTGACTGGGATACCGTTCTGTCAATTAAGCTTAATTACTCCTACATGAAAAAGCAGCAGACCAAGCGATCCGACATCCGCGAAATGAAAGAAGTGACAAAAAGACGTTCCTTATTCTATATAAAGACTTGATTCTCTGAAAAAAATTACATTGCTAAAAAAAGAATCTTTTCTTTTGATTAGACCCATATTTTAAAAATACACTTGATTCCTTCCAGAATGACAATGGTTAATGGGCTAGGCCACATTTCGTCTCGTCTCGCCTCGCCTCGTCGGGGAAATTATGTCGTCTGTCACAGGCAATCTCATCTAATTAAAATGGCACACAGGCCAGTATTAAAATAGTAATAATACCCAAATCTACAACGATATACTCAAAGCAACGCTTTTTTTAGATGCTACTTATCATACAAGTACCTGTACTTTTCTTACAACGCTCTCTTCTTTCATGTGAAAACCCACCCCCCCATTCATTCGATTATTTTCCCCAAGTAATGATACTCCCCTACTCCCCTTCCTCTATTTCATATATTCAACATAAGTTCCTCGGCTGAGCAAGCCCAGCAAGTTCTAGTCCAAGTATGTTCTTTTTTTGGTCTCCTTTTACCTCTTTCTACAGTAGTACAAACCCCCGAAATTGAATGAAAAAAAAAAACGCCGGATAATGCAACAAGGCAAATAAGATAAAAGAAAAGGGGGCTGGATGCGAAAAACAACGAATGCTACTCCAACATACGCAGTCAAAATTGCATGTGAAAGTATGCTGTAATCATAATCTTTCACATGGACACATCGTTCCTCATTGCTCAGTGTCCAGCTCGTAGAATAGCAGATACACTTCTTTCTGCATGCCCAAGACTTCGCTTGTCTTGGCTTCGCGAACTTTTTCATCGCTTACTCGCCACCACTTTTCTGCAAGCTTTCGCTTCTTAGGTCGAGGCTGAGGCTTGGTCGCCGCCGGGCCGCCAGGGGATGAAGCTCCATTAAGGCTTGACCTAGGAGCTGCGAGCTTAGACAGCGCTGACCTGGTAGATGCGGCTACAGATCGAAGGCTGCTGGTCTCACCGTCTCGGTCTTTGCCGTTAATGATGGGATTCGGGAGATCAGCAGGAACGCTCCGCGGAGGACGCAATGAGGATTCTAATGACGGCGTGGATGAGCTCGTGTCTGAGGATGGCGATAACAAATCCGGCGTCGAGATAGAAGGGCTGTCGGCTTGACGAGCGGATATCTGCGGCGTTGAAAGAGGTGTCGGTGTCTTGCTATAGATTTCTGATTTTTGAAATGTATTGATGTTGGCATAAGGAGATGGCGTGTTTTGCCGTCGAAATGCTTCGTAGTGGCCGCTGTTATGGCCTCCCCTATGCGTCACGACGCCAAGTAGCTTATACTTGCGCTGCTCCGCGACACTTCCCAGAGGTAGCCGCTCGGGAAAAGACACCTTGGCCGAGTTTTTCTGCGTAATCTGACCAACGCCATAAATTGATCGAGACAGGTGAATGGCCAGGATTTTAGGAAATGTAGACATGCGCGTCGTCTTGGCAATCTTTCTCTTGGGCGCATACCGAATATCGCCGAGTTCCACATCATCGGGCGGCCGTTCGGGGTCTGTCTCTATAGCTATCTGAAGCTTGTCGATGTTTTCTTGAGCTAGAGCTCTAAAACTCTCAGACGTTGTTTTGGCCATTTCCTGTTCCAGGTTGGTTTTTGTCTGCACCAGTCGACACATTTCGCACTTGAAGTCGTCGATATACTCCGTCTTAAATATACCGTCAAAACAAAGGCTCAATGATGTCGACGACACTTGCGGGACCGCTAGTGTCAGAGTACAAAAAGTCTCTTCTCTTGGCTTGGTGGTGTAGCCGCAAGTCTGGCACTGGATATGCGACTCGTATTTTCCCTCCAAGGGAAATCCTTCGTCGAGCTCCGACGGAGCCTGGATCTCGCGAACTGCTCTTTGGACATCTGCCAGGTCAATATTGATTGCGACTCCAGTAGTGCTGTCGGCAGCATCCTCTGACCTATCGGTATCGTTGCCATCCTTGGAGTTCGCATCGGCTGCTGCTATTGAGCCCAGGTTCCGCGCATGCAGCCGCGCCCTCTCGCCGGCATGAAATTCGTCCTTGAGTCTTTCCGCCACAATCTGCAAGAACTCTTGCGCGTCCTGCTGCTGTCTGCTGATGCGCTGCTTAAATGCTATCTCCAGCACCTTAACAAAGGGGAAGGGCGAAATGGCCTTTTTCGAAATGGGCCGCTCGTTAAGCGCATCCAGCATCTCCTTTAGCCCATGTGTTACCAGTCCATCCTGAAGACCCTGCAGCTTCCACTGCGCAAGCTGTGTCCCGTCCAGGGGCTGCACCAGGTTCGCGTACACGGCCGGGTCTTCGATGCGGCGGCGATGTGTCTCGCGGATCAGGTAGACGCGCAGCTCGCCCAGCCCTGCCAAGGCCTGCAGCACCGAGTTGATGAAGCAGTCATTGGCCTGGTTGCGCAGGCCGACGATGGTCTTCTTGCGCGAGCTGGTGGTGTCGTGGTCGATGGTGAAGGTCGGGCCGAAGACGTAGATGAGGGCGGCTGCGGCGAGAGACGCTCCGGCGGCGTAGGAAACAACCGACGTCGTTTTATCGGGCATGGCTGAGGCTGAGGCTTGATGGGGATCTCGCGGGCAGCGAAGCGGAAGCCTCGGGTCGACGGGCACGAGGGTGCGGAGTCGCGGATATCCGAGATCGAGAAGGAGACGGCAGCGTCAGCCAGCAAGACGGAGCAGAAAAAACAGACTCCCGGCGCGGCCGCACAGGGCAGACTGAGATTCAGGCTCGGCGTGCGTGTGAGCGCTCAGACGGCTGTGGCAGACGTGGCTGGCGGTGACGGCATTGCAGGACGGCCTCTGAGTGTGAAGAAGAGCAGAAATAGGCGGCTCGTCACACAAGGCCGGCGGATCCAAGGCAGAGGCTGATCGGAGACAGATTGGCTGCGTCGACTAGGCCCAGTACGAGATACTTGTGCGAGACGGTCCGCAAATATTATGCGGCACGCACAGGAGACCGACTCCGCTGCTGTACTGCGCGATCGCGAACGAACCGGAGGCTGACGGCGGGGAGCCCCAGATTCCTAGCGCAGCCTAGCAGGTGTCGGCGAGAGTTTCGTGGCGTCTGTCACGCTCCATTGTGTCTGGCCGGTGAAGCGAAGCCGACGGTGATTCTTTCTCTGATCGTTGCGTGTTCGGATTCGGCAGCCGCACTTCGTATCGGCCCCAGGCCCTGGCTGAGCTCCAGTGGATATTTCCAGATACAGCAGCAAATGGGACCTCTGCTGCTCTCGTCGTCTTTTGTCCCCGAAACTTCTGGGTCCCGATTTTCGGGTCCGGCAGGCTGGATGGTGAGTGCGTTTGTGCCTGGGCTAAAGGAGCGAAGCGCCGATTAGGCTGTGAGGCGCGACGTTAGCCGGACTTTTAGGAGCCCCAACGCCGAGCCGCAGTTGAACCGAAGTCCGGGGGGAAGATGATGCATGTGCACATTTACCCTGGAAGATGAAGGATATGCGAAATTATAGATGCCATGAGCATTCTAAAGATGGGTAGATGTGTCGCTTGATTTTTTTTTTTTTCTCTGTTTTTCGTTCTTGGTTCGTTTTACTATATGTTGCTTCAATAACAACGTAGGTAGATACATGTGCTAGTATGTGCATCTAGCGACTTATAGCCTTAACATATAGACTTAGTGAACGCGTATTAGTATTATCCATTGTATTTTATTCCTCCGACAAAGATTCATTTTATCCTAAATTATCTATATAACCAAAGGATACAATTTTGTCTATTCCCATATTATTTCCTCCATGCCCATTGAATGATTGTAATTACTAGTAAAACCTTGAGAATGGCCGCATGAGAGACGCCCATTTCTTTGTATACGACTTTATGGAATTGATGAACATATATTTGACTTTTTTTATGCTTAGTTCATCATATTTGTAATAATTAAAATGTTTGCATGATACCAAGACTTGGAATACCACATACAGCTACTTGGGATAACAGTGAGATTTCGCTTGGCTATATGTATTCATCTATACTACTAGATGGCGCCTGGCCCTATAGACTTGGACATATCTTTTTCCTAAATAACCATCTACCCTTTTCTTAACAACTCGTTGCATCTCCCAGTCCTAGGTCGCTAGCTGCCAACAAAAACTCCATGAAACCAGCACTGGTTGCACGAAGGTTGGAGTTATACTGAGACACGGTTGGGTAGAATGGGCAAGACGCGGCATTGTTGGGGAAGCCAAACTCCACTGTGAACGAGTGAACAAGACTCTTGGAAGAGTCGACAAAGTGTCGCGAGTAGGCATAATCGTCGCTGGCGCCCGATGTGGGATACAGATCGGATGACTGGAAGGCATCGTAGCTGCGGCCGCCGCCTCCGGTCAATCCAGCAGCAATGCGGTTAGCCGCGGTGATCTTGTCGTTGAGTTCAGCCTGGGGAACGTATTCGCCGTAGCCTCTGCCGGGGCTGGGGGTGTCTGTGAGAATGCCACGGACGCTGCTGTAAGAGCTGTTTTGGAAGTTCATGTACGAGTACTGGGACTGGTTCTCGTCGCTGCCCCAGTTCCAGAGCACATCCCCCGCATAGGAGTGAAGGTCGACAAACCAGCGGATCTTGGAGTATGTGTCAAACACCCACTTGATGTTCTTGGTCTCGGCCTCTGAGAAAGCACTGGTTCCATGGTAAGTCTCAGAGCTGGGCGACGTTGAGGCGACGCTTGATTGCACTGATGAGGAGAACAAGTGGGTAAAGTCCCAAAGGAAATCGAAGTTGCGGTTCAAATCAACTCCTCCAGAGTTGGAGTTGCGGTTCTTTCGCCAGCAGCTGTTGGTTGACTGGTCATATGCCACGCCATCAGGATTGCTGAGTGGAATGAAGACGAGTCCTGTGGACAGGGCCTCTTTGACCTGGGCGTTGGTGTACGACTTGGAGCCGTATGTCAGACCAACGTTGTTCTGGTTGGCGTACAGCAGGTCGGCAGCGAAATAGAGTACGCTGTCCGCGGATCCACGCTCTCGAGCATGGATGTTGCCGTTGATGAATGTGCGATAGGCATTGGTGCAAGTACCGTTGCCGCCAATTTGGGCCCCGATAACAGTGGCTCCCTGCGCTGTCTTGTATGGGGTGTTGAATGTTTGGATTCCGTAAGTGTTTACAAGGCCTTGCAGGCCACTCTTGATCTCATTGACGTTGAGAATGGTGCTGAAAGAAGTAGATGATGACTGAGTGCCCAGCCCTCTGGGTGCAGTTGCGCCGCTCTTGAATCTGTCGCCTGTTCCGATCGGAGTTCCATTGCTGCCCTGGCGGCGGACGATTGGCTTCATCACAGTCTCATCCCGCTCATGAGGGAGAAGACATCCCGACGTCACTTGGGTGAGCGCGAGAAGCGCCCAGGGAAGAACAGTCTTCATTTTGTTTGATGTGTTGTTGTTTGTTTTGTGTAAGAAAATGAACAAAGAAGTCGAGGTGTTTCCAAATCTTGTTAGAGAACTTCCCTTTCTTTTATAGAACTCGAGCGTATGATGCGATTTCGGAAAGCCGCACGTTATTGGGATCAATAACAGTGTTACATTGAAATCTTGCGGCAATCCGCCTACATCGGGAAGCTGGAGATAGTGAAGCGGGAAGCTTTATTTGAGCTGCCAAAAAAAGAGGGTCTTTTTATTCCGAGGACTGAGAACAGAAGAGAATCAGAGTTGCATTTGAGTCGGCCGCTTGCCTCTCACCGTTTAAGAGAGACAAAAGTGCCATGTGCCCCACGTCGGGCACTTACATGTCTCATGGTGCGGAGTATGGAGGATGTTTACAAGTAAGACAGCGGGCTAGTATCCAAGAGATAGTCTGATGAATAGAAACTTTAGCAGTGCCAAAGCTAGCCATCTGAATAACGATGTTGATTCCATTAATCTTTGACTGATGTTGCAGTATTCCTGATTTTAACAGTACCGACTCCCATCAGCTGGATAGCGGTGCATGTATCGAGAACACAGATGGCCTACATTGGCTTAGCTGCTCCGTACTTGTGATTGCAATATTGGCGGTCGGTCTGTGGACTAAGTGAATCAACTGCAAGGACTTTTTGTGCATGATGTAGATAACGGGTTATCCCTACCGGATTAAGAAGGTCGCCAAACCACAGCCTCACGGCAGTGTGTTCTCGATCCTGGCAGTGCCGGAGAGCTCGTCTACTGGATTAAACCCGCAATCACTGTGTTTAGATAACAAAGGCCTTCTTTCACATGGCGACGGAGACATTGCAGAAGAGCATGGCCTGTTTCCCGGTTTCGCCAGATGCTCCGGTTCTTTGTCCCCAAGGGATGGAAGTGAAACGTTGGATGATGGATGCCACCAGCCGTAGCCACAGAGTACGGCGAGTTTTTTGCTGCCTAGCGCGGGGTTTGCAATTCTGAGGAAGAAGACTGGAATTATGATTATAACTCTAAATTTAATCTTTGGAGTAAACATGCCAGCAATTGATCCTACCTGTAGAGATACTCAGCTTCCTATTGCGGCGATAGCGCCCCGGCAGAGAAAGGGCATCCATGTACTAGATCGGCATGTAAACGCGCATATGTGTACATGCAGCACTCTTTAGCTTCGTCACAGCGCCTTGACGCTATATTATAGCGCTCTTTTAACACATCTGGAGGTCTAGCCATTGTATTTTTGCAGAGGGTCATTTCTCGGAACGAGATGCATCCATGTTACAATCCTTGCCAAGCACTGGTATACTATTCTCTCTAGTTCCCGATCTAGGCGAGGGCTTTTTTGAGAACTATTCATGAAAAGATTCTTATGGTAATCGCTTAGTATTAAGATGGCGACTCACTCACATACAGACAAGCACAAAGTGTGCATGTAGCTCACTGGGATTGAGCACGGCAGCTAACAGAGCTTAGATGCGTTGTCACCTATCTAACATGTGTATTTTTTTTTTTTTTTGGAATTTTACATGAAAAAACAGCTGAGAATGATTGAAAAGTATGAGCGACATTTTAGCTTCAACCGCTGATCGCTGTGCAGCCAACAGTTGAGTCGATGCTTTGTGAGTTTGAGCTTCAAACGCTTTTCTTATCAGCCAGTGCTGTCACGTGATACTCTTCTAGAAGGCAGAGCTCACTCTAGTGGCTCTGAGTAACTTTTTGACTACGTTCAGATTTTTTCCATATCCGCAGTTGACGCTTCACCGAATCAAGCTTTCATCCTGCGAAAGTGAATATATGCAGTTGGAGAGTCAATTGCCCGAGACATTTTTCTATAACACTCAAAATTCTTCTCACATTAGTCCTATTTGTTTGAAAATGGCCGACCAGCAACAGTCACCATGCCGCATCCTGGTCATGGCCTCTGGCTTTGGTTCAAACTTCCAAGCTCTTATCGATGCTGTTGCCGCAGGACGGATCCGAAACAGCAAGATTATTCGTCTTTTCGTGAATAGAAAAAATGTACAGTCAATTAAGCGAGCAGAAGGCGCAGGTTAGACGATCCTCAGAGTTGGGTTCAGAATTGGGAATGATGCATTTCTAACTCAACATTAGGCATTCCTTGGGAGTATTTCAACTTGATTAGCAACGGCTTCATTGCCAAGGGAGAAAAGGACGAGCAGAAAGTTGCTGAAGCTCGTCACAATTATGATGCCGCTCTGGCTGAGAGGATACTGTCGGCAGAGGAGAAGCCAGAGCTGATTGTCCTCGCTGGATGGATGCATGTATTCTCAAGTGGGTTCCTAGAGCCTGTGGAAAAAGCAGGAATACGCGTAATCAATCTTCATCCCGCCTTGCCTGGTAAGTCAAGTCCCTTTAGCAAGTGCTGAGAGCAAGCCTGTCTAACTGGAGTATTAATAGGGGAGTTTGACGGAGCCGGTGCAATTGAGCGGGCCTATGCAGCGCTCAAAGCTGGTAAGATAACGCGTACTGGCATTATGGCTCACTACGTAATTCAACAAGTAGATAGAGGTGCTCCCATTTTGGTCGAAGAGATAGAGTGGAACGGAGAAGAGCTGGCCGAGCTCGAGGAGAAGATCCATTCGCGGGAGCATGAGCTGATCGTGAAGGCTACGGCGAAGGTGGTTGATGAGATCTTGGAAAAGCGAGCATGATGAGCTTGAAAGACATCCAAATCTCTCATGCTATGATCAATCAACAGCGTTTGTTGCGCATGCATTTTATTCAACCTAGCGGCGTAGTCTATGTTGCCAACTAGGCGTGCCAAGCGGCCTATTAAGGTCTCCAATATTCTACGACTCTGAGATGTATACCGAGAAGCATTTCTGAACGTTACAAGGCACAACAAGCAAATATGAGTTTGGCTATTACGCAAATGACCAATACCAAGGCAGCGGAGCGCAAGAACTTGACGAGACAGCCTCAGTTACCTAGGTACACTCGGTATCACTGCATTACGATTCGTTATGTCCTGCCCGATAACAATAAGAGGGCACATCTAAGGCTTTGAATATCCAGCGAGCTCACCTGTGGTCACCCGACCATTAAACGTCATCTCACCCCCGTTTGGATTGTGGGAGGGGTGTGCTTCTTGCATGAACTAAACCCGGCCTAGAACCTTGGAACATCTCTGCCTGACGGCGTGTTAGGCCGACATGCGTACCCGATATTTTGAATTACAGTCAATATCTTTCTGGCTGCATATTATAAGCAGCACTGCATTGATATACATTTATATCCAAGAGATAATACACGGATATTAAACATACGTAGATGAGGACTGTCATATACCAATTCATCGGCATTGAGCAAGGCTTGTATCTGATACTTTTGAATACGATTGCATCACTCGTATAGCTTCTCCTGTAAACGCTTAAAGCACTAGTGTTATAAAATCTTCGACTTGCACATCTAGAAGCAAACGAAGTAATTTCACAACCGCCATTCTTGACTTTCTTCAACGGTCCAAACTCAGCAATAAATTGGCTGACATGGGCCGAAGATTAGGTCTTGTTGCTTCCGACGAACAATAGTTGGAGCAGCCAGTTGAGCATCACATCGAAGTCAGAGGTCGGAAGTCGGACATCTGAAAGAAGCCGGATTCGTTACCAGAACTGAATCACGATCGGTGAGAAGGTACTTATTTGGGCCTATTTGTTCAATAATCAACTAGCCCATTGTCATTGTGGTGAAGCGAAATGGAGCAACCTTGAATATCTAGAGTTGTGATGACATTTGATGTGTGAATTCAAATTTGATACGACGTAGGCAGATTAAAGAAAGCAACTTCGAATTCGCGACGGACTCGGAAATCGAACTGAAATAAATTGATGCACCAGATAAGGGCGTATGCATGTTTTTGGGAAAATTCCTATTGAGAAAGCCGGTTATGCGCCATATCAACATCTCATTGCATGTCGCTCCATTGCTAGAGCCTCATTGCTCAGGCATACATTGCGAGTTACTAGCTACGACCGGATGTCTGTAAATAATAATGGCATAGACCATACTCTGACACCAAGACATTTGGCGTATTAGAAGCTCTCATATGCATGATAGGTTTGCAGCCTATTACCTGCTCTATAGCGCAGAGATTCCACACCGACACGTCGTGGCGGCATCATGCATGCATTTGGAGCCCAAACTTGAATTGACTCTCATTCGTGATACTTTCTCGTACAAGGCTTGAAGTTTTCACTGCGTTGATCACCCTTTAAAACATCGTGAGAATGAGTGACCTATAGGTTGCGGTAGGTATGCAGCCACTAAGAAATGCAACCATGCCACGTCGTGAGGCTCTGTTGTTTGCAGGGATTGGACCCCGCAAACTGCTTCTACACTTGAGAGTTGGGCCGCTGTATCATTGAGTTAATGCAATGCATGCATATGCAAACAGTGCTGTTCGATACGACACCACGTCACAGCACTGAGCCCAGCGAACCAATTTATGTCGGCAGTTTTGATTTGACAACTCAAGTCTCTAGATATGCAATGGTGGCAAGATGATATACAACTTAGAATTGGGTTGGAGTGCATTTCCAGAATATGCAGAGCCGCAGCCTGACTGAATTCACATCCATCCACATCCCGCAATAACTCGCCATGGACAGTGCTAAAATATCCCATCATTCCAGCAAGGGCAAAAAAGAAATCTTTTCTTCTTTTTAATTTCCCGTCCTTCATTCAACGCAAACGCTTCTTTCAAGTAGAGCGAAAAACCCTTACCCTTGTCATCATGGCAGCAGCAATTGCCATTCCATATGCTCGCGATGACTATACTGTTGGGTGGGTATGTGCGCTACCAACAGAGCTCACAGCTGCAATATACATGCTCAAGGAGAGACACCCAGACCTCAAACTGCCAAGGGGTGACTCCAATGCCTATATTCTTGGAAAGATGGGCGAACACAACGTTGTCATTGCCGGCCTACCCAAAGGCAGAACTGGCACTACTAGCTCTGCAACAGTGGCGGCTCAGATGATATCTAGCTTTCCAAACATCAAAGTTGGCCTAATGGTGGGCATCGGTAGTGGCATCCCTCAGAAGGTCTGGCTTGGAGATGTGGTCATCAGCGCTCCCGTCGATGATCGGCCTGGTGTGATTCAATGGGATATGGGTAGAGCAGAAGACAAGGGCTTCGTTCAGACGGGGTCTTTGAATCCTCCTGCGAAGCTCCTCTTGAGCTCCCTAGCCAAATTTGAGGCCGAACAGATAAAAGTTCATGCCAGTATGATGGAATCTCTGGCTAAACAAGTGCCTGACTATTACTTCAAATCACCACAGCCTAAAGATATTGCCTATGAGTCGACCTATCAGCATGTCAGCGGAAATGACTGCAGCCAATGTGACGATAATATGGCTTTGAAGAGAGAGCCGAGAAAGCGTCACGGGCTACACTATGGGCTTGTGGCATCGGGCAATCAAGTGATTAAGAGCGCCGAGCAGCGTGACAAGCTCTATCGCCAATTTGACGAAAAGATCTTATGTATCGAGACAGAAGCCGCTGGACTTATGAACGACTTTCCTTGCATCGTTATTCGCGGCATCAGCGACTATGGAGACTCACATACAAATGTGGCATGGCAAGAATACGCCGCCGCAGCGGCCGCAGCTTGCGCAAAGACATTCCTCGATGTCGTACCTGTGAGCGAGGTTGATAAATTGGAAGCGGTGAAAAGTAAGTACATGTTTCATATACCATTTAAGAGATGAGGTGCCTGACAATTTGTTCTTCTTCTTCTAGGTCTTATCCCTCCCGGGATGATTGAAAGGACAGTGAACTCTTGGTTCTCATACTGGTTTTCTAAGCCGTCTCAAGATGCTTCTCCTGGTTCTAGTAAATAGTCCTTCTACCAGCCATCACTTTAAATCGAGTACTAATGATCTTGCGCTTCCCAGCCATGGCGGATTCAGGCCCTCAGCGATCAACAGGTCTTCCACGAGAGACAGCCGGACCCAGTAAGACCAACAACGAGAGTGTCAGTGTACATGATCCTCGGCGAGAGCATCCAAAAGCCTTGAATTCAACAACTCAATCGTCTCTGAAGTCAACTCCGACACAAACATCTCCGCCTATGGACGCCAGCTCGCACAGTAATCCAACTACCCCTCCTCCCCAATATAAAGAGTCATCCGACACCAGCGATGGAGCAATTGATTGGGCCAAACAAGACTACTTCACTCACAATCCTACTTTGAGCCCCAGGCATACTAAAGGAAAAGAGACTTTAAGGATAACCCGTCACCGTCCTGATATATTGGCCGCCGCAAAAGTGACACACCGTCAAGCTCTAGGCCAGATGGCAGCAATTGGCTCATTGTACGATGCACGCAAAGACCAGATTCTCACCCAGTCGGTTTTTCTGGAGCCTCTTTCAACAGATGCCATCTTCAGAGACATAGTGCCGTCTAAAGAGTATAGAATCGAGAATTCTGGCTCATTAATGGCAACATTTGAGCAACTAGGACTTTCTCCTGAACTGGGTTTAAGCTATCTCACTGGAACTGGCCCATACACGACCAAAGGTACTGCGGCTCACCTTGCTAATAAAAGAACGAGCGATGCTGGGCAAGAAGTCTCTGTTGTTTGCAAAGAAGTTACTATGCACGACACAATTGACATCGGCACGGAAGAAATGCAAGAAATCGTGGACGATGAAGCATTACAAGCAGAAGAGGCCACTCATATCGTCACGGGCATCTGGTGGGGTACTAGAACTGCCATAACGGCTTTCGCCTCTCCACTGGGTGCCATCGCCAATGTCAAAGAGAAAGAAGCACAGCTGGGCTCACAGGAACGTGTCGTCGGTTATCTAGGTCAGCTCCTGGATGGAAGTGTTACGACAGCGTTTTCTGCTTTTAAAGAAATCTCGAAAAGCTTGACTTTTAGGGTGGAGGCTGATATTGATCCGAATAAACAATCAGCGCAAATCTCAGATTTTGACGGCGTCTGTGGCTTCATTGGCAGGATTCCTGACGCTATAAAAGGAACCAAGACAGGAAATGGTGTCCGAATAATGTACGATTTGGTCCCAATCAAAGACTTCGCTCAGATCATAAATAGAGAGCTTGAGGGAGAGGTACAACTTGTTCAACCAATTGATCAAGAGTATCAAAACCGTGTGTTGTTCCTCTTTGAGAAGCTTTATGCGGCAAGAGTCAGTCTCAATAGCTATTTGAGGGAATTATCACGGCATGAGCTGTCAGTTCCAAAACAGCATGTTGAGACCATCAAGACGAATATTTCCCGACTGGATGACCTTGAGGATAGACTGAAGAGTGAGCTTTATCAAGATCTTCTTCGCGCGCGAGATTTCAGCTTCAAAGGAACGTATAAGCTCAATAACCCAGAGTGGGAAGCCGATATCGAAGAATTTGAGTCTTTGGTTTCGAAATATGCAGCCAAAATGACTTTTGAAAGCGGGATTGCTGCGCTGGGAATCAGATACATGCATCCTGCCGATACTACGGCAGCTTACTCTAAGCATCAGAGCGGCACATATACTCTCTTTTACAGTGACGCTGCTCTGGTCGCTCCAAGCTGGAAAGATCAATACGCTCAGTTCATGGAGCTTGCTTACGCTAAGAACTCTGAGCATTTGCTCTATGTTGTCGACTGCGATTTTGAAGCCGGTCAAGAGCTGAGAGTCCCGCGCATAGAGCTCCGAGAGAATGGTGAAGTCGTGACCAACGACTTTCTGGCAGAGCAACGGAGCTTCGCCGGGAAATGTTTTGTTCGTGCTGCCACACCAGCGGATATGGAAGAGCTGCCTGCCAAGCTGCTGGACTCAATACGAAGAAGCGTCACAATTCGTTGTCCCTGTGCAGCCGCGATAAAAGGCGACTGCTTCTGTCGAACTTGCAAGAGCGCCATCTTCCTGTTAGAAGATGACGATTACATGTATTGCAATTGTGGCAGATATAGGCCCACTAGTGCAGCGTTCAAGTGCCTTGAACCAGCTCATGGGACCAGCTATCTCACATACAAGGACTCTGAAACGCTTCTAGAGGCTTACGAGTACCAAGAATTCGAGCAGCATAATATATTGCTCTTGGGAGAGATGGGAGTCGGAAAATCCACATTCATCAACGCATTCATGAATTACATGCAGTTCGAGACTCTAGACGAAGCACTGGAGGCTCCGGACCTACACTGGGCCATTCCTTCGGCTTTCAAATACATTGAAACGAAGAATAAAAAATTTGAAACTTTTACAGTCACCGTTGGCGAAGAGACCAAAGCCCAAAAATGTTCATTAGATGGAGAGTTGGCTACCCAGAGCTGCGTGACTTATGTTCTTCACATGAACGGCTTGACTCTTCGCTTAATTGACACTCCTGGTATTGGGGATACTCGGGGCCTCCAACAGGACAAAGAAAATGTCAATGACATCTTACAAGCACTCAAGTCAGTCGAAAAGATTAGTACCATCCTGTTCCTCATTAAACCCGACATCTCTCGTCTTGGACAAATGTTCAACTTTTGCATGACAGAACTGCTTTCTCATCTCCACAAGGAGACGAATCAAAATATTGTCTTTGGGTTCACGAATTGCCGAAGCACAAATTATTCTCTGGGAGATGCCGGAATTATTCTTCAAAAATTTCTGAAAGATAAAAAGATTGATATCGCCGTTGATTACGACAACACTTTCTTCTTTGACTCGGAAGGCTTCTGGTACTTGGCAGCATACAAGACTATAAACAAAGAAATGGAAGACAAGGACAATTGTGAAAAGAGTTTTCAGCATTCTGCTGGGCAGGCGCGGCGCCTCGTCAATAAGACAGTACAGATGAGAACTCATGAAGTGCGCAAAACGTTGAGCTTGAGTGATACGCGGCTATATATCGAGGGGCTTAAGAATTTGACCATCTTGATCAACAGAATGGTCAATGAAGATCAAGAGGAAATTGAAAAACACAAGATCCACATCAAAGAGCTTGAAATCGCAAACGGCGACCTCGAGGACAAACTGAAGATGACAATTCAAAAGCCCGTCAAGAAGATGCTTCCAAGCCCGCGCACCGTCTGCACCGACAGTGAATGCCGAACTGTAAACAGAGACACGGATGGCAAAGAACACGTCGTATACAAGCAGATATGCCATGATTATTGTTACATCAAGGCGACTAATGAATTAGTCGGAGCTCCGGAAATTTCTACTTGCGAAGTCTTTGATTACTCTGCCAAGCCATGCATTGAGTGTGGTCACGAGTGGGACAAGCATCAGCACATCTCTTACACTCTTACAGTCGAAGAAGTAGAGGTTGACGACCCAGTCGTCCTGGAAACTTACAACAGCAATAAATCAAAGCTTGAAAAAGCCGAAGCAGCCATCGAATCTCTCTTGCAAAAAATGGAAATGCTTGGAGAACGCAGAGACTTTATCAACTTCTCGTTGGCAAGTTTCGCGGCCTATCTTAGCAGCGCTGCAATGGTGAGATGTAATGACGCGGCAATCACTTACCTAGACTACCTCATCGACAACGCCAAGAAAGAAGGTAGCGATGATAGCCAGCGGCAATTTGAAGAGCAGCGCCGGATATACAAAGAGCAGTATGATGAAACCACCCAGGGTAACCCGAAACCTGATCTGCTGCCCAAGGTGCCGAATTACGACGAAATCATGGAGATTATACAACAGCTCGACCAAATAGAGGTAAATGGCAGTACGGTCAAAGATCTGGTGCAAGGGAAGATGGATAATACGCTCTCTCCTTGCAATACCGTCACACTTCCACTTGAAATAACACGCAAGGGAGTTGATTCCTTCTCTTGGATAAAAAGACTGCCTCCTCGGAGCCCGTCTGTGAACTCATATGCTCTAGGGAGGAAATAAGGGAAGAAGGCGCGCTCTTTAGTCGTACTCTTGTAGGAGAAATGGCCAAAGTAGAGTCATTATTCAACGATGAGGAATATCTGAGTTGGGTGGCAAGAGCCTGAACGGAACTTCATATACTTCAGTAGCATCACTTTGCCGTCCATAATGGCATGTACAGTGATCTAAACCCGTCTTCTGTGCTCAATGTAAAATAAATCCTATTCCAAGTTATTTCAGAAAGCAGTTTTAATCCATCAAACCTTTCGCACGTTCTTGCTACGGCGGGCCCTTTGTTTCCTTATTCACCCAAGACAGATTCATTCCCATTCTCGTCTATCTTTCAACCTCTTTTATTTACTCCTTTTTACGTTTATCTACCCTTGTTCATTTGTGAAATTCCATTTGTCCGAGCAACCTCCCCCCTTTTCAGCCTTTTCTGGGCTGGGCTGGGTGTAACCCAAAGTGTTTGCAAGGGCAGCTGCTGCGCCTCCAACGTCAGGGCGTTACGGCTCGGCTCTCTACAAAATGAAATCGACCGCATTTGTACGGGCCTATAATCAGAGACATCGAATTGAGTTTTTTAAATTCTTTTTTTAAAAAAAAAGAACGCTAGTATTTGCAGCCACGAAGAAGATACAACGGCGCCACCGATCACACTCGCTCTACTTCATGATAAAGGCAGCTGGTTGCAATAACACCAGAGATATAAGTGAGACATTGTCGCATTCATGGCGTTCATGCCGCCGTTTCTTTAGCGAGCTCTCAGAAGTAGAGGCATTGGGAGCAACGGCCTACAGGAACATTGAAGGTCGGGTATCATTATGTATATACGCACGCCTACCTATGCCCATCGTGTTATACAAAGCCCTGCTTCGAGCTTTGGCTGTGGGAGCTGGGCACAGCTATTCAACTTGGCAGCCTCTTGAATCATCGGGCCAAATCGCGCACCAGATAAAAGAAACCTAGATTAGAGAGATTGTCTCACCATTTTAATTCGGTTATACGATGACTTTGTGCTAGCCTCGCAATTGCGCAGCTACGCAACTGCGCAGTTGCGCAAACATTAGACCCCCCACTTACAGCAAAGCCACAACGCGCAACAGCGCAGCATTGTCGATGATGAAAAACTGTTATAAATTGAAGCCAGCTTCGCTTCAGTGTTCCTACATCTTCACTTTCCGTGGATTTAAGCTAACTTGTTTGATAAAATATCCCTGCACTCAGAGTAAAGTCCGCCCCACAGCAAAGACATATCACTGAGCAGCGACTTTTGTCCCAACGTCACAAATCTCCAGATGCAGCGATATCTGGCTCAGACGCCTCAACAAGATGCTGGAACTTATGCTCGGCTAGTTCAAGTAGTGGGGCGTCCATTCAAAGATAAACAATGCTCATCTGTTGACTGCATCTTGGCACAAGAAAACAACCTGCAACTTGACACGCCTTCCACTGAGGCCATCTCTCCTCATTTCAGCACAGGTTACTTTTCTATTGGCTCTTCTACATTATCTTGGGCATACCACGCTTCCTTTGGCCACTTTGAGCTGCAAGTTCATACATATGCTGCTCACGTTGATGGATCGTATCTCAAGTTATCCGAGGCACGATATACAAATCAAAGTTGGCAAATATGCTCGGTGGACTTGTTTGGAGCTGCTGCGCTGGAGCAGTGGCTACATCATATTAGCACGCCCTTAGAGCAGTTTGTGACTCCATGTGATGCCCAAGCCAGTTTGAAACAACAAGAAGAAGAACAAGAACAAGAATATTCAACGATTTCAGAAAGTTCGTCTAGCTCTTCATCTCCACCTTCAGAAGAGGTGTTTTCACTCAAAAGCTCATCCAACACCGACACCAATTCGGCTTCGATTCTCGAAGAAGAAGAAGAAGCTGTTTTACACAATGCTACGGCTGAAGAAGCCTCCGGCTCAGATTTGGTGGACGAGTTTGCACGATTTACTCTGTCCTGGCTAGCGGCCTGGTCTGCAAATCGAAGAGACGATATGAGCTCCAATCGTCACGATCCAGAGGCCCACGCTCATGAAGGGCAGAGCAGCAGCCGAAGCAAGTGCGGCAATGGGCAGCAGCGCACCGGAGAAGATTCCAATCATGGAAGGAATACAAAATAGCAGAAAAGAGACGGCAGCGGTGAAGAATTGATGGCTGCGCATCTGCGTAGTTGAGCGGCGGCGCAATTGCACAAGCCCCAAGCCCCACCCCCCAACTACATGTACTTTCGCAACTGCGCCTGCGTAACTGCGCAGCGTATAATTCAGCTATGTAGCCATGAAATAAAACCACCTTCATAAACTCCTCTTACTCCATTATTTTCTTGTAGTCTCGTATCGTTAACAAGGAAGCACTGTTTGTTTTACTTATTTTGTCTCACAGCTTCTTCAAAGCACCGCGTTCATCGTCTCGACGCCGCAGCCCGACAATGCAGCATTATTCAGCCCCGATGCCTCAAATAGCGTTCGACCCTTCAGAAGAAGACGAAAGGGGTTTTGCTTGTCCGTTTTTCCAAAGAGATCCACCAAGCTTTGGGCATGGCAAATGGAAAATATGCGCACATCACTCATGGAAAGAGTATCATAGGGTCAGGTTGGTGCATATCTGCCATGAGAAGCAAAAAAAGAGAGCAAAAGACGTTGACAGATTCTCCTTGACATAGAGAACATGTATACCGCAAGCATATGCTTCCAAGCAATCATTGCGACAGATGCTTCGAAGATCTCAGAGACGCTGAATCGTTGCTGCTGCACCGTGGCCAACTACAGTGCGAACAAAAAGCGTTTCGATATGTGACAGACAGTCAGGTCTCTCAGCTAAGAGTACAGATGAAACGAGGGACTGAGGAGTTTGAAAAATGGAAAAACATGTATCGCATACTATTTCCTGAAGATACAAGCATTCCTAGCCCCTGTATGTGTTCTATGCGACTGCATGCACCTAATTTACGGCCTCGCTGAAATGCTAACCAACTACCGGCCGCTGCAGATAAAGAGGTGCCGTCTGACCGCACCGACGAATTCAGAGCCTGGGCTGCAGAAATCGAAGGCATTCGCAATTCTTCGTCTTTGGATGTCCGTACGCAAATACAGCAAATCATGAGTGTCGCCAAAAAAGCAATACGTGAGGTATGCAGCCAATCTTCAGGAGTCCAGCATGACTTCCAAGACACGACCAGTGGAGACGTTATGGCCGCTGCATACAGTGGGACAATTGATATGTCATCTACATGTACTCCCGACCTTGGCCCATTGGGGGAGTACATGAGTCTATCCGCGGATCTCATAGACGCCAGCCAACTATCCGGAGTTTCAGCTTCGATGTTTGGCGACCAAGACGACTCTGCATCTCATACATTGGATTCATCTTATGCCATGGATACTGATTTAATGGGAATCGGAGAATTCCCATACTAGCAAAGCTAGAAGCATTACGGAGCAAGCATCGGTTGGACAAGGTTTGGGAAGCCATAAGCTGTAGGTTCAGTTTCATGGCATGCTGCCTTTTTATCTTTGGGTGGCTAAGGTTGGGAGCATTATACGCTATGGCGCGTTCTATGCATGGCATTGGTAAATCAAGAGCTGGAGTTATTTTCATACAACTATAGGAATATTGGGAATTTTTTTTTGGTTGGATTGAGTAAATGGGTTAGTACTCAAGGAGATGTATTTTGATTTTATTTCATCCAACGATTCAATGGTCCGAGCTATTCGGCTTTATTTGCGGGCGTGTTTATGGCTTTGACTGCTGTGGTTGGCATATTTACGACCTTATAGCGCTATAAGTTTCAATTATTATTACAATTACGGATACACTTGGCTGTTATAACCGATTTGAACACCCCACATAGCGCAGAATAACGCCTATGTTCCGTGCTAGCTCCCGAGTCTTAGTGCATCCACTTCCGAAATAGGTAGGCAAGTGGAATGCTAGAATCTTCGGGCTGGAAGTTTCTAGCCACTTCCACAAGCAGCGATCCGATCCCATCACCACTTCTAGAACTCTGTAGTTGTTTCTCATCACATCTCTGAACGATGGAGCAACATGTTGTATTGAGAAGATTCAAGTATAAAGAAGCTGGTTGAGGCCTTCTTGACTCTACCATTCTCACTTCCACAACACACACAAACAATCACGAGTAAAGGCAACTCCTCAATACACCGCTATCAATTCCTACTCTAGAATTACAAACCATCCCACCAAATCATTCAAAATGGTCTTCTTCCAGCGCAACTTTTACACTCCCGAGAGCTCTTACACTCCTCTCTTCCGTCTCCTTGACGATTTTGACAGCTACTCACGCCAAAACAATGGCGCACAACACGCCACTCATCGCACTGTCGCACACTGGCAGCCCAAATTCGATGTCCGCGAAACGGGCGAGGCCTACGAGCTCCACGGCGAACTCCCCGGCTTGAATAAGCAGGATGTTCACATCGAATTCACCGAGCCTCAGTCCCTACTCATTAGAGGAAAGGTGGAGCGCACTTATACAGCCGGCACTCCCCCTACCGACGCTATAGAGGACGCCTCTGTGAGCGGCGCAATTACCGACTCAGAACAAGAGCGCCCCAAGTCTCCTCATCAAGCCACCGTCGAAGATGAGCCAGAAGACGGAACCACTACTGCCACTGCTGCCTCTGAAAATGAAGTTGTCAAGACTGCGCCATCCAAGCAAAAACCGACCGACACAGCCAAATACTGGCTCACTGAGCGCAGCGTTGGCGAATTTTCCCGCACCTTCAATTTCCCTACTCGGGTCGACCAGGAGGGCGTGACGGCCAGCTTCAAAGACGGCATCCTCAACGTTGTGGTCCCCAAGGCGGCTAAGCACGAACCTCGTCGCATTGCGGTGTTCTAAAGCAACTTTCTTTTACAATTTCTTGGCTTGATTATTTCTATCTTTACACACTTTAAGCGTATTTGAGCCATTCCACTTTTTTCTTTCCTTTTTCTAAAAGAACGACAATCATATGCACGGGAGCGTTTGAAATTGAGCCTTTTTTTTCCCCCTTCACAGATATACCTTTCTCTACCACGAGGGTAGCACAGTTGATCAATAGTAAATCGGGCAGTGTCGGCATTGTCAGAGGAGGAACTTTTGTTGTCTTATGATAGCTTCATACTTAATAACAACACAATAATTGAGAATATTGACTTAATGATAGCGTGTATATTGTGACATTGGTTGTCTAGATGTAAATGGATGTGTCATAAAGTCGCATTTAAAGCCAAATTTATAACGGAATCTCAGACTTGTAGTATTGAACCTTGGTAGCTGTCTTTTGATCGGCAGCGCTGTGAAACTTGAGAGGTGCTATATCCGAGTGACTGTCCAAGAGAGCAATTGATGCGACGGCGAGGACTGCCAATGCCGGGAATAACTATTTACAGTAGCTTCACTATAACTGTACTGTACACGTATCAAAAGTTATCCAGCACCTTAGTTCTATTATCTAGTACTCCTACTACTCGTGCTACTACTGCTACTACTATTACTACTGCGACTTTTAAGCGTGTGTACCTACATGATAATTCCTCGAACGCTGCAAGCTGAGGAACATTCTGTTGGACGTAATAAGTACATGCATCTCTAGGCACGCTGTGAGCCTACAGGTAGGTACGCTATAATTCACGATGCGCCTTCGATTGTGCCTTTAGCAGCGTGGCATTCTTCAAGGCTGACTTGGAGATCGATCTATTCCGCATTCAAATTCTGGCAGGGCTGTGTGCATCGTACTAAATAACACGCCAGTTCCGCTAGGTTACAATCCTGCCGCGAGGAGATATATTTCCCCCTCTTCAAACGACTGTGTCGTACCGTAATTCTTGATCCCTATATATGAGAGTTTTTGTACTGCGAAGCTACAAACATTGTGACACAAGTCGCTTCAAAATACTCTTTATAGCAGCCGATTTATCACTTTCTGAGCGCTGTAGTTTTCCGAACGCTGGCTACTACGACCTTACTCCTCTCATATGGATTCGTACCAGCATGATCCGCTTGACCTTGGCAGACCTGCGATTCGACTCGTTCGTCTTTTTCCTGGGTTTGACCCTGACCCAATAACATGCGAGCTTTTCCAAGGTTTTCTACACCAAGAGGACGAGATCATACCATATGAGGCTTTATCATACACTTGGGGCTCTGCCGAAGCGCCCAAACAAATAATCGTCAATGGGAAGATCCTTACAGTTACCAAAAATCTACATCAAGCACTGCAGCAACTCCGTGATAAATTTCAAGATCGAATACTTTGGATAGATGCAATCTGCATCGATCAAGACAATGAGAGAGAAAGGGGTCACCAGGTGCAACAAATGGGCGAAATATATAAACAAGCAGATCGCGTGCTATTCTACCTAGGGGAGAGCAATTTGGAGGTTGATGCATTCATGGACACTCTCAACATGATGGGAAAGCTCAGTCTCAACCATTCTTGCAGGAAATGGAGATCCGATGATGACCGTTGGGAGGTCGTTTGGACGAGCGCTGTCCAGGCTCTGCTGGGAAACCCGTCGCCCCGCCAAATTGCCAGTCTTCAGCAGGGCTACCGATACCTTCTCGAGCGGGCTTGGTTCAGAAGAGTTTGGATCTTACAGGAGGCGGCCAACGCGCGCGCTGGGTTGGTGTTGTGCGGCTCGAAGACGGCCAAGCCGTGGCTTTTACAAGTTGTTCAAAAGCCCCTGGGCATTGCACCGGATGATCACTGCAAAGCAGTTCTCGATGTTATGCCGGGGCCGTGGAGGACTTCATCCTGGTGGAACAGAAACCAAGATCTTTATACTTTGCTATCGAGATTTGGTGGTAGCCAGGCAACTGAGCCTCGTGACCTGATATACGCCCTGAGAGGCATGTCTTCCGATGCCAAGGACGCACCCGGCCTGTACCCGGATTATACAAAATCTGAATGGCAGCTGGTCCGTGATGCCATTTTATTTCTGTATCCTCTTCAAAACGAAGATCTGGCTGCACTCAAATTACCAACGACGATTCATGAATTAGTATCAAAACTAGGGGAGTTGGGCCATCGCATGTACTGCAAGATGTTTGAGGGAATTGCCAGAGAAAACCTAGGTGATCTGATTAAATTCCCATTCACCCAAACCTGGACCTTGATCTCTCCCTATCGAATGCAAGATGCGCAGGCGCCCGCTGAATTTAGAGATTTGTATTCGCCCTCTGCCATAAGTACTCGATTGCTATTGGCAAAATTGCAAAGCGATCGTATTGGAGATGCGGCAGCGCTCTTCCGACTCGGTCTATCAAAGAAAAGCTTACAAACAGAACATCTCATCGCCGCAGCTGAGAATATACATGGAGTAAAGCCGCTTGAGATTGTACTTGGCCTTGTGGGCCATGAATTCGAGATTACGGAAGAAGTTTTGGTGCCAGCAGCCAGGAATAATGACTACGGGGACAAGATGATGGAACTTTTGCTCCATCATCCCAGCTGTCAGCGACATATTACTCAAGACGTGGTGGTGGCAGCGGAAGATAACGCGTGGTGCGGGCATGAAATTCTGAAAATCGTCGCGAAATATCAAAATAGTCGTTGCCAATAGCTGGAGACGTGATATATCTCGGCTGCCAATTGCCAAACATGGTATAAAAGATGACAGCAGCAATAGACGTGGGCTGTGAGAATGAGGCCATGGAGGCCATCTTGAATAATCAGCTGCCTGTGGTTGAAAGTATTAAGATGGCAGCAGCAGTGATCGCAGTACATCGACAAGAATGAGGGTGCATCTTATTTAACGTGACAGACGTGAAGCAAACAGATATGATTAGGGGTTATATATACCAAATATTAATTAACAATCTTCACCAGTTCACCTCCTTTCCCCATCTCATCCTCCAACACCACTCTGCATTCACTTGTTTTCTCCAACCACCACCTCTTCCGGGTCGACTCTCTCCCCATCCAAGTTCCATATACTCCCATCCAGCGCCGACCTTCTCGCCCACTGCGACACCACCTCAAGCGGCGAGTCATCCATGTAAAACGACAATGGCACCTCGAACGCTTCCACCGTCATATCCTCTTCCGGGTCAATCTCCTGCCATCTTTCCGTCCTCACCGTGCCGAGCTCATACGCCAAATCCATGAGCACAATCTTGATGTCCCTCGTCCGCCTCACATCATCAGCTGGCAGTTTCTGGAAGTATTCGGCCTTGATATTCACTGCATCCAAGTGCATCGGCCGTGCCAACACCACATGCTCCAACCTCGGCAGCGCAGCAATGTCACTCCAAAGCCGGGGATCGTCAAGAGGGGCACCGAACAACACCATGCGCTTGAGCTCCGGCCACCACCGCCAGACATTTGTTTCATCGGTCGAAAACGCCGCCATGGGATATTCCTCCAGGCATGTAAACTCCTCCAGCCTGTGCAGCTTCTCAAACCCCTCCCTCAGCGTCTGCCGCACGCTCAGGTGGTCGTCCATTGCATGCAGGCTCGCAAACGGCATCTGCACCACCAGCCGCCGCAGCGTGCCCGACACCTCGCAGAAGAGCTCCCGCACCCACTGGGCCGTTGGCAAGTCATCCAGAGTGTCTCTAAACGGCGCAATGTACAGCTCCGAGATGTGCCGCAGCGACAGGACCGGCGGCAGGCTGGGCACTAAACGTGGCATGCACAGCAGCACATCTGCCAGCCGACGGCTCGAGTCGACAAACATGCAGCGCTTCCGCAGCAGCCGCGTGGCCTGCGCGTGTGTCGCCCGCGATACCTTGGTCAACGCCAAGAGCGTCCTGGTCGTGGAGTTTGATGCGGGGAAGAGCAGATGCGGGTTTGGCGGCATCACGGCGTCGACAATGAGGAGAAGCAGCTCTGGTGGCAGCGAAGGCGATGACATCATGTAGGACGTGGGCGTGTAAGTCGGTTCGATGTGTGCTGACTTGGAGGAGTAGAGAAGAGATAGAAGCGGTTCCATCGGATGCGGTGCAAGAGTCGCATTTTCAAGGACCAGACTGGGAGGACGGTCCCATGAAATAGAAAATCCCAATGCCTATAGTGTCGTTGCTCGTGACCATCTTGTGTGACTCGTAAAGTATGTCGAGGGCGGCTCAGCTCCGCACGCTCGCCGTCTTGTTGGTCAAAAAGAGTGGCTAAACGGAAAGCTTGGTTGCTCGGAGATCCACGCAATCAGAGCGGTAGTACAGGTAAACGCTACCGAGGTTACAATAAAAACTATTACTCTTTCCAGCCTTGCGCGCACTGAAATATAAGCCTAACGGGGGCTTTTGCCAAGGGATATGTTTATCTATGCATTATCTGCTATGAGAGGCGGATAATTGGTATATTTACTAATGCATGCCTTGTAGGCTCTCCTATCTCCGCCATTGCCAAAAATAGTATGTACGTGTATTCCAAGTTAGCACCAACAGTTGTATACCGCACCAGCAGTTTTGTATTAAAATACTCGCCCACACAAACATCTCTACAATGCAATTGACGAGAACATTGATAATTATCAAGTCTTTGAAGAGCACAACATAGAAATGCCAATCGAGCTATATCGTAATTATTCCTCAATTACCATCATTATCCTCGGCTCATCCCATTCTAGCGTAATAATAGCAGTGCTGCCACCGCAAGAAGCCGATGATCCAGGATTCAACCAGTCTACCCCTTATAAGACCTACGGATCAGTATTATTGAAAAAGTATTTAATCTCTATTCAGGGATTACAATAGGTGGCTGCTGATTTAGCTGCTAGTACACATGTAGCTTGGCTCGCTACCGGAGATCTTCAGAGTAACACAGGGGTGTTATATTACAATCTGGGTACTACCTATAAAGTGTAAGCCCAACAAGATACAAAGTCTTTATAGGAAGTACTACAATTGCTATTACTAGCTATATTATTTCTCTGGTTAATTTATCCTTGCATGTGCCATCCTTTTGTGTTGCTTTGAGTGTAAGACAACAGTTCGTATACAGATAGCTACCTTGTCAATGTTCTCTTCAAATGCTGTTGCTTTCGTATCGTCAGTTGCAAACAACTACAGAACCCTGCCCCAATAATCTCCACCAGAAGTGCGTCGCCATTTACTGCTCAGCTTTCTTCTCACAGAATGGAGTGCGGCCTTACGCTATACAGTCTCCAATCTTTCTTACTCTTTCCAGCATTTGTATCTTGCCTCCTTTTTTTCCTCAGCAGTTTGCGTACTGGTTATCGGAAAATCCCGTATCGTGGCGGTTGCCAATCATTCAGACCTTTTGATGCTCTTTCATCGTATAAGAACAGTTTCCCTCCGTCAGGGGCCTTGAGTTTCTCAATTTGCGTATTTAATGGCAGTGTCATCATTTCCTAAGAAGCAAGCATTGACTGCATAATTTGATACATCTTGCCCTTGTCTTCAAGGATGGCTCTTTTGTCTGACACACTTACCGTGTACTCCTAGAGTATAGATCAATAACGGTACAGAGCTGACTTTGAACTCTATGTCACGTTTACTTTCTCTTTCCAAAAGTAACCAAATCCCTGTTAATCAAGGTACAGTCGAGAATATCTCAAGGATTTTACTAGTCTTATAAATTTATTATAAATATTACTTAGCGCACTTATAATACTACTAGCGTACTCCTACTACTAGCGTGTTAATAATATTGCTAGCGTATTGATAATATCACTAGCGTACTACTAAGAAAAGGCAATAATTCCTACGCTTATGTGCATCATCCTCGAGGATACGAAGAATATAAACGAGGCTCTAGAATCCTATCGCCTATCTATTCAACAGCTCAGCTAATGCCTAAACGCCGATCAATTTTGCCCGTTTACCAGTAATGACGTTGAACCATGGGCGGAATAACGCTTCTTGGCTGTTGGTTGTTAATTCCGCCATTAGTTCTCAGCCTTGAACAGCCCCCAAAGTTATATATTAACAGGAACAGGATCTGCGCCAAGGAAGGCTGTGATCCCACATTACAATCCTAACAACGCCTTCGAGGATTTTTTATCTTTCCTTCTTTCTTTTTTATTAGAAAAAAAGGAAAAGATATTACATCATTACATATGTAATAAACGTAAAGACAGGAAGCCGTGTTCCCGACAATTCCTCCAACGAGGCTGTAATACGCCTCGGGGATTACTTGCAAAACACGGCGTTTTACCACTTCACGGGCTGCCGGAGCCTTGTAGCTCAAGAAGCCGATAGGATGCAACGCTTACATGCCGCGTTGCGGCGTAATTGCGCAGTCGGGAGTGGTAAAAATGGGTCGGTCCCGATAAACGCCATTATGCGAACGGGGGGGGGATCACTTGCGAAAAAAGGAGTAGCATTGAAAATCTATAGCATCAATGTATGATCATAATACTGCCACAGATATCACCGGACTTAATTGGGGAAAAGGAGCAATATTGTTGAAATTAATGACATCGATATAGGAGTATGGCCATGCCATACATGTCACCGGACACAACTTGGAAAAAAAGAAATACCATTGGCATTAATAGTATCAACATGCGATCACGGCGCTGACATAGACATCACCCATTAACCCAGTCTCTTTCTTATCCGCTGTCTAATATAACTCAAAGAAGAAAAGATACGCCATCTCCCAAAATCCAAGCAATTCCACGATATACTACTACCTAACGCCAGTGAGCAAATTTGACCAAATTTGATGCCCCCAAGTTAATATTTAGTAAAAAGAAGACAACAGTGCTGATACCCAGCTGTAGCCGCATAAACGCCACTCGCAAAGCCTTCTTTCTATCCATCCTTTCCCACAATTATCACCTCCATAGCTAAATTATCATGATGCACATCACCATCACCATCACCCTCATCTTCTCCTAGGCGTGCTCTCATAGCTGTAATCCATGCTCCATAGCTGGTCCCACAAAATCGAGCTCTTCAGAGGGCTCGTAACAGTTGAACTCCTCCGTCGGCCGCTCCTGTGAAGCTGTGCCTGTGGCTGCCACGAAAAACCGATCAGTGACTCAGGGCCCAAGTAGAGAATCAACGGCTCGTACCTCGGAGGCCTTTCCCGACTTATCCTGCACCAACGACTCACCGCCTCGCTGTCCCGCATCAGTATTGGTAGTGCTAATAACGCTGCCCTGTACCGGGCTTTGGGCAGTTGGCGTATCAGGCGGAGCAGCGCGCAGGGAGTTGGTCTCGCTCGCCAGCGCGCTATTCTTCAACAGAGCTGTTCCGCCGCTGATGTGGAATGGCAGGGCCTTCTTAGATGCCGAGCTACTTCGGCGGCTTTCCAAGCTCTTGGAGAGCGTCTTGTTGATTCCTTCGATGCTCGCTATGCTGTCCCGGCTCCTTCCCTTCCCCTTGGCTGCGTGGGATTGAATATTAGCCGTGGCCTCAACATTATTGGCGGCAACGGTTGATTTACCCATCCCAGGTGTCGCGGGCGCCCCTGCTTTGTCTTCTTGAGCATCGATGAGATACCATCGCAAGCCGTCTGACAGCTGGAAGGGGTTATCATTCTCCTCGTCATTCGAATCAGTCTCGTTGTTCGCCTGCAGACTCTTGGAGAGGTCTACAACACGCTCCTGGATCTTGGATATTCGCGCAACTAGCCACTCTCGATGTCGTAGCCGATGAGCATCTTGCTCGCGGAGGAAATAGTGCGGGAATCCCACGTTAAAGGCGGCCCAAGCTCCTGCTTGCTGGTTCCGTGTTGGCAAGAAAAGTGCCAAGTCACCCTCCTTGAAGTTCCTAAACGCAATCTTGTTATGAGAGTCCTTTTGTAAGCTATGCGCCCGGTCGCGATATGATCGGGCTTCTCGCTGCCACTTTCGAGCCTTGTGCTCTGCCTCTTTGACTCTGTGATAAATGGTGTCGGAAAACAAGTCGGCATCGAATGCGCCAAGCTTCTCTATAAAGGCTTGGTATTTCTCGTCTTCGACCGATAGGTCGGTGCTGTTCACCCAGTAGAGAAGCTCCAAATCGGCACTATCAGTCATGGCTCGACCACCCAAGCTCAGTGACCGGCGGATAGAGGATCCAGGATCCGAAGAATCGTTTGGATTTGCGGGCGCCTTATCGGATCGAGAAACCCTGGTAATCACCATTTGCCCGGCATCGCGGCTGATGGAGTATCCTACACGCTCAAGTAGTCTGGTAAGGCGGTCATTCTGGGAGTAGAGCCGCTGAGTTAGATCCTTGGTTCGTCCGTCGCGCGCTTCGTACTTGGCATTAAGCCCCGAGAGCTTCGATTGGACATCCTCAAATCTCTGCTTGAAGAGACGAGACTCTTCCTCAAGGCTGCCACCTTGAGACTGTCGCCACGCGACCTCTTCTGAAAGCTCTGCAACCTTCTTCTCCTCCTTTTCGAGCCTTTTGCGCAGCATTTCAGACCCAGTCTCGCCGTCAGATAGCTGGCCACGGACTTGGTTCAATTCTTCTCTGCTCTCGGTTACTTCACGTTCCAAAGCAGTTACCTTTGCCTTTTCCTCAGCAAGATTTTCTCGAACATGCATGGCAGACATCTCCTGAGATGAGATTTTCTCCTCCATCTGCACTAGCTCTGACCGTAGTTCCTTGACTGAAGTAGTGGCCTTCTCAAGCTCAGATCGTAAAATGGAGGCATTGCTTCCAGAGTTTCGCAATTTTTCGACAAGGTCGGCGGCACTAGATAGGAGAGCTTCGGTCAAATCAGCCTCGTCAGTTGGCATGGCAATGTCTGATGATAGCTCAGCATATAGCTTCTTCAGCCACTCGAGTCGAGACTCGGCGCTCTCTTCTGCAGCCTCGAGCTTCTTCGACGTAGCTCGGGCCTCCTCACGAACAGAGCGTAGCCTTCGTTCGGAGGCGTCGAGCTGATCCCGCTGCATCTGAGTCTCCTTGCGTAAGAATTCAACTTGACCCTGGGTTTTGAGTGCATCGTCCTTCCGCTCCTTGTTAACTTGCTCAATCTCTGCCTCAAGACCCTGGATTCGCTCGTCAAAACCGGCCTTTTCATTCTCCCGAGATTCCCCAAAATGATCCATCTCTTCTTCCGTATCCTCCAAACGGGCTTTGAGCGTTTTGATTTCCGTCTCTAGCGAGATCCTTTCGTCCAAAAACTCTCGCTTCAGTGCTTCCATGTTCTCAAGAAGATCCTTTTTTGTCGAGTTGACTTCTTCGATCCTATCTTTCATATCATCTCGTTCCGTGACGCGACTGTCGAGATCTTTCTGAATATCTGCTGACCGCTTCTTTTCTGCGCGAAGCTCGTTTTCCAACTGTGCTATCCGCTGCGACAACTGTTCAGTTCCATCTGATACTGGTTGGCGGTCTTCAATACGGGCCGACTTGATTGACGAAATGGAATTATGCCGCGAATGCCCATTCTGCTGCCCCGGTAGCGGAAACAGGTTCCCGGGACGCGAGGCTTGGCTCTGCCGATGGAGAAGATCTTCGAGGCGGCGCACTCTGCTGTCGGCGGTCTTGAGTTTGTTTTCCAGCCTGGTCTTTTCGTCCTGCAGAGAAGTAATAAGATCATCGTCGCCGCGAATCAGAAGCCCACTTCTTCCTAATGCCGCCTCATGCACGCTTCCATTCTTAAATGCTTTGAGTCTCTTTGCTTGCTGCTTAGTAGGGGTGGTGAGCTCTTGAAGGAGTTTCGCGACATCATCAACAAGCTCTGGGTCCGCATTTCGCTCCTGTAATACCTGCAGAAACTCTTCCAGCTCGTTCTTCCCAACAGTAGGCCAGGGAATATCCTCGCCCCGTAGATTGACTTCAAGCCCCATGACATTAGTATCAAGGCCGGGTCCGTAGGTACTTCCGACCATCTTTTGCCACTTTTTACGCCGCTTCGACTCTTCGTCTTGGAACAGCGCCATTTCGTTGGCAAGAGTCGAGGAATCCACCTTCACCTTGTCAATCCACTCTCGTCGTCGGATTGCCTCTACCATGAATGAGGCATACATGTATGGCAGTTGCTGAATGAGCCGCAAGTAGTCAAACGTTGTCATGTCGTCTTCGGACTGGTTTAGAATATTGATCTGATTCCTGACGCTGCTGTGCAGAGAAGTGATTTCAGTAATGCTTCGCATAAATCTAACAGAATCCGCAGCAATGCTATTTCGCGATCGCGTTGCATATTGAACCATCTCATCCATCTCCTTTGCTCGCTTCTTAAGAGTAGGCATGAGTCTTTCGGTGTGAATAGAGGCAGTTTTCGAAGCCTGGGCCAGATCTCGCTGCGAGTTGCCATAACTCAGCGCCGTGTGGTAATCTGAATCGATCTGTCTGGCCACCACCTCGATATCCTCCATGAGTTGCGGAGTATCATTGTTATGGGTCAAAAGAGACCGATTCATCAATTGATCAAACTCGGCAGAGAGAGTTCCAAGCGCTTGATACATCTGAGTAGCCGCATTGTCAAGTTCGGTGGCTTTCTGGTTGAACCTTCGCTGAGCTGTAGGGGCCAGTTTGACGGCCTTTTTGACAGTGTCGAGTTCGATCAAGTCCTGTAGCGTAGAATCGGCCTTGTTGACTTGTCCGCGAGTCATAAATCTGACCAAGCCTTGCGATATTACAATGCTCCCGGCCAGATCAAGATAATGCTCCCAGGACGAAACAAGCTGCTCGTACTCTGCCAAAGCCGGCGTGACCCATTTCTTAAGTTCGTTATACTTTGGCTCAATCTGCTTGACGCTTATCTCGACATTGGTGACGGCGGCGTCCAAGCATCTGATCATGACGTCTATCTCGTCATATCGGGCCTGCGCGTAAGCGTTCAATTGGCCGCAGTCCTCCATTATCCGCGCAGCCCAATTCCGGCGGTCGTTGCAAAGTTCCTGCCATGATGTGATTGCCTGGATATTCTCGATCGAGTTCGGCGCATTGGGGATGGATTGACGCCGAAGGGGCAGCGCCTCGGAGATGAGCGATGACGCACTTCCAGGAGAGGTCGGGTGCGTGACACGAATATCGTAGATGTATATCTCTTTCTGGGGGGGAAAAGTCAGTTGCCATCTTTAGCACAAGAGTGCAGCAGCCGTCGCATACCTCTGTGTGAAGACTCGCAGACTTGACGCTGCGGCCCTGGGGTGTCAAGGCAATGATATGCTGTGGCGAGAGGGAGCTATTCCGGGCCACCCACGTCTTCAGGTCGTCGAGACTATAGCAATCGTTAAACTCACGCGCCATCCACAGCATCCATGGGAGCAGATATTACCTGGAGAACTGCGCTGTATCGACCTCCAGCCGCTGGCCCGTATGGGCAATCAACACCTGTGTAGCCATCCCAAGACATCTCCCGTCAAGCACAAGGCGGCGCTGGGCGGCTGATGTTCATACAGAGCGATATCGAGAAGAGTCGAATAACGAGCCAATACAGGAGAGGCGAGCAACTGCAATGCGCCGAGTATCGAGGGAATTTTGAATGCCACAGGCTACGAGGCCAAAAAGTTTAAGTGTTGAATGGTTAAGATGCTGAACCTTATCGGGGCCCTACGGCCGGCATTACGTTGGGTAGTGTGACGGGTGCCTTGTGACTTTCGGTAGCGCTGAGACTGCCCTGCATTACAGGGGAGCTCTGTACCGGTTAGATAAGCAGAGCGGCCTGTGGCTCACTTTGCTTCAAAGATACGGCGCGCCACATGTCAACAGCCACAACATGGGTTTTTGTTGTCGAAAGACTTCCTTCAGTTGAGCGAATCAGCGCCATCCATTGGCCCTGAGCAGGCTGCAATATGAGTGAAGTCGACGAGCCCATGACCGGTGCAGACGGCGGTGAATCCCGTCTGCCCCTTTCCGAGGACGAAACGAGAGTGCTGGAGCTGTATGACAAGCTCCAAGAGCTGAGACTTGAAATCGCCATAATCAACGCGCAGCAAGCCGGTAAGAGCCCTCTCTGATAAGAACGCGCCGCTGATGGAGATGCGTTGCATGGCTTACTCACACGACACTTCTGGCGTCTCTAGGTAGAAACTATGATGATGGGGGCAACATCACAGAGGCACAGGATGCGCTTCTCACAGCAAGGGCTAGATACAGGCTACGCAACGATGTCATCGAGTCGGTGATGATGGCCAACCCGATCCTCAAGGCAGTCCACAACGGCACACAGGCATCACCAATAGAGCGGCACGTATTACTCTCACTTACTTACTCTTCATATCGCAGTCCAAGCGTCCATGTTGAGATTCGGAAATGGTAAAAAAAAAAAAAAAAGGCCCTCCCTTTGCTGACCCAAACTACAGGGATCTATTCCCATACGTGCAGGAAAGAGACGAGACGTCCATATCCGTAGCCCAGCACGCAGACAGCGTGGCAAAGCTCCGCGACGACCTGACCGCCGTCCAGGTGCAGAGCATACGCGTATGTCGCCAGAACATGGACCTCACCAGCGAGCTCTTCGCGCTGGCAGAGCAGGCCAAGCAGAAAAAGGCCGTCCGCGTCGACGACCCCCGGGTCCAGCAGGAGATTGAGAAGCTGACGAGAGAAGTCAAGACGAGCAGGCAGCGGTGGAGGGTCATGAAGGGCGTGGCCAGCGGCGTCGTTGCGGGCAGCGGCGTCGATTGGGCAAAGGATGAGGATTTGCGCAACATTGTCCTGGATCCTGAGGATGAGGACTGAGATGGGATGGCAATTGGATTATGAAGATACCCCATGAGCAGCCAATAGATAATCTGTAGATGCCTTGCTCGCTTATCCTTGGCATCTCACGCTCTAAAGCTATCAAGTGTCTCCCAGAGCTGCGATGATGACTGCTACCAGTACTTTGTCCTGTCCTTTACAACCCAGGTCACGAGAGGTTGCCGCAGCAGGAACCTGATCCATTGCCGCTTCAGACCAGCTCTGAAAGGGCTACTACAAAAAAAATCTCAAAAAAAAAGAAAGAAAGAAAGGACTTGATAATTCTAAAAGCATGAGGTTGTTGCAATCATCACAGCCATTATATACCAAGTCAGTACTGTATGCTATCACTCATAGAAAGGCAGATGCGTTGATCAAGGCGCGCCTCTGCCAGCCGCGTAGCGCAGAATATTAAAGGAAGTAGGCCAGTAGAACACGCCATGTACCTTATATACGCATGACTAATCAATCACCCGCGGTGCAAGATCAGGAACATCTGACAAGTCCAGGGGCCAAAGAAAAAAAAACAAAAAAAAAACAAGCCTTTCCAAAGTATGGGGCACATTAAATGGGGACCCCGAGAAAATCGAAAGGGCCCTGGAGTGATTTTCTCAGCCAGCAACGGAGCGGTACCTTGCTTGCGAGAAGCGCTGTAGAGGGAGCTATGACCACCCACCCATTTTGCTGCTGGGAGCCACGTGATGGCGCCTGGCAGCTTGTCATTGGGCGCTGTTGGAGATGGAGCTGAAATTGATTAGAGCCCGCGCCGGCTTCGTCGTCTGATCCCTTTTTGATATCAAGTTGTAAAGGCACGCAAGCGTGTTTGTTGGATCAGCCACGAGGAGCCCATCACTCACTCGCCACCGTCGGTTACCTCTCGCGAAAAGGGGTGGTGCGTTGTAACTGCAGTAGGTACTCCATATTACTGTAGCAGTAGCAGCAGCAGTAGCAGCAGTAGCATGAATGTGTACATTGTTGATTACAGTATGCCTGTAGCCCTTATTTGCCTTTTCCTTCTTCTCTCCGCTTCCAGTCCCTTTTTTTTCCCTGCGCAGAGGCGTGTGCGCGGGGAGTGTGAGAAGGGGGAGAAAGGCAGAGGCTTCCGCATTTGGCTGGAGGTGCGACAGGGTCGAGGCATGTACTGCACAGTACAGTTTCTCGGAGAGTCAAGCCTGCCTGCGTGACAAACACCCGAGCTCCCAGTGGAAAAGATCGGGGTGTGTGTGGTGTCGCGTACCTTATTAGTGTGCCTGCGCCGATGGAGTAGGTGAGGTCGCATTATCGTTCTGGTGCTTAGCATTTTTGCACGGAGCAGCTGAGACTGGTCTCATTAGCTGCGCGGCTCCTTTGCCCTTCGCGCTCGTCTTTAGTCCACATGCCTCTCCTGTTTGCCGGCTGCTTTGGTCTCAATCCCGATACGCAGCGTGAGAGGTACCTACCCGCACATTGTTGAAGCACTCGCTAGGAAATGCTACCTTGCAAATAATTCCGCATCGGAATGCTGCAGGCTCTGGAGGGCTGGTCTTTGCCGTTCGCGCCTCTGTACTCCGCGCGATATGTGCGCAGCCGCTAGAGGAATGCGCCATCAAAGACAAGCTCAGTACTGTACAGTATGTGATACCGCTGCTCCGTTCATGTGCGTGTACCGGCAAGCTGCGAGCCAGACGCATGCCTGAGGCATATTCTGCATGAATATCAAGGCAATTCAGCTTCAGTGACACATAAACTAATCGTATACATCTGCTGCTTGCTGCCTATGAGATGGATAATACAGCTCGCTACGTGGAGATGTCATGAGTCGAACCTGCGGCGTGCTGCTGATCCGTCATGAGCGTATCAATATGGGCCGGTAGGGAAGCGCTGCAGCAAACAATACCTCACAGCCAAATCTGCACCGTATGGTAAAGCGCCCTCCAACACTTGGTGCTGCCTAATGCATCGAGCACCTGTGGCTTTTCTCATGTAAGGATCATCAATACGAGTGCTCTGATGCCGCTGCTTGTTGAAAGCACTATCCGTTATCAATGCCGCGCCTAAGCTCGCTCCTTCACACCCGTAGAAGCAGTAGCGGTAAACTCTGCTGCTGTTGTGAGCTTTTGCGCGTACCTCGTCTGACGGAGGGGAAATCAGAAAAAGGTACCGCGGGCAAGGTACCAGTACCTGCAAAAGTCGTATGACGGTACAATGCGTCATGCACCACTACAAGTACACCCTTCTCTGGTTCTAGCTTGCGGTGGCACAGCTTCCGAGTGCTCCGCCGCTCCACGCCAGTTTGGAGCATCAATATCTGCCCGCTAGCGAGCTCTTCGCCGTGGTCCCTCGTATGGATTTTCTCCTGCATGCTTGTGACGTTGCGAAGAGCGAAGCGTGTGGCCGGCCACTGGTACCTTGGATTGTTTGCTGGAGCGGTCTTTGCCTCATTACCACCGACATCTCCCTGGCCGAGGTAGCGTAGCACGACGGGCCATTGTCCCTCTCTGGGGACTCATACCCAGCATACCATCCTGGTCTGGACAATTATTAGTAGTGCTACTGCTGCTAGCAGCATTGGCAAAAAGTCTATGCCGAGTATGGTATACACGCACGAAGTAATACCGCGTGGGTAGAGCAGCCCTTGACGGCGGCGGTAGCACTCACGGCACGGCCGATGGAGCAATCAGCAGCAAGAGGCTAGTAGCCGTAGTATGGAAGTCGAAGAGGTACAGCCAGCGCCCTGGCTCGTTTCAATAATGCTTCGAGAAGGCCGAAGCACCAGAGAGTACGACGATGCGCACGTAGTACGATCCTACTGCTATGTAAGGTAGCAGCCGTTTCCGCCAGGCCATGCTGCGTGTTGCGTCCCTTGTCAACTGGAAACTGCCAACACCTGTGCCCACTGGGTACAGAGAAGCCCCCGTCGCTGAGATTGTCGAGTAACCGAGAGAAGAACAGCTGGACCGTGGCAGAAAGACCAGCGCCCCAGTTTGGGTGTGAGACCAATATGAGGGGGAAAGGTAAAGAGGAGCTCCGCGCTAGAGGGTGAGAATATTGGACTGTGGCAGCAGTCGGCGCAACTTTCTGGCACGCTGGCACGCCAATGCGTGTGTTGCAGCGAGCAGCGCGACTGATTGCCCAGGAGGCAGGGCTGCCTCCCCATAACAATTTCCCCATGGCTGCTTTGAGAAGGGCCATATTACTGGGTACCTGTCATACAGCAATGTCACGAAGCAATGAGACTTCTGGAAGCCGTGGCGGCCATCTCAATTTCCGCAAGTCAACACAGACATGCCAATTGGATCTAGACCGTCCCCTGCTGGCCGTCTTCAGCCGGGTTGAGACTTGAGAGAGCCAATGGTGCTCTGCTCTCCATGGCAGCCATGGAAGACACGGTAACAAACGTGTACAAGTATGTGCTCTGTAGAGCGCCCACAAGCGCTGGGAAGCACGTGTAAGGATTCGACGCGAAACACGCCGCCGAACATCCAAACCACCCAATACAACGCAGTGGTGGTAGTACTTCGTATTGGCTGGCGTTAACCAGGGAGGCCGTGTATATGCAAACGCAGCTCGCGCTCGCATGCCGTCTCTCGACACCGTCCAGGCCCGTTTCGTTTGCTGCGAATGCCTCTTCTCATACTACTGCCGGAATTGGGGCCTTGCTCTGAGTCCTGTCGCTGCGCAACCGGCGAAAAGGCATGGGTAATGGTGCAGGCAACTGAGGTGTGGCACCGCCAGAATTATAAGGAGGGTGCCAGTAGTAGTACGGAAAAGCAGTAGCATCAGTATTATGGAGCGAGAAGAGGAGAAGAGAGAGCACTGAGAGGCAAAAAAGCGCAGGAGGGAGGCGCGATACCAAGAACCTGCTACGGTCCAAGGTTCCAGGGAGGCAACACGGAGCTAGCACTCAATGCTAATACCGCTACCGCTGGGAGTACAAGTACAGCCACTCCAAGGATGAGGGAGGTATGGGCGGCTGCAAGTATACAGTGCGGACGCGCAGACGGACGATGGGATACAAAGGGCGTGTACTGTCTGTGGGAGGGGAAGGCTAAGGAGGCCAAGTACCTGTACAGTATTGCGCGATCAGTTTGCGAGCAGCACTTTGCCTGCCACCACCACCGGCCACTCGCCTGGCTCTGCATATGACGACAGCCTGTCGCTGAGCTGGGAGAAGATGGACGCGGTGGCTACGACTTATGCGCGGTGGTGCGTCTATGGGAGTGGCCACGGACGAAATGCGCCTTTTCGCAGTTGAGTACAGTACCTGTTGCGCAAATCAAAGCTTGATGAGGTGGTACATGCCTGCGAATTGTTGTCAAGAAGCAGCAGCAAACGCTGAGCAAAGCAGTGGCTCGCCTGTGTAAGTCATGATGATGCCAGCAGAAGGAAACAGGTATCCAAGACTCATCTGCTGCAAGGAAGCAGGCAGGAAATTACTCTGGCAGTTGCAGTGCTTGCTGCTCTACTTGTCTACCTAATGCCATGCTGCTGCCTGCAACAAATGCCTACCCAGGTACACAACCATCCATGGAGCGGCTGGTTGATCAAGCCGCATCCTGCAGTTCCTTGGCTCTGCGCGCATACCTACTTGTACAAACACAGAGGTAGGACCGAGGGCAGCAGTAACAGGGCAGATGAGCAACACTCATCAATGCTGCTTGGTAAAATGTTGGTAATGGCAGTGACAATCGATCGTGTTCTACTCGCGGGACAGCTGTAATCAACCACTGGAAAAGAAAGACAAGAGATGCATGTCAATATCATGCTGCTCGCCTTGCAAACTTGATGTGCAGAAGCGGCAGCCATGATCCCAGAGCCAGAGCAAAGGACGAGTACTCGGCAGCAGGCAAACAAGGGCGCAGGTACAAGTACCTTGCGGCCGGGACAGCACCCCATGCCCAGTGTGTGCTGCCCAGTGTGCGTTGCCCAGTGTGCCGCCTGTAGCAGCGCTCCGCCGCAGCCAGCACCCAGCAGCGTGTACTCCGTGCCCCATCCGCCCAGCAGTAGCAGTACCTGGCAGGCCTGCCCAGCCCAGCTTCCCAGCTCCCTCGGCCAGCGCCAGCACCAGCGCCAGCGCCCAGAGAGGGCACATTCGCTACTAGCGGTACGGTAGGCAGAGAAGAGGTACATGGCCCAGCAGCAAGCACCCCCCTCACCCAGGCCCAGAAACCGTCACCCCTCTAGGCGGAGGGTACAGCCAGCAAGCACAGAGGGAAAAAAAAAATCGAGTGCGAGAAAGTTGTGTGGGTGGTAGCTTTTTAGGCCGTCCGGCGCGTGCGCGCGTTCTCTCCGCAGCCCGCACTCGCAATCACCCGCCCATAGTAAAAAGGCTGCTTGGCCCTCCCCCATACAAAGCTCGCTTCCCCTTCTCCCTTTCCCATACAAATTCTCCCATACAAAAATCCTCCCATACAAACCGCACCCGCGTCCTCGTCGCAACACAACGCGCCTATCTCTGTGAGTACCTCGCCTTCGCCGTGCATCCCAGCCAAGCACCAGGTCACCAGCAATCACCGCATCACGCATCTTGCCCTGCGCGCAATTGGCTTTATTCTGCCGTTGCATCTTGTTTTTGCCTTGTTCCCAGCTTCATTTTTGCCCTCGCAGCTTTGCACCCACGGAGACTGCCTCTGCATCTCTGATCGTGCGTTTGCTCTTCCTCTCTCATTAGCACGCTCTTTCGCCTCTGCTGCGCCTTGGATAGCTCAGCAGCGCACGCCGACTCAAGCGGCTCGCATCGAAGAGAAAGAAAAAAATCTCAACGTCGCGGCCGCGTTTGTCTTTGCGAAAAGTCTCTTCAAGTACGAAGATGGTTTTGACTTGTTCATTTTTGAGCTTCAAATCCCCCTTGAGCAACGCATGCCGTCTCAATTGCCTTTTCACAGCGCGCTTGCTACCTCATGCTGAGCTCCATCTACCTCGAGCTACACCACAAAGCTACCCCTCTACATGGCCCACGTTCACTCATTCTCATTGCGCTTTTCGCTTTGGCGAACAAGCGCTGCGGCTGTTTGACGTGCCATGCCGGCGCTCAACTTTATTTCTCATTTTTTTTTTTTCATCACAAACACCACTCCAATCAACCATTTTGCATGCAAGGCAATCGCGACTAACGCATCTCTAGAAATAACAAAACACATCAGTCACAATGCCCAAGGCTGCATCTGGAAAGCGCGGTGCCAAGGACACCAAGAAGCGCGCCAAGAAGGGTATGTGATGTCTTCCACCACATGTACATGTGTCCAAGATTTGGTGGCTAACTCGGACCAGACCCCAACGCTCCCAAGCGTGGTCTCTCTGCTTACATGTTCTTCGCCAACGAGCAGCGTGAGAACGTCCGTGAGGAGAACCCCGGCATCTCATTCGGTCAGGTCGGCAAGCTGCTCGGTGAGCGATGGAAGGCCCTGAACGACAAGCAGCGTGCCCCCTATGAGGCCAAGGCTGCCGCCGACAAGAAGCGCTACGAGGATGAGAAGCAGGCTTACAACGTACGTTGATTGTTCCCTTGCTTGAGTTTGAGTTGCTCATGAGATCCTATACTGACATTATCTCTTGACAGGCTGACCAGGAGGACGAGTCATCGTAAACTGGTGCTGGTCGCGGGGTGAGAATGCTGAATCATGCTTATGGTGATTCTTTCTGCAAATGATTCACATAGCACTTGGGTCGAGGATAATGGCAATGAGGCCGCGTGCCTCGCTCTAAAGCCAAGCATAAAGGCCCATGCTGGTGATGTCGATTTCTTTGTATTTTGGGCAGGACGGTGTTGTACGAATGCACGGAATGGGTTGCGTACTATTTGCTTTCAGGTGCCGGAAATTCAACGGAAACAGGGTCTCGCATACTTGTAATTGAACGGGATAGTGGCCGGCAGAGCTACAATGCGATATCGAATACTTTTTGCGTGAGCTTCATTCGACGTAATAACAATGGAGCCATTGGGCCATGAATTGACAAGATTATACTACTGCTGCCTGACTCTAGAAATGTGACTGCATCTTGAAAACATCAAGGTGGCCAATATACGCTTGCACACTGGTAGATGCGACGCCGTGAGACTACAATTTCAATCTACCTATCCATCATCTCGAAGCGTGGCTTCAATTACTACACTACTAGCAGAATAGGTATTCTCCCAGCTTTCCCAGCTTTCTGCGTGGCTGGTGATGCGCATCTCGGCACGGATCAATCACACTTGCGGAGCTCTCGAGGCCGGAACCCGGAAGGACCCTCCGCTCTGGAATCAACCGAATCCATCCAAGCACAAACCGCCGGCGACAGACAGCCAAGAAAAAAAAGCGAGACGAGAAAACAGTAGCTCGAGAGGAAAAGGGGGCGAGGCCCGGTCGACGGAGGCCCGGCCCGCCCATCTCTGGCTCTCCACAATCTGCCATTCCAGTTCCCTCAGCCTCAAAGGCGGCTCTGCGAAGGGAAGCCCGTTTGAGGCTGGTGAGGCCCCGAACCTCGCAAAGAACCTCGGACCCCCGTCGTCCAGCCACATCCACCCACGTCGAAAAGCAGCGACCAAGAGCGATTCGTGCTCGCCCACCGCTCAATCAGAGGCCGGCCTGCTATCTGCCTCCACCGCAAGCGAGCCAATGGTCCCCCGGTGGGAGGAGATGCACCATCGGCCGCGATTCGCTGTTGGCGCTGGCCAGGCTCGTGTGCGTTACCAACAGAGGATGCTTTGCTGCATTCGGGCCATGCAAGTGCCGGCCCAATGCACCGCAGACCAGCGTCGGGTCGACACACGCAGACACGCAGACACGCTTGCTTTCGTGGCAGGCTGTGAGCTGCCGGAGCTGCTGCGAGGCTCCTGTGGCTCCAAGGCGACGGCAAATGGGGTGACGGGCTCTGCGTCTGCTGGTGGGCTGCTCGCGATGCATCCATCCGCTGGTCATCCGATGGGCTGCGTCTGCTCTGGACATGTCGAGGGATCTTCTTTTCTGACGAACAAAGAGCAAAAAAAAAACAGGCTGTAAACGGATTTATGCCAGACACAGCATTACTAGCAGGTCAATCCATTTGCTTGTGGCGCATGTCTCTCAACCCAATGCAACTGGATGCTGTTGGTGTTGCGACTCAACACCCTTTTTTCGCCCTTTCTTCCTTTTTCTGCCCTTTGATGCATTGGGCCGCCACCAATTTCCTGTGCTACAAACTACAGAGCAAGCGTGGGAAAAAAAGATCCCCCTCCACGCTCCCGGATTTGATGTTGCATGCTCTCTCTCATTGATTTCCCCCCCGCCCACCCCGACTTTTAACTACTGGTCCACCCTGCCACTCCGACATTTCGATTTGATCTAATATTAACCCGACCCAATCTTCCGGAATCCTGTCTGGCTTCTCTTCGTCTCGCTGGCTTCGCTGCGGTCACAAGGAACTTTCTTGGGCTTTCTCCCTTCTTGCTCTGCGATTGACCGATAGGTGCAGAGGAATCGTATATTGTATAGAATTTGCCGGTGATAGCCAATCCACTTCCACCGGCGCCGGGAAGCGACGCGGCCGGCCAAACTTATTGTGAGAGCCCGATAGAGTAGGCGCCGAGTAGCTGGGTAATACTTGATTCACGCCGACTCGTCCAGGATATCAGTCCATCTCATCTGGCCAATGCTTGGATAGGCCTCTGCGATCCTCTTCAGGCTCTCGGTTTTGTTCCATTTCATCACAATTACTCGACTGTTTCTCTCTTTTCCCAACCCATACAATCCTGCCATGGAGGTAACCCTGCCAGTCGAGGATGCGGGGGCCACGGTTGATGCCCATCTTCTAAAGGGATGCTGCTTGGAAGCAGAGAGATCAGACAGCGTCTGGCTGCGCCTCGAAGGCCTCTTCCAAGCTCTGCCAGAGGCCAATCGTCGGCAGTTGCGGTCGCTTATCGACGAGATCAGGACCACTAGCTTGATTCTGCGAGAGCTGGCTGACCTGTCCCAAGTCCACCAGGACCGCGTGCCACTGGTGCTGGATCCTCTTAATACCATCTTGCCATGCCTGTCACGATCTCTGCGGGACATTGTAACGCACTATGAGGACCGGAACCTGACCAAAGTAAACCGCTGGCGGACCATGTTTCACGAAATGACCAATGAGGCGGGCGGTCTACAGCTTCCTCAACGATTCGTCGTGTATAATCATTATCTGACTGCCATCCGGAACCTATTATCCAGGTAATAGCCTTTTTTCCAATTGCATTTTTCACAATATGCTAATCTCATCACTCAAGATCGCCCGATTTCGATCTCAAAATGATGGAAGCGTTCCGCCTGCAAATTATGAATCTGCGAGAAGCAAGAGGAATTCGTATGCATCATCGTCAATAACAGGAACAATAAGCATTTGCGCTAACATGAGAATAGCTCCGCCTCCAATACAAGCTGGCCCTGTAGTCCACTACAGGACCATAGCTCCCATAGGAAAAGATACCGTAAGACAGTCTCATCCTTGCTAGGCAGCGTATCGCTTACACGTATTGATACAGTCCGTACATTGGGCTGAACAAGTCTTTTCTACACCTTTGCCCTCTCGGTCACCTATGAAGGGCGGGCTGCCGTAAGTAGTTGTATTCTAACGCAGGGGACATGAGATCATTCTCTCATTGACCAAATGCCAGATCCGAATCCTTTGGACCGCATCGACCGTGGGGTCACTTGACTATTCCCATCAACTCAAAGGTCCTCTTTCGACGGTAGGTTATTTACGAATACGTATTGCAATGCTCATTATTTTATCAAACGCGATGATGTAGCTAACTATCATCCAGGCCCATCGACGATGATAAAATCTCCCTCATCGCCTACTCTGATGGGCGGGATGGCTCCCCTTACCTCCTGCTTCGAACATTTTACATGGGTGGACCATGGTTTTCTCTCCGCGGGGTTCATGAGCTATGTATCCAGCGGGAGAATGATTCCATACAGTTTACAAGATGGAGCCATTCCGAAAACTGCTCCAAGCTCTGGGCAACATTGCGCTTCCAGACCTGGGAAGGTATGTTGATTTTGACACGAGGCGCCGAGTGCCACTCATTCGCGTGACAACTCGCCACAGAATGGCAATGTACAGTAGATGCTGTTACTAACATGGTATGCTTACAGAGTTGATTCTCATGTACTGCACGTTCCTGGCCCTCAAGTCTCGCAACGCCTTGACAGTGCAGCTGGCGACCAAAGAATACGCTCTCAAGGGCGAACGCAAACTCTTCCAAGCGTGAGTTGCCTATCCTGATTTCACAACCCCATTCTCATATTTTTTTTTCTCACACTTTAAGCAGTGCTATTCTAGACGATGGCTTCAAGCATTCACTCGTCATATATGAAGACCGGCACACTGGAGGCCGCCGTATCCACGTCGCCGTTTATGAAGGCGAGCTGCGCCAATGCCCCGTCTGGACAGCCTTTGGTTAGTATCACATATGCCACGCATAAAAAAGAGTCGAAAAGCTAAAAGCATGTCTTCTTTTATTACAGTAACGCATCAATCTTCATCTCCCACCTGGCTCAAACGAGTCAGCCGGAAGAGAGTCCGCCTGGCCGACGTTCAGCTATACGTCTTCAGCCAGCAATACAGGCAACAAACACAACGAAAAGGCACCGGAGGATCATTCGAACTTCAATTTTACAGCGAAGAAGGTAAGTCTTTTTTTTTTCCAACTGCCTCTTCTATTCGCTGTAGTATGCTCTTTATTCTAATGTCCTCTCAAGCCGCTCAAAGCTTCAGTGATCTATTCTACGTCCCCCAAAAGTCCAATACATCCCGGCCCATCACGCCCAGGCCGTATACACCGAGAATTGCGTCCCGGCCAACCACGCCAGGAAGAGCTTAATGTCGAACGACTCAGTCTCATATCTTCTTCTATCTCTTCCAAGTTTCTTTTTAAAACTACCTCGGCGACTCAAAAATGGTACAGCCTCAGGCAGCTTTTCACGACAGTAACGCTTCTCTTCTTTCTTTTCTTCTTCATCTTATATTTTTATACCCGCTCAACATTTAGCGAACAACTTAACGACGATACGACTGATAATCTAACGACGACCGACTGGCAATACGTTTCTTTTCTTTTTCTTTTTTTCCTGTTGGAAGCATGGCGCTGAGAAATAATCTACTCTCATCAAAAAAGTCTGTATAGGAAGATCATCTCAGCTAATTTCTAACGCCTATGATCCTGTTTCATGTTTTTGTTTTTTTGTTTCTTAAAAGTCTTCAAAAGTTGGCACTGCTTTGGACGTTGTAGCTACGCTCTTGAAAAAACGTAAAAAAAGATTGATTTCGTATAATTCTTTTGCTTTTAATACAACTTATTGCTGGGCATGACTCACTCATACATCTTTTGTTTTTTTAAAAACCTTCCGCCCCATTCAAACACACTATGCTTCGATTAATAAATAAATAAATAACAAACAGTATCTTTTTATGCACACCAAAATGCTTGCTTAGGTCTTGACATCGGGCTCATCACGGCCAATGTGCTCCTTGAACTTGAGCAGCTCTGTCGCAAACTTGACTTCATCCTTGAGGAAATCCTGAGCGTCAAGATCATATTTGGATGGGTCGCTAGTGTGCTGCTCAATGTACAGACGGATAGTGGCACCAGAGGAGCCAGTACCAGAGAGACGGACGACAATGCGGCTGCCAGAAGAGAAGCCAGCGTAGAGACCCTGGTTGGATGAGACTGAGCCATCGAGGTCAGTGTATGAGAAGTTGCCGGCCTTGGTGACAGTGCGCTCGCCAATCTTGCTGCCCACAAAGCTGGGGTTGGCAACCAAAGCCTCCAGCTCGCCAACAACCTTGTTGGCGCCCTCGGAGTCGACATCCTCATAATCGTATCGGGTGAAGAATGTACGTCCATACTGGGTCCAGAAGTCCTTCTGGATCTGCTTGATTGAAGGGGTGACACCAGGGTTCTGGACACCAAGGGCAGCAATAATGTTCAACCAGGCAATGACGGCCCACAGGCCGTCCTTCTCACGGATGTGGTCGCTACCAGTGCCGAAGCTCTCCTCACCGCAGATGGACAGCTTCTTGGCGTCAAAGAGCGCGCAGAAGAACTTCCAGCCCGTGGGGACCTCATAGCTAGTGAGGCCCTGTGCCTTGGCGACCAGGTCGACGGCGCCGCTGGTGGGCATGGATCGGGCAAGGCCGTTGACGCCGTTCTTCTGGAAGTAGGGGATGAGCTTGGCGTGGTGGGCAATGATGGCGAGAGAGTCTCCGGGGGAGACAAAGGCGTTGGCGCCGTAAATCATGTTTCGGTCGCCATCGCCGTCAGAGGCAGCACCAAAGGGGATGTTGTTCTTGTCGACAACCTCCACCAGGGAGTGGGCGTAGGTGAGGTTGGGGTCGGGGTGTCCGCCGTTGAAGTCGGGGCTGGGCACGCAGTTCTGAGTGGCGCCGCTAAGGCCAAGCTCCTTTTCGAAAATAGCGGTTCCGTAGGGTCCAGTGACGCCGTGCAGGCCGTCAAAGAGGACCTTGAAGTCGGGGTGGGAGGAGAAGAACTTCTTGATGGTGTCAAAGTCGAAGATGTCCTTGAGCATAGCGACGTAGTCGGCGGTGCTGTCAATGATCTCGACCTCCAGGGCGCCATAGGTCTTGGTGCCAACGGTGGAGATGTCAATGTCGGGGATCGAAGCGAGCTTGTATGATGTCAGGGTCTTGGAGGTCTCGAAGATTTTGTTGGTGACGGATTCGGGAGCAGGGCCGCCGTTGGCCAAGTTGTACTTGATACCAAAGTCGTTCTTGGGGCCTGGTTTAGAAACACGGCATCGTCAGCGTCTTCTCTCTTCAGCTTGGCAGATTCAGGTGAGGGACTTACCACCGGGGTTGTGGCTGGCAGTGAGCAGGATGCCTCCGGTAGCCTTGCGGATGCGAATGACATGGCTGGCGGCGGGAGTGGAAAGAATTCCATTCTGGCCGATGATGAGCTTCTTGACACCGTAGGCGGCGCCGATCTTGGCAATCAGCTGGATGACCTCGGGGTTCCAGAACCGGCCATCACCACCAATGACAAGGGAAGAGCCTAGACAGACGGAAGGGGGAGAATCATCAGCTTTCAGCTCGAGGCTGTATTTGCAGAACGGCATAGCTCATACCCTCAGCGCCCTCGGGAATGGACAGCAGGATGCTGGCAACGAACGCCTCGCTGTAGTGCGGCTTCTGGAAAACGACGACCTTCTTTCGGAGACCAGAACTGGTGATGCGAAGCTGGTGTCAGCAGATGCAATGCAAGCTTGTCTTGGAGAGTGGCGATGGCTGTGACGTACGTTCCGGGCTTCTGGTCCTGGAAGGGAGTAAACTCGACAGTCTTGACGTCCATGATGGCGGCTCAAACTCGGCGGGATCAGCTCGTAGGATGAGGGTTGGTGATGTCAAGAGAGAGAGAGAAATGGAAGCAGAGCTGTAGGTATTTATCGCTAATGATCCCCAGGCCCAGCGGGAAAAATAGGGGATGTCGCGAGAGCTTTAGGGGGCGAGGAGGGGAAGCTCCAGGATCTGGTGGGGGAGGTTGGGCATCTCGTCAAACGATGGAGGGGCAGCCAGTGCTGGCGGTGGCCCAATTCGCACTGTATGTGTATATACATCTCGTGTAGGCTGTGACAGTGCGAAGTAGCCCAATTTCAATGGAGCTGCAGCTGGGCGGTCAGTCGTTGCCTGCTCGTCCAACGAGACCCGAGCTTTGGGCCATCAATGACATCAAATCAGCGCGATTGGTGCTTGGGCAGAGGCAAATTGTGAACAGGTTTTCATTGTTACTTTTTCTGCTGTTGGCATTAATTCTTGTGCTTGGTGGCATTAGGAATTAGTGGTGCAACTGTATATGCACGGAATGAACGAGTGGGCAGATTGAGTAGACGAGTTGGGCTTCTGATGACGTCGAGCGTTGCATTTTAATATATTTGCTGAAGAAGCTATTCATCTGTTCAACTATTCCCAATGCACTCGCACCCAACATGTTGGCGCCAGATTCGCCTTTCCATACCCAATTGCTACCGTCCGTCATCACCGGCGGGCAAATATAGCCTCCCTGTAATATCTCGCCTCCTCAATGCTCTCCAAGATGTCGTCCCTGGCCTTGTGGCTCCCCTTCTTGGCCGGCGCCCGCGAGAGAACCTGTGGCGGGCTCCACCGCCGAGCAGCCTCCTTGATGGCACTAACGTCCAGGATGCGGTAGTGCAGGTGCTCCATCACTTTGCCGTACGGACCTTTTCGCAGAAAGGCCCTGTCGGCGTGCACGCTGTTGCCGGCCAGCAGCGCGGTGCGAGGCTTGGGGAGGAACGTTGTGATGTAGCGGTAGAGACCGTCGGCGGCCTGCTGCGGAGTCGTCTCTGAAGCTATCACGGCGGCCGTCAGGCCTGATTTGCCGTGGGTGTTGGTGCACCACTCGTCCATCTGGTCCAGACGAGAGGCCGGCCAGTGGACGACGGCATGGTAGCCCTCGGCGTCGATGATGTCGAGGCTTGCCGTAGTGAGAATGCAGTAGATTTCAATAATCTCCTCGGTATCGGGGTTCAAGCCGGTCATCTATCGATATACAATGCGGTTTTAGTACAGCTCAGCTCAGCTCAGCTCACGCCATGAAGCGGGCAGTAAGACGGCACTTCGCACCTCGCAGTCGATCCAGACCAGGGCATCGTCCAGATTGGACTCGGATCCCGGCATCTTGAATGATCGGATGTAACCACACAATGTCAATTAGCGAGTTCTGTCGAATGCCGAGGCCAGACTAATTGGCGGAGAAGGGACAAGGAAGAAGAGCGTCTCCCCAGCAATTGGCGTCTCATTGAAGTTTTGGTCCGATCCAGGAGAGCCTAGGAAAGTTCTCCAGGCCTGTAAGACGATACCTGTAGAGCCCCTAAAATCTCGGTCGGTACTCACTATTGAAGCTAACATAAGCCCCAGGCTGCACCGTAAGTGCTGTAAACTTCAGCCTATCCCCCAAAACCTCCCCCCACCGAGAGCTTGTCGCCGTTAATCTTGCCCCATATAGTCGATAAGCAGCGCCATCATCTGATCCAGTTGACGGCTTCCCCCCTCATTTTGCTAGCACTGGAACGTTGCAGGGCCTCTCGTCCAATGCCTGAGAGGCCGTTAAGCCACTGTCTTTCATCGGCTCCAAGCTGATTGGGCGGCCGGTTGGGCTCGACAGCGGGAATCCCTGGCTAAAACGTGCCTTATCATGGGGATTATGAGTGGGCATCTATATATGTGTGCCTGCCAAGCCTCTATTTGACAACATACCCGACGCATGTCTCGTCTCACAAACAGCAACGGCCTACTAATCTATCATCATTTATTTATAGGGGCCATTCTCTCTCATAGTGCTCGCTTTGACAAACGTCTCTCCACTACATCGCCATCATGGCCTCGCTCAAGGTCTCCAATGACGCCGCCGGCGATGCCCATGTGAAGCCTCTCCCACGGCCCGAAATGTCAGACGATCCTCCCCGCTTCATCATCATTGGCGCCGGTGCTCGAGGAATTGGCTATGCGAGAGGCATTGACATCGCCAGCAACGGCGTAGTGGCCGCCGTGGCAGATCCGGACAAGTATCGACGAGAGACGCTCGGCAAGCAGCACATCTGGGGCAGCAACGGCCCCGGCCAAGGCCAGATGTTCTCAGACTGGCGAGACTTTGTCGAGTATGAGCAGGAGCGGCGCCAGAGAGTAGCCAATGGCGAAAAGGACGTCCCCAAGGGCGTCGACGGCGCTTTTGTCTGTGTCCAAGACCAGATGCACCGGGAGGTCGTTGTCGGCCTGGCTCCGCTGGGCATTCACATCATGTGCGAGAAGCCGCTTGCGCCGTCTCTGCAGGACTGTCTCGACATATACAAGTCTCTCAAGCCGCAGCTCGCATCCAACATCTTCTCCATTGGCCATGTGCTGCGATACAGCCCGCACAACATGATGCTGCGGAAGCTGCTGGTGGAAGACCAAATCATCGGCGACATCAACAGCGTCGTCCACACAGAGCCCGTTGGCTGGTGGCACTTTACGCACTCGTACGTGCGAGGAAACTGGAGAAACTCAAAGACTTCGGCGCCGTCGCTGCTGGCCAAGTGCTGCCACGATATCGATCTGATCCTGTGGCTGCTCTGCTCCCCGGAAAAGGCCGGAGAGGGCGAGCCTCATCTCCCCAACTATGTATCGTCGACTGGCGGGTTGCAGTTTTTCAAAAAGAGCCGCAAGCCCGCCGCCGCGGGATCTGCTACAAACTGCATGACTTGCCCCCTCGGCGATTCTGGCTGCAAATATTCTGCCAAGAATGTATATCTCAGTGCCAACTGCGAGGGAGTTGGCACCGGCAACACAGATTGGCCAATGACCACCGTCGTGCACGACATTGAAGACTTTAAAACGCTCGACGAGCGCAAACAGGCCGTCATCAAGGTCCTCGAAGAAGACTATGACGAGTCAACCCCGGAAGAAGTGGTCAGCTCGCGCAACTGGTTCGGCCGCTGCGTCTTTGAGTCCGACAACAACGTGTGCGACGACCAGTTTGTCACCATTACATGGCCCGAGTCCATCAAGCCCGCCAAGCGCGTCACCATCCAGATGGTGGCCCAGACCAAGAAGCAATGCGACCGCTTCTCCTACTTTTACGGCGAGCACGGCGAAATCTACACCGATTCCGAAAAGATCATCGTGCAAGACTTTGACACCAAGGAGACAAAGGTCTACACGCCGCACGCGGAGCACAAGGGCCACGGCGGCGGCGACTTGGGCCTCACGAGACAGTTCGTCTTGGCGTGTGACCGGGTGAAGAATCACGGGTGGGAGGCTGAAAAGGCGCAGAATGAGTTTGTGGGGTGCACGCTCGAGGAGGTGATTCGCAGTCACGCAATGGTGTTTGCTGCGGAAGAGGCTCGCGAGAAGAACATTGTGGTAAACTGGCCCCAGTGGTGGGACAAGGTCACAAAGGAGTAGGCCAGAGCTGGTTTGTTGACTTGCAATCCCTTTTTCCTCCCAAGTACCCCATTTAAAAGGGTATACATGACGGTTGTACTTGAAAATGATTTGATAAACACACAAATATATCCATATTCACTAAAGGCGCTTCATTATACTCTGATCCAACAAATATTTCCATCGCAATGTTCAATCAAAAACTTTGAAAGAGATTGTCTTTGGCTTGCAGTTTCTATCCATAAACAAGAGAAAACGAAATCAGCCGCTCCTTTATCATGCACATCCCATGAATCATATACCATTCATCTAATGACCACCACCCAGCTCTGCCCTGTTCGTCTCTGCCCCAAGGGGACTCGTCGTGGGCAGCTCGGTTGCAACCGCCTCGCCCTCCTTGAAAACACCCGGAGAAGGAGTCGTATGCACCGGAGATGTGCTCGCCGTCTGCGCCGGGTAATTGTAATTATACTGCTGCTGCTGAGGAGGATACTGTCCCTGAAACTGCTGCGGGTAGTAGCCTTGCTGCTGCATTGGCACCGGTGCATAGCCAGCCGGTACACCCGAGGGATAGACAGCTCCGCCGGCAGCATTGTTCTGTCCTTGTGGAGGCTGACCGGCAGCAGGGGCGTTATTTCGAGGATTGCGGTGGCGGTAGAGAAGAAAAGCGACCAGGCCAACGAGGCCAAGCGCCGCAACACCTCCGACTGTGCCTCCCGCAATGGCGCCCACGGGGGTGCTGCTTTTGCCGCCGTTGGAATCAGGAGCGGCTGAAGGACTCGAGGACTCGGTCGATGCGGTTGTAGCTACCGTGGTCGTGGGGCCGAAGCTGTGCGTTGCCAACCAGCCTGGGTCGACAGTCAGGAGCGTGCCCTTGCCAGCCGTGGAGGAGCATCCGAAAGCGGTGTACAGCTCAACGGACTTGTCGGACGAGGCGGACGTGGAAATGACCCAAGTGTAACAAGCCGGCTCCGTTGCAGTGCCGCTAGAGAGGGGGAGAAGCAGGAGAGCGTAAGCGAATATTCAATTCCCGTAGACAAAATCGCAAGAGATGGGAAGCTCACCAGCAGAGAGTGTGGAAATCGGACGGGAGGTTGCAGGCACCGGTTTTTGAGGCCTGGTAGTCGATACACGTCGTCTTAATCAGACTGCAGGCGCTGTTTGGCTGACAGCACCCGACGAAGCCTCCTTCAGGCGTGCAAGTGTATCCAGAAGAGATGCAGGTAATAGAGTCTAGCTGAAAGTCAGTCTCACCAACTCCCCCCATCATGAAAACTTGCACGAAAAGCAGATTTGCGTAAACCATGACTTACTGCCATCGCTGCCAGGCACAAATCCACACGTCTCCGGCCCCAGGGTAAAACCATCCGCTCGCGGCACCACCATCCTGCCGAACAAGGGCTTGGGTGGCTGCGTCGGCTTCGGAGACCATCCCAAGGCAACCTGCTGTTCAATCTCGCTGCCCGAGGTGACGGTTTCTTTGGCGGGCGAGGCCCATGATTGCTGGAGGCCTGATTTGGGGACTGGCTGGTTATCGTTGGCGGCGGTGGCGGTGGAAATGACGGCCCCGAGGGCGAGGACGAGCGCCGTCGCCGTGTTGTGACGCATGGATACGGTAGAGATGTGCGTGTAAGTCGGGCTTTCTGCAGGCGGCTGTAGCGAATGCGGTGCCAATGAATTTCAAAAGAGGATGCTTGTATGTCTCTTTTCCACCGTCTTATATCATAGCCGTAGACTTGGACAGGGTCAAGTAAGAAGGCGGCAGCGTCCACACAAGAGGCCTGGCATGAAGCGAGCGGGCTCAACCAACTCGGCTCTATAAACAGACACTGAAAGAGAGTGAAGAGAAGGGAGAAGAAAAGGAAGCAGAAGAAATCTCTCCTCCCGCTCCCTCTCCCAATGCAAGCCAGCTGAGCTCCAGCTCCACCTACACAAACAACAACAACACAGCCCAATCAATGCCTCCTCACAGACAAGAGCAGCAGACCAAGGCCAGCGGCCATCAGACCCCGTCCAGCTACATGCTCCTAGCGATCTAGTCCCTTCAGCCCCCATCCGAGTGCAGTCTAGGCCGCCGGGAAATGGAGGCAAAGCGCAACTATGCTTAAATGCCCCTAGTCGGGTTGTTCAGCCCCGGGAATTGGGCGGGTCTCATTCGCCGTGGTGGATCCGGTGATGCGAACGAGCTGAAACGTTTGGGAGGCTGCGGCGGCAGTCAAGCAAAGAGAGAAATGTTGTAGGCACTTGTTCCGATGCTTCATTATTGGTTGTACATGAAGGCGTCGAATTGCACCCACGTTTTGATGGATACAAGTATGAGCTGGAGCTACTACTAGCGCCCAGGTAAGTACCTACGCGCCCCAGGGGTGTTTCTGGACAGAGCTTCTACAAGGGACTACCTCTGCCAAGTCCTCTGTAAGCCTTTAAAAGGCACTCAAAGATTTCCCGAGGCTTTCAGACGAGTTCAATTATCTCTTATAGAACCTTTTGTCCAGAAACACCCCTGGGGTGCGAGGTAGGTAGTAGGTAGATAGGTACCTAGCTACTAAAATTAGTTCTAAGTTTTGAACTTTTGGAGTCATCTTGGACCTTCTTGCGCATTATTGCCATCAGCGGTGCTGCAGAGCCATAAGATTTACCTGATTATGATTAGGATGCTGATGCTGATATCTAGTACCAAGATGTTTTTTTCGTCGCGGATGATATCAAGGGAAACGATAAGCTGAAGCACGACGCCGACTGGAACAGGGTAGGGCGATAGACGGAGGTTTCAAGGCTCGGGTACCTAATTGTACATGGATTCCAGTCTTTACTTCTTCAAGATTATTTATTAAGCAAGTGATATTTGTGGGAGCAACTTCTTTAATTGGTGTGATAAATTTTAGTATACAAGAGATTATGCGAACAGTGCTCCAAGGGTTTAAAACAGCTCCCAAAAGTCCCAGACCGTTACTCAATCCGAAGTGGCAGGTTCCTGTAAAGGCCGCGTCTAAGCATTCCAAACTTTACGTCATCCTCCTCCCTAATCACACCCTTCCGAAGCAAGAAATCCAGCATCACGAGTCCACAGTTGGGCTTCCACTCTGCATTCTTCAAGTCACGCTTCACCTCCTCCACGGGCTTCAGTACAAACCCATCAATCGACTCTGGCTCCTCTGGGTACGGGACAAACCCAGGGCTGACTTCGAGGTCATAGGTGTATCGGATACCAGGCTCAATGTGGCCCTCCTCACTGCCGGCAATGTGGTCTTTCTGATCATAGAATGAAATCAGAGACCCGCCAGCGGCTCTGCCGACATAGATACCCCTCCAAGTAACCATTTTCGTGTGAATGTCAACAGCAAGCCCTGCCTCTTCCATAGCTTCACGTTGCAGCGTCACCAGAGGGTCCATGTTGTCTTCCGGATCCATCGCTCCAGCAACAAGCTGGTCAAGCTTTCCGGCATATGTGACATTTTGAGAGCGTCGCGAAACCCACACATAGATGCCGCCTCCTCTTATGGTGAACATGTTCATGTGAACTCCCGTCGTAACGATACCAAAGATTCCTCTAGCAGCCGAGGGGATGACCAAGCCGGCCAATTCGGCATCAAGACCACGAATGGGATGGAAATCTGAGCTCTTCTTGAGCCACTTCTTCAAACAGCCATTGAGATTGTTGGCATTCTTTTCGCACAACTTTATAAATTCGCGGCGGCATATGTTGACAACGTCGTCGCCTGACTCGATAGCAGGGTCCAGATGAATCTTGCGCCTAGACTTGGAGACTTTGAAGCTCGTATTGTCCCACTTCATCTCGGCAACGTGTTGAGGCAGCATGTATCCAACAGGAGTTGAGTTGTCTAGAATGACAAACTCCCACATTGCTGTACCTTGCCTCTCTTCAAATTTGTTACATCGACGGATAACATCATACAGAGAGCCCATGTTGTTTGAATTGGCGGTGGTTATTGTCCACGTATGGATTGTGGGACCTTCTGAAAGTATTGTTGAGGATGTTCGAGGGCTGGAAAAGGATGCCATTCTGGACTAGTTTCCCGCTGAAGGCGGAGCCCTCTGATATATGCAAAGCTGGACAGTGATGAACGAGGCCTATGGTCTGAAATCACTTGATCACAGAGTGAACAGTGCTAGATGTAGACAACATGAGCTTGTAACCGAATCGACGAGATGAAAAGAGCTGAATAGAATAGAAGACGCAAGGCAATATTGACAAGGCCACCCAGTCAAACACTCAACAGACAAACAGAATCTGTGGCATGAGACTGAGCATCCACTTGTGTTCTATTGGTAAAAGAGGTCAAGGGATAAGACGGCGCTGGGATAGACTGCTCAGGACGCAAGCACGTGTATACTAATTCACCACGACCGAGGATGGAGACCTGAATATATGTGACACATTCCTGGTGATTAGGGAGCCTCGACCCGGCTGTGTGTTACCAATGCAGGAACAATTTAGCAAGCATGCTTCCGACAAAGGGAGGCCACGGCAAGGTGCAGTGGTCAACAGCACTACACGTTTTTCTTGACATGATACGCCTTGTCGACGGCCTGGGATTGGTACAAGTTTCTGCCTGGCGTGCCGTCGGGCTCTGCAGCCGCCCAAGCATCTCTGAAGGTGACATCTGTCAAAGTGCAGTAGCCTTGATTTGAAGACTGCAGTGAAGCTATATCAAAGCCTCAGCTGCCTCTCTCATCCACGCCTATATCCGCATTCATACAGCCATCTCATAGGCCGTGCCATACCGTGCCCGGAGAGCTCCACTGTGGGTAGCAAACGAAGACGAGTATGCAGTTAGCCATTGGCCGCAGACTCGAGTCAGAGACAAGCTGAGATGACATACGCGGATAGGCAGAGACAGGAGCAGCAATGCCCAAGGCGGCTTTATCATCAGCAACCCGACAACATGGTCTGCTATTCAACGGTTTGCGCCCTCGCAACGCCGTGTAACCACGACATGAATGATGAGACACTCCCTTGTCCACGAGCCCGGGACGCGCTCTCGCTGCTCGCACGAGGCACTGGAGTCGTCCTGTTGGTTGAGCTGTCACATCGAGCAGCAGTAGCGCGGCAGACGGCGGTGCTAGCATCCCGTAGTCTTGAAGCAAGCGAGCCAAAGCCAGCATGCGGATTCGAAAATCTCGTAGACAACAAGCCACCGTGCAGGGAAAGCTGCATGTTACCCCAGCAAAGGGCGCCACCGGTCAAATGAACCTAACGCATGTCGTCCGTAGCAGCCTATGGCATCGTCTGGGACGCTCACCGAGGTGGAACTCTTCCGGGTCCATCCCCCACACTCATCACTTCTTGCAGCGTGTTGTATGCATGTGCCTGCACAAGGGGCATCTCGCAGCTTCTCTGGATGCTCTCGGGGAGCAAGTTTCGCTGGCATCAAGTCGCCGAGGCTAGTTGAGGCACCTTTGACGTTGATTATTCGGGCCCCCTTTCTTCCTTTTAGCAGTAGATCATCCGCCATTAGCGAGCAGTATTGGCCAGAGGTGGCGAGGCAATGCGGATATACTTGCGAGCGAGGTCGGATCATGGCTGGACTCGACGTCTGCAAATGTGGCTGCAAGATTCGCTTTCATTTTGTGCTAGCTTTTGGGGTGGTTGTGCAAGTTTGAGAGAAGGTTGGGGATTTTCTTGGGCCTCATGCAAGGCAAGCAGGTGCATGTACCTGAAAAGCACTTGATCTGGCTTGGGCTTCACTTGTTTGTGCGCTGAAATTCCAAGTGAGGCTACACAGCTACTGCCTGAGGCATGCTCAAGTGCCTTCTGGGATATGCCGGTATCTTGCCGATTCTCCGTAGAGCAGCAATGGGTCGTTGTGACGTTGGCGAGCACTTGGAGCATCCGTATTTGGCCCCACGACAGGGGTTTGAATGAGTGCTGTATGCACTGTCAGGTTTCTTACGCAGCTAGCGTCATGGCCGAGATAAAAGCAAAGAAAGAAGCCGTAATACTGCAATGCTAGTACTTGGATGTCGGATATTTGCATGGATGGCTAGAGAACTTCAAGGTAGGGAGAAGAGGATTCCGACATCAGCTGAGGCTCGTGCTGCTTGGTAGCGGCAGTAGCAATACTCCATCCATGGCGCCGAGATATGAATAATGCTTGGTAACCAAATGTATAAACGCTCAGTCGTCGTGCTTATCATCTTCAAGCATAACAAATCGTCATTCTGCTGTCCACCCAACTGCTTCAATCAGGTAGCAATCGCAGTTCGGGCAACGTCCACGTCGCGTCTCTGGCCCAATGACGATGCAGCCCATGGACCGGTCTGCGTCTTGGTCCGACACCAGACTCTAATGCTTGGGCGAGGCCTTTATGCGGTCACACTGCAGCCTCACGCATATAGCCAGGGAGCCCTGGTTGCCAGCTCGTCATATGATTTTGAGCCCAACAAAGTGTGATGAACGAAAAGGCAGCAGGAAATGAGCCCACAAAGGCTGCAAGAGGATCAATTGGCGGCCCGAAATAAAGCGTAGAGTAGCACAACGAGAGGAGACGTCAACAATGGCGTGATTTAAAGCTGAATAGCGTTTAAAAGCTGTAAAATGCCTAATTAGAGGCTGTTACACAGCTTTGGGTAGACGAAAGGGAGTGAGTCGGAGCTGGAGCTGGAGCTCTAGAATGGAAGACATCCATGCTGTAGTAACAGCCTCGCCATGATTGGCCCAGCCCGATTATGTCATCGGCAACCCACCATCCGGCGACGACTTCACTCGCTTCAATCTCCATGCCCGCATCAGCCTTGCGACGACCACCTCCAATTGACCTCCAGCGCCGCCACAATGTTCGCCGCACGACAGAGGGCAGTTTGCGCCGCCCGCCAGCTGCAGCGGACATGCCGAACCTACGCCTCCGAGGCCCACGGCCACCACTCGTCTGCGCCCGTTAGCGAGTCCTTCGGGGTACGACCAAACAGCCCATAACTCGCTCTTTCGACGCCCGGAAATTAGATTGCTGCAAATGCTGACTGGAGGCTGCTATAGAAAGGATCCGTGCTTACACTCGGCGCGTTGCTGGGCACCATTCTCGTCTTCCAGTTCCGCCCTCAGGAGAGCGAGACCTGGAACGGCGTGCTCGCAAAGTACCGATCAAAGGCCGAGGACTGGGAGGCCATCAACTCTCTGCACACAAAGGCCGCGGAGCAGGCTGGCTACGACAGAAATCTGTTTGAGAACGCATCAACCAAGCGCGCATTTGTCGATGTCGCATACCCCGAGTACGTGAATTTGTCATTGTCATTTTTTTTTTAAACGCTGCGCTGGTGACCAATAGCTAATGTTACGAACCACGATACACAGGGCCTTCACATCCCATGCTCAGCGAAACATCCAGGCCGGTCACCTCCCCAACATTGACCACGTCGTAGAGCATTACCGACAACAGCACTTGAAGGTGGAAGAGAAGAAGGCGACCAAGCTGGCCGCTGCAAAGAAGGATGAGTAAGGGGGGCAGCGCTGAGTTATATCCGATTTATAGAATAAAAAAAAAATCTGCAATCCTTGGGCCAGTTTGATGCGTCGCAGTGAAATTGCTCATCGTTTCTCATGAATACAATATAGTAGGGCCTGCTAAAGCCGCATTGTGTCTGCTGAATCAGAAAGACGATATGTTGTCTCAAATTCTACCGCACTTATGTAACTTGCATATCACACTTCGCAAACTGTAAGATACGGTATCTACCTACTCTTTCATAAACCGTTTGCAATAATACGCTTGTCCCTTAAACTTGCCAGGCATCAGTATTTCGGCTCAGAAAGCCCCCGAGAATGAGACAATCTCGTCCAAATGTCTTTCCGCAATGCACCTCCCAATCACATCCCAGCCACGACCAACTCACTTCATCGTGTCAAGACAGAAAGAGCGCTCGGCAGCGGCAAGCACGGTAGACTCAACAATGTCGCGGATAACTCGGCAGCCTTTCCCTCGCCTAAACAACTTTTGTTATTTTCTCTTCTTCTCTTCCACTACTACCGGATTCTCTTGACCAACGCTCTTTTTGGACTACTTTTTTTTTCTCAGTCATCTTTCCACTCGTTACCACCACGACTTCAACATTACTGGCACGGTATTGTTTCTTTCCTACAACTAATTCATCTAGCGATCAAAACGCCAGATTCATCATCAAACCGGGCTCAACGGCGGTTGTGCAACACTCGTCCTCGAAACCATAGACACAGATTGAATCCAGCGTGAGGCAGTCTCCTTCTATCAAAAGGGCTCTGAGACATATGAAATTGAAAATGTAGGGCTAATATATAGTGTTTCTACTTGGTCTTAGAGGAGAATTGTGGTCAACATCTGCCCGCCATGCGTCACTCCAGCCCAACCCGTCTCAGCTCCCTTGGCGAAATTGAACCAGCGGAACCACAGAGAAAAAGTGGTGAGAACGGTAAGCAACCGCAATCACTTTCTTTCCACGTCCCTTCCCAGTTACAAAGCCTTTTTCCCTCTCTTCTCACTCTTTGATGCGAATACAATGGCAACTCCCGTTTCCACGGTCGAGTCCGTTAATGTGTGTGTTTACATCCTAGGCCATGAAGGGGACTCTTCCAAGTCTCCTGAGACGCCGACAATCGTCCTGGTGAACTCTCCAAGCGGGAGACCAGAGTCAAATACGCTCAAAACTACTACGTCGGCTCCAGCTCCAGTGCAAGGGCACGCGCGTTTTCCTTCTCGCCACGACGCCGACAAAATTCAGGGTGTCAGCATCAAGGACACGTTTAAACGGCGCCGCTGCGGCGTTTTTGCGAATAGGTACTTTGAAAAGGGTGAAAATATCATCGTTGAGCGTCCCGTATTCTCGTGCAGCCGTCAGCTTACGGCAAAAGGGGGGGACAAATGGCCAATTGCAGAAGAATGGTGCAAGCAGCCAGAGGCGATCCAACTGAAACTTCAGAAACGTTTTCGCAAGCTGCGGTCGGTACCAATAGGCAAGAAGAAGCTCGGGTGGTATTGGAGAGAGAAGATCAAGAGATTCTTTTTGGAATACGCATTCGTGAATCCCCAGAAGACAGAAGCGCACATCTATCCCGTGGGATCCCACATGAACCACGCATGCACATCCTGCGCCAACGCCGAGCAATGGACGGAATCTGGACCCCCGGACCGCATTCTTGTCAGGCTTGTCAAGCCCGTGCGAGCAAACGAGGAAGTCCTCATAAACTACAATAACCAGGTAGGAGCTTCGTTGGGTTGCGCCAAATGCGGTCCGCATGGCCTGAGGGGCCGGCTCGGAGATATTCGTAGAAGCATTTCTCGGCTGATTTCTCGACCTGTCTAAAACGAACAAAAAATGAAGTCCCTATTTTTCGTGGGGAGGCATGCAACGAATGCAGTCGGAATTTCAATTCTAAAGCGTCAGATTGCTGATCGACGGCTCGTTCGCAAGATAGTGGGTTTCGGGATCAGCGACAATTTGGAATCTGGAAGACGTGGGTAGGAGCATCACGTAAGCAGTGGAAAGGCGCATCATGCTTGTAGCGAAGCGGGAAATGGTTTTTATGTATCAACAGCGCCTAATGGCTGGCTGTTTGATGAAAGCGAAGACAATCCTTCTTATTGTACTATCATAGAATTCATTGTCATCAACAACTTCAGTAGCGGCTTTCCTCCGTCTACTAAAACCAGTCCTTTTTCGCCCGAAAACGTCCGTGAATGCAGAAACCACCCAAGACCACAACCTCTTATTTGAGGGGAATGAAACGAGAAGAGTGAGTGGCACCGATACCAGGTCGGCCGTGCTTGACAGGCTTGCTGTTGAGGGGGTCAGTAAGAGTCCATCTACCAATCGAGGAGAGTTTCTCCCCGCAAAAAGAAATCCAGTAAAACGTACTATGAGATAGAGAATTCACCCAGGTAGTGGCCAACCATCTCAGGCTTGATCTCGACCTGGTTGAACTCCTTGCCGGAGTAGATACCAATGACGCTTCCAATCATCTCGGGGACGACAATCATGTCTCGGAGGTGAGTCTTGACAAGGTCGGGCTTCTCGTTGGGCTTGGCCTCCTGCTTGGCCTTTCGGAGCTTCTTGATGAGGCCCATGGGGCGGCGCTTCAGACCGCGGTTGATCCTTCTGCGGGCACGGGCGTGGACGACATCTCGGAGCTGGTCAGAGGAGAGGTCGAGGAGGCTGTGTCGGGGAAACATTAAGTCAGCGCCATTGTTCGTCTTGAATATTGATGAAGAATGTATTTCTTCTCGCTTCCAAATGGTGGCGGATCTGGGTTCGTCATTGCACAGGGTGGAACAAAGCAACGTACTTGTCAAGGTCGATTCCTCGGTAAGAGAACTTGCGGAACGCTCTTCTCTTCTTGAGCTCGGCGGCCTCCTCGGCGTTCTGTATCAAGATCAATTTCGTCAGCGCTTCGACATTTCCCTTGGGGAAAAAAAAAAGTCCTCCCCCCCCCTCATCCTATCGCAGCGGCAGCAGCATCATCGACGTCCATAAAATCTCTGCCCATTCTCCTCCTCTTCTTCGGATGCCCTGCCCTGCCATAAGACGGAAGTGGAACGTGTGAGGCAAAATAAAAACGTACGTATTCAGAATCAGCCATGATCGCGGTTGGTGTGTTGATTCAAGGAATTCGCTTATCGACGCGCAAGTATCGACGAGCGAATGTAGTAGCCGTGATGCGGATTGCAAAGAGGGCGGGCGGGACTGCCACTACTAATTTTCGGCCGTAGGGTTCATGCCCTTTTGTCTGGAGTCAGGTGACTTTGGCGACCCGAAAAAAGTTTTGGTGCGTTTTGGAATATCTTGTGGCGGTGCAGAATGATTCGTGGCTTGACGCTTGTGGCTTGCTGCTTGTGGCTTTGGCTTGATGCCCGGACAAATTCCGGACCAAGGAGTTTAGAATTCGGTCCGCCGTGGTTTAGTATGTACGTACCTCTGCTCCGTGTCGCGGAGCCGACGCACCGCGGAGGTCCCCCAAAGTTTCGTCGTACAGCTTCGTATGGGATCTCGCCTCGTTTCCGTGTCACTTTGGGACGGTGCTTCAAGATTGTGTGGAATATTCAGCTTGGCAAATTGGATGCCTTTATTCACATATTCTGCCGTTCTGGGAAGCTGTTGGCGAAGCAGTGTTACGACGGTTGCGCAATCTGTGAGGCTCGAGGCTCAAGGCCAAGACTTGCGTGTTCACATTGGTCACATCAGCTCGTGATATATGCGACGCGATGCGTAGCTTGGCGGCAGCTGTACGTGTGGTTCATGGGTTCATGGTAAAGTTCATGGTAAGGCGTGGAAGCAGCATATGGTCCAGGATACTGTACCCGAGCGGAGAGAAAATGCCTATTGAATAAGAGGATATTGATGGGAGAATGGGAGAATGGGTGGGTCTTTCAGACAACGCCAAGAAAGCATCCACGGATCCAGGTCACGGACCTCGCTCGGCCAGAGCTAGGACTCTTTGCTGGACATGTTTGTGCTTGTAGATCCAATCGCTATTCACATGGCCAGCGCTAATCGTGGGCTATTAGTCCGCCAAGAGGCTTTGCCCTCATCCTCCAGCAGCCCAAGGGCGGCCCCCCGGCTGATTCACATCGCTTGATATGCCCTCCCTCGGCAAGTTTCCATGTGCCCTCACCACTCTCCCATTGCACCACGGCCCCATGTCCGCTAGACGACCGCTTCGAATTAAGCTATCCGGCTTGTGCTGCAGCTCCTTTCGCCGCTTCTTTGCCTTTGCCCTTTGCAGCTCCACCCGAGACCCGTTGCGGGTGTTTCTAATCCATCCGGCCTTCATTTCTCATCCACAGCTAACTGCCGCCTTTTGGCTTGGCATGGATACTATCAATACGACACTGAGCGCGCAGCTGACAGCACGCCGCGCTCTCGTCTCTTTCTTGGGAATTCTCTTCTTTTTCTGGGCCGCCCGCGGGTGACTAACACTCTGGGCGGCCGGTTCCAGACTCTGCCGAGAAAACTGCCAGATGAGGCCCTTTATTTGCTGGTGGCCCAACCCGAGCCTGTGCTTGGGCCAATTCTCCCCAAAGTAAGCAACGCCGCCGAGACCTGCACCGCTGGATTGTAGGCTTGGCAAAGTCTCGGCACCAGTTTCGCCAACGCCATCCATTACAAAGGCGATCTAGTTTGCCTTTCAGAACAATGTTTTCCCCCCCATACATAACCCGGGGCTGGGAAGACTGCGTTGACGACTGCTGGTGCAACCTCCGTTCCTCTATCCTCTCATCGCTGGTGATGGAGTCTTGCAAGCCTCACGCCGAGCGCTCCATGCACAGCTGAGACGACTGGGCTTTTTATTTTGCTTCACATCACAGGGGGGGAGCGCATAATTGGAGCTGCCTCGTTTCTTGGCGGGGGTTCGCTCACTCACGATCAGAAAAAAAAACCCTTTCGCGTCTGCGGCTGCCCTTTGGACTTTTTCGATTTATAGAAAAGCCTCCCGGAAGACAAACCCCCTGTAGATTGCACAGCCTTCGCCAGCTTGCCGTCTGTACGTCTCGTCCTGCTGGTGCATTAACGCGCCACTCTGCTTTGAGAACTGGGTCAGCCTGGGATTCGAGGCCGGCTGGTAATTGAGATCAAGTTATACGAGGTTTTCCTCCAGACGCAGACACAGGGCCCCAAATATCGACGTCTACCCCCGTAGTCATCAATCTAATCGACGGAGCGAGCTGTCAGTTTTCCACCATCAATACACGTCTGCTTGTCGATCACAGCACCATCTCGTATATCTACTCTATTTGGTGGAGGCTGTTAGTGTCTCGGAGGGCACCATGTCTCTCACATTGTCAGCGCCGGCCACGTCCTCGACCACCTCGATAAGCCCGGGCTCTTTATCGACTCTTCCACCAACAACAATACCCTCTACGTTTACCACCAGTACGACTGATGGCGGCCCTTCCATCACAGCCGGGCCCTTCCCCCCTATGACAACGCATTGGAGTCGACCTTTGAGCTGCACATGGACATATGTTGTCGACACCGACCTACCGCCCGGCGTTTCAGATCCCATTGCCTATCTGGATTTGGAACCTCTTCCAGGGGCTTCGACTCTCTCTTGCTATCCAGACGGCATGTTCTTCGATGGACGCACTGGAGTGTTTAGCCCAGCGACCTGCCCCTATGGATGGACCACTGTCTCCGTCTCCGTCAACACCGAGCGGATGAAGACCGAGGACGAGGACGACGTAACCACAACGGCTCTATGTTGTTCATCGTATGTTGAGAAAAGATGTAACTGTGTAGTTTCTTTTGCGCTGACCATTGACAGCGAATACTCCTGGGCGGGCGGGCACTGCAAACGTCAGGTTCCTACGGTTCTGGCTGTACCCATCATATATAACCGTACTGCAGCCACATACCAAGTCTTGACCAATTCAACAACTACCTTGTATAGTGCTACTATCGCCGTAAATACCATCCGCGCGCTCTTCAGAGAGCAAGACAAGCCACTCCTCGGGTTAACAGACGATGATGATATCGACGATCATAAGGATGACGACCAGGGGCTGTCATTAAGTGCCAAGATAGGCATTGGAGTTGGCGTGGCACTCGGCGGTTTGCTCGCCATTGGAGCGGCTATTTTCATCTTCATGTGGAGGCGAGAGCGAAGGAAAAAAGACTCCACAGGTCGAACGTCGCACGAGCTCAGGGCCGTGCAGAGAGCACAAGGGCGAATGTACTCCCGCTCACACACACAGGTTCGTGCACGAGATTCCGAACCTCCGCCCGCCTACGCCTCCGAGTCCGAAACCAACAACGCCGCTGATACCGATAGTGGCAGTACTGCAGTGATCCGGGGCGGTGAGATTCAAGTTCTAATAGCCCAAAAGGCTGCTATCCAACGACGCATTGAAGAGCTGGAGAGGGTCTCAGGGGAAGAGAGTCGAGATGGACCCCACGAGAGATGAGGTGTTGGATTTAATTTTTATGTTTCTTGGAATCTTGTTTTAATCCCCTTTAATGCTTTTTTTAGACAGGATTTGTTTAATGATACCATCAATGTTAAGGGGACGGAGCAAACAAGCCAATTAGTTGACTCCATGTTGACCAGATTGGTGACACTTTGTGGTGATAGATTGAACAGCACCAAAACAGCTCAGATACTTGGACATGGATGGGCTAGCTTACTCGTGAATACAGATAGATTACTTGTACCAGGTCAAATAAAATAATTGGAGATATAAAAAGGAGACAAAAAAGATACGAGATTTGGGTGCTGATATGATGTGAACCTAGCTTGTACCTCTAATAGGCAGCACAATACCGACCCCTGACCATGCCCATCTCGCACTAATCACGCCTGGACTTGGAATGATGGTTGCGGATAGGGCGAAATGTGTTGCTCAGCACTCTATTGCGAACCTAGCACACCGCAGATAGGGACCAGAGATGGGTGATCTGACTAAGGCATGCAAGCTTGAACAGGATTGTCGTAGGCAGCGATGATCGTTCCGTCCAGCCGGGACCGCGAGCCTTGCCGAGATCCTGCTTCCAGAACGGCTTACCGTTTCGTCTTGCCACTGTGACTTGTTCACTTACTAATACCGCATTTGTCTGGCTGCCTCCAAGTTTCTCGACCCGGCCATCCAAGCCCGATACATACCAGTCCTATCAGAGGCATGATGAAGGGCTCTCGTCAGGCTCAACGGGCCGCTGTGGATAGCGTCGGAAACCAACGACCCACCCCCCGAATCGTTGGAATTGTAAAGTATCCGCGCCGTTTTATGTAGTTACCTAGAACCAGGCAGTCGCAAAAAGCGTCTTGAGAATGTAGGTGCCTACAATTTCAGGTCATGGATCGGCCAGCAATTCCAGGTTCCAACTATTCGCGATTGCACAGATTGTAAGCGAGTCTCATCTCAGCGCGCCGCCACTCTGCTCTGTCAACGGATCAAGGGGATTCGCTAAAGCTCACAGCAGCCCAGCATTCTATCCCAGCAGTTCCGAGCTTCTCCAAATGCGCTATTTTAGCGCCTTGCAACTTTGTTGTGGGCTGTCGCCAAAAAAAGGAAACAGGCTGGACTTGTTCCATCAGCGCCAGACGGTTGGGCATGCAGGTACCTCTATGTTGTCAATCATTCCCCGCCAAGGAAAAAAAAATCCCTATCCCACTTGATATAAAAACTCCACCGAGGGAACCATCGCCGGATCTCTCTGCTCAAGGCTGGACTACCTCTCGACCTGCCTTTGACGCTGTATATTCCTGATATACTCTGCGCATATTCTACAAGATCTCTTTACAAACTTACATCTTCTAGACGCGTCATTTAAACCTTTTTTTTTTTTAACAATGAGGGGTGAAGTAAGTTTTCTTCTTTTCCGCCGCGCATATCGCTCTTCTTCAGTGCTATGATATCATCCCACTTCTGCGAAATGCGCTCGCGATGCGACATGATCAGCAGCCAACTTTCTACGCCCAGCCACGCCATACGCGCGTGTTTTTACAGCCATCGCTAACTCGAGCTTTCAGATTTTGCACCTTCATGTTGGCCAAGCCGGTGTCCAGCTCGGCAACGCAGCGTGGGAACTGTACGTGAGCCCCTCCATATATACGGGATTTATAAGCGCTCGGAGCGTGATGCTGATATTCTCTCGTCGCGTAGCTACTGTCTTGAGCACGGCTTCAGCCTTGACGGCCATGTAGATCCCAACCGCAGCGAAGACGCAGACTACGGCTCGCCCGACACCTTCTTCACCGAGACCAGCGGCGGCAAGCACGTGCCTCGCTCAATATTCGTCGACCTAGATCCCTCTCCCATCGATGAGATTCGAACGGGCGAGTATCGCCAGCTGTTCCACCCTGAGCAGCTGATTAGCGGAAAGGAGGATGCGGCCAACAACTATGCCCGCGGTCACTATACCGTGGGCAAGGAGATGATTGATACTGTCATGGACAGGATCCGTCGCGTTACTGGTGAGTGCTGTTTGGAGCGTGGTGGTTTGATGACCACACGTTGCTCGATCTGAGAAGCTAATGAGCCATGCTGCAGACAACTGCCACTCGCTCCAAGGTTTCCTCGTTTTCCACTCGTTTGGAGGCGGTACTGGATCTGGCTTTGGCGCGCTCATGCTGGAGCGTCTTGCTACCGACTATGGCAAGAAGACCAAGCTCGAGTTCACCGTCTACCCTTCTCCTCGTACTTCCACCGCCGTTGTCGAGCCCTACAATGCAGTCTTGTCGACTCATAGCACCATCGAGCACTCCGACTGCACCTTTTTAGTGGATAACGAGGCTGTCTATGAAGTCTGCCGAAGAAACCTCGACATTGCCCGCCCTTCTCTCAACCACCTCAACAACCTGATTGCCCAGGTGGTCAGCTCGGTTACTTCGTCCTTGCGATTTGACGGTGCCCTCAACGTCGACTTGAATGAGTTCCAGACCAACCTGGTTCCTTTCCCGCGCATTCACTACCCTCTGGTCAGCTATGCTCCTGTCGTTTCTGCCAAGAAGAGCTCCCACGAGAGCTTCAAAATCCAGGAGCTCACTCTCCAGTGTAAGATGTCCACCCCCCAAGGTTTTCTGTTGAAAAGCGAATTGACACTCTTGTCCAGGTTTCGAGCCTCAAAACCAAATGGTTGTGTGCAACCCCCAGAATGGCAAGTACATGGCCGTTGCTCTGCTCTACCGCGGTGACGTCGTGACTCGTGATACCAACGCTGCTGTCGCTGTAATCAAGCAAAAGTCCACTTTCCACATGGTCGACTGGTGCCCTACCGGATTCAAGGTCGGAATCACGTACCAGAGACCAACCGCTGTTCCCATTGCTGCCCAAGAGGGCGGTCTCGCCGCTGTTGACCGCTCCGTGTCTATGCTCTCCAACACCACCGCCATCGCCGAGGCCTGGTCGCGACTTGACCTCAAGTTCGACCTGATGCATAACAAACGCGCGTTTGTGCACTGGTACGTGGGCGAGGGTATGGAAGAGGGCGAGTTCTCCGAGGCTCGAGAGGATCTTGCCGCTCTTGAGAGGGACTACGAAGAAGTCGCCTCTGACTCTATCGAACCTGATAACATGGAGTACTAGAGCGGTCTCTTATGAGCTGACAGGGGACAATCAACCTTTTTGCGCCATTTATGAAAAATTGAAAAGATTGCTTACTGTTTTAATGGAACACTCTGCGTTTGAGATTTTTTGAAGGGAAAAAAAAAAACGATTTGATGTATCGGAGTCGGATTAGATGAGACGGTTTGCTATATCCTCTCTTTCTATTTCTTTCCTTTCTTTTTTTTTTTTTCTCGTCTTATTTGCCAGTTGTCTTTTTTTGTTTTGTTTTAATCACTAAATTGTACACATTTGGGAGCAAGCAAAGCGAAAACAAACTTGATACCTATATCCCCCCTCATCCCCCCGAATCTTTTCTTTCCTTGTATATAGTATTTAGTCTTTTTTATTATTGCGGCCTCTGGGGAATAACTACACGCGTAGGTGGTCAGGTAGTTGGCACTTTTTAAGAAAATGAATAAACGGAGATGGAGGCAAAACTTTAGAATCTTAATCTTTCATTTTACGTATGTGCATGGTTTTCAGTCATTATGCACGGCGTGCTGACCGACAGCTAGATGATTCTGCTGTTATTGGACGGAATGCTTTTTGCTGATACGCCTCTGTGACGTGGCATTGGAATACCTGTTTGGCAGAGTGGCAATGGAGTACAGCTTGTATCAAAACTATGACAACAAACTTGTACCACCAAGCACGCATTTCTCAAATAGAAGAAACATTATAAAAAAGAGTGAGTATTTGACAAAAGCAAAAATTAAATTAAGCTCTCTTCAAGCTCTTCACAACCTTCACATTTAACGACGACATCACACTCTTTGGCTGTTGTGGGATAGGGGTACCCTGTAGTGCTTCTATTTTTTGCCTGTTCCAAACGCCTATAATCAATTTCTATCCTCCTGCAGTAGCGGTAAAATACACGATCCTCTCTAACAAATAGCATCGAGGCTAAATAAAACCTGTCTGTGCTCTAGGTACTTATACAGTGAACGAAGAGGGGAAAACCAAAATTAAATCGTTCCATGTACATTGACGCTCTTCCCCCCCTCCCCATAAAGCCCGGCGTCCGCTGCCCTCTCACATGATGAGGTAAGCACAGGTCGCCTTTTTCCCACAGACTACCTACAACCCGTGCTATAGCCTCTTACAAGCTAAAAGGTGCTTCAGAAGCAGGGAAAATCAACTCACACCCGGCTGACGTTCCAAGGCAAGGATTCGAACCCCCATTTTCCTTTTGTCTTATTACTGCCTTTTTTCCCTAGCCTCACCGCAATGCTCATTTCTTGTGCTGCCACGCCGCGGCCCTTCTGGCGCCTCGGTGCTGGGGCCGTGCTGACTTGCCCTTTTTATTTTTCTTACCCAACTTCAGGTCCTTTGGCAGGCCATCCTTCTGCGAGGCTCTCCGCCCCTCAAAAATTATACGCTCCGGAGTCTTGATTTCACCACCAGCCCCAACGTCCTTTGCAGCGGACGAAAACGGCCTCTTCCTGCCGCCAAATCGCTGCTTTGCAGCCGCAGACCGGCCCAGGAGCTTACGAGTTCGCCCAGCGGCGGCCTGTTCCTCTGGCGTTGCCTTGGGCTTGTATTTTGTGCTGCGGCTAGCGCCGTCGGCGTTGTCTGCCTTGGACCTGGCCCGCTCTGCAGCCAGAGCCGTCTTGCGCGGATCCTTTGCTCTTGTTACACGGAGGGCTCGAGGAAGCATTGGGGGGAATTTTTTCTTGTCAAGCAAAAGAGCAGCCTCAACATCATTGGCGTCCTGCAATGGCTGGTTAGCAAAACAAGACCCAAAAAATGTTTGAAATGGACATTCCGGCATCTGCCGATCAGGGACTTACATAGAACTGCACGTAGGCGAAACCCTTGCCTACTCTGGTCTTTGAGTCTCGTATAACACGGACATTCTCGACCTTTCCTTTGGTACCAAAGGTGCGCCACAGGCCTTCTTCAATGTCCGAAGGCACCTTGTTGCGCTTCTTCTCGACTGTATCTCCGTCGGCTTGCCTGTTCAAGACGGTCTCGTCGTCGACAAAGCCAAGGTTTCCAACAAAGACGCAGCTGCGATGATTCATCGGGCTAGGATGTGCGACGCTATCTACTCTGATGTGGCGGCCCAGGATTTCAGTTCCGTTGAGCTCGGCAACCACTTTCCGAGCAGCCGCAGGATCTGAAAACACTGCGTACGCATTTGTGGATTTTGTGGTGGCGTCCATCAGGGCCTTGGTGATGTAGGCTGCGCGCTTGGGCATGGAGCCAGCTGAAAAGGCCACAGAGCGGAAACGCAGAGACTCAATCTTTTGTGGCGGTGATGCATCCTTGTCCAGGACAGACGCAAGATGCTTCATGAGTTCCTTCTTTGCTGACTTGGATGAGATGGCTTCCGTGGCGACATTGCCCAGAAAGACGGTTCGAGTGGCCTTTTCCGTTTCGGATTGCTTGCTCTCTTGTGTGAGAGATTCGTGCACGGGAACAGCATCTTCTTCTTCTTCTTCGCTGGCTCCCTCCTTGGCATCTTCGCCCTCTCCTTTCTGGCGCTTGCCGGATGGCTCTGATTCGTCATCATCCGCAAGTTTGGCTAGGTACTTTTCTTCTAGATCATCGTTGTCTTGCTTTCTCTTGCGCTTTCTTTCCCGCTTCGTCTTGCCGTCCTGAATGTTGTCGTTGGCCTGCTCTGCTGCATCCACCGACATGGAATCTTCGTCCTTGGCATCGTCGTCTTCGCCATCTTTTTCCTCTGCAACATCGTCGTCTGCGTCCTCTTCCTCTTCGTCATCATAATCAAGCTCTTCGCTGATTTCAGAAAGCACTTCGTCGTCACCACTGTCATTGCCACCCTCTTCATTTGTTTTCTCGGCGCTTGAGCTTTTCGGCTTTGGCGGTGCTCCAACTCGAGGTTTTGATGGAGCCTTTACTGGTCCAGCCTTGAAAGGTATGTCAGCTCTTGGCCCTGTTTCGAAATTTTCTTTATCGCAACTAAAACAGAGATCGGCGAGATACTTACGCTGGATGCGAATAGTGCACTGAGCGTGGGGTCAATGGCCTTGGAGGCCGCGGCCAACGCACTTTTTCTGGGAGAAAAAAAAAAGAATATTAGCCAGACATGTCGATATTCCCAATTGCAGAAGATCTTACGATTTTGCCATAATTCCTTGTTGGTGGCTCGAGATGGCAGCTTTCGGCTGGCGCTTCAACAAGGTTGCGACGGGCGCACTGGAAGCGACAAAAAAGTTCAGAGCAGCTCTAAAAATTTCGGGTCCCGCCGCCGGACTTACAGCGGAACAATGCGTCATTGGCCTCGCTGGCCCCAAGTCCCGGAAAAATGATCGCGTTTCTGCCACCGCCTGCCGCTTTTGCGCCAGAGGTACTGCGGCACTTCTGCCACTGTACCGTAGCGCTCCAAACACCTAGGCCCAGTGGCCGAGTGCGCGAGGCGGCCGACCTTGTCTTCTCTACTCCCCTCCCCAGCCGATTCTCTCCACACTGCCACGACCTTGCCCAGGCTTCACCAGGCCAATACAGACGCTGCAGACGCTGCTGGAGCTCCAGCTTGGCCAGCGACATTTTACCACGCCGACTGTCGCTCTCAAAACCCCCTCGCCGTCGCCGTCTCAGCACGGCGCCGCCCGCTCAAACTCTTCGCCAGACCTGTGGTGGCCGCGCCGGCCCTGACCAGGTTGTCGACTGACGGAGCTGAAGCCGCCCTTGACTGCTCCCGTCCCGCTGCCGACATTCTCCTACAATCTGCAAAGGTGCGTTGCTCTGCGCCATCGGCAGCACAATGGCAGCGACGGCCTCGGCGTCGGCTGCTTTCCCCCCCGTGGCTACGGGCGGCGACCTCGAGGACAGCAACATTTCCAGCCCTCTCAGCGAGGTCGACGATAAGGATGCGAACGACGAAGACATTGAGCACATGCACCTGGATAGAGAACACCTCAGTCTCGGCCCAGAAGAAACCCGGGCCACCGATCACGGCGGATCCGACTCTGACAGCGCCCTTTCCGACGCAGGGTCTGACGTAAACTCTGAGGCCAACGATACCGAAGCTGAAACCCTGAGACTCTATGACACGCCGCAGGCCCAGAGGCACCGTGATGTCGGAATTGAGCGCTTCAATGACGCAGAGCCATTTGAGCACACTCCGAGCAAGCTCCGCAGGGCACTTGTCAACGGTGACGATGACTCTGCCTCTGCCTTTGGCTCCGACAGCCACAGCCACAGAGACGAAGACGAAGAAGACGACGAAGACGAAGAGAATGATGACCACGAACTGCCAACAAAACCTGTCATGGTGATTGTCAAGACCGAGGAAGATGCCCGCCGTGACTCGCAGGAGCGGAAGCGGAAGCGATCTGCCGCCGCTGAACAATCCGATCTGGAGCAGCCGGTGAGGAAACGCACAGGGTCAATATCGGCTGCCAACGGAGATGGCGACGACCATCTGGCAACGGGGGAGGATGACGCGACACCGGCTGCGAACCTCCCAAGCGGAGTCCCGTCTCCCGGGGACGAAGAGACTTCTGCCACGAACCGAGATACGCCACAGGATGATGAGATTCCCGAAGTCCCAAGAAAGACTAAGCGCAGTGGCTCCAAACGGAAGAATGTCATTGCAGATGATGCCGACAGTGAATCTCAAGCCGAAGTTCGTGACGAGCAGAACGACACTGCTGTAGAAGACGAGCCCGAAGCCGACCACGCCGAAGAGGAAGCGGAACCCGAAGCTGATGAAGAGACTGACGCCGCAGCGAGGAATCTGGAAGAATGTACGTTTCGCTGTTTCCCTGAGATGGACTCCGCCTGTTTAATAATACAAGTGCTAATTGGCAACCAGTGGAGAAGAAACAAGCCGCCTACCGGGACTGGACCCAGATCGAGGAAATGTTTGGTATCTTCAGAGATCGGTAAGCTAGAATGCTCTCTCCATACGTATTACGACAGCCCGCTCACACTTCTCCTAGACTTTACAAAGACAGGCTACAGCGACTCGAGGAAGAAGAACAATCGTTGCATGCCCCAGAGCCTACACACCCTGAATACCTCAATATGAAGCAATGCCTTGATGATCGACTAGAGCAGAAGCTGCAAGCTATCAACAGAGAGCACGAATACCGGCTCAAAGCCCTAGAACGGCGCGCAGTGGCACAGAGAGCTCAAATATGGGGCCAGTACTTCCAAGCCGTTCGAGAGAAGCGAGAACAATCTTTGGAGGGCCTGAATAGGCAGTGGTACGATGTCCAGAGTGCTCGACGAAGTGCACACAGTTTGCCGGACTATGGCCTATTGTTCCCAAAAGATCCTGCACAGCGTGTCAGGAATGCGATTGCCTACAACACCGAGGTGTCGACACTCGCCGGTCTCGCCAAATACGAAGGTTTCCCGGCGGGGCCAGAGCTTCAAGGGGCATCTGCATCAGAGCTGGAAGCTGATATGGCCGCCATGGAAGTGAGTGTGAGATTCTCCATAAAGCTGGCCATTCTGTAAAGTTTCGCATTTGCTGACTTGCATTCAGCGAACCCGGCGCGTGCGACACAAGCCTTCGATAAGCCATATCCGCGAGGAATATCAACCACCACACTTGACTCGCCTCGACCCGGCGGGAGAGCAGTTCGTTAAGAACACACCTTGGGCAAACCCAAACCACTCAGCCCATAAGTTCTACCCGCATCCGGTGTCGGCAGAAGCACGCCCTGAGGCTGCTGCAGCGGCTGTTCCTGCTGGTCGAGCGCCTCCAAACGCGCCTCCTCCTGCAGCCGACCCCAAGGCAGCCCTCGACGGCCCGGGAGCAGCTCGATCGCCTGCAACTCTCTCTGCACGACTATCTGAATCTCCAGAAATGACGCGGAATATCTTGAACCCAGCGTCTCACCAAATGAAACGAATGGGCAGCATGCCAGGACTCAGTCGCAGCTCAAAAACAGCAGCGGCTTGACGCATGTCCACTCCTTGCATCGCTCAAGAATAAGCCGCCCAATTTGGGTTATGGCATGAGGATTTCTGCGTTCAGATATTAATGATACCCAAGATCAGGGCTTGTCATTGGCTCCTTGTAAGGGAAATGCGGCCTATGTTTTCTTCTCTTCTCTTCTCTTCTCTTACCCTCTTTTCTTTTTCCTTTTCCCTTTTTTTTTTTCTTTGCAACAGGTCATGTCTGTATATGTGTACATGCGTATTTTGCCCTTGAGAATTCCAGGTTGGGTAAACGGGTAATAAAGATATGGTGGCGTTTTCATGTCCAAGTTTTAGGAAGCTGGCACTGGCGGTAATGGATTGTTTGTTTTACATGGCAGAAAGGAGGTCTATAACTTTCTAGCAAGGGTGGCTTGTTTTCACATTATCCTACAAATAGCAAAGGGCGGCACGGTATTTATATAGTTGAATGCGATTGCTTGGAGTTTTTTCTGATGTATTGGAGAGTAAAGCCATAAGGTCACCTTTAAATTTTGACAGTAGTAATATACACAGCAAGTCTAGCTGACGGATCGTAATTTGCAACGCCGAAGCGCCTCTGAATTCTTTTGAGATGTCATTCTTCCATTCCTTCTTCCATTTTGTCGTAGTTTATCCTATTTTCCTTGTTTATTTTGCCTGGGCCGGCTTTCGAGGCTCGTCGGGCACCTTGACGTCGGCGAAATCGTCCTGGCCGACGGCATTGATTGTATAGTAGTCTATAAGGAGTACATTAGCGCGAGTGCTCTATGAGATTGGGCAAAGATAATGGCAGATTGAATGAAGCATACAAATTCCCGAGACAAGCGCAAAGAGGCCAAGTCCTGTGGCGGCATTTCTGAAGAGATATGGGCGTCTGGCTCGGACGAGGGCTGGGCCTTGCCGCAGTCGCCGGTCGTAGTAGGTAGTGTGAGACCTGAAATGGAGTTTGCGTCAGCTATGCGCAATTCTGTATAGTGAATGATTCGCATGGAGGGGGAAACCAACGCCATTGCTTGTATGTCGAGGGCTGTAGCTGGGTTTTTCCTGACAAGATACAGCAGTGATTTGGATCAATGCGCCGCTTTCTCGAGGCCGAAATGGATCGTATCATGCCATGCGCCACAGAGTGGGATGAGCGCTGTAGCAAAGCGGCATTTCCCCGGCTAAACGCTTCTAGCAGCCTCGGGCGCCTGAAGCTTGGCGCTCTGGTCCAAGTTATAGAGCACGTTTGGACTCTTCTTCCAGCAGGGATCAGCCACTTTGGACCCGCGTCACGTTCCGTCGCCAAAACCTTTGCAAGCTCGCCCAGGCAACTCCGAATTAGCAAAAGCCAATCAACCTACACTGCCTGCCTGCGATTTCCCCAACATCGCCAGACGACAGCCCCCTCCAGCGCCATTATCGACCGGCGCCCCATTCGATTGTTGCGAAGCCGTGCGACGAGCTGCGGTAGCTGGAAGTGGGAGATTGGCGCAGGGCATGACGATACGAGACGACTAGAAGAAGACAAGATATATTATGCCAGTAGCCTAGCCTTTTTGTCGCGCGACCTCAATGCTGCATCGCTATTTCGCATTTTCCTCCGTCTGATGTTGTCCACTTCTCTGTGTCCACCATTCCTCTCGATTGCTCACTGAGAGATTCACGACTGCCCAGCCACCTCGAAGAACCCTAGCTCGACGTCATGGCTGCTGCCGCATCCTCCACCCTCTCAGTGCCAGACCAGATTCGCCAGCTCAACGACGCCCGCAAGCTCGTCCTGGGCGATGTCAAGTACTATCCCAGCGTGGTCAGAGGAATCCTGCCCATCATTGGGCCCCAGGCACCTATAGAGCTGCGACGATGGGTCACGGACTTTTTGGCCGAGGCCTTTGCTACGCCCGCGCTGCCAAATTCAGAGAAGGAGACGATACAGCCATACGTGTTGACGACGCTAGAGACGCTGATTGAGCAGGAGGTTGATGCGCAAGTGCTGCGGAATGTGATACAGACGGCAGCGAGTATTTATCCGCTGGCCATGAGGTGGATGTTGGTGGCCTCTCTTTCCTAGCTACTGATGTGGGAATGTCATGATTACTGACTATTCTTTGCTGGCAGCATTAACAACAGCTACGATACGGTGACGTGGGAGCGGATGGTGAGTATCAAGCAGAAGATCCTGCAGATGTGGGATAATGTCCCGCCAACTGTGAGGATATGCTGCATAAAGTTTGCCCAGCGAGTAGTGCTGGCGCAGAGCGTTGCCTCGGGGGCTGAACATAGGGTAAGATATAAAGGCCCGTCCCAAAGTAAAGCAAAGCAAGTATTCTCATCGTTCAATGTTACTCTAGTATGGCGGCGGTTTGGACGTCTCTCTAGACAAAGTCCCACCCAACCACCAGACGCTCGATCCTAGAAATCTCGAGGCTGAGGCGAGCGGGTTGCTGGACCGCATGCTGAGTATTCTTCAAGGGAACAAGTAAGCCTTTTCTTCTCCCCCTTAACACACTTGTTTCTACGTTATATATGGCCATTACGCCAAAAAGTTTGCAAGTGCCGTGCTCACCTAGTCTAGTGATGGCCTTCTAGTAGACGCAACTTTGAATTGCTTGTCCATCATGGTGCGGACTCGTCCAACCACATCAAATCGAATTCTCAATGCCTTGCTCAGTTTCAACCCTCTACAAGCCGCCAACTCGCCATTGACCCCCAAGACCAAGGTGATGATCAAGTCCATGGAGAAGACGGCCCGGTTGCTATTGATTCACCTGACTAAGCGAGACCCCCATAACCCAATCGTGCCTAGAATACAGCAGCATGTCGAGGGCACAATGCGTATGGTGGCCGAGCTCTTTGACGGTGCCGGGCGGAAAAGACCACTGGAGCCCAAGCCGCAAGATGGATATGATGTCAAGCGCCCGCGGATTGAAGCCTCCCAAGTCCGGATCCCCCCCTTGGGCCCAGGTCCCCATAGCCTGGCCGATGTCTTTACCCTCATTGGCAACGATGGACTCAAGTTCTTCGACGCCTCTCAGGTTCCCCACAGCCTCGTAGCCAGAATCGCTGTGAATACTTTGTCTAGGCTGGATCCCCAGGTCCTAGCAAAGGCTGTAGATGGTGTTCGCGGCCGACTGGAGATGCTCAACAACAACCCTCCTCCGGAGCTGAATCCAAACACTGCTCCTCTCGGCGTTGAAGAAGACGAAGACGACTATGAGCCAGACTTTTATCAGGCTGAGGATACGGAGCAGATTTTGAACAAGTTGGATAATGCGCCGGCACCTGCTGCAGCCGAACCTAAAATAAGCTTCGATGATACCCTTGGGCTGAAGTCTTTCAGCCTTCCCCAGCCACAGCAGCTGACGCCGGAGATGGCCCTCAACGCGGGCAGTGGAACAGTGACAAGAGTGTTGGACATGATGAAGTCACTGGACGAGCCGAGTGTAAAGAAACAAAAGGCTGGTTTCAACCGGCTTGCAGCAAGCTCCGAGAGCAGAGACTCCTGGATGACCATCTTGGCGCGGTTAGCAACACGATCATCCGCTGGTCTTCAGGAAATATTAGTAAAGGGGGAAGCGGACGAATCGACTCAGGCACCATCCCTCAACAACAGTATTCGAGAAATACTTTACAACTACATCATGGAAGACTTTCGAAATCACATCGACGTCGCAGTATCATGGCTCTGCGAAGAATGGTACAACGACAAGGTGCAGATGAAAGCTGGCGGAGACCATCCGATGTACTACGAGAAGTGCACGCTCCGACTCATTGACGGATTTCTCCCTTACCTACGCCCGCAGGATAAGGTTCTCACTCGTTTCCTGAGCGAGATACCCGAGCTGAATCGAGCGATTCTCTCTCGTGTGAAGCACATGTGCCGAGATCCGAGTGTGACACAGCTGGCATTGACTAGCTTGCTGTACTTGGTGATTATGCGGCCTCCCATCAAAGAAGCTGCGCTGGACGTTGTTCAAGATATATGGACAGACTGTATGTGATGTTTCCCTTTCCGTTCTTCCCTTTGTTCAGCATGCGTATATACACGCCTGTCAATAGAGAGATGAAGCTAACATTCTGGCACAGATGAGGATGCTAGGACCATGGCAGCCAAGTATCTTACCAAGTACCGACCGCTATTCATAGAAAATGCGACAAAACGCGAAAGTAACGGTAGTCCAGCATCAGCACCAGGTGGAGATGCAATCACCGCATAGAGAGCCGTACCACTGTGCAGCGTATTCTAGAAGGAAGAGGGCCGGAGGTTACGCCCCATAGTTCGAAATATGAGAATTGCAACAGTTTTAAAAGCTGCATCAAACGAATAGGCGTTGTTTCAACTTTAGATGGGATCATCACAGATTGCGTGGGCAGGCCATGATTGGACAGAATAGAGGCCGCGGAGCAGAGACAGACAGGGACTTTACTGGTCATAAGTCATAATTATGGCGTAGAATTTTAGTGTACACATGAAGGAGGCTTAGGCAGGCAGGCAGGCAGGCAGGCAGGCATATTTGTTCACTGCTACGGGAACATGAGAAAAGACGGCGCGGATATCCGGGATGCGAGACAGAGATGTTTACACAAGGATGGAAATTTGACAATGGGATGAATGCTGCCAACGGTCGAAAGTGTATTTCAAGAAGGTCAGAGATGGGATATTGTATTTGGACAAGAATTGGCGAGCAGATATATATACCTAGCTGCTGTGAAAACACTATTATGATATAGAGGAGACTTTTTATCTTTTCATCTTTCTTCTTGTCTTTTTTTGCATAGACAATCAACCGGAATTATGATTTTTGTGTTCTTGGCTAAAATCAAATGATGTTTCTTAGAGAGACGTTGATCAGTTTTTCTTGGTCTTAAGAAGGGCTGCTCTTAGAAGGAATGAATGGCCTGTTTACCAACGAACAGTTAGACAGGCCGCCCTGTAGCTTATATCTCGCTAGCGAGGGTTAGTGTATTGGCCATGCAAGGAGAGCAACGACGGCGTTGGACTCGCTTTTGATCCAAGACAGTAGCGATACCCCGTATTTCGTTTCTCGTGTAAGTACTATCAGTATCATGCGACTAGAATGTCTGAATACGGATCACTCGCTCTACCTAGGTAGGCAGTGCATGAAGTAGGACGTCTGTGTTGACATCATCGCGACGGCCCGTAATAACATCGCCGCGGCATCTTATTGGAGTTGCTCCCACCTCTAACCAAAGCGCCACCGTTGCCTGGTCAGCGGCTGCATCTTCAGGATCTCTACCTGCAGTATCTCTCCGACTAACGGCGTAGTGACACGTGAAGCCTTCAAAGGACAAAGTAAAAAGCCCTTGCAGCAGTGTTTTTTATTGATTCTGGATACCTGGTACCTAGCTGACTGCATGTTGTAGTTGGGGGAGTGGGCTCAGTGCTGATTGAAGCGACGAGAGACAAAGGCGGCAGAGACAGGTCTTGGATGAGCGGGCAAGATAGGAGAAGGGATTGATTGTTTTCTCTTTTTTTTTTTGTCATTGGAGCGAGACGCTTGGTCGGTGCGATTTGGAACTTCCCCTTTTGAGAGGCCATCCATTACGCGCCTTGCTGCTATTAATACTTAAGGCGAACAGTTGCCATCCCTTTGACCCGATGTATATGCCGAAGCTGGATCTTATTGACCAACAGCTTACGACTGTTTGTGTATCTTGCCCTGGGCTCTATCTGTATTCTTTCATCTCTTTGCGGAGAAGCATCCGCTATTATTACTGTCGTCACATCCATACCAATCCCCAGCTCAGCTCATCTCATTCCATCGCTTCAGCTGGCCTCTCCCTGCAGAACCAAAACCCCGGCTCGTCGTCCAGGGTCTCCCGCCGGCTCCGCGGCCGCTGACTTGACAGCGCAAGATTAAGACGGCGGATCGGCTTCATTAGTGCTTGCAGCATTAACCGAAACGAAACACGACCGGCAGCTTCTCGAGCCTCAGATAAAGGAGGGCCTCGCACTGCATAGCATTGATCAGACTCTGATACAGTACGGAATTCATCATGGCCATGCAAGACAAAAAGGTGCTGCCGAAGAGCCCCCTTCATCGCCTTTCGAAGCAATTCTTCGCCAATCGCCAAGATCCATCTCCAGGTAATGTCTTGTCTATTCCTTTATTCCCCTTCTGTCTTTCCGTCTTCCTCTCCTCCCTTCTTCGCCTTGTCTCGCTCTCGTGCCCTTGTTTCGCTGCACGTTGACGCAAGTCCTCGCTGCCAGGTCCAGTTTTTAATGAGTAACGGCCAGCGCGCTGCATTGCCGCTCATTTACGCGAAAACGAGCGAATGCTTGCCGTACCCACCACTCATATTAATTGCAGATGAGACTTTGTGCCTAATCCTGTAGTGCGCTCGCTGCACAACCTTTGAATCTGATTACGCTTGCACACTGTACTGCACTGCACAGATCGCATCTGCAGCAGCCTCCACCAACGCCATCTCTGCTTTTCCACCATCACACTCTCTTTCCATTACCACTTACTCAGCCGGGTTCATTCGCTAATCCCGAGCCTCCACAACTCGCAGCCCATTCACCCTCGCTAGATGATTCTCCAGGCACGAGGACCTTAACACCAGCTTCTGCCGGCACCGTCAACGCCATGCCGAGTCGTGCCGCCTCCGTTTCAAAGCAGGCCTTGGCCCGAACGGCCACGATCCGCAGCGTGCCCAGCGTCGAGGGCTCCGAGACGAGTCCCGAGAGCAACCTCGCCAGCGGCCTCTCCAGCAGCGTCAACAGCAAGGCTAGCGCCCTGTCCGTCACAGCGTCGAATGGCGCCCAGATCGAGAGAGCACCGTCGCCTGCGGCCAAGCCTGATGTCGACAACGCCGCCAACGCCAACGCCAACGCCAATGGCCTCGTGCCTCGGGTTGTGGAATCATCGCCGGCCCCCGAAGAGGTCAGCGGTTTGGCGGAAGGGGACCACGACAACCACGATAGCGCGCAGTGGGATTCGACAATTGGCAAAGCCGGCTTGGGAAAGACGGGCCGAGTCATCAACAAACTCGTCAGCGACAACGAAGCCCTGAAGCGCGAAATCAAGATTGAGCAATTGCGAGCAGAAGAAGCAAAGCAAGCGGCTAAGCTGGTCGAAGACAAGATGGAGCGCATGATTAGCGACTACGAGAGCCGGCTACTAGAAGCAAACGTCACCAAGACGCTGCTGGCGAGAAAAGAGCGGCAGGTCGAAACACTAATGGCCACGGTCGATACCGAAAAGAAGAAGACGGTGGCGGCCCAGGAGCTGGAGCGAAACTGGAGGGACGAGATGGAAAAAGTCAAACACGACGCAAAGACGCAAGTCGACGATGCGACAAGCTACGCGCAGCTGATGGAGGGCCGGTACAATGCCATCTCCTCCCATTGGCGCGACCAGGGCGACGAAGTCAACAAGGCCATCTCCACCATCAAGACCGAGATCAACACCATCGTTGACGAGCGCAAGTCGGATGACGATAAGATCCAGACCCTGCGAGACTTGTGCGAGCAGCAGGACAGCAACATCCAGAAGCTACGGCGCGAAAAAGAGGACATTGCGCGGTTGTTTGAGCAGTACAAGGAGACGCAGGAGAGCGACCTGAAGGATATGAAGGAGAACGCCAAGAAGACGGAAGAGGAGCAGCAGAGGCTATTAGACGAAGCTCGAGAGACGCTTCACAAGCTGAGATGGGCTCTAAATGTTAAAGAGAACGTCCAGGGCGCCCAATAATGAAGGCATTCCACCAGCACCACTTTCTCTTCATCTGCGCTCCTCGGATATTCTCTTGCATTGTTCCCCCCTAGGGTTCTCTTTTTCTTCACGGCCACACTTCTCTTGGCGTTATTGCTCTGTATTTTTCCAAACTTGCCGGTCGGTGCATTCTCATGGAGGCTCTATGCGAAATGGCTTTTTCTTACTTGCTCGACGTTTCTTTCTCCCGTTATACTTCACACCACCTTTATACAATACACAGCGACTTATATAATGATACCACATCTCCTCCGCCTCCCTCCCATCGTCTCTTCCATTCTTTTCTTTTTCTTCTTCTCGAATTTTTGTCCTCTTTACTATTATTGTCCTTTTTACTAGTTTTTTTTTTCCCACTCGTTGCTATTAATTGTTTAAAGAGAGCGGCAAGTTGGCTGTGTACAGGATATGATGTTCCTCTTCCCCTCTTTTATTTTCTTCCTTCAATTTTCCTCCTTCTACCTTTCGCATGTTAGGAAGCCTTTGCTATTACGATACACTCGGCGTTGGATGCATTTAAACAAAGAACAAAGAAAAGAAGAAATTTATATTGTATTATCTCTACTGCTGCGCTGTATTTGGCCGTCTAGGAGCTCCAGCTTCTTAGAGCCAGGTACTGCATGCTGGATACTAGATGCTAGATCGAGAAGAGATTTACCTGCGAGAGAAATACACATCGCACTTAGATAAATAAACGAAGAAACAAAGGGTCGGATATAGGCATTAAGAGAATGGCAAGATAAGGAACACAAAAGCAAACACAATATACCTGTATTGGATAGATTTGTACATTGAATACTTCCCTTGCTGTCAATTTTTCATGTGTCCTGGATGTAGTCGGCTCTGGGTATTATATTGGGTGCTATTTGAGAGGATAGATAGACTATCAAACCTGCTACTTCAAATACCTAGGTAGGCTATTGAAACACATGCAACCATCTGGAATAGGGCTCACAGCTGGCTCAGCATAATGCTCCATCATCGTGCCTTGTCTGAAGAATAGATTGTGCTGTATTTCAGATACGCATTGTGTAACAAAAGAAGCTTGCTTGTGTTACAATCTTCACTTATTTAATACCAACTATTCGGTACACAATTCACATAATAAGTGCTCGACTCGCCATCTCAAGCATGTTGCATCGTGTATTGAGTAATGAACACGCAGCAGCAGTACATATTTGGACTAGATGTAGCACATCCCCCAATTGTCCGAATCGCGCTCTGTTATTCACAAACAACGTTAAGATGGTATGCTCTAGAATCAATACAATAAACAACCTTATCACTCTAAAAGCTTATCTGCAGTGATGCTGTGAATCGTGCTACAACGGCGATGCTTTGCGGTGAGCAGAACACGTGCTTGACGCTGCACCTGCCATTCAAGCTGCCACTCGCCTGGCAGCTGCCCACAGAGATACAAATCAGATATAATTTCTCGCTTTGTTTATTTATTTTCTTCCCCCCCTCTTCCTCTTCTTTTCACCTTTTCTTTCCTCACCTCCACGCGCTTTGAATTTATGCGCAGTACAACCACCCTCCTCCTTTGTTCTCTGCTAGCACAGCATTATTTCGTCGTTGAAGCTTGCCCGGCGTTGTTTGTTTCGGCACCCTTTGCACTTGTGTATTGATTACATCGGTGCCAGCTCGAGCTTTGCGTCGGGCGTCTGTGTTTGGCTTCTCTGATCTTCTGCAACATCGGCCTGTACGCGGTGACAATCTTCAAGGCTATCTTGGGCATCTATCCATCGCGGTAGTGATTTGTCTATCCTTGGGCTGATTTTACACAGCTGTGAAGGATTTTGGTAAGTATGGGTTTGTTCAAATCGCCTTCTTCTTCAGTGGATATGGATTTTTGTCGCGGGACACTCCGTCCGCAAAATGTCCATGGAGATGCACAGAAAGCAAAGATACTGATCATTCTTTAGTCTGTTGATGTTATATCTGAAGTTCTCTACTGTTTTGTTGCATTGTACGACACTATTCTTGCGTGATGGATCAACAAGATGAGTTTGCAGAATTCTACATTACATGCAATCCTCCGCTGCTGCCACGAGGCGTCAAGCACATCATCAATTCAGTCAAGTCAGCCTGTACGAATGTATGTGTTACAGTATCTTGATCCACTTGGTACCTGGCTTATAATTTTTCAAGGGCGAGCTGTATGAAATTCTATACGAGCCGGACATCCCATGGTTCAAGTGTTTTACCATGGGCAAGCACAAAGAATCTGTGACTCGCATTATTCAAGACCTTATGCTTGAATTGGTGAACCTTGAAGTTGCCCGTCCTGACTTTGATGTCCAAAAAGACGTGGTTGACACCGACGTTCTTCAAGCTGATGCCACAATGAAAGCGCCGGAACCACGTTTGGCATCATGGATGGTGTATCAATCACACGGTACAGACAAATATGATGAATTCATTGAGTACCAATATCCAGCGTTCATGGCCTCTCTTCCACACAAGGCAATTTGGAGAGGACTTGAGAACTCAAGTGGCTCTTTTGAGAATTTCTTATCTGCATTCCGCCTTCTAATCAAATCCGAGAATGCTCCAGCCACCACCGCCGACTTTGCTCTTTGTAATGATTGTCAAATCACTTGCAATATGAGACAAAATCTGGTATACATCGGATCTTCTACTTCAGCGGCGGCCCTCAAGAAGGTGCTTAGAAAGCTTGAAACAATGCTGAATCTCTTGGTAAGCATCTTTCTCTTTTCTTTCTTTTTCTTTCTTCTTTTTTTTTTTTTTTTGCACAAAGGTTTACCGCGCCTAATACAATGTAGTCAACCAAGGTCAAGGTAGTAACACACTCCATTCTGCCTGAAGGACCAGAAGATGTCCGACTCGCATACAGATGGCTGCACCGGATTGGATTGCACCAGGCGACGTTTGCCGTTCCATGCGGCAATCTTACCATAGCAAATGAGTACGCATTGCTTCTGAATGCGGCTGCCATCCGAATGGAGAAGAAGAACAAGGTTGGGCGCTGGGTACCTGATGAAACTGTATACCCATTGCAAAGTGCACCGAAAACCAACGTGGGACAAGGATTTAAAGTCTTCAAGAACTTTCATCCCCGTCCCAAGCCACGATTTGCGGACATTCGCCCGATGCCATATGGACCACAGCCTGCAGGGAAAGAGGCCTCTTCGTCCGCAGAAGCACAAGAACCCAAACCAGATGCAGGCAATATGGAGTCGGCTATGCTCGGACAAGGAGCTGAAGATTGCCACGGAGCCCCGGGCCCAGAGCTTTCCGGCGGGGAAAATCTTCCTCTCGACGAAAAGCCGCCTATCTTAGGTCGACAGACTCATACATCTGCAGTCAAAGAAGAAGATTCAGCAGAACTTGTACAGAGATCGCGCTTTGTTGAGACATTACTTCTAAATTCTCCCCCACCACAGTCATATCGCGACAACCTTATAGACTGGGTAGAAGGCGTAGAAGACGTGGCTCCATCTGAGTCTGAGATAAATGACTTCAAACAAGATGAGCTTCTCATCTCCTTTGATGCGTCAAGCAACGAGTCTCTGGGCGGTATCGAAGCTTTCAATGCTATGGAACCAAGCCCAATGAACGATGAGCTTCGAAGTCTTCACGAAGGAATCATGCAACTTGATCAATTTGAACAATCTGATGATCTGATATTGCTGGATAACGAACCAGAAGCCCCAAGAGCGAATATTGTGCGAAAATCAGATAACGACCTAGCTGATATGTGTCTCTTGAGCGGCGAAATACCTCAAATCGAGAACGCGTTTTGTCCTGTGCTGGACAAAGACGCCACAGCGTTGGACGAGAGCAATCCTCTTGAAGCTTGGAAGATGAATGCATTTTCTGATGGCTTGGTTCGTTTTGGACTAATAGAAGAAACACCGAGAAAAGTCTACCGAACAATGAATCAACAAGCAGGCCGTGCCAACAGCAAAGCAACCAAGGGGTCTGCTCCTCACCAGCTTGAAGAAGCTGCATGCCGAGAGCGTATACAAAAGAAACTCGACGCTCTTGGACCTCCTACTGAACAGAAGAGCGAAGTGAAAGATGTGCCCAAGACCCGTGAGGTGAGCCAGGACTCGGTATCTGGCCCGCCTGCTGAAAAACCGTCGGCGGTTAAGAACCCTCCAAGTCAAGCGGATTCTAGTAAAGATGACATATTTACTATAACCCGTATTGAAAAGCCCGCATTGAGCCAGAAAAACATTTCACTGGCAAACGTCGTCCTACCTGGCCCTGCAGCCAGGCGGCTATTACACAGCCAAGTCACAGAGTCTTCCAATGTCTGTGGGAGTTCTGCACCTCGGCGTCGTTCTCCTGGAAAGAGTAGTGTTGCTACAGTAGGAGAGCGCCCGACTGTTAGAGCACCGGCTAAAAGAGGACCAAATCCAGTGGTAAGTCCACATATGCCCTGACAATCATCTAACGCTGACAGAAACGTCCCTCCAGTGTGAAGATGAATTCCCACCACTTGGAGGAGGTCCATCGTCGTCAAAGAAACAGGTAAGAAATCTAGTGTCATATTCTGATGCCGCCAAGCTGTCGAGCTCTCGGCCTCCGCAAAAGTGGCAGACAGTTGCCAATTTACAAACTACCAATGAGCAAGTGCGACCCTTATCGACTGAGGTATTCCCTTTGACAAGTGGTGTGGGTAAGAGAAAGTCCAAGGAGCCGAAAGACACCATTCCCGAAAATCACTTTGACTACGCTGTGCCACAGAAGAGTGACATTTTGCGTCGTTCGGAAGACTGTCTCAAAGCAATGTCGCAGGTCCTTGAGCCATCTCCGGGTCACGTTTCATTAGAAGTTATTTTTGGACGCATCTATATCAAAAAGCTGGCTCCAAGTATGGTGAAAGATAGCGCTTCTGAGTATTCATATCAATCAGTCACTGAGGCGGCCAACTTTTTGAACGGCTCTAAATTTCCACCGGATTGTGTCGGCTTCTCCCCGATTCTATCGACCATGGGAGGTGATGCAGATCTGCTCGCCAATATTACGCCGCCGGGCGATTTGCCATGGCGCCTGTCTGAGAGAGAAATCTGGTACGATTTTCAGTGCAAACTTCCTGACTCTCGAGATGAATCCTTCGTCCTTGAGCTGAACGCCAAGACATTCCAATATCGATGCAGGGGCCCACGTAAGGAGCTTTTCTCCATGTACATGCACTGTCCTGGGAGAGCTTGGGACATGAAGGCTCGTGGAGCTCGGTCTTCTGCTCTGGGAGGCGAGGCGAGATTCGTATGTTTTGCTGCGTCTCTGTTTGAGCATATGGCCATCCAGTAAGGCAATTGGGAGCACTTGTATATCAAGGTAATATTAAGCTAACATGTGCTTTTCTGCAGTGTCAATGACAACAATGGCGATGTAACAATCGAATTTTCCGAGAATGCAGGTCTCAACACCGCCGTCAAAAGCATCACCATGCGCCAAGTGGCAGAATATCGCCACCAAGGGAAAGCCGATAATTCCCTTCTCTCCATCACGATGAAGTATATATTGAAAGAGGGCATCTCTCCAGTCATGTGCGACCGTAATCGGATTAAAATAGCAGACAGGAGAAATTTTACCACTCCTGACGGCTCAGCGAACAGCGCTTTGCCTCATCAATATATGGAAGCGAGTATAACGTCTGCTCGTCTCTCCTCTTTGTTTGAGGAGAATGTTCAGCTCGAGAGCGGTAACAAGGCTGCTTGGGATATGGACCTCCTCGACGGTGAAGGCGTTTTTGGAGATATACTTCGGCCAGCGTTTGGTATGGTCACGCACATGGATTCAATCGGGGCGTCAAATAATACCAGGAGATATGTCAGTAACACTGACGCATTTCACGAGCCAGTTGTTGTTTCGACTGGCAAAAAGAAGATGATGGAGTTTTGGTGAGAGCAGAAGGCCTGTGGCTACTATGCATGTATGAGAGCTAGGTTGCATTATGTACGAATAGTGTCTATCAATAACATTGACTTCATCTTGTCCAAGAAGCTTACGGCTAAAACTTGGGGTCAATGATTGATTAGTGGAAAAAATGTCTAGAAATCCAGCCGTCACCAGATAACTAGATTAGATTGGCAATTAATCTATGTGGCTGCCTTGCTAACTCGTTATACGTGAATTTTTCAGCAGCACGTTAGCTCAGCTACAACAGTATCTTTTGCTTTGCATTTGTAGTGCCCCTCTGTTGTATATGTCGATAATAAAACATTCAAGTAGCAAAGCACTTTTCATGAGTTGCTTTAGACGTAGTTTTACGAGCACTTGTCCATAAAATAGAATATTACTAATTCACACCTCAGCTCATTATATAGCATCTCGGAACTATCTGTGGCGAGACCCATACTGCAAAAGGCTAAAGAGGGCGTTTTTGCTTCCGAGTCTGTCAAAACAGATGGCATTTTGAATGAAGTGTACAAGTCCCATGATGTAGTTGTCATTACTAAATTACCAGTTGCGCTGGCGATTCTTCTTGTTCTTTGTCTTTGTGACTTTCGTACATTGACAGGAAAGGAAATAGCAAGATGGAGTAGGAGGCATAAGCCCATATTACGATCTGTAACAATTCCACGAAATGCTAGGGCGCCCGCAAGAATCGTATCCGGTAAATGTTGTTTCAGGGGTTTCCCCAAAGGAGTAAAAAGCTAGGCCAACCTTTAGTGGCAGACGCTGTGATTCGCGCCATGCATGCTGCTTTATAGTTGGTATCAGCACTAGTGCTCAGCTGGCTTCAATGGATTTTGTGTCGATTTTCTGCCACCTTCATCTTTCTTTCTCAACCGTGCTCGTTACACAGACTAGCCAGTTCCATCTGGCCAATTGCCTCAATGGGGCAGATTCTCATCGCTCTCGTAGGGGGCGTCATTTGCCTGGTGCTCTACTTGCTCAAGCTGAACTCGGTGCTTTCGCACACGCCTCAAGAGGTGGTTGATAGGGCAGGAGAACCACTCACGCGAGAGCATATCAAAGATGTGTTTGAGCGCGTGAAAAAAGATGGGCTCGGTTCGGAGGGGAAGCTGCCACCTCGGAAGGATAGACGGTACATTGTAGTGGGAGGATCAGGTGAGTTTGCTGAAATGTTTCTGAGAAGGATGAGCAGGTCTAATGATTGTGACTCTAGGATTTCTTGGAGGCCAGATCATTTTGCATCTCTTGGCCATGGGGACGCCGCCTGAAGCCATCCGCATCTTGGATGCGCGTCGGCCGTTTACCTTTAGGAAAGAGTTTTCTCAGGGAGCACCGTCAAAGGTGGCATACATTCAGACTGACATCACCAACGAGGCGGCAACACTCAAGTCGTACGATGCCCCTTGGCCTGAAGCTGTGGCTGGCCTGCCGCTCACCGTCTTCCATACGGCGGCTGTGATTCGGCCATTTGATCGATACAAGATTCTCTACGAGCGCACCTCTCGGGTAAACATCACCGGCGCGGTGCATTCACTTGAGGCAGCAAAGAAGGCCGGTGCCAGCGTCTTCATCTACACGTCTAGTTCCAACGCGGCTTTGAAGCAGGTGAAGTGGCTTTTCGCGCCTTGGGGAGCCACACAGCAGCCCGAGGGATTTATACAGAACCTGAGCAACGAAGACTTTTTCGAGCCACTGCGGCAACCACACGAATTCCCTTCCATTTATGCACAGAGCAAAGCTGAAGCCGAGAGGCTGATATGCGGCGCGAACGAAGCAGATGTCGGTGCCGGGGCTCCGGCTCTACTTACAGGAGTGATTCGTCCCGGCAACCCCGTCTATGGACACAAAGACGACAACATTGCAGGTAAAATGTTGGCGCTTGGAGGATTTCCTTCGTGGGTGCCCGCCAATGTGCAGAACTGGATCAATGTGCACAACGCATCGCTTGCGCATTTGCAATACGAACACGCGCTGCTTGGCGAGCATGGGGGAAAAGTTGCCGGCCGGCCATTTATTGTTACAGATAAGGGAAAGCCCGTCCGCTTCCAAGACATCTATACGGTACTGGACAGCGTGAGCACGACGGGCATGAAGGTCAGCTACCCACCACCGGTGCTGATCCTGATGTTTTCGTACGTGGTGGAGTGGTATGCTCTGCTGGTGAATGCGGTGCCGCTGCTGGGCAAGGTTTTGAGTGAGCCAGTAGGGGATATACAGTGGCTGCAGCCGGGTGTTCATGCGACGAGCTTACACTACCTCATCGACGATTCGGAAGCGAAGAAGAAGCCGGCGGATGGCGGAATTGGATACACGCCGTGCTGCACGACTGTTGAGGGATTGTGTAGCCAGGTTGTGGATTGGAACGAGTGGGTTGAGGAGGAAAAGAAGCTGAAGTAGTAGTTAGTAGTCCCGGGTGACGTCTTGATTGATAGCTGTGATGGGGACATTGAAGCTGGTGTCTCGGAGTACATAGTACGACTGTGTAGCATTCTGTGCGAGGCGTCTTGGATAGGTACCTAGGTAGATAGGCACAGATTTAGGTATAACACCCGACGGAAAGCTACAACAATGGCTTCGCTCCTATTGAACTCGTCACCATCGTCAATAGTGCGAAGCCATCGTGCAAATCTCAACCAACTTCAGCGCCACATCGGCCTCAAAACTGTATATAACAGCTCAAGCCACAGCCACAGGGACCCTGCGATCCACCACACAGATCAGACCAGGCTTCTCCAACTTTGATCGTCCCTCTCGATAGCGTGTCGGCTACCAAGTCCATAGTGGGCTCCCAGGGGTCCAAGCTCTTTAAGATTCTCACAGGCGCAGAGCAAGTAGAGCCCGCCAGCCCGTCTCGGCTCTTCCCACACCATTGTCGTATTCGGCTTTATTGCTGGTGCGACGCCATCCTTCGACTCTACGCGCAACGCAACCCCACGGCGCTTCTCAAAAATTCCCGGGTTTCATTGCATTTGCTGGGCCATTGGTCACGCTCTGGCCGCTCTCTGCGCTGCTCCCGGTTGACTTGTACTGTTGCGCCCTTGTATTTCGCTATTCTTCTGGTTTGTAAACAGACGACATCGTTTATAATAGCAGAAGAGACGCCGTCAAGATGGCGTTTGGCATCCTCGAGCCAAGCTCGGGGGAAAAAGTTCCAGGTAGGGAGAAACCCGTGAGGAATCGGTGAGGAGAAGGAAACCCAGAACAGCTCTTGGCGCGGCGCGAGATTGGCTCGATTAATATGTAGCTAATGGCGACTAACGGCGATGATACTTGCAGGCACAACCCATTTCTACGATGACCCTTCGCAGCCCCAGACGGCAACAGAGCAGGATTCCGCGAGGCTGAAATGCGACACCAGCGGAAAGATCCCCATCATCCTCGTGCGTGCCTTGTCCAGCCTCAGCCGCGGATACTGATCAGCGTATAACGTGCTAACATGCTTCATGGCGCGTAGGTCCCGCAGCCTTCGGATGACCCCAACGATCCTCTCAACTGGCCCTTGTGGAAGCGCGACCTCGTCACCTTTACGCTCTGCTGGGCTGGAGTCCTGGCCACCTCGCTCGGGCCCATCTTGGCCGCAAACACCGTCACCCTCTCTCGCATCTTCTCCAAGACGTTTACCAGGGTCGCTCTTTTGACTGGTTATTTCCTGCTTGGCGCCGGCGCCGCTGCCATCTTCTTCGTCCCCTCTGGTCGAGTCTGGGGCAAGCGACATCTTTTCCTGCTGGGCATCCTGATCATCATCGCATCTAGCGCGTGGGCCGGTTCCGTGGGGAAGAACTATGGCAGCTTGCTGGGTGCCCGAGTTCTCCAGGGTGTTGGCACTGCTCCGTATGAAAGCCTGCTCAACGCAGCGGTAGGTGACCTGTACTTTGTTCATCAGCGAGGAGTGCGCATGGCATTCACCAACCTGGCTATTTTTGGCGGAGCCTTTTTCACGCCCATCGTGGTCGGGAAGATTACGGCGGCGATGGGCTGGAAGTGGAGTTTCTACTTTGTGTCCATCTTCATGGCTGCGACGCTGCCTGCCGTGTTTCTCCTGTGTCCTGAGACGGCATATCGCAGAGACGTCAAGCTCAACACCGACACTAATGCCGAAGGTGAAGAGGAGATTAAGCTTCAGTCCCGGATCGCGACGGTTAGTAACCCGCCATCTGATGAGGAAGAGACACCAAAAGGACGCACCGGCTTCGTCCTCTTTCCCACATCAGATGCACTTCAGCCAATTGGAAACGCCAGAACTCCAAAGAAGTCCTTTGTCGAATCTCTATCTCTCTTTGACGGCGCCAAGACGGATGAGCGCTACTGGGTCCTGCTGCTTCGGCCGTTCCCCCTCATCTTCAACCCGGCCTTTGTCTGGGGCTGTCTGATTCAAGGAACCATGATTGGGTGGACCATCTTCATCGGCGTCCTCGTCGCTGCCATCTTCCTTGGGCCGCCATACTTTTGGGGTGAAGTCAAGGCCGGTTACGCCTACACGGGTGCCTTTGTCGGCGCTCTCTGCGGCTTCGCCATCTGCGGCCTCCTCGCCGACTCGAGCGTCAAGTACCTCACCCGAAAGAATCGCGGCGTCTACGAGCCCGAGTTTCGAATTCTGCTCGTCATTCCTATGCTGATTATCGGTGGCATTGGCTTGTTTGGCTTTGCGCTGACTGCTGGCAATGTTATCTCTGGCCAGTACAGCTACATTGTGCCTCTTGTCTTCTTTGGCTTCGAGGTTGCCGGCATGGTTATTGGTGCAGTCGCAAGTTCGTTATACATTGTGGATGCTTACAGTAAGATATCCCTCTGCGATGATGTCACGTACATTGTCGTTCCAAAGTTTCTCTGTAGCCGCTTACACCCGTTATAGGAGATCTCACGGTTGAAGGCTTCACTTTGATGATTATTTTCAAAAACATCTTTAGTTTCATCCTTACCTTTTATGCCTACGACTGGCTCATTAAGGGCGGCATCCAGCACACGATGATTGCCATTTCCATTGTTCAGGTCGTCGTATGCGTGCTTAGCATCCCTATGTGTATGTCCCCTTTTGAAATGCCCTATCCCCACTCCATGGTTCCCGTTAGCTAATAGGTGGACGACGTAGATGTGTTTGGCAAACGTTGTCGAGCGTTTTACCACCGCCATGATTTATTGGCCATTACCGGCTTGCAATAAACGTGTGTCGTTGCCTCCTTTTCGAACTACGTGCGAGCGTTGAAATTTACGACTATGGCGAGATGTCTATTAATACCCGATTGAAAATCTCATCTTTTACTGAAAAATTAATGGGAATAATGTATGGAATGATACCAAAGATAATGGATGGTGCTGGGCGACGCGAGAGATTTGAGCACTCGCTTAATAATGCAGGAGTGTATGTGTATTCTATGTAATTGTAATTGTATCGTGGGGATCTTATAGAATACGGATTGCGTTTTACTTGCAGACAATTACAGAAGAATTCGCGTTTATAACGATTAATCATTAATGAGACGTCAATATATATTTGCCCTGCGGTAGGGGGGATCGCACGTTTCCTACAGACGGCAGCGTTAAATGAGTGTTTCTACACGGGAGAAATTGAATTGGGCGCTGGATAACTTTTCTCTTCTATATACTTCAATCTGCACTACTGAGATGTAGCCTACCTAGGTATCAAACGGTGGTGTGTTAAATAACCAAAGTGATACGTCAAAAACTGCTCTACCAATAAAACAAATAAATCACAACACTTCCATCCATATCTATGACCCCGCACTATATTCGGCCGCATCGAGACTTGACTCCAAGCCATATGAACTGGGTTAACATATCTTTCCTTCTACTCCACAAAACAATATTCAAAATGAGTTTATCGTGTCCCTGGGGCGTAAAGGGACTAGACAAGTCACGTTTCGAAGCTTATGCCAAACTCTTGCGGCTGAAAAATGGCGGCCAGATCGAAGAAGCTTCCAACTTTTCCGAGATGCTCGATGAAGAGATGGAACCAGATGAGCTAGACGACGCTGGTTCCGTCGACGCGAACGAATTCTTGTCGTTTGACGAGGGGAAATTAAAGAGAGCCTTTCTTGATAGGTTGTCTGAGCTTACTGCGAATGAGAAAGGAGGCTATCATGTTTCATCATCTCTGATGATCGAGTGGCCAGATCGAGTCGATATTCTCGTGGCAAAGAATAATGGCTTCAGCAAAGGGGGTGCAACTCTCCGGATACTCGAAACTATAGCCTCTAGTCTCCGAGACATTGCCACGCTGGATTCTTCAGGTCTGACATGCCTTGCCAATCTACATATGGCGAGCTAACAGCGGCCCGTTTAGATGCTGCTACCGTTTCTACCAAGAAGAGTCTTTGGGAATCATTGGTACAATGGTACAAGCCCAGGATAGACTCCGACATGATCCGGGTCAAAAAGACCCTGGATGAGACTATCCTAACTACCAGGGCCCAGGTAAAAACCCCTGCTTCGAACGATTGCACATCATCTCTTCTATCGCACCTCGAGGAGCTTTGTGCTCTTATAAATACAGTGTCACATCCACCAACGCAGGATGACCTCGAAAGAATCGTGAAGTGTGCCCATGATGTACATCTTCTGTATAAAGAGCATGATTTTGATGACATTGCCGGCAAAAATGCCAATACTAGGTCATTGAGAGACGCGCTGGGCTTCCTTGGTAAGTCGCGGACATGCTTTAACACTTTAATCAGAAGCGCAGAGAGGCTCTGCGGTTTCCAAAATCTTCGTATCCTTCCATGGGTAGATTCACCAACTAGCGCAGCCAAACTGAAAAGGATGGATCGAAGCAATGCCTGGTCGTTGAAGAAGACGCTTGAATCGTTGGATCTTGAACTCAACGACAAGACGGCAGATTCCCTTGTCACAGCCGGCAGAAAGAAAAGTCCATGGAACAAGAGCAAACTGCTGCAAAAATTTGACACATTGAAAGCATCGGCTTCCAAAGTACATGCAGAAACGCAAGTCATCTTGGCGGCGACAAATCACGACTGCACGGGCGCAGTCATATTCAAGTACGTGGGCTGCAGTAAGCGCAGCTGTTTCCTCTGCTACAGGCTCGTCCAGAACTTTGGATCCTACACTACAAGGGGGTGCCATGGCAAGCTCTACGATCTCTGGACGGTGCCCGAAACACCTTGGCTTGCGGGAGAGGAACGCTCAAAGCTCATTCAAGCTCTCAAGAATGTCGAAAAGGCCATGAAGGAATCTATACGTGGTGGGAAGACCACCGGACTTGTACACGCTCCTGAGTCTACCATTGGGGGCTCTTCAGTTGCGACCAAGATACCGCAATCTGGCCGAAACCCTTATATGCTATCCCTCGTCTCAGAGTATCTTTCATCACAGCGCCAAAGGACGAGGTCCGGTGCTGACAAAGAAGGAGACTTTACAAGCCTTGAGTGAGTCACTATTTTTTTGAACCAAGTGAATCAAAGTCCTAATATGTTGTTTCTCACAGGGAATTGACGCAGTCTTTGCCAAGCGCAACTGATTATGAAACCAAAGCTCAAGGTCGGGCTGCGAGAACAATCCCGACACCTGAGCAACTGCAAGGCGAATGTGGTATCTGCGAACGAGAGACCAGTCGCCGCTGTCAGTTCTGCAACCTGGACTGGTTCTGCAGTGAAAAATGCCAAGATCAAATGTCATTTTATCATCTCACCAAGTGTTCAGCCCGCGGGATAACAACAGCTGATATGCTTTGTCGTGATGTTATTGGAGATCAAATTCCTCAAGACTCAGAGACGCGTGAGCATTTTGGGTTCACTCGGTGCCACAACCGGAGAGATCAAAGTCACCTCCTTGGCCTTTACCAAGGCCTCATACTCTATCTAGATGTTAGGGCTATCCAGCTTAACGAATGGCGCGAGAAAAATATCCTCGTGAGCAAAATTATAGAGGCGTTTTCCAAATTGTCTGAGAACAATCGTGGGGCTTACTTCCCATGGTTCCTTCGAAACCAGCACATCCTTGATAACTCAACTCCACCACTTCAGCTCGTTGGTGAGGATAATGCCCTCCATCGAGCTATAAATGCGGCGAGACCCTACCTCGACCCAGAAGATCGCGACAAGCATGTTAAACTTTTGGAGCCTCCATCCAAAGGGCATTGCTTCCTGTTTTTCGCCATGGTCTTGGACAGCTCGTATCCGAACCCATATTTGGCCTGGTCTGATTCGTGGTACAATTTTGGTTTTGTCGTCTTCCATAACCAATACGAGGAGCGAAAGCTTGGGGGTATTTACAGTACGCTTGTAGGTGGCAATAAATCAAGCAGAGACTATGATGAAAGTCTAGGGGTTGAACTAAAAGATTATCCCAATCTACCCACATGCTCATTCAACGAATTATGGCTAGCCTATGAAAACGGTGAGCTCGCAAATCTCTTCCGCCGATACGGTCTAGACTCCATCTTCGGTGGCAATTTGGGTCTGGAGGAATTTTTATCTTTCCCGCTGAATCAGCGTCAACTGCGCCCATCAGTCTGGAAGTTGAAGCACTTCCTGGCCATCGATGCCAACCAACCTCTGGGCAACTTTCCCGAGATTGAAGCAGCCGCTCAGGAATATGGGTTTACAGCACAGCTCAACCCGAGAACAGGATTGGCCTTGAGGCAGTGTTATGAGCAGTTGTTTAGAAAGGTGAACCCGCTCAGGGTCCATGAAGCAAAGTCTCATGGCCAATTGTGCGAGTATGCGGAGAGTGTCCTTGATGACATTGATGACGACGTCCGGCAAGTATTGCGGAAGATTAGTTGAAAAGAGGGTTGGACTTGTGCTATAGACCGGTTTGCATCGAATCTCAATCACATACGATCCTAGACGTACTGCACTAATCTAAAGGATCAAAGGTCTCATTTCTTCTGAGTCATATGTGCTGGGAGGTTGTCACGACCATTTACTTAGACATATTGTTGAATTGTGATTCGATGGAGAAGTCTGTATCATTCTTCCATTTTCCCATGTCGTATTAAAGAACGCCGCCTACGTGTTTAAACCGTCAGCTTTAGGTGCGTTGGCTTTTGGAGGCTTGCCATGGTTTCCCTTTGCGACACCAACGACGTCTCCAAGCCGAAGATGATTGAATGAATCATCTGGATCCGGCCGATTCGGGGCTCCGCGGCCCACGCCTACCAGCAGGCCGAATCAAATATTGGGAAAAAGTGCGAATCAAGAGCATTTGTTCCATAGGTGCCTAATCCGGTGAAGGCAATAACACGATTATGTTCCTGCCATCCGACCGAGGAGATGGCTGTTGTCGTCTTTTGCGGCCGAGGGAAGTTGTTCATGTTGCTCATTTAGCAAGGCCTTTGCTGCGTTGAGTTCACACAGCTCAAGTCGGAATATCAACAGCGCTAAAGGGATAAAGGCAGAACTTGTACCAGGCACTGGATTTAGTGGTATGTCAGCAAAACTCGATGGTCTTTACCAGTGTCTAGCTACTAGTTGAACGGGTGACATATTGTTGCTTGGCAATAGCTTGCTGTCGAGACAATAGAATCTCTCATGTTCTGCATCCAAGGCAGCAGAAAACATGGGGAGACCTACTGGCCCAGAGCCCAGCACTTGAAAGCGCGTTACAACTAATCTACTGGCGAGTGTATGTATATTGGACGCGTGTAGCAGCCAGGCGTGGGCAATAAATGCAATTCAAATTCTATTTGTTTAAAATTTCTTCCACATGCTACACGTAAGTTCATAGCATCCCGATGATGGGGCTTGTGGTAAGCTCTGTGGCGCTGATCCAATCCGGCATTTAAGATCGCTGCACCACATATATAACTTTCCACTCCGATAAGTAAGCGGAGATACATTGTACGCAGATAGGTATTTAACCCGACGCTTTACCTTCTCATTTTGCGTATCTGATGGTCGCCGAATTCCATTCCTCTTTACAACTATTGCACACGTTTGTATCTTATACTCTCCAACTCGTATTCTTACATTGCTCCATTACCACAACTATCACCGCTTTTGGTCATATAATGTTTTCAACATCACTTGGCAACAAACAATGGGATTCAACTTGGGATGGCTTGCCTAGAGAAATTCGACTTCTCATTTTAGAAGCCCTGGTGCAAGACGGCTGCAGGTTAAGTCGCTTTGCCACAGTGTCCAGAGAGTGGCAGACCAAGCTCGAGCAACATAACTTTGCTCGAATCAAACTAACACCATCGCGACTTGTTGATTTTGATTCAATAACTCATCGCAATCGGGCTTTTATTAGCTATATTTGGTTCTGCTTGGAACTTGATGAATACGATTGCACCAAATGCGCGCCAGCCAGTTCAAGCGCGGATTTTGGAGAAGCAGTCGCTATTAGTGATACAGATCACTGTCCTATCACTACATCATTTCAGAATCTCTTCTCCGTCCTCAGCAGATGGAGTCCTAGCGCCGGTTTAATACTTGATATCAGCATCTATTCGCCTAGTGACTCAACACATTGGTTCAAATATCTGACCTTTATGCCTGATACTCCTTTAGACGGTCGGCACAGCATAGATCAGATAGTCTCAAGCAGACCAGTCTATAATGATCCTCAACATGGATGGGTTGATGGTTTCCGACACTGCGCGCCGCCTAGAACGGCAGTTGTCAAAGTGTTTTATGAAGTCATGGAAGAGGGACCTTTTGATAGTGATCAGGCAGAGCTACAATGGTGGGATCGGCTTCCATTAGTCCCGGCAGTAACCACATTACTTCTCCGACAACAGAACCGGCGGAGATGGAAGCCAGAATCGCTTGCACATATGTTTGCCCGGTTTCCCAGACTCCAAGAAGTCCACTATGAACCCTGGAGGGAATGGGGCTCCATAAAGAGGCAAACAGATAAAAGTAAGTGTGGTTGCACATCAGCCCAAGTTATTGCTTAATCCCTTTTTATATACATATACTATTGCTAACAATATGTATCTATCGTTTTAGAGTACCTATATCTCTTCAAGTCTATTCAAGATTTTAATAAGAATCTTAAGAGACTCGTAGTCTTTGAGAACTTTAATCAACAGTATCCAGCTTTTATGCAGCGATTCCAGTTTGGTGTCGATTTAGCTGAATGCGAGAGTATTCGCAATCCAACACCAGCTGTCAGCCGGATGGTCGTGCTTGCTAGCCTTCAGCTTGAGCATCTTGCAGCATCATTTATTATAGATGCTAGCCACTTCTTTGATAACATTGAACCGTCTTGGGAGTGGCCAAACCTGATTTCGCTTGTGCTGACTTCAAACTTGCTTTCACCAGACAAAAGTCCAATTAAGATTAGAGCTATGCTTCAGGCCGCAGCAGCAATAGCTACAAAGATGCCACAACTAGAAAGAATGGAAATTTGGAACGGACAAAAGGGTTTAGCAGCACTCTTTAAATATCAGGTGTTCCATAATATACGGCAAGGTAGAATCACTTGGAGAGGCACCTGGAATCTTGCCATGGACTCTTCTATAGTCCAGGCTTGGGAAGTTCTCGTACATCAGCAAGATGGTTGGAGATTGAATCTAATTCAGGATCTACTAGATGGAGCTACTATCAAATCTCACGGTGACGCAATTCGACACCTTATGCTTTCAGGCCAGGTCATTCGGCCTATCTCGTTGCAGCAGATCCAGATAGAACAGAGTGCCCTAGAGGGCGTAGAAACAGTGTCAGAATGATTTTATCTATTGATAGATAGAGACCTACAGTGTCATTGCATAATATAAGACCACACAGATCTCCTTCCCGCCTAGGATAGACAAATCAACAGCCAAATAAACAATAAGAGTTATAGAGCGAGATAAGAAAAAATTCCAGGACTCTTTGTTGCTTCTAAAAGAAAGTATATGCGATAGACTAGACAGTAGCCCATCTATAGATAAACAATTCCTTTTATAATCGCTTTCCCTAACGCCTAGAATAACAGCTTGTAGTAGCTTAGGCAATTCTGTCTGCGTGCTACAGAGTTTATAATGCAGCATTATATCGTCAGCCTCGAAATAGCAAGTGGGAGATTGAGAGTTGCGAATTGTTATTTTTAAGAAGAGTCTTCCGATTTTCACCACAAAATATTTCCTATTTTCACCATAGTAGCCCGTACTCGTACTAAAAGTAATATACACACACCACCGATGCCATCAATCTACACCTAATTGCAATCTGACGCCCTGACGCATCATATACTTTGCAACACCACACATGAGTATAATATTGTAAGGTTAAGGGCTTACAGAGCAGTTGTTATAGTCCATCAGAAGCTCCCAATTACGCAACAAATTCGCAGGCTTCGAGAGCTACAAAAGGACGATCGCGGGGATCAGCAAGGACTTTATCTATGGCGAGGCTTGCAGCAATAGCTGCCGCCGCGTTATAGGAGACCAAGGAAGTCATTGAGGTCATCCCGGCCGCCCAGATTGCGGAAGACGAGCCGGATAAACTGGCCTACCCGTAATAATATGTGCACATCGAATTGAAAGTAATGAAAGGGTCATGCTTACGAAAGGTAAGTTAATGCTAGCTGTATCAGGATACTATTATGCTCATAAACCACTCTCAATTACCCCGATTCAAGTCAGAAAACGTACATGTAGATATTGTCGACTACCTAGTATGGATGCGAAGTGTGCATTATGAGACTGCCTCAGTCCTACCAGTCATGCATTTCAGAAACTCTCCCCCTTTGTATCGGACAAGCCCAAATATTGAATTTGTTTTGTAACCAGACTTTATACAGTGGTCGTTTATAAAACAAACAAACAAGCATCAGTCCTACCGGGATATCTTCACCATTGCTTGATATTTACTTCAATTATATAACACTAGCAAATTCCTCAGATGTGCTTCACTCCTTTGATGATCTCGGCTGCGACTTTTGTGCACCACTGTTGCAACGCGCGATCAAACATGGCAGTCGCAAGTGGCTAGTGGAGGATGAAATCGTCTCGGTCCATATTGTCAGTGCCTGCCCCTTAAGGACATATAGGGATAATTTTGAGTGTTGACCTCGCAATACGCCTGCTCGCTATCGATGTTTACATCTTGTGGTGCACCTTCTAAACATCGAAGTCAACAAAGGGTCGTATAAAATCTACTGCTCCATCTTCATCTCCTCCGAACACCATCTCCATCTCCATCTCCATCTCCAGCTCCAGCTCCAGCTCCAGCACCACCAACAGCAACAGCAACAGCAACAGCAACAGCAACAGCAACAGCAACAGCAACAGCAACAGCAACAACAACAACAACAACAACAACAACAACAACACCACCATCACCACCAAATGCCTAGCCGAGGCCCCTCCTCCCGCCAGGCCGAACCCCGCGCCCTCGACAGGGTGTTTGCTGCTGGCGACGCCGTCGCCGAGGCCAAATTAGCCCGTGCCCTGGCCCGCGAGGCCCTCGCCCGCGCCGAGGAGGCCGTCTGGCGGGCGGTCTACCGCCATTGCGCCGAGCAAGCGGCGCTCAGGGCGCTGGAACGCAAGCTGGGCGGTTGGGGCGCCAATTAGTTTGTAAGTAATATACATTTCTTTGCTTCTTCTTCCCCTTGCACAGCACAGCACAGCACAGCACAGCACAGCACAGCACAGCACAGCACAGCACAGTTTCAGGGATGTCATGGGTGACAAAATCGGATCAACAGATACATGTATGTAGGTAGATAGGCAGATAGGCAGATAGGCAGATACCTCTAGGCAGATACAGTATAGAGCAAACTACGGTACGTGTGTGTACATTAAATACAGCGATCAACTCCGTTACGCCAGTTTGAATTGTTGAATTTAGATCATCGCCGATTCAACTATATACTCCGTATAGTACATCTCCCTGTATACTAGTACCTCTTAGTGAATAAGCCGACGACGCGGCGTCACTATCCACAATCATATTGCCACAGTTTAATAAGATCAACGGTCTGTTACAGACGACCATAGGTAATGGAGAACTCGGGGCCCTCGGGGCCCCATTTACTCCTCGATAGACAACCCCGAATAGAGAAAGGTTGTCGGCATTGTCGAGTACAAGCAGCCACTCAGGCTCGGCCTGGATGCGGTTGCTGACAGCTCTGAGAAGCTCCGAGTCTTGGCCGTCAACAATCCCTACCAGTCCGAATAGTGCCGCGATTTTCTTGTAGTCTTGTATGAATGCGACTCTAGTATCTGCGTGCACCCAAAACACCGAACACTGGGGGTTTTCAGCCTGGCGGTAGGCGTGTTCGAGAGCAATCTGCGTCTTTCTGTAGCACTCTTCATCAACTTGATTGCCTCCATAAACGGTGGCAGGGCAATATACCCGGATCCGCCTAACCCCCAGAGGGCGGCATCGTCAAAAGACTCGGATACATGCGGCAAGAGGGCGTTGAGCTTTTCGACAAGGCTTGGCTGATCTACAAACTCCTTATTCCGCAGATAAGGAATGAGCCAGTTCGGCTTCCGAGGCTGCGGAGGCTCTAAAGGGTAATGGTGATGCACGTCGCCCTGATTGATGGTTACATTATCTCCAAGCCGGCTATCCGTGATGTTGCGATTGTGCGTTTGATACTGCTCTGCATTCATTTTGTTGGTGATGACATTGCGTTAAAGGTTAAAGTGAAGGAGGGGAATGCCTATAAGCCCGTGCCTGCGGCCCGTACAGATCAGATCAGGCTTGCTTGGGCTGGATCCATTGGGTGATGCTTATTCGCTGGCCTCATGACAGGGGGGGATGTCGATAGTCACAATTTATCATGTCTACTGACGCCCTTGATGAATAGATTTACAAGTCGCGATGGATATTCTCATGTTTTGGCTAATTGCAGCGACTTTAATGCGATATCTAACAAAGTTGATCTAATGACCGTTACTGGCATGTAGGTATACACGGCACAATACGTTTGCAAAATCCAGAAGTTCTGTCCATACTGTTGCTTATATTGTTCATCATATGCGACCATAACATGCACATTGGTGGTGAACTGTGTATTAGTGATGACTTTGGTCTAGAGGAATTTCCATTTTTCCTACGGTATCAGCGTATCCTGCGCCTATTAGCTCAGAGATTAAAGCACTTCCTGGCCGTCGATCCCAACTACCTCTTAGGAAGCTTTCCCGAGATTAAAACAGGCCCATGAGAAAAGAACCTATCGAAAGAGGAATCGAAATGCACATTTACCCTGCCCAAGAGCAAACGGATCGTTGCAAACGAAACAACAACATATTAGTGGGCTTGCCAAAGAGGGTGAATATTATTCTCAGGACTCTGGAACCTTGTCGACTCATTCACTCATGCCAACGCATTCACATATGCCAGCAGCCTGCCGCAGCCCTCACCGCCTGGATGCACTCTCCCGAAGGATACCCAGTGAATCATGCGCTGTAACGAAGTAAAGAGCGCCAGATAGTTCCTTGGATAGAATAAATAGCACCTTGCACCTTTTCTATTCATCTTTTCTATTGCTGAGTGGTCAGGCTGACCACATTATTGCTCCGTTTGCAAAGATCCGTTTGCTCTTGGCCAGGCATATTTCCATTCCCTTTGCGATAGCCTCTCTTTTCTAAATTGTTGCAATACGGCCCTCCTCACCCGTTGTCACCTATCATCAACTGTGGGCCTGACCACTCAACATAAGGAACTCCTCCCCTCCCTTGCCCTCTTCTTCTTTTCTTCGCCTTTCCCCTTTCTTCCCAATAAAACAGCCCCTGAACGCTTTACTCCATCTCTACTTCTCCGCATAAGCTCCCCTAGTGCAAGGTAAGATACTACACGACATATGTCAAGTGTAAAAGGATAGCATGTCGACGAGGCATAGAATACCATGGCTCCCCAAGCTCCCTTCAACGTCTACGTCGACAATGAGATCAGTTTCGTCCTCTACAGCCGCCGCAAATTATCGCACCCCTCAGGCATACCATTGAACACTGATTGCACCGATATGGCGTTCGAGTTAGACCCTATTGACCTGCAAACCGCCGACATCGCCGAGTGGGTGGACATTCTTCGGGATTGCGGCTGCCTCGACATCGACACACTGACTGCACTCAAAATACAACATGTGATCACTGATAACAAGGTCTGGTTCGTCGACAGTCAGCAGAAGCGCTCCCAGCGCGCAGCTGAAAACGCTGCCCCTGATCTGAAAGAGTTCCACCTAGGAACTGAGCGCTTTATCGAGGTCCGCACTCCTGATGAGCTTGAGCCTAAAGACCCCAACCGCCCTCCCGTCGCCTCAGCGTTCAATCTCGTCGAGAAACTGAGGGAGAAGCTGCCCAAGACCGACATTAAAGTCCTTGTTTCCGCTTAGTTGACTAAGACTCTACTCGGCCACAAGGTATGTCTGTTGATTCAACTAGGCGTTTACTTATGTATCTGCTAACCAATGTTTGGGATCAAGGAAACTGTTCCAGGTTACTTTATACCGCCATCTAGCATAAAAGGAAGTAATCACCAGTCCCTTTATCAATATTGGATTAGGTCTGCCTGCATACCTAGATATACATGATCATAAATAAAGAAAACATTGCGCTGTACATGGTTATCTTTGTATAATGCCGTCATCTGCCTATCATCTTTTGGGAAAAGTTATCCAGTGCCCCAGTTCTATTATCCAGTAGTCCAGCTATCTTATAGGCTACTGCTGCTATTGCTGCTCCTGATAACTGCGTTTAGCAGTTGTATATTTTACCATGTGAACTAGCTGCCTTGTCAAGCTACAGCTGGGGTGTTGGAAGCATTTCTTAGACTAAGCATGAAGATTTATACATATCCTCATCATCGCCATCATAAGTCTAGCTACTGTCATCACTATCCTGCTCGTCAAGTTCATCTTCGTAAAATTCGTCCTCATACGCTTCTCGAGATAGCTTTACGCCACCTCCATCTGAGTCTTCACTTTCTGACTCTTCTCCAGACGCTCCATTGAGCTCGAAACTGTGTCCCGGGTGTAGAATTGAACTTTGTCGAAAGCAAAGATGAACGTCGCAAAACTTTTTCGATACACCGCTGTTCTTCGTTTTTGCAGCAAATTGAAGCGTTGATTCCTCAAATGAATCGCCTGATTGAGGTATATTGGCGCCTGTCTCGAGCAGCAACTGTGCCGTACGAGCCAAACCGAGCCATGCCACTCGAGGGAACAGGATAGATGGCCAATCAAAGGATTCGGTTTTCGCCGCTTCATTTATTAAATAGTTTAATACATCTTCGGCTCCGACAGTAGCAGCCATTACTAGAGCCTCCGAGATTGTCTCTTTGTTGGGGCTGCTTGCCTCAGCCAGCAGCCTCACCATATGACCATCGCCATTGCTGGCTGCTTCGATCAACGCAAGGCCAGTGTTGGCCGAGAAGGTAGCCATTTCCCTTTCATCTTCGATCTGAGCAGTCAATAAATCATCCAACCCGGCCATTGCAATGAATGGGAGAGGTGAGAGGTGGTGCCTCTCCAGACGAGTTACGGGGTTGGACAAGACGTAGCGGGCCTGAGCCCACACCTTTCTGGTCTCAGCATCTTGAAAAAACGCCTTTGCTGCAGTTGTTGGTTTCTTGGTCCCTGCGCACTTGTAATGTTTTGGCCAATATCTGACGGCATACGATATGAGATGTTGCCTTGGTCTCGAGACTGGCGTCGCAGAAGCATAACGCTCACACATCTTCCTTGCTCGCTCTCTTACGCTTGGGAAGCTCAGATAGCGAATACAGAGCGAAGCTATCCACGCGTGGGCTGCCGCCTGTTCATCAGGCTTGGCTTCCTCGTGAGGGTACATGGCATGTGAGAAATCGACCTCATATTCGGAAAAGGAGAAGACGAGGCCGAATTTCAAGATGTCGCTACGGATCTCGTCGATATCTTCATCGCCAACTCCGTCTTCTAACTTCATAGCAATAGCCAACTCTCGTATTGTGAGCGATTCGAAAGTGTACTTGACCCAAGAGAGCATTTCTCGGGCTCTTTTCTCTCGGTTCCCGAAAGAGATGACAACGGTATCTATAACTGCTCGAGGCGTAGCGGATGACAACGATTTCAGCGTTTTTCTTATCCCGGATTGTGAGCCAGATGGTCCATAGTTGGCGAGCCAATCAACCATCAAAAGACCAAGCTGATGGTTGTCGCCGCAATCCGTGAGAATCTCCCTTATATCCTCCAAGAAAAAGCGGTATGTTGGTTTCTTTTGAGTGAGTCGACTCAACTCGACGCCGTAAATTGATTTCATAGTACTGCCCCACAGTCTGACTCCCCCTTCCTCGGAATCCTGTATCTCCGTCCTGCAGGCTCTTGTCCACTCCTTTGGCTGTTGTAAAGATGAATTTGAATTTCCTCTCTAATGTGGCGTCAATGTCTCTGAGAAGTCGAAGAAATTGATGACAAGTTTCGTTACATTCATCCAGGCAGGCAATCACAAAGACTGCGAAAGGGATATACAAACTGTCAAAAAACGATTCAAACAGTCGAACAAGGTCTCCCTCACACCAGCTGCGTTGAGCTACTAGCATTTTCAAGGCCTCATCGGCACCTCCGAAAGTTTGACACTTGCTAACAAGCTGACAGATGAGACTGGCAAGCATTGCCCCGGCAGTGTTGAACCGGTCATCGTTTCTCCGAAAGGCAAAAAAGTAGACATTTCCTGAGTTGCGTTCATCTAGCAATCGAGCATAGAGCTTCTCTGATATCAGCCTCGTATTCAGCGAGGCTTTAATGTGTAAAACGCCCATAGCTGGCTGGCTGTTCCACAACTTGTACTGGTCGCTGCCCATGACCCGGTCTGCCAGTTCATCTAGTTGCCACCCAAAATCATCTGGATTCGGTGGAACAATTGGTGGCGCCAGAGAAAGAAGGATCTTGTGAAACTGAGATGTACGCGCGTTGAGTTTGATATCTTTGTAATGCGAGGCGCCGCGTGAGTGAACAAGAATCTCCAAAGAGCATAATACAAATACAAGAGTGCAACTTACGAAAAGGAGTTTTACCTAAATTGTCGTTAATCGCTTGGACATAATTGCTGTTGTCATCTAAAGTAGATTTACCCCCATTCGCTAGATTAAAATGGGTAATTGCTGTCTTTTGGACAAGTTCAAATGAGCCATCAAGATGGCAGTTGCGTGGATCGAAAGGCATTGGCGTGCGACCTTTGCCATGTTTGATGGCAATGTTACCTTGCGCTAAAATGTCGTCGTTGAAGATATTGTATATTGAGGCTCGACTCAGCATTTTGGTGTCTAGAAACTCGCTATTTACCTGCTGGACAGTCCTTGTCAATGCGTGAATGGAGTCTAACAGATGTACTTGTGGAGAGCCTCCAGGCAATAAGAGCAGCCGCGCGATCGAATCCTCTATTGTGGAGCGGGTACCGCGGTTAAGACATCCCAAGAATATCTAGGAATGATTAGATATGATGGAAACTATACGAAAACGTCATGTTTTATTACCAAATTACTTGTACAGTAGGGGATGTCTCCATATTTGGCAGGATGTCTCGTGGCGAGAGTGAGGGCCTATATCAAGAGAAAGGTCAACCAATGGGTAATAAGTCGATGGATTAAAGACTAGGCAGCTTATGAACCGGTTGGCTCACTGTCAACCATACCTTTTTGACAATAAGGCTGCCAATGTCGTGAGTGACGAAGATTATGGGGCGCATATCCAACTATAGCATGTAGTGTATTAGCCACTGCCGAGTTCCCAAGGGCTCGTTTGCACCGATGTTGAACGTACGTTGACACCATCAAATCCACGACTCTGCGAATACTCGTGGAATTCCAATCTCATCTGGACCAGACCATCTAGCAGATTCTGTGCTTCTCTTTCGTTTCCCTCTACGAATAGAGCATTTGATGGAGCATTATCTATTTGATAATGGAAATGAGCAATTCTTCCAGATTTGAGTCCTAAAGAATCACCGATCCAACTGGCGCTGCTCTTTGCTCCACTGCCCGGCTGCCACGCATCATCTGTCCAGTGTGTCTGGTGAATACCGTGGACAACGACAACGCTACGTAATTGTCAATTGGCTATCAAATAGCAAAGAAGGGATAAACTCACTCATATTCTTGCCACAATTCAGGTGAGTATTCCTGTACAAGGCCAAATTTATGAAGCCCCAACCTGGTATTCAGCTCTTCATCTTCCGTTACATCGTTGTCTGGTTCCATGGTCTCGTCTTTACTTTGGTATAAGTTTTCTGGCATTATATTGGTGCAATGCAACTCCAAAACAGGCAATCAGATTGTACTTTGTGTCAAGGATACAGCAAACCGTATCACGGTCAAGAAAATGATTAGGTGTATGATCCGGCAGGCAGGTTATAATACTGAGAGTTCGGGAGGACGGAGTAAGTGTTGGAATTAAACGAGGTTGATATGCTTTTATACGTCTTGGGACCTGTTGGAACATGGTCCTTTGATGACCCCTTCAAAGGAATGCTTCTAGGCTCATTCCACCTGTACTCAGCAAAATTATCTATTGAAGTAGGCCCTTGCGGAGAATTTCTTTGTAACAATGCAAGGCTCTTTGTATCTTCTATCCCATGCTCTAAAGTAACTAGTCTGAGCTTCCCCTCAACAGCCTACCTTCCAAGAGAGAAAGAAAGTATAGAAGCAGTTGTGCATTTCGTAGTTTGTGTTGATGTGGTCGTGTCTAAAGGTGCTGAAATATCGAAGATGTGCGACACGCAGAGGAAATCCTCATTTTCCGCCGTATCTAACACAAAGTAGAGCAGAGTGAGCCCATTGTTAGAAATGTTCGCCATGGACGAATCAATGGGAACAGAAACTGCGGTGGGCGACCATGAAAAAGTGAAAAAATTGATACTAAAACTTGAATCAGTGTATCAATGATATAAGCAATATCCTTTTATAGTGTAGGGGCACTCGCCTCTATTCTACGTTACATCGGGCTTCCAAAGACCAGACGACTCTGAGCTCCAAAGAATCTGTGGTAATGAATAGGGATTTACAGAGACTGAACCGACATTTCCGTGCATGTAATTTCAGTTCGCACAGTATATGATGCTGGGGTCGCGGTTGCGACGCGGCCAATCAGGTGGGGGGCCATTCTCATATAGACGACCAGACTTGGTTATTGAAATGTCTATATCTTATACATATACTTCATTTCATACAAGAGTGCAGTGGTATCAATAGCTAATCAGCACTTGACTATATGTACTGATCTGCCTTAGTGGGTTGTCTATCGGGGAGCAGACAGGACCCAGAATTGTCCACTACCAATGGTCATATTTGGTGAAAATTGGAAGCAAACCAGTCTATACAGGATAAACGGTGAACGATTTATCAATGCTCGCACTATTTGAACCATGTGGTATGCTTGCAGTTCAAGTTGATCATGCCAAACGTTACTATTTCATTGGGTATATACCTATATCTCATTATCCTCCCATTCCCCATCCGTCAGCAACTACACTATAACATTCACTCCATCAAAACTATGCCTTGGAAACCGCAGGAGAGGCGGCTGCGTGGGCATTGGCCAGAGTCGACTTCTTAACGAGACGCAGGCCGCCAAGCAGCATAACGAGGGCCTCGACGAGGAAGATGACACCCAGAGTGACAAGAGCACCAATGACGCCAGCAACGGGTCTGGTGATGTTGCTGTGGTCGGTGGACTTTTCAGACGAAGCGTTGGCGGTGGTGTTGGAGGCACAGCTGCCGTCGGTGTTGCCGCAGGTGGTGCACCAGTCAGAGGTGTTTGTGACGGCAAACTTGTTGATGCCAGTCTTGAAGTCGTTCCAGCTGATGGAAGTCTCCTTCTGGCCAAACAGGGGGTAGGCCTTGATGCCGTTCTCGGCAGCAGTGCCGTTGGACCAGAGGAAGCGAACGGTCAGATCGTCCTCGGAGGTCTGGGTGGCGCTGGGGGCGACGAGCTCGAGCACCATGGCGGAGGCGTAGTTGCAGATACCGTAGAAGTCGTTGGAGGCAGCGGGCAGCTGAGCAAGGCCGAAGAAGGACATGAAGGCGGCGTAGGCGCCAAACTGGATGTTGAACTTGGGAACGGCCTTGCCGTCGGCGACGCCCTGGAGAGCAGTCACGATCTGGCCGGCGAGAACGGAGCCGGCAATGGCGCGGACGGGGTCGCTGCCGTTGTAGGCAAGGTTCCACTCGTGAGTAGAGGCGTAGTCATAGAGGTTGGAGAGCGTGGATTTGGTGAGGAGGTTGTCAGAGGGGATGGAGGAGTTGTGAATTGTGGCGACATTGATGTAGTCAAAGACTGTGAAAAGAAGCACATGTTAGCAAGTCATGTAAGTCAATGACGAAATAGAACATACTTGTGTAGCCGTTCTTAAAGGTGGCCGTGCTGGAGTTGAACGTGGTGTTGATGACAGGCAGCAAGTTCTGGTAAAAGTCCTTGGTGTCGTTGAAGGTGCTGAGATAGTCTGGGGTCAGGAAGTAGTTGTTTGAGCTGACGACGGCGTTGCTGCAGCCGCTGCTGCCCTGGAGCCAGGCGCTGGACTCGGAGCCGGCCGAGCTGGCAGAGGTGACGGTGTTGACGGGGATGTACTGGTATCCGCCGAGAGGAGCCACGACGGTGGTGCCGTTGGCCAGCTTGGTGGACCCGGCAGCCTTGTTGGCGGGATACAGGCCCTGGGCAAAGACGCCGGCCGAGTTCTGCAGCACATTGTCCACCGGGGCCGTGATGGCCAGCTGCGAGAGCACAGCCTTGTCGGCGCTGATGTCGGCAATCTGCAGCGAGGCGCCGTCGTCGATGTAGCGCTTGCGGAAGAAGTCGGCCGAGCTGGCCACCTGGTCGGCGCCGAGGGGGGTCAGGCTGACGGGAGTCCACGACTTGGACGTGCGATCGCCATGGCGGTGGAAGATGTAGACGCCGAGAACCTGCTCGGCGGCGGTGGGCGCAACGGCAGCGGCCGAGAGGGCGAGGAGCAGCTTGGACTGCATGTTGGTGATGTTGGTGATGCTGCTGGATAGCTATCTGGAGGAGAGGAGCTCAGCTCGACAATCTGCTGGATGGGCCCTGGACTATGTCAAAAGAGCTGCCGCAGAGACCAGAAGCAGCCATGCGCGCGCGGGGACACGCCATGGCATTTATATAGGTCATTGCTCCGTACTCGTACATGCGAGATTATCGAGGCAGCTGTATTCCATCTTACACGCATGGAATGATACCGTCCGGCCTGTGTAGATGCAAGCCAACCTGTTTGCAGAAACAAGCTCTGCTAGGTCCAATTAGCTCGGGAACTTTTCTCGCGGGCCTTGCAAAAGCCTTTCGGGATATCTCTGCGGAGTACTCTGTACAGGTCCCGGTGGAGAGCGAAGCTGGGCGGGAGCGAATCGAAGCTCGTCGCGGGCGGGAAAAGTGGCGATTTGGCCCCGCCGAGGAGGGGAAGAAGGTTGCGGCCTATCTTGGAATCGGGGAAGTCGCTAAAAAGAGAGAGAGAGATTGGTGGAGATGCGGCTTGCACAGGGAGATCGACAGAGGCACTGAGAAGCTTTTTTTCTGTTTGGCTTCCCAAGCTGAAGGCGCTGCTTTTGGCTACTGTTCGGATGTCAGGCTTCTCTCTGCGCTGAAACTCAATTCGCCTCGTGGCTTCAAATGTCGCTGTACCTGCACGGCACGCCGACAGCGACCTTTTTGAATCTCATGCGACGAGATCAATGTCAGCTCAACTCTTGCTGCTTTCTTCCAGCCTCTGCCGCCCACAAACCCGGCCGCTGCACCAGCCCAGCCTAATCTCATTCAGAAACATCTCCGCTCTCACCACCTACTTGTACATCAAAGCTTCCCCGACCACGATAATGCAACCATCTGCGTGCCGTCGCCACCACCACAACAGCTCCCTCCAGCAAACCCACCCCGCCCGGAGATACACGTGCCACGCCATTGGGCAGCCAAGCAAACTACTGTAAACCGTAGCATCAATTGCAGCTCGTCTCCCGCGGGCATCGTGCCGACAAACCGCCAGCTTCCGCAGAGGTGGAGCGTTTTTCTTAGCCCGCTACAGTAGAAACGCCGTTTCTAGTCCGAAATGGCAACTGGCTCGAACCTGTCCAATGGGCTGCGGCGATTGGAGAAGAGGAAGAGAGGCTATTTGACGCCACGGATGTAGGAATTAGGTAGGAGCGCCAATACGGTTCTTTACCTTTGGGCATCGATCGATGAGAGGCAGTTTCGATTTTCTAGATGCGCGCGGCCAAGATCCGGTCGCCGTCGGGAGCGGGCAGCGCAAAAAAGAAAGATAGTCAAAAACCCAATTTGGACGCCATTTGTGCGCCCTCTCCATGCCGTCTGCCGCATTATTTGATCCTTGGCTGCCAGACTAGTCTCCATCTCGCTGGCTGTTCCCCTTTTGAGACTGAAAATACGAACAAGTCATGGCCACCACGTTATCTGCTATATCCCAGTAATTGCCGCTGCGCCGATGCCTCAAAGGGCGGTTTCATGCACAGCTGGGCCATATCAGGCAGCACACCACGTTGCATTAGTCTGGGAGAGCTCCTCAGCTTGATTGATAGTCAGTGTGCAGTACTCAGTAGGAAGAGATTGCATCTCCGAGGGCGGCTCGGATCCGCACCAATGCATCTCGCGTAAAAGATGGAATGTGATAGGCCATACGCTTACAGTATGAGCTGACATTGAGCAAACACACATTCAGGCAGCTCCATGTTCTCACACGTGCAGTTGCAGAGAGCCGAGGCTGGTACTTTATACCTTAGCTATAGTCGTGAATCCAGCCATCTTGGCGCATTGATTTTAGAATAGAGTTGCTGGTATCAAACAGCCACTTCCCTCAAGTAATACACACATGGAAATAGACTTGGTGTATTAGTCTAACTTGTATATACCTACGCCATTAAACATTGCGCTCCGGAAATTCCAATGATAGCTTGAATGCTGCGCTTCCTTCAACTCCAGTGCAAAAACAGGAGTCGGATAGACAGCACGTTTACAAGGCTCCTTGTCGCCCTATTTCATCCCTTCTCCCTCCTCTTCTAAGCATGCTATATTCCTTCTCTTCTCTTGCCAAGCTCGCTCTCCTCAAAGCTTGGACTTGTCCTTCTTTCCTCCCTTGAGGCCTTCAGACGTTTGGCCTGTCTTGAGGAAATCAGGATATTGCACATTCATATCCACGCCAACGGTATAGGCTCCCTGCCGTCTCCATGATCCGCCGTCAACAGGAATGATCTGGCCGTTGACGTAGCTTCCGGCATCACTGAACAAAAACACCGTCGCATCTGCGATATCCTTTACGGTACCGAATCGGCCAGAGGGAACCGTCTTTGTAAACGCTTCAATCTCCTCGGGCTTGCTGCTCGCCAGACGAGCCATACCCTCCGTATCGGCGATGGGACCTGGCGCGATGACGTTGGCGACGACGCCGCGGGGGCCGTACTCGAGCGTGATGCTGGCTATCAAAGAGTCCACCGAGGCTTTGGCGGCCGCAACGTGGGCCTGGTAGGGCATGCCGGTGTAGTGGAACGTCGCGGAGACGGCAATGAAACGAGGGGTCGAGCTGCGGAGGAGGTGAGGAATGGTGGCCTTGATGGTGTTGTAGGTGCCGAGGACGTCAATGTCCATGACCGTCTTGAAAGCGTTGGAGCTGATGCCGTCGATCGGGGCGACAAAGTTACCTGCTGCGCCAGCACTGCGACCGTCAGTACCAATACGGAGCTCGACCAGCATGAACAACTCACATCACATAGTCAATGCCTCCAAGCTCCTTGACACATTGCGCCGCCGCGGCTTCGAGACTCTCGACCTGCAAGTCGGGCAACGTCAGCGCTGATGGCTCACTACCAATCAAGTGTTGCACCATCTTACCTTGCGCACGTCGCATCCTCCAAGGCCAATAACCTTGGCGCCCGGCCGAGCCGTCGCGATGTCTTTCGCTGCGGCCTCTGTCTTTTGAACGTTTCGGCCCAAGATGAAGGCGTTTGCGCCGAGCCGAACCAAGGCTCTGGTCTGCATGCTGCAAATAGTTCCCGCGCCGCCGGTGACGAAGACGACCTTGCCCTCTGCCAACAGCGATTAGCCATGCTTCTTTCGCTCTCCTCCAAGCAGAAAGATGTCTCAAGAGGGGATGGAAATGCTCACTAAAGATGTCGTCTCGCCATACGGCGCTCAGGTATTTGGATTCGGGGACAGACATGATTGCGACGCGATTGTTGCTGAGAGGCAGTAGGAGAAGAAAAGCAGACGGAATGAGTCTGAGTAGAAAGATTTGGATAAAAGAATCAGAGACGGAAGAAGTGCTATTTGTCTATTCGAATCCTGCGGCTCTATCGGGGGTCGTTCAACATGAATCTGGGGAGTAAACTGGCTGTGCTGCGTCCCAACAATCTTGGAGGAGGATTACATTTCCTGATTGGGTGCTTGAGCCTCGGCATGACTGTGGGGTGTACCGTCAACGGTCGGTTAAGAATTGCCCGCGGGAATCGACTTCTGGTACGCGGTAGAATCTGGGGTAACTCCAGAGATGCCACGGGAAAAAAGGGACTTGCTTTCCATTGATGCCGAGTGGTTGATGGCCATTAGTGTTGAGTAATAATAGCTGGTGTTGAAGTTCTGTTTATCTCATGCATGTGACGGCGATGCTTAGTCATCATACGAGTGGATCGAGAAGCCCTTCATGAACTTCACTTGAACTCAATTTCCAACAACTTCATATCCCTACTATTCTTGGGGCTATTTCCGATTTAAAGGGCAAAAGGTGACTTTAAGAGTGCAAATATTACTTTTCCATTATTTGTGTGCAATTACAGACCGGTGAGCGTGGCAAGACTGCATGTTTCAATGCATGTACTCGACGCAGCTAGGTACCAATATTCGTACTGCTCTACCAATGATACATCAGCTCGTCACGGTGACCAGTATCTGGGCAAAATTAATTGCTTAAAGAATAAATCTGAAAACTCAACGTTATATAGACGCGACTCCTATAGCACATTACTAGCCTATTTATCCAGATTTGTGTGCATATAAATACTCTGCGCTGCCACTCGCCTCTTTCACTTTCTTGCCAACACATCGTGCACTCACCTGATCTTATTCGCATGCTGTGTAACGACGTATGTGCTCAGGCATGAGGACCCTGAGAGCTTCACCTTTGCAGACTAGAATCAGTTGCAGCTAAATTTCAGATCATGGAGGATCGCCCAGTACATGTTTCAGGTCTGCTGATCCATAGCTCGATCTGTTTTGCTAAATACATGTACCTACTAAAGCTCTTGGTTCCTAGGCCCTAAGAACTCGCCACTCAACCAAACGACAGATGCACGTGCTAATCGACGCGCATGTAGACTACTTGTAGGTAGTATTGGAGACCTACAGCCTAGACATTGATGTAATTGATCCATCTCCTCTGCCAGCTAAAATTGTATACTGCCAATTGAATATCCATCTCTTTACATCTTGGCTCATCTCGTGTGGAAAAGAGAACCTTGGCCAACAAAAAGCTTCAACGTATCACAGCCCGCTATCACAGCCATCAATACAGCGAAGCACAGGCCACCTCAGCAGTCCACTATCGCGCTGACTCGGCGTGCTATTCGTAGCGGATAGCGGACCCCAGCTCCGCGTCTCCGCATTCAACGAAACACCAAGCCTTAGCTCGTCACCAATTAATTTCACCACCAACAGTCTCCTCTGCTGACGCCCAGCAATCATCGCAAATCGCAAACCAGCCAGCGCATCGCGTCTTTCACATGACCACGTCACGCTGAACAGCTATCATCGCTAAATCGCCTTGCTCTGACGAATTTTTTTTTCGACGCAAAGAGTTGCGCCGCCCGCGCTGGGGCCTGCTTCGAAGCACGAAAACTTTAAGGAGCCCTCGCCACGAGGCCCTCACGCTGCAAGGACAGCTGAGAGAACAAGACCGACGCAGCCAGCGAATTGATCGCTGCCAGTGTCCGAACGATGCCAAACACCTCAGACCGAGCTGTACGATTCTCGGGTGGCAGCGACGATGAAGCAACCAGCATAGCCATCATCCAGGACTTGAAGCAGCACGCCTTGCTCGAAGACGATGACTCGTCCCCCGAATCCAACGGCGTCGACCTGCACGCTATCCAACTTCAAGACGAGCTGGGGTCACTCAACAGATATGCAAACGCCCCCAACAGCCTCACCGGATCGCTGAATTCGTTGCCACCCGGAACGCACATCAATGGCGGCCCTCCTCCCCGGGCTCAACGATCCAGCGGAGGGGAAGCAGACGCGTTGCAGGCTCAACGCCCCAAGGGGCCTATCAGAACACCTTCCAATACATACAACCCTTCAAGCTCGCGAAAGCCTGCCGCCGTACAGCCGCAGTCGTCATTCTCCGAGGCAGGCCGCTCGTCATCGAAAACGCGGCTGCGGGGAGGCGACAGTCGGTTCAAGGCGCAAGAACGAGCATACGTCCAAACACTTCGGCAGGGAGGCTACACGGGAGAATATTTCAGCCAGTATCAGCAACCAAACGGAAATGAATCCGACTCGGAGGGCGGTGGTGAGGGTGAGACGCCCTCATCTGAGGGCCCTTTCGAGGATCGCCTCGATCAAGAAGAGACCATCATGTTTTACGGCAACGACGACATACAGCCAACAGATGAAGATATCGCAGTGCCCGAAAACCGAGAGCGGCTAGAGTGGCATGGCATGCTGGAGGCTGTGTTAACGGGAGATGTCGTTAAACAGGAAAAGAAGCGTCTCATCAACTCTACCGATACCACTGCCACCAAGGCCGCCTACATCTCGGAGCTGTGGTTTGAGCTCCGCTCTGAAGCTTGTGGGAGGCGTGTCCCAGTCCAGAGGCGCATAATAGACGAGGGCCGGATAGCAGTGGATCGCGTCCTGGACGAAGTCATTAATTTCCAGGTCAAGGGAACGATCGAAGCGGGAAAGCCCCCTCATGAGCAGGTCAAGGACATTGTCAAAAAGATTGAGAAATGCGAGACCCTGTATCCTTCTTGGTCTGCTCTTGTGGGTGAGCATAGCACTGCCGAGTCCCCCAAATTTCTCGAGGCGTACGAGGCCATCATGTCCTGGTATAACACAAATGAAATGATCAACACTGAGTTGTCCATCCTAAAGAAGTGGGTTGGAAACGAAGACCTCGACTTTTCCCGCACCAAGCAGCGATCACCGGCCGTTGATGGCATCACCAGCGACGAGGCTTCGTTTCTCGACAAGCTCATGAAGGAGGACGGCCTGCAGTCGCTGTACAACGACAATGCCAAGGTGACGCTCAAGGGCGACTTGGTCCAGAGAGGAATGCTGCAGCCCATATCCACAGTCATTGACAAGGCAAAGCAGACGCTGATCCACAACTCGGTCCCGTTCCAAAAGCGACATTTGCCTCCGTACCTCGACGAGCTGCTGACGCTCATCAGCTTCCCGTCAAGGCTTATTGAAGAGATTATCAGAACGCGCTTGGAGTATACCAAAAAGCTCAACGAGACGGCCCAGCAAAACCCTTTGATGCAAAGCCAGATGATTACTCAATTTCAGCTCTTGCTGCAGTTTGCGATTCGGATAAAGAATGAGTACCTCAGCATCGAGAATCCAGAAGAAGGCTGGGACTTGCCTCCGTGCATTGACGATTCGTTTGATCAGGTAGTGCTGGAAGCTCTACAGTTTTACTTCAAGATGCTCAACGCGAAACTCAGCGGGAATAAAAACACGTTCAAGGAAGCCGAGCTGCTGTTTCAGGAGTGGGACTTTGCCAACGAGATTGGCACGTCTCTGAATCGCGGTAACATCAAGGTTGCAGAGCAGTTTAGTTCACTGACTCTCAAGGCATTCAACCGCCTGAGCTCGACGTTTGACAGGGAGCTCCAAGTCAAGCCCGAAGAGAGCGCGGCGGATATGAGCAAGCGATACAAGGCGGCTCTGGACTCTGTGCGTGTCCGCCAGAGAATGCTTCAGCGCTTTTCCAGGATGCTGAGCGAAAACTACGAACATGTCTGCGACTTCAACACCTCTCTAGAGCCGGCGACGACGCAAATGCTGTATGACCACCTTGTGGCATCGGGTCACTTCCAGGTGGACACGCGTGGCGTGCTGGAGAGCACTGGTATCTACCTACTGGCAAGCCCAACTCTTAGGGATAGGCTCTATGACATCCAAACAATGATGGCCATCACAGCCAATGACCGATACCCTCCTGACACTGGTGATGTGTACATTCTCCTAATCAGGCCAGAGGGAACATTTATGTGGATCGGCGATACGGTATCCATTCTGCTCAAAGAGCAGACCGTTGATCTGAAGCGCGGTCAAGTTCGGCTGTGTGCCACAGGGAGCCATTCCCTCTCTCAGGCGCGCAAGCTGTTCCTCGATGCCGCCGATATGCATATCGACCTTGTGGGAGAGTCACGGTCCAACATTCACAAAGTGAACACGAGGCTGACTGAAATTCGTCGCGTGGCCTACAAACTCTCCGAAACGTTCATGGACAGCGTTGAGATTATCAGAAACCAGACTCAAGGCAAAGATTGCCAAGAGCTCATCCAGACCTGCTTCATATTTGCCACAGAATTCGGCCAGCGCTCGCTCCTCTACATGGACAGCAACCGCCGGCAGATGAACAACATCAAGCTGACCAAGCTTGCCCTGGACTGGGTCGGTTTCATCTGCGACGACTGCATGGCGTCGGATCGAAGAACCTTTCGATGGGCGGTGACTGCTCTGGAATTTGCCATGTTCATGACCCGCGGACGCCACATCTTGGGCCTTGGCGAGGAAGAGTACGAAAGAGTGCGCGCCAAGGTTGGCGGGTGCATGGCTGTCCTGATCTCGCACTTTGACATCATGGGCGCCAGATCCAACTTGGCTGCTCAGGCCGAGAGGGAGCGAATCGAGAATCTGGTGATTCAGTTCAAGAAGGACAAGAACAAGAACATGGATGACGATGAGGCCACCTGGGGTGTCATACAGCAACGAGTGGCAAAACTGGATCTGGTGGACGAGCTTCGACAGGAAAAGGAGTCTGAACGACGGGCGCTGGGTCGCGTGCTCGAGACCAACAACGAGGCCGATCGCTCGCTGGCATATCTATCAGCGTCGGCCACAAACGTCACGGTGCGATGGCAGCGGGGCCAGTTTGTTGGCGGAGGCACTTTTGGCAACGTCTACGCCGCCATGAACCTGGACACGGGCCATCTCATGGCCGTCAAGGAGATTCGTCTCCAGGATCCCAAACTGATTCCAACAATTGCAGAGTCGATTCGCGAGGAGATGCGCGTTTTGGAAGTCTTGGATCACCCCAACGTTGTTTCGTATCACGGCATCGAAGTCCATCGAGACCGCGTTTACATCTTTATGGAGTTTTGCTCCGGAGGATCGCTTGCTAGTCTGCTCGAGCACGGCCGTATTGAGGAAGAGGAGGTGATTATGGTGTATGCGCTTCAGCTACTGGAGGGTCTTGCTTACTTGCACGAGAGTGGAATCGCTCATAGAGATATTAAACCAGAGAGTGAGTTTTCCCTTTTTTATCTAGTCAGATCCGAAGCATGCTAACTATAGATAGACATCCTTCTTGATCACAATGGTATCATCAAGTATGTGGATTTCGGCGCCGCCAAGCTCATCGCTCGACAGGGTCGCACCATGGCAGCCGATCTGCACGCTACAAAGCCAAACAAGTCCATGACTGGAACACCGATGTACATGTCGCCAGAAGTTATCAAGGGCGAGAATCCCGGTAAGGCCGGATCGGTGGATGTCTGGTCGCTGGGGTGCGTGATTCTCGAGATGGCAACGGGACGACGGCCATGGGCCAACTTGGACAATGAATGGGCAATCATGTACAACATTGCCCAGGGCAACCCGCCGCAACTCCCTTCGCCAGAGCAACTTAGCCCTCAGGGCATCGACTTTCTTACCAAATGCTTTGCACGAGATCCTAAGCAGAGACCGTCGGCAATTGAGCTGCTGCAGCACGAATGGATTATGACTATTAGAAACCAGGTGGTTGAGCCGGCGACGCCGAGCGATGCTAGCGGATCGTCTCAGTCGCCGTTTGTATCAACCACCTCGACCAGAACGAGCATTGGACCAGACGGCTTCTATTAGTCCGTTGCCTATTTTGCTTTTCTCCTATTACTTTTTTTTTCCTTTTCCTTTTTTGGCCCGTCTTTGGAGTGGAAATTTTGGCTTGGCTTTCTCTTCTTCTTTTTTTCTACTTCTACATGGCGGGATGCAGTACACGGCCGCATGGAACAAACCAAGTACACAAGCGGGCATGAATAATAGGGAGGACTCGAATGGATCTTTTACGATATTTATATGCTTCTTCTTTTTTTTCGGCTATTTTTAATTCTTTGGCAGTAGTCCTTACAAATACGGGAGGAAAGATTGATATTTCTGCTTTTACGATACCTTATACACCAAGATTGCATCAGGGACGAGAGTCTGGAGTTGGCAAAGTCATGTTTGATATACATTTTGACATGCAAAGCGAAGTAGCTGGAAATGAGACAAGTTTTTGGGCAGTTTTTGAAAAACAAGGATGGAAATGTTTTGAACTATATTGGTGATGTCTGTAGCTGGAAGAGACTTATACTTTCTACTACCCGTGTACACAGATACCTACTTGTTGCGAAAACGATGATTTAAGGGATATTTCAGCCCAGAACAGGCACATCTAGAATTGAATAAGGTTGTTTTACTGCCTTTCGGCTACCGAAGGCATCTTATCAGAGCTGAGCTGACTGTTTGGGAACTGATTTGCTAAAGTGTGCTGAGCGGGAATACAGAGTACGTAATATATAAGTAGTGGGACCCCAGAAGCTTACTTGCTGGAACCTGCTCGAGACTTGTAAAGACGAGAACTGCTAGAAGATACGCCCTAGCACGCTGAGTTGTCGCGCAGTGCCGTGTATCCGTACGTCTTATCTCGTACACGTCAAGTACAACTCCCGTTGTGTAAGAATTAGATAAGGTCAAAAGCACGACGCAACGTTCGGCGAGCCGCATTCGGAACCGGCGCCTACCGTCGCTGCAGCGCTCCTTCCCCCGCCAGCAGCCCCGCATCAACGGCGTGTTCCGGTGTGGGTAAGAGCGGATCTGCAGACGTGGAAAGAAGCGACGCGGGAGAGCCCAATATAAAATCTCGGCTTCGCAAGGGCGGCTTTCTTTCTCCCTTTCTTTTTTCCTTTTTTTTCTTTCCCCGGGCGTCGTTTCCCCCCTTTTGAAGCACTGCTAAGAAGGATAATATTTTGAGTTTTTATGATTGATACCCGTAATATTGCTTTACCATCTGCGTCCATCTTTTCAATTGTGTGACCGAGTCAGTAAACCTCATCAAAACAACAACAACATCATCATCACCATGTCCGCCAGCCCGCCCATCCACTCCGGCTCAGACGCCGCCCAGATCGCATCTACCTGCGCCTCGCTCAGCATCACCACGACCGAGTTCGCCGAGCTGCAGAAGCGCGCCACCGCCGCAAAGGCCACGGCCTACTGCCGCTACAGCCGCTTCCGCGTCGGCGCCACGCTGCTGTGCGCGGACGAGGCCGGCGACGTGGTCTATGTGCCGGGCGCCAACGTCGAGAATGCGTCGTATCCCGTGGGCACGTGTGCCGAGCGCGTGGCCTTTGGCACGGCGGTGACGAGCGGCATCAAGACGTTCCGGGCCATTGCCGTGGCGACGGATATCAGCCCGCCGGCTAGTCCTTGCGGCATGTGCAGGCAGTTGTGAGTATTTACTGCTATCTGGTGGTGTTGGTGGTTAGTGGTGACATGCAAGGGAGAGTACGGGGAAGTTGGAGAGACAGGGGGGGAGCAGGGGGGGAGCAGGGGGGAGAGCCAGGAAGAGGCTGAATGGTGTAAGAGTGGCTGGGATGAACTGAACTGACCCGATTGGCTGCAGCATCCGCGAATTTTGCACGCAGGAGACGCCCGTCATCATGTTTGACAAGAACTCGGACTATGCGGTCCTGACGGTGGAACAAGTAAGTCAAAGCATCCCTTCAGAGCCCCTGAGCTACCGCATGACAAGCGTCTTTTTTGCTTTATTGTGAACTGTAAAACTCGCGGACTAACGCGTCCCTTGCAGCTTCTTCCAATGTCCTTTGGTCCAGACGCTCTGCCGCCTCCTGGCGCCCCTGGATACTAAGATTTGATGTCTTGGCTGTGCTTGACACTATTGACGCCGTGCGGCTGCTGCAAGGAGTACCGGGGATGGACGGGAGGACTAGTGGCACTCGGCTCGTGCCTGATAGGATGATTTATGGTTGTTTTTTGTCAATCTATTCTTTATTTAATAATGACACAGACTAATTTGAGATAATGCATGTCTTGGAAGCCAATTTCCACAATGCAGTGACTACATGCAGGGGAAAGCGTGTGGAAATTATTATGACATTGATACAGGCCCTTTGTATACGTTTTGACCAAGATGATGGAAGAAACTGACGACAAGACATGTTCGTCAAGTTTCAGCAAATTAAGCCGTTGTTAGATTGTACCAAAGTTCAGCTGAGGGAGTGCAGGATGAGGGAACACGTTTGCACGAAGCAAAATATAATAGAAAAAATTCAAATTGATATCCTCCGTGTTTGACTCTTGCTATCCGTATTATTCAATCTCCTCAAACATCTCCCATATCCATTCCGTACACGTTCTGCCCGATCTCCCATGTTTCCAAAAACATACTGTACTATATGTAAAATATCGTATGTATTATCTATGTATCGTAGAAAAGCAAGGTGTCTCTGCATAACATAACCCCGATTACATCAAAAAGACTTATATCCACACATATTTCCCTGCCTTCCATCCAAACGTCAAACGTTAAAACGATGCTGTTTAGCAGTCGGCGTCACCTCCATCGCCAGGGGGGTTACCGGGAAGACCAGTGGCTCCAGGGCCGGAAGGAAGGGTGATGGGGAGAGTGAGGGTTGTGAATGTTGTGGGGAGGCTGATGGGGAGACTAAGTGTTGGGATGCTGAGGACTGGTGTGCTCGTCAAAGTCGGGATGGTAGGAGTTTCATAGCCGGGGATGGTGATGCTGAAGGGAGGTAGGCCTCCATCTGTGCTCGTCGGAGTCGGGATGCTGATAGCAGTGAGGGTAGGGGTTCCATCTGTGCTCGTCGCAGTCGGGATGGTAGGAGTTTCATAGCCGGGGATGGTGATGCTGAAGGGAGGTAGGCCTCCATCGCCGGGGATGGTGATGCTGAAGGGTGGCAAGCCTCCATCTGTGCTCGTCGCAGTCGGGATGGTAGGAGTTTCATAGCCGGGGATGGTGATGCTGAAGGGTGGCAAGCCTCCATCTGTGCTCGTCGCAGTCGGGATGCTGATAGCAGTGAGGGTAGGGGTTCCATTGCCAGGGATGGTCAACGAGCCACCAGGGGGTGTGAGATCGTCACAGTTATCGTCACCGCCGCCAGGTGTTGGTGTGGCTGTTGGGCCAGCAGGAGGGTCGCTGGACTGGGCCCCGACAGGAACCGTAAGGGAGCTGGTGGCGGTAGTGGTGGCGGTGGTGGTGTGGTCGTTGAAAGCTCCTCCAGGGACTGAGAAGGAGGTGGTGGCGCTGGCGGGCACACTGCCGGTGGAGCTTTGGGTGATTGTCTCAGTTGCGGTGGAGGTGAGGGAGATGCTGTCCGTGGGATCACAGTCATCACCACCGTCAGTTGGCGTGGCGACAGTGACGGTGGCAGTGTTGGTGTTGGAGGTGGACGAAGTCAAGGATTGGCCGCCTGGTGGTCCTGAGGAAGTGGTTGACGCAGTGTTGGAAGTGCTAGCAGTGATGGACGCGGTGCTGCTGACAGTGCTAGAGGAGGTCAGGAACTGGCCGCCTGGAGGACCAGAGGAAGTGCTCGACGAGGTTTCGGACTGGAATGGAATAGTAGAGCCCGATGGTTCAGTTGTAGACGAAGTAGTGGATCTGGTAAACTGAGTGACGGTGGTAGACGACGTCAAGAACTGACCGCCTGGTGGCCCCGAGGTGGAGCTCACGGAGCTGGTGCTATCCGTGGGATCACAGTCATCAGTTGGCGTGGCGACAGTGATGGTGGCAGTGTTGGTGTTGGAGGTGGACGATGTCAAGAATTGACCTCCTGGTGGTCCTGAAGTGGTTGACGCGGTGCTGCTGACAGTGCTGGAGCCGCCTGGAGGACCAGACGAAGTGCTTGATGACGAGGCGACGGTGCTGCTGGAAGAGATGACGCCAGTGGATGACTGTCCAGGAGGAGTAGAGGAGCCGTTTGGAGGTGCAGTTGATGAAGCAGTGCGCGAAGTGCTGGCAGAGCTAGGAGGAACGCTTCCAGTGGAAGACTTGGAAACACTGCTGACTGTGCTGGAAGATGTCAACTGGCCACCTGGAGGAGTGGAAGACGTAGATGACTGTCCTGCTGGAGGAGCGGATGACTGTCCTCCCGGAGGCACAGAGCGGGTGGATGATTGTCCACCTGGGGGGGTGGAAGAACCATTCGGAGGAGCAGTTGACGAGGCAGTGCGAGAGGTAGTAGCAGAGCTAGGAGGAACGCTTCCAGTAGAAGACTTGGAAACACTGCTGGCGGTGCTAGAAGAGGTCAAGAACTGACCACCAGGAGGCCCAGAAGACGTCGACGATTGTCCTCCCGGAGGAGTGGAAGAGCGGCTACCAGTGGATGATTGGCCACCGGGAGGAGTGGAAGAACGAGAGCCAGTAGACGACTGTCCTCCAGCAGGAGGAGTAGAAGATCCAGCGGGGGGGTTGCCCTTAGTAGACGAAGAAGCAGTACCAGAAGTGGTAGAAGCAGAAAGCGGAACAATGCTGCTGCTGCTGCTGCTCTTCGCGGTACTAACAGACGACGACGTCAGGAACTGGCCTCCTGGAGGTCCAGAGGTTGGGCTGCCAGGTCCACCGGGAGTGGAAGATTGACGGGCACTGGGAGAACTGCTCTGGCCTCCAGCGGGAGGCGAATACGGCGGGGGGACAAAGGGATGAGAAGTCGTCGCCGTATTGGACGTTCCCGTAGTAGGAACAGTAACCTGAATCGTGGGAGTCACGTAGATGGTCGTCTCGTGAGTCACCGTCGTGGTGGTGGTGATGCTCAGAGTGGCACATGTAGTCTGCAGGAGACGCTTGTCAAACAGCCCCTTGGCCTGGTCAATGGCCTCTTCCACCTGTTCAAAGCCATGTTAGTTCTTGGTTCAAATCCTGACATGTAAGCTCAGTAACCGACCTGGTTTGCCTGAGCAGTCGCCACAGACAGCAGCCCAGTGGCCGCAGCAAGAGAGAGATAACGCATAACTATTAAGCCTTGCAAATTAAACACACAAAGATTCTGATTATAAAACAAAAGTAAACAACGAGAGCAAGTATAAACACCCAGTCAGATAACGACTGGTGAAAACAATTATATAAAGAGTGGACTGCCTTGGCAAGCGAGTTATCCTACCCAAGCGGTGGTTGGACTTGAGATCAAAAAAAATTCACAGAGAGGAACACGATCAGGTCCATCCTTTATAGAAATTCTGAGCCCCTGGATGGCAACAATTGATGACTCTGGAACCAAAAATAAGATTTCTGAGTGAGCCCTCTGGAAGCAGGGAGAGCTCGTCGGATGCGGGACCGCTGTCAATAGTCCACTCACCGTCTGCCGTGTGACGGCAGTAAAATTACACCAGCTGCAGGTGTCAAGGGAGCAAAGGGAGCCTTTTGTCGCCCTGCATATAGCCCCCAAGCTCAAAAAGTCAGTGATAATCAGGGAATTGTTGGCAGTCAGGGGGGCAGAATACACATATAACAGAGACTTCACATGTCAGGGCAACTTGAGATTTAACGAAACCAATTGATTCATAGTACCATCGTCCTGGATAGCAGTTTGTTTATGTCTGTCTGTCTGTGTCATAGCGTCGGTTCTGCCTCTGGCAGCTGTGCCGTGGGAAATGAGTCTTTCTGTTGTAAGACGTAGAATATGCAAAAGGGTATCCGGACCAGAGACACCTCATTTTAAACGCCCGCTGCGTCTCTGGTCACACAACGAATAAAAACAGGATTTGGCTGTGAAAACGAGAGAGCCATAAAAAAGGTGGATGCGAAAGCAAATCTGCACAAGTGTGTATGCGCCAATTTCCGAAATGACACATGCCCGTGTCCCGTGCGCCTGGAAAGTCGAGTGAAACAGGAAAATGAAAAAAAAAAAAAAAAAGACGTTTCCGAACCCAAACATGAAAAGAAGAGAGAGGAAGAAAGGGATGAAAATTCTCAAGTCTGCGCACGCTCATATGCTGTATCGTTTCATAATTTCAAAACCGCCGCCACCAGGGCTGTCAATCTTAATCCTCCCAGATTGTTTCCAAGTCAATGTCGCCACGTCGTTCAGCACCGCATACGCTCCACCGCTTCCGCTTGTCTTTGGAGCCAAATGCCATTGTGCGACCGCGAGCCGGGAGATCCAGGCCCCGTCCTTTTGCATCGGATGGGTCTCCGGCATCCGATGCCTCAGCCGCGGCCTTTAGCTGGGCCTGTCGTTCCGCTTCAAGCGCCTCCTCCTCGGCGTCGGGAGAGTCAGGGATGGTTTCCAGGCTCGAAATACTGGGGCTGCGAGACCTCAACGATGTTGGCGTTGAGGGGACCGAGGAGAGCGTGCCGTAGCTACTAGAAAAGGGATCATACGCCTTGTACAGAGATGAGGAGCTGGAGGTTGGCGTGCTGGGCAGAGCCGGCAGGGAGCCGGTGCTCGACTGGGAATAATTTCGAATTGGCGACGACGTTCGACGTGCCCGAGTCAGGGTCCCATTCGTCGAGACACCCAGGACGGGAGAGCCGCTCCGGTCAGCGGGCAGCCGGTCGTGGTCGAGAACCGAGGTGCGCACGGGAGACGTCATGGGAAAGGCCTCGTCCACTGGCTTTCGCGGCGTGCGAACCCGGCTGGGGGACTGCGCCGGGCTGGCTGGGCGAAGCTGGGGAGAGAAGAGCAGGTGGCCGGAGCCAGAGACGCCGGGCATGGACTGCGTACGGCCCATGGGAGCGGCGCCAATGCTAGCAGCGGACCGCGAGCGCATGTGCGAGATGCCGGAGAGGGGAGACGTCGTCCGCGGGCGGTAGGGCAGGGCGACCATGGGCGTCCAGGCAAAGGCGTGGTTCGACGTCGGGCTTGGGTCGGTGCTGCGGCGCAGGTTCGGCGGTTTCCTGGCGATGTCCAGGTCGAAGGTGGAGAGCGAGTGCGGGCTGTTGACGCGGGCCTTGGGCGGCACGGCGCGAAACTCCTCCATGCGCTCGGTCTCGGGGACGGGCTCCATCATGATGGCCTGTCGAGGGCATGCGGGAAGCCTGCGAGAAGCCTGCGAGATGGCGGGTGGCCGGTGAAGCAGCCCTGCGCGAGCGCCTGGGGCGAGTCTTTGTTGGTTGAGATGCGGCAGCAGCTGATGCGAGCGGACGCTGCATGCGGCACAGGAGGATGCTGTTGGGTCTGTCGACGCAAGTGTTTGCTGCCTTGGGTTGGGGGAGCAGCGAGATATAAAGATCCAACCGGACGGTGGAGAGAAGTGCGGTATCAGGTAGGTGGATATGGAGACGAAGCAGCCCGGCTGGAGCAGCGCCGGCGGCTAGCTGAGCGACACGGCTGGGCTGGGCTGATACAGAGGAGCAGGGGCGACGTCGCTTGTCGACGTTGTGTCGACGGTCTGTCGTTAACAGCGCCCCGGTCGCAGTCGAGGGCTGGAGTTGCGGTTGAAGCTGAGGTTGCAGAAGCAGAGTTCGCAGCGGAGCCACGCCGTGTGCCTTTAAACAGGAACCACCGACATTCCTGTCTCCTGAGACGACCTGCTAGGGTGTAAACACCGGCAGCCGGCCGAAAAAAACGCAGGCCGAGAGAACCGGGGTGATGGCGAGCACAGCGGCGATGGAGCCTCCGAGTGCGGTCAAGACCAGCGGCGGGAAATATGAGCGAAAGATTGACGCCCCTCAGGCAAAGAAAGGGTCTTTTGCTTGGGGGAGATGACTGCAAATCCGTGCAGGTGAAGACTAATAGCGCGGAGAAGGCGCTGCAGTTCGCGCGCTTAGCACGGGTACATCGCCGGTGCATGTGCAAGCGCGTATTTGGGATGTACTGCGCCGCCGTGCATGACTCGCTCTACTGGCAGCAGCAATATATTGTCTTGTCTACCTATGGGTGCTAAAAGGCCTAGAAAGTCTCTGGAAAACGCCACGCTCATGGCAGAGAAGAATAGACCAGAGAGTGACTGAGTAATAGCCTGCTAAACTAGCATGCACGGAACTTGAACCTACTCGTGCAGTTAATGACAACGCATTTCATGGATTGACAAATTCATCCATAAGGCGCATGGCAATACAAATAACAACAACTAATAACAAAACAACTCATAAAACAAAGAATTTTTACATTGCCACTATGGATCGCCGTCGCGGGCTGTCCGGCGCACCTCGCCATGCATGCCATTTTCAAGTGTCCTAGATTACTCAGCTGTGGCCATACTACAGCATGTTTGTTCTTCGAAAGGCGTTAGACAACTGGCATCAAGCCTTTCTAGTGATGGAGGCGCGCCTTTCTCCAAAAAAAATTTTTTATCAGATGGCCATGTCAAAAAAAAAAATTGTAAAAAGGAGAAACAGGTCGACATTGTCTTTTCTCACCGTTGCCGGAAACGGAGATATCTTGCAAGCATCTTTTGTAGGGAGCAAATGACTCGTCTCGTGCAGCGCTGCTAGCTCTTTTTGCGGTATCCCGTGAATCGCCTCAGCACTCAGCACTTACTGGATACAGAACATATAGCAGAGTGGACATTGTAGAATTTTTATCTAGATTCCTCTGCCGTTTTGTTTTTTGGTACATACAATAAATCGCATTTATTATTCAAAGCATAAGTGCATTCACATCCATTTCAGGCAATATCAAGCAGCTAGGTTGTTGGTAGGATCTATTATATACCCGGATTCGAGATTGGATTACATGTAGGAACAAAGAATGCAGCCCCAGCAGCGAATTAATCCGGTCCACATTCATTCATGAGCAAGCTGTGCAAATCATTACCCAGAGCTTATCAAATTTTACAAAAGCCCCGTGAATTGCTGCAGATCAACAAAGACCAGTCAAGTTCTAGATTTCAATCACATGGTACCCTGGAGGAGCCACAAAAAAGTCCCTGTGACGCGACTCTGCCCCCCACCCCTACTAGGCCAGCCTTACTCCAGCCTTTTCAGTGCTCAGCCTCGTCTCCAGAACCTCAACAATGAGCTCCCCCGACGAGCTGGCGAGAGACACGCCGCCGCCCTACAAACGGCGAAGAACCGGCGACACGCCATCGTCAGGCTCTAGCTCTCCCGATGTGCTGGCCGGGAATCCAGACGACTTTCTGCCGCCCAGGCGATTGTCGCAGCGCCGCGCAGGCCTGAGCAAAAGTCCAACCAAAACGCCAAAATATCTCGACGACTTCTCTCGCTCACAGTCGCTTTCGCGGCCCCTCTCAGAATCTGTCCGTCGATCGCGATCAGCTTCCAGCTCCGAGTCAAGAACGCGCTCACAAACACCCGTGCGCTCATCACCGTCTCCAACAAGATCCCCTCGCTCTCGACCGCGCTCGCAGTCCCCCACGTCCTCAAACCAATCAAGATCAGACTCCTTTTCTCCAGAACCGCAACAGCCCACTCCCACGCCTCCACGAGAGCCGCTCAAGCCCAATTACAAAGCTCGGCTAGCCCTCCATGGACACGCCAAAGCAGTCTCGCAAGTGCGCATCTCGCCAAATGGCCGCTTCATCGCCTCTGCCTCTGCCGACGCGACGGTCAAAATCTGGGATGCCGCCACGGGAGCGCATATGGACACATTGGTTGGCCACATGGCTGGCGTGAGCTGCGTGGCGTGGACGCCAGACAGCAACACGCTTGCAAGTGGCTCGGACGACAAGGCGATCCGGCTCTGGGATCGAGTGACGGGTCGGCCCAAGACGACGGCGCGGAAATCTGCAGGCCAAGAGATGGCGCCGCTGAGAGGACATCACAATTACATTCACTGCTTGGCTTTTTCGCCAAAGGGCAATATCCTTGCCAGCGGATCCTACGACGAGGCCGTTTTTCTGTGGGACGTACGCGCAGGACGATTAATGAGGAGTCTTCCTGCCCACAGCGACCCGGTTGCAGGTATCGACTTTTGCTGTGATGGTACTTTGGTTGTGAGCTGCTCCACAGATGGACTGATGTAAGTTTTGCGCATCAAACAACTCGTGACATTCCTTTCTCGGCTTGCTAATCCTTGTCTAGCCGTGTATGGGACACCTCGACCGGCCAATGCTTGCGAACTCTTGTCCACGAGGACAATCCCGCCGTGAGCAACGTATGCTTCTCGCCCAACGGCCGCTTCGTCCTCGCCTTCAATCTCGATAACTGCATCCGCCTATGGGACTACGTTTCTGGAAGCGTCAAAAAGACCTATCAAGGCCATCGCAATGAGAAATTCTCCATCGGCGGCTGTTTTGCCATCCTCAACGGCGAAGCATTCGTTGCCTCTGCCAGCGAAGATGGAGATGTCATACTCTGGGACGTCAAGAACAAGGAGGTCCTCCAAAGAGTGCAGGGTCACAAGGGGGTGTGCTTCTGGGTGGACGTCCACGGTGAGACGATGGTGACTGCAGGACAGGATGGATCAATTAGGGTTTATCGGCATATCGGGCTCTCTGAGGAAGTGAACGGGAATGGTGTGAGGAGTCACTCAAAGACCCCGAATCAGGGGATGCTTCAGGGAGAGCTGCCAATTCGACAAGAAGATGCTAGGCTGGAAGAGGCTTTGAGTTGATAGAGGCGCACTGGAGCGATATTGCTATGGAATCCTACTTTCCTGGGTTGGTGTCTATTATTTACTTTAGAAGGCGTTATTTATTGCTAAGCTGCCGTGGACCATTGATACAATTATAGCAGAGGACTTAACAGCGGTAGAGTGACTACCGATCAGCTGTGTGTAGACGAACTAAAATGCGTTTTCATGATCCAAGCTTGTAGTCTGGTCAGTGATTTTTTCATTATTGTAGACAATCTCTTTTCCACGGCACCTGTAACAATTAGGACGTGTCGTCGTAATGGAGTATTTGCCCTAGGCGAGGAAATGTGAACACCAGATGCAGTTTAGAAACCCCCCAACTTTGAGATTCATTTTAAAGCATATTTATTGTTATTATCATGACTATGCGTTTAGTAATAGGTGGAAAACACTATCAATGACTTATCTGCTCTATTATACCTATTGCTTATACTGCATTTACTAGTCTGCCTGTCTGTTTACGTCGAGAGTATGATAGTGTTCTATGGAGAAAAGAGAGCGTCTGCTTCCTGTTCTATTCCCAGCTAGATGTTTCATCCATAGTCGGCATGACACAACCGTCTTTTGCCTTAAACAGTGCAACGTAGTCGACACGATGACAGCGCACTTTGTGCGGAGTAGATGCGGCATGACCGACGATAAGACAGGCACATCCAAGTCCTCGAGCAATTTCTTGCTATGAGATTGGGGTAATCGACGCTCCTCCATAAAAGTACCTATACCCAACGTTTTAAATAATTTGTACCAACGAAGGCGTCGGTTACATGGCACTATAGCCTGTTTCCCTCCCACCACCATCACTCACTGCCTTGCAGCATGTATATCTATTGCCACCATTCTCTTTCTGCCACGCCATACCTTTCATGCAATGCATGCAGTAGTCAACATCCATTTTCCAATGGAGGATACCGAATGGACCGCATCGGGGCACCCTTTGAATTCGTTTTATGACGCCTTTCGGTTCCGTTTGGGGGATCATTCTACAATTGACATCTTGCCACGATCTGCACTCTGGCGAAGAGGCGCAACTGACGGACCAATCGACGATCGCTGGAATCATCTTCAGCTTGGGCAGGACGAAAGGTCTGGCCAAGTATCCATTTACGAGACTCGAAGGGAATGGCTCTGTTCGTGGAGCCAGCGCAGCTGTTATGGTAAACGACTCACTTTCCCCTCCCAATTTCACTTTGGAGGTTCAAATGCCTATGACCAGTGTTACGAAGGTTGGGACGATGCGACCCAACATGCAGCAAGCCCAGAGGGCACGTCTCTAAATACACCACTGAGGCTGCACCGCGCGGAGCCTCAAACTGAAGGCAATATCAGAGCCTGATGCACTTCAGAGCCTGATGCATTTCCCACAAGGTAGTATTACAGCCTGATCTTCACCGAGTGGGGCAGAATGTGACGAACCGTACACTAGATAGTTAGTATAGGGTAGATTCCCAAGGGATAAACCTAGTAAATGATTTTGGGTTTATGTTAGCAGAGCGGTTAGGAAACTTAATAGGTAATATAGGCAATAGTAAATAATATTACTAAATAGTGGAAGTGCAGAGCGTATTATAATCTTAATTTTATATTAATAATTAGCTATTTAAGTTATTTAAATAAGTGTAAAAAAGTAAACTTATATACTTAGTTAGTTCTAGGCTTATAAGGCTTATAAGATAAGTTATATAAGTTATAGCTTATTAAGCTTGTTTATTAAGTTAAATAAGTTAAACCTAATTAGTTAATTAGTCCTTAGTTAATCTAGTGGATCCTAGTAGGTTAGCTTATAGTTGTAACTATAAGGGTTAGGTTATAATATAATATCCCCCTCCTATTAATCTTATCCTTAAGACCTAACTGTTTTAGGTATAAGTAATTTACTTTCTTTTTAGTAAGTTCTTTTTTTTATTTTCTTATAAAGTACTTATTTTTTTATTAATTCTTATTATATTAGTTTATTTAAAGCTAAGATTTAAAAAGCAGAAGATATATAAGAATTTATTTTTATTAGTTTTATTTTATTTAATTAAAATAAATAAATACTTTACTTATAAATCTTCTAGATTTAATTATTTTTTTATTAAGGGTGAATTATCCTATTATTCTACTTATGTTAAGGGTTAGAAGTCTTTTTATAATATAAAGCAATTATTTACTACTTAGTTCTAAAAAGTTACTCTTTAATATATCTATTTAGAAAAGGCTATTAAAGCTATAGAAAAGGAGTATAAATTAAAGTTAAAGTATCTTTAAAAAACTAGTAAAAAGGTTAAATGCCTTTATAAGTAAAAGAAGTTATAGTATTAAAAGATAGTTTATGCTATTAATTAAGGTCTTAATAATTTAGATAAGTTAGATAAGGTTAAGTAGGAGGAGTTAAAGGCTGCTTATTAAGCTGCCCTATTAGCACTTAATTCTAAGGCTGGCTTATCTTAGTTTATTAATACTATTAATTAGTCTAAGTTTAAACTAGACTTATTGTTATTTCTACTCTTAAAGACTAATGAAATTCCTATAGGATTATTTAGGTATTCCTCTTAAGTTCTTACTTTAGAACTTAAGAGTTCTTATTATTATTATATCCTTTTTATTTAGTAAGGTACTTTTTTTCTTTTATTATTTTATTTATTTATATATAAGTTAGTTTTTTAATTTTATATTCTTCCTTAATGTCTTAGATAATAATTTTATTTATAATTAGTTTACTTATCTTTTTATTTACTAGTGCTTTTTTAAGTAGTAATATATGAAAGATAGCTATTTTAAGCTATATGTTATTAGGTAAGTTTAATTTATAGTTAACTTTACTAATTTTCTTTAAGATTCTAAAAGGTTTAAGTTTTTTAAAGTTTAATTTATTACTTAGCTTATTTATTTTAATATTTAGTAATTTTTTATTATGTAAGTGTTATAGTAGGTAAACTATATTTCCCTTTTAAAGGGTTAGTCCCTTAATCCTTATGCAGTTTATATATTTTTTTAAGTGTTATTTAAAGAATTTAAGTTAAACTTTAAGTTTTTCTTATAATTAGATTATATCTTTTATAAAAATATATATATTATTTATATTTAGTTTATTATAGGGTAGTTTATAAGCTTTTAGTATAAACCTATAGTTAGTATAAAATAGTATAACTCTTATGGTTTTTATTATAAAGCTATTATATTATATTTATGCAACTAGTAGTATCTTAACCTAGTTATTTTACTAGAGATTAATATAATATTATAAGTATACTTTAATAACTTAGTTTATTTATTTTATTTATTTATTTATTTATAGGTAAAATACTATACTTAACTTATAATAAGTTTTAAGTTTAGCTATTAGTTTTTATTAAAATTTAAATATAAAGGTGCTTTTTTTATTTAATATAATTTCTTTTAGTATTTTATATTTAGTAAATATATATTTTATATAAAGATATATTAAGTTTTTAATATTATATGCCTTCTTATATGGTAGAAAATATGCTTATTTAAAGAGTTTATTTATAATAATAAAGATACTATTAAAGTGCTTTTTTATTAATAGATCTTTTAACTTAGGCAAGTTAGTAATATAATTAAATATAATAGTATGCTAATTCCTTTCTAGAACTAGGATTAGTTATAATATTCTATATAGCTAATGCCTTTTATTTTTTATTTTCTTATATATATTATATTTCTTAATAACTTCTAAGATTTTATTTTTTATCCCTAGGAATTTATAATAGTATATTATATAGTTTTATATTATTTTAATACTATAGTATGCTACTATAATTATATTATAATATAAATCTTGGATTACTTTTAATTGTAATTTTAGCAGTACTTAGATTTTCCCTTCCTATTTTAGTAAGCCTTTTTTAATAGTTGCTTCTTTTAGGAGTTTATCTAGTTCTATATTTAATATATATTCTTTTATTTTATTAAGGATAGGGTTATATTCTTTTATAATAAATAAAGTGTTAATTTATATTTATTTATAGTTACTATTACTATTTTTTCTTAGTACTTAGGCTTTAATTTCTAGAATTTCTTTAAAATATTCTTCTTTTTTACTTAATGCATTTACTTATTTATTAGCAGTGCTATTAATATAGGCAAGTTTATAGTTAAAGTCTAAGAGTGTTTTAAGATATTATATTTATTATATAAAGAGTTTTTATATTTAGGTGAAGTATATAATATTATAGTAATCTATGTGTATTTTAATTTTATATTTACTTTTTAAATAGTAGTATTTTTATTCTTTAAATACTTTAAGAATTACTATAAATTTTTTATTATAGATAAGGTATCTTAATTCTAGTTTATATAGTTTTTAAGAGAAGAATGCTATTAAATGATTTTTCCTATTTTTATTTTTTTAAATTAATACTCCTTTAATAGTAAAGTCTAATAAATTAGTTTTAATTTTTAATAGTTTATTAGGATTATATATAATAAGTATAGGTTTACTAAGAAATGTATTTTTAAGTTATTTAAATATTACTTTTATTTCTAGTTTATATATGAGTTTTTTATTTTTTAGTTTCTTCTTGCCTTTTTTATCTTCTTTAAGTTAAGTAATATTAATAAGTAGCTTAGTAATCTTACTATAGTTTCTAATAAATTATTAATAGTAATTTGCTAAACTTAAGAAGCTTTATATTCCTTTTTTTATTTCTGGAAATTCCTAGTCTTAAATTACTTTAAGCTTATTAGGGTTTATTTAGACTTATCTTAGTAAAATTAAATATCTTAGGAATTTAACTTCCTAAATATGGAAATAGTATTTTTCTAGTTCCACTAAGAGATTAGTGTTTTATAGTATTTATAATACCTTATAAATATGTTTCTTGTGTTTTTTAAGGGTTTTTAAAAAAATAAGAATATTATTAAGGTATATAATTATAAAGTTATTAATATATACTTATAGCATATAGTTAATTATTTATTAGAATATTGCAGATGCATTAGTTAATTTAAATAGTATTACTAAGCATTTAAATAATCTATAGTATATTTTAAATACTATTTTTTATTTATTTCTTTTACAAATATAAATTAGGTTATACACTCCCTTAAGATCTAAGGTAATAAACTAATTTACATTAGTTAAATAGTTTTAAATTTCTATAATTAATAGTAATAGGGTTTAATTTTTAATAGTAATCTTATTTAGCTATTAGTAATTAATAACTAGTTTAAGTTTCCTATTTTTCTTTAGTATAAATATAATAGGGTATTTAGCTTATAAGGTAAATAGTTTAATATATTTTTTTTCTAATTATTCTTATAGCTATTTTTAAAGTATTTTAAGTTTTACTTTACTAAGATTATAAATTAAAAAGAACTTTATTATTTTCCTATTTATAAGATTTATATAGTAATCTTATTATAAGTAAAGTAGTTGTATTATTTCTAGTGTTAAATTAAATAATTTCTTATATTTCCTTTAGTATTATTAAGGTGCTTTTTAAAGAATATCTTTTAGTTCTTTATTTTTCTTTTTTTCTTTTACTTTTAATAATACTTTATCTAGAGCTTGTAATTTTATTTTAATTTATATAATAACTTAGTTAATATATACTTATTCTTTTTTAACTTTTTTATAGTTATATTATAGTAGTACTAGTGATTTTTTTATATTAAATTTAACCTTTCTCTTAGGTTTTATTCTTTTTTTTGTTTTTTTTGACTTTTTTTAATTTTATTACATATAAGATTTTATTTTTAGGTCTATAGGTATATCTTTGCCTTCCTTACCCTTTTTATAGCTTAATTACAGCTCCTAGGTAATATTTTCTTCCTAAAGTATTTATTTTATTTTCTAATTAATTAGTAGGTTACCTTATTTTAACTATAGGTGTTTAAGTAAAATATTATAGTTATAAAGAGGTATAATATTAAACTTAATAGTCTTAGTATAACTAGTAATTATAATTAAAAGATAATTAGTCTTATAATTAATTATTATTTTAGCATAAGGTATAGTAATACTAGATATATATATAGGTTATTTTTTTTTAGTGTATAATAGTTTAAGTAGTTTTATTATTTAAGGAGTAATAAGGTTATAATTTGTATTACTATTTATATAAGTTATTACTAGATGTTAATTAATATACCCTTTAATTAATAATTTCTTATTATTATATTTAATTAAGTTAATTTAAATGCTGTTTAAATAGGTTTAGTCCTAGGTAATAGTTTAGTATTTTATATATTATTAGCATTTTAACTTTTAATTTTATTTTTAGATTATATAGTAGTATTTTTTAATAAGTCTTTTATATTCTTCTTGGGTTTTATAGTAACTTTCTAAGTTATAACCTTTTAACCTTAGCTTTCTTATTACTTGGTAGTATTATTATTATTTTATTATATATTTTTTATAATATTATTTTTTATAATTTAGAAAGTAGGTTTTTTAATATTTAGTAGGTTAATAATATATTTATAAGTTATTATACTATTTATTAATTTTATTATATATATGTAATTTATAATGTAACTTATTATAGTATTTATAATTCTTTTTCTTATATTTTTTATTAAATTTATATTCTTTTATAAATTTAATCCTTAATAAGGTATAAGATTATAGTAAGATAATATAGTTATATATGTTAAAAATGTTAATTTTAGTAAATATTAGGAGGTTTATTTATACTAGGGGGTATTTCTTTAGGTATTAGTGTTATTTTTCCTATTGTTTATATTCCTTAACTAGTGTGTTAAGGATCTTATTGTAATTATAGTTTAAGTCCTATAAGCTGTAAGTTAGGTATCTCTTGTAATTATAGTTATAGTCTATAGTGCTATAAAGCTTATATTTATAAATATAGGGATTTATAATATACTTTCCCTTTTAGTAAGGTTTATAGTTTTTGTATTTTAGGTTATAAAGGAGTGTGTTCCTTTTATAATTAGGGCTTATTAAATTATATAAGTGGTATAGGAGTTTACCTTTAAAGTCTTTATATATATATCTCTAGCATCCTGGGGTATATTACTAGGCTATAATACTATATTAGCTGTATTCTTTATTTAAGTTTAATCTACTGTTTTTATTTTTCTTATAGTTTTTATATATATGATTAATATCTTATAAGCTATAAGATATATATTTATAAAGTGTATAAATAAAATAGGGTTTTATTAAGCTATAGTTTTTATATTTTAGTTTCTTATAAAAGTTAAGGGTATTAATTATTATAGTCTTATAAGTTTTTTTAGCTTATGGCTTCTTTAGGTAGTATTTAGATTTTTTTTTACTGCTTTTATATATAAGATATAAATTATTATAGTAAGTTATTTAGCTAAGGTAGTTATAGGGTACTTTTATAATAGTATTTACTTAAACCCTATTTTTAATAGTCTTAGGTTTCTTTTTATTTTTCTTAATATAGTAATAGCTTTTATTATAGCCCTTTTTACTATAGAATATATAGGTTATCTTAGATTAGTAATTTACTTTCTTATAGCCTTTCTTGCTGTAAGTGTTATAGGTTTTATTAAACTTCCTATGGTTTAAGATATTAATATTTATTCTTCTTGGTTAAGTTCTATTATCTTTAGTAATATAGTTTTTTTATTTTTTCCCTTAGTTAGCCTATAGTTAATATCTAGTAGTCTAGCTATTTTTCTTATCCTTTTATTCCTGCTTTTATTCTTATTATTAATTATTAATTATAATAGCTTTTTAGGTAAATATAGTAAATATGGTTTTTTATTAATTAGTTTTATAAATTTTATTTTTAACTTTTAACTTTAGATTATAGTAGTATATTTTCTTTTTTAATTCCTTAGTTTAATTAACCTTACTAAGTAGTTAAATAAAGGTTAAAGTATATTTATAATATAGTTCTTTTTATTTAAGGTTTTAAAGTTTCTTTTCTACTTCTTAAGCTTTATTAGTAATTTTAAAGGATTTTTTTAGTTATTCTTTAAGGTTTTTATAACCCTTAAAGACTTCCTTTATAAATTTACTTTATTAAGCTGGATTATTTTTTTTATTTTTAAAGAGTGTCTTAAACTAATTAGCTGCTGTATTTTTAATATATATTTTTATATATTAGATTCTTTTTTTTAAATTATCTTTTAGGAATATCTTTAGATAATAGTACTTAAAGTAGGTTTATAATTTATTAAGGAATTAGTAGAGTTTAGTAGTATTTTTATTAAACTTCTTTAGTTATTTAATTTTTAAAACTTTTTCTAGTTTTAGTTTATTATTTATAGGGATAGCTGGTGCTACTATAGGTGCTATAATAAGTGCTACCTAGGGAGCTACCTTTAGTAGGTTGCTAAGTTGTTATTATAGGTTATTAATAGTTTATTAATCCGCTTACTATTATGCATATAAGTCTTAGATTATATATTTTATATTTTTTATATAAGTTCTAGCGCTTTATTCTTATTGCTTATGTTATTTATATTCTTATTTAAGAGCTTTTATTAAAATATTTTACTAATTATAAGCTATTTTTGCTAATATGTTTTTAAATTTAATAATACTGTTTAACTAGTAATTACTTAAAGCTTAGCTTTTGTAATTAGTGTTATATTTAGGGATGTTAAAGGTTAGTATTTATATCCTTTTTTCTATATTACCTATAAGGTTTAGTAATTATTTAAATAAGAGTTGTTAATATATAATAAATTATATACTAGATAGTTAGTATAGGGTAGATTCCTAAGGGATAAACCTAGTAAATAATTCTAGGTTTATATTAATAAAGTGGTTAGGAAACTTAATAGGTAATGTAAGTAATAGTAAATAATATTACTAGATAGTGGAAGTGTAGAGCGTGTTGTAATCTTAATTTTATGTTAATAACTAGCTATTTAAGTTATTTAAATAAGTGTAGAGAAGTAAACTTATATACCTAGTTAGTTCTAGGCTTATAAGGCTTGTGAGATAAGTTGTATAAGTTATGGCTTGTTAAGCTTATTTATTAAGTTAAATAAGTTAGACCTAATTGGTTAATTGGTCCTTAGTTGATCCGGTGGATCCTGGCGGGTTGGCCTATGGTCGCGACCATAAGGGTTGGGTTGTGACATAGAACAACATGCAGTATTTACTTTGCTGCACATGCTTCGTCGGTATGTACGTGAGCTCTTGTGAATACAGAATTGGCGCTTTGGTGGCGATCTGTCGGGCACCTTTGAACAGGTATAAAAACTCTTGACTTCTCCTTCACTACCCAGGCACGCAATCTCGATACTGCATACAAAATAATTCATTTTTGTTAATAGCGCGCCCAGGATCTCTCACCATGGATTGGTTGCTCAGCTTGTCGGGAAGAAGAGATTGTAAGTGTGAATCTTCTAAGAGACCATTTAATGCGACATCCCTGTTTTACGCCGGGGGCTTTGCTTTCTAATAATGCTCATCCACTAATCAGACCCTCCCCTAGCATTCAAAACGGTGCAATATGAAGAAGGAGATAGCATTAGTACTCTTTGCCACCGTCTCCAAAGAAGTTATCCCTTTTTGAAGCGCCTGACAATCCCGGGAGATATTTCTCCATCTGTATTTTCAAACCTCTTGTCGGAATACCAAAACGTCCCATTTACAGGCATAGATGATGTGGACGGTAGGGTATACTTGTTTACATTCTATCAAGTGCCAGGGAGTAGGCATGTGAGAGTTGAATACGCAACTGTTGGAAACGATATTAATCAGACCAACACGGACGCTGAGATGAGAGAAATGGCTCTGAGAAATCAATCGACGATTGGGCCGAGAGTTGAATATAACTTGGCCGGAGGGGGTGCCTACCAGACCAACGAGGCTACTGGGCTAGGGGCTGCTGTTGTTCGTAACGAAGCGCGTGACGCGAATACCAACCAATCGAATAGGGCGGCTTGGTGTCATATTTTGTAAATTTCTTTATGTGGAAGTATTCTATAGCGCCGGCATAATATAGTCACATCATTCATATTGGAAAAGTCATCAAGGGATAAGTCTGTTTATTTAGGGAGCCATTATCCAGTACCCCAGTTCTGTTATCTAACACCATAAAAATAAAGAGAAAACATTTGAAGTTATCTAGCACCAGACCCCGATTATGTTATTTAGCACTGCTGCTACTGCTGCTACTGCTGCTACTGCTGCTACTGCTGCTACTGCTGCTATTTCAATAAGTATTTGGCAGCTGTATATTTAATATATAGACTAGCTGCACTATTATGCTACAGTTGGGGTGTTAGATAATGAAAACAGGGTGCTGGATAACTTCTCCCTTTATTTATTAGGTGATGGCTGAGTTGTCAAAAGGCTATGGCTGTAGACGCTTACTTCTCGGGAGGTCTGGCGAAGCCGCGTTCTAATTTGGCGGGTTTAACCCATTTGCTACTCATCTTCACATATTGCTTGGTATTTCTGAATGCAAGCTGATATAACAAATACATTGCCCCGTCTGGTATAGAACGGGCTGCCACGTAGTGCTCAATTGATCAAGTGTTGTAGACTCTCGTCCCTATTTCGATGCCGATGCCTACTAGGTATGAAGTACATGCAGTTGCGATTATTAGACTGATTGGGCTAGCCCTTAGCTAGACACCTATAGTATGGAGGTAGTATTAACCTAGATGTTTCAATGTTGCAATTTTAAGAATCCATGCCGTCCCCGTAAACCTGTTTTAGTGCCTAGTACTAGCCAGCTAAGACGTTGCCTAAGCACACTAGCAATGCCACTTGAGCTAAAACCCCCCAAGCTGCTGGCGGAGCGGAGAGATCCAAATCTGTGGTATTTATGGAATAGCATCAGAATAGCTCGGACGCGATGCCAGGCCCCAGTGTAATTGCGGTGAATCCTAAACTCAAGGCCTTTCGTGTTTTTTCTGATGTTGAAATCCTTTCTCCCCGAAATCTTCGACAAAAAGCTATTCAGACCATAAAGAGACTCACCAAGCCCAGACAGCCCTACCCCAAAAATAGACTGACACAGCTTGAGCCTAACCTTTTGTTTGTTTGACCATAGGTACGCAGCGAAAGTCGGTTCTCAATCAACGACCCCTACTGTTTTAATGCCCAGATGAGAATGGTAATGCATATCACTGCCTTGACTTAGTGGACGTTAATAATGAAACGAGCCGCAAGCAAGCGATCAAGCAAGCAAGCAAATGAATAAGCAAACAGTTGTACTTACATGTAATTAATTCGAGAAATTGCAACTGGGCATGAACTATTCGCCTTTCGAGCGTTCTGTTCGAGTTGGAGAAATTTATAATGTTTGATTGTTTACTCCCTCCCAGAGACATATTTTCTGAGATGCTGCCGATGATACGCGTATTTGTTGTTGCGTTGTTTATCAAGTTTTCTTGCCAAGAGGAGATTGCGTGATTATTCTCGATACGATGGTCAGACGGAACTGGATTTTATGAGTCTGGCTACTGCTTGCATTGATGATAGGAGGAGCTAGTCGCTTACCCTCTTTGTAAATCGAAGTTGAACGTTGATCTGTCTGAGCCAGACGCTCGATGATTGCTCTGGCGGCACAGGCCGCTGTTGCTGAAGAAAAATGATGCCACAGCTTATTTTTATGAGAGTCTCCGTAGTCAAACACGCCTTTAACCACGAGAGTCGGCACATCTTCCCAGAACCCAGCTGCCTCCATTTCGAAGGCTATAACCCCCTCTTCCTCGGCTAGTCTATCTCGATCACATCCGGACTTCATCACTGAATCTCCCGAGCCAACTAAGCCGAAAAAAATGTCTGGGTTTTGGTACGCCATATCATCATTCCGACATGACTGAAGCTTTTCTTCGAGTCGCTGGCGACCAGCCACTAAGCCAGCCACTCCACACCCAAGGTCCTCGCAATTAGTAATTCGTGCTTCATCGCACGTCGAATCATCCGCCATACTGCATGTGGGGCATCCCATGTCGCGGTGTTTGTGATGATAACTAGACTTATATAGCTTATCTTCATGTACTCCAGGATATCCATATCTTGATCCGTACCCCTTATTATGTGCATTCTTCTGGAGATCGATTAGCAAAGTCGCTAGTCTTTCCGTGAGTTTATTTGTTATATCGGGTGTTTGAAGTGTAGTCAAGATATTTCCAACTTCTTTGCACGGCTTGACAAGATTATCCCGACCTGTGTTCTTGCGTATAAACTTGTCGGGAAATTTTCTGCCAAAATCGTACTGGACAATGCCCGTGCTAATAATAATGTCGCCCAGCACGATGTTGGCATTCTCACTTTGAGGAACTGCAGCACAGCCCCCAACTAAGAATGCTAAACGCAACCTGGTAAAGCTTGAGCGAAGGCCGGCCGCAGCAGCTGCCGCATGGGCTTTCCCCATTTGGCGGAGTTGTAGCAGTATAATATTGTGTTTGCCGATGCGACCAGTTCGATAGCAATTTATATCTCCGTTTGCTTTTCCATAGATATCTTGGTTCCCGTCCCAGAACTCTTCGACGACGAGACAAACCGCATCGAATTCGGCTTTCAAGGCACAGACAATTGCAATCTCGAAATCGTCGCGCTGAGATGGCCGCGAGAAAGACATGGTTGTGAAGAGCCTCCAGCGTTTTTGAGAGGCAGGCAATGGAATGTTAATGGAAAAAGGGCACTATTGATCTCTTAGTCAGAATTTATAGAATAGAGCCCAAAGAAGAAATGATCAGAAGGCGGCCGCAGTCTAAGCGATTGTTGGGCAAGCGCATTAGTATGTTTGAGGTGTAGAGAAGTAAAAACTAACCTCTGCGATGGATACCTGGGTTTCAATTTGAGAGCCTTGAATCCTTTCATACACCGCTGCATCTATTTAGACGATCATCCTTGTTGCGTGAGAGTCAGGCTGTAAGACAAAAAGGTCTGGTGATCACATGTTACATAACCCTTATAAGGATAATTTCCCTCGGCGAAATTCTGGCCTTTCTTTTTTATGTAAGTTGATAGGTTGGTAATAACTCGACGGTCTAAGCCAGTAATCTCTGCTTATCACAGAATTGCTGCTGTTCAACCCCCAAATGAAGTATTATCCTACTAGCACCTAGCAGTATTTTCAAGAGCTCTACAATAAGATGGTGAGCTAGATCATACTGGAGTATATCTCTGCACTAAATCTCTACTACGCCTGCCCACCTACTTATCACTCTAAAGGGGCGGCCCTGTGTACCTCTGCTGGTAATACCATCCACAGCTTACTAATACAGAAGCAGTACTAAGAATGCTATGATATACATTTAATTACTGTATAAAATAAGCTTAACATAGGTTATAAATACTAGTACCTAACTTCAATTCTATTCTACATAACTTTTACTAATATGGTTTATGTGATTTACGATTGTATAAGCGGAAAATCAGGAAACACATGCTAATCCTTGGACTAGGTAGGTACCTACCTAGTGTTAAGAGTATATGTACTAGTAGTAGGTACCAGGTAGGTACTCAGTATTGTGTTCGATGCCAGGGAAATATACATGTATCCTGCTTTAATGTTAGATGAGAAGCGCGCCTCGATGGACGTAAGATGGACATTCAGACTCATCAAGCTCTAGCCACCTTGCGAAACATGAGGGCAAAATCGCGATACCTAGCTACAAGACAGGGAGTCATTGGAATAAGTAGATAGACGAGGTATTGTTTTAAAGCGAGGCCATAGAGGCGGCTGGGACCATTTTCTCTTGCTTGTTAATATCGTAAATTAGCGAACCTGGGAGCAATTCTCTAAAAACGGTTGATTAATATATGCAATTCAGCCGGCGTTGCGCAGCTTGTTCAATGGAGGAACCATTGCTTGCCAGAATCCGGAGTGCGTGTATGGAATGTATGTGGCACGGATAGCAATACACAGGACTTTCAGACACATATTAATACCATATTTGCGACCCTTGCCTCCATACAACTAACTATACCTCTTAGGTGGTCAACACGTCGCTATACACGCAGCACTTCGTATTTACTGAGGTAGCAGAGTATGCCATGCAGTGAGTCCGACCGGTGCCTCTCACATTTGCTTCATGTTGTATAAACCCCTCATCGACGAGCAAGGATGGACGCACGCGAGAATCAACAATAAGCAAAGCCTCTGTCTTGTGGCTTGCGCCCTCATTTCAGTACTACCAGAAACCGCGGCTTCGTTCGCCCCATCGTTCTGCGCCGGGCATCTTGCTGGAAGAGTCAAATAGGTTGATCCTTGCGATGGCAGCTTTCACAGCCGCTGGAAGGCTCTCTTAGGGGGGCTGAGGCTCAACGGTTGGGGGCAAGCGTCGTCTCTGGCCGGCGCATCTTGTATCTGGTTTTTCCCCTACGTGTACTTTGCTTGACTCTCAAGACGACGCTCTCACGTTGGGCTGCCCGCCAAAGTAAGTATTGAGGCGCAGCAAACGCCGCCTTTTGTTACAAGACGAATACTCCGTAGAGCCCAGTAGTGTTGGTCTATGATTAGCCTGATACTAGAAGTAAGTTGACATACAATTCATCTTGTCGTTGTTTAGATGTGGGATGATGGATCTCATCTAAGAAGTGACAATGAGGACTGCCCAGAAGCATCCTCCTAAGCCACTGAATGTATGAGGCTGAAAAATCTGGAGTCGGTACCGTCACATGAACAAATGGTCTGCGAGAACAACGCACGCCCATAGGTAGGGCTGTTCCGGCCGGAAGAGCGGTGTGGAGTTTGCCACACAGTAGGTACCGTCAATAGTAGTATGTATATACCTAGGTAGCTCTGGGCACCGTATCGTGGCTTTCTCGTTCTTCTAGGTACAAACGCCTAGACCAGCGTCGTCACAGTTATAGCAAGACTGTCCGCAGCGCAGTGCTCATTATTTCAGCCTTTATTCAGAGAATGGAAAGTTGGCTCCCTCTTTAGGTATCTACCTTCCCTGGAGCCCAATACTCGTGGCGCGATGGCTTGTAGAGAGAAATCGGCCTTGCGAAGTCGTGCACCGCTTAGCATAAATACCTAGGCAGGCCGCCTCCGTTCAGAACGATTGCGCTCTTGTAAACCGTTTTCAACACCAAGCATCCTCACCATACTACCGCCAATCGCCAATACAGATGGTGACACTATCAAGTAACAAAGCCAGCGGCGGAACTTGGCAACAAAACATCGGAAACTGTCTTTCCCTTTTCCACCACCAAGACACCCAGATCACCAACCACATACAGGCGCACATCGTGCTTAATCAGGCACCAGCACCCTCCACGCCGGAGTTAGATAAGCCCAGTGAGAACAAAAGTGGATGCATGCAATCCAATGATTTGGGTAAGGCAACTCCTACCAAGACGCATATTTGGGTTTGAACTCAATTAACAAACTTGTGTCGGGTGTAGGAGCCCCAGAGAATGTGATATCAGGGACAACAGCTGGGGGAAACAAGAAGAAGAAGATGCGCTTCTTCAAGAATATCGCGTTCTTTGCCGTCTTTTTGGCCGATATCTGGTTTAGATACTCGATTACTGCCTCTACTGTGCTATTATTAGTGTAATGGTGGACTGCAGCCTTAAGTGAACGGGTTGGTTATACAGCCTTCGGTATCTGAGTCTGCACATACACCGCCGCCATTGAACATAATCGCCACCACCTTCCTATAGAATCACATGTCAGTTATAGTACATACCTCATGAAGACCTCCGGACATCTTAGAAGGACATTATGGAGGGGAGGAAGGGGGTTGAGGGAGGAAAAAAACTATAATTGTACAAAGAATTAAATATATTCATAAATTGTAATTAAATGATCAAAACCGTGATGCATGCCCAAAGCGTTCATAGTGGTAAGCAAGCTGCTGCGCAATCAAGGTCATCCAGTTTACCTACAAGGTATTAGGTATTAATCGAAGTCACCACTCAGCTTGATCAAAGGCACCTAAAGGAGGAACCAAAGATTGAATGAGCGCATAAGTTTGACCACTAAGAATAGCACTGCAAGATGTTTGCGCCGATAATTATCAGATCCCTTCTTTTTTCGTTAGCCCCTTGGCCAAATCTCACTTCTAATAAATAGTGCACCGGCGCTCGAGGTGATTAATTTTTTTTTTTTTGGTCTGCGGTAACCAGTCATCTGCCAACTCTAAGAGCAGTGCCACTCTCACGTCTGCTATAACCACTGACATGCTCAACATCAACTCCGATTACCACGCTGCTGAAGTTAGCAGATTCGTTGCCCGCGAAGGCATGAGTCTGCAAATTGCATTTACCCACTTCAGCGATACAGGCATTGGCAGTGAGGTTATGGCTGGCGAGATCATGTTCAATGAACTCTCCTCTAAATGTATAGATGCCTGTGTCAATTCCCATTTGCCGCTGGCCTTGGGTAAATGCATAAATAAACGCCAGTTGTGCTTTAGTAGGGTCTACCCATCGTCGAAATCTTTATTCCACCCCATGGGAGTTATAGCCATAGACAAGGTATTTGGCGCAAGCCTTGGAATCAAAAATGTTAAGAACCCCTGTATTGTTGACACCTCGGTGTTTCGAGTTGTCAGCACTGCTCCTCTACAGGTCGCTACACACATGTATGCAGCAACCCTGTAGGCTGATAGTATAATTTACAGGCCGGTGAAGCTCTACCTAGTTAAAAGCCCACAAAGGTTGTTAAAACAAAGCTGAATGGGCAATAAGTTTTGTTTTTGCGACAAGGGCTTATATTGCGAAATATTTGTAATGTCCAGATATTTTCATTCACGCTCAGCTCTACTGTATAATCACTGCGTAGTAACATAGAATACTACTATATTTACCAAGTTCAGAAGTAAATAGCTAGACCGAAGCGTTTTAAGACAATCAGAATCGCTGCCTCCACCGCCACCACCGACAATTTGGAAATAATAAGATCTGCTCAAGGTCTGGCCAGAGATATGGCAATCTATTCGACATGGAATTATTTGTTATGATTTGAAAAAAGCATACACTGGCGGAGGTGTGAATATTTACTCAGCATCCAAGGCCTCGCCTTGCTTAAGGCCTACTACGGGAAGACTCTTTCATTGAGTAAGCGCAAACGATCTTCAGCGGTTGTGGCGACTAATTATAGTAATACTTCACTAATGCTCTTTAGGTGGTACACATTGTATGTGACATTATAGAGTAATATTAGTTGGACAATCTCCGGGTTGTGAAACTGGCACATGTTATATAAGACACTGTTGTAGTTATATTACTATAACACTATATTAAAGATTGGCGGCACACGCAAGAATCTAATTGTATAAATGGCTATTACTGACCGGCACTGGAAAACTTATCTTGCGCTTCGCTGGAAATACTAAGCTTATGCATCTCTTTACTACTTTGTACTAGATAGATTTAGATAGCTATTATTATGCATAGTTTTAAGCTGCTTTCTAGTATTAGTGCTCTTACTACTCCTACCCTTGCAAAAACTGGCTTTGGAGACTTGGTACAATCTCATCTTCCGTTTTCTATTTCCAGGCTTACTAAATACAGGCCGTACTATACACAAAGCAAAACATGCAAAGAGATGCTTTTGGCATTCGCTCTAGTCTTATTAATCGCTGTATCATTCTCGATGCTGTTATGTTAGTTACTCGTTTTGTTTAATATCCTATAAATCTGACAATGAAAAGATACCGTAACGTAAGCCCAATAAACACGCTCAGAATCCCAGCCAGCTTTAGGTTTTCTACCTTGCTAGTCCAATGCACCCTCTATTCGCGAGTTTTTATCTTACACTAGGATATCTATAAGCTAATCAATTATTCTTAAGCACTAATGCATGTGATAATTCGTTTAATATTAACACCATGGCAACAACTAAAGCTCTTAATAACAACAATGTTGCAGCATTATCCTGTATCTTAAATGTCGACGATGAAGAATGAACTGAAATAACATTACTGGGATAGTGTTCTGTAAGGCTGGAGACATTGTTGTGTGAGCATGACTGCCCCAAAATGCTTAGGCTCTGCTACCGAGCGCTATTGAGACACTGTTAAATGGAAGTGCATGCTTTTATTATTCTTCATCGAGCTTTCCCGGAATTTCCATTTAGACGAAGTTCATTTAATTGGTAGGCTAATTATCGTGAAACACCCTTGTTCAACTGGAAAATACCGAGCGAGTTTTTATTTAGAGCTGGCTATGAAAATAAAGCGGCAAAAAGTCTTCGTATTGCACATCCATTTGAACAAGCGAAGGTTGGACCTCCAGACATCCTCTACGCAATGATGGAAAACAAGTAAAGACACCCTACCTAAACTCAAGGTCCTGGATAGCCGAGATAAGACGTTCATCCACCCTTGGGCAGCCGATGTCGCGAATGAGACCGTCATCAGCTGGGAAGTGAGAGTCGCTCAAGACCTCACAGAGTTCCCACGGATAGACAAACAAGTGAACTGCCTAATATGTGATTAAACAGCCCAGCCCGTGGCATTCGGGTAAAATGGTCACTCATGGGCTACGCGCTAATAAAGAAAGAAATAATGTGAGCCGTCTCTGGAATGCTCTGATCGGGGAGCGTTGAAAATTGTTTATTTTATCCGCGTGCTGTTCTTTTACAGCAGCTTTATGCTCTTTTCTCTTGACAATCTCTACCTCGACATGGAATAGGGCTTCATTAAACATTGACTGGACTTTATGGGCCTGTTAGGCCAAACAGGTACATGTATGTGTGTCATTGCCATGGATTTAGGGGAGAGAGCCTTACCATCCTGCACTTGACTTCAAGACTTCGGATCTTGGAAATATGGGGAATAGCAACCTTTGCCTAATAATGCCTCACAAAAGATGCAGGGAATTAACCACGTCACCTTACACCAAAGAGAAGCGAGTATCTGCAAAGCAACGTGGTCCAGTTGCATTGTTGAACAACAAGGCTCTGGTGGATCTACCCACACGACCGAACGCATTGCACAACGGCTGCCAGTGGCTGGCTTAGCACAGCACATCCAAATCCTGCGGCATGACTGCATTTTAAATTAAGCCAGTCAATGTATTGAGAACAAGCGGTGTTTTTATCCGAATATTGTAGAGCAATCGAAGCTCCATTAGGAGTCCCCAAAGTGTCCTAATAAAGTAGCTGCTAACGTCCCTTAAAATTAGCATCGCAGTCTTATTACATTATCTTGTCATAGCTTGCCTACCCCCAAAGGATAATAAGTCCCGTATCTTATTGCTTAGCGCAGAGATTGTTCGCAGATGCGACATGGATTATGGCATCACTGGCAACACGGCGACAAGCGGTGCCAAGCAGAACAATACTTGGGTCCAGTTCACGCTATACAAACAAAACATCAATACAACAACAAATGTTGCCGCATCAACGACCGCAGCAATTGGAGCAAGCCTATGCTCCTCATCAACAAGTAGCCGTTTTGATCTCTGGAGTCGCGCCTATGAGCTAGTCCAGCAACGAGAAGGCGAACTAATGGAAGAGTATCTAAAGTATCTGGATACTGTACTTAAAAATGTCTCTCCTTCTACCGACAAAGACCTTCTTAATCCCGAATACATTAAATGTATCGTGAATCAGTTATTTGATTCCAGAGAAAAAGATGGAATTTACGTGCAATTCCCATCGGGCAATACTGCAGCGCGAGAAGAGATAGAGAAGCTCGCAAAGTTTCTCCTCTGGTCGGATTCTATTATCAAGACGACAGTGAATACTGAGCCCCACGCTGCTCTAGCATACTCTGGCGTCTCTTTATTCTTCTTTGTAAGTGATAAGCATGGGTTGATTCTAGTTAGTAGCTGTTTCACTAACAATAATAGGCTCTCGCTAAATCCCCAGTCTACAATAAGGCAATGCTGGAGGGCTTCAATACACTCAGCAACATGCAAATATTCTGGAAGGCATGCGAAGAGACATATCTTATATCGTCGGGCTCACAAATGAACCATGCCCTAAAAGATTCCCTGGAGGAGCTATACTCCTTTATGATCGAATACCAGGCTCGCATTATATGCCACATCACCATACTGCCAGTTTCTCGCATTCTAAAGTGGGTGGCTGGATCTGATGACTGGACTGAAATGATGCGGCGAATTCAGAATTCAGAACAGAGTTGCCTGGTATATATCACTGAAGGGGAAAAGGCCGAGATCCATCGAATGGGAAAAGCTCAGTTGGGGGCGATTCAAAAACAGGTGACTCTACAAGAGGAGTTGCTTCAAGACATCAAAAACAATAAACAGGACGATATAGAACGGAAACTTCTTGGCGACCTTTCATCAGTATCAGGCGACTACGCGAGATATAAAAATATCAACCCAGAGAGAGTCCCCGGCACTTGTGAGTGGTTCTTGGCGGATGACCGGTTCTGCGAATGGCGAAATAGCCAAACTGGAGCGCTTTTATGGGCCTCGGCAGGTCCTGGATGTGGGAAATCAGTCCTGTCGAGATGCCTGATCGACGAAGGCCATTTAACTCCAGATTCTATGATTACCATCGAGTCGTCAGTCATTAAGGCTTCCCAGAAACCATCGGTCGTTTGTTACTTCTTCTTCAAAGAGGGGCAAATGGACGGCTCTCACGCTTTATGCGCAATATTACACCAGCTATTTCAGCACCCTTCAACTTCCAATCTAATCAATCATGCGCTTCCGAGCCACAAGAGTCACGCAAAGTCTCTGACACAAAGGATGGAAGTACTATGGAAAATATTGGTCGATTGTGCAGAATCTTCCCCAGCAGATATCATTTGCGTGCTCGATGCCCTGGATGAGTGCGGAGGAGACAGTGCACAGCAATTATTGGGCATGATTAAGAGATGTTATTCTCAGCATGATCAGTTGCTAAGGCCCTCTAATTTAAAGTTTTTGATCACCAGCCGCCCGTATGATAATCTAAAAGGTTTATTCGACACACTTCAATCAGTCGCAACCTACATGCATTTCGACGGTGACGAGAATGAGAAGTCGAGTCAAATTGGTGAAGAAATAAACCTTGTGATTGATGCTAAGGTTAGAAACATTGCAGGACTCTTTTCAGACGAGGACCGAGATAGAATTTCGAAACGCCTCAAGCACATGGAGAACCGGACATATCTCTGGCTACACCTAACGTTCAATCTCATTGAGAAGAAGAGGGGCGCATTTGGCAGAAAAACAGATATAGAGAAGCTTCTAGACGAGCTACCATCTCAAGTAGCTGATGCATATGACAAAATCCTTTCCAAAAACCAAGACGAAAAGAAGGTCAAGGCTCTGCTGCAAATTGTTTTAGCTGCGACACGGCCGCTGACGCTGGATGAGGCCAACAATGCTCTCGCACTCGCTCTAGAGGAAGGGAATTTTCCAGCATATGCAACTCTGCAAGAGAAACTATGGCCACAGGATGGTTTTGAAACGATAGTGCAGAATTTGTGCGGCCTCTTCATCAGAATCCACGACTCAAAGCTGTCGTTTATCCACCAAACAGCGAGAGAATTCTTAGTCTCTCGACACCAAACAGGGAGAAAAGTCTTAGTCTCTCGAGAGCGGACAGGGACATGGAAGAATCGACTATACTTGTCAGAGTCACACGGCATCTTATCTAGAGCGTGCATCAATTATTTACAGATACTTGATTGTGATTGCGAAAATCCAATGGAAGAGTATCCCCTTTTCGATTACGCCGCTCGCAATTGGTCTTTGCATTTTCGTTTGCAAGATGCAGCCTCTACCGACATCCTTCGAAAGCCTGCACGTCAGTTGTGTCACATATCTTCACCACAGGCTCGATTTTGGGTCAACCAATGCACTGTTTTGAGCCTTGAAGATCCGGCCGATTTACATGTTGCAGCTGAGTTGGGCCTGGCTGCAGTTGTGCATGACGTCCTAGTGCATGAACACGCCAACGTGAACGAAGGAAGAGGCTACTACGGGGACGACGTTACGCCGCTCTATCTAGCTCTAGTGGAGGGCCATGTAGACGTGGTGGAAGTCCTCCTAGATCCTGCGCATAGAGCCAAGGTTGATAAATATGACGTTATAGCTGCGGTGAGGCATGACTCAAATGCAGAAGCAATGATGACGCTGCTTCTTGACAAGCGCGGCAGGAACATCAAGATTACAGAGGGAATTCTGGAAAGCACAGTAGCGAACAGGCAGTGTGGGAGAGCAGTCTTGGCGTTGTTGCTCAAGAGGCGTGGCAACAAAATCAGAATTACAGAATCTGTGGTCGAAGAGGCAGCTAAACGTGGGTCAATTGAGACCATGTCTCTGCTCTTAGATGAGCGTGGCAGGAACATCAAGATCACAGAAGATATTTTGATATTTGCATTGAAATACAACGAGAGGGAACTGCTTGCTCTGCTTCTGAAGCGCGAGGCCGAGATCACAGAAGCAGTGCTCATTAAAGGATTGAATTTAGATCGTCTTAAACATTTAGATCTTATTCTGGATCATTCCGATGAAATCAAGATTACAGAGGAAATGGTTCAAGCTGCAGCAAGAAATTATTACGGGCCACAGGTACTCCAATTGCTTCTTGAAAAGCGTGGGCATGATATTACAGTCACAAAGGACATCCTTAAGGCTGCAGCAGATAGTCATCATGGGCCGGAAGCGATAATCCTACTGCTTGATAAGTATGGGCATCAGTTTAGCATTACAGATGATATTGTCGAATCTGCAGTGGCTAGGACCTATCGCGCGAAAGAAGTTTTATCGCTGCTGCTTGATAAGCGCGGGCATGAGTTTAGCATTACAGATGATATTGTCAAATCTGCAGTGGCTAGGACCTATCGCGCGAAAGAAGTTTTATCGCTGCTGCTTGATAAGCGCGGGCATGAGTTTCAAATTACAAATGATATTGTCAAGTCTGCAGTGGCTAATGAGTGTCTCGCGAAAGAAGTTTTATCGCTGCTGCTTAACCAGCGCGGGCATGAGTTTACTATCACAGAAGATATTGTTAAGTCAGCAGTGGCTAATGAGGGTGATCAATGGCCTAGTTCGGATGATAATATCCTGGAAATGGTAACCCTGCTGCTCGACAAGCGCGGGCATGAGTTTATCATTACAGAGGAGATAATCAAGGAAGCAGTACAGAACCGGTGGAATGGGGTGGCAATAGTAACTATACTGCTTGACAGACGCGGTGATGAGATTAAGATCACAAAGGACATCATTAAAGAGGCGCGAAGGTTTGGGAACAAGGAGATGTTGGCACTGTTTCAACAAAGACGAGGTAATGTGACCTATTTCAAAAGTCATTCTTGACATACAACGCTAATTGAACATAGGCAGAACCAAAAAGGAGGGGAATGGACATATGAAAGGAAGAAGAACAAGGTTGGACCAGGTAGGCAAATGGATGCGATGGAAATTTTAGAAGCGTTGGGCCAGTAAAACGCATGCATAGAGTCCAGCCGTTGTGATGAACTCTGAATATCCATTCATAGATAGTTCCGTTGAAGGCGTCTTGCTAGAAGTCGAATTGATTCATTTATTTGGATGAGATGCTGGTGTTGCGTTAGCAAGGACGTGGGATAATGAAGTTAATATCAGGAATCATTATTAATGTAAAAGACTGAATGAACATAAGAAGAGCTGCAAGAAGGGACAGCCGCGTTGAAAGAGATGTGTTTCTATAGATAAACTACGTTGGTTTGGGGTTGGCATCAAATGAATTTGACGCAAGCGATAGCGCATCCCTCAGATGGCCTATTGGTGTCCTGAAATTGAAAGTCGTTCGAGAAATAATATATTAAAAGAGAGTCATTATCCGGCACCCCAGTTCTGTATCCAACACCCCAAAAATAAAAAGAGAATTTATCTAGCACCCTAATTATGTTATTTAGCACTCCAGCTGCTACTGCTACCTCTGTTACTACTGCTACCTTTGTAACTACTACTACTACTACTACTACTACTACTACTACTACTACTACTACTACTACTACTACTACTACTACTACTACTACTACTACTACTACTACTACTACTACTACTACTACTACTACTACTACTACTACTACTATCTCAATAAGTATTTAGCAGCTGTATATTTAATATATGAACTAGTTCCTTTATTATACTATAGCTAGGGTGTTGGATAATGAAATTGGGGTGCTGGATAACTTCTCCCTATAAAAACAGTTTATACATAAACTATTGCACATGGGCATGCCCTATTCAAGTTATAGTAGATGCTGAGGATGTTTGTTGTTTTATTGTAAATAGTTGCTTCCTACTGCGGACCATTAAGGATGTAGTTTGTTTAAGATTAATGTCTAGAATCCAGATCTTGGAGTGGATTTAACCATTTTAAAAGTGAAGATTTAAAGAATGCTATTATTTTTTGGCTAGTTGAGATGATGAGCATCTGACAAAACTTAATTTGGAACTTCAGAACAACTCTAGCAAGAGTCTATCTGTTCATTCTTACTCGCAAGGTTGGCTCACCGGGTCAAAGATAAACATTTTCTAATTGAAGGTTGGATTTGGCCAGCGTGGTTGCATCAAGTATGTGATATCGGGCTCTGTTAATCGTATATATTGCAATCATCTTCATTTCCCATGAAAATCTCGGCACCGGCCTATCCAGGCCATTTGGTCGCCTCTGTTGCGCCTGTTTCAATATACGTCATCACGCTGGCTTCGAGATAGTCGTTGTAATTATTTTTATCGAGACTGGTAAGTATAAATACTTCCTGGACTGGCAACTCGCAGTGCCTCCGTTCGTCTTCGTCTAACATGGTCAAAAGTTGATAGCATCGTCCCCTTGGTACTCTTTGTGCAGTTTCTGCGGGTTGTGGGTCATAGTTGGATCAGGCTCCTCACATGTTGATTAGTGGCTTGATGATCGGACTTGGGATTCAAGCTTTCCTTGCGGCATTTTGATCGGCCTGTCCTGAATTTTGCTTAGGAATGCTTGTTGTTGATCTTAAGGACAGTTGGTGTTGATAGACCGGCTAAGATATGGAGAATTGTATTTTATAATACTCTGTACAATTCTTACTACTATACCATTTGCCCAGGGATACTTCAATGAATACAAATTAACAAGTTCATACCCCAAGCACTACAACTACTTAGGTTAGTTGGAAGAATAAGTCAGTCGCATATTACTACATCTTTTCCTTAAGCTGCATAGCGAAATAAACTATCAGGTATAAAGTATCTACCTTATAAACCGTTTCTACAAAGAGTACTCCTCTCAGAAAGCGGTACAAGCGCCGTTTTCTTTCTTTTGTTTTATTTTCGCGTGCCGCCTTTTCCCCCAACAACTTCATAATCTTTTCTCCCGATAGTCACCACCCTGACAGGGACCAGGGCTTTCTTTAACATTAAATAGACTTTGGTATATGAACAGTCTTCTATCCTTAATATGCTGGGGTTAAGGCGCTATATCTGCTACAGCCGGGTTCTGATTACTCAATAGAGCGAGAGATATCGGCATCCGTTAGCTTTGAGCTCCTGGAGAACGTTTTCCGTCTAGTTTGCTATATAAGCAGAGTTTACCGTGCTAATTATAGGTGTTTCACTATTCATGAACGCTGTAGAATTCTATTCTTATACAATCAGATACAGTCATCTTCACCCTTGTTCAGCCCAAAGACCAAAGCCACCAGATTCGCTTACATTGGTACACGGGGCGGAATGCGGCAACAAAATCCTTTCGGAGGCGGCAGCAAATGGTGGCAGAGCAAACCCACACTTTAATTTTCCATGTCGCCCTCTAACCGCTTTTCCGACCGTTCTGAACGTGGTGGATAAGTATGAAGTTGTCTGCTATAAGGCAGCGCAGTGGAAATGATTACTCGCGCTCTTTTGTTTCTTAATATATAAAGCGACCGGCTTGGTTTGTATATATATATATATACACTTTATTAGAACCTATTCAGCTAGTTATTTTGTCTGAAACTTGTGATGTTCCAAAATGGAAGCAGTTCACGTTGAGCCACTTTTTCCTCTTTTGTTTAAACAAGGCGCCTAGTAAAATAAACTTGAAAATAACAATGCAAACTGTAAATAAAGACTCCACTCGAAAAACAAGGCAAAAAGAGAGACGAGGGCGCCTTTCTTCTTTTTTTTCTCTTCCATCCTGTGGTTTCTTCTCATGGCTTTTTACATAATCTCATAATTTCCACCATTTTATCCTCTTGATTACTGCCGTCATGGACCACCCATCGCCGCAACCATGCGTTGGCTGCACGTCTAAATTGGCGCAATCCTTTCAGTGGAACACTCGCATAAGCGGTCGAGTGCGAGCAGCAAATGGCATTGCAGGCTAAGATTCCGCTATTGCCTCTTAGCCTCTCCCGTCTCGATAGTTCGGGGATTTCCTATTATAGAATGAATTGTGATTGACTGATGCAACGGCTGACAGGTTGTAACCTGAGAGTGGAGATGGGCTGAGCTTTTTCGACGCTTCTAACTGGGCTTGGATGTCGAGACGGGCCAAAGCCCCCCTTAAAAATTGACCGGAAGAACAAATAAGAGCGGTTCGTTGCGCAAAGACTACTACCTAATACGAGTTTCACCGACCCGTGCCTGAGGAGTCGTAAACGAAGGAGTGCAGGAAAAGCTACTGTATTGCTGGTTCTGGCTGTACGGGATTACTATTTGTTTGCTATAGAGAGAGAGGTAGTGGTAGCACCGTTCAGCCGCTCACGGTGCCTGTTTGCCAAGATTTTTCTAGTCGCGGTCCGTCTTTGTGCATCGGCGGGCTGAGACACAATCGTCGAGCTGAGCGGTAGCTGAAGATGGCTGAGGGCGAGAGTCGCAGCTGTGGCTGAGGCTTTGCATCATCCTGTCCCGGTCCATGCGCGATATTTTAGGCCCAACGCACGCACAGCGGGCGGTTCTAGAAGCGGTCGGCATGCACGAGTTTGCTTTTTCTGCCACGATGCATGCATTCCTTGCCTCTTTTCTGTCTCTTCCCTTTTTTTTTTTTTTTTTTTTTCCCTCTTCATTTTTGTCCCCATTTACTCTCACAAAAAACGTGGCGCATCACAGCGTACACAGATAGGCCCTTGAATGTTGGCGCACAAATTGCCTACTATGGAGTCATCCGTGCTCTTCAGCGACCCAGCTTCAACGTTCCTGTGGACGGCAGACAGCTTAAAGTGGTAGCGCCGGTATCAGCCCTGTCGGTTTACACCAATCAGAGGCAGAGGCTCTCGAGTTTAATTTCCCATTCCCCTGACGGCGGCGCGAAGGTCCTGCAGGAACAGAAAGCCTTCTAGACTAGCGGACAAACATCCCTGCTGGCCGAGACGTTACACGCTCGCACAGACTGCTACTTGTGCCTGAACGCAGGGGCTGCTCCAGGCGCATGTACCTTTTAGCAGTCTGGTGCTGCTGCTGGTGCTGCTGGTGCTGCTGGTGCTGCTATTGTTGTTGTGAGCGTCAATTCGAGCTGCGTTGACATGTAAATAGCAACGGGATAATTGCAAAAGCCAGAGCACCAAAAGCATCAAGAACAGAAACATGCGTGTATAATGCGCCCAACTCATTACGGCGACTTCCGTATCTCGCGAATTGAATCCTGGAGATGCCGCATCCTGGCTCATTTGCCTCCAATCTAAGGCAGCCCAGTCCACACACGCGTAAGTACATCTCGCTAGTGAGTACGAGGCCCTCCAGCGCTTACCAGCCCAGACATGTGCCAGCTGCCAGGTACTGCAACTAGCCCTCTGGCTTGCAGGGGTCTGTCTCTAGGCAGAGAGGCCCCAGCTCCTCATGAAACCCAAGCCCAGCCGTTCGCCCATATATCTCAGTCTGCGCTCCCCATCTCGTCAGATGCCCTCTTCTTCTTCTTTTCCTCCTCACCCAACGCTCCTTACACAGCCTTTGCAGTCCATCCATTTGTCTTTACGACAAACAGTCACTCTTTACCTATTTGCTGTTTCTTTTCTTCATTCTCTTCTTTTCCAACAAAGTAAAAACAAACCTTCACTTCAACCGTCAAGATGCGATTCACTCTGTCTGTTCCCGCCTTCCTGGCTCTGGCCTCGACCGCCTTTGCCCAGACTGCCGACTTTGACCCCGTCAACAGCCCCAGCTCCAACCAGGTCATCGCCGCTGGCCAGCCCTTCACCATCCAGTGGGAGGCTCCCGCCAAGTACGCCGCCGGCACCATCTCCATCGAGCTGATCGGCGGTGCCACCCAGGGCACCCAGGTTCCTCTCAGCACCATTGCCAGTAAGTTGATGCGCACAAGAAAAGGGAATGGCCCAATGACTAACTTGGATACCAGCCGGCATCAAGAACAGCGCTGGCTCCTTCGTCTGGAACGTCCCCGCCGACCTGGGCGCTGATGCCTTCTACGGCTTCATCGTCAAGTACGAGAGCGACCCCAGCGTCTTCCAGTACTCCAACCCCTTCCACGTCAAGGCTGGCGCTGCTCCTCCTGCCCAGGACACCACCACCGTCACCACCTCCACTGGTGTCAAGACCGTCTCTCTGGCCACCCAGTCCACCTCGGCTCCCTACTCTCCTCCTGCCGTCACCTCGGCTCCTTACTCTCCTCCCGCCGTCACCGACGTGACCGTCGTTCTCAACGCCACCACCACCGTTCCTTGCAACGGCACCGTCGCTCCTCCTACTCTGACCGCTCCCACCACTCTCCAGAGCGCCACCCGCCTGCCTGTTCCTCCCAGCTCCCCTGTCTGGGTTCCTCCCGGCCAGGCTGTCACCACCACCTGGGCTATTGCTCCCTCCGGTACTGCTGCTCCCTCCAACCCTCCTGGCACTCCTCTGCCTCCTCCCACCAACGCTGGTGCCCGTGTTGGCGGCAGCTCCTTCGCCCTGGTTGCCTCTCTGGTCGTGGCCTACTTCGCTCTGTAAGCGGTTGGTGATGCTGGGATGTGGACATCATCGGGGGTTTACGGCGGGCTGTGGTACGACGCCTAATTTCGTCTGGAAGAGCTGACGGCTCTAATCTATTCTACTGTTGATTTGCACATATTTTTTTTTTACTTTACTTGGAAAAGGCGAGGAAGATTGGTTTCGGTTTTTGAATCTCTCTAGATAGAAAGCGCAGGGCACGACATCTGTTTTTTTCTGGGAACCATGTTGTTTTCGATGTAGGATATCTAGCGCCTGCGCGTCAATAGATTGGTTCTATCATTAATTGATAATGATTTTATGACCTCTACTTCGTATATGGTTCAACTAAGTTTACTATTCAATTTATTATTCAATGCTGCCCTGCAATTTAAGCCGCAAGTGAAATCGCATGTCCTAGGTTGCATCTCACCTCACCAGTAAGCTGCAAAATACGTGTCATATCTGTCTGATGTCTACAAGGGCCATTGGTCCTTGAATGCCAATCGCGAATTTCCCAAGATGGATATAAGCGACGATCGACCTCTATTTTCCCCAGTGACGAGACATGGATAACACTGGGGTGTTATTTGGCGATGAACGACCTCAGACGGCAATTGATCGACGGTGCGTAATCCAAGACAATGACGCAGCCATGAAGAAGCGGATCGACGGGCACTACTACTAATCTGCACGGACGCGGGCGCGTACTGCAAGGGACAACAGCTTATTTGGTTGCTTGGGTTATTGACCGAGATCTAAGATGTCTGGGTCTTGGTGTTGTCTTGTCTAGTACAAAAGCAACCGAAACCCAGTCTTACCTCCGAAGAGCCTCCTGTCAGACCGAAACAAGGCCAGGAGTAGTGAGTTTCCCTTCCCGCATTGACGGAAAAAAAAAAATTAAACATTGACCCTGTGCGGCAGTTTTGTTTTTTTCTGTTTGTCGTTGTACTGACCTGCCCATCAGGGCATAACGCTGAAACGAAACGCTGTCGCGCTTTGCGCCACGCGCATTGTTGTTAAAATGAGCGAAAAGGGGGGGAAGCGCTAATAGAGTAGCATTGTGCTGTGCTTCTGTTTTTTTCCCACCTTTTTTTTTTGAGGCGTGGCGCTGCGGTTATATTGGCTGACTAGAAGTGTGCCTCATTTCCAGGATGGCTAAATATGTAGCTAGAGTTTGCTCTTACACGAGCGCTTCTATTATTAATCCTCGTGAAGACAGGTGACTGCTGCGATTGGTCTGGCCAGCGTGCCGACAATTATAGATTTGATTACTGAGTGACTTGACCAACAGCAAATGCTACGTTTGGACGCGCATCGCGTGACTGTGAAGAAGTTTGCGTGCTCAATGTATTCTGCCGGTGATCTTATCACCATTCGTTAGCTCGGCGCCAAACAAGCACGTGTGTTATGGCTGAAATGTGCTAAGAAGCTGATTTGGGAAGTGAGGCTGAGTATCCAAGTGATTTTCCCGCTCAACAGCTTTGTGGTGCTTTGCTGTATTTCACTCTAGCATGTATTCACCGAGACGGTAGCAGCAGCAATCTATCTCCACGCTTACAGTAAAGCTGCCTTTCTGTATTTGGCTAGTTGATACCATTAAATCACTGGACGATCAGAGGGTAAATCGAATGTAGTGTAGTAAGTGCCAAGCGATTGATGCAACTTGGCACTGCTCTCGTCGTCTCATCTACAGATTGCCGGTGGTCGCCATACCATACCATATGAAGAGATGATGTCATGAGTATTGAAAGAGACCGACATTTTTGCATCCTGACAATAAAAGCTCATATGTTACACTCACACGGCCTTGTCACATGGATTTGTTTCGCAACTGGAATGCTTCGACATGCTGTGCCATTGTTTGTGTCGCATAGAGTACATTCCTGCACCTGGGATTCTGTCGCCGCATTGTCTTGGCATGAACGATTTTCTAGTTTAGAGAAACCACATGCGGCGTGATTAAAGTATCTACCTACCTATATCCGCAACTTTACACGCATCTTCATCAGCGTGCATATATGCATCGCTGCACACATGTAGGTAGGTAAGAAACAGTGCTCAGGCAAAGGGTACAGAGAGTGTGCTTGATGTTCTCAGCTAGGTACTTAGTCTAACTGATATGCAAACGCGTCTTTAGAAATCAGAAACTTATCACGCGCATCAGGCCTTAATCGGTATACTACCAATACTTATAGATCTCGCATAGATCCATGTATCTACATGTGCAGACACAATCACCCGGAAATGGCGCCTCTGCAGTTGCTCATTCGCCAGAGCTCCAGCTCTTAAAGGCCCTGGAGCGCTAGACCTGAACCGGTCAAGAGGTTTGGAGGGGCACCCGCCGCTGCCGCTCCGGTACGGAGCTCAAATGGCTTCAATTTTTTTTTCTCTCTCTTTCATGTGCGAGAGACAGAATGACGGCTAGATGTCAATCCCTCTCTTCCGAGTGTGCCATAACCTAGGCGTTGCTTCTCGCTCGTCTAGATCTCAACTCATACACCGTCCTTTGCACACATTGCTTGTAGGGCTGCCAATTCCAATCTCACGGAGCCATTGCGCTGATGTCATAAAGGGTCGAACCTTGGTGGGGTCGAAAGTCAAGAGTCACAGTCGTTGCACTCAGAGGTGAGAATTCATGAGTTGGATGCTGTAGCAATCTCTGTACTAACGTTATCTTCCCATTTTCTGCAGCTATACTACAATGGCATCTGAAGTTGCTCCCAAGACCTGCAAGGTCATCACCGCGGAGACCATCGCCAAGAAGCTGCTGCTCGAGGTCAAGGACACCCTTTCCAAGGTCCAGGAGGCCGGTAGCAGTGCCCCGACCCTGGTGGCATTCCTTGCAAACGATGACCCTGCCGCTGTCCAATACGCCGAGTGGTCTAAAAAGACGTGCGAGGAAAAGTGAGAATAGCAGTGCCGCATCATACGTGATATGCGTTCTAACAGCCTGCGTCTAGTGGCTTCAACTTTGAGCTCCGCAGAGTCGACAAGGATGTCCTCGAAGAAGACATTATGAGGGCCAACGAGGAGGACGCGGTCGACGGCATCCTCGTATACTATCCCATCTTCCCCAAGAACCCTTCCCAGGATAAATACGTCCAGGAGACCGTCGACCTTACCAAGGATGTTGAGGGAATGCGCCACACCTACCTGCACAACATGTACCACAACATTCGCTTCCTGGACCCTCCCGAGAACAAGAAGAAGTCCATCCTGCCCTGCACGCCGCTGGCCGTGGTCAAGATTCTCGAGCACCTCCAGATCTACAACCCCATCCTCGCTTACGGCAACCGTCTGTTTGGCAAGACCATTACCGTCATCAACCGGTCCGAGGTCAACGGCCGCCCTCTTGCAGCCCTGTTGGCCAACGATGGTGCCACAGTCTACTCTGTGGATATCACTGGCGTGCAGTTGTTCACCCGTGGCCAAGGAATCAAGAAAATTCGCCACCAGGTGGAAGACAAGGAGGGCTGGGGTCTGGAGCAGTGCCTGCCTCTGAGCGATGTTATCATTGGAGGTGTGCCCGTTGAATCATACAAGATTCCTACGGAGCTTATCAGAGAGGGTGCCGTGTGCATCAACTTTTCTTCCTTCAAGAACTTTGATGGAGTCGCCGTCAAGGAGAAGGCCTCCATCTATGTGCCATCAGTTGGAAAGGTCACAATTGCCATTCTGCTGAGAAATCTTGTTGTAAGTGCAATATTTCACATTACTTTTGAGAATTGGAGTAAAACAAAAGCTAATCATTTCGTAGCGTTTGGTTGCGAACCGTCCTCCCAAGGAAGATAAGAGCACCATCCAGGCCCGAACCGAAGCTTTTGCTGATGAGATCTAATTACGGACGCAAAGCGAATCAAGCAAAATACTTTTCTTTTTTCTTCTTCTTTTTTTTTCAACAACAAAACAATAGCATATGGACAAAGTGTCAGGAAATACATGATCAAAACGAAAATGGGGCGAGTATAGGAAAATATATCAAAAGGCGGGAAAATGAATATCATAGAATATCGTTCAACACTCTGTAGAAACAGATTTGAGTTACATCCAAATAAGAGTAAAACAGGGAAGCATATAACTATCAGTACATGACTGATCATTACGCAAACATTTATTGATCCCTAACTACGATTTGTAACAACAGTTTGCATAAAAGGGCAATAATTGTATTTAGATCATGACCCAATCGATGGTCTGACTACCTACTTAGGGAGATATGCTGCCAGACCACTTCGACGGTACCCTCTCACTGATATAACGTAGCTAACGTTTTAAAGAAGAAGGCATTATTTCGCGAATGGATTATCGTTATACTATATTCCCTTGCAAAACTCGAGAATGGACATGTCCAGATTGAGACGCCAATTTGATCAAAATAACTAGCGATGGCTGGTGCATCTCAGCATCATAACCAGGTACTAAAATAACAGCAATCTACTATCATCTTTTGCGAGGCAAACCCCAATAGAGACTGGTTCGTCGCTCTTACGTGCCTATGGTATTAACGGTTATAAACACATTCCATACGGATGAGGGGTGAAGTCCAATTTGAGGGACTCGTCACAAATTGGCACACTACCTAGGTAGTTTTTTACTATCTCTGCTGCCTCTACTGCTTCATAAATTGTCATATCCTTTTATCACTCAGTGTCCTTATCTGTTAGGCGAAACGAAAAAATATAGGTTAAGTGTTTAAAGTCTGTTTCTGTAAAGAAGTATACTTAGCTCAGCTTAATATCTCGGGCAATTGGTCAGCTTAGAACTTTTTATACAATATATTACAGTCGCTATATACTTTTTCTCACTTTAATAGTTCCCTATTCCTTGCTCTCCGACTTACGAGGACGTCAAAAGGTAAATGAAGTCGTATAATGCACAGAAGGCATCGATTTTAGTGCTCTTAGTATAAAGATTAGTCAACGTGTCTGTCCATGCATGTATGGGCCTACATTTCAACTCATCCACATGGCGGAGATGTCTTGCAGCATATTTGGTGGGTGTAGACCCAATCAGTGGGGCCGAGGACCGACGCGGCTACGCATATCCAAAATAGGTAGGAAATGAAACTCTGCGCAAAGAGGCCAGAATGGCTGCTGCAAGTGAGCCGCAGATCTCCTATTGCTGACCTGCAGCAGCTCAGCCACTATCGACTACTATTTTAGCAATACGGTGCATTGCGCGGCTTGGATAAATCGCGTATTGAGACTGGAGGCCGACAGGTTGTGATTTCACCAGGCTGCCGGGTCTTGGGATTACGAGCGGCGGGTAAAATTAGCATTATGCGGCCCTCCACATGACTAATTTCAGTTACGGCGCTGCTCTTCTCCTTCTAGGCCTATTATTCCTGCGCAAGAACGGCAACAAAAGAAACACAATACGAAGGACTGAATGGTGTCGTGCTTGTATGCAGCAGATAGGTAGGACCAACAACAGACGGCTGTCACACTCTTCTTCATCGGCGGGACTGCAGGAGTGGAGCTGTGTTGCGCCGGTAAATACTATGGAGCACATGCTATTTCGCGTATGCGGATATGGAGATGAGAGCCACCGTCCAAGAACCCGTATGCCGTGATATGAGGATACTACTCCTACTACTACATTGAAGGGCCGCCTATTTGGTAATTATTGAACGGTGGAAACACCATCACGCGGCATGCACGCGCAGCCAATTTGCCCACATGGGCTTGCACCACTGGAGATGCCCTGGTGCCACCACTACAGAGTCTTGTGCCACCAACAGATCGTTGCATTCTGTTAGGTCGAGGCCAATGCAGTGTCGAGGTTGAGGACTCGGCCAGCCCGGGACCAGAAAAAGGCTTGAAAGGAAAATGCCGCTTTTGACAAGCAGACACACAGACATTGATCTCTGACACGGACCAGGCAGAAACAAGAAACAAGGACGCAAGAAACAAGGACGCAAGAAACAAGAAACTTGTCAGCAAACAAAACGCATTGATTTGCCAGACTCCGCACGCATAAGAAATCAACTCTAGCCCGTTCAGATCCGCGCCCTGAATCGCCCTGAATCGCCCCGGCGCGCCACAGCGCCACCCCTCCAATCCAGCTAGATGCGAGGCCCTTTTGGGTGTGGACATTCGATGTTTCGCGGCCCGGGCCACCAGGCTTGCATCCTGTAGGCCTATTAGGTACCTGAAATCTCGTTTTTGGGGGGGGGAAGCGGGCGATTTCCTTCTTCCTCTCGTGACAACCTCTTTTTTTTCTTTTTTTCACCACTTCTAGCTTTTCTTCTTACTTTCTTCTGGATCCTCTTTTTTTTTTTTAATTGCCCGAGGCGATCTCAAGTCGAAGCTCCGCTCGCTTCAGAGGCCGACTAGCAGCAAGTGTAGATTCAGATTCAGCCAGAGGTGGCCGTCGGCCGCTTTTAACGTCGCTCCTTTCTTGTCTCGCGGGCGCGCCCCGGTCCACTCTCGCATCGCCGAGTTTTTGAACATCTCTCCCTTTTTCGTTTATTTCGACTTGGCGAGGCTGCAAGGGGCTCAGCCACGCGCGAAGCCGGAATCTCGATTACACTCGTTTTCTTTCTCTTTTGCTTCCTTCTTTTTTTTCCTCGTTACCACCGCTTTGGATGCTTCTTTGGTAGACGCTTGGGTAGCAGAGTATTCGTGACTTGTCTTGTTCCAGGCGCGGACGAATACAGGGACGACAGCGACTGAGGGCAAGAAATACAGCACACCAAGGCGCAACAGCACCACAACGACTCGCTTCCATTGAGCGTGGCTGCAGCCGGCCGATCAGCCATGACGCTGCAATCCATTGTCACGAATCGCTATGACGGCCGACAAGACGCCCGCGGCATGGCCGTTCCGTATCCTCAACCCGCATCGCCGACCCTGACCAACCCGGACATGATCCTGCCCGACTACGATGAGCCCGACACGTATCGCAGCCAGCCGCTGACGGGCCCGTCGCTGTGGAATAGCGGACACCACATCGAGGACGGATTCCAGTTCACGCAAGACTTCTACGCCAATCCCGACCCTCTGACAACGCCCATCATCTACGGCAATGGAACCATGCTGTCAGACATTGGCGAGGTCACCGAGGTCGAGAGCGTCGTTGGGCCGATTCCCTCGCGCAATGCGTCCAAGCGCTCGAACCACAGCTCCGGCGACGAAGGGCCGTTTCGAGCATCGCTGACTGCGGGAAAGCGGTTTATCCAGCAGCGACACCAGCAGCAGCAGCAGCAGCGCCATCAGCAAAACGATCGCGAGCGCAGAATGTCCACCGATTCGACCAGCACCATCGGCCCCAATGACGGCGGCGCCTTTATCGACTTTGACGACTCTGCGAGCGTGGGCGAAGACAGCCTCTTCCAGGGCGACGACGAGGAGAGCATGGCGTCCGAGTACGTGGAAGGAACAGCCGCCTCACACCACTTGCGCGCCTACGACCCGGCGGCCGTGAGGAGAATGAGTGATGATGGGAATGCTCTTAGCAAACGAGCGGAGATGATTCTCGCCAATGCCAAAATGAGACTAACTGTAAGCTTGCGCAAAGAACAAAATGGCTTTTGAGAACCAGACTAACACGCTTCTTTTCAGCATATGGAAGACAACCTTACCCGAGCAAGAACCCTGAGCTATTCATCTGTATCTGACGGCTCAACACCATCGCCTACTATGGGAAGGGCCGCTTCAGCGCTCCGCAGGCCAGATGTGACCTCCGCTGCGACGAATCTAGCAAAAATAGTAAACGAAAATGGTGCGATTTCTGGATCTTATGGAATATCAAAGGTGCCGGGCTTTACACAGCGTTCTGCTAGCGCTCTTGGTTCTGCTGGTGGCTATCGGCGGCCGTTGCCTCAGTCCAGAAGTATGGACGGCCTGGGGAGCAGCGCTTTGGCTCAAGGCGCTCACGGGCATTTCAGCTATTATCAATCAGACGCTACTCTAGAAGCTCTGACTGGGGATGGAGGGCAGCGAAATGGATCACGAACAACCACCTCAGCGAGTCCCACCCCGGGAGCCTTTTCCGAGCTCGGATTGACTCGTTCTGCTTCCGCGTCGCAGATGCGCGACCTACAAGACCAGCTCAAAGGCCTAAAGGGAAAGATATCTACCTTGAAAGAGCAAGCACGTGCAGACAGCATGAAGCGACGCAGCCTCCAAAGCCTTCGTATGCCTAGTCCGTTTACCAATGCTACCTGGGACCCGAACTCTGCGGATCCGCGTGGCTTCTACAGCAGCGGGGAGGATACACCGACGACGGCAGAGTATGTTGACGGAAACATGAACAATAGCGATAACGATCATGCACGAAAACAGCCCGAGTACATAGCCGAGCCCATCGAAGAAGTGGAGGAGGAAGAGGAGCAAGAGCAGTTTCAAGAGCAGCACGAGGAGCAGATTGAGGAGCAGCATCAAGAAGAGTATGAGGAGCCATATCAGGAGCACGAGGAGGATAGTGGGGAGGGAGAGGGAGGGGAGCAGGGAGTCAAAGTGGTTGACACATATCCTCAAACCCCAGAGCCAGATGAGCTTTTCTCGGAAGTCGAAACTCCCAAGATTCGGGCACTGGCCAGCCCATTGAAGTTGGACCAACAACAGGCAATCAATGGCCACCGAAGCGCGTCACCAGCAGAGAGTGTGGCTACCGAGTACACGGAAGTAGAGTCGAGCCCCGAGGCTGCTCGCGACGGCTATGCGAGCGAAGGCGAGGAATCGCTGTATCACGAATCTTTCCAGCAGCCCATCTCTCACGAAGACCGCGAAGACGCCTTTGATTACGAGCACTTCTTTTTGCACTCTGCCATGAGCACCATGGCGGCCCAGCGACTGCGCTCAGAAAGTGTGAGCTCGGCAGAGTCGACAGAGTCAGCACAATCGGCACAGTCGACAGACTCGGTGGAAACTACTCGCCCAGCAATGACGCACAGGCGGAGCAGCAGTGCGGATACGACAGCATCTGTGGACACGTTTGCAACGGCAACTGAGGGACTGGACAGTCGTAGCGCAACGGCCCAGGGTGCGTTCAGAGTCTACACGGCGGCTGACTTGTTTGAAGATGCTCGGCGAAGACACGCCCATTCGTTTAGAGGCTCTTCGGTGAGCAGCAGCGACGAGACTGCTTCTACGCTTGGGACACATCAAAGGAGCAGCACGATGACTACGCCTCGGCCAACGAGCAACAGCTCAGTCAACTCCATGCACCGACCGTCGCATTCGTCTTTTGAGTCTATCGGAACGAACCGGAGCTTCCCACTCATCAGCAAGGCCAAGCTCAACGGTGGTATTCTGACGCCTGGCGGCTCTCCTGACCAAGGGCTGAAGAAGAAGATTAGAGACTCGCTTTTGACCGAGACGTCTAGCATTTACAGCCAAACCAGCAGCAATGACCGAGGCTCACAATCGCCTGCACTCCAAGTCCTGTCCAAGGATGTCCAGGTGACTGTTGAGAAACTGGTTGCAAGCATCGGCAAGTGCGTTTTGGCGCTGGGCGAGCCTGACGGAGCCAATCCAGGAGGCCATGAATTGTACAAACGCAGAATCGAGATGGCTCTCCGCGTTCTTAACGGAGAAGCTGATATCCCTTGAACAGGGGGTCAGACCTATTTTTTTTCCTTTGTTCTTTTTCTTTTTCTTTTATTAACGATTGCAAAATACTTGACTTGCGTCTCTGAAGCGTCTATTGACGAGACGCGCGCCTTTTGGAGATGGGATAAGGGGGGGGAGTGGACAAACTATGATTTTAATGCTTTTCCGGCGATTGCTTATAGCGCGGACAGCTTATGCCTTCGATACCCTTTTCTTCTACGTGTTCTTTTTACTTGTTTATAATTCTCTTCTTCTACTTTTACATTTTTTATTTCTATTAATCGGCAAAGTTGCCCACTCCACGTTGGCTGCTTCGTTCTTTTCTTTATTTCTTGGGAAGGGTGGCGGGACTTGTGTGCGTATTGGGATGAATGGGAACGACGACATGGTAGCGGAGGGAAAGGTATTTTGTCTTTGTAAACGACTTGGCTTAGAATGTAAAAAGAAAGAAAACCCCGTGAATACAACTATCATTATTTGTTATTGTTTTTTTGATCATTAAAGAGGCTGCATACATGCCTGCAATTAGTGATGCATTGGTTCATATGATTTGGTCACGACCCTTGAAAGTGCAAAATAGCTAGCGCCGACGCTGGAGCATCACATGCCAGCACTGCAACCAAGAGCAAAAGGCTAACTAAAAAGCTCCAGCTCTCTTTTAGCACGGGAAGCGGGCTAAATTCACGCCACCGCGGCGGGCGGGGGTCTTGTGCGAGAAGTAAAAAAGTCCCTGAAAAAAACAAGGAACAAAGGAGGAGACGCAAAAGAGGCGTTGAAGGCCAGTCATCCATCCTTTTTTTTTTTTTTTTGACAAAAAAAAGTCAAAAAAACAAAGAGGAGTGGCCGAACATCTCCCGATTCGAAAACAACTCAGACTTCTGACGAACCAACGAAACGACAGAGACGTGAACACACGGACGGGACTGGACAGAATCAGAGCAAGGACAAAAACCAAACAGGGGCCTTTTATTTCTTGCTATCTTATCACGGATCCTTGTTCAGTGGTTTATTTATTTATTAATATTTTTTTTTTGTTCGCCCTATTGGCTTTGAACGAAACGCGACCTGCCTTTGTGCGCCTTCTCTTTCTTTCGTTGCTGGAAGGATTTGATAAAAACTGCTGCTTGAGCCCCGTCGCTTTTTTTTATCCCCTTTATAATTCTTTTCCATCGCCGACCAGAATCAAAACGCCTTGAGACGAAACACGTTACTGTCCACCGGTCGCCCGCAGCTCTATCCACAGATCTACACCAAGCGCTCTCTCTAAGCAGAGTCATACAAACACCACCACCAAACAACCATCGTCATTCATCGCCCGCCATGGACGAAACCCTCGCCACGCAGCTCCTCGCCTCGCTCCTCCCCGCCGACGTCGTCGCCCTCATCGACACGCACATCCTCTCGCCGCAATCGCCCGTCCAGGCCGTCAAGCGCACCGCCCTCGCGCAGGCCCGCCGCAGCGCCAGCCTCGTCCTGCCGCTGCTCCAACCGCTCATCGACCGCGCGCTGGCCCTCCTCGCCGAGCACCAGGGCGCGCTGGACATGCTGGTGCCGCTGGCGGTGCTGCTGGCGACGCTCGTGGTGCTCAACTGGGTGCGCCGCATCATCCTGTGGTGGACGCGCCTGGCCTTCCGCGCCGTCTTCTGGGCGGCCTTTGCGGCGCTGGCGGCGTGGGTGGTGAACCGCGGCGTGCTGGTCAGCGCCAGGGACGCGGCCGTGCTGGGGGCCAAGATTGTCGGCTACATGGCCGTGCTCAAGGACGTCTGGCTGGACGAGTATAAGCGGTATGAAGGCCAGGAGGCGAGTGGGCGGTGGGACGAGTATGCGGCGCGGAGGAGCAGTAGCAGCAGGGCGTTTAATGCGCAGGCGAGGTGATGGGACAAACAACAATAACTAAAGGGGGAAGAAAACAACAAAGTCATGAGGAATTATGGTGTATGGGACATTACGATGCAATCAGGGCTGGGCGGGAACAAAGTCTGAGCAGATCAAGGGCGTATAATAGGGTGTTTTTTCTTTCCTTTTCTTTTGTTTAACTTCTGCATCATTGGGGGAATTATCTGTTATTGCTAGTTTTTTTATTATCTTGTTGATTTCTTTTTGAGATTCTTTTCTTTACTTTTCAAAGAAGCAGCTAAATGCGAATACCATGAACGCCGTCGCTATGCAAATGTGCTCCCAACCAAACTGTATCAAAGCATCTTCTTTTTCTCCTTGATCATAATCCTTTTCTTCTCATTCACTTTAATCAGCTTCGTCGTACTCCTGCTCATCGTCGGGCTCTTTGGGGTCTTGAGCCTCGTGGTACTGGATGCAGTCGTCAATGTGACTGAGGATGCCTCCCACACTATCCTCGTCCGTGACATCAAGCTTAAGGTAGTTGATCATGCTGAAGCTCTCAATGAGGCCGGCCACGGCCTTGTTGAGACGGCGGAAACTGGCGCCCTTCATGACCTGGGCCTTTTCGTCGGGTGGTGCAGATTCGTCATCCTCCTCGTCAGGGCCTTCGGTGATTCTTCTGCTGCGCTCCAGCGGATCATCTTCTAAAAGGGCGACGTCGGGCGTCAGGAATCGCTTCAAATCCTTCTTCTTGACCTGATCTTTGATGAGGTCCATCTTGGACAGGACGTTGATGTGGGGGACCTCGAGCATGAGCATGGCGCTCATGGCACTGAGGGTACCGGCAAAGAATTTGGCCCTGTCCACAACAAAAGTCGCTTCGAGGAGATAGACCGCCGCAAGTCGAATGTCGAGAGAGCCCGAATTCGTGAGGAACTTGACCAGCGTCGGCAAGATGGGAATGTGCGTGTACAGCTCGATCTGGCCGGGCATGTCGATGATGATGAGGTATTCTTCCGTCAAGGAGTCCAGCGCCTCGGTCAGCCAGTCGAGGTTCTCCATGAGGAACTCGAAGCAGTAGATGAGGCCGCCGTTGGGGCCCAGGCCCACCTCTTCCATGGCATCTTTGAGGGAGATGAGCTCCTTGATGTCGAGGTCGGGCGTGTGCTCAAACGACTCGGCGGCGGGATCGAGGTTGATGTAAAAGGCTGAGCGGCGGTTGAGGTTGAGATGGGTGATGAGGGCGGCGCAAAAGGTGGACTGGAGGAAAAAACGAAGTCAGTGAGTATTCACATGCTAGAGCAGTTGCGCGCGCTGTCGCACAGAGCATATCGAGAGCTGTGATTCATCTTGAGCTCCAACTGCAGCATGATTCATTCATCGGAAACATATCGGAAGGAATCCCGATATCCCAGCGCCAGGGAAGCATCGGCGCAAACATCAGCATCAGCAGCACCCATGCCCTTGCGACCTCTTTGCTCTCGACTTGTGCTCACGCACGCCGTAAGCCTGCATTACACGAAACGCACCTTTCCTGCGCCTGCAGGGCCCATGATCATGGCGCCAAACTTGCTCATGATTGCGGCTGTTGATTTACCCGAATATATGTGAATTTCTGTTGTTTTCAAGTCTTTGTAATAGCAACGCTTGAATGCATCTACTGCCTGGCTAAAGTTCGGTACCCGCAGAAGAAAAAAAAATTAATGACGGAGCTTTTCCCAAGCTGCTGCCCCTCTATTGCTATCGACAAGCAGCTATCTCTTTAGTGGACCTCCCCCCCCTGGGAACTCGCTGGGGGCCAGACATGGAGGCACGTTGCGCGCCAGCGTTTTTCGGCGACAAAAATGAGATTGCGAAAGGCGGGGTTACGGGACGATATCGAGTGCGTGTTCCCTTGTGTGAGGTCTTTATCATTGAATCCGACAAGGGACACTTTGTTGAGTCTTACAAGGAACGATAGGCGTGCAGGCCTGCAATTTGACACACTGTGGTCATACAGATAGATACTAGTAATACAAGTAGGCATGTACATACTGTAGCAACTCCGAGATGGATAAAAAGCATGTGGGATGGCGCAATTTCTGTCGCAAATGCTAGTCAGTCCTAGCGCGATACCGGCCTTTTGTATTGGCTCGGCTGGTTCTCAGAAGTTCCTCTTTAACTAGCAGCACCAACTCAGGTACGCGAGTAGGCTAGACGGATTTTTTGATTTTTTTTTTTTTTTGGTTGGGGGAAGGGTTTTGCGAGACTGGCACACCATCTCCGCGCGCAATTAGCACCCGGACGGGTACCGAAGACATTGTCTCTCAAAAAGCGGTCTCATCTCAAACGAGGCCGATTTCTGATTTATCTGAGTCACAGTAGCTGCATCGCACGTAGTAATTGATAGATACTTGGTTGATTTATATGCGTCTGCTGGGAGTTGCGACACATCTTGCGCTATTGCACAATCCCTTGCCAATCCAGATCCTGCGGTATTCGTGTTCGCTCCTGTATGACTCTGCTGAAGGCGGTGGGGCCATCGGTCACTTTCTCACTTTCTCTCACTCCTTCCAAGACTGTGTGCATTTGGCCGCTCTTGGACCGGCGCCCCTCCATAAAAATCAATCCATCCGCCGCCAATTTTTTCCTCTTGCCCTCCCCTTTCCTCTCTATTCATTCTTCTTTCCAGCGATTGTCTGTCCTCGTTTCTCTCTCGCGCCCATTCATTGTATCATCATCCTCTTGTCCTCCACCCCTCCATCCACACAACCGCCACAATGTCCGCTACCAACGGCGTCCCCAAGTCAGGAACCTTCCTGTTCACCGTAAGCGCGCCCAAACCCCAACCGGCGCATCGTCAGCTGCTAATTCGCTCTCACAGTCCGAGTCTGTCGGCGAGGGTCACCCCGACAAGATCGCCGATCAGGTCTCTGATGCCATCCTCGATGCCTGCCTGTCGGAGGACCCCCTCTCCAAGGTTGCTTGCGAGACCGCCACCAAGACTGGCATGATCATGGTCTTTGGTGAAATCACCACCGGCGCCAAGCTTGACTACCAGAAGATTGTCCGAAACACCATCAAGGACATTGGCTACGATGACTCCGACAAGGGCTTCGACTACAAGACGCTCAACCTGCTCGTTGCCATTGAGCAGCAGTCCCCCGACATTGCCCAGGGTCTCAAGCTCGACCAGGCCCTCGAGAGCCTCGGTGCCGGTGACCAGGGCATCATGTTCGGCTATGCCACCGACGAGACCCCCGAGCTCTTCCCCCTCACCCTCCAGCTCGCCCACAAGCTCAACGCTGCCATGTCTGCTGCCCGCCGTGACGGCTCCCTGCCCTGGCTGCGCCCCGACACCAAGACCCAGGTCACCGTCGAGTACAAGCACGACAACGGCGCCGTTGTCCCCATCCGCGTCGACACCGTCGTCGTCTCTGCCCAGCACTCTGCCGACATCACCACCGAGCAGCTCCGCAAGGAGATCCTCGAGAAGATCATCAAGACCACCATCCCCGCCAAGTACCTTGACGATAAGACCATCTACCACATCCAGCCCTCTGGCCTCTTCATCATTGGTGGCCCCCAGGGTGACGCCGGTCTGACCGGTCGCAAGATCATTGTCGACACCTACGGTGGCTGGGGTGCCCACGGTGGTGGTGCCTTCTCCGGCAAGGACTTCTCCAAGGTCGACCGATCTGCCGCCTACGTCGGCCGATGGATCGCCAAGTCTCTGGTCGCTGCTGGCCTTGCCCGCCGTGCCCTTGTCCAGCTCTCATACGCCATTGGTGTTGCCGAGCCCCTCTCCATCTACGTCGACACCTACGGCACCTCTGACAAGTCTTCTGACGAGCTTGTCAAGATCATCCGTGACAACTTCGATCTCCGACCTGGTGTCATTGTCCGCGAGCTGGACCTGACCCGCCCCATCTACCTCCAGACTGCCAAGAACGGTCACTTTGGTACCAACCAGTCTTTCACCTGGGAGCAGCCCAAGCAGCTCAAGTTCTAAGTTGAATAGCTGTTACAATTGCATACAGAGTATTCAACAATCTCTGCTACATGATCTACAAAGCGATGTGTACTTGACACGTCGATTATTTCACCAGACACATTTAGGCGGCGTACGGTTCTCAACGAAACCTGGAGGCTTTCCCATGGCATTTTACGGGAAGGCGAGGTGGTTTCTGGCGTAAATTCTTTTTCTTTTGTTCGTTTTATTATCATACATATACCAGGGTCTTTGGGGGACACAAATGGGGCGTCTTTCAACAAAGACAAAAGTTATGGGTTATTTGCATAGACAGCAACAGGGTCACGTCTGCAAAACGGGAAAAAACAAAATGCACACTTATGAGCTACGCTAATGATGGGTATAAACAAAGATCTGCGTACCGGCGTTTTCGGGAACCAAGAAGAAGTTCAACATCTTTCTTCCCGAGTCTCTTGACCGAGCTGCTGAACATGCAAGTCAGTTGTCGGGGTTGGACACAGGAGAAGCTGGAAGTTATCGGAAAGATATCATGACTTTTTATTTAGACATGAGACTTGACAATAGAGAAGCCCGATGAAGGCAAACATTTGCCTTGACAAACTTGCAAACTTTGTGAATGTTTTTGAAACGCTTTGTGAATGTATTCATTGTCCCTTTCTATCCACGCCTTTGAATAGCGACGCAACGGGGTGATTGTGTGGCCAAGGGCCTGAAAAAGAAGAACAATATGTTGGACCGTATTGTCGTTCTGCCGTTGAGAATATATCATTCTCTTTATGTATAGTTAACTACACACCATGATGCCATTTTCGCAGTCCACCGCTACGGCCCCGCAGGGCTATTGCTGTGGGTGTTAATGGGGATATGAATGAGCGTGGAGGTGAGTTGTGCGTTGATACTAGACCTCTTTTGAGGAGAATTTGCGCAGAACTGCTTCCATTATACATGAGCTGAAGGCTGAATAGGAGACAGTTGCAGCTGGAGAGCAGGGGAGCCACGTAAGTCGTGCGTGGATGTCTCTCTGTCCAACAAGAGCCGTATAACCAGATGCAGTTTGCTCGGCTTCAAGAATAGTAACTTGGGCATGAATACATGTACAGGAGCCTCCGTGCACGATCTGATAAAAACATTTGCGCACACGCCAGTGAGGTTTTCGCAGAGGTGTCGCGTGTCAAGCTCAACTGAGACACGCATGCGCTTACTAACCAACTGATATGAAGGGGGTGTAAAACCCTCACCGACTTGATTTTGGATAGTGCAGTGGAATAGAATAGACCCCCCGAGAGATGGAGGCTGAGAGCGCACAGGTGCTTAGTGGTTGTTTGTTGTTTATTGTTAGGTATGACGTTGAGTCTGTGCGGGAAAAGGGCGTGTGTGTATCATGTGCGTATGGTCTTTGTTATTTTATGTTCATAGTCTTTGAGGTGATGGTTGATTTGATGGATTGTATTATTTGATAATCGTCGGTTGATTCGATTATTGATATAGGGCGTAGTTGTGCTCCTTTTATAGCATGTGTTGAAGATTTTGATTAAGAATGATGGGCATTTACGGTAAAGACTTTCGCAGAGAGTGGTGACCATTCATACCTAGAACACGTTAAAACTCTCATTTCAGACTCTATCAGATGAAGGAGGCTTTGTCTTTGCGGACAAGTTCCATCGAAAGAGAACGAGTAATGAACATGATGGCTTTCAGAATGATACTCAAAGCTTTATACCATGAAGAGAACAGTAATCTTTCCAAACTGCTATAGCAATGCATCTTAAATAAAGCTGCAAAGTATCCACGATCAACGAGAATGTCTTTTTTTCATGTAACAAAAGTTTAGATACTCTCGCGTTGCAACAGCCATGGATCCCCTAGAAATTCTCGAGTTGGACACTCCCGACTTCTTCGTCTCGGCGGGCATCACTCGCCAGGCCTGCGACGACTGGCTCCGCCGCTTCCACGAAGGCAGCTTCACGCCCCTCCCAGAGCAAAGCAACAGCAGCTACTCGGTCTGCGTCGGCCAAGACCAGGATCGCATTCTGCAGTTCCGGCTCAAGCCGTCTCCTCTGGATGCGGACGCCATCAACTTGGCACGGCGAATCTATGGATCCAGCGTACCGGCTGTTGTGGTCGAGGCCCAGCTGGGCGACGACGACGGTGAGAAGCCGCCAGTGCTGGTGTATTCAATAGATTGCATGCGCGGGACTGATTATTCGTCATATTTGTTGTATCGTGATAAACACATGCTCTCGTCGATGGAGATGAATGCTGCTTGCCGCAGAAATCTGACGAGAGATTTGCACAGTAAGTGTATTCTTTCTTTCTTTTCTTTTCTATAAAAGTCATCGTTCAATGGTTCTCGACTAAATCGTTACAGTTTCTTCGCTGCAGCATGGAACTCTCCTAGACAACTCTGCTCAGAAGATCGCGCCGTGGAAAAACAGACCCACATCAACAATTTACAGAGTCTATTATGCCTACCAGTAGAGTTCCATCCCATTATTCAAGCGTGTATCAAGCAGATGGATGCCGTCATGCGCCTACCCATGGTGGTATACCATACAAACCTTTCCAAAGAAAGTTTTACCGTAGACCACGAATGCCAGCTGGTCGGCATCCTCAGCTGGTCGAGACTTGCCATTGGACCTTTTGGGCTCAACCTCCACGTGCTCGAAGAAATCTCCGGAGACTTTAGTTTGCAATATGGCCGATCCGACTTTTTCGACCACAAAGACCTGCAATGCTTATTCTGGGATTCCCTTTCGAGGGCGGTGGGCGGCTTGACCCCAAAAAAGACTCGTTCCATCAAAGTGGCAATGATTGTTGGGTTTTTGCAGCGCTGGGGGCTTGCGTGGAAGCTTGCCACGTACCCGGGCCCGGAAGCTGCTTCGACTGTTGATGAGATTTCGCAGTTTAACCTGGCGGTGATGAAGTCCTACCTCATAGACCCGACGACGAGGTTTGAAGGGGTAAAAGAGCTGTTGGCGTGATTGTCGAGAGGGAAAACTGACTGTGACTGCCAATGTGTTTTGCGGGGTACTGGGAGTTTTAAGGGAGTTTGTCGTCTAGAATGAATAGTTGGTGAGCCTGGTCTTTATATTTTATCTGAATGTTAGCATGTTTGCTTCATACAAGAGAGAATATTCTCAATCTGGCGGTGGCTTGTGTATGACCTGACGCGTGCGCTTCGTCTATAAACAACAAACTGGCAAGGGTTGTCCATAACCTCTGTCTAGAGATGCTCGAGGTCGTCAAGTCGGTATAATTTACTGTGTACGAACTAAGCTATTATGAAACTCGTGTGAATGCTTTTATACCAAGTATTACAGGCTATACCGAATATCACAGTCAAACAGATTAGTATAGAAGGAGGGTAGCTGACGTAACTCTAGTTATATACCAAGTAACATAGTTGTCTCCCAATATTAGGCATCTAGCATTGTAAATTATGCCATGGTCGCATCCTCCAGAGAAACCCCGACACCTACCCATTACGGACACGGCTCAATAACCCATTGTGCAAAGAGGCCCAGATTCCCGGGACCGCTTGGCGCTGAACCCCGTCGGCGTCTTTAATAACCAAAGGCGCAGTTTGACAGGACCCAGAGCAATGGTAACTCTAGGCGAATTAAGCAATAACAAGACAAGACAAGGGGGGTGTGAGGAGGCAGAATTGGCCTTGTCTCGTTCAAAAAGCTAGTCCGTCTCTCTCGTCGGCAATTAAACCCGGGTGTAGATTAGCGGTGGGTGTAGAGGGCGTGGTGGCTTGGGAAGTTTTTTTTCCGTTGCTTTTTGTTGTTGGTTCTGGCAGATCTTAATGCGAGATGAATGAAGCTATCCTGACTTGGCCGAAATAACAATAGCAACGCTAACCCCCAAGCCGTGGGGTGGTTTGTGGTTTGTCATAACCCGTAACCGTAACCGCTACCCGGTTTCCCGCTCAGCCGAGATTTGGCGGCTAGGTTCTTTATTCTCTTTTGGAAGTTTGTATTCTGTGAATTTCGTCCAGTCTTCGGGTGAATGGCTGCTCTCAGTGTTGGGTGTTGCTTTGCTTCCATGAGGCTGTAAGGCGAACAACTCCCACATACTTGTATAAGCAGCTGCTCACCGACTACAATGGTGCATATTAGCTGGAAAAGGGAGATGCAAGATTGCTCAAGCTGCCTCGCTTTGACCCGTGGCCCGCATGCCATCCCGAACACTTGCATGTAAATTGATCTCAGCTCTGGCGTCTCTTTTTTTCTCAGCCGCGAAATAGGTATCCCACCCCATTGCCCCTTTAGCTGTTGCGCAATAACTGTTTTATTCAATCATCACCAATCAACTAGTCAGAATAGCCGAATCACCTCGCGTACGTCAACACTAGCCTCAGTCCAAGAACGGCATCTAGCATGATACATAAAGTGTGGTATCTTCGAAAATTCCCACAGCTGTGGTAAAGACGGCGTCATGTAGATCAACCGAAAAGAACGAAGCCCTTTCCTTTCTCTCGGTTCCGACTCTCCCTGGTCCCGATGGCGTCTAGAGTATACTACGAGAAGAATATTTGGGGGCTATTCACACTCCCCCCACCTACTCTTGTGTGATTTGATTTCTTCTCCTTCTCTGCCTCCCCTATTCCCAGTCAAGCCACTGCATTGGCGGCAGAGCTAGCGGACGACGGTGTGAATCCCATACCGTGGCTGCGGTGCTGGGAGGGGCGTCAAGAACCAAGAAGCTAGTTTAAAGCTTCAGCCAACGGAAGCAGGCTAAAACATATTGATTGATTGATAGGCCCGCGAGTGATTGATTGAATTGATTCATGTTAGATGGGCTAGTTTTTGGCCAGTTGGTTGGACGGCTAATTATGTCATCGGATGATGAGCTGATGAGCTGACTTGAAAAAGGCGTTTCGAGGCATTCAAGTCTTGTTAGCTGTTGTTTAATGGGTCAAGTCACTGCCAAACAAACGCAAAACACTCGCCATGCTGAGGCTGAAGCTTGTTTCATCTTGGCTATCCAACAACACCAACACCACTGCCTCCCCGTCCCTTCTCCCCTGGCTAAATGGGTAAGACAAAAAGAATGAGATGAAAAAAAATAAATGAAAAGAGTCAAAGTCCATCTCATTGTCAATACCGATTCCTCTCCTTTGGAGTCCGGAGATCGACTAGTAGCGCGGATCCGGATCCCGCTGCCCTCGGAACTTTGCTCATACAACGCACGTACGCTGCCACATCACTCCCTTTCCATTCTATTGATCCATTGACACCCTTTAAAGCTCCATATATTCATACAATAATCATAAATAAAGCTTTTCTGGCGGAGCCTCCTTCCAGAGCGCGGCGATCCGTGAACGGGGAGCGCAGAGCGGCTGCTGGTTCGTGCGGGCAAGACGCTCGTGGAAATAATACTAAATGAGAATAGAGCGGGGGAGGGAACAAGGGAGCTGTGTGTTCAGTTTCGGATCCGAGCAACGGCTATGTACTGTATCAACGCACAGACTTGGGGCGTATTAATTATCTAGATCTCAGTTATAGGGAAAGGGAGGGCCGCGATATTGAAGCCACATATGATGCCGTCATATAGGGTGAATACCCAAGTGCTGGGAACAGGATAGACGATGTAGAGTGATGATTTCTTGATAGTTTTGGATGCTTTTCTGGCCAACATCCATCAACATCATCTTTCTGTTGCTGAGCTTGTTATCTCATCATCACCAACATTCATTTCCTTTGATTTCTAGAAACAATATCAGCACACAATATCACCTGTGTCAATGAGCATCAATGAGGAAATTCCCATTCACTACCAACTTCAATCCTAGGGGTACCGGCGGTATATCGGTGTGTTTCGCTCCAACTGCTATTCACAACAATACGCAGCAATTCACCCAACACCAATGGGTAAATAGAAAAGCGGTCATAATCCAGGGGTCAGATACAACACCTGGTCTCTTCTTCCTGCAAACTACACAATATGATCCATCGATTACTGTGTTCGGGTTAGAGAAAACAACACAGCGGTCAATGATATCTGTCCACCTGTATAATACCCACCGTGCCCATTCAGCAGGTCGTCACAAAGGAAGAAAACAGCAGTGGAGAATAGTATGGCGGGGCCCGTTTCCTCTATGGATCCCACAAGAGCAATTTTACATTCATATTGAGAGCGAGTTTGGTCAATTGCGGATTTCACGTCAGTCACGATCCAACTCCGACACTCACTGCATTGGATTATCCTGGCGCAGCAAACGACCACTTCACTCACGAGGGCACCTCCGCCTTCTTCTTCTGCGTCACCCAGCTTTAGTATCCGTGGAGAAGATGCTTCAACCACTTATATTCGAGACCCCTTTGAATCGGCGATCCCATGTTTCCCCAAATGGGGTGAGGAGTCCACGTATGGCCAGTAGAGTATTCTGCAGCGCATAGTGCTGTGTAGCGTATCGGTATAAACTCGTAGGTGCAGGAAAACTCCGATGATGATGAAACCATGACAGAGAATGATTCGAATCCCTTATATATAGCCCATACACGCAACGTAAGCTTGTATAGAATGCTCCAGCGCCAACCATTCTAGAGTTTGCCGGGGTCGTTGAAATTGGTGTGCGCTGGTACGCATGATACGGCCGGTGGAAATCTAGTCACTTCTGGAAATTTGATATGTAAACATCGAGAAGCTGTGCAGATGGCATTATGAAATATTGGCAAGGCGACGTATCACCATTGGAAAAGAAAAAAGGCTCCCTCGATCTCTACATCCATACAGATGCAGTAATTACTTTCGTCAACAGAAAGGAATGTGCGCTAATTTTAAGCCTCGGGAGCTTGAACTTGGGCCGACGCAAACCCGCGATTCTATCATGAACAAGGATTAAGCATTGGGAGCTGGCAGATCGCCGATTGGCATGTTTTTGCGTCCAGCTGAAGTCCATTCGGGCGTCACATCAGCCACCGAGTAGCAGAGAAGAGAGAGAAGACACAGATGAAGCACGGCTGAGGGACAGCCCGGCAGTTTATCAATAGCCACCAAAGAGACAAAAGAGGCAAACCTACAGGGAGCCAGCGCCCGCTGCATCGGCAGGCCGGCAGCTTCCAGAAATCTGGGAATAATAGAGAAGAGGCAGAAAAAGCCGATACGCTGAGAGTGGCCGAGACAGTCGTTTGAATTGCTCAAGATATTGCCGTTTGAGCTTAGCGGGCGGGATAGCGCAGGTTTTGCGACAGAGTCTTGGAGGCTATTGATGGGAAACGACATGCCGTCGCGTCTAGCGCTTCTGCTGGTTCCATGAGAATTTCTGTCATGATGGCAACGGCATCCTTGACGGTTATCCATCAAATCCAAGTTCCCGATGCGGAACCAGCAAGGAACAGAAGCTTGGCAGTGCCGTTACTAGAAGCGGCTATAATTTCCAGAGGGAAAATAGAGCGGAGGGGTGTGAGATGGACGTCGCCGTCAATACTCAATTTTCAGCAAGGAAGCTAGAATAGACATGTCTGAAAGGAATCGATTCCATGTAATGCAACAAGAGGAAATTGATACGACAGACGGAAGGACAAAGACCAGTAAAAGTGTTTTGATACAAGATCAAGTGAATTGTCATTACAGGCAGGGTACTCGGTGGTGTACGCACGCGATTAGTATTTCGCTGGTACCGCCAGTATAGCCGTTGAGCGGCAGCGCGTCATATTATATACTTCGTAAAGACATTCCTAATCTGCACTCCGTTCTGGGCGATAGCTTCCTGCTCCTGCAAACTCTGTGATTCGCTCCTGCTCCGACAAGAAACACGTCACCACCCCCAGTTCCTAGTTCCTTCCTCTCCCTAGGTAGCTCCTTCTCTTGCTCAACCCTTTTCCTCGCTTTTTTCCCACTCAGCCGCACAGAGCAAGAGCAAGAGCAACGGGGGAAAAAAAAATAAAGTAAAAGTGGAAGGAAGCAAGAGATCGCCCACTTTCGGCGAGGCCCCGCTTAGGCCGGACCCCGGACCGCGGGCGCTAAACCGCTTCGGATGGTCAATACAGAACAACAATAGCAACAGACAATACCAAGCCAAGCGCCGACTAAGACGACGATGCACCCCCTCCCTTAGTTTTCGGCTCTTTTCATGGCGTACCTGTGCTATCCTGAGACCGGCAGTATCTTTCGTGCACGGCAAACTTTTTTTTTTTAACCTCGACTCTACAAGGACGGCATTTGCCTCGCGGAAGGGAGCAGCCACAATACGTAGACAATAGGCTCCTGGACGGCGAACTGCAGCACAAGGCGGCTCTGCTGAGGTCAGTTGGCCGATAGCCACGCTGATGCGGGCACCCGGAAGATGCTCCGTCCTCTAATCATGTTCTCTGCCGGTGCCTTTTGGTACGGGCAGTTGCCTATTGTGATGTGACGCAGCAGAGGAAAGCCTGGAGCTGAGCACACGATTCGAATTGCAGCATGTTAATGATACAGTATCGCTTGTACCGAGGGACAGAAGCAGCCGCACACCACCCAATAACTTGCGCATCCGCTAGCTCAATGCTGGCATTCCAGCCATGGCAGCACGGCATCTGACCCCTCACAAGAGATTTCCCAGAGGCTGAAGAATCCTTGTGATGCTGCTGCAAGGGAGGTGGTCGTACATGCAGAGCTGGCTCTTCAACTGAAACGTCGCAGTAGGATCCCGTTGACTACGTAGCCAGGACTATCGCTGTCTGGAGGAGCTTGATCATACGATCTGGCCAATGACTACGGCCAACGCTCTGCTCTCATGATGCTGCTGTTGTCTCCGGTCTGTAGACTGCCAACCGTTTCGGGCACTATCCGCTGACAATACGTACATGGAGGTACAACAGCAGCAAGGCCAACCTGACTCATGCACAAAGAAATACAAAATCTGCAGATCTGGTAACTAGATTTGGCGTCTTTCGCAGGACAATCCCAAGTCTCTGCAGCGGAAAGAGAGTTAGTAGTAGCTCAGACAGCCCACTCAATAGAACAGATTTAAAAGCCCATACAAGTAGGTAAGCGAAATAGACGGTAGGTCCAGTATCTAGCTAGATTGGTTATACAACGTACGAGGCACACGCGGGAGGCATGATGGAAGCATCAATAGCTTGCAATGTCCAGCCTGTGCCTACTACAAGCTCCGCAGATCACACCCCTCCCCCCCTTCTCAAACATGGCTTTCGGACAAGCTCAGGAAGGGGAGGGCGTGTGAATGGCTTTCCGCGTGTCCCATGAGTCTGGGTGCGCTATGCGGCATCTGCGTGTTGGGACTGGGAGCAGGGCGTGAGGCTAAGAGACCTACCCGTTTTTGCGGACTTGGGTACTAACGCATTATAGGTAATCATCTACTCTCATACTTTGCTGCTTTTTATGGGCTCTTCTTCTTTCTTTTTCTTTGTTTCATTGTGTTAAAGTAAAGTTGGGCTTCTATGGCATGCATGTGCCGTCCGTCAATCTAGCGAAACCCCAGCAGGGCCGAGAACAGTCAAAGGAGGGGGGGAAGACTGCAGCAGTAGTGCGCCTTAAAGTAATCAAAAATGAAAAAAAAAAGAGGCAGCAGCCGCAAGGGTACGTTTATACAAGTTGAGTTAAGAAAGCGAGGGAGCAGCGTGGAGCCGTGAATCAAGGTGGTGTTGCTATATTAGCCAAATGGAGCCGCGCTTGTGGATCGAGGATCCAAAAGGGGGGTGCCTTTTTTTTGACTCGCACGGTTCTCTCGGCAGGGGGAGGTTCGATCCAGAAATCAACGGCCTTGAATTCAGGTGAATGCTTGCTGACGGGGGCCTGGCTTGGGCCCAAGTCGGGAAAAGGGAACTCAGGTCAACGGCAAGTTCCATCTCTGGGTCTTTTCATGTCATGACGGGGAAACAAATGCTGTGTGGGGGGTTAGACTAGAGGAGGAGGCTAATAATAAGAGAGACAGCCGAGAAGACTGCTGTTGACAAAGGAACAAGAAAAAAAAAAGGTATATATCAGTCTTCTCGGTCCGCATCAGCAAAGGGGCTTGGTGCGTGTGCTTCGCTATCATTGCCGTAATTGTTTTTGGAAGCCTCAATCGTCACTGACGACATTTGGCCTGTGGCATCATTAATATTTGTACTACCGCCCTACCCTCCTTTTGGTTGTTGGCTTTTTTCCTTCTTTTGATTCGTTACGCCACACAAAAAGTCTCCCGCATTCTAAGCCCGTCCATTTACACCCTCTCACACACGCCATCGACCGACCCTCCATCTCGGATACATACAGGGAAGGATTGGAATTACTTCAACCGAGCACTGTGGGCGCTTTTGAGCAAGATTTATAAAATTGATCGGGGCACTCTTTTTTCATCCATCCACATACAACATATAGACCGCCGTCTCGACCCGACGAGGCTTATCGGACCGTCTTTGAGGCTTGGGTGTACTTGGATTCACAGTTCGATTCAAAGCATATCAGCGATTCACTCCCACTTTTTTTCCTTGTCATCCGATTTTCTCAAGGACTAGTCCATCCAACTTATAAGAGTTGAATCTACCCTTTACGCAACTTCTTCACATCCCTTGACACAAAACACTATATTCAACCATGAATACCTCATCCTCATCAACAGCCCTGGGCTCTTCCATGAGGAGCCACATGGACATAACCCCCAAGGACAACACTCCAACTCTCCCCTCACCTCCTCCCGCATACACTCCTCCCCAGACAGCGCCAGCACTGGCCCTGCTACGACGCCAGATGCGAGAATCCTTCATCATGGGCCGCTCGTCCATCGCCGACAGCGTGCTGGACGTCATGTCTCCCGAAGAAGACGACGCAGACGACGACGAGGGCTTCTCGGCGATTAGTCTCCGGATCAACACCTCTGTCCGCATCTCCAGCAACAACAACCTCGTCTGCCTCAACGACACGCCAGCCAGCCACGCCAACGCCATCGCCAAGGCTGTCGTCCAGGCTATCCAGGAGAACAGCTCCGGCCAGTGCGGCATCCCCATGATTGACGAAGACGGCAGGCCCCGACCTGTCAAGATTGAGGTCGACGCCGGCATCACGGTGGAGGGCTCGGGCAACATTGTGGGCAACGAGGAGGTGGTGAACCAGGTTCTTCGCATGCGCAGCCTGAGACGCAAGAGGTCAGCAGACGAGGATGAGAGCGACGATGCATCCACCCAACCAACAAAGCGACGCCATGGAGAAACCAGTGGCAGCAGCAACAGCAACAATTCTCCTTGAATCCTCGACACATCTCCTCATCAAGCGTCATACATTTCTCATCTCGGAGCACTTGTTCCTTTCTATCTTTTACGACTACCAAAAAAAAGCATCATTGCATCTGCTCTTGAGCTCTCTACTTTTGCTACGTTTACTTGCGTTTGGCTCTTGGCGTTTCAGGCATCACCGGAATCTCATATACCCAAAAGGCAAAGCGCCTTGCATATTTTCTTCTATTCGATTCTATTTCTATCTACATACTATTATGACATGAATATTTGTTTATTGGCAAAAAGGGGTGAACGATATTATCAGCGGCTAAGGCGCGAGGAGAGAACAGACCTCGACTTCGGAATGAAGCGAGACAGATCTGTTACATAACTAGATGTAGCTAAATACTATGTATACGATAATCAACATTCCTATCGCTGTCACCACATGCACTATTTACTATTATTTCTTTCACAAGTTACAAAGCACGTCCATTATACGTACACGAATCGCCTCCCATCTCTCATACTGTCTTATAGCTCAATGCAGGGCGACGTCAATGGAGTTGGCTCGCACCTACGCATCACATGCATGAAAACGAGGGAGAGCTGAAAACCCAGACCCGGTGATCACCAAGAAAAGGCCATAAAAAGCACATCATCGCTGCGGTTGGCTCTCCTCTAAGAGAAAAAAAGGCCTCGCATAACATTCTACAACGGGGGTGATATATCGTCTTGGACGGTCACCGCCACTGTCTGATTCGATTCAGCTGCGGTTGGATGTCACCCCTAGAGGCTCCGCATACCATTGCCATTCCCCTTCTTTCAGCTGTCCAAGGATCAGGGCCTCTTGCTGCCCCGAAACGAACAAGGCGCGTAGCACGGAGTAACTAGAATTAATAACCACAACTTCATATTTCTGTCTGTGGAAGAAGATGGAAGTCTCGCAGAAGCAAACCAAACGTCGACTCTTTGACCTAGGATGGTAGTGCTAGTCTAAGCTCCCCCTCCTTGCCCGTTTAAACGGCAATTGCTGTCATGTCATGTTGTTGGCTCTAGCACTCGCATGGGAAATCGAAAACAAGAGCCAGTAGGAGGTATAGCCGCCACATCCCTTTAATCTCTTTTTCCTCTCTTGGATAAGCTCTACGTTCTAAAATCCGGGAGTTGCCATGTCCGCTTGGATCATGCCGCCGAGCCACGCTTTTTAAACGCCGACGCTACTTGGAATATCGTGCAATTGGTGTTGTGTTTCTCATTACTAGTACTCTGCTAGATAGGCTTTCTTCCCACGTCTTGGCAATGGTTCATTGATACAATACAGCTGTTAATTTGTAGTAGTATCTATTTTGTAAGAAAAAAAAAATCGTGTCTTGCCCTTCATCGTCTTGTCTCATTTGTTCTTCTTTTCTTTGTTACAGGTTAATACTATGACGTCCATGAGCTGCCCCACCAGCTTACCGTCTTGGCTTGACCACCTCCCTCGTCCCTCACTGAGATCCATGCATCAACATGTTTCCAACCCTTCTCTCATTCCAATCGCATACCAAAAATCAGCCCCTGTCCATCTCTCCCCATCTCACTCTATTTTTGTAAACCTTCTCACTCACTCACCCCCCTCCCCTGATCCCAACTGCAATCTGACTCATCTCACTCGCGATGGCCGACCTCACCATCCGCAACCTCACAATCACGCCCCTCGAGCTCGTCTCCATCCAGCGCCTCCAGGGCGAAAAGATCCGCACCGGCAACCTCGTCTCCAACGTCACCGGCCGCTTCACCAGCTTCATCAACGCCACCGACTTCTCCGCCCACAAGCTGCTGCCCCGCGCCGACCACGAGCCGCATGACCAGCGCGACGTCTCCATCCACCTGGACCCTTTCCGGACCGTCCAGACCAATGTCCGCGCCGCCGATGCCGCCGGCCGCGAGATTCTCCGGCTGACCGTCCGGGCCGGCCACCGGCGCTACGAGACGGACGTGCCGAGCCCGTCTCGCAAGTCTGCCGTCATGAAGCGCATTGCTGGCGATGACGGCGACGACGACCACGAAGAAGAGCTTGACCTCACCGTCGTCTACATCCCTAACGGCGCCTTTCTCGCCATCTTCTCCTCCGCAAAGCTCAATGCCTGGATGAAGCAGCTGGACGATGCCTGGCCGCTGCCCTTCCTCTCCATCCCCGGCACGCACAACTCCCCTACTTGCCACACGGCCCTCCCCTCCGTCCGCTGCCAGTCCGTCGGCGTCACAGAGCAGCTCCAAAACGGCGTTCGCTTCCTCGACATCCGCGTCTCCGTCAACCCGGACAACGACACCCTCACGCTCGTCCACTCCGTCTTCCCCGTCTCTCTCGCCAGCACAAAGTACTTTGGGGACATGCTGGACGACGTCTACCGCTTCCTAGAGGCCAATCCCAGCGAGGCCATCTTCATGAGCCTCAAGCGCGAAGGCGCCGGCCGCGGCACCGACCAGCACCTCAGCCGCTACTTGCAGTCCAGCCATGTCGACAAGCGGCCGGAGCGCTGGTGGACGGAGCCTGTGATACCGACGCTCGGTGCTGCTAGGGGCCGCATCATTGTTGTGCGCAGGTTCGCATTGGATGACGAGATGGCAAAGACGTGCTGGGATGGCAGAGGATACGGCATAGACGGGCAGAATTGGCCGGATAACTGCGAAGACGGCACCTGTGACGGAGGCCAGATCCGCGTGCAGGACTTTTACGAAGTCACAGAGAGCCAGAACATCGAAAAGAAGATCGACTACAGCAGAGGCCAGCTGGAGCGCGCTGCCGAACGAGAGTTTCACGTCCCTAGCCTAGCGGAGCATGATGGCAACGCAGATGCTGCTGCTGCTGCTGCTAAGCTCCCCATCTTCATCAATTTCCTGAGCGGCAGCAACTTCTTCAACGCCACGTGCTGGCCGGAGAGAATCGCCGCAAAGGTAAACCCTGCCATTACCGACTATCTCTGCATCCGCCACGGCGAGGACGGCAAGGGCCCGAAGCAGCTCAAGGTTGGTGCGGCGAGCACTGGCATTGTTGTTACGGATTGGGTGGGTGCGAATGGCGATTGGGATTTGATTAGATGTATTGTTGGGTGGAATGCCAGACTGCAGGTGTCCTGAGGACGATATGAAGATGGTGGATGATGGAATCAGGGGTCTTATACCAGGTCAAGGTGGATTACACGGCGTTTATTTATTTATTTAATGGTCAACAGAACAAAAGAGGAGGCAAGTAACTGGCACGTAGTTGGATAGAGTGAATGCAGTAATAGATTCAATATTATCAATATGTAGTACTTGTACTGCACAAACACAGTCCTCTTGGGCTTCTATAGCTAGCTAGCATATGCTGTGAAACGTAGCATCATAATTCATAATGGTATCTAAGGCAGCCATGTTAGCCACGGCTCTCTCATTTCTCGTCATCAAGCAATGTTGAATAAGAAACCAGATCAGTTCTCCAAGGTGAAACTTTTTTCGTCACGTGGAACTCGGACAATGTAGATAATATGGAATAGTCATCATGCTGGTGGTGTGCAGAGAGAAAAGTAGAAACAACGTACCATTTCGTCAGCGGGAGTTGATACAACGCCTTTACCTGAATAAACACTTTGTCACATGTCAGCCTCTGCATCAACAGATACATCAAGCATATCAAGACACAAAACATGATTCATCTATCCACTGGTTAGTTACATGCTGCATCAGTCCAATATGTCGACTCGACTTACCATCAGAGGGTGTAAGTTTGTTCATATCCTCCACAGCGCCCGAAGGCATCGCGGAAGTCAGACAGTGTGAATACAAAAAAATAACATTTCATCACAGGAATACAGCAGCAAATGAGTAAAAAAGCTTTGTATATATGTACCTATTGGTGTACGAGTTAGCTGACAGATTCATCTCCAGCTTGAACAAAGAGCCGATGCCATTGAACCACGATCAGGTGACGAAATCTCATCCTGAGTTCTCACCCCCTTCCACCACAAGGATTTGTACGTCCTCGCTTTCAAGGATGAAAGGGAGCAAGGCTCGATATGTCCGCCCGTTCGTTCAATTTTTCATCATGTGGGACAGGTAGGTTGGAGGAAGAGAGTAAAAGTACCTGTTGAAAGTCTGAGTTAGCAAAACTAGCTTTGATAACGAGAGCCAACAACAAAAAGATTGTGAAAATTCTGATCAGACAAGGCTGAAACTTATAAAACACGTTATCCACATCGTATATTAAGAATGAGGAATCCCTGAGGTGTCAAATGTTCATCACACAGAATAACAGCTGCATTGAAAAAAAAAAAAAAAATCACTAACCTTTTGTTTTGCAGATGGAGACAGTTGTGGGTGGATCAAACGGGGTATTAGCCCTGCTTCCAAACCTCTAGATTGCGTTAGCAGAGCTCGCCAACAGACAAAAGCCTGGAAAAGAGGTGATCCAAAGCTTGATCAGGTAATTGTAAAAAATTACAAAGTCACCATGGTTTGGTATGAATTGGATTGTTCATGAAAATAATAGCATCATGTAAGGCGCAAAGAAAGGGAGTGTAGAATAGCTTACCTTTGAAAGAGGCCAGCCACCAGAGTTCGTGCTTGGGCGCGCACTTGCAGCTCCGAAGCAGAGCTCTGGTGGTTGTGTTTGCTGAGAAAAAAGAAGGAAAAGAAGTTGTCCAGAAAATTTCTCGAGCCGAAGAAAAGTAGGAGCTTAGCCAGCCCGCGCTAGTCCAAATACGACTTAGTTGAAGAAGCCCCCACAGTGGCGCAGCAGATCTCATTTGTGGCGAGTGCTGCAGCAGCCAGCCTGCCAGCGCATCCGCGCCCCACGATTGCGTGGCAAATGCTTGTGACGGAGTTGTATAAGTCCGTCACCTCCCTCTTTCTAGGAGATGTTTCAACCTCTTTCAACCACCTTTTGGTGAAAGTGCAATTGAAAAAAACTCAACATGGCGTCCGCGGGGACGATATGGGCTCCTGTGGCCCTGCGTCTCCTCCGAGCCGCCGTGTCTCGGACCACAGCGGTGGTTCGAGAGAAGCTGGCCAGCGCGGCGAAGCCCCTACAGAATCAGGCACTCCAACCGGTCCCGGTAGCCGCCAGAAGCGGTAGACAATCCATCCATCCAACATCAGTCCTCAAACAACAGAAATTCGGCGCCAGATACTTTTCCGGCACCTCAGCCAAAGGTGCAAGCAAGGCTGCCCGACGATACCTCAGCTCCGAGAGTGCTCCTCGATATGATCGATCCAAGCTCCCGAGCTCCAATACCTCCCGCCGAGTCGCTCAATTCTCCGGCCGTGCCCCATTTGCGAGCACTCTGCGACCCAACCTGACTGGCGGTGCCATGCCTCGAACGGCTGGTGGCTATAGTCTCGGTGGAAATGCTCGCTATTTCTCACACACCCCCACAGCTCCTGCTCAGGTTGTGCAGAATGTTTCGCAGGCGATGCGGGCCTTCTTCCTCTCCGGACAGAGAGTCCGATATGACGGAGCAGGGCCCCGAGGCGAAGCTCAATACCGAGCCGTCTCTATGGTGGAGGAGGAGGCTATGCGTAAGCTGGCCGCCATCCCCAAGTTTGCTCCCGGCGCCTATGTCGACTTTCAGTTGAGCCCAACCATCACTGCCATGAGCCCTCTTGCTGCCGCCGTTGTCCAGGCATCTACCGCATCCGGCTTCCAGGCTGAGGCTACTATCCCAAGCCTCAACACCGAGGGGTTCCTTGATGTCCTGTCCGCTGATTTTGGCCGAGCGCTAAAAGACTTGACAGCCATTTACGCCGATCTCGGACGACTTGCAGCTTTGGGCGATTTGCCAATATCTATGGAGGCGGGCAACTTGCTTCGAGTTCGATTTCCAGGCGTCAATGTTGAAACGGTCGAGAGACTCTGCGATGACATTGGTATCCAGAGGGGCATCGTTGGCCAAGAAATTGGGTTTGAAAGCTCTCTTGACGTCAAAACTGCGCTCAGATTTCCCTTTGCACCAGACGCTGAGAAAGCGTTGACATCTCCTGGAGGCTCTGAGCGGTCCTTGGAAGGACATGAACTGGATGATATATCCTCTCTGGGTGACGACTCCTTTGTTCATGAAGCCTTTGCGTATGAAAGCTCGGAAAGTCCTTGGTTTTCCGAAACAGACGGATATGAAAGTATGTCGCCCACGAATAAATCGAATCAGCAATCTGAAGAGTATGAGGGCCTAGAAGGCATCTATCGATTTCTCGAGGAATGCGACAAGGCCAAGGGCAGACTGGGTTGATGCGAGTGCAATTCTGCGTATTGCAAAAAATCATCGCAACAAGAAAATGAGGTTATGATATTAGAACATCCACGCTCTTTTAGCCATCTTCTTTGTATTATTACTATTATTTAGTCATTTGATTAGCATACTTCCGGCAAGAATGGAATTCCTTTTGTGTTTCTTACCTGTTTATGATGCCCAAACGAGATATTCTAAACCAGTGACTGTGACAGCTGTAGATCTGAAGTCTGAGCGGAAGCTGACATGCTCTCATCGAATTAAGCTGAGCTGGCCATGTTGCTTTTCGAGCTTGTGCTGGGACCAGAGGGATATGGTGGACCTTTCAACAGGTTGGTATTGGTCGAAATGTCCTGCAGGAAAAAGCCAAAGGAGAACATGTAAGCGCAGCAGAGATCGCAGCTGATGACTGAGGCCGGCTCCATGATTCTATTGGAGGCAGAAAGTGACTGGGCAAATCTGATATCTTTGGTTGCAGCACAATTGGGGCCTGCATTAGGTATTCTGCATAGGTGTATTGTCTTGGGCTTATCTTATCGCTTATCGATAAGTCTATCGGCTGATCTTATTGGCAAAGAAGCACATGCTCCAGATCCACGCAGCCACGCATGCATACATCTACATCTCATGAAGAGCATCAGTGGTGTTACTTTCTCGTGTCTCAGCATCTAGATCAATTAAAGTTCCCGTAGAGATCTCGAGACTCGTCAGATCATCTCCAACGTTTAGCGCACGCACTTCGGAGATCAATTCGCGGGGTTGCTCGGCTGCCGATGAAGTCTCCCGGCTGCAGCTTTTCCCCACAAGTGTAACCTCGGCTTGGAGCCTCTTGCGTGGCCGAGCTCATCCTCCGAGGGCGCGAGCCATCCATGCTGTTACTAAGACATTCTTTGATATAAATCTTACGGGCTTCTGCAGTTTTTCTCCCCTGCATTTGCATCTGCGTAGCTTCAATCTTCTTTTTGTAGAAAAACGTATTCACATCACAACATCACAATGTCTGGACCCGGTGTCGGCTTCGAGTATCCTGCTCAGTCAGTTTCTTGGCTGAAGCGCGATCTCCTGCTCTTCGCCAACTCCATTGGAGCCACCGCCGACGAGCTTCACTTCCTTTACGTGAGTAGCTGCAGACCTGGAAAGCATGCGAATTGTTTGGATCCAGGCGAGCAATTGAAGATTGACAGCCCATCAACAGGAACTTCACCCCAACTTTGCCGCCTTTCCTACCTACCCCGTCATCCTACGTAAGTCGCTGTCGGCGAATTATTCTCGTGCACCGCCGAAACGCCATGGATTGCGCAATCAGCTGACAAGACGGAATGAAAACAGCTTTCAAAGGCGATACGCAGGAAGTGATTGACTTCTACGCCGCCAACAAGAAGACCAAGATCCCCAACGTGCCCGACTTCGACTCCCGCCGCGTCGTCGACGGCCAGCGAAAGATTGAGTTCCTCAAGCCCCTGCCCGTCAGCTCCGCAGGCCACAAGTTCGAGATCCGCCAAAAGGTCCTCGGCGTCTACGACAAGGGCCGGCCCGGCTCCGTCGTCGACACCCAGCTGGACCTCGTCGATGCCAACACCAACGAAGTCTACACCCGCCTCTTTGGCAGCGCCTTCTATGTCGCACAGGGCAACTGGGGCGGTCCCAAGGGCCCTGCCTCGGAGAACTTTCCCCCTCCCAAGGACAAGAACCCCGACTGGGTTCTGGAGCACCCCATCAGCAAGGAGGCCGCGCACCTGTACCGTCTAAACGGCGACTACAACCCCCTGCACGCGACTCCCGAGCCCGGCGTCAAGATGGGATTCCCCGGCGCCATCATGCACGGCCTGTACTCGTGGAACTCTACTGCCCATGATATCCTCAAGGCCGTTGGCGGCAGCGATCCCGCCAACCTCAAGGAGTTCTCGGCCCGATTTGCCAGCCCCGTCCTGCCTGGTGACAAGCTTGTTATCAAGGTATGGAGAACGGGCGAGAAGAAGGACGACTTTGAGGAGATTCGCTTTGTGGTTGCCGTTGAGGGAGGGAAGGTGTGCCTGAGCAATGGTCGTGCTCTCATCAAGGTTGTGGGAGATGTCAAGGGAAAGCTGTAAATGTATAATAATGTGTGCTATTTGATGACTGATTTTAGGGGCCCGCGATGGGTCTCTTAACAAGCGATGGTGTATTGAAAAAGCTAGCATGTAGCCTAGGGAATGAAAACACATAACCAATCAATTTGCTAATTGGCCAATCAATGAAAAAGAAATTTGAAATCGAATCAGAGCAAACAGTGAAAAGTATTTAAATGATTGCTGCCTCGAATTGCAGATGCACGAGGTTGATAAATCGCTGCCTGCGTCGGGGTTAAATTCTGCTGCCTGACACAGCGACAGTCTCTACTGCGTACAAGCACTTTTTTCTCACCTATATATCCCACCACGCCTCCAACCTCACAGCTCACAGAGCGGCCGGGCATGCCTCAATCTTTATGACTGCTATTCATTCTTTTCAAGAATTTATCCATACACTCAAAATGAGCCAAAGCCACCACGTCGGCCAGCGAATTTCCTACGATGGCGCGCCGTGCACTGTGCGCTACGTCGGTGAAGTTGCGGGCACGGCGGGCAGCTGGTTGGGCGTCGAATGGGATGATGCCGCGCGAGGCAAACACGACGGCGCTCACAAGGGCACCCGATACTTCACATGTAGCTCACTCCTCATTTTTGTGTGATTTATACGTTGATGCGCTGACTCGATACAACTACAGGCCTTTCAAAGTCGCCCACGGCGGCTTCATTCGTTCGGCCAACCCGCCCGGCTGATGCCCCCCTGAGCTTCCTCGCCGCCCTCAATGAGAGGTACGTCGTGGATGCGCCGGGTGCGGTGCAGGGCAAGTCAAAGGTCGAGTTCATCGTTGGTGGCAAAGTCGCCCAGGAGATGGGGTTTGACAAGATCTGGCAGAGACAGTCGCGTCTGAAGGAGTTGAAGATTGTGGTTCTCGACGGCCAGAAGGTTGCCATGGCCAGAAGTGACGACGACTTGAATGATGAGGGGCTTGCTGCGAGCATTGCTGAGACGTCACCCAAGGTTGCGGAACTGGATTTGAGTAGGAATCTGTTTGAGCGGCTTGGGCCCGTGATCGAGATATGCAGAGACCTGAAGGATCTGCAGAAGCTGTGCATCAAGTACGTTTTTCTCATTACTTGCACAAATGTCCTACTATTATGCTGATTTGAGTCCTCTCTTTTTTCTGTTCTCTGCAATAGCGGAAATAGGTTTCTTGATATCCTCACAGATGATGCCCTCAGAGGCGCAGAGTCGGTCTTTGGCGGTGTGACGGAGCTGCAGCTAGGAGAGACGTTGATGAGCTGGGAAGAGTTGTGTCTCGTGGCCAGCAAATGCCCTTCCTTGGCGACTCTCCTCGTAGGCTCAAACCAGCTATCGAGTCTTCCCATTATGAGCCACGCTGGCCTGCCATCAACACTAACAGCTGTCAATCTAGAGTACAATGATTTCACAAGCTTGTCAGATATCGCCAGCCTGACGAATTTGAAATCTCTCCGCCATCTACAACTCAAGGGAAACAACATATCAGCGATAAACTCTTCCCCTGACGCTACTGATGTCATGTTTCCTCCCTCCGTACAACACGTCGATCTATCATATAACAAGGTAGACAGTTGGGAGTTCATTGACAAACTGCCGGCTGTCTTCCCCGGCATGACAGGCCTTCGCATCAGCCACAACCCCATCTACTACTCCATAGATGCCGACTCCAACGCGCAGTCTTCTGATGAATCATTCATGTTCACCGTCGCTCGCATTGCACAGCTCAAGATTCTCAATTTTACACAAATCATTGCCACAGATCGCACCAATGCGGAGACATTCTACCTATCACGTATTGCAAAACAGCTTGCCACAGTACCCGAAGCAGCAGAAGATTCAATCAAGGTTTTACATCCACGGTACAAAGAACTCTGTGAAGCGCATGGTGAGCCTGATGTGATTCGTCGCGAGGAGATCAACCCAAACTTTCTCGAGGCCCGTCTCATCACGGCCGAGTTTCACTACGAAGGGGCTTCAGATGAGGGAAAGAAGACGAGAATCACAAAGATCCCCAAGTCTTTCGATATTTACGCCGTCAAAGGCATTGTGGGGAAGGTGTACAGCCTGGCACCGCTCAAGCTGCGGCTGATCTGGGAGACGGGTGAATGGGATCCCGTGGCCGGATTTGACGAAAAGGACGATGACGATGATGGCAGCGACGACGAAGATGAGATTATGGCAGAAGCGGAGATGGAGGCGGAGATGGAGGCGGAGAAACCGGCAGCAAGCGGTGAAGATGATCAGGCAGGACGATGGGTGAAGAGAGAGGTTGAGCTCACGGATGGTCCGAAGCAGCTGGGATACTGTGTTGACGGGTCAAGAGTCAGAATTAGAGTAGAAGCATAGCGACGGGGCTAGACATTGGATAGAATTATATGGAGCATGGGCAACAAATCAGAAATCAGTTCCATTTATTTTTTTTTTCAAGTGCCCGGCTCAAATAGTATTGGGGCAACATCATTGGAGCAAAATTTCTACAGACGGACAAATTCTTCAGTTTCGAGACGGCATAGATCATCTTCTTTGGTGTATCAAACGTCGGCTCGGAGCAATAATGAGTCCTACCTATTCATGCAAGGCGTAAGGCGCACAAAAGGAGCTGCTTAAAAGATGTTTGGAGCGAAATTCCCCGAGCAAGCCCCAACGTAAGATATATGCTTATTTGCAGGTGTCCACCCATCGACTCTCCCCGCACGGAAGGGGAACTCCGTTGGTTACCATGATTGCGGACTTGCAAGTCTTGGCAAAGAGAGAGCTGAAGAGGATGTCGTGAGAAGAGGAGGGGCATCGAAGTGAAGCCTGCAATGAACAATGTAACTTGAAACGGTACCGGCATGCAGGTCCGGGTGAATGGATATAGATGGACCAAAAGATATATATATATGAACATTAAGACCTGAACAGCAATTTAGTTTTGTAGATACTTCCATCTCCATCATCCAACAAGCAACCCAAGATGCTCCTCACAACCACCATCGCAAGCTGCCTCCTCGCAGCCTCCGCCTCGGCCACGACCCTCCAATGGCACTGGCTCAACAACCCCGGTGTCCAGCCCGTCTCCCCCCTCGGCCGCTCCATCACCATCCAAGTGCCCCCCGACACCGACGTCTGGCGCCCAGCCACGCGCAAGAACAACTTCACAGCGCCCTACCTCTACACCACCGTCGCCGCCGCGCGCTTCTCCAGCGTGCAAGTCACCGTCACCGCGCCCTGGAAGACGCTCTACGACCAGGGCGGCCTCGTGCTCGCCTTTCCCAACCGCCACAGCCCCAACGCCACGCGCTTCATCAAGGCCGGCATCGAGTTCAACGACGGGGCGCCCGCGCTGGGCGTCGTCGCAACGGACATCCTGTCCGACTGGAGCCTGAGCCCCATCACGGAGAAGCAGACGACGGCCAACGCAGAGGCGACCATATTGGTGGAGAGGCAGGATACGGATGCCTGGGTGTATGTGCTTGAGAATGGGGGACAGACGAGGCGCGCGCTGAGGCAGGTGACTTGGGCGTTTAACGAGGACGATGCTCAGGGACTGGCGAGGGAGGTTGAGGTTGGCATCTACGGCGCGAAGCCGACGGAGGAGTCGGGCGCGGGTCATGCGCGGGACACGATTGCGGTGACATTTTCCGAGTTTGCCCTCAATCTTGTGTAATGTAGATTTTGTAGCGGTGATCACGATATTGTTGTCAATAGTGTAGGTATGCAATTGGCATGTCGCGCAGCTGGGACTTGCAAACTCCATATCCGAAAGGCGAGACGTGGGTTAACCCCGCCAGAACAGCGACAGTGTTTGCGACATTATAGCCATCCCTCATGAAAACACCATATTCATCGAAACCCAAATCAATCAGGCCAATGTTGTAAATGGGATTAAGCATCTACTCGGCAATGGAGATAATTCAGCCCAAAAGACCCAAAGACGGCTCTCGGAATCGCGAGATCCCCTGCCCTGGCCTAAACCCTTCGGATCGGATCGCCAATCTGCAAATCTCGGGTTTCCTCTATTCTGGAGATAAAAACTAATCCCGTAGCGGGCTTGTCAAGAATTTAGAGTAACGGAAAGGGCATAGAGTTTAGTGCTGGTTCGGATTTTCGAAGCGCCACGCTGCTGGAAAATGCTCGCTTCGGAATAAAATGCATTTTGGGAGACCTCATAAAGCCGATTGCCTAAACGGGAAACCGCCTCTACACACCCATCTTAACGCCATCAATTTCCGAATCGCGAAAAGAGACAGTGGTGTGAATAGATGGATAAATAGAGAGCTGAAGATTTGCAAATCATGAGAAAAATATTTTGTGCATCATCAAACAATTCAAGTTACAACTTTGAAAGAGCTCTTTCGCTTTCACAACACTTTGTTTCTAATACAACAAACCACTATAAGCGTCCAACTCCAAAATGGCCACAGTTATCAACAAGAGCGTCGGCCCCATTGGCTACGGCCTCATGGGTAAGTCTAATAGTTTGAACGCCTAACATCTACGCAACAAATCACGTTACTGACACCTCTTCTCTAGGCTTCACCTGGCGACCTGAGCCTCCGCCATTGGACCAAGCCATTGCCGCTCTGAAAACCGCCCTCAGCAACGGCATGACGCTCTGGAACGGCGCAGAGTTCTACGGCCCGCCCGAGTACAACTCCATGACTCTCCTCAAGGCCTACTTCACAAAATACCCTGAAGACGCCGACAAAGTCACCCTCATCATCAAGGGCGGCGTGGATCTCAAGACGTTAAAGCCCGACGGAAGCCCAGACAACGTTCGAAAATCTCTCGACAACATCATCAGCCAGCTCGGCGGCACCAAGAAGCTCGATCTCTTCAGCTGCTCGCGGAGAGACCCCAACACCCCTCTAGACGTGACTTTTGGTGTTATTCAAAAGGAGTACATCGACACGGGCAAGCTAGGCGCCATTGCGCTTTCGGAATGCAACGCCAATACAATCAATGAGGCGGCAAAGATTGCAAAGATTGGCACCGTCGAGGTGGAGTTGAGCATCTTCACGCCGGATATCCTCAAGAACGGCGTTGCTGCCGCGTGTGCCCAGCACGGCATCCCCATCACCGCATATTCTCCCATCGGACGAGGAGTAAGTCCTATACACACCACCCCAAACGCATGCACATAGCTAATACTCAAATGATAGATCCTCACCGGTCGATTCAAAGAGGTCACAGACCTCCAGCAATTCGGCTACATCGCCACCTTCCCGCGCTTCCAAAAGGCCGCCTTCGAGCACAACCTCAAGCTCGTCAACCAGGTCGAGGCCCTCGCCAAGGAAAAGGGCTGCACCCCAGCCCAGCTCGCCGTCGGCTGGGTTCACAGCCAGAGCAACCGCCCCGGCCTGCCAACCATCATCCCCATCCCCGGCGCGACAACCGCGGCACGAGTGGAGGAGAACTCCCGGGTGGTCAAGTTGACGGAGGAGGACATGAAGAAGATCAACGACATCATTGAGTCATTTGACGTTGCCGGCGAGCGGTACCCTGACGGCGCGCCGAGGAACACCTAGATGAGTGTCCCTGTTGGCAAGTATTCTAAGCCATGCATTTGTTAGCAGTCGCACAGTTATTTGTATACATGTGTAGATTAATGTATTATGAATTTGAAAAGATCAGGGGTGAAATTGTCCACAGTCGACCGTCTCAGTTTAAGAAACCAAGATGGCCTTGAGCATTGCAGAATTCATCGAGATGAATACATCATGAGACATGAATTACGAAAAATAGGGTGTTGAATTGTCATTGAATTAAACTTACCAGACAGGCATCATTGCTCCCTTATTGCGCTTTTTACGCGTACATGGCAGATACACCAAATGCCGCGTGGCAAAGAGAAGAGCATCTGAGTAAGGAGGAAAAAGGCATCACGTCGTGCTAAAATATCTTCCTCGACGGAGACCCACGACGCTAAAGAAAGTGGGTATGGCCCTGAATCCGTCCATCAGTATTCCGGGTCTCATCTTACATAACCACATCAAAGCATACCGAAATACACGTCAAACCGGCAATTTATTGTCTCCAACGCCTCTTCTGTCTCGCACATTTCTAGGGGTATACATTATCATCTCACCTTCATCAATCATTACACAGACCAAGGATCGTAAGGAAAAAGATTAATGTGCCATGCACGCCGGTAAACCAAAGAAAAACAAAGATGCTAGACAATCATCGCTCCATTCATGCCCACGGCCTCCACCCTGTTGACCAGCTTCTTGACATTTGCCCATTCCTCATTCTTGAGTCCTTCTTTGCCGCCCAGGCCGCTAGCCACCTCAAAGACTGTCAGAGAGCCGTCAATGCCGCCGGTTGCGATGCGTTTGCCGTCATTGGGTTCCCAGGCCACCTTGTTCAAGCTCTTGGAGAGCATCGTCCTGCCATCTTGCCGGCTGCTTGGCGTTATTCTGGATACCGGCTCTTCCGTATCAATTGCGATATCCCAGAATTCCAACCAGCCAGCGCCATCTACCAGAGCAAAGACGCTGGGTTTCACGGGTGACCATTTAGCATCGTAGACCACGTCCTCGCGAACAAAGTCAATCAGTGGCGATACAGCACCATCCCCGGCACCAATAGTCGAAGTGGCCGCAGGAGCACGAATCTTCCAAAGCTTCACGCTCCAATCAAGAGACGACGAGATGGCCAAATCGCCGAGATCCACAGGGCCCCGGGCGGGATGGAAGTCAACAGACATGACAGGGGCCATGTGTCCCTTGTAGCTAATCTTCTTATCGACACCGGCCTTGGCGCCGGCACGGTCATATCTGTGGCAAGGGAATATAGTTCCCTCCTCGCTTCCTACGAGGAAGAATGTTGGGTCGGTCTGAGGGAACGAAAGGCATGTAGGGCTGACATCCTCAACAGCCACTTTAGCCTGACTGGGATTCTTCAGTTCGAGCAGCTCTTGCGGTTGTGCAAACACATCCATGCTCCAGCCGCAAACGACACCGTCTGTAGAGCATGAAATAATGTTGTTGGCGTTTTGTGTACCCACAATATCAACAGAGTAGATCGGGTGGGCGTGGCCGTAGCCAGTCAACGGAGTCTTCTGGACTGGCGCAGCCTTTGCTCGAGTATCCCACAACAGAACCTGGCCACTGTACGAACCACCAATAATGAGGTTTGGGTGATATGGCGAAAATTTTGCGGTGAGAATGTCCGACTGTGCGGTAAAGACGTACTCTGGTCGGTTATGCATATGAATATTCCACACCTGGACAAGCCCATCCGGCTCGTGAGGTGCTGTCGGGTTTTTGGTGTAGGAAGCGAGCACCAGCTCGTTGAATTTGGGAGAGAAATCAATCCCGCTAATCATTCGTTTTTTAGACCAACGATCATCATAGAATTGTGTCACCTCCTTGACTCTATGCCCTCCTTTTCCTCCCGTATTTCCACTCTCTTCATCCTTGTCCTCGAGGTCTTGGCCATGCAAGGCATAATCTGTAAGAATATCATATGTCTCTTGATCTAGGGCTCTCTCAATCACTTTGGTCGACTGCTCCAGGAAATCCGCGAATTCGTCCGAGTGGGTAACAGCCTCGAGTTCTTCGGCAGTAAGCTCTCTGATTGGATAGTTGGTTGTTGAAAAAGGCTGTGTCCCTGCAGCACCTTCGCCCAAAAGCTCTTTGGTCGCTCGCAACTCTTCTTCCACTTCCAGTCTAATCTTCTCACGCAGCTCCTCCTCTCGGTCCCGTTCCTTCCTGCTCAGCCTCTTGTTGGGTGTTGACGTCGGTCCCATGAAGTCATCTGTATCGGAGGCTATCGACTCGTCTCTTGTCCTATCAGGGAGTGTCCATTCATCTGTGGTTTGTACACCTTTGCTGTATGAATAGACCTCCTTCACAGGAGAGGGTGGACATTCATATACGGTTGTCAAGGGAACGGTAGTCAGGTTCAGCGCCACAGGTGTAGGGCCTGGGGTAGTCTGCCCGCCTTGTCCAGCCATGGAAGTCGTCCATTCCGACGTCACATTGCTGATTTCGCCGCCGCTGAGAACACTATTCGGCCTGCTCCCACGAGGCGCCGGTGAGCCAGGGGGTCCTGTCCCAATTGAGCTGGGCCTACTACTGCCAACTAAGCTGTCAATGAGGGACTCGATCTCGCGGCGACTGTCTGCTCGTCCTGGCGTCGGTGATACTAGCTGCTATGCAACTGGCGATTAGCGGATCCGAAGCAAGCTGCAGACCAGGGAAGAACAAACCTCGTTGGGAGAGCTCATACCAGTGCGGGTGTATACCGCCTGGGTTTGGTTCTGAGAGGCCCGAAGCTCTCTCTGGCGCTTAAGCTCTGCGAGCTTCGCCTTCTTGGCAAGAATCTCATCTCGTCGTTGCTGCATCGCGATTGTCCCACAGTCCCATTGCGGGACGCACCAGATATAAGGGGCGAGGCGAGATGCGAAAGGAGAAGAGGGAGGTCAAGCCACGGCGCCACGGGGGGGGTATGGCAACAGGCAGGCCACGATCTAGGAGGGCGGGGTTCGAGAAGAAAAGGGCTTGCAGAAGGAAAAGAGCGAGCGAAGCGATTAAAAGTATTTAAACAAAGATATTGCGAGCCATGCGCCCACCTCGTTTGTCTATTGATACTCCGTACACCGTAATATTAATGGCACTGGGACTAAATCGTAGCGCCTGCATCGCCAATATGCCATTCAGAGCTTATCGCGTTGCAGCTGGATTGCGGCCAGCACGTGACATTCGCAGGCCCAGAGGCTAGAGCCACGCCTGTAGCAGCGGCATTCCGGGGCTGGAAAAACTGCGACTTTTCCCGAGGACATTTTTCAAATCTTTGTCCCCAGCCGACGCAACAATTCCCTCGAGCCACCGTCGACCAGGGTTCAGCGACGGCCATTGTCGAGCCCCCCAAATTCGCCCTCACTCCTCGAATCCTGCTCCCTGCAGCCGCGCGACGTGCGAACATCAAACATCACCATGTCGTCAACAGGAGTCAACGTACGTTTGTCTGGTCTAAACCTCGCAGTGCCCAACCGCACGCCGCCGTCCCGCATCGGCCTCGATCTTTGCGACAGCCGCGTGCAATTGGGCCCGCTCGCTGGGCGGCACAATTCTGATTGATTCTCTTCCAGGTCTTCCGGTGGTCCGCCCTCGCCTTTGGCGTGTTCTACGGCTTCTCCCACCAGCGCACGATCACCACAACCCAGCGAGCTCAGCACGCGCAGCACGAGTATGAGCAGAAGCAGAAGCTGATAGATCAGGCCAAGGCGGAATATGCAAAGAAGAAGAACCCTTCTGTAGCATCAGCAGACGATGGTACGCACAATCGCGCAGCCACATGGCATATGCTCTGTCTCTCTCCTTTCAGTCCAGCGGGGCTACTCTGCAGCTTTCCAACGGGAAAAGGAGGAGTGGAAGCGCATGCTAGGAATTTGGCCAGCAAAAAGCTAACTCTTTGGGAATAGTTGTTACAGATGTCAACAGCCCGAATTTTGACCTCGAGAAGTTGCTAGAAAAGATCTCCAAGGAAAGCCCTTGACGTAACTGAGGAATAACGTGGGCCGATGGAGGGGTGAGGAGCGGGAAAATGGTCGTTGGAGAAAAAAGGATGCTGGCGGACGAACAAAATATGACCGTCACGGAAACCCAAAAGCCTCACGAGGCATAATCAGGACACCGCAGACTGCAAAGGCAGTGTATACTTGAAACTACACATGGCGCCGCTGCATAGAGGTTTCGTTGGGTCATTTGTTCTGGTGAACTGTACTTGTAAAAATATGCGCATTTAGACGTTTCAAAGTTAAAAAAGAAGAGTTACCACATTGCAAGCTATGCTTTGAGAAGGTGTTTCGACGTTTGAGCGACCATCAATTGCACCTCGCAGAGCATGATGTGGCTCCAAGCAGCTTCGAGGTGGAACGATAACACTCGCGCACCAGCGGAGTTTTTTCTTTAGCTCATTTCGTCTTTTTTTTCTTCTCGCTTCACAAACAAGGGAAATCAGCAACAACCACGACAGTGAATATGAACTGCTGCTCCAAGGCGATTCTCGATGCAGACTAGATTACACAGCACTTCTACAGCTTCCGCCACGATTCAATCCCGTTCCCACTTTTACAATTGGCGCAGCGCAGCGTTTTGGCGATGTTTCGTGGGATGGGCAATTTGATGATTCGGGAAAACACCGGCGCGCGCCGGCCCCACAATCTCTTGACATACGTAGCACCTTGCTGTAAGCTCAAGCTGTCCTCACCACGTCTCAGCGTGGCTTCTCAAGGTAAGGTACGAAGCATCGCCATCAACCTTCAGGAGAGCCACAATGGCGGTCGAAACCCCCAAAGGGCCCGCCTTGGGCTACACCACCGAAAGCACCCGGGCGCTGTTCCGGGTCGTCATTCTCTGCTTCATTGCGGCCGCGGCTATTGCGAGTCGTTTGTTCTCTGTTATACGTAAGTCGCTGCTGTTCTTTATAGCTGCCATTCTGCGATGTGGAGGCCATTGCGGCGCTCAATCGCAATTGTGGTGGCGTTTTATGCTGAAAGCTAACGGTTCGCCTTTAGGATTTGAAAGTATCATTCACGAATGTCAGTGAATCCGCTCTCGCTCTCTACGTTGGAGCGCATCGACTTGTCGACTTGTCTTGCCCAATAACACAAAGCTAACCAACCCATCTAGTCGATCCTTGGTTCAACTTCCGAGCAACCAAGTACCTTGTCGCAAATGGATTCCACAAGTTTTGGGACTGGTTTGACGACCGAACATGGCATCCTCTCGGTCGAGTCACCGGAGGCACCCTGTATCCCGGCCTGATGGTCACCAGCGGTGCCATCTACCACGCTCTCAAGACGCTGACAGTCCCCGTCGACATTCGCAACATCTGCGTTCTCCTTGCGCCGGCCTGCTCAGGTCTGACGGCCTTTGCTACATATCTCTTGACCAACGAAATGACTACGTCGCCATCTGCAGGTCTTTTGGCGGCCATCTTCATGGGAATTGCGCCCGGTTACATCTCAAGATCCGTTGCCGGCAGCTACGATAACGAGGCCATCGCCATCTTCCTTCTCGTCTTCACCTTTTACCTGTGGATCAAGGCTCTCAAGCTGGGTTCCATGCTCTGGGGAGCCCTCTGTGCCTTGTTCTACGGCTACATGGTGGCATCTTGGGGTGGATACGCTTTCATCACCTGTCTCCTCCCTGTGCACGCTCTGACCTTGATCTGCATGGGCCGATACAGCTCTCGTCTCTATGTCAGCTACACCACCTGGTACGCGCTGGGAACATTGGCCAGCATGCAGATTCCTTTTGTCGGCTTCCTCCCCATAAAGACTAGCGAGCATATGCCCGCCTTGGGTAGGAACTATATTTACCCTTGATAGAACCGGGAACTCTTGTCTCTAACATCGCTTGTATAGGTATTTTCGGCTTCATCCAGCTTATTGGTTTTATCGAGTATGTACGATCTGCCATTTCTGGACGTCAATTCCAGACCTTCCTTGTCACAATCCTCGTGGCAACGTTTGGCCTGGGTCTGCTTGGTCTTGTTGGTCTTACTTCTTTGGGCTACATTGCCCCCTGGAGCGGACGATTCTACTCTTTGTGGGATACCGGTTATGCTAAGATCCACATTCCCATCATTGCCTCTGTCTCTGAGCATCAGCCCACTGCTTGGCCATCCTATTTCTTTGACTTGAACTTCCTTGTCTGGCTCTTCCCCGCTGGTGTCTATCTGTGTTTCCAGGAGCTCAGGGATGAACACGTCTTTGTCGTTGTGTATGCCCTTTTCGGCAGCTACTTCTCTGGTGTCATGGTGCGTCTGATGCTCACGCTCACGCCTGTCGTCTGTGTTGCCGCTGCCATGTCAGCCTCTCAGATCCTCGACACATACCTCAGCTGGAAGTCGGTTGTTCCCGCTGAGGAGCAGGAAGCACCAAAGAAGGTAAGGGGTGGTCTCCGCGGCGTTGAGAAGCCTAATGTCGGCATCTACAGCCCTCTCACCAAGGTGCTGGTGTCCGGATCTATCCTCGTCTACCTCTTGATGTTTGTCTCACACTGTACCTGGGTTACGTCAAACGCCTACTCTTCACCGTCTGTTGTCCTTGCCAGCCGTATGCCTGATGGAAGTCAACACATCATTGATGATTATCGGGAGGCTTACCAATGGCTGCGCCAAAACACCAAGGAGGATGCCAAGATTATGTCCTGGTGGGATTACGGCTACCAGATTGGTGGCATGGCTGACCGACCTACACTCGTCGACAACAACACCTGGAACAACACCCACATTGCTACCGTTGGCAAGGCCATGAGCTCAAGGGAGGAAGTCAGCTACGAAATCATGAGACAACACGAAGTTGACTATGTTCTTGTCGTATTCGGCGGTCTCTTGGGCTACTCTGGCGATGATATCAACAAGTTCTTGTGGATGGTCCGTATTGCCGAAGGCATCTGGCCTGACGAGGTCAAGGAGCGAGACTTTTTCACTTCTCAGGGCGAATACCGTGTCGATGAGGGCGCAACTGATACAATGAAGAACAGCTTGATGTAAGTGAAAAATTAAGCGACGATTGCAACAAGTCATCGATGCTAACAACAAAACTAGGTACAAGATGTCGTATTACAACTACGCCTCTCTGTTTCCTCCGGGACAGGCCGCTGATAGAGTCCGACAAGTCCGAGTCCCAGACCAGGGACCTGTTATCAATACGATTGAGGAGGCTTATACCAGCGAGAACTGGATTATCCGCATCTACAAAGTCAAGGATCTTGACAACATTGGTCGTGATCACGTTAATGCTGCTGCCTTTGAGCGCGGCCAGAAGAAGAAGAAGCCCACGAAGAAGAGGGGCGCCAGAGTGCTTCGCGTGGATTAAAAGGGTTGGATGTGTTTTTTCACGGATAGGTATCTGAGGGAGGCCGATAGAAGCCAGATAAAAAAAAGACATGGCTCGAGTGCTCCTATATATCTAGACAAAAGTTAGTCTAGAATGTATATCAATTTCATGTTTTGAAGAAAATTATGCGAGATTTGTCAGAGTAAACCTTGATCACGAGCACTATTAATGAGGGCAGTAATGTATGTTCGCGATTCCATCATCATACAGCATTTAGATGCTATCAATTCGCTCAGTAAATGCACGAGTTATTCCATTCAGTCTTTTCAATTGATCTCTATCAAACTGTCACCCGGGTATCGATTGACAAACTGGCAGCTGCAGCAGCATAACCGGATGGACTTTCCAGCTGGCGTGCCCCATGACCATAACACGCAAAATGGCACGAGACGCGCCTTCATCCCATGTCGTGTCATGCTTTGTTCAGTTCGGCTTCACTTTCTGTTTATTTCAACTCAATTTCACTTTTCACTCATATGGCCGTTGCACTTACTCCCCTTTATCCCCCCTCTCTCTCCTCCTCTCTTTCTTTTCTTTCTTCTTCTAAAATCTAATTCCGTTCTCAATCACTCAACTTTCTTGTCTTTTCTTGTCTTTTTCTTCTTTTTTGATTCTCCATTACCACCCTCTCTTCCATCTCCTTTCCACCCTCAATCATCGCTTTCCGTCTATTGAACTTCTCTCTCACATCTACGCCGTTGCCATCTCACCTGTCGATTCAGCTACCATGGGTGGCAGCAAGAAAAATCGACGCAAAAACCCAACCGACGACGGCGGAGTTGATCTTCTCAGCCTTGCTTTCAATCTGCCCACACGCCGCGACATCGAGCGTGCAGATAGAGAAGCTGCCCAAGTTCAGTCTCACTCGCAGAGTATCAAGATTCAATACGACCCAGGCGATGAATCGAGTGACAATGAGTCGCTGTCGACACTCGATTTAAATGCCAGCAAGCCGAGCACTGAAGAAGCCGACGAGACCCCAAAGGCGCAAAAGTCGTTCAAGATTCGCTCCCAACGTCAATTGAAGCCACAGGAGCGTATCTTCCAGCGCTCTTCTCCCAAACAGAAGCCAAAGAGAATTGATGCTGAGCCGTCACCTACCCGTCGAACTTCAAAGCGAGACTCCTCCAAGGCTCGTGAAAGATCCTCTTCGAGCCCAGCCACTCTCAGAACTTCTTCACCTGCTTCTTCCATCCCATCATCAGCTACTTTCCCCCGGCTCACCTCCAATTATTCCCAACCGCAGTTCTACCAACCCGTGTTTGCTTTTCCTGCGGGCTCTGCGTATCCCCCGGCACAATATTATTCAGCCTTGACCAAGGCTGATTCTGCCTCTGATGCTATTCAACATGTGCCTTTTCCTGTGTACACACTGGCCCCTACAAACATGCCCAAACCCCACCAACCTAGCTCAATTTCTCAGGAGGTTCAACGCATTCAGAGCAAGCTCGATGGAGTGGTGGTAAAGCTCTCGAAACACCCAGAAGATGCCACCTTGAGAAGTGAGCTATCCGCTTTGCAAACAGAGCTGAATACTCGATTGAACATGCTGCTGGGCATGGTGCCTCTGAAGGAATCGAACATGTCCGAAGGCTCTGAGCTTCGCGATTCGAAGACAAAGTCCAAAAAGCTTACGACTCAATCCCAGCCTGTAGTTGCTCAGAGAGAGATGAGTCCAAAGAGAAAAATGCGCCACCATCTTTGCACGGGCTGCGGCAAAGTTCGCTCTTCCAACTATCACACCAAGCACCCTATTGTCCCGGGAGGCAGGCCGTCTATGAATTACTGCGAAGACTGTTTCGAAGAAAACGTTGAGGATGGAGCTTTAGACTATCATTTCTGCTATGGGTGCGGAAATGTCAGATCCAAAGAATTTCAGCAAAACCACCCAACCTCGAAAGGCGAAAGGCCCTTTCCCAACTATTGCTCGGTCTGCGTGGAGGAAATCCGATCTGCCGAGGCCATCGCAGACGTCTCCATGGTTGATTTTGTGAGTAATTTGTTTCATATAGATTTGAAGACGTGGAATCGGAATTAATGTAATCATCTCAGGCTCCTAGTCGTTCCCACAAGAACAGCTCATATACTGATTCTACCCGCAATCACACTCGAAATGGTATGCCCGCAAAATCATTGATTTCAGGGCCGAGTTTGGAAAAACATCAGGATAAATTGGATACTTTGCTTTTCTCAGCTCATCCAGACGGTAGCAAGGCTGTTGGCTCTCCCGAAGCAAAGAAAATTCCGCAACCGCTGAAGCTTTCGACAAACGGCCCTCAGCTCAGCCCCTCGAACTCCTCGCCTGATTCGCCCTACTATCCAGTTCGCAACACTGGATCATCTCAGAGACGGGCAGAGCGAAGTCCTCTAACTAGCCCAGGAAGTCAATATGGCAGCTCTCCTAACACTCCAACAACGCCGAGATACCAGCCCCCTTATGTCGAAGATATTTTCTCACCTATTCAACAAACAAGCAAGCTGCCAACAGATTACCGAAGTTCCTCCAAATACTCTCCTTACGGCCGCCAGGGGGATATTTTCCATTCAGTGGCACCTGAAGACGGACGAGAATCAGTTGCTCACTCCGAAAAAGCCCCCCGCTCTGATATATCCGAAGAAGCATCCGATAATTCTACGGAGGGGCACACTTCCACTGATGGTTCAGCCCAATCCACTGGAAGCAAAAGTGTGAAATTCAGACCAAAAGTCGACGTTCGTCTTTCAGACTCTCGCGCGTCAAGCAATGCCACTTCGCATGCCAAGATTCTTGAGGAAGATATCAAGCCCAACGAGGAGACTATACCCAGTCGCGTGGGTATATTTGGAACTTCGCCAAAGAAGTCACAGACTGGCTATTATGCAAGAACGCAAGAGCCTCACAACTCTGCCTCCTTTGCAGGAGAGGATGGGTATAGCGAAGCTATCCCTGAGAGAGGTTACAGAGGAGCTTTCTCTAAAGACAGCCCTGCAAGTTCTTGGCTGCCCCCTCTGTCTGGTGCCAGTGGAGACCATTGGTACTCGAGTCCTTTTGCATACCAATCGACCACGTCGCCTGCCATGGATGGCTACACAGGCTTCAAACCAGGTGGAAAGTCAACCTTCAACTATGGTTCTAGCGGCGGCGTTGGGAGTGAAACCGGTCGGCCGCCTCTACGTGCCACTCGCAGTGCCTTTAATACAGCAAATGTCAGCACAGCGGCGGCTTTTTCAGATGATGGAGGAGAGCGGGACTCACAAAGACCTCCTCCTTCCCCGACTTCTAGCTCGCAAGCTCAAGGATTCCCAGAGCCGTCAAGCAACCGTTGGGAGAGCTATACGTCGCCCTACGCGGGAGGACCAAGCACCCAGTCCTCCTTCAGAAAAGGATCACCTTGGAATAATTTCCCTTCTCGATTTGACTCTGACTGTTACACAATGCAAGATGACTCTTCATTCAGCCAAAGCGCATTTAGTGACTACTCTCAACCCAGTAGTAACCCTTATTATGAGCCTCGCAAACGCCCCTTTCCGAATCTGAATGATTATTGCTCTTTTGGCACTTGGGCACCGCGCATTCCAGGCAAATGGGCAAAAGATTATCAGAGCACAGCAAAGCCTCCTAAGCAAACGCCGTACTGGATCCCTGAGCCCATCATTGAAGAACCAGATTCTCCTGAGAGCTCGCCGGGCAAGCGAACCAATATGCTCGGTAAGTTGATACGCATGGACGATGCTATCTTGCTCCAACGCTAACTATTCACAGAATTTGATGAATTTGATATTTCTCCTGTATCTTCCAGCAACGTCTCTAGTGTACTCTTTCCTGATTTGGGAAGCTTCGCGGATCACGAACATCAATCAGATGATGACTCTGACAAGGAGAATGCGATCAGCAAAAGCAGCCGCGAGACCTCATCTTTCGACTAGACTTCCGACATAAATGCGAAGTCTTTATATGTAAACAACAATTTTTGCTTTTCAACGACTATTTCTTTTGTTTTTCCCACTAATAATTGGCAATTGTTACCAAGGACGGATCACGCTTTATTTGTATAACTTTTTTGACGCGATTTGGGAACAATGTTTATGACAGGCCGAAGAACCGGATTTATGGCCTTTTATGCGTTGGTTTTTATGAGTTTTTCTTTTGTATTTGTACAGCCGGAAGGTTTTAGATCTTGCTGTTTCCTTCTTATTTTCTTTTGTTTTCCCCTTTTCTTTCCTATTCGTCTCTGTTCTTTTGTTTCCTTTTAGATTTGTACCATTGCTTTTATTGCGGCGAAGAGAGTTGATTAATCCACCATGTGGAGGAAAGACGGTTGGAGGGAATGATGGACAAGTGGCAGATCGATTGGCTGTCATCTGGTTCACAATTAGCTATCTGGGAAATCGCGGTCAGTCAGCGCCGGGGAGCAAGGAACTAAGAAGATTTCGATTTGTAGTTGAGATTGCATTTGCTAAATAAATGATTCTAATTATACTGGGATTTGCAACGCCTATATATTAGATGACATGTGTGTGTGTGGTATATGTACCCGATCATAACAACAAATTGCAGCCTGAGCTGCCCATGATTTCCCTCTCCAGCATAATTCGATTCCAGACCATTCCAGTTCCCTCTTTTCCTACCCAGCCATCCAGTCATCCAACACATGCATCCCTGAACTCATGTATAGAAAAAAGGAGCCCAATATTCACTCCTCTGCAAAAGTGCATTTTCCCTACAAAAACAAAACCAAATAACAATCCCAAATGAGATGGAGATGGAAGGAGAAAAAAAAAAGAAGAAAAGAAAAAAAAATGCTCGCTCACATTGTGCTTTACATGAACTTTTGATGCATAACAACAATGAGGTGATGAATAGAATGAAAGATGATGAAAAACGCCCAAACTCGAAAAAAAAAAAAAAATCCTCTTCCTTCATCGGACCAACCGAACAGCATCCTTTTCCGGACTCGCCCTCATCAACGTAGATTGCAATCGAGTCGAAAACATGGACGGAGCCAGACTCATTGCGGGAGAGCCTCTCCTCGAAGAAGAAGCATTACTAGTAGTAGAGAGGCCCGGTTTTGGGGCCAAGAGCTCAATGGCCTCGAGCCTCTTTCGCTCAAAGAAGAGGCTCCTCTCGCGCTCAAACTCGGTTCGCAGGCGGCGCTCCTTGTCCTCCGTTTCGACGTCCTTGATCCGCTGGCGCTTCTCGGCACGTTTGTTGGAGGCGTCCTGGATGCGCTTTTCTGTCCGCAGGCAGGCGGCGTCTAGCTCCTTTGCCAGCTTGGGGGGCGCGAGCTCGAGATGTTTGTCTTTGCGCTCGCTGCATGAGCCGCCCCAGAGGCATGTGACCTTGAGCGTGGTTTGTTCGTTGGAGTCGCCCCACACGAGCAGCTCGTCTTCGTCGTAGAGTTTGGTCCAGTTCTTTGAAGGGCCAAAGGGCTTCTTCGGGTCGGAAGAGTCGAGCATTTGTCCATTTATGCGAATTCCGCCAGAGGCCTTGGTCGAGATCCAGAGATGATATGACTTTTTCTCATCTCCCGCTAAATCCTGTGTCCATGGAAGGGGTGTCCTGACGGGGTCGCTGGACGGATCATAGCCTTGCTTCCACAGCATAATCTTGAAGGCATATTTTGGCACTCTTGAATTGGATTTGTCTTCGTAAACGACGGTGTTCTCGAGGCCGCGGCCAAATGAAATAAATGTATCGGCCATGAGACAGGTAATATCTCTGACGCAAGACGAGTCGTCAGATGTTATCAGAGCGACAGCCCCGGATTCTCCATCGAGCTGTACCGGGACTACCCTAGCGCTATCTGGAATATCGGTTTCATCAGTAGCCGCGCCTTCGGCAGTTGGACCCGTCGCCGGAAAGTCCATATTGACGTCCTCATCATCAGGAGCAGGAGCCTGTACGCTCGGCGTGTTTTGCCTTTCTGATGCGGCAACAGGGGGGAAGTATTTCATTGCCAGGCTCCACAGGGGCGTTTTGCCCGGGAGAAATGCCTCTTTCCGCTGGTTGGCCGCCAGGACAAACGCACCATACTGAAGCTGTGTCATCTCGGGGTAGTTGAGGTGCCACGTTCTGCGATCCTGAGCCCAAAAGATCTTTTTGCTCACCGGTTCATCGATCTGGCGGCCGGAGTTAGATCTCTGAATCGGCGGCATGCGGGATAGTAAGTCATACTCTTCGGTTGTTGGGTCGGCAACATTGTCCATAAACCCCTCTGATTTTAATCTTTTCAGAGCTGGCTTGTCGGTAGGCGTGCTATCATTGTCAAAATCTGCACTTGCCGCGAGAGGCGAAGGGGATTTCCGTTTGCTGGTGTTAAAATCGGAGGAAGCAATTGAATAGCTGGACGCATTTGGGTCCCCAATCCCAATCACAGAGACACCAAGGCTTTGCGAGGCAACGTTTTCCACCAAGCTTTGCAGTTGATCGGCAGACTGCGCATGACCAATGGATACGCTTCTCTCTGGTCTAAAGATGCTGCCGTATTTAACAAGAGTTGCACCGGAATCCCCAGAATCGTAAGCCTCGTCATCTTGGCCTTCAAAATGGCTACCGTTGCTACCATCGACGGTCATTTGCGGGGCCGGTACATTCAATTGGCTTTCTGGAACGGCACCAGAACTGCCAACGGCCGAGGCACCGACTTCTCCAAATAATCGGAGAGGTCGTATTGTGCCTTGCCCAAAGGTATAATTCCAGTCAATGTTTTCCTTTTCGTTTTGCTCTTGCTGCACGTTGTCGTCTTCTCTTTCCGATTCTTCCCCTGCGGAATCACTCACCCGATCATCCTCGTCTTCGATTGTGTATGCGTTTGGTTGGTGCTGAGTCCCGTGATACTGGGATGATTCCAAGACATCTTCTTCGTCGGTGATTTCGTCAAACGACTGTGAGGCCTCAATCGTCCTGCTATGAATCCACGGATGCTCGTCCAACTCTTCGACCGTCGCACGGTTTTCCGGCCTTCGCTGAAGCATGGCGCAGATGAAGTCGATGCCGCTATTGGAAATACCGCGATCGTCTAGCGGTCTTATGTCAAGCAACATTGTCATGATCTGATGCAGCAGCTCCGAATAGCTAGTGCCGCTCTTAACGGGATAAGGAGGTTGGCCGGTCATGGAATAGAAGATGACGCCGCCTAATGACCAGATATCCACGGCATGGTTATATCTTTGGCCCGGTACACGGCGAGCCTTCTTTCCCCTGCTCCTTATGCCTTTATCGTCATATTCTGCATACTCGTTATACACCTCTGGAGCACAGTATAGCAGGGTGCCACAAAACGTTCTGAGAAATGTCTGCTCCGTATCCACCATTTTGGAGAGACCAAAGTCTGTGAGTTTGACTTCCAACGGGCTAAGCGAGTTGATCAAGATGTTGTCCGGCTTGACGTCTCTGTGAGTGATGTTGTTGTTATGTAAGTAGGCCAGTGCGCTCAGCAACTGCTGGGAAATTATCCTGGCCTCGGCTTCTGGAAACGGTCCCTCGTCTGCGACATGCTTTCCAATGTCACCCCCAGGTACAAGCTCCATGATGATGATGAGAAAACGATCCTCCCAGTCGAAGTTTTCCATATAACGCACGATATTGGGCTTCGGCGCACACACACAAGTTAGCCAACTCTCAAGTCGTACACGGTAGATTGAGGTGAGTAGCAAATCGCAACTTACATGTTTTACTCTCTGCATAATCTTCATCTCATTCTCGACTTTCTGATCCAGCACTCCATTCTTGATAAAGCGGCGCTTCTCAATCTCTTTGGCGGCGTATGGCATTCCATCGTATTTGGACGTCACTTTGTAGACGACGGCAAATGCTCCCTTGCCAATCATACCAATGCGATTGTACTTGCCGGACCCATTCCACTCTCGCCGCACGTTATCTTTGCGCTTTGTCGGAGAGCGCTGCTCGGTCGGTTGGCGTTCCGGGCGTCGCGGGGTGATCAACTGGCCAGCATTCTTGAATAAATCAACATGGCCTCCGGGGCCGGCAGTGATTGTTTCAACAGGCCCCGGCAATAGGTTATGTCGAATGAAGTAGTCGTCCACCTTGCGCTGGTACGCATCCAGATATTCGTCGGCACGGCGCGGGATTCGGACTCGAAAGGTGAGGTCTTGCATCTCGTTGTGTAGGTAGATTCGGATCACGGACCCTGAGCTCAACATCCATTTAAGAATGGGCTTCTTGGTAGGGTCTTTGTGGGTGTTCTTGAGGAGGCGATCGTCGACAAAGGTTCCGTTGGTAGATTGATCCTCGATCATGACGGTGCCGTGCTCGTTGACAAAGATGCGAAAATGAATGTTGCTGATCCTCCTCAGCGGATCATTGGCAAAGACGATGTCGCATCGGCCAGGATTCCTCCCAAAGACAAAGCCGGCCGCAGGGCTGTGAACCAGGCTCGAGAGCCGTAGGATAATGGCGTGGTTGCCATGGTTTGCGGGGTTGGATTCGAATTGACTCGGTCGATCTTCGTGCTCATAGTCGAGTTCCACGTCGTCGGCTTCGTCCCTGCCAATGAGGTACGGCGACTCGGTCTTGAGCAGCTGCTGGACCTCGACTCGCGCAGTGTCCGAGTGCGGGTACAGCACGCAGATGATGTCTGAGATGTCGTCGTCCGAAAAGCCCGAGTTCTGCTTCCCTAATCGGCGCGGGTCGAGGATATTTTGCGTCGCTGCGAGAAGCATGGATGTCAGCATCAAATCGCATCGTGTCGCGTCGCATCGCATCGTTTCAAGCTCGTCAAGGGACAAAGAATTGGGATGCACGGCCGGGTCCTACCTTGCGTTGGCTCTTGCGTATCGCCTTCGCCGTCCATTGGGAGCGACCCGATGAAGCTGCAGCTAGAAATCGGTCCAGGTTGCCTGCCTCAGGTGTAAAGAAACAATGCGCTTGCTATGCTAGTCGGATAAGCAGACTGTGATGAAGACAAGATTGAAATCCAAAACCGCCTTGGGACCAACAAGGGAGCGTGCTCTTTATCAGGGAACTTGGCGGGAGCCTAGGCCGACGTGACTGTCACAAGCGCCCTCTTTTTTCAATTAATAAGGGAGCTAGCTACTACACCAGCCGCACCGCACCGTAGTGGCCGCTCTTTTGTTGCGCCACGGCGCCAGATCTTGCTAGAGGTGAGGCTGTAACGGTGTGGGGAAATTGAAGGAAAATGTAAAAAAAAGAGGAATACTAGCAGGGTAGTCTATGGCTGCGCGGGGAATTAAAGAAGAAAAGAGGTTCAAGGTTTGACAGATGAGAGATGAGGAGAACACAGCAGGCAGCTAAGCAAGACCGCAGTATACAGTAGCAGGCCTTTTAGCTGGCGGGATGGGCGATTAGCGATAGCGGGGTCGGCAGTGCCTACGTCTGGAGTAAATTGGCCCGAGAAAAGGCAATGGGAGAGAAAATGATGCTTATCCAACAGCATACGACTTGAAATAAAAAGGGAAATGGTAGCAGTAACTACGAAGCAGCAGCAGTAGGTAGTAATAGCAGCGAGAAGAAAAAAAGAATTAAGAAAAGACAAGACAAGAAAATCAGATGAAACAACCAAACGCCTGAATAGATCATCAAGCCCGTAACAACGTCATTAACAGACCCCATGGCTTCCACATCACGTCCCATGCTTTTTTCGCGCCACAAAGTATGGAGAACAAATAAGAAAACTCCCTAACCTACATGGTAACAGAAATCCCCTTACATGAGTAAAATTAAAATAGCAGCAAAAAAAACGCCAAAGAAATCACAGAGCATAAAAGAGAAAGAGAAACAAGAAACGACGTGTACCGTGCCCGTGTTCCGTGGACGTGCCTGGTGCGCGTGCGTGGACTTACACCAAAAAACGCCTCCGACAGTCACGCGAAATAACGCCCACCGCGCGCGTCTCTTCACCAAAACCACACGTTCTCCTCTACAAGAAAAGGAAAAGGAAAGAAAAGAAAAAAACGCCTCCAGTCAAACAATGCGGCTCTCGCATCGCCACACACCCCCCTTGTACCGCGTGTTCGCGATAAGTTCCCCCGACAGATAAGTCACCAGATCTCTCTTCCACGCTTCGCCTCACCTTTTTTCGCGATGCCACCGCCGGGTCTCTAGGACCTTGCATAAAATTGGGTAGCTCCCGATCTTGCAGCTTGCGTGCCCCCGTTGCCCGCACGCGCGTCTGAGGAACCAATAAACCCCCCCCCCCCCCCCCATGCAACCACAGATGTCATGCCCTCTCTGTGACATTCTGTAGATTACGGTAGAACCTAGACGATTCTCTGCTTAGTGCCGTGACTTTGCATCCCTTCGGTGGTGGTGAGGGGTTTCCCAAACCAGGGACGCAGCGAATAATGGCCGTTTGTGCGGCTGCACCTACGTGCTTTACATATGCAAGTCGTCAAATTGATGAAACGGCAGATTGTAACCCCTCTATTTAAATCCATATCTAAATCCATATCATCGCCAGATCTCATCGCTGCAGTTGCGACTACATCAGCAAAGGCTGTTTCCAAGTGCAAAGCACATGTAAAGCATCACGGCTTCGCCGGTAAACGTCATAGTAATCACGCGCCCTGCTCATTCGCCAAAACTTGGTCTCATCACAGTCAGTTAACTGCTAAATGCTCTGCAACAAAAGTCACGGGGCGAGTAAAGGGGAAAAGTGTCCTCGTTACTTGGTGATATTTCCATCTGTATACTGAGTCTACCTGGTATCAAGAATAGTGATCAATGCATTGTTTTAATCTTCATGTCCGCTTGACACGAATACTAGAAAACTTCCACCTGCTAACAAAAGAAAACAACAAAACGCCAATCGCATGAGAAGAAAAAAAGATGTCATAAGAGCATTCCTGATACTGCTTCTAAAAAATATACTGTGCAATATGTGATGCTTCCGGCCCAACGCCTACCAATGCATACTGCATCCAAAGCTGCATATACATTACCACCGCTTCATAGGGTATCTATCGCAAGATAGAAAGATATTCGAGAAAATCCATATAGGGAAAGACGGAAGAAAGAACAAAGAGGAGAGAAAGAGGCAAGGAAACTTGCAAGGAGGGTATGTCGTAACCAAAAGAAGAAGAAAATGCTGGTAGTGTACTGTAAGGAAAAGCAGCGCCGTTTTAGTATTGCTGCATATTAGATACTGATTGCGGGTATCCACCATGCTGGCTGGGCGCCATCATGGAGCCCATGGAGTTGGCTGAGAGGGTTCTCCCATGTCCGTACGGTGCCGAAGCGATAGAGGCTCTGTGCTGGACGTATTGCTGGGGAGTGAGGCCAGGGGACCGCTGAGAGCTGGGCGAAACCGCAGCAGGCTGCCATGGCATGGTCGCCGAGTCTTGTCTCCTGTGGCCAACGTGCTCTGTCGGTGTTCTCGGCGGTGGCACTTGCGCTGCAGGGGGCGCAGGCTTGCGAAGCACCGGAGGGGCACCGTAGTTTACTGTTGGTCCAAAGTTGACGTTTGCCATGCCGAAGCCGGGAGAATAGTGGGCATCCGGATCAGCACCGCCGACCGTCTTCAAAACACCCGCGCGAGGTCGGTCCACAAAAGGTTGCTGAAGCTCGTTGGTCAACTCGTTGCCAAACTCGAGATGCATCGGTGGCTGAGGAGGGAGGAAGCCGTCGTATTGAGCTCGAGATTGGGTAGTATAATGATCGATAATGTCGTTGGGAGTGATACTCTGGTGTTTATTGTCATAAGAGCCAGGTCTCATGGGCAGAGGTTTCCGCTGAGGGTGTCCTTGCCGATATCCGGGAGAGCCACCGTTTGGAGGGTAGGCAGCATAGCGATCATTGGGGTAGGAGGTTGCATGAGGAGGCGGTAGCGGGCGCTGGCCATGATAGGCATCTCCTGTGGACGGCCTCTGGTCATAGTCGTCATGCGAGTAAGGCACTGTGGGGCCGTACGGAGATGGCTGTCGCTGGTTGGATCGATTGGAGTAGCCAGTGGGCGGGCGGTCGCCGTCTTGGTTACTATGGTGGCTGTGGTGACTCGGCGGAGGGTTCAAGGAATGGGCAGATCGATTCTCGTTGGCGTAAAAGGTGTTACCGTCGCCGCCGTGAACCGGAACTGGTGGTGGCGGCGCGGTGTGGTAGGAATCTTCATCGTCGTCATCTGGGATATCGGGAACTCCTGGCAGAGCAATTCCGCCAGCCTTGGCCATTTGGGCCAGGGTGCCCTGGGACAGGCGGTTGTTGGCTCGTCGAAGGTCGGGTGAGTGATATGGCGCGTTGCTTGGGCGATCCGAGGGAAGGCGGTTCATGACCGGAGGTCGAACGACAGGTTCCGGCGTGCGGATGGCTCCATTGCTGCTCTCAATGGGCTCGACATAGCCGTTTGGTGTGACTGCCCGGCCCTCATCCGAGCTTGAGCTTCCCACTCGCCCAGCCATTTCCAAGGGGGACTGGTCATTTGGCAAAGAGCTGGAGTCGGTCGAGATTGGGCTAGCCGAGTCCGAGGAATTGCGGAAATCGTCGTCGGCAAAACCCACTGCTCTGGGCTTGTTGTTGTAGCTCAGTCTAGCGCTAGCTCTGTGCGAAGACGAAGAGGGAGAGTAAGCCCGGCTTCCATCTTCGATTGAGTTCATTCGCGCGCCAGTGGCATCCTTGAGACGCTTTCGCCACTCCCTCTCATCCCAGGTCGAGCTCTTTTCATCATGCAAGAGCGTCACAACGTCCTGCAGTTCCAAGTAGCCGTACTTCTTGTGCTTGGGCATGGCAAACATGAGTGACCTGGCATCAAGCACGCTAGCAACAATTCTGCCCGGGCGGCCGTACAGGCCAAAAGTATCCCAGGTCGGAAACAAGAAGCGGAGCATCATCTCGAAGCCGCTGACAGCGGGGCGTGTCTCGGGCATGATGAAGACAAATCCTTCCGAGGATGACGGTGGCGTGGAATGAATTGAAATGGTGCCTTCGATCTTGACGAGAGTAGAAGCGTCTATCAGAGACTTGGCTTGGGGGTAGATTGCATAGGCAGAGTAGGCTTCGCTGATGGAGGCGACAGGCTTGGTCTTCTTTTGCTTCTTGCCTTCGATCTTGACATCGTAGAACTTGACATCTCCTCTGACGACGCGAGCATGAGATCGATCATAGGGAGCCTTCTTTTTCAACTCCTTTTGAAGCTTGTTGTATTCTTTTTCGTCAGGCGGTGTGATGACACACCAGCAGCGTCTCCATGGCACGCCAGCACCGAATCGGACTCTGACCCAGGCCCCTATCGTAACTTTGGATCTCTCCATCATGACGTTGATGTTGTTGAGATATTTGGCCTTGCCGGCGATCAGGGCGCCAGTATAGGCTTCCTGGAGGGCCGCATGCTCATACATGGCCAATCGGATAGCTGATGTCCATTGGACAAGTGAGTCATGAGATGTGAAATGCAGCAAGTACCGATTCCTGCCAGCGGTGGAAAGGCTGAGGATGTTTTGCAGCGGCTGCTCATCGCTAGATCGAGTTGGCAGCGAGTCAATCTGCAAAAGTGAGGAAAAGGGGAATGTCAGTGTCTCGCAGTCAGGGCAAGCAGAGCACGTGGGGGTTGGGGGTGTCTTACCACTTTGAGTGAGGCATCTGTGAGGTTGATGAATTTGGGAAGAACCTCGCCATCTTCGCCGGCGGCATCCAATTCTGCGGCATCCCACAAAGAGAGCACAGTGCCGACGAGTTGCGCAAAGCTTTCGGTCCACGTTCTGTCGGGATTCGGCTTGCCCTCTGTATAAAGCGTATAAAGTTAGCCAATCCGTTTTTATATCAATCGTCGATGGATACGCTAGCCGATGGGAATGAAAGTCAATAGATTGATGGATTGAAACATACGTGTGTTCTGGTCATCCAGCTTCAAAAAGTAGCCCTCGTGGTACAGCTTGTTGGAGTGGCTGTTGAGCAGCGAAAAGATGGGCTGCAGCTCCGGAATCGTGTCCTGGTTGACCTCCATGACCATTGGCTGGTAGGTCTGGATCATGGACATGGGTCGTGCGCTATTCCGCGACGGACTGTTCCGGCTGCGGCGGGGAGGCTCGACGTTGTTGATGTCGGCGCTGTTGATGTCGACGCTGTTTACTGGGCTGCCATAGTCCGACTGCGACGGCGGCGTGGGAGGGCTGCGCAGCGAGATGTGCGCGAGCGAGTGACGCTTCTTGACCTTGGTTTTTAAGTCCTTGGACAAGGGAGACTCGCCGTCCGAGGGAGGCGTTGACGAAGGAGAAGTCGGTGTCTTGCGCCCAGCAGAAAACGAGGACATGAACGAGACAACTATAGGCCGCTGGTCAGCACGAGGAAGAAAAAGAGGCTAGCATGGACAGGCAGGCCATTGGGACATGCTTATTGCGGTAAGCAGTGGTGTTCAGCGGCAGATCCATCCATCCCGTCTGGTCTCGAATTGTGAGCAGCGCCGAACAGAGCCACCTTGGCGGCGCGTACAGGTGACAGGTGGCGGGTGGCAGCAGGTCGCACACGCCGCAGTACACTGTACGCTCTGCTGCACAACAGCCAGACGGGGCGCCAAAGACAGCCAAGAGCGCTGCGCAACAGCCAAGCGTTTTGGTGCGTGGAGGCCAATGATGCCACCGGCCCTTTCTGCGCAGCGCAATGCTGGGGTCTAGCGAGGGAAATGGAGCCTACAAGAGGGCCAGGCTAGAGGCTAGGGGTCCTTGGGGGCGCTGGTAGGGGTGTGGGAGGGGCATAGTGACGAATGCGTAAATGACGGGCGAGACAGGAATGGATGGGGCACGAACCTCGATTGCGACCCATGATGGCGATGCGGCCGATCCGTGGACCAAGACACGCAAGACGTCGATGAGCGAGCGGTTATGCGGGATGCTGACGAGAGCACCGCGATGTCATGTACAGACACTATACTCTGCGATGATGGCGGACGATGGCGAGCAGTTCCAACACCGTCTCGTCTTTTCGATATTCGTCCCTTCGGCCCCTAGTCGTATCGTATTCGGAGCCGATTCCTCCGGCCAGGAATGCAATAGTCGATAATGGTAAATGCACAGCTCAAAAAGGGGGAAGGCTGCTATTGGCGGGACCCAGCGACTCGAGCGAAAAAAAAAATTAAGACAGCTGAGCTTATTCGCAGTGGTCGCGGGCTAGATAAAGTAGGCGTCTGTCAAAAGAGTGGCGATCCACGACGCACCCTGAGGCCTTTTTTTCTTTCTTTCTGTTTTTCTTTCTTTTCCCTGTGTAAATGATTTGGCGTGAAAGATGCTCTTGGCCTCGTAGCGAATGTTTGTTCCAGGACCTTTGTTAGTATCCGGGAGGGCCTCGTGAGACAAGCACGCGACAAGATTGCCTCGTATCGTGTTGATTTAGTCGAACTGCGGTTAGCGCTTGGCGGTTTGATGCTTTGTTGCGCTGCTTTGGGGCTCTCTTCCCAATCGATTTTGCCGTCTTCTTCTTTGGGAAGGAGAAGGCGAAAGAAAGAAAAAAACGAGAGACAATGCAGCAGTACAGACTGGGGAAAAGAAAACGAGCGTCTAGTAACTATTTATCATTAACGGCCTCTTTCATGCAAAACGACTGTGGAAAAGCCGTTTCTATGGGGGCGGGCTCCCAGGCGGCGGATATGCCGGAGCCATCAAGCACATTGGCATGACAGCAGCATGACTAGGAACACCCGGGCTGGAGCACACAACAAAAAAAAAAAAAGCCAAGCACAAAGGGCTCCGCTTCGATTCAGGAGCGCCTCATAACGTTTTTGTCTTTTTTTTCTCGTGGTCTTCTCCAACTTGTCCGGGGCGGGAGTCTGGCAGCCACGCGTGCAAGTATAAGCTCGCGCCGTTTCTGGCGGGCTTATACCGACAAGCCACGGGCCACGGCACGGCGGATGGAGCAACTGGGAGCCCATTGGAATCTTACTCACCAGGTACCGGTACTCTATGCGTCTCACTGGCTCAGGAGAATGAGGGGAGAGGATGCTATGCTCGAGCTGTTAAGCCGTGGCGTATTTGCTTCGGTTTTTTCAGTTTGCTGAAGGCGCAGTCATACGATGCTGCGAGCCACTCGAGTCTTCGTCAGCGCTTCGGTCTGTATCCAATGGGCGACGGTGCTCGTATCAGATGTGCTGTTGGCGCTGTTCTGCCAAGGGCCGGAATGAGTGCAGCCAAGAGCCAAGACAAGTCCAAGAGAAATAAAGCAACTCTGAGCTGCTCCTTTGCCAGCGGCCAACCCACTTTTGAAGCTTTTCCTGCTCGTCGTCGTCGTGTCCAATTCCTTGACGTCCTTCCACGTCGTTGCCAAGACGGTTCTAGATTCTCTGTGACGGCGCGGGAGCATGCATGCTCGACGTCACCGGGTGAGTGGCAGCTGAGGCGGCGCGCACTAAGCAGGCGATCTCGAAGCCCACAAACGTTAAAACCGGGAGCTGAAAATGGAGAGACAAGATCGTCACCACGACGTCGCAAGATCCAGAATCGCAGAAGCAGCCACACCAGAGGCCGAGGGGGGGAGGGAGGCTGGAGAGCTATTTAAGCAACCACGGAAATAGCCTGCCCAGGTCTCTTTTGCCCTTTTCGCTTGATCCTCTATTACGGATACGGAGGCCAAGCTATTAGACGTAGGTAGATGCCGCGTACAAGCAGAATGGGCAGCGCAGCGAGCCCCATATTGAGACAACTATGCACGCAAATACGGGGATATATACGGGGCCGAGACCAACTGGCGGCGCCTACAGCCAAGTAGACGACGGTGTTGGCCAGGAGGTGATACCTACAGGCCCCTCTACCAAGAAGCAGGCGGTGCTAGCCAGGCGCTGTTGATTTGCGTAACGAAATAGCGCCTCTCTCGAGTGCACAACCACAGGCGGCTTTTGCGTGCAATTCTGCGCCCGCAGTGGATAACACGCAGTCTCTCCGTAAATTTGAAAGCCACTATCATCAGGTAGCTCCGGATGCCCCGTATATGTGGCAGTGGGGCTTCAGGTTTCTCAAGGACCCCCAAGGCCCCTATCGAGCGAGCCGGATACATGTATTTGACCTCTATCCAACGAGCCTGGAAGCACGAGCCTTTCTGTATTGATGCTACTTTTAGCCCACTAATCTTGCCAATAGCGTCGTTGACTCTTGGAATGGCAGTCCAGAACTCTTACCGGCTGGCTTGCGTTTGGCCTTGGAAGTTGCAAGTAGGTACCTACATTGCCTGGAGCATGCCCTGCTGCGAATGCTATCGTTGAAACGCTGCACGACCCATGTCTTTGCCCGGGTTTTGGGAGGCCCTCCTCTCAAATCATATCCACCAGCAAGGGCCATGACGCCTGCCTGCCTTGCCTTGCCGCCAGAAATAATTCCACGGCCCTGTTGTTTCGGGCCCTTCTAGCCGCCGCGCATCACTGGCTGTCAAAAGCCCGCCAGACGCAGGCAGAGGTTAAGTAGTCGCAGCGTTTTAAATCATTCCACCGCCTTGCAGCAGCTTCTGGCCTGCCGCTTCTGGCCAAGTATACCTAGCGCCACGCGACGATGCAGGAACTTGCGCACCTTTTTTTAGCATTGCATTTGATTCCTTTCTCCTTCTTTTGATACCACCCCGATCCAAGGTTCTGTAAAAAGCCCCCTGCATTTCTCGGTTAATTCCAGGTCAGTAGGTACCACGAGCTTCATTTCTGTCTCCCGGCCTGCCGAGCCACTCCGGAGATGCTGCTAGGTAATTTCTACGTTTGAAGCCTATATAATGACACGGCGCCGGGTTTGGAATAGCGGACGGAGGCTACCGTGGCAGCTTTCTACCCATTGGGGAAGACTCCAAACTCATTACACCGAGAGTTGGTACTTGGACGCTGCAACGTTGTACAGAGTACATGCATCGCCATCGCGAAGCGAAATCGGGAAACGCCCGGGATTCAGACGGCGGGTAGCACAAACCAGCCATTGAAACTCGAGTCCTCTGCCAATGAGACGCGCCGAGTGTCTCTAGGTTCGAAGCCTCACCGCAAAAAAGCTTGACATCAATGTCTAAGACACCGCCAGCATGACTCTTGCACACAGCAAAGAGTAGAAACAAGAGTCACGTCAGCGCTTGTCCTTGGTTGCTTTCGGGAGCGGCACTGTTGCCAAAAACTCATGGGCCACTGCCGCTGAGGTACCCCGTACAACAGCCAAAGATTAAAAAAAGAAAAATGCCAGACAATGATTCCTGTATGGATGAGGAAACATTCTGCATCGAATGGCTCGTGCTGACGACCCAGGAAAGGGCAGCAGTGGTACGTCTTAGCCCCAAGCTGCCAACGCAGTCTGACGTCATTTGAACCCCTTAAACAGAAAAGAACGTTGAAGCTATCGATTCTTTTTTGGATCTCACGATAGTGCGCCTGCGATCATGATCGTGAAATGGTCCAAAAATTGACTCCCATCGAGGGGCTATTGCAATTGCACCATTATCTACGCGTCAGAGCAAGACCTAGCCACTTCTTTACCCCAGGCTAAGGCGATTCCGGGACCCATGCCATCTTTGCTTCTGCTTTCGCCTGCCTCCAATCAATCAATCAGCTTCTCTGCTGCGCAGTGTCCATCTTCAGGCCCGAGCCGATCGCCACGCTGAAACATACGTCAATGAGTTCCAAATCGACGGGCGATGAAAAAAAAAAAAAAAAAAGGCCATCGTGCGCTACTATTCTTAGGATGCGCCCGGATTGGGTACTGCTCCGCCAGCGCGCTGCCCCGTAGCTCCCGTACCACTTGTGTAATCGGTACACGTAGCCAATTGCTTCCATGTTTTCCTTGTCCTTCGCTGGCGATCCTCAGATCAGACACACCTCGCACACTCCCCACTCGCCACGGAGCCCAATAAGGTCAGATAGACGCCGACAGTCGGTGTGCTGATCAAGGTCTCATCGACAGATTGACTGACGTGGTACCTACTTTCGTATTCCCTGCTTGGATCTTGTATTGCTGCGGAACATTCGGGCTGTCGGGCTTTCTGGCGGCGCTCATGTGCCCTCTTGTTTCATTTCCGTTGAAATTAGAAACGTCGAGGCTGTTCCTCCGCGGTAATTTGACTCTCTGCTTTTATATGGCAGCTGCCATTCCAAGTTCCGACATGACTTACATGGGTCCTCATATCGCGCATGGCCGCCTAGGCTATGCCATTACAAATGCATACATCGTTAAGCGACATTAGACAACCAACAGTCGAAATAGGTTGAGCCCTTGTCAATGATATACGTCTTCTGCTGTTAGCAGCATTACTCGCACTTTCAAGGATAGGACCATTAATTCTTTTGTAAATCGATGGGATGTCAAGAAAATGTAGGGTAGGATGCATCATGCAGCTCACATAACACGCATATCACGTGCGATGGAGCGCCATTGTCTCAAGCTCCGATCTAGCTGCTGATGTCCAGAACATCTCCTGATAGCATTCGGGAACCGTCACAAGGCTGTCGCCAGCGACCCCAACGGGTCAGCATTGCTGTACATGGTTGGAATGCGCACATCAACATCTCCTACGCTGGCGGCTTTTCTGACCTCTTCATCGCGTCCAAAGCAGCTCCCAGCTGTGCTGTGGGGCCGCGGGGGGAGATGCTTCGTCTCTGCGGCGTCGCAATCGCCATCACGCTATGCGAAATCGCCGTTCCGCTTTGAGACGGGCATTGGGCTGTTTGCAAAGCGATCCCCTCGGCCGTTTCCTCCTCCTTTCTTGTCTCCTCCATCCGTCTCCTTCTCAGATCCTCTAAGTACCCATCACCAGAGTCGGGACCGCCGACCTCACGCAACTATCAATGGAGAGCTCATCAGAGGACTCACAAATGGTGATGATGCCGTGTATGCTAGCGACTATTTCATATGTACAAACGATGGCGTAGGCGCGTGGGCAGCGCGTCCAAGAGGTCATGCTGGGTAATTTTCCTGTGACGTGGTGATCCGTACTGTAAGAACGCGGCCCTGACGGATATGACAGATTGTGGTCGCGACTAGTATTGCACTTCTGGGCCGCGGCCATTGAAGAAGAGTCGACCAATAGCCTATTCCAACAAGTGGCCTACCAGCCCGACCCCGTTGCGTCTCTTCAGACGGCATACGAGCAAACACAGGAAGCGACTGGCGCTCATAACTGGCAGGGGACCACAACAGTGTGTGGCGCCCAGCTGCATTACAGGACGGCGATGGATGCGGGGCGCGAAGTTGCCATGCCAGTTCTATACGTGACAAACCTCGGCGATGGCCAAGTCTTGGTTCTCCGGCCTCGAGATAAGGAGATCATCTATAAAACCACGGAGCAATGGCACTGGTTTGACTGTCCACGCCAGCTCGGTACTAATAGTCCCGATACGCCGAAGCAGAACGCAGTGGTTGACATAATAGATTTGGAAGAGGGCGACGTGGTCCTGGCAATGAGCGATGGTGTTATTGATAACCTCTGGGCGCATGAAATTGCTGCCAATGTATTTCAAAGCATCAAAGCGTGGGAGGATGGGAAAGCCGCTGATACCAAAGGGGATCGCACAGGTGGTCGCAATGGCGGCATGGCTCTTGCGGCTCAGAACCTAATGGCAGCTGCCAAAGTGATAGCATTGGACCCGTATGCAGAGAGCCCATTTATGGAACATGCCATAGAAGAAGGCCTGGCCAGTGTAGGAGGTTGGTACACATTCATTCCTCCAACTCTCGTGACACATACTTACTTATTGGTGAATAGGCAAATTGGATGACATCAGCGTCGTCGCAGCATTATGTGTTAGAGACAAGGAACAATAGGATTGCAAAGCTGAGCTTTTCTTGACGTTTAGACATCGCAGACATGTTTTTTGTGGATTTTTATTAAGACTATCGAGTTTATTAGCAACATGGCAGCTATGGGGCACGTATATAATGAAGCTAGGTAATAAATCTTTTTGGCTGAAGAGTGTTAATAGTATATATCTGTGGTAATACGAATTGATCTTGAATTGTTGAAAAGTATAGCTCCCGTCTTACACGGCGTCAAGGCGCCTGAAGCTTGAGATGGAGTTGGACAGATGCTGGCGCAAAGAGCGGGGCGAGAGGAAGCTGCACGTTCCCCACTCTTATCGTACGTGCTCCACTATCGGATAAGAAAGTTATTTGCAGGGACCTCTGAAATTTATCTGCATGGACTTCGTTCTTGCTGCGCCGATAGATTCTTCTGGGTCCTCATTTTTCTTCCTCCTCTAAATTCATTCGGCGTTGGCAGCAGAAGATAGTTCAAAATGAGAGGAAAACGGTCAAAACAATATCGCAAGCTCATGGAGCAATTCTCCATGACGTTTGGCTTTCGCGAACCATATCAGATTCTAGGTTTGTCCCTGCGAATGTCTCTAACGGTTATTCACCAGCAAACTGACGGATTTCGGAACGCGTAGTGGACGCGGAAATGGTCAAGGATGCGAATAGATTTACCATGGATCTAGCGCCTGCATTGGAAAGGACAGTTCACGGAAAAGTGAAGCCATGTGAGCAACGGCGCCATCGGGGAACCCAGGATGAAGGCTTACAACGTTATCAGTGATTACTCAATGCGAAATCCGAAAGTTATACGCAGATAAAGACCAGCCTGGTGGCAATGCAGCGATTGAGTTGGCAAAGACATTCGAGCGAAGGCGCTGCGGCCACCACCCCGACCAGTACCCCAAACCTCTCGAGACGATAGAGTGCATGCAGTCCGTCGTCGATCCCAAGTCAACAGGCGAGAACAAACATCGCTACGTGGTCGCAAGCCAAAGTCTGGACGTTCGAAGAATGCTACGAGGAATCAGAGGCGTCCCGCTGATATACATTAAGCGGAGCGTCATGATCTTGGAGCCCATGGCAGACGAGAGTGTGCAGATCCGAGAGCGAGAGGAGAAACGGAAATTCAGAGCAGAGCTCAAGAAAACGCAGGGCAAGAGGAAGCGCGACGACAAAGAGGACAAAAATGAGGGCGAGGCCGATGGTGACGGAAGCGACAGCGACGAAAACAAGGCGGCACCGGCATCCGGATCAGAAAAGAAGCCTAAAAAGAACAGAGGAGCCAAAGGGGCGAATCCGTTGGCAATGAAAAAGAAGAAAGCCCAGCCAGTACCGAAGAAGGCAGCTGAAAAGAAGCCAGATGCCGAATCAGATGCACCAGCCAAGCGGAAGCGAAGAAGAAAGGCCAAGCCAGAGAATGGCGCAACAAATAACGCGTCAGAGCCGAGCACGGCTGTTCCCAGCAATGGCGGAGAGGAGAGCTGAAGGGCTATTCACTAGAAAGTCTGAACCGGGCTGGAGTCATTATCGCGGACAATGGAGCATTGGACGGCGCTCCTGTGATTGAATACTACGGAGTTATAATAATGTGATATCAAGCACTTACCAAAATAGATAGAAGCGAATGTAAATATGGGTACGATTATTACGAGCTGCAGTCAAGAGTCTGTCTGCTGACGATTGCAGGATTCATGTGCCTCAAAGTGTATGGAATGCAGATTGAATGCCATTGATGGTGAGTTGTCTTGAAGCAAGCAGTTTCTCTTGAAAAGCTGCCGCTAAGCTACGTTCACATGTATAGATACCTAGATAGCTGTTATTGTTCGCTGCGGATACCTAGGTGGGTATGGTAGTAAGCACAGTAGGACAAGGACGATAAAAAGGAACGAAGAGGTAACAAAATAGGACAAATAGAGAAAAGAATTAAAAGAGGAAAAGGGACGTTTCAAGCGACGAATTAGGAAAGCTGGTGCTCCGCCCCCCACGCGGGGACTGACTCTCTTATATCCAACCATCCCTGGCTTAGAAGATGGAGGCAGTGCGCAATACCTTGTGGTTTATGTAGTAAGATCGTGATAGGATGGCTGCGAAATAGGCTTTATAATCCCTGGTCATCATGCCATCTTATTTGCAAGCAACAGGCTCGTCTCCTCCTTATGCCATCTCTATGAATACGAATGCGAGTGCGCTGCCACTCTGGAAATTGCATGTCAAGCACACGATGCGCGAGGGAGCCCGGACCGGACTAGGCCGATTCCTCTGATGCCTCCAGAATTACTGCCCAACCGCGAGGCCTCTTCCTCCACTGCTGCTTATTCGCTCAGATGAGAGTTGACCGAGGCCGTTTTACAGCCTGGCCGTGATTGGGTTGCTGGTGGTGTCAGCTAAACGCCGGATTTCGCAGCCTGAAAGCGGCAGCGCCTCCCGCTAGCTGGGCCACTAATTTTAATTTAACGACGTAACCGCACTTCTGCAACACCGCCCTCTGTACGGTTGTGCGCGCATCCATCTCCAACTTGGACTCGAGAACGACGCAGAAAAAGAAGACGGCGTTTGCTTCACAGAGCCGTGCCTCTCACCACCGCCATCACGTCCCATCCATGCCCCTCGCGTGTGCCGCCCAGGTGGATGTGGACGTGATACTCAGCAACCCCTCCTCGCATCCCTTGTGACAAGACAATGGCCAGCGTCAGCCAGGATGCAGAGCCCGCGGCCGCCGGCCATGCGACTCCAGCGCCACCGACGAGCACAGCAGCAGCTGAAACCACGGCGGTTGCTGTGCTAGAGTTCGACGACTTTGGCCTGCCCATCAAGAAGTTTATAGCGCCGGTGGCAGAGACCACAGACTCGGATGCCCAAGATGCGACAGACGATGCGAATACGGGCGGCGAGACCCGGAATGGGACACACGAAGCTCAAGAAAACGACGAGGAGACAAAAGAAGCTGCTGATAATAAGAGCGGACACACGTCAGACGGCGATGCTGGAGATGTCGATCCCAAAGATGCCGAAGAAGCGAGGGCTGCGGCCACTTCGCCCGTACAACAGGAGACCACGGCAGAGACAGGCCATAAGGAACCTTCAAGCCCATTGATAGATGCTTGGAAACCGGATCCTGTCTCGCCATCTCCAGCAAAAGGTGCTCCAGCGCCTTCTACGCCAAAGACCCCCAACAACACCACCGGATGGGGCGACAAGCATGCCCAGGCAAAATCACCCGAGGGATCCAACCAGACACACAGACGAGACATGAGCTTCTCGAGTCCCGCCAATGGAAAGGGTATCTCGGAATACTCTCATCAGCACGTTTTAATGCAACCAGAAGAACATGACAAGCCGAAAGAGGACGACGATGGCGGCTGGCAGGAGATGCCATCCTATGCCAGGTATGACATGTATGACGACGACGACCGGTTAATTGCCCGAGAGCACGATGCAGATGCGGACGAAACTTATGGCTATGCGGGGCTTGGCGGCGCTGGAAAGGGATATACACGCGTCATCATGGATGAAGATGCCGAGTCGGCAACGAGCATGGACGAGCACACACAATACTTGTTCAAGGATCCCAAGGGCACGAGCATGGGCGAAGATGACGAGGCCAGAGACGCCGTGTCCCAGATGCAGGCCACAAAAGACCTTCTCACCGAGGGCCAGAGAATTGCATACGTTGGCGTTGTTCGCCTGGAGATTGTAAACCTAGTGAAAGAAGCCGAGCTGGAAATTACAAGAGGCGCCAAAAGGCAGGTCATCATGGGCGCCGAAGCAGTCAAGATGTGGGGTCAAAAGATGATGATTCGACTCTACGCTCACATGGACATTAGCGATGCGGAGCAAATCATGATTGAGCAGCTTGCTGCCCACGGCGTCATGTCTCAAGATCTCACACCTGCTCTGCTCGCCAACTCTCGAGTTTCAAACCCCATGGCCGAAGAGAAGAGCGTCGGGTCACCCGGGACACCCAGATCTGGCCGCTACCCGCCGTCATACTCGGAGGAGGAGGAGAAACCTGCCGAGATGCCGCCGCCGTATGAAACGCACACTGGTGAGGAGCTGCCGGAGGTCAAGACACCGTCACAGATGCCGACAACAGAGAAAATCGACATTGATCTGCGGTGGACAATTCTGTGCGATTTGTTCTTGATACTCATTGCAGACTCAATATACGATGCTCGGTCAAGAACCTTGCTGGAGCGGGTCGCCAAGAGCTTGGATATCTCATGGATAGACATTTGCAAGTTTGAAAAGAGAGTGACGGATGCGTTGGAGATACAGCAGGCGGCCGAAAAGGAAAATTGGAATGAAGAAGAGCACATGGAGCACCGGAGAAAGATGGCCCTCAAGAAGAGATATATCATGATGGGCCTGGCCACCGTGGGAGGCGGCCTTGTAATTGGTCTCTCGGCTGGTTTACTTGCCCCTGTCATCGGAGCTGGTTTAGCAGCTGGCTTTACAACTATCGGAGTCACCGGTACAAGCAGTTTCTTGGCTGGAGCAGGAGGAGCAGCCATCATCACGTCCAGTGCAGCGGCCTCAGGAGGCATCATTGGTGGCAGGGCAGCCGGTCGCCGAACCGGCGCTGTCAAGACCTTTGAGTATCGGCCTCTACACAACAACAAACGTGTCAATCTTATTGTCACGGTGTCGGGCTGGCTGACGGGAAAAGTCGACGATGTCCGCTTACCGTTCAGTACGGTTGATCCTATAATGGGCGATATGTACTCAGTATTGTGGGAACCAGAAATGCTTCGTAGTATGGGTGATACCATTAACATTCTGGCTACTGAGGTGAGCATCATTTGAAAAAGCGGGATCTAAAATTTTCTATAGCTTGAAACTAATGATGGAATCCATTTAGGCACTTACTCAAGGTCTACAGCAAGTCCTGGGCAGTACAATCCTTGTCAGTCTGATGGCAGCTATCCAGCTTCCTGTGGTTCTGACTAAACTCTCCTACCTCATTGACAACCCCTGGGCAGTATCCCTGGACCGTGCAACAGCGGCAGGCCTTATTCTGGCAGATTCGCTCATAGAACGAAGCTTGGGCACACGACCCATTACTCTTGTCGGATATTCACTCGGTGCTCGAGTCATCTTCTCCTGTTTGAGAGAGCTTGCAAGAAAGGGCGCATATGGACTTGTCCAAAATGTGTACATGTTTGGATCGCCAATCGTGGTGAACAAGGATGAATTCCTCAAGGCACGATCAGTGGTTTCCGGCCGCTTTGTAAACGGGTATAACCGCAATGACTGGATTCTCGGCTATCTCTTCCGGTTGACAAACGGAGGTATCAAGAAAGTCGCCGGATTAGGTCCTCTGACCGACTGCCCGTGGATAGAAAGCATTGACGTGACAGACCTCGTGGCCGGCCACATGGAGTATCGTAAGGCCATGCCATCTCTTCTCATCAGATGTGGGTGGCTCGTTACCAGCGAGGAGTTTTCGGAAATTGAGGACCCAGATCCCGATGATCACCAAGGACGACAGCGAGAGCTCATCAGTGAGATTGAAGAAGCACGCAGAGAGCTAGAGAAGGAGGGCAAAGCAGAGAAGAGGGGGAGCAAGTTTGGAATATTCGGCCGGCGCAAGAAGGGAGAACGACAGGAATGGGAGATTTACGAAGATTCAGGCAAGGGCCCAGCCAAGGATGAAAAGAAGACGGAAGGCAGCGATGGCAGCAATTATGGCGTGCTGTTTGATATTGACGCCATCCGAGCGGAGCTGGCCAAGGAGACGGAGAATGATGGAGGGGAGGAGATTCAAGTCAAGGAAATCAAGTCGACGCTTCCGCCGATGAAACTTGACTACTCGCCGGTGACTTCCCCCAGGACGCCGGTGCGAGGGGCGACCCTTGGGTTACGGGACTCCTGGCAGACGTCAAAGAGCGCAGAAGTATTGCCAATACGTTCCTTGAATGGTGGCTACAGTCCGCGTGAGCCGCCGGCAACGACGACGACGACGACGCTAGGAACGCCCGCAACACAATCGTCAGCATTACGATCGCCGTATCATTATGAGCCGGACCCTCACGAAGAGGAGGAGATCTCCATGACGTTTGACACATCGTTCCACGAGCCCGTTGCTCGGCGCCACTCTGCGTTTGACGAAGAGCCGAGCAGGCCAGAGGTTAAAACGACGAATACGCTACCAACTGTACCAACTGTACCAAATGTTTCGAATCCATGGAATGACTTGGATGACGATGAGTTTGGCAAGGAGCAGGAGATTTCCATGACGTTTGCGTAATTGCTAGAACCACCTGGGGAGTGTTTATTTGACTTGCTTTTCCCTTCCTTTTCTTTTTTTTCTCTTTGCTATATATTTTTGCGCGTCATAAATGGAGTTGGGTAATCTTTTTTTTTTTTTCACCTGCGTTTGATTTCGGTCATCATATCTCTCCACTTCCTCTTCTTGTTGCAAAGATATTTTGGGGTTCATGGAGAGGTTTAGGTGAATATGGATGGAGGATGCTATGGATGACGTATGGCTTTTTATTTATATTTGTTTTTTTGAGACTTGATGGGATCTTGATTTCATGAATGAGGGGGAAGATGTATTGATGCTAAATCTACTTGGCGCTGGGGCTGTACGATGGAGACGATATAGATGTGCGTGGCTAGAAGGAGATGTAAAAAAGAAGGAAGAAGAGAAGAGATTTTATTAATAGAGGAAATTGCATCCAGACTATTGCCAATATTACCCATCGTTGATGTTTTATAGGACTGCTTGCCTTGATGACTCGGAAGTAAGGTTGTCTGTCATGCCATTGAGTACTACTACTGCTAGGTACATGTTGGCAGGCATTAGTCCAACGCTCTAAATGCAAGTCCAGCACCGCACCGGCTATTGAGCTGGATGGTGTGCGTTGCACGAATTGAAACAGGCTATTTCCAAGCCACCATGCAATAGCCAAGTGGGTGTCGAGGCAAAGAAAAAGCGTCGTTGGATAGGCTGGAGGATGAGGAGGTGGCCGAGTACAAAAGTCTGGATGGCTGGGCTGCAGTAGTAAGTTGGCATCAGCTCCTTTTATCACGCGGGCCAAGCCTGATTCTAGGCCAATTGGAGGCAGTGGTGGCGAGGAGCTGAAGATGGCTTTGCTTGTGTCTATTTACTCTCTACAAGCTGAACAAGCTCTGCTCCAGCTACAACCATCACTTGTCCCAAACCCCTTCAACAAGGCAGACCACAAGCCATTCACTCTCAAAACTTCCCCACCTCTACAAAAGTCAATCCCCCATGTCGGTCAGCCGCGGTGGAGCCTCTTCAGCCTCACCCGGCACCTCCATAGGCTGTCCCCCCTGGCTGCTTGGCCCTTTCTTAGCCCGGCTCCATTACTCTGAGAGGGAATCTGTTCCTAGTCCAATATGGAGTGATGGGATGTGATGTTCTTTCGCATCCTTTTTTTTTCGGTGAGCAGGTGCCTCCTCTTTTTTCACTTGAGCCATCTAATCAAAGAAGTCTTGTCTTTTGAATTGTATTGGTTGTCTTATGTCTCCTTGAACCCCCCCTGGAAAGAATGTTTCTGCCCGATTCCCAATTTTCCTGCCGATCAAAAAAACTACCATCTCTCATATAGCACTAGTTTGTAAACATTTTGGCAACAAAAACGCCCTTTAGTTCCCACCAACCTGTCAGCCCGTCAGCAACTCCGACGCTTTGAGCCGATCCCCCGTTTTTTTCCCAACAGTAGCCCGCCCTTTCTTCTTCTTCGTTGCTTTGTATCTATATATATATGTACATACATACCCGCTAACCGTTAACGTATGATACGTTTCCAGTTATACCTATACTTGCAACGACTCATTGCGGTGTAGTGCCTTTTTGCCCGCACGACTGGAGATGGAACTAAAAAAAAAAAACCACCATCCCATCCAGATTGGATGCCATTTTTAGAAAGCCTCGAAGCCCACTTAAAACAACGCACTCCAGTCGTGTCTCGTTGCCCGTCACCATCTCGCCTTATCCCCTCTCTAGTGTCCTCTCCCTTTTTTTTTTTCATCTTTGCTCTCCTTCTTCTTCTTCCATCTCAAACGCCCAAAAAAAAGAGGGGGTCCTGGAGGATGTGATGGCGCCGTTCGGACCCGAGCCTGGCCTGGCGCCGCTGCAACCCAACCAAGGACAATAAAGAAGAGCACGAACGTAGCCGCCAGTAGAAAGCAATGCTAGTTTCGCCCAGCAGCGGTAACATTAGACGAGCTTCATACCTAGTAAATACCTAGTATGTACTGTAGTTCAATACAATGAATGAGTGAGCTCCATCTCCTCAAAAGCACCACGACGGAAAAAAAGAACGAAAAGTAGCCCTGCAGCTACCTATTGTCGGCAGGATCACCAGCTGCTAGCATCGTTCGCCGGCCTGGTTCCTCTAAAAAACCCCTCCCCGGGCTTACAATCTCACATCGCGTGCAGCTCTGCGCCTCTTTCGAGTCGTCGTCGTTTTTCTGGTCTGACGAGCCCACCAGCTAAACACCGACTTACACGATTCGCCCATTGCAACCCCCTGTAGGTTGGCTCTGCCCTGCGCCAACGCTCTTCTCGCTCTTCTTCTCTCTGCTCTCCGCTCTCTTCTATTCTGATTCTCTCTCTCTCTCTTTCTCTCTCTCTCTCTCTCTCTCTTCTGCTCTTTTTCTGCTCCTTTCCCGACGCTGTTGCAGCTAATCCGGCTGTTGTCGCTGGTGTTGGGGCCTTGCCTATTCCAGGGAAGCCTTACCACACCACCACAGCTCCCAACGGATATACCCAAGTACACATATACAGATTTCTACAGAGAAGAGGGAAAAAAAAAAAAAAAAAAAAGAAATCTTCCAAAGCGTCCACCGGGAATGGCGAGCCCCGTCTCCAGAGGTGCTGCCACCAGCATCCCGCCGCCCAACGATGGCCCCAACGCCGCCTCTCCCACAAACAGCCTCAGCGGCGGCTCTCTCAACGGCCACGGCGATGGCGGCGCTGAAAAGGACAGCAGCAGCAGCATGGACATTCTCCCCCACGACACGCCGACATCGTCGTTTGATGTCCTCCCGAGCCCTTCGGCCACTCCTACTCCTGCGCCCAGCAATCCCGGCATCCTGCCGCCCGCATCGACAGCGACGGCCGTCAGCTTCAACAACACGGCCGCCTTTGGCCAGAACCTGACCAACCGTGTCTTTTATAGCGAGAGCAGGGCAAGGACTTTTTCTTGGACGTACGACTCCTCACTCACGAATCTGGTCAACATCTCCTGGTACGGCACAAACATCACCGGCAAGCCGTTCAACGTGTCTCAGGCGACTGTCATTGCCTCTGCTGAATTCGACGGGTCTGCGTCTCCCGAGTTTATGAAGCGTATGTTGTGCATTCTCTCTCATTTTTTGTATAAATCAAGTCTACTCTTTTTTGACGTACAGAAAGATTAAGGAAGAAGAGAAGAATATAACCCCCCCTGGCTAACAAATGAATTAAAAAACCTTTCCAGTCAGCGACTCCAACGCAGTCCTCAACCTCACAGCCCCAAAAGTAATCCCCTGGTACGAAAAAGAAATGGTTGTCAAAATCTCATGGACAGGCCAAGACGAAGAACAAGGCTTCTCCCAATCCGGCGTCTTCACCGTCGCCCGCCAAGACGACCGCTCCTTCAGCGCCGACGACTTCACCCGCAACGTCACAAAGGCCGAGCAGGACAGGCAGGGCTTCGAATCAATCACCTCCCCGGGCAGCCAGAGCACTCCAGGGTCCTCCGGTAGCAGCAGCAAATCTTCTGGCGGCGGCGGTCTCAGCACCGGCGCCATCGTCGGCATCGCCGTGGCCTGCTCCGTCGTCGGCATCGCCCTCCTCGCGGGCCTGGTCTGGTTCCTCCTGCGCCGTAGAAGACGCCGCTCCGTGGGCGAAGGCTACAAGGCCACGCGCCAGACCACAAACTCCTTCACCGCCAAGGAGGCCCGCCCGTCCGTCGCCGAGTCGCCCATCATCGTGTCGCCCTTTTCCGACGACGGCGAGGCCCGCGGCTTTTCAAACTCGAATATTGCCATTGCACTGCCGCAGCGCGGCTCGACGCCGAGAGCGGTCCCGGCAATCAATGACGAGGGCAGTGGTAGGGCGGATCGTCCGGATTCTGCTGCGTCGGGCAACAGGTCGCGCGGCGGCATCGCTCATCTTGTCGAGGAGGGCATGACGGAGGCAGATATCCTGCGTCTGGAAGAGGAAGAGCGACATCTAGATGCCGAGATTGAGCGCGCTGCCCGGAGAGGCTCTTCTTAGACGCCCCCTGATCTCGCGAATGAGAAAAGTGATTTGGTGAATCTGGGGAGGCTGCTGTGACTTTTTTTCTCTCTCCTTCTCCCATTTTCTGCTATAATGGTCCCATGCTACCGCTATCCATCCGTGGAGTTTGTAATCTTTGTTCGTTTCCAATGACGATTTGAGCGCAATGGACGTCACCACTTATTATATATACGAGTCCATTTCCTTGGTGGCATTTTTTTTTTACTGTCAAAATTTCCCAAGACTCTGTCAAAGATGACCGTGGAAATGACTGCGACGTTTTGAAAGATAATTACCATGGTTCCTCTCACGGGCATCTCCTTTCCACGTTGTTGTACCTTTTTTTGCCCCTTCTCTTTAATCTCGATTTGTATATAGACATATACCCTCTGCGCATATCTAGCAGGTTCTTTTGATACCACGAGGGCGCCACTCGCTGTAAAAAAAACTTTAATAGAGAAACAAGGAAAATAAATGCCAACCTCAATTCTTCATTGCTTCGTATTTCCGTATCTTGCACGTGAAAAATGTAGACGGAAGAGAAAAGGGGTGAATTCGATCGATACAACTCCTTCCAGCCATGCTCCAAGGACCCAAAACGTACACTTGCTAAATAGTCCACCCCTGCCTTATCCTCATGGTGAATGTCGTCGTGGCCTCTCGACTCAAAATCCGGGCATCCTCAGACCAGCACCGTGCCACTATATCAGGGTGGCCTGGAAAAAAACAGCACACACAATTTTGTAAACTCTCTCCAATCAAAACAAGAATACCGCTCCACACACATGAATCTTTCCTTTTGATTTTACGACCTGAACATGCGGCCGACAAAGTTGCTAGCAAGGCTTGTTGCCAAGTTGGTCGATCCAAAGGCGCCCCCGGCAAAATTGCCCGCTTGACTAAACTTGTCACATCGAGAAAAGGCCAGAGTGTTGATAATGGTCAGAGCCAACGCGATAGCTATATGTCACATGTAAGTATACTGGGAAAGAGAAAAAGGTAAAAATAATAGCAGCTCTACTCACCAACAAGAGGCAGCCACAAAAACTGCAGCCGTATAATCGCCAGAATCGCCATCAATATCCACCACAGCGGCTGAATATACAGCGCCAGCCAGAAGAACCGGCTATCCGTCGAGTTGATCTCCCTCGTCCCCGGCTCCAGGCTCTCAAACACCCACTGGGAATCGCCCGTCGACGGATCGACTTCGTTCCACCACCGCAGCCCGACGAGTCGACGGCCGGCAATGTTCTTGAGGTAGTAAAAGTCGCAGGCTAGGAGGAGAATCGTAATAATGAAAATCATGATCCTGTTTTGGGAGAAGAACGTTAGTAAAGAGGGTTTAAGCCAACATCGTGGGTGGAAGGGAAGAGAAGGAGAACAAAGGGCGGCTACGCACATGCTCTGGATGATCCATAGCCCCAAGAAATATATGAGCACGCTCGCTACAATTCCGCCTATTAGTTTTACATGCGACACAATTCGACAAGGCGCTACCAACATATCCTAAAGCCCAGAAACGTGAGCAACGTAATGGGATGAGAACTGAGCCGCCAGCTCAGGGCTCCCGGCTGGGGTTGCGCGGCCGCCTCCATGGTCTAAATTGCCGGCGTCTGGTGCGGTTTGATGATGGATGCGGACGACGGAGCGGATCAATTCGTGTCAAGGCGTTGTTATGAGGTTGTTTCAGGACTTGTTCGTCATCAAAAGAGCATGAGGTATGCAGCATGCAGCATGGGAGCTTCGCGATCAAGCTACCGTAGCTGGTCGAGTGTCACGGATGGAGGTACGATGTTCCGGCCAAGGTGGGGTCGTTGTATGTACTTCGGCTACTCTACTCGGCTGCACGTATACAAGCAGGCATTATGCCATCACTACAGTACGGCTATTCTCATGTTTGTATAATTTGTGATTCGATTTCAGTCTGCTATCGCATCTCAACCTGATCGGCTTCATGCCATAATATCTGGAACCCCCCAATCTCAAATCTCTGAATATACTTTTCCATCCATCGTAGTATACTATCAGCCACCATCTCTATACGCCTAGCCATCGCTGCAATTCACCATGGCAGCGCGAGCGTCTTCCATACTGCGCCGCTCCTTATTATATGGTTGTCCCAAATTATCCTCGTTCAAGGATCCCTGCTAAGATCATTTGTATAGTACCTGCGTCTTCCCAAAAGATGCTCACCAAGTCCCTGGGCTTAACAACGGACAATGTCACGTATGATTTGGAAGATTCTGTAACCCCCTCTCAAAAGGGCAATGCTCGGAATCAGTTGAAACAACACTTATCTGGCCTCAAACTGCGCCCTTCCACCATTTCGGAGCTTGCCGTTCGAATAAATGCAGTTTCCACCCCATTTGCTCTCGACGACCTCAGTACGCTGGCATCGGCGGATCGCGTTGATGCTGTTGTTGTGCCCAAAGTCAACTCAGCTGCCGACTTGATGTTTGTCACCGACGTATTGCGGCATGTCGCACCAGCGCGGCATGAAGATGGCGCAACAGATCCTATCAAGATCATAGCGCTTATCGAGTCTGCACGAGCAGTCATGGACCTCTCATCCATTTGCAGAGCCTCCCCCTTTCTCAGCGGCTTGATATTCGCTGCTGAGGATTTCGCACTTGATCTTTCTATAACAAGAACACCTTCATTGACAGAATTTCTCTATGCAAGATCGGCCATTGTCACAGCAGCTCGATCGTATGAACTGCCAAGTGCCATCGATTTGGTATGTACCTCTTATCGAGGTGATGACGGCCTGCAGACACTGGAAGAGGAGTGTAGAGGTGGAAAAGCCATGGGATTTAATGGGAAACAATGTATACACCCCGGACAGCTAGAAACTGTCCAACGACTGTTTGCCCCTGACATCAAGGATGTAGAGTGGGCTGTTCGCATCACTATTGCCGACGAAAAGGCAGCAGCCGCTGGGCGTGGTGCGTGGACGCTGGATGGGAAAATGATTGATGCTCCAGTGGTTGGCAAGGCCCACGCAATAGCTGCCAAAGCAGAACAATGTGGGGTTGATATTCAAGACCTGAGAGCCAAGTGGAAAGATCAAGAGCCAGAGTAGCGACATCCAATATCAGCAGCCATTCTTAGAAAGCCTGATTTCGTCAATATGAGTGCCAAAATGCATACCAGGAGAGTCATCTCCAGCATCAAAAGGTTGTTGAGGTAGTCCCCAAGTCGATCAAGAAAGATTCGAATTCCTTCGTTGTTAGGACATGCAGAGAGCGAAATCCCAAGTCGTAGGTGGCTTGCAAATATGTAACAACTAGGCCGTCGAATGATTGAATAAGGTCCTCAGAAACATTCAACGCCACATCATATAATTTGGCTGCCAGACAAATGCAGATTCTGACTCATTTGGGTCTTCTTCGGGATATGAAAGCCTTGAATAGTGCCTAGGAAATCGATCCACAAAGTCGTGGGGCCGGTCTTGTTGAGGGGAACGAACACGGTATCCAATCTCACGCAGAGGCTTGCTTGGCTGTACTGTAGTATCTAAAGTATTTGCTTCAGCTGGAAGCAGCGCCTTGTCAATATAGCGCGCAGATGGCTCATCAGCACCGAGTATTTCCCGCTCCATTCTTCCAATGTACGCTTGTAGCGTTTCACCAGGTATGTCGTCAACGATTTGTGATATCCTCTGCGAAAGGGCATTGGCTGCTGTGATACTGTAGGCATCACTATGTTGCAAATCAATGACTCTAGAGGCATCTAAGCGGTCAAAAGGTGATGAGCCACTGGAAAATGGTGGAAGTAGGGCGTTTGACAGATAAGGGCCGCTGGTACTGTTAAAGTACGATATCGGAGGTGTTTTGTCGCGAGGAGTAGTAGTGTCTTCGATTCTCGTCCCTCTGAAATCGAAAGCTTCGGCAACTCCGTTGGGTACTTCAGGAGGTGATATTTCAAAGACAGCATTGGGCGAGGATTCTGGTCTTCTCGGTCGGAATTGGTGGTCGGCAGTAGTCGTACTATATGGCATATTCCCTCTAGTCCGTTGGTGTAGCCAAGGGCTCACCATGACACCCTTATCCTCGTACTTATGGGGATCAACAGCATCCTGACCATTGGGCGTGAGATCTTCCCGACTTCTGACAGCAGTAAGATCTTGTTCTATGGCACGTCTCCCCTGAGTTTTCTGTGTAAGACTGCGGGTCGAATTGACAGCCGTCGGATGGCTGCGAATTGATAGGCTTTGTGGTGTATTGCTTCGTGGTGTACGGCTGCCACGCTGTAGTGGTCGCTCGTTATTGTTTCCGTCGTCACTGGAGTCGATTGTGCCAGTAGGGTGGCTGGCAGATTCCGGGGGTGGATAATCTGCTACCAGTCGTTTCAACGCGCCAGTGAAACTCTTAGTTTCGTCTGGACGAGGGTTTCTTTTTTTCCGTTGTTTTGATTCTGGTATCGGATCGTCCTTGTCGCGTTTCTCGACATTTTTGTGGTTGAGGGGTATATCGTTGAACGCCAAATCGGCCACTATTGAAATGTTAGAAGTAGAGTCTGCCTGAAATTCATAGCATATACGCACACGAGGCTGAAGTGCGCCCATTGACGAATAAGCCTGGGGTGAACTTTTGTTCTAGCTTTTGGATGTTAGATTTCTCTTGGTAGCCAATATCAAGAGATAGAATGGAAAAAGTACCGTAAGCTTCTCGCCTGGATTTGCAATCGCCTTCGAGCGGAAATTGTCCATAACCTCTCGGCTAGATTGTAGTCTCCCCCTTTTTGACACGCGAGTCAAAGATTTCTTTCTTTTTCTCTTCTCCGGTCGTTCATCCTTTGACTTTGTGGACTCGTAGCGATCTCGTCGAGTCTTCCGTCGAGGTTGCTTCTCGAAAACATAGCTCTTCGTTAACGGAGCCTCTGATGTCGTTGATGCTGGTCGTATGTTATGGTAATGTCGCTCTCCATCGTGCAAGCTCTGGCCATGATCGCGGTCTGGGGCCGACTCTCGACCCTCATGATGGCATTGCGACTGTGAAGGGCTGTTCTGGATAAGAATATCTGATGACTGGTATTGTCCAGATTTCGGCTGAATACGAACAGTCGTCAGTCCATTAGGATGCCATGAGAGATTATTGGCATCAAGGGGACTTTTTGGCTGTGGAATATCTTGAGGAGGATCGTTCTGCATGTGATTTAACCAGGAAGGGATAAAGTCGGCCCGCGAGGAGAGACAGCCGTCATTTGCAACAGGTAGAGGAGCTGGAGCACGCCTCTGGTCTCTGTGGTAGGTCGTGATCCTGTCTGTAGAACCACGATGCTTATGACGCGTCATGCTGATGCCAGGTGGCAGCCGGCTGGAAACGATTTGATAGCTGGAAAGAATCAAAGCAAGCCACGAGCACGGTGACGGAAACGATTTGGCACGGAGAATCAACTGGCTTGCCATCAAATCTATGGAAGCATTTACGAGTCTGGCTATGGCTGGAAAATATATGTGCCTCCTCTCCTATACACGGCAAGAGCTGTGCTTGCCAAAACCAGCCAGTGGAAGCTGATACTCACGCAGGAGGCAGGAAGCAGCTATTCACAGCTGCACATATCAGCCAAGCAGCTGCCACCACTCCAACCAGCAAATCTTTTTTTTCTCATCATTTGGCAGCAAGCCCAGTTGCCGTGGCCACAATTGGGCTCGACGCCGCGAGGCATATTCTGCCGTCGCTGAGGACTGGCTGGGAGGTGCATGTAGGTATTCATCGACTGCTTGCAGTGCTTGCAATAGCTCCAGTACTGTACTCTACAGTAGGATTGCAGTGGCGCTGCCTAAAGCAGCAAGGTTGTGCCATGCATCGATTTGCTGTCCCATAGGCTCTGGGCATATAAAAGAGGATCCTCTAAATTAATTAACGTGCGTGCGACTTGCCCCAAAGCAGCCGAGTGGAGGGTACCCTCCCCCGCTCTGGACAGCTACCAGGCCCATGATTGGCAGCGACTAGCCAAGAAGCCAAGATGCTGTATAGCAGACGGGACGGCCTTGCCAGATATCATCACCCGTGGAGATTGCAGCAGGTATGGTGATGCTAGCGAAGCGCAGGAGCAGGGTAGCTGCTGGAGATGGGCTAGTATCTTATGCGAAGAATACCAGCCTCGGAAGCTGACGCCGGCTTTGCTGCTTACAGGCAGTGGTGGCTCGGATCAAACAACAAAAGAAGCAAGGACGACGTCCCATTCTCCTCCAAGTATACACAAACAACCTTATGCTGCCGTGCTAGTACCAGGTAGGCGGATCGTTGACACAACCGTTGTGAGGTGTGGTAGGACTGAGTACCACACTAGGGCTGGAGGGCAGCGGTTAATTGCTGGACAACAGGCAATGACTATGCCAGGATAGGTAGTGCCGGTATAGATGGAGTTATGGTTGCGAATGAGTCCAAATCTGTGGGAACATTGAATGCTCCCTGGGCGATCCTCAGCTAGCAGCTCTCTTCCGCGCACTGAGATCTCAAGGCCTGATCAGTGATTACCAACCGAAACACGAAACCATACAGTATGACCCGCCTTGGAGGCTAGATGCGTTGATGGGGTCGAATCCGACTTTCGGGTCGGTGGACTTTTGGGAGTGGAGCCGAGGAAAAGCGCGCGCAAGATCCTGGATTGCCAAAGCTCGGATACCGTTCTGTGTTGTCCTTGTACCTAATCGTATAATTTATGACCACTACACTATACCAGGTAGTAGTACCAGCATCGGGGTCGTTACCCAGGTCTGGCGAACAGATCATTTGCTCAATGCAAGGGAATGCCAGTGAGCGGCTTACCAATGGCACAATGCCGTATACGAAGTACGACAAGCAATTGGGCAATAATGCGCGGCGCCCTATCAAGAGGCCAATGCCGGCCAGGCACCGGGAGTGGACTGGGAAGGCTGTGCTTTGCTCTAGCCAGCTGAAGAGCAAATCAAAGGGACTCTAGCACTCACAAGCCAGAGATCTGGGCAGGCTGCTCGCCCACTTCTGGCCATCCCATTGGGTGCGGCCGGCAGGATTAGATCAGGGGTTCACAGACGACAGACTGGTTGACGTGGATCCCTCGCACCTAGCGGCTAGCTTACGGTCAGGCTGGCTTTGGGGGGCTGTTCCTGAACCTTTTCCCGACCAGGGGGGCCCAGCACGGCTCAAAAACAAGTTATCGGCATCGCAGTGGAACTAGCAGGGTGCTTCACCTCTGGTGAGTTGGACTGCTGTTGGTTGTACCCGCATGGGAGAGAATACCTACAGTAGGTAGGGCATCTGTGATAGTGTCCTTGAACTGCAGTTGTTCTCGTAGTTTGTGGGAAGCCAAGAGGTAGCGACTGACCTAAGAGCCAAGAGGAAAAAAAAAGGGTTGCTCTGTATCATGCCCCTTTGATAAACACCCACCCAACAGACATTGGGCCTGTAACAAGAGACACAGTACTGGGTCATTTGTAGCCATCTTGTCTTTGGCATAGGAGCGAGATCTCAGAATATACCACAAATACGGAGGAAATGAAAAGAGTAAGCCGCGGATGCAAGGTCAATCAGTCTTCATCTAGTTTTGTTTTGCTCCAGGGACGACACCCTTCCCTCAATCTGATATGCTCGTACAAGTACAACATCTTCACCACAGTAGCTCGACCCCGGCACCGCTTGTTCCCAATCCAAGCCCCGGTCACGCCATCTCTTCTTCATAGCGTGCTATGGATACTCGGTCGGTACAGCAAATAGGATTTACACGGAGAATTTTCAAAGTACGGCCAGCTCGGTCACTTGGGATCGCACTCGGAATTGCTGTATGTGATAGAATCAGCACAGGTCCTCCATTGTGCCCAAGACAAACGACGAGGGATGCCACACCAACGGCTGTTCAGCAGCAGGTAGCACGGCCTGGGCCTGCATTGACCTCCCTGGTGGAAATGTAGTGGAAATGTAGCATGCGCTTTCCTCTCCTTGCGAGGTGCATTGCAGGTGTTCATCCATAGCAGCAGCAGTAATCACTGGCAAGGCCCTGGTACCATCACCAACCGATGAGCAGACGCATGAATCCAACATGCTGCGAAGCCCTTTTGATCCCAATTGCCCTTGACAGGCAGAACTCGTAGCACAACTCGTAGTTTGTCCAGGGCTCCTTCTGGCTATTATTGAGCCGGCTACGTCATTATTAGCCTGACTCTATTTTCCGCTACGAGGCGGTCACCTGCAGTTCTGCCGCGTACGTGGTGGCACGCAAAGTAGCTGCCAAGTAGCAGCAGTTGCAGGAGAAGGTGCGTCTGATAACGCCAGCTGCCAGCGTTTGGCGAGCGAGTCACAGGTACTTGTGCTTGGAGCTCGTACCGCAAGGCACAGCACAGCACAGACTCGACGGCTCTCCCTCTCAGTTCCCTTTTTCTTTTTCTCCCCTTCACAAACCTCATCCCAGCTCCTTTTGCCGTTGCGACAGCGGCTTCACTCTCAAGGCTTCAGCGCGCTCCATCGTCCGCCCGCCTGCTCGAGGCCCGCCGTGATACCCGATAAGCATCCGCACCAGCAAGGCTCCCTCAGAACACACTATCCGACGCGCCGCGGCCATCTTGCCAGCATAGTCCAGCTTCCAGACTGGACCTGGGGCATTTTAATTAGCGCATAGCTTAGGACAGCGGCGTCGATCGCTGAAAGGGCGAGATCAGCAAGCCACAACCACGTTGTGTGGCCCTCTTGTTAGGCCTGGACAAGCCGTTTGAGCACGGCGAATCAGCAACAGTCTGCTAGGTAAGGCCGCGCAGTAGTCTGCATTTTTCCTGTCCCTCGCTGCAGTATCGCATGGTACGCCATTGGCGTGTCTGGCCTCCTTGTTCTATCTCAGTCACCGTCACCGTCACTTCTCCCGCTCGCTCTCTTGCTGTCTCTCCCATTCCTTTACCCGTCTTGCCCTCTCCCTGCGCTTGTGGCTTGAGCTTGGCACTGCCATCATCTGGAGGACCGGCGTTTGGCGATTCTCCCATCACTCTCAACATCCCAGCACACATCAACTGCTCCTGGAACCTGGCCATAGCCTTTCCGCCTATCCAAGCAAGCTCTCTCTTCTTCTCGTACGTTGCTGCCAGCCCTTGTCGACCAGACCCCCCTTGACGTTGAAGCATGCCACCCTATGCCTGCCTTTAGCCAGGCTAGCGGGGTGTCCTGGAGAGCCACAAACCGCATATTGCTCACACAGTAATACCCCATAGTATCCAAGGCCAGATGACACTATGGGAGGTTTGCCTGGACATTGACAGCGCCGCCACCAAGTGGTGGCTTTTGCGCGCCATATGCAGCTTAGAGGGCTTGACACTGCCCTGCCCAAGCCGTTGATTCTCCCCAGGCCATCTGCTATCACCTGTTGAGACTAGTTCTTGCAATCTTTCCCCCCTCCCCTACCGAGCCAGCTATACATCCCGATTCTGCACCCCGCCTGACAATATTAGAACATTCGGTCAGGGTATCGCAACTCGAGACAAGGACTGTCACATCCACCAGCATCAGCAAAAACAAGACCTCGTGCATCTCGAAATGTCGAAGCTTTTCATTGGGTAAGTTCTCCCATTCGCGATGTCGTTGCCGTCGCCCGCCCGTCGTGGAGACGATTTTGGACATGCTCCTGACTGACAGTTAAAGCGGCCTGGCCTGGCACACCGAAGAGGCCACTCTTCGCCAAAAGTTTGAGGAGTTTGGCGCTGTTGAGGAAGCGGTAAGCTTGTCCTTTGTTCGTCCGATAACGCCCCTGGGGCAAAGCCCAACTCGTTTGATTGATTGATTTGGCTCGCCTGGCTTGGTTTTGATTCATGAATGCCAATGGCGTGGATCATTTCAACCGATGACAACCCCCTATCGGCGGCAACTCGTGCGTGGAGCGTTTTTCTAATCTGGTTTCGTCAAGGTTGTTGTGAAGGATCGAGATACCGGCCGCAGCCGTGGCTTTGGCTTCGTGCGATTCGTGCAAGAAGCTGATGCCCAAGCTGCTATTGACGCCATGAACAATGTCGAGTATGAATTTTGGCTTCTTCTTTTTGCTTCGTCTCACAAATCCTTTGCGGATTGGATTTGCCTTCTGGTAGAAGAGTTCTGATCTTTTTTGTTAGGTTTGACGGGCGAACCATTCGTGTTGATAAGGCATCCGATAATGGCCCTCGAGGCGGAGGAGGATTTGGCAATCGTGGCAACGGCCAATCTTACGGAGGCCGTGGTGGCTACGGAGCACCGGCATACGGAGGAGCACCTGGTTATGGCGCTCCAAACATGTATCAACAGGCCTCGTATGGTCGTGGGTACCAACAGCAGCAGCCTCAATATGGCATGCCTCCGCAAGGTATTTCAAAGCCAGATTGTTGCTATTGTCGGCGCATGCTCGCTCGTGCTCGGAAAGTGCTAACCCCTGCTTCTAGGATACGGTGCCCCAGCCCAGTATGCCAACTACCAGAATGGTCCTCAGCAGCCGCCGCAGCCTCCTCAGCAAGGCGGCGGATCCTACTAAACAAGTCCAATAAAGCCGCCGCAGATTCTCATCCAAAGTCTTCCCGTTTTCCCACAGAGAGAGGTTTAGAGCCCTTCCAGAGCCGCAATATCGAAGAATAAGGACCTAGGCGTGTTCTTCTGGTTTCGCGAGCGGCATCTTCCAGAAGTCCCAAAACGGAACATCTATGAGCGTTCAAGATATACCCCGGATTTGTGTTTCTTTCGATATATGGATGAGCTGTTCGGCTTTTTTATTAAGATTGCTCGACGAGAAGCTATTTGGAGAGGGAGGATTTCTTTTTTCATCTTTTTTTCACTGCCGATATTTTACTTGTCCCATCTTGTGCTTTTGGAATCCAAAAAGAAAGGGGAGTGGTTCTTGCACCATCGTTTGTGGGAGGGACTGGCCGGGATCACGGACTAAGGACAAGGGAGAGATTTCTGGTAGAGATATCTGGGGGGAATATTGGAACCATATATGTGGGCCACGTTTCTAAAGAGAGGCCAACTATAAGATTGGCGACGTTAATGACGGGCTATGATTAATATCTAAGTCGGCCAGTGTGACAGATGGGGCGGCATTTCTATCATTAGGAGTGAGGAAAAAAAAAAGCATTTGCGTTCAGTGCGACTCGTTGAAGTTTTCGTCCTTGTCTTTTGTGTGCCTTGTTTATGCAACAACTTTTTCGATCTCCTCCGCTTCTTGTGTGCTGGCGTCTTGTTTGAAATTGGAAACGGGGTCCAGATCTTGGGGAGCTTTCATGGATCCATTGGCGGCGAGTTCAAGAGCCCTCACGCGGCGCGCAAGATCACTAACGTGGACATCTTCACTCTCCGGACAGAGCTCAGCCAGGGCTGTATCGAGGCCGAAGAGATAGTCCTTGTTCAGCCCGCTAGGGCCACGGCTGCGCAAGATGTGCTCGGCAAGCTTCTGGGGATCTTGAGGGCCGACAAATTGCTCGTTATCAGGCGTGCCAATGTAGACGAGCGTTCGGATGGGAGAAGAGCCGTCGGCAGGATGGAATGGCGTATAGTGGATGGAGTAGCCGTTGATCTCTCGAATGTCAAGATACTCCTTGACTTCTGCGACGTGGTCGGCTTCGATTCGGTAGGCTACACCCCATACCTTATCGGGAGCAGAATCGTGGTGATCGGTGAGTTGTTCCCAGTGAGACCGTTCAATGAGAGTAACTACTCGCCCGGGAGCTTCTGGAGTTCCTCGATGGTCCTCACTGAGGCAGCAGTTGGGTTAGCATTGGAACAGTTGCTCTAGGACTCGACTACTCTTGCAAGAAAACCACAGGTGCTGTCATACCTGGCCTATTCTATGGTTAGCCATCCGCAGTACTGGAAAAAATGAGCGATGAGTGAGTGACAGCGCGAGACCGTCACTAAACGGTTCAAAGATACGTACCTGCCAGAAACGCCTAACATAGCCAGTTATCCAGCCCGGCACTCTTCTGTCTACCTGGTGTTAGTATTTTAGGGAGACTCTCTAGGATGACGTCTTATATGTATGGGTAGGTAAATATATATACCGAACCAGGGAGGGGGCTTCCATATGAGGCTCCTACAGGTTGGGCACCCATCAGCTATCAGATATATGAAACAGGCAGAGGAGCAGGGCATCAGCAGAGGAGTAAGCCAAGCAGAGCAGTGCCACGTCTCAGAAAGATTCTTACCCATATCCACAAATCCAGAATTCCGACGAAATGTCCGATGCAGTCATTGTAATGGGTCACACGAGATATTCTATCTTACCCGTTGCTCCAGGCCGACTAAATAGATGCACTACCGAAGGAATTTGAGTGATGTAATTACAAAATGAGGACGGCAAATACAGCAAATAACAGTCTACTACAAGTCTGACGAATGGCAAGTTTGGCGGCAAGACTTGAAGAGAGGGAACAGCCTCATGGAGGAGCGTTATCGTTGGAAACCACAATGAGTCCAAGTCCAGCCCGGTAAGAAAATGAGATGCTATATCGACAGTGGACATGATTACAAAGCAAGCCCATCGAGTCATGACAAAATGACATATTAAGAGCTCGACAAGACACAATTGACAACAACCTCGCCCGGTTTTACTTGAGCGAATAAGGATCTACGAATGGATTCATCTGCCAGCTGAGGGCAGGTGGACAAGGCTACCTAGGGATGTCCATGCACGTTGAACCTCGTGATCTGGACGACGCGAAGAGTGAACAGAGAATTGCCTACTGTGGAGTCTGGGTGCCATTGGATTACGCGCAGAGCCTCAACAACCCCCGTGGCGGCTGTGCAAGTTTCCAATGGATGGATCAACAGTCGTGCATGCTGTTTTGACCTTGTTCTCGCATACGCGGATTCCAGCTTTCAGCGCCTTTCTTGGCCGCTTGGCGGACAGCCAGCAACTCATATCAGAACAGAACAGATGGTCCAGGTCTTGGCCGACAATTTGGGCGCCTTTGAACGAGGATGGGCACGGCTGTCGATCGACACGAGAATGCGGACAGCCAAGATTCTATTTTAGTCTCGTCTCCTGGGCTCACGGAACGAACGAGCCCTGAATGGACGGTCTGGAAGGATTAAATTGAGGCGCGGCACTCCAGGGCACCCCGCCCCAGAAGCTGGCGCAAGGCACAGGGATCGTCTTGCTTGCAGACAAACCTAAACTAAGCCGTCGAGGATTGTCTCTGTGTGACGGATTTGTACTGTAGCTGAGCTGAGGTGAGGTGCCGTTAACGCGTATTCCGGCCTACCACGGCACGGAGTATCGCATCGCCGGCAGTGCTCGACTAGGTTTACGACAGTCATCTGGGGCTTGATGCATCATCCTCACGCCAAGGCACAATCCGGCGATACGCATTTTTGCTCGCCCTTTTCCAGCTGCAATCTTAAAGACCGCGTCGGCGTCGCTTGGAATTGACACAGCGCGGCTCCTGTTTCCGAACGCTTGCAGGCTTGTAGCCCCTATTCTGCGTCTTAATCTTGGCTTATATAGACCGTCATTTCAAGCCTTGCTGCCCCGCGCAGGCATTTGCTGCTACACCTTTTGCTTGCCTCTCGTCTCCCCCACCTTGGGCTGTTATTCGATTCAAGAAGCTTCTACGAACAACGAGCGCGCATCGCCCGTCGCATAGAAATCTCTCGTTGCGATCCGTATTCTTCACCCACTGTTTCTCTCCTCATTTCCGATTTTCGCGTAACAAAAAAAAAAAAAATGGCCTATCAGCGCCCTTACGACGAAGACGCTCTGCCCAGGTATGCCCCGTCGCGCCCCATGATGCGAAACACCAGCCCACTAACTCGGTCGCCAACAACAGATTTGCCGAGCCTGAGCCCGTGAGTTTTGCTTGAACCGACTGTCTCGAGATGGAATGGCGGCAGAAGTTAACCAGCCAGCATGTGCGTCTTTACAGAAACCAGGTTCGGTGCCACCACAGCATGGCGGACCGCCTCCACAGGCGAGATACGATCGACCGCCGCAACAGCAGCAATACCACCAGCCGCAGCAGTACCAGCAGCACCCTCCTCTCCAGCAGCAGCAGCCTTCTCCCAGACACGACCAGCATTATGACCGTCCCCCGCGGCAAAATACAGGCGGGCATGGCCAAGGACAGCCGAGATACGACCAGCAACAGCAACAGCAGCGACACGACAATAGATCACCGATTCATCACCCAGGGGCGTATGGCCTAGGATCGCCGCCTCCTGTTGCCGCTGCCCAGCGCCCGGCAGCTCAACATCACCCTGCTGCGACCTCCAGGCCACCGCCGTCTCCCGCCAACGATGGGAGTGGAGCTGACCCGACGCTGCTGCCCCTGTTCAGGGCTGTTGACAAAGATGGTGAGGAGACATGCAAACTTGAACGATGCCCGATGTGGCTTAATAGCAAGGAGCTGAACGATGGACTAACATTGCTATCTCTTTGAACATAGGAACTGGACACTTATCCGAAAAGGAGCTCTCAGCAGCCTTGGTCAACGGCGACTGGACCGCATTCGACATCCAGACGGTCCGCATGATGATCCGCATGTTCGACTCAGACCGCAGCGGCACCATTGGCTTCAACGAGTTCTGCGGCCTCTGGTCCTTTCTCGCCTCGTGGCGCACTCTTTTCGACCGCTTCGACGTTGACCGCAGCGGCAGCATCTCCCTGCCCGAGTTCACCGACGCCCTCATCGCCTTCCGCTACCGCCTCAGCCCGCAGTTTGTCGAGCTGCTGTTCCGCACGTACGACAAGCGCAACGAGGGCGTCATGAGCTTTGATCTGTTTGTTCAGGCGTGTATCTCGCTGAAGCGCATGACGGATGTGTTTAAGAGGTATGATGACGACCGGGATGGATATATTACGTTGAGCTTTGAGGATTTCCTGAGCGAGATTTTGAAGCAGATGAAGTAAAAAGGGAGAAACATTCTGTTGGAATCATGGGAAATTAGAAAAGAGAGAGATGTTAAAGGAAGGAAAGAATGGGCTGGATTTGCTTGGGGGGGTTTTTTTATAAACTTATACATCATATATTGGCGGATAGGTCTGCGGAAGTAGACAATGTCCAAATGTCGACGCGGCTTGGCAGATGGATGCGCGATACCCTGGGAGATGTGAGGGCATCTCATTTGTGTAGGCGAGACAAATTTCGATTTAGCTATTATAATCATCATTGACTTGACTTTTACTAGGTATACAAATTGTTCTACGCCTTGAACCGTGATATCGATGTTATTTCACAAAGCTCAAAACCAGTAACGCTGGCATTCTTGTTATTACTATCCTTTAGGTGATGGGCAGTGCAATACATGAGTACATTGGATGGTGACACTTGCGGAGAAACGGGAGTATGGTCCCAGCCTGATTGGAGCTTGGATTATTGTCAAGAGAAGATATTGATTGGTTACTCGGAGAGAGCTCTGCTTCTTGAAGCGGGGTTGGATCCTGTGGCACATGAAGCTGACGACTTGTCCGTGATACTAGTATCGGAGATTTTCATTCTATCCAGAACGCAGAATCGATAGTTTTGCCTAAATCCGAAGACACATTCATATACACAAGAAAAGAAGAGAAAAAGTCATGTCAACATATCGTGAAGCCAGCGTCTTGTGGTGGGACTGTTCCTCAATGTTCATCCGCTGCCCCCATTGCGGCGACATCCATCGCCATGGTTTTAATGGTCAATATCAAGTCGAACAATCCCGCCTATCGCACTGCGAAAAAGGGGAGGTTTACAAAATTTGCTTCCCCATCAATGGCGAGTACGAAATCGACAAGAACAGGGGGCTCTATGTCCGCGCAGGAGCCGACCCGAGTGAATACTTTGCGCGCGTCGATGCCGTTGAGGAGGTGGATATGAGTGGTAAACGCAAATGGTACGAAGCAGAAGAAGAAGTTCGAGATATCGAGCCCATGAATAGGCTTCAAGCTGCGGTATCAGACATGGTCATGGGCAGGATCAAAGAATTGAAGGCTTACCTTGAGACTTCGTCTGAAAAGGACATTTTCTTCATGGCGTGCAGGCTTCGCAATGGCTCTCGCACGACGAAGACGAGTGGGATGCCTACCAAGTCCTTGTCGAGAGCGGTGAAGCTGAAAATCTGGAGCCTCCTGAGAAGAAGGTTCTTGAGATGTCGACATCTGGTAAAACGGCTCTGCACATGGCGGCCTGCGAGATGCACCCAGAGATTGTCAAGCTGCTACTTGACCATGGTGCTGATCCGAACGCAAGGATGGTGGATGGACGGACTCCGTTGATGGAAGCAGCTCTTTGGGGACGTCTGGATAATGTCAAATACCTTGTTGATCACGGAGCAGACAAGTCTTTACAATGCGTGCGAAAGGGGGTGAGGCTTCGAGCCATTGATTTTGCAAAGTACACCAAGGACAATCGTAAAGAGCGATATGAGCGGTCTGGTGGGGAGCACCATATTTACAAGGAAGCCACTTATGAACGAGACGAAGAACGAGAGGCAATCATCCGAGAGCTGGGTGACGAAGCTGTAGATGATGGCCATTGTGCTCAGGCTTCTGGACTACGTCTTGAGGGCTTTACTTGCACGTCTGTGATTGACGGAGGGGCCATCATATCTATGCTCGCCAACTTTGATGTCCCTCGCAGGAACAAGACGATAGGAATCCTCTTCCGGGGCGACTTGAATGGCACGTCGGCGTTTTCTCCTGTGGCTGCCATGAGTGGGTTTTCACACGAGCCGGACTCGGATCTCAACGTCCAGATAGCAGGCAGAAAGTGGACGGACGAGGTGCTTTACTTGTGCCAGATTACGGGACATGTGCTGCCTGAAGATGGGCATGATCAGGGTATACCGGGGCAGTTTTACGCTTGCCACGCGGAGAAGCAGTTGATTGCGTATCTAGTGAGCAGACATGTGTTTCTTCCACGCGATACTGACAATGGGGATTTTGGAATGGCGAGGCTACGTCTGGATGATGATTGTCTCGAGAAGAAGGTTAGGGAGCTTGTGGATATTGAACCGCCTCAGAGACTGAGAAACGCAGTCATCTTGGTGTCTCGGAGGGTGTGTGGTGACTGCTGTGCTTTTGTTGATGTTGTTAATGAGGCCTTGGGGCTGAATGTAGAGGTGCGAGGGGCGAGTTTGTGTACTTGAGGGGAATGAAGGTCTTATGAAGCAGTGAGACAGAGTATGTGCATTCTTTTAGGCTTTAGCTGCTGTTCTTAATACTATCCACTATCATTTGTTGTCTGGACTTGATTAAAGATGTGTTACTGGTAAGGTATTTTCGCTGCTCGAGAAGTTGTATTCGAGTTAGTCTTCTCGGCGTCACTAGCGCTTCGTATATAGCAAGTATAGAATCAAGATGGAATCACCAATTTTAAGGTGCTTATACACTGAAATCACATCATTGCGCCTTTTTGCTCCCGTTCCGGACTTGAGAATCTGGTAAAAAAAACGGGGTCAAGGCCTTCATCTTGACTCAGGTCAACAGATTTTCCAGTGATGTTGGATTTTCCAGAAGGCCTGGTCAAGATTCCCTCGACATGTCACAAACTGCAAAGCTTGACGCCTCTTTTTTTTTTGCGAACCAACTCTGGTCCCCTTGTCAAGAACCAAGTTCGTTTCGGTATCTTTCCGAGTATAGAGCGAAGAACTCGCACCCCCCCGGGCAGCTGATTCAGCAACATTATGCCAGTTGTTTGCAGCCATCCAGAAGCATTGATGTTGGAGAATGAGTAAAAATAGATGGCGACAAGCCGTGATATTTCGCTGCTATTGTGCCAGCCATTGTGCTGCTATTGAAACAACCAGACAACGGCCTTTTTTTCTGGTCCTGGGGCTAACGAGGGCGTCAAAGCTTTTGCTTCCCAAAAAGCTCTGCCCACGCCCAGATAAATAGGTGGGCGCATCAATCCCCATAATTCTTTTTCCCACAATCTCAACTAGTCTACGAAGAGCAACAATGGGGGGGAACGGAAACAGAACATGTCGAAGGCTTCTAATTTTTTAATTTGTTTTTCCTTTTTTCTTTGGCACGGCAAAAAAAAAAAAGACCCCTGTCGTCGATATCCATTCTGCACGTCAGTTTTCGGTCGGAGGGACCCCCCAGCGGCAGCAGGGAAGAAGCAAAAAAGTGATGTCAGTCGTCCGAGTTTCTACTAGCTAGTCAGTGGCGCTTAAAAGCTTTTCATGCTCTTTTTTTTTTTTTTTCCTTTGCGAAAACGGCAGCCGAAAAGAAAAGAGGTGTTTTTTTGGTCTCTCTGCGTCGTATTATTAAACCGCCACCGCCTTTGGGCGAAACTAACACGCACTTACTCGCAGCTCGTTTGGTCGCAGCTTAGTAGCAGCTGTTAGCCTCGTTTGATAGGCTACAGCTTGCTATTCAGACGCTGCCGGCCAGCCCGACGAGGTGGTCACCTCAATAGTTGGTGCAGCAGCAGTTGAGCAGCAGCCAGCTTCTTCAGGGCTTTGGTACTTGTACTGTAGCTCCTGTACAGAGGCTGCAGAGGCTGTAGAGGCTGGCTGACGCCCCTCTTCGGCCCCGCCGGCGTCCAGAAGCGGCATCAGCTTCTCCAGGTCTTGGACGAGCTGCTTCCATGTCGCATGCATGGAGAAGAGTACAGTACACATACTGTAGCAGCTGTAGAAGCAGCAGAACTGCTCCAGCTTGTACTTATGTGGTACTGCAGGCCTGGCGGTACATTCTAGCCGCGAGCATTCCCTGCTCCAAGCCAAGCTTGCTTATCACTCTCTTGCCTAAGTGGGAAAGATTTGCTTGGCCAGGCAGCTTTAAAGGGTCTATAGCTTTTATCCCGACAAAGAGAATAGCCCAGGATCGTCCTTCATTCGCTCAGCAACTCATGCACTCGTCCATTCAGCCAGCTCAGAGCAACCTCACAATGGCTTCAATGTCACTTTTTTCTTTTCCTTTTGCTCTCGGGAGCTCCGCTACCGTCGAGCCGCCACCACGCCGCCTCTATAAAAAGCCCCGTATTGCATTGATTGCATCCCGTTAGGCCGAATCCGGGCTAGCAGGTAGCAGTGACCACAGCTCCCAGAAGCTCCCCTTGTTTCGCACCCTCTGCCCCGCCTGCCGGTCAGCTGAAACCCCGTCGAGTGAGCAAAACTGCAGCTTCAATCGTTGCTGCGTTTCGTTGCATCTTGTACGAGTAGTGCGAATACATGGAGGCCGCCCCGCCCAAGGGTCCCGAGTCAGTGCGTGCTCTGCCCGGCAAAGATGCTCAGATGCTCCAGCTTCCAGCGATCCATTTGATGGTTTTGCCACGAGGGCGGGTTGATGTGCTTTTCTCCTTCCATGGCGCTTGGGAAAGACGCCGGCGCCGGGACTTGCTGACAAGTATAGAGTACAGCTGAAGCTCGAGAATATATCAATCAAGACAAGACAACGAGAACAGACAGACGATGGAAACAAAAGACGAGATCAATAGTACTTACTGTACTGGAGTTACTGGACAGCGATATCGAGTCCTGCATGGAGCATCGAACTGACCCATGCGCAGCAGCTCCCGCCAGCGCCCTGCGAGCTCGCCCATTGGCCACTCCCCCATCACAAGGGACCTTCTGGCGCTGCCGCATGTGCATATGCCAGGGAGCTTTAGCAGCGTTAGTCCCCCGTAGGATGCCCCAAGTACCCGCTACCTGCCGCTACATGCCATGCCCGGTGCCTTGATTGATTCAAGCTCTGCTGTCCACACACATTCCTTCTCGCTTCACACGCCTCTTCCCTCTGCTTCCCTCTCAGAGCTGCTCCGGCTGGCAAGGCAGGGCGTCCCCCAGTGAAAAAAACGGCAGCCCCTCCAGCGCTCCCTCCAGTGACACTCTGCAGACCTGATCATTTCGTCCGGTCGGAGGGTACCTCGCCGTGCTAGGCCGAGCGGGTGGTGTGCCGGGTATCTCTTGTCCAGGACGCCCACGGTACACTGTACGTTCCAGTCCCCTCCCAGCTGCAAACCTTGGCCGAGCTCGTAGCCTGTCTCATCTTCTTCCCATCTCTTCTCTACTCGTCTCATCCCACCATCTCTGCTTCGCCACTATCTAGACCAGACCAGACCTTATACCGTGTACCAGTAGCACTCAACCCGCAGTCGTATTTAAGCTGCATCGTTGCATCTCATCTCTCTCTCAGACCTCCCATACACCCTCTTCCGTGTCCAGTGCCTCGGCTACCTGCCGCCCACGTTTTTGTCGCTTTCGGAAAACCCACTTTGGCCTGCATATGGGTACATTTCGACGACTTTGCTTCGAGAACAGCTTCAAGCTCGCAGCTTAACTTTTGGCTGCGGCGCAATCGCTACTACTTAGCCTTCCAGGAACCGCCGGCGGATACCTGAACTGGGCTTGACGAGCTCGAACCGAGAGGACAAAGAACAGTTCTCATCTGCCTCTTCTTTTGCTCTCACTTTTGCTCTCACCTCTCACTTCATCGTCATTCTTCTTCCTGCGCTCTTGTCCTTTGCTCTAGTCTCAATAGACGCGGGCAACCGACATAGGCGGCGAATCGAGCCTCAGTACTTCTTGCTCGCAGTCGCCGCCGTCGAATGAGTCGACTCGACTAGCTGATCGTTCTCATCGACCCAATTGAGCAAGCTGCCAAGCTTGACTGCCAGACATTTCGTCCGCTGCTTCTGCCGAGGCCCAAAATGCCTCCGAGATCTACCTTGACGTCGTCCTTTTCCATCACAGACTCTCAGAATGAGGTTGTCTGCCCGCTCCGAAACCAGGACGGCTCAAGCTGCCGCAAACGATGCATCGGCGTGAGTACTGATTGCTTGTCTTGCTCCGTGTCCCTCCCAGCCTGCTTTTGCTTCAGCCCTCGTATTCCAGTCTTGCCTTGCTTCAGCCACCGCCGGCCTCACCCGATTCCTCTCAATGCTGTCATGACATCTGTTATAAAAACATGCCTCTAATGCCGTGCCTCGCCTTGTAGGAAAAGAGATACCGCTCCATGCAGGAGCATATTCGCCGTGCACATCCTGAGCATTACATCTCCAAGCTTCCCGCCACCGAGGAGAGCTTCCTGCTCATGATTAACACCCCGGCGCAAGACCGCCGCCAGGATGGAACGCCAACCACAGCTGCTTCCAGTTGGTCTCACTGACCTTGTTTCTTGTGTATTTGTCGCTAATGAGGCGCCCAAGGTTTCCACGATCGCCATTCATTCTACAGGGACGAATCGAGCAATCCCGGGACGCCGCGGCACGGCGACGACCAGCCGCTGCCCGGCACCAGCTCCATTCTCGGAACAGCCAGCGCAGCAGCCGCCCTGGCTGATTTAAAGAGGGAATCCGACGTGGAGGTAAGTGACCCAATGTCGCAGAATGCATGCATCAATCACATGTGCCCCGCGGCGCGGCTTCTATCGATAGAAGGGTGTCTTATCGGATGCAACTATCGATAATGGGATGCCCCACGATGTTTTGACAGAGGGCCGCTAACATGGAGCTTCTCATTGACGTCAGGGATACTACTCCGACCTGGATGCTCGGCGCAGGCCTAGAAAGTCCATTGAGCTGCCGCCCATCAACTTCAACAACATCACGAGCGATCCGTTTTCCAGCAGGCCTCGCGAGATTCTACCGTCTCTTCTAAACGTCTCACCACCCGGGCGATCCTCTACTCTACCTCCCCTCCAGCGCCCATTGGGACCAGCCCGGCCTCGCAAGCAGTCTATATCCAAGAAGAATCGCGAATCCCACCACAAGAAGAAGCCTTCGCGCGGCACTGCGGCGGATTGGCTACGGCGCATCCAGAATGAAAGCATCGGGCCCGGCGGCCGCGATCGAAAGGCTCTCTCTGCCGAGCCTTCCGCCGACTATGGCAAACGCTGGGAGGATCTGATTGATGCGGCGGACCAGGCCGCATCTGCAGCGGGCGACGTCAACGAGGACCGCACTCCGGTAAGCCGCGCTGATGGGGAGAAATCTGCTCATCCGTGTTCCACAGCAACATCTCTAACTGTATCAAAGATGCCTCAATCCCCCGTCTCAATCCACCGGTCATCTCTACCTCCCTTTAGCCACCCCCAGTTCCACTCCGCCAGCAACAACTACCAAGCTTCTCCCTTACAGCAAGCCCTGACGCCGCCCTCGTATAATCAGGACGTGATTGAGCCCTTCCCGTCCGTCGAGAGCGGCGAGAGCGGAGACAACTTCCACATTGGGTCCCGCGGGTTGCCCGACTCCTCCCCGACCTACAACTCGCAAAACATCCAAATCTACTGTGCTGCCTGTCATGGCATTTCTCTACTCAAGAATTCGTATGCCTGCACAGAATGCATCTGCGGACTGTGCTCGAGCTGCGTCGAGGTTCTCATGTCTGAACATGGAGCTCGGAGAAAGTGCCCTCGCTGTGCCACAATTGGAGGCCGCTACAAGCCCTTCCAGTTGGACATTAGATGAATGGTTGCCGGCGATACACTGAGCGGTATCTTCTCTTTTCCATATTGTCCCTTTACAACTTTTGTCGATGTGTGAAAAAAAGTCCCACGTTCCGTACTTATATATTTTCGGCGCCAATATAAACCAGCTGCTGGGGAGGCGCATTAGGAAGCATGATACAGGTATTCTATTCTTCTCTCGACTGTGGAGCGAGCGAGCTCCTCTGTCGAACCTTTAACCATTTTCTTTAGAAGGTCAAACAAGTCCTATATCGGTCTTTTCCACCGGAATTTTTTTTTTCAATGGGTTCTTTCTTTTCTGGGTTTCCACCTCTTTGGTTATAGGTTCCATTCACTTGGTTGTTCATGGGTACACCCAGGGCTCCAAGATGTTTGTTGGTGTTTGAACTGGATTTGTTTTGATTCCCTCGTTTTTGCCGATTGGATTCGACGGGAGGTGTTTTTGATGAGTGACTTGGCTGGGACAGATGCTCGCTTTTGCTTTTCCTGAATGCGATTTTACATGGACTTTCACTTTTGGTTTGGGGGCTCGGGTTATGATTTATATGATGGAATCGGTCATTTTGGATGAGAAATGGGTTTCTTTTTGTTTTACAACAGTCAATAAATGATTATGCTTACATGCTAACTGAGATTTGATCGCAGTCGGTTGTAACTGTTAAATTGATTATTTATATACGCTAAATATTTGTATTGTCCTGTGTTCTTGTAATGTCGTCCATATAAAGCCCCATTGTCCTTTTAACTCTCAAGTTACCAATAATGCTCATTAAATATTATCACTGTTGCAAAAACAGATTGCCATGTTGCGAAATCATTTGCCCTTTTTATCCCTCTCCTGCTGCAAAAGTATATTTCTCACAGCAGCTCTCTGGTTCCGACTGCCGCCGAGCTTGGGCCCCTTGAGCACATCCGCAGACTGCTGCTGCTGCTTCTGCTGCTGTGTCGGCGCGGGGCGCTTCCTCTTGCGGCGCAGGGCCATCTCGTCGTAGTATTGCTGCCGGAACTGTTCGGCGAGGCGGTCGTCGGCGGAGGGGTCTGCGCCGGGGACGAAGGAGGAGGAGGATGCGGCTGCTGCTGTTGCTGTTGCGGCGTGTGTTTTGGGGACTTGGTAGACGTCGACTGGTGAGGGGTGAATGATTAGTTATGGGCTGTGGATTTTATGCGATGGGGGTGAGAGAGAGAGAGAGCTTACGTCGATTCTCGGAGAGGAATTGCTCGACCATGGCGTCGCGCGCAATGTCTTCGCTGTTGCGGCGGTTGCGTCCTCGGCGAGGAGGAGCGGGTTTGGCAGTGTCCGTGTCGACGCGACGTCGCTTGTTGTCGCTCTTCATCTGGTGATTGCCAAGATTTGTCGTGTCGACTTCGACGAGTTTGCCGTGGCGCGTGGGCTGATCGCGCCACTTGTCCGCTGGATTCCCATTGTCGTTTTGGAGGTGCGCAGAGGAGGAATGAGGGGGGAGCTGTGAGGATGATGATGATGATGATGCGCCGCCTTGGGGGGCGTGGGAGGCGTTGCGACTAGCTAGGCGGGATTCTATGTATGCATTCCTGAATGATTAGTCTGGCGCTCTGGAAGAATATAGCAGGACGTGACATTGTGTTCTCAGAGGGGGGGGGAGGAGATAGAGGTAGCCTGGGAGACGTACATGTGTGAGTCGTCCAAAATGGTGAGGAGGCCCGTCTGGTGCATGAAGCGGTTCGTGATGCCGCCCACGATGCGATCGTGCGCCACTGTGCCTTCTTTATCCTGATCTCTCAGCACCAGCGCATGTTCCGCATCGTCTTCTTCGCCGGGTGCCGATCGGCCTTCTGATCGAAATCCCACGCCTCCTCGACGAGATGCTGCGCGGCGGGCGTTGCGAAGGCGCAGAGCTGCCGCGACGGCTGATTCTTCCGCTGTGTGATTGTCGTCGTCGCCGTCATCGCCATTGTCTTCTCTCTCCGAGTGTCCTTGTGTGGGGTTCTGCGCTTCTGCGCCGGTATCGTCCGCATCACGCCCAGCATCGACGTCTTTCGACTTGGACGACACGCCTGGCATCACCGGCGCGGGCGAAATCGCCGTCGCCACACCGTCGTTTGCATCTTCTTGTTCTTCCGCTGCTGGACCTCTTTGTCGGTAGGCTTTTCTCTTTTTGCCGGCGCGGAAGCGGATTGGTTCTATGGTCGGGCTGGGCTGGGCTTGTTCTGGTTGTATATCGTCCATGATTCTTTTGGTTTTTTTTTTTTTGTTTAGTTGTAGAGATGAGAAAGAGGCTTTGGCAGGGCAATGGGGCTAAGGCGAATGTGGTGACTTCATAGTTTTGGGTTGAGATCCGGAGATTAACCGTGGCTGGTGACGACTTGGATCGTTCAAGTTGAATATCAATCAAGTTCTGCCATTTATCATATAAGCTGGGGTTCATTATCTAAAGATGGTAAAAAGAGTAGGATTACTCTTACATCTCATATAAAAGGCCAATTGCTTATACACATCGCAGGTTTATTTCGAAGTACACGGATTCGTCCAAGGTAAAGTTTCAACCAGGCTCCTCCACTTTGCTCCGCTAACATCACCCCGTCCTTAAGGCGTGGGCTTCCGGTAAGCGAGTCTCAATATCATGCCACTCGTATCTCGTGATTAACCAATTACAGCTACTTTACGAGAAAGAAGGCTCATGAATATGGCGTCACAGGGTGGTGCCGCAACACTATAGACGATACGGTAAGACACAGTCCCTTATCAAAGACTCATTCGTAGCTCATGCTCTCCTAAATAGGTCGAGGGCGAAGCTCAGGGAGATGACGACATCATCCAAAGATTCTTCAAGGACATTGGCCAGGGTCCGAGCCATTCCAAGGTCGACAAGGTTGTCACAGAAGACCGTGATGTGGTGGAGCGAGATGGTACCTTTGAGGTCCGGCGATAAAATAGAGTGCTTTGTAACCCATGCCTTGGAACCCGCGCCATGCCTAATAATTATATATATATACAAAAAGAATAAACAAGTGAAACGATTATTTCCAACGTCTAGAACCCTCTTCCGCGCCTCTTTATTACGGGCTTCCTTACTGCGCCTTGAGTGATAATCTTCTTCTCATCTGTGTGGTCTGTTTTCTTCTTAACCGACCGTTCTGCCTCTGCCTGTTTGCGCTCTTCATCCAGACGTTTATCTTCCGCCATCTTTGCCTCAATCTCCATCTTGCGGTTGAATTCCGTCTCAGTGATTCGCTTGTCTCGTATTGAGTAGCCCTTCTCTTTGATGGAGTAAAAGACGCCGCCGAGGTCTGCCAGCCAATGAGGATCAACAGCCGTAACAGTCGAGACGTATACCTTGGAAGTGAGGATGAGTTCGTGGTATACAATGTAGTCCGGCGGATGACCCGCATACAAGGCACTCGTAGGATGCAGCTGGACTCCGAGGTTCGTCCGCAAGTTGGTGTACTCGCCAGATCCCTTATATTTGGCGGCTTGGTGGTAGTATCCGGAGCAGATACACTTGCGGATGATGTCCCAGTCCATGCCACAGCTAATCAAGTTCATCTTTTGCATCTTCACAATGTCTAGGAGCTGTTCCCGAATTTCCTTGGCTCGCCGTAGGGATTTGGAATGGAGGAAATGCTTGATGCACCATCCATCTGAGAATGCATTGGCTTTCCATGCTGAGTAAACCTGGAGATAGGTAAGATGATCAGACTCGTGGACCCAGAATTTCTCTCGTTGTGTGTCGGCCTCGTCTTGCCGCTCTTTTGGCCTGTAAAATACGTTTGGTACCGACAGCATGGACACAATTGTTATCATCTCCTCGCTGCAGCCATACTCTTCCGCTGTAATCAGTAGCTTGGCCAAAGAAGGGTCCATGGGAAAGGCGCTCATCTTGCGCCCCAGCTCTGTCAGCTCTCCCAAGTTGTCTAGAGCTCCTAGAGCCCATAGGTCGAACATGGAGGTGGAAATAGTATCCTGCGGAGGTGGATCCATAAAGTCAAAGTCCAACAAATCTTTGACTCCAAGCGACTTTAGCATCAGCACGGTATTGGCCAAGTTGGTCCGCTGGATCTCAGGAATGGTTTGAATGTACAACTCCTCCTTGAATGCCTTTTCCGTGTACAGTCGGAATGCTTTTCCTGGACCCGTTCGACCAGCACGACCTGAGCGCTGCCCTGCGTTGGCCTGGGAAATTGGTGTGATTTGAAGCGTGTCCATACCCATCTTTGGATTGTACACCTTCATCTTCGAGTAACCCGCGTCAACCACATACTTGATGCCATCTACAGTCAAACTTGTCTCGGCAATGTTTGTGGCAACAATGCATTTGCGAACTCCAGGGGCTGCCCGGTCAAAGATCTTGGCTTGGAGATCTGCTGGCATTTGACTGTAAATCGGTAGTATGCTCAACTTTGGAGGATCGTTTAGGGCGTCTAGGCGCTTCTGTACTAGCTCGCAAGTGATTTCAATGTCTTCCTGGCCTGTCATGAAAACGAGAATATCACCGGCGTCCATAGATACGTGAATGGCCAACACCTGCTGAACTGCCTGGTCAACATAGTCCTCGACTGGAGATCGATGAAACATGACATCAACAGGGAAAGTTCGCCCTGGGATGGTAAATTCGGGGGCACCACCAAAGAAATCGGAGAATTTCTTTGCATTCATGGTTGCAGACGTGACGATGAGCTTTAAATCACGCCGCCTCTGCAATATCTTCTTGAATAACCCCATCAAGATGTCCGTATTCAGCGCTCGCTCGTGCGCTTCATCCATGATGATGCAAGAATATCTGTCCAAGTCGGGTTCGTTGAGCGATTCACGAAGCAAAATTCCGTCTGTCAGATACTTGATGACGGTGTCATTGCTAGTGCAGTCTTCAAATCGAATTGCATATCCAACGGTGCTTCCCAGTTTGACCTCCATCTCTTCAGCCACACGCTTGGCAACACTCATGGCAGCGACACGACGTGGTTGCGTGCATCCAATCATACCGGTCTTCCCGTAGCCGTCTTCATAAAGGAATTGGGTAAGCTGTGTTGTTTTTCCTGATCCCGTCTCACCAATCACAATAATGACCTGATTTTCTCGTATCACTCGGAGAAGCTCTTCGCGCACCGCAAACGCGGGCAGGAATTCTCGTTGTTCGCGCAATGTCTTGCTCTTGCTGAAATCGCTCGCTCCTTCGGCGTTTTTGATGTGTTCGCTGAATTTGTTCCCCTTGCGTTCAGTCTTTTCCATGTCCTCCTCGGCAGCTATTGGCAGCGCGCTATCTCCATCTTCCTCTTTAGCTCCCATGATGTTTCCGAGAGCTGTGCCGGTAATGCTTGTTGCTTCATGCGCCTGTTTCTGTCGCTCTCTTTGCTGGCGAGATTCTTTGACTACCTTGCTCCCCTTTCGGCTGAAGACAGCCATGTCGCTTTGGTAGTCCCTAACTGCTGGAACGGGCTCAAGCTGTTTGGTGAAAATCGTCTTTCCGTCCAAGAATGGCGGTCGTAAATCGTGAACAAGCAGGTGAACTCGTGTCGTTTCCTCATCGTCAAAGTCGGCGGCTAGATCTCTTCGCTGTGCCACACCGGAGACAAGCATACGGTTCGTTTCCCAGGCATCATTTTCCCTCCTCCTCTGTTCCTGTCGGGCGTCATATCGGCTGGTCATCTTCTCGGCCTTGGCCGACTCCTGTTGTTGACTCTCCCATGTTGATGTGTCGTAAGACGCAAAGGGATTGTAGGACTCATCGCCGAATGTATGAGCTCCGAATTCGTCTCCGCCATACCAATCGCGATCCAGAGCTAAAGAATCTTCATCCGTCGGCTGCGGCTGGTTGGAATCTCGAGGAGGCGTCGGCGCATATCGAGACTGGCCGCGCGGTGTGGAGCTTCGAGATCCATCTTGGTACCTCCCTTTGGATCTAGCGAATTCGAGCTTCCTCCTTTTGGGATTGAACCCGTCGTATTCTGCCTCCGATACCATGATTTGAGTCTGCCGATTCCTGCAAATGCGGCTTCGAGGCGGTGATGCGCCAAGTAGCTACGCGACTTGCGAAATGATGGCAGATCAATAAGGCGAGGTTTCGCCGAGTGTACTGGGGGAGCTGCTAAAGAAGCTTATCGATAAACCCCACCATGGAAATTTTTGGCCAAAAAGTTTGGAAAAGGTTGGCGCAGAGATTATAGTTGAAGTTACACTGAAAAAGACTTCAAGATACCCCCAGACATTCGCAAAATGTCTTCCATGATAACTGCTGCCCAGTGGGTACCGCGAGGCTTCGCGGCCCAATTCCCCCAAGTTTACAAGCTTGACGAGTCCGAATTCGACAGAATAGCTGCATTGGCCAAGCTGCAGCTTGACGATGCAGAGGAGGATTTGAAGGAAGCGCAAGAGGAAGGCGAAGATGCAGAGGAAGGAGATGAGAACAATGACGAGGACATGGCGGGAGAGGAAGACAAAGAAAACAAGGCCGGATCTACAGTCAAGTATGTATCCTTGGGCATTCGTGAAATTAATACAGCCCTTTTCGCTAACAAGTTGAATCAGGATCGACGATGATGATCTGAAAGAGTACGATCTAGAACACTACGACGATGACGAAGACGACGACAATGCGCCCGCTGCCAACGGAAGCATGGGCATGTTTGGAAATGTCAAGTCACTGGCATACTATGAATCCAACAAGGAAGACCCGTACATCACACTACAAGACGACGACGAGGACGAGGAGAGGCAGGATCTCCAGGTCTTGGCAACTGACAACCTGATCCTGTCTGCAAAGGTTGAAGACGAATTGGCACATCTGGAGGTTTACGTCTACGAGGATGAGAGCGACAACCTCTACGTCCACCACGACATTATGCTGCCAGCCATCCCTCTATGTGTAGAGTGGCTGGACATTCCCGTCAGCAACTCGGGAGACGCAGCCAAAGATGGCAAGGGCAACTTTGTCGCCGTCGGCACCATGGACCCGGATATTGAGATTTGGGACCTTGACACAGTCGACTGCATGTATCCCAACGCCATCCTTGGCCAAGGCGCAAACCCCGAGTCTGGCGAGAAGAAGAAGAAGAAAAAGAAGAAGGCCAAGGCGAATGACGAGTACCACGTGGATGCCGTTCTGTCTCTCGCCGCCAACCGCCAGCACCGAAACCTGCTGGCTTCCGCCTCCGCAGACAAGACCATCAAACTCTGGGATCTCAACACAACCAAGTGCGCCAAGTCATACTCGTACCACACCGACAAAGTGTGCTCTCTTGCCTGGCACACCGCCCAGCCTACTGTGCTGCTCAGTGGAAGTTACGATCGAACCGTGGTGGCCGCCGATATGCGAGCCCCAGACGCAAAGGTCCCTCGATGGGGCGTCGAGAGCGATGTCGAGAACATCCGATGGGACCCGCACGACCAGAACTACTTTTACGTCTCAACAGAGAACGGCGTCATTCACTATCACGATATCCGCAATGCGCCATCAACTCCGGAAGCAACCAAGGCGGTCTGGACCCTGCAGGCACACGACGAATCTGTGTCGTCATTTGACATCAACAGCGTCATTCCCGGATTCATGGCCACTGGATCGACTGACAAGACGGTGAAGCTGTGGAACATCCAGGCCAGCGGCCCTTCACTCGTCGTCTCTCGTAATCTCGACGTGGGCAAGGTGTTTGCTACCTCGTTTGCCCCCGATCCCGAGGTCGCTTTCCGACTAGCAGTGGCGGGCAGCTCCGGCAGCATGCATGTTTGGGACACCAGCACCAACCCCGGCGTCCGAAGTGCTTTCGGACAGCGCGTCCCTGCTCTGAAGGAGGGCGTTAGCGAGGATCGACTAGTCGGCGTCAATGATGACGAGAGCAGTTCGAGCGAGGATGAGGGAGAAGCAGAGAATAATGAGGGAGGCGACTCCATGGATGAGGATTAAAACACGACGCTTAATGCAGCCCCCGGCTGGCGGAGATTCTATATATCTGGAACATGGCGTTGTTTTTAGCAGTGGAGCCATTGATGAAGCCTCGGAGCAATCAGTGCAGTTTGCTATATGATGTGAATAGAGGGATTTTATAGGCATTTGGAATTTGAATAGACTTGTCAGGGCTTGGAGAAACTAGTATTGACAAAATTATGGTACTAAGCGTCATGTGCTGTTTTCCATCGCCTAAATCACACCTGGGAGACTGCACAAAGCAGAGAAAGATGCATATGGACCGCTACCTGAAGGGATATGCTTCGCCTTCCCAGAACTCTGTCAAGTTCTCCAACAATGGGCGATCGTTTGGATCGACATTCATGGAAGTTTTCCACGATTTCGGCCCATTGGGATGGAAGGCTGTTGTTTCCTGTCCAGGTGACCTAAACATCATCAGGGTGCTCAACCTCGTCAAAGTTGCTGGCCGTCTGGCTCAGAAGCATCCACATGGTCCTCCCCAGCGCAAACACCTCTGCCTCGGGGGCGAGTGTGGTTGCCGGTGCACCGTTTTACTCCCAGTCAATGAGCATTAGGTTCTCTTGGTCGTCAATGATGAAATTCCCGGGCTTTATATCCATGTGGAAAGTATGCGTGACCCTGTGAGTGGTTGTTGGTAAGCTACAATCTCCTGGGTCTCGGTCTCTCCAGGAATGATGTCAACTACAATACCAGGGCCGGCAACTGCGGGGTCCAAGATGCAATGAGGTCAAACCGTGGCTATGGCAGACCATACAGCGCTTCGTGTTGAGCTGCGATTGTGGAAAGTGAATGCCCCTTCGGGCACCTCGAGGTCAAGATTGAAGAAGGCTTGGTTAGAGTTGTAATCCATTTGTTCACCGCATCAGCCACAAGTCCCAATATGCGGTCTGTGTGCAAAGCGATTCTATACTATATCCTAAAGTCGGACGCTTCATTCGGTTTCTACTGTAGCCAACCTCTTCCTCGTAAGAGTCTGATAACTCATGTCATCTAACAGCTATAAACTCGAGATGGGATATCGCTACTCCCTTGTACTCTATCTCAAAGCCTAACGGCATTTCAAACATCATGGGGGTCTAAGCCAAGCGGCTGAAACAACTAGAACGCAATGCTTCCAAATCCCCCTGTGAAGCAAATTGACTTGGGTAAGAGGCTGGATACGACACCGGCACTTGTGCCGAGCCATGACACGCGCATACCACTACTAGCACTTTGGTGTTTGCTACACTTTTTCGATTTCTATTTCTATTTCCGTGTCAGCCATACTGTATGGAGCGTTCTTTAGTCTTTCTGTCGGAAAGGCCCATTTTTTGACACAGTCGGGAGAGGGAGGCCATTGAGTTTGTGCCTGGCCAGTGGCGCCGGCTAGTTGGCTGCGGTTTCTGTGGCTGATCGACTGTTGGCGTTGGCGTTGGCGCTGGCGGTGTGATGGGAACTAAGAAGATGGATCATTTGAAGAAATTTTCTATCTCTTCTTCTTTCTTCTCTTTGGCCGCATCCCCCTTTCTTGCTCCTCTGCGGGCGGAGCAATTGTGCCTGAGATGGCGTCTGCGTTATGGATAAAGTGCCAAACAAGTAACGAGTACATGCACATGTGTAACATCAGCCGGCAGCAAGAATTCATGCAAGCCTTTGCTGCACTTTCATCCCTTCCCCGGTAAAATGGGGGGGAGCGCCCAAGAGCCAAAAGATCAGCGCCCAACGCCCTGTGGACATGCGCGTTTCTTTTTTTCTCTCTCGCTTGCTCTCTCTATTGAACGCTGCATAAGCATGTTTCGCGATCTCTGTCCCTGGCAGGGGTTTTTTGCTTTGTAGGCAGAGAGAAGCCCATGCCATGTCTGCGCTGCTAAAAAAAGGGCCCTGTTGAAACATGGGCGGTACAAGGTATAAGGGGACCGTAGCCAATCAGGCGGCGCGGGCCCTCCAGTTTTTGGCCGCGGTTTGGGTGATCGACCGGTCTTGTCACGGGGGAATGCGATTGGCTTGCTGCAAGCCATTGTGGTTTTGGGCAGCAGACGCAGGTACTGCTGGCACTGCATGTGTGTACTTGTATAGAATACATGCAGGTCTACGGAGCAGTGGTAGTCGAGTAAACAGACAAAATACAGACACGGAATGCGAGATTTTCGAAAAGGTCAGTTCCCGTTCCTTCTGGAGCTCCTGAGTCGTGGACATGGCGAGAGAAGAAGCTACTCGGAGAAAATTTGTTGGGTGGCCACGGCCAGTGCCGCACAGTAGAGGTGTAGAGTCCTTGATCCAGGTACCTGTACTTTATACAAGCCGGGATGCACAGATGCAGCCCGGGGCTATTTTACAGTGGCTGCAGCGAGCAAAGGTGGCGCTGGCCTGGCCTGCCTGACAAGTAAGTAAAAGCGTATCCCCTCATCTGATGCCACGTTGAGCTGCCTGAGTGAGGCGAGAAACAGGTGCCAGCAGCAACGTGGAGCTTGAACCTGCAATTGTTCTCTTCACACAATACCTTGCACGCAATTCAGATACGCATTGGCTAAGCAACTGTCAAAAGAGCACAGAGCAGTGGGTGACAAGAATCAAGCATGGCCTGGTCTTGGGCCAACAGCACAGCAGAGGAGAGAGAGAGACTTGGAGACGGGCAGAATTAGAGGAGAAACGCCAAATTTTAGCAGCTCGCTAGGCAGCGGCCTCCCTCACTATTGGCTGCAATGGCGCCTCACAACGCCATCCTTCATTCTGCACCCGCCCAAACCGGCCTGGCTCCGGAGCCTAGTCCAGGGGCCTGAAGCCTCCATCTGCCCCAAACAGCCTGATGGGCGCGCACCGGGTCCCGAGCTGGCAGCGGCGTGGCCAATAAAGCCGGCGCCTGAGCGATGGGGGGCTTGAACATGGGAACATGGAAACATGGTGCATGGCATGGGAGCCGGAGCTCGATTTGGGCGCCAGGGATCATGCGGGAAATGCCACGCCGCTTGGCTCTCGATGGCGATGGCGCTGCTCCATCCATACCTGGGCCAACTCGGCCGCTTTCTTCTGCTTCTTCCCCTTCTTCTCTTGCAATCCCGCGTGCGCGACTGCTCTCCCGCTTCGCCTCTTCAACCTTTTCTGCTCCTTGCTTCCTTGCTGCAGAAGGGCTGCGTTGCGTAAAGGCTGTCTTTCGGACACTTGGCCGCGGTTATTCGCTTCTCTCTTGTATATATCCGTATATGCTTTTTTTCTTCTTCTTCTACGAGCACGCACTCCGGCATTTTACGCTCTGCGCTGCTCCGTTTCACTCTCCTTTCTCTCCAAGAATCAAGGCATTTGCATCTGCCGTTACTAGCTCTGCGAACACATTAGCTTCGGCAATCTTGACACAGCTCGGCCTTTTGGTTTCTTCAACTTTGAATAGCATAAACGTTGATCGTTTAGTTGCCGCAGGCCTTCTTCCAACAAGCTTGTTCATTCCCTCTCTCTCATTTCTCTCTCTCTTCGTATCGCTGGTGTCGCCCCGAGACAAACTTCGCTTGCGTCCAAGACACAGCAACGAAACAGATCCGGACTCCGCCTTTTCTCTGAACACACGTGTGACGACAGAAGACTGTCACAGACCCGTCGCGAGAGTCGGCAACCGACAGCTCGCAGCCACAAACTTTGCGCTCCGCGTACCTACATGCGTTGCGGCCAACGCACATGACAGCATACCAAACAATCTCAATCTCCAACAATCACCTGGCGTGAACCACCGTTGCTCTCTTTTCCTTCTGCCTCTCTCTATCTCTCTTCTTTTTCTTACTTGTCACCTTCATTTTTTCTGCCCCTCCGGCATCCCATCTCCACGCTGATCAGCTGTCGTCAACTCCCAAAAGTCACCTTCCAGCTTGAGCTTGGATTCACATCGACGCCGCAGCTCCACCACCGGCACAGCACCCGCACAAAGTCCCCTGTGCAACGTTCCTAGCCGTTTGCATCCATCATCGGCCCAGCTCTCTGAAATAGTGAGCGCTGGTCACACGGCGTCATATCTAGCAGCCAACTGCCATATCGGGCTGTGGGCTTCTCATCGTCGCTCACCTCATTCCTCACCATTCAAGCGGCTGCCTCATTCGCTTGCGGTGGCCACAAGTCATACAGCGTGATTCCATATCGCTCTTGCTCTTGTTCTTATCTGAATCTACTTGTCTCTTGCAACGTCAACAAAACACTTCTTCAACCACCGCCACAATGTCGCTATCACGAGCCTTCACTACGCGCAAGCTCAAGCTGGGCTCTGACGCCGACGGCAAGAGTCCTCAGCGCTCGCACACTCTTCGCCACAAGATCTCGGCTCCTGTCCAGCTCGTTCATACAACAAACATGCTCTCATACAACGCGCCTGACCTGCCTCGAGTGCCTGGCCGCAACAACTCTAGCGACCTGCCTCGCGTACCTGGCCGCAACAACTCCAGCGACCTACCTCGAGTACCTACACGCATCAACTCTTCGAAATCTCTGACCGATTCTGACAGCGTCGAAACCACCGAGTCGACCCCGCCAACCAGCCCGGACGTTGCTCAAGGAGAGCGCTCGCCTTCTCCCAAGCCGAATCATCTCTCGGGATACTTCAAGCCCGCCAATGCGAAACCCGCGGCTGCAGCGCCAGCCGAGCCTGAGCCAACTCCGGCTCCAATGATTCCCCAGCGCTCTCCCACCCACACCAAGAAGAACTCGGTCGATGCCGTCGCCAGGTCACGATCCATTACGCGCATTTCTAGAGACTCCGAGTTGTCGGCTGCGTCCAGGAGCCTCCAGGCCTTCTCCTCTCGCTCTCCGTCTGTGTCAACAAACTCTTCGGCGCCCTCTTCAGCACACTCTTCAATGCACTCCTCGGCGCATAATTCGTCCATCTCGAGTCGCCTCGCGAAACAGCCTCTAGCTCCCGCTTTTCCTCTGGCCCCCGCGCCCACTACCGTTTCTGCGGCTCCTGCGGCTCCTGCAGCCTCGTCTGTGCAACCTTCTAATGCAACGAGGCGCCACGTACAAAAGGATTCGAATCCTTTTGGAGCAGAATTGGCCCAAGTGACGGAGCTAGCGGAGGAATTCAGCTCCAGAAGCCAACGGGAGCAGATGGACGAAGATGTGGAATACATGCGCTCCAACAATCTCGTCAGGCTACGCACCGACGACTATCTGAGAATGGTTCAAAGCCTGTCATCCATCTTCTTGTCTGAGCCCAGTCACTCTGCTCCCAAAGCCGCAGCACCGCTCTGGATTTAAATCGCATACAATTTACGAAAGATGAACAACATACAAAAAAAAAAAAAAAAAAAAAAAAAAAACCGAGCTGCCATGTCACTGTACATACCGAAATTGTTTGGACATATTCTGTACTGCTATGGGTAAAAGCGCTCCAGCTGTGACGACTACCATTACTACTACTTCTTCTTCTTCACCATTTTTTCTTCTTTACTTTCTTACTTTTGTTGACATGGATGGGAACGATGTGGGGTCTAGAACATTAACATTGCTAGGTACTTGGATTGGCTGTTTGCTTTACCTGAAACAGGAGAAGAGGTGGCGTTATATGACGGATGGGAAATGCCTCTTACTTGAGGCTACTTTTATATAATTTCTTTTTTTCTTAAACTATTATGGATGTGAATACTATACCAGTCACAAGCCACTGCACATATTATGTCCTGATGAATTTCATTTCCTTTACCATGTACCTATTCTCCCGCTGCTCACTCTACCCTTTATTCTTCCCAGTGATTAGTCTGATGTACTCACCAAACCTGTACAGCTTAGTTGGAAAAATGACGAGCATCATTAGATATGACAATGAAATAACACGACTGCCGCATTTGGCAGGAAAATGAATGCATCCTGTCAGACAGCCCCAACGATCGTCCGTCCCTCCGCGCACACTCAGCTGTACAAGTAAGATGCCACACAGAGCGGGATGGGCGGCCGGTAAGCGGGAGATGAACAATCCCTGCTGCGAAATGTTTCAACTGCGCCCCACGAGCTGATTGTTTCAAGGCCGGGGGTGTGTAGCTGTCCGCTTACCGTGAGTGGTTCAAGTAGTGCTACTGTATGCACTTGTACTACGATGAAATTAAACGGAATCGGGTTCTCGGGACGATTTCATCAAAAAGAGATTGGATTTTGGGAAATGGGCTTGGAGACGGGCAGGGTTGTGAAATTGCTATATAAGATGGAAGAGTGAACAGGCAAGTTGTGATGGAGCTCGGGCCACCTGTTTGGCAGGATGAGCTGTTCTATCCATTGTACACATTATGTACTTGGAGAAGCTGGATGCTGTTTTATTTGGATGTTCCGAGGCTTGAACATATAAAATCTATGCGATTGCGTACGCCAGAATATTCATAATAGTCTATCGGAAATGCTAGATTTTAAGGCTTCTGTTCGCTGCCGCAATGTCACTGCGTGTGTTAGTAATCACGTGGGGCAATTGGCGGCACCCACTCGAGAAATGTTCTGAGCGATGCTGGTACATGTATTCAAGCAGAATTGAACTCGTATCAATGTTGAAGAATTAGACAAGATCAAGTTCTCATATGCTCTCGTAGCTGGGAGACTATTCCTGTTCAGTATACCATTTTCATAGCCGGTAAGATCAACCTTGGCATCTTTCATTGGTTTTTTTTGTCTACCTCTCAACGTGGGATAACCTTTTCATTTGCTGGTACGTATGTGAGCTGAAACCTTTCATACAGATTTCAGTACTTGTCGCTGTAAATCCCATATAAAAGCAAAAAAAAAAAAAGAAGAAACACATCGTCATGGCGAGCTCAGATGACGCGCCCGACTCCTTCATCAGCAAGGAAGATGGGCTCAACTACTGGGAGGGCGTCAGCGCTGACATTGACGGCATGCTTGGAGGCATTCCCTCCGTCAAGGGCTTCTCTGGCATCTTACGGAGCGATCTCCAAGGCTCACGGACGTTTCTGGCCAAGCTGGGCATTGGAGCGAAGCAAGGGCGGCAGAAGCTGGCCACTGCTTTGGAGGGCGGAGCAGGGTTAGTAGCATCCCATCTTTGACTGGGATATATTTGCGAAGGGCTTGGCACTGGGGGGGTGATTAACGAGCGCTGATCTTTTTTTTTTTTTTTTTGACTGACTCTTTCTTCCTTGTAGGATCGGAAGAGTTACTGAAGGGCTGTTGATCCCACTGGCCGATGAGGTTGATGTCATTGAGCCCGTGGCCAAGTTCACCGCGGGCCTGCAAGGCAAAGAGGGCGTTCGACACGTCTACAACATGGGCTTGCAAGACTGGGAGCCTGTTGATGGGCTCACATATGATCTCATCTGGACGCAGTGGTGCGTGGGCCACTTGACGGATTCGCAGCTGGTGGGGTATCTGAAGAGATGCCAGGTTGCGTTGAATCCCGGGGCCATGATTGTGTTGAAGGAGAATCTGAGCACGTCGGGCCGCGATGTGTTTGACGAGCTGGACAGCAGTGTGACGAGGTGGGTTGGCTCTTTTCTCTATTCGATATACAACTATTTATATCATCTGATGTTTCCTTTATGAGCTAACTGGGTGAAAACAGGGAGGACACCAAGTTTAGACAAATCTTTGAGCAAGCAGGGCTGCAGCTCGTCAAGTCGGAGCTGCAGAGGGGGTTTCCTGAGACGCCGCAGATGACGCTCCTCCCGGTGAAGATGTACGCTTTGAAGCCAAAAGCTGTGTAAGTGGAAGTGGTTATATTCTGTTCCTTGGAGTGATTGGGAGTTGTATGGGATGGGGAAATGTTGAAGGCTGGGGAAAAAGTTTTTGATGCATTCTGAATGGCAAAGGTTGAGAGGTAAAGCTTGAAAGCTAGTCGAGCTTGTTTGATGGAGTTTTGTAGATACCCTTACAATCAAGTGCTGTGTCGTAATGTTTCGGTTTAAAGTATGATTCTTTGAAGTAGAATTGGGGCATGATGTGTTGCGATGATACGTGTTGGATTTGACAGCTGCTGGCTATATTTGGGTGAGAATATACCATGCTACCCCATGAGCTTTTGACATTTGCCAGAGACTCTTCGTTCATAGGAACTCAATTAATCGAAACATAAACTGTTATTGCTCAATCTCATCCATTGAGTCTACATCACAAGATTAATAATGTCCATAAAGCTGATCTGGAAAGACAAAAGCTGGTACCAAGCATTTATTAGCGCCATCGCTCCACCGCCAAGCTCTCACATCTCATCTCATCTCCATTTCCACCTCCATCTCCATCTTATACACCCAACCTTTTTTCAAAACAAGCAACATAAAGTCCCTTCAATGGCCTCCCCGCCCTTTGGCCAAGCCGCCCTCATCACCGCCCTCAAAGGCCAACCCCTCCGCATCCCCTCCCTCCAAGCCCTCTTCACCTCATGGCCGTCCCCACGCCTCAACGCCCACTACCCAGAGCTCGTCGCCTTGGCCAGCGCCGCCATCCTCGAATTCGCCGCCGCCGCGCCTCACCTGCACGTTGAGCGCCGCCTGCGCGACGACATTGCCCTCCTGACGTGTCTGCTGTTCCCGACCGCGCCCCGGCGACGCATCGAGGCGCTGGTGCTGTACATGGTGTGGCTCGTCTGCTGGGACGACACGGTGGACACCAACGAGGGCGACTTGGCTGCTGATTTCGCGCGCGCCGAGCAGTGGCGCAACAGGACGCTGGAGGTTGTCAAGGCGGCCCTTGAGCTTCCCCAGGGAGCGCAGCAGCGTGGAGAGGTGGATGCCATCAACGCGGTGCTCGTCAGCTTTGGGCAGCGGTACTGTGGCACCCACGAGAGGGCTCCTGATGAGCAGCGCCAGCGGCTGTACGACGAAATCAGCATCTTCATCCGCGCGTGCGCCACGGAGCAGAGGCTGCGGCTTGACGGCCACATTCCCAGCTTCGACGAGTACATGGTCCTCCGCGAGGGCACCGTGGCGGGCGGCACGCTCTGCGCATTGGTTCCGCACGCCATGCCGCAGTCTGTGCCGCCGGAGCTGCTCGACATGCCGCAGTTTGCAGTCTTTCGGAAGCAGGCCAACGTGCTGTTCGGCCTGCTCAACGATGTGATTTCCTTGAAGAAGGAGCTCAACATGGACTGCGTCATCAACGCCGTCTGTACGCTGCTGCGGCCGGAGACGCCCCTGGATGAAGTCATGGCGCAGATTTATCAGAAGCTGCAAGATGCGGTGCGGCTTTTCGACACGGCGGCGAGGGAGCTGTTGGATCAGTTCGGGGACAATGACCTTTTCTACGACCTCTCGGAGGAATTGATTGACGGGCATAGAAGTGTGGTTACTGGCACGCTCGAATTCATGTGAGTAACTTGTTTCCCAAATGCGTGGGTTTTCTTTCTTTTTATACTGAGCTTCATATCTGTATAAACCAAAAGCCGTATGTAAAGCAGCAGTGAGCTAACCATCTCTCCCGGGGAAAAACATAGGCTCAAATCCCCTCGCTACAACATCTCGCAGCTCTTGCGCGAAGATGGCTCTCTAGAAATAGTCCTCTGATATCATGACTCCCCTGCACTTCCAATCGCCCTTGTTTATAACTCCCGTGAGTTTCCCCAACTCCAGTGTTGACCTAACCTTGCCTTTATCTGCCGGATTTGTATTGATCAAATGCTCTCTTCTCTTTCCTTTACCCTTCTCCCTTTTCCCCCCCATTCTCCAGAATATATATTGTATGCGGATATCACGCCCATTGAATTAAAAAAAAAAAAAAAAAAAAAAGATATAAAAGTAGCCAGTGCGTACGAATGAATGAAAAAAGTGACTCCGCCCTCTTTTTGGTTTAATAAACATTTCTCCTTCCCCCACCAATTGTCGTTATAAAAATCAAGGCTTCAACTCTCCAAACTGCATCGCTTGCCGGCCGCCCAATGGCTCAACAGACGTCACTAGGTCCGTGATTGTGACAATCTCGTATCCCTGGCGCTTCAACTCGGGCAGCACGATTCGCAGCATGGGAGCCGTCCACCCCCTCCTGTCATGGCATATGATAATCGCTCCGGGGTGCGCCATGCTCAGAATATGCCTGGCATTGACATTCGGATACGGAATCTGCGGGTCGTGCGGGTATATGCTCCCCAAAACGATCCTGAACCCTCTATTGCCGAGCAAATCTCTCATCCGTCGATTGAACAAGCCCGACCCCGGGCGGAAGTAGTTGTTCGGCAGGATCTTGCCCTCGGCCTCGTACGCCTTCGTCAGCATGGCTTTGACCTCCTTCACCTGGCTCTCCAGCTCGTCATTGCTCAACCCCCTCGACGGCTCGTCGCGCATCGCATGGTTGCCCAGCTCGTGCCCCTGCGCAACCAGCTTGCGCAGCGTAGCCTCCCTGCCCTCGACCTGGCCGCCAATGACGAAGAAGGTGGCGTGCGCGTCATTCTCCCGCAGGACCTGCATGATCTCGCCGGTGTGCGCCGAGGGGGCGTCGTCGAGCGACAGGGCAATGACTTTGCGGGTCGCGGGCACGGGCACCTCGAAGAGCACGTCGGGGAACTTGTTGCGCAGGTAGCCGATGAGGAAGCGCGGCGGCTTGTAGACGCAGTAGACGGAGTAGAGCGGCAGGGCGAGCAGCAGCACCAGCAGCACCAGGAGGCCCTGCATGGTGAGGCGGTTTCGTCGGACCCGGCGCCGGACGGTGGTCGGCAGGCGGAAGAGGTTGAGGCGTGGCATTTCTTTTTGGTGATGGGGAGGTTTCTTTCGAGGTTAGCAGCGGCGGCGGCTTGGGACGGTGGTGCCGCCTGCTGCTGGCATGCTCTCTCTTCGTTTCTCTCTTTTCTTCGTTTTCGCTTTTTCTAGTCTTCGTTCCTTTGTTTGTTGTATGTCTCGTGGTAATGAATTGGGTGAATGGGTGGGAAAGACGAATGTTGCAGAGTGTTGCTTTTGGGTCGAGACCGCCACTAAAGCGGGAGAAGACGTGAGGCTTGAAGTTTTGTTAGCCAGGGGTTAGGTCGAGCGCTATCTGATTAGCGACTGGGGGGGTGGTGGCGTCCCAAAATGGGGGGGCTTGGGGGGATTGGACCCCTAAAACTATCCAGACAAATCTCCATGCAAATCTCAGATTGCACTCTGCGATATTCAGGGCAATTGCACAGGCCACGAGCTAAAATCAAATCGCATCCCATGCTTGATCTCCAGTATTCAATCTATTCTTTTTATAATTACATCAACATGGTTGTTTTCCAGTCTTTATTTAACCAATGCCCTCTTGTCTTATACAGAGCTAGGGATGTACATCAAAACCCCCCCCTTAATCCAACTCTCACTCATAAACCAATAACAGGATATCACAATCTCTCAGATAACGCAAAAATCCATTTTACAACCCCTCCTTCACCAAAGCCTCGAACCCATGCTGCAAATCCGCCTTCAGATCCTCCACACTCTCCACCCCAACACTCAACCTCAGCAAACTCTGGTCAACAGTCGCATCCGTCATGGCCCGCCACTCAATCAAGCTCTCGACGCCGCCCAAGCTCGTCGCGTGCTGGAACAGCCCCAGCTTGCCGGGGAACCTCCTCGCCATCTCCTTATTCCTCAGCGTAATGGCAAACACCGGCCCGTAGCCGTTGGGCATCTGCTGCCGCAGCCAGCTGCCCTCCTGCGAGGCCTCGGGCTGCAGACTCGCGTGCTGGATGCGCGCAACCGTCTTTCCCGCGGCCGTGGCCGAGTCCTTGGCCTGTTCTGCGAGCCATGCGACGAGCGCCGCGGCTGTGGTGCTCTGGCGGTTGACGCGCAGCTCGAGCGTCCGCAGGGAGCGCATGCCGAGCCAGCCCTCGAGGCTGCCGATGACGGAGCCCACGAGGAGGCGGTCGGCGAGCAGGTCGCTGATCCAGGTCTTGTGCTTGGGGTTGACGGCGAGGATGCCGCAGAGCAAGTCGGAGTGGCCGCCAATGTACTTTGTGCCGCTGTGCATCACAATGTCTGCTCCCCAGGCAAAAGGGTCCAGCAGCGGTGGCGGCGCAAAGGTGGCGTCTACGGTTAGATATGCGCCCACCGAGTGCGCTCTATCGGCATAGTACTTGAGATCCCGCGCCTCGCCCGTGGGATTCAACGGCGTCTCGACATGGATAACATCTCCGGGCCCCAGCTCGGAAAGATCGCAATCCAGCGGCAGCTTCTTCAAGCCCGTCAGTCGTCCAAAGATCTTCAAGACGCCATGGCAGCCATGATAGCCGTCTCCAATGGCCACCTTCTTGGGGTTAAGATGGGTCATCAGGGCATGGAACGCAGCCATGCCAGATCCATATACGATGGCCTGCTGGCCAATGATGGATGTGAGGAGGGCTTCGAAGCGAGCCATGTTGGGGCTCGAATGGCGCGAGTAGATGTGGAAGTCGATGGGCTTGGTGGTCTGCGAAAGAAGAGACAAGTTCTCTTGTGTCAGTTACCCCAGACAAAGCCTTCTTCCACATGTCCTCGCACACCCAGCACTTACATCGACCTCCGCGACGGGCCTGAGCCTCTCCGGGTCATTGGGATACCGAAAGGTCGTGCTTGTGTGCAGACCCGGCGCAATGGCCGGATGGCCGTCGATGCGGGCATCGGCATGCACCGCCCGGGATGCGAGCGACAGCGCCGCAATGTCTGGCACGTATTCGTCCGAGTTTCCCATTGTGTCTGCTGGTGAATTGTGTATCAAGAGGGTTTGCGTCTCCCTATGCCTGGTATCCTGCGCTCATCCCCCATTCCATGTTTTGAGTTCTCGCCGCGCCCTCTTATATGTCGTGCTAATTCATGTCGCAATGCTGCCCCGCTCATCGGCCGTGTCGCTGCCGTTGTCGCTGCTACTCAACGGCCTCACATACCCACTATTACCCATCCCGAGTTACATCACGTCGAGCTATCGAAAAAAAAAACTCAAAAGCTGATTAGATAGCCAGATACAGAGAATCATGTAATCATGCTCCAGATCCGTAAAAGTTGTCAATACAAGGCGCAATTACCTAGGTATCAAGATAAGAGGGGTTTCGCTCCACTATATGTCAAAGCGGGGAGTGACACATACACGCCTTACTTTTGATTCTCATCTCTCTTCTCTTGCGCTTTTGCATCATCTTTTGAGCATGCCGCAATTCGTTGGACAAGTATGCCGCTGGTTGCCGTTCTGTCAAGGGAGAGAATTGCTCCGAATTACCCCTTCCGGGATCGGTGGTATAGTTGAATCTCGGTTGAGAGGAGATGAAAAAGAGCGGATAGGTTGATTCAAGCGGAGGTAGGTTAGGTAATGAATATTTGTCAAACTCTTAGATGCACATCGACATAGGTTAGTATTAGCCGGAGATGGGTAAAAAGGAAAAGGAAATACATGCAGTCACAACTTGACATGACCAGATGTCATAACTCTTCTAATCATTCTTTGGCGAGAGGATAACAATGCTCTCCGGGTTCATCGAGAACAAACTCTATCATGTCACGCCATATTAACATGATGACGATAGAAAATGGGCAAAACATAAATATGTGCTGTATTAGCGATCCAATATGTAATCGCCGACACAAGTTATTATTAATCATTAAGTCGTCTTGTTTTCCCTCCATTCATGTTCCCTCGCCGTCATAATCTTTGATTCCTGCCAAGCTTAAATTTCGTGTTTTGATTGCAAAGCCAACAGGTGCATTTGCACCTCGCAAGGTATATGGCAGCAAGCAATGTATTACTGCCAACAGCCCACGCCAAACGCCTTGATCGCAAAAGAGAAAAGAAAAAAGAAAATATCCATAGTCCAGAAAAATCGTTGATGCTTGATAAACTTCCGTGTATAGTAAATTATTTCGAGTTGTCGACTTGTTTGCAACTGCTTTCCTCCGCCGCAGACGTCCCTCAATCTTTCGTTGACACAGGCGTATGTTCCATGGGGCTTAGCTCGGATCCTTGACCGCTCTGAGCCCTCTTTCGACCAGGAATGAGGAACCTGGAGACTCCTGACGGTGCTGGAGACGAGTCTTTCTCCTGGGTCTCTGTCAACTTGGAAAAGAATCCGCGCTTGCGAGGCGGCTGCTTCTGGTCCTCGAGCCCGACATCCTCAAACCCTTCATCGGCGGTGGGCAGTTGCACCGAGTTGCGGTTGATAGCCGATCTGGGCATTCGAGAGAATCGAGCCGAATCGAGGCTTTGGCGGGCAGGAATATCGTATGCGGCGATGGGAGATCGTGCCGAGATATCCTATAAGTGAGAGTCGCAGGTCAGTCTCCGGTGCAGGCGAGGCGCATTGTGTGCGGGGTTGATGTTGCCGGGAAATACGACTTTGGGCGGGAGGAAGCAAATTGCTAGCCACATACAAATGATCGCCGGTACGAGTCAAAGGACTCTCGCGAAATAGAAAAGTGCTCAATCTCGCCTGAGCTATCTGATGACTCGCGCGACGAGAGGTGTCTGCGCGGCCACTGGCTCTTCTCCTCCGATGGTGAGGGCTGCTCGCATAAAACAGAATTAGCAGTCTGCGCAAATGTATGCAGTCGGGTGCCCGCGAGGGTTGCACAAAACTTACAGGGAGATATACGCCGCTATCATTGACGACTATCAAGTGCAAATCGCATGTCAGTCAACAGTCCGAGTCGTGTGACGCTTTTGCCGCCGCATGGCCTAGAGCGGAAGGTCGCAGGCCAAAGCGACAGCGGTCATGCCATCACTTACCGCTCATCTTATACTCGCCGGTATCCTGACTTCTGGCGCTGCGGACGCTCAAGACCGACGACGCCTTGGAGCCCACGATGTCGACTCGCTCAAATCCGGGGTAGTTGTGCTCTCTGTCGGCGTAGACACCGTCATCGGCCGGGACGACAGCGCCGGGGCGGCGAGTGAAGGGGTTTCGGATCGGCATGGTGGTGAGATGGAGATGGCCGGAATCAACTTCAAGTAAGAGGCGGTTAAAGAGGCCGCGAGATACAATAGTATACGCTCCGATAATAGTGATGCGAAGACTGCGAAGACTGTCGGGAAGAATGTTTGTTTTGTAAAATACGCAGCCGACTGAGCGATATGATGCAATTGGTGAGGGGGAGCAGCAGAGGTCCTTGTATAAGAGTGGAAAGGTCCGATTAAGCTCAATATTTGAGGAAAGCAAAAACTACCAGTCAAACGAACCAAGGAAGGGGCACAGGGGGTTTAAGAAGAGCGACGATGGCCAGATGTCAGACGAGTCGCGAACGGATCAGCGGCAGAACGTTTTGAGGGGGTGGAATCCCAAGGGCCTGGCGCATTGAAAATGGGTCAATTCTAGATGGATACGCCAAAAGGATTAATGGAGCGCCGCACTGACTACGAAGTATTGGCGTATTGATGTACCTGACGGAGATGGAAACGAGGCGAAAAGACGGCAGCTTGCCAACTCGATGCTAACAGTTGCTGTTAGTTAGTTAGTGCTGGCAGCATCGAACGGCGGCCAGTCGTGGCGCTTGGGTTGGAATTCCAGCGCCGGAATCGACATGATTTTCCCCAGAAGTCAGCCCAGCAAAAGACATCAGATCTGCGCAACTGATCCTTTCGGCGGTGCCTTGCCGGGGCGGATTGGGAAGTTTGTTGTACCGCGCCCGATGCACACTGTGCACAGTGCCTGGATTTTTAGGGCGCTTTTATTGGCTTTTGATCTTTGATCCTCATGATCACCAAAGCTTGGCCATTTGGCTGTGTTGCGCCGATTGCACTGCCTCACAGCTCGGCTTCCACAGTCAAGATTGCAATTCCATCTTCTCACCCATTTCGCCCTCTTGTGTTTCTTGATTCCATTTCTCACACACATCATCACATCAGATGGGGCTTTTGCTTTCAAAAAAGCCATCGGGGCTAGTACCAACAACCAGCCTAAGACGGCTCCGGCTGCTACTGCGCGCTCTCTAGCAGACTCCAGAAATCGAGGCTTGGTGGAGCCACCAACAGGCACGCCCGGACTCGCTGAAAAGCCCGGTAGCAAATCCGCCGAATAGCGGTCTCGGGTTGACTGGACTGGGATTTTATCCGCCAAACTGCCGCTGCTGGCTCTGCTATGACGATGCATAGCGCTATTAGCCAACAACTAGAGGCGCGGGAGTGGAGTGCCGACAGTAAGTATCCGGAACCAAGGCTACTGTGCGTATACTTGTAGTAATAATGCGCTGCGGGATTCGGATTCGAGTCCCAACACCAACACCCAAAAAGGTCTCAGTGCAGGTTTTGTCAAAGAGGATGGCATAATTACCTCATCTTGCAGCACTAAAGGCCGACTTTGCCATAGTAGCTGGCACTCGAATTTGCCTATCGACAGAGATCGCCATGCCAAGGCCTCTTGGAAGCCTTTTCCCACCAGCAAAGGCCATGCGCAAACTTGTTCCTCGCCTAGATGGAGCTTCATCACCTGTCACCACTCCCAGATTACTGGAGAACAGGCGCCGCACATGCTAAACTGTCCCCGCCTCCCGCTTTGCCGTGGATGCTCTTCTCTGTTGCAAATCCGGGGCCGCGCCGTGCAGACAGGGGCTATGCTGGCGATGGATTTGCCTTGATGGGCGCAGCGTATACTGCACTGGGAACGCAAAGAGCCTGTGGCCATGCGCCGTGCAGCGAAGCGATTGCGCATCATCACCACCTACGGCCCGTAGCAACCATTGCGCACCGAAACAGGTGCATGCCTGTGCAATCAACAGATGTAATAGCCTGATCAAGAGGAATAGCCGCCTGACGATGCCCGCTTCTTTGTCTTGCCCATCCACCATGATCCATCATACGTTGCCTGCATGGCCCAAGTAAAACGCCACCAGTTGGCCTATTTGGGACACATGCAGGGCAGTTGTTGGACAGCAGCATCTGCGGTTCAACCATTCAGCAGCAATTAGCAATTGGGTACAACAGAGAGCTCCAGATGTGGTCAAGCCGCCGTGAATCCTGCCGCCACGCAGCAGAGCTTCTGTGCCTAAAAATCTCGCCAGTCAACTACTGCCTCGTTCTGATACAACCCAATGTTGGCCTGGGATGGCTTATAGCCCTGGCACTTGCAATGAATGGCGCACGGCACAGGAATCTCTTGTGCTCTAGTAGTTGCCGACTCCTGCACAAAAAAGTCTCCGAATTGGTGCCTCTAGATGCTGCAAATGCTAGAGGAGAGGGAAAAGGAACATGAAGGAAAAGCAAGCCGGATTCGGTGCTCTTTTGAGTTGAGGCTTGCAGGTGTCACCTTGGCAAGTGCATATTGCGCCGCCATGCATCTCTCGTACATTTGAATCTCTGTACGTCGTCTGATGGGATTTTCCAACTTTTCCTTCATCCTCGCCGTCCCTTTTGACCTCTTGCAATGGCGTGGCCATGTCTCTCCTGTCTCCAAGGGCACTTGGAAATAGATAGTAGTAGAGGTGGCATTTTCTTACTCCCACCGTTTTGGTGTCACGCCCCAGCTGAACTGCAACCCTGTCGGACCGATCGATTGGCATTGAACAAGCAAACCCCCTCACTGCTAGTAATGCCTTGACAGTTTTCCTTTCCAAGATCGGCACTGAACTTGCCAACAGACCGCATACGAGGTGGTAAGCTGCAGGCCTTTTTTTGCGGGCTGTGTTTCCACGGGACCGCCCCAACCACAAACCACCTCCCGTGTCAAGACAAGGCCCAATAATCCCAAGTCCTCTGCATGAGGCCATTCTGAATCCATCCATTCGCTCGCCCGCAGGGGCAGATCCCGGACCAGCATCTGGTGCCGCACATGCTGGCTTTGGGCTTTTGGCGAGCGGGCCTTGGATGCGGCCGAAGCGATACGAGAGATGCAGAAAAATATGATGGAGTGCTATTTTTGTTCAAAAATGCCCATTATCTTTTTCCTCTCTTTGTTGCATTGTTGCCTTCTTTTGCTGCCGATTAAACCACTCGCTTACCATTTTGTCTGGATTCAAGCCAGGCTCTCGTTCTTTTTTTTCTCTCTCACTCTCTTAAACCAGCAGCTGCGACCTCTGTTGCTCCTCCCAAGACTCGAGATTTCTCAACATCCCACCATCGCCACGTGGATTGCTCTCGAGCCACCTTTGGGTCTTAACACATACAGTCGTCTTTTTTTTTTTTTCACGCCCAGTCTCTTTCACGAGATTTCTATTTTAACAAGGCTGGAAATTCTTTTGATTGTTAAAGAAATATCTCTGCAGATTCCAGGCCACTTCTTCTTGCCTGTCGCTGGCTGCTCGTGGCGGGCCGCAACCTCCAACAGAGTTCGTCAACATGGGTGCCTTCTTCACTGGGTGGGAGTTGTGGGAAGAAATGAGCTTTGTAAGTGTTTGAAATCTAACAAATTGCCCTGCTTCATCATATTTCTTTGCTCTGCTAGCAAGTTGAATTTCTAACCCACCTTGATATAGGTCTTGGCATGCGCCATCGTGTTAGTCTTCGCCTTTGGGCTGGTACGGCTGTGGTGGACGAACCGCAAAATTGCAAGGCTCGAATTGGTTGACGAAGAACGGCGCGTACGATTGGCCGAGATGCGGTATTGCGGTATCAACGCTCGCGGCATCACCGATATCCCCTTTGGGGTGCGCGCAATACAAAGTGGCATTGAAGTGGAAGGCATCTGGATATCAAGGCCCAACACACCTGGCTCCAGCCATGCCGCCTCTTCTCCCACCCTTGTTGGCGACCCTACCGGCCTAAAGGCAAAGTTGAAGGAAAAGGGCAAAGGAAAGGCTCGTTACATGTCGGTGGACGTTGCCGAGACGGCTTCATCGTCGTCACCTCCGCAGACGACACCTACATCGGGCTCTTCGACACCCCAGCGAGCTGACGATGCCGATGTGAATGATGCACGACAGCCTCGGGTCCAGCAGCCGATGGATTATTCCAATACACCCAAGGGGTCACTCGATGCTCAGCGACGAAGCATTGCTCGCCAAATGGCTCCTCGCAGCTCCTCTACCAACCGCAACAGCATGGCCTCGTCATCCATGGGCGACTTTGTGGCTCCCCATTCGAGGAACTCTTATGCTAGCTCGAAGCCAATCCTTCAGGGATCCACCGAATACTACTCTGACATCTCCAGAACCGGGACAAACGAATTCTACGATGCCCCTCCGTCTGCAGTTTGGGACCACGGATACAGCAGCTCTGATGCAGAGAGCGCAGAGGTGGCCGGCCAACGACCACAGCCAGGCCCTTCCAGGCTACAGAAGAAATCGCAGTTCTATAAGCCAATACGCAATTAATGATGCAAGAAATGGGGGGGGGAGGGGGAAGAATACTGAAGGCCCCCTGGCGGGGCCATGATTTTCACGTGGTTATAATGACTTGATGTCTATTTTTCACGCCGTTCATGAGTTATGTTTTATAAGAAAGAAAGAAATCGAGGACTTAGATTTTTGCCATGCGGGCCATTTGCAAATACTAGCTAAATTATCAAACAAAGAAACATTGAACACCAAAAAAACGGCTACCATCCACGATCCACCAGATCTAGAAGTGATATTCACCTGCCATCTGCTCTCCACATACAGAAAATTAGAGTCAAACACGCAATCCATCTGTCGCCATCTCGTCAGTTGATTCGAGAAAAGAGTCACAGTATCGGCACTTGCCCACGCCGACCCGGCACACCGGCACGGGAATAAGTGCGGAATTGGCGTCAGACCTCCGCTTTAGTGGGCATGAGGTTAGAAGCTCGATGTTGAGAGATTGGGGCTATATAGTGAAGACGAAATCTCGCATTTTCTAGATTCCAAGACTTTTATGTAAAATATTGCAACAGGTTCGTTCGGTAAAGCAAACAAAAAAATGGCGTCTGCAGAATACCTACAAGCCTCGTCAACCGGCTTCAAAGACGCCAAAGCCTACGACACGCACCGGCCGTCGTACCCTGCCGAAGCTGTTCAGAGCCTCCTGGCTCATCTTGGCGTGGCGGGCAAGTCCAAGGCGAGGATCATTGACCTCGCAGCCGGCACGGGCAAGTTTACGGAGCTGCTGGCAGCTCGGCCGGAGGAGTATGAGATCCTGGCGGTGGAGCCTACGGGGTCGATGAGGGAGACGCTGGTTGAGAAGGGGCTGAGAGGGGTGATAGCGAAGGAGGGGACTGCTGAGAAGATGGATGTTGAGGATGGGTGGGCGGATGGGATTGTGATTGCTCAGGCGTTTCACTGGTAAGCCTAATGAAGGGTAGTGAAATCAGTTGGATGTACTAATCAGTTCAAGGTTTGCGACTGAGGCTTCATTGGCGGAGATTCATCGAGTACTCAAGCCAGGAGGCACGGTGGGAATGATTTGGAACGTCGAAGATTGCAAGTTCATTTTGTATTTGACGCTGATGACATTGGGACTGACATCCGCACAACAGATAACAAGCCAGCATCATGGCCAGCCAGCAGCAAATGGGCAGAGGCACTCAACGCCCGCATCTTTGCCCTCCCAGACTTTGGCCCCCCTCGATTCCGCCACAACAAATGGCCGCTGGTGTTCGAGCGCCAGGCGAAGCTCGAAAAGCCGCTGTTCTCGACGCCCATCGGCGAGGAGAAGGTCCCGTGGACAGTCTGGCTGGACAAGGATGCGGTGTGGAGCCGGGTGCACACGCTCAGCCATGTGTATACCTTGGAGGGCGAGGACAAGGCCACGTTCAAGGCCAAGTTTGATGAGGAGGTGAATAGTGAGAATGGCGAGGTGAATGACAAGGGCGAGGTGGGCGTGCATGGGGTGACGCTTTTGGCGTGGAGTAAGAAGCTGTGAGGATGGCCTTAATATCTATAGCAATGTCATGGATCAGATGAGCGGTAGACTGCTGTAGAGCCTCAAAGTAACGTTGATTGCAATTAAATATAATTCTCTTGTTTAAAAATTATGAGTCCGCTGAAATATACATGACTACCCAAAAAGTTAGCTCATCTCATTTGATAGTTGGTCATCCAGATTCTGCTTCACTCACCATTGTTGCCTCGCACAAAGGTATCTCCATACTCCCTCCGCTTCGCGCCATTGACATATTCCACCGTCTTCTCCAGCGCAATGTTCATGTATCCGTCCACAGATTGCAGTTCTCCTATAAATCGCAACAAGTCAGATCACCCTAAGCTTCTCACGAGAGAGCCAAACGCCTTGGACAGCAAGAACTCACCCTTGTAAACGACGCCGGAATTGAGCTTCACAACGACAGAGTTGCCGATTATATCGCTGAGGAAGCTGGACGGGTCCTTGCCCTCGCCCTGTGAGATGCTGCTGTTCTCCATGACGTTGCTTGGTGTGGTGGTTTGTGGTTTTAAGGAACGTTTAGGCGGCCTGCTTTTGTCGTGGGGAAGTTTGGCCTGCGCCAGCAAGGCTCGATAAGATAACCCAAAAAGGTACTTGTGCTCAGATAGGCGGCTGAAAGGAATGCGGCTCGGTTCGCACTGTAACCCCACCATGGCAGCTAGCAGCGGTGCACCGCGCCTGTGAAAGCCCCTAACAAGTCCCCGTAAATTTCCAATTGGGCGCTGTAAACAGCGGTGCGCGCATCACAGTATTTATTGGAGCTCCCCCAAAGAGATCGTCATGCCACTCCCGCTTCAAAGATACATTGTACTTGTCTCTTTGTGCGCCGCGCCGGGCAGCCATTCCACCAGCCTCACACCTCTTTTGTTTCTGGAGCTTCTCTTGTTCTCTTTTTTGCAGGCTTCGCCGCCAATTTTCGGTTTGGTCACGGCGGCCAGATCGCCCCGAACAAATCTTCGCCATGAGTGAAGCAGCCGCCGCTGCGCCAGCTAAGAAGAAGCTCCCGTTTAAACCAACAGCCTTGCGCAAGGCGGTCCCGCAGTCGAAGCCTGATGATTCTGTAAAGAATGGCAAGCGGAAGGAAGGCAGCGACGATGAGGACGATGACGGGCTGGGCTTGTTTCGCCAGTCCAGGGAGATGGAATCCATCGTGGCCGCCGAAAGAGCGCGAAAGCTGAGGAAGAAGCAGAAGCAGGCGGAAGAGCGTCGCCTCTCGGATACGGGGAGACGGCTCTTGGATTCAGACGAGGAGGGTCCTTCAGCTCTGCCAGTGGCCGCCAAGACGACTCAAGCAACCCCGGTGGACGAGTCGCTGACAATGGACGAGGACAGCGCCAGGTGGGTTTACGCCGCTATTATCCGCCGACGTCCTCAGTTGCTAACAATGTCCCAGCAGGAAATTAGCTACTCCTCCTTCTTCGAAACGCTCGAGAGGTGACTCGGAACAAGGTTCAAGGTCGTCCAAGCGGCAGCGATCAGCTGTAGAGCCCATGGATGACGATCCATTCAACGATTCTCCATCGCAGTCAACGCTGCCAAATTCCAATACCGCTACTCCTAGTAAACGACCCAAAAGGCAGTCTGTCATGCCGATCGAGGCTCCGATAATATCACTCGACTCTGGCTCTGACTCTGACTCTGATTTCGATGGTGGTAACGCCGGCACGAATGCGCCCGAGTCTGGGCAACGAGGGGATAGTATCGAAATCGTTGGCTCGGATATAGTTGGCGCTGGGCCACCAATCGTTACTCCCAAACCTCAAGCGGTGACGGAGATTGAAGACGATGACGATGACGAGTTTGCCGACTATGTCCGCAAGGCTGAGGAACAACGTGCTCGCAACAAAGACATGATGCAGATGGAGTCTGACAAGGCCGCCAAGAAGGATGCGGCAGCTGATATTCTGGTCAGATCCAACATTCCCGGCACCAAAGTCGCCATTATGAAGTATCAGTTTGATAGACCCATTCGCCTGATACGCGATAGCTGGTTTGCGCTTCAAGAAAGGAATAAGCACCCAGAGCTACCAATCGTTTCAGCCGAAGAAATCATCTTGACATGGCAGCGAAAGAAGGTGTATACGTATTCTTCACTGCTTGGGCTGGGGATCCGACCGCAAGGTGACGGCAAAATCATTGCCGACGAATATGCCAAGGGGGGTTTGCAAGACGGACGAACAAAGGTGGTCTTTGAAGCGTGGACGACGGAAGGCTTCCAGCAGATGGAACTTGAAGAAGAGCTACGTATGAAGAGAGAGGCGGGCGAGCTATCAGACGAGGAATCGACGCAAGAAGAGCCAGCCAAGGAGACTAAGCTGCGCATCGTGCTCAGAGCCAAGGATATGGAGGCTGTCAAATTGACTGTCCGGCTGGAAACTACCGTCGAGACTCTCATTGTTGGGTTTCGGACTCAGAGGAATATTCCGTCAAGCAAGGACGTGGGCATATGGTTTGACGGCGACCGACTTGAAGAGCACCAGACTATGGAGGATGTTGATATCAACGACATGGACACATTGGAGGTGCATATCAAATAGGCGGTGGAGGATATTCTGGCTTGAAGCACTTATTTATGGATATAGGCGTTTATTCTTTTGAAAATCAAGCGTTGGGAAACTGAGATACCCCAGGGACAATCATTGGAGTCATATTTGAGTCGTTACGAACTTGGCATAGGAAACACATTTATTCTTCTTTTCTCTCATTCTATTTTCACTGCGAGTCCAAAAGATGTGATTGGCCCATCATTCAGACTGTCCACTGCCAAATACCTTCATCCCACGAATGGCTGGGCGGATAGACGCTGCGTGACAGCATCCTCCACCATGTGCACCGTCACCTCGCGTGACTGTTCAAACCAGGTGCGAAATCCAGAAGGAATCGACTCGCCACTACCCACACGACGCGTAATGGAAGATGGCATGTCAATGTCGTCGAGTGAAGCTATGGTTATGCCGGACCTTGTCTTGTAGTACTTGAAGAGGGGCGCCTCGGATCGCCTCCTGTCGGAGCTGTTTTGGACCTCGAACCCATCATTCACGCAAGGGTCGTTGTTGCAGTACTTGATGCCTCCAGGATTGCCAAAGTTGATAGACAGCTGGCGTAGGCCTTGCTGCCCACCGTGTTGCTGCTGCTTCTGTAATCGCTGCGCAAGCAGTTCAAGCTGAGTGCGCTGCTCGCACTGCTCTGCCTCAGGAACACATCTCGAGACTTGCGAAGCAGAAGGAATCGTGATAGGAGGAAGAGGGCTCCCCTCTGTAGAGATGGAAAACGGATAGACGTTGCAAGCGCTGAACGGATGGTCGCGGTGGCCCGTCTTGTTGAGGCCGTGGAGGTTGCCGCACAGGCTGTTGACGCGGCAGCTGGCCGAGATGGCGGTGCTCTCGTTTTGCGAGCCAGGCCCGTAGCCGCCGGTATCGAGGGAAAAGGTCTGCGAGAAGGAGGGCTGGGCGCAGCGGACGGCCCAGCACATGTTTGTGCAGATTTCGGGCATTTCGTTGCAGAGAAAGGTGACGTCTGGGGGACGGGCCAGGATGCAGGTGGTGAGGGCGAGGAGGATAAAGGTGGTTTTGTATAACATTGCAACGATGATTGGCGAATAGGAAGTTATAATAGTGTTTTGTAGGTATGAGGGTGGTGATGGTCAAGGACATGGACGAGGTTGCGTCCTCGCAGCTCCTTTTTCTACCTCGCGTGCAGGGCTTGTACGTAGAGTTTGCTAGCGAACCTCGGGAATGTTTATTTCTGTGTCTGGTGATATCCGGCAAGGGAGTCTTTGAAGTAGCACCTTCCAGGCATCGTTTGATTGCTACCCTGCCCTTGATTTGGGCGAGTTGGCAATTAGCATTTATACGAGTGCCTGGACATGCGAATCAACGCGCAACACCGTCATATGTCTCAGGTGCATGTATGAAGTCTAGGAATAAGTCGCCGTCAAATCTTGAATCCTATGCAAGGGCCTATCATATCATGACATCAATGTCTGATATATTTTATTGTGCAAGTGGCGAGAAAACGTGTAGTACGTATATATGCTGCTTGCTGGGCAAACTGGTCAAGTAGTACCAAAAAGAACCGTGTAGGCTGTAGTACATTCGACAATTAGGATTCCCTTATTACACAGATCTGGTGTTTGTAGTGGACAGGCTATTTTGTGTCATCGGGAAGGAATTCTAGAACAATGTTTGGAGTCACGTTGGTCATGAGGAAAAAGTCAATTGAATTGTTGATAGCAGTAATAGGGTGGAGTTTTCGGATTAAAGCGAGCTTAGAATGAGAATGAGACCATTAATAGAATAAGTTTTCCAGAAATATAATGCACCCAGCATGCTCTCCTTTACTGCCTAGTACTAAAGTGAGTCCAGAAAGAATAGAAAACCCTCAGAATATTCTCTCCATGTCTTAGAAAGAACGTGAATCCAGCGGGTAAAAAAAATGTCGAGAATAAAACGAATCCAGCCATAGTTCTCAATGTCGCGGGAAATAAAATGGATACTCGTGAAGATAACTTAGAAAGAAAGAAAGAAAGAGGCTCCCTCATATCTCGTCAAAGTAGAAAAAGCAAAATAAATCTAAAGTGCTCCCTCAAAACTCCTAGGGAGAGAAAAAAAAAAGGTTTCTCGCCAACCTTCCCTTGCTGGTCAGCGGCGAGTAAGTTCCATCATACGATCCCCTAGCCTCCTCTTGTGAATCATTGCAGCCAGGTGGTCATAAAGGTCTTCCATGGCAGGGAAAATGTCTGGTCCTACTTGGCGAGAGTCCCTGGCAATCCGTACCAACGTGATGTAGTGCATTATTGCGGCTGCGTTTGATGGATCTTTCGTCTGTGCAACTTGCTTCAGTGCTTTCACTCTTTGAGCTTCCATATCTTTATCTCCGAGGGTCCCTCCTGGAAAGAAAGGCCCGGACGTAGGGTGGCCACAGAAGTGACAAAATGCTTCCACGAGAGCATCCACGGACGCTACGTGTCCAAATTCGGGGCTGCTGTCTGTGAAATATGCACGAGTCACGTTGAAAGCGTCCCAGTCTTCGAGTTCTTCCTTGTTTGCTTGCATTATGGCTAACTTGAGAGCCTTTGCGGTCCAATCGATACGGCTTGGATTTTCTTGTAATCTAGTCCACGCCGGGTGAGCGTTGTAATGCTCTGTTGCAAGTATCCCGTTCATCTGGCTCATTAGGATGAGAATGTGAACTTGGCCTTCCCAACTCCGGCCACATACCCGGTCGCCATGCGAGTGATTGGACCCAAGTAACGTTCTAGGCTTGACGGTTTCTGCAGAGATGTATGACTCAAGCGGACTTTCCTCTCGCGATGTTGTTTCTGCGAGAGGAGATTGCCCCTCAGCTTCCCAAAGCCCACGTGGTCCCAGCCTGAGCTTTGCGTTTGGCTTTATCGTTATGTATCCCTCAGCTACTAGTCTCTTCATTGCATGATAGTGGTCTGCAGCGTAGCAGGCTTGTGCCATGGGCGGGACATGAAGCCTCATGTCAAAAGGCATTCGGGCGCCGGTCAGTTCCTGATCCATCTTGTGATTTGAGCCTGGGTCGTATTCTTCTTTTCCCCTACTTTTTCACTGTTAGTGGTGGTTGTCGCTTGGTCTTGCGTACTAAATATGCAGTCTGGTGACTCGAGTCTTACATGTATTAGGCGGCAGAATGCTTCAAGTTGGCTGGGCTGCAGCCAAGTAGAGTGTCTTGTAGAAGGAGGACAAAGATAGAAGAGGAAAGGAATCCTGGAGAGAAGAAAGGAAGAGTAGATATAGCCACGGTCTATGCGTGGGCGTGCAAATGCTTTCGCTGATGTTCAAGCGGTGGTGTGTATGAGAGTCCTCTCTCAAAGGTACCTGCAGCCCAGCGTTTCTATTTACTGGTGATTAAGTATCTATCAGAGAGCGTGCTCATTTCTCGGCGCTGTGATGGTCCTTTTTTGTCGTTTCTTTTTTATTACTATTATGGTGATCTCATTTCTTCTTTGCAAAATCTCTTTTCGTACGATTCCCACCCCACTTTATCAGATTATAGGTGTGAACAATAAGGGTTGATCAATTGGCCCAACTATCACTGACTTCGTGATATCTCTCCCAAGCCCCAAGGGTACAACAAACGGAACGACACCACACAGGATGTGGGGCTGGCTTGCCATTGAACCAAGGCCACTTGACCTCAACAATAGGAATCTCAACCGACATTTCCCCAGATCTTAAAAAAGGGCCTCTTTATCTTGCTTGCAGCTTAAAAGCTTCCTCTTTCGCATGAAGAAGATAAGAGCACTCTCGTCAGCGCGCTCCTCGCGGACGAACAAGACGAACAAGACTAACAAGAAGACCAACCGCAATTTCCTATTCCCTCTTTCTCGTAAGTTATTTACCAGACGACATCAGCGAGTCAACAGGCCAAGAACATATAGCTAAGAAAGGCGGAAGATTCAAAACAATGAACAGCCACCAAGCCAGCACGCTCAAGAAAGGCCATAAGCAACATATACACAACCGAACCGTCGTCAACACTGCCAATACCTCCGGCACCAATCTCGGCACACCCACCGCGGTCGATAATCGCCCCGTGTCCCTCGAGGGCGCACCGGGAAATCTGCGTTTTATCCCTGGCGAAGATGAAGAGAATGCGTTGGGAGCAGTAAGCCTTCTTGTTATTGTTAGCAGGATGCTGCGTTCGGTTGTTGAAGGCCCCAACGGCCTGGCGGAGGAAGACTACAAAGCATTCAAAGAGGTCCTCGACTTTATGGGAACAAACAAAAACCTTGATAACTACCACGAAAAGTTCAAAACTGCTGCTGGACCTTCTGCAGACCCATTCCGGTTCGCCCGCTTTTCGCAAAATTTCATCACGCCCTCCCGACGACTGGCCAAGAAAGCCCCTTTTGCCCTCCCTTCAGTCCCTCGAAAGCGCAACCGCTGTCTCGAGGAACTCTTCCAAGAATGCCGACGAAGAATAAGGACGCGAAATCGCCGCCGCTTCCAACGAAAATTCGCAATGAAGGAAACCAACCCTAGAGCCTCAACGATCAATGGGGCAAGGGCGCAGACATCTTTCGGGCATACATCCTTGCGTGGGATACGAGCCCATCCCAACAAGAGATGAGATGGTCACTCATACTATGAGCCGGTTCAACAGGGCTACTGTGCAGGAGATTGGCGACATTTCATAATCAGGAACCTGAAATATATGCCATTCGGGTGACTCTGGTGATTGAAGCTAGAACGCTGTAGTTTATTCATGAGCTGTACTACTACGGATACAAGGGGTCCCCTATGAGATACGGAATAAAGATGGGCAACCATATTATATCTGGGTAGCTAATTCTAAAACACATCAACCCACTTTCAAGCTGGATCTACCATCTTCAGCCATCTCTGTCGTTCTCCATGAGCATTTTCCCCGTCTACTTGCAAGCTAGATCAACCACGTCTCTTTAGACGCGTCTTATTGTATTCGAAAGAACAAGCCCATTGTCCTCTCATTTACGCATATGCAGAGGATTGTTGCCTGCAAACCCCATGCTTGCAAACGGTAGAACAATGTCGTCTAATAATAAGTTGTATGGGCGGTCTAGGTTACATTGACTGGCCGCGTCTTATAGAATTGCCCGATTCAAAGCGATGCCGCTCTCCAGTCTCAAACGAAATGGCTCCTCTTCCATCACAACCAAACAAACGCCTGTGCTACGAGCCTGAATCTGTTCAACATGCACAGAGGAGAACTGATACTGCATCTCTAGATGATTACCTCACGACCCAGGAGAGTGTTAACACGTCTATTGACGCAGATCTTTCTATTACATCCAACCATAACAGCCCGCTTCCATCATCCATCAAAGCAAGCCTTTTCCTTTCCTCTAGTACTTGGATGCACATGCTGCTAATTCTCGTAGCATCAGTAACATCAGTAGCAGTAATAGAGCTGGTTTACTGGATAATAGAACTAGGGCTTTGGATAACGTTTTCCTGGACATTTTATTCCTCTGTCTAATATTAAATGATAGTAATATCTAGAATTTTATATAGAGTTGCATTTTAGGGAAAGATGGCGAAGCGGCGTTGGCCTTGGGGGACGAGGTCTTCTTGGAAGCCCTTTACAAATCTCTCGCTATCTTCCTCGCCAACGTAGTTCAGCATGGCCTTGATGTCCGCCATATCCTCTGCGGCGATTCCTTCAGGGTCCTCCACCATACCGCGGAGCATAGCGAGAGTAACGTGGAAGAGACTAGCAGCGCCGAGTGCGTTTTTCTGGTCTTCTCCGGGAACGAATCGCAGGTTACCCGGCGCGCCCCGGAGAATCACAGGAATGTCCTTGACAACGACCGGGGTTCTTGAGAAACTTGCCGGCGTCTGAAAGTCGGTAGTGCGGATGCGCAGCGAACGGCTAGGTATGTTGGTTTGTTGTCGGTTCGTTGCTGCGAATCTGCCATCAGGTCCTCGTGTCATAAACTCTTCTACAGTCTCGCTGATGTCGTCGGTGTGGATAAACTGCGATGTATCTCTAGGGAGGACCGGGGAATCTTCAGGAGAAGGCGGGTTGTTGGGATCGTAGGTTGGAGGGCCTCCTGTTGCTGTAGCGCAAACGTAGGACGTGTAGATGCCTTCTTCTGTAACAGATCCCCATTCCCAGTCATAGCCCAAGCTGTTTACGTGACGTCGATATAAATCTAAGTCACCGGGGTTTTGCTTTCGCCACTCGTTGAAACGGCCGACGGATGATTTAAGGCAGCCAAACAGGACATCTTCGCGCCCGTAGACCTCGAGGGCTCTAATATAGCCTTCTCTTGATAATCTAGGAGGATTCTTATCAAGGGGCGCTGAGAAAGACACTCGGAAGGCGTGGTCCTTGGAACGATAATGATGATCTCTTGGTGGGACTTGGCGTAGGTACATTGCTTTGCTGTGGAATAATAAGGCAGGGGAAACGCGGCGGTCTTTATGTAGAAGTTTAGGTTGCGTTTTTTAATTTGATTTCCCGCGTGCTTTATCTGTTTCCCATGGTGTTCCGTTTGCTGTTGCCGGGTAGCTGTGGCTAGCCGGCTGCTGTTGTTTGGAAATTAGGACGTCTGGCAGCTGGTAGTTTTTTTCTGTCTGCCTCTTGTTTACGGGACTATTTCAGCGCGGTGATTCGTTTTAGTAATACATTGAATAGAAGTGAATAGAAGAGTAAAAAAAAAGAGAGATGTAAAAAAAAAAAAAAAAATAGACATAGTTGTAAAAGATAGTAATTATATGAGAAAGAGGGCATCTCTTTTATTCTTGGAGATTTCTTTGTGAATATTTTGGCGAGTATGGCTTCTGTTTATTTCTCTTGTTGTTTTATCAAAGTTGTTAGGCAGCGGTTTTGTACCCGGCAATATAATCTTCTGCAAGTGTCACAAGAGCTGATGCAACATGCTTTGTGACTAGAGGGGCTGTAGTCCAACGCGAATAAGTTTTGGCCCCGCAAGACGACCTTCATCGCCAGGTGCAATAACAGCAGTGTTGTCGCCAAGTGTTGCAAAGAGGTTCTCACTGCTGGGTGCGGTAGGAAGAGTTGCATCGCCAGGTGCAGTAGATGGGGGACAAAGATCAGGTTGTTGCTAATGTTTTCACTACCAATTTTGCACAGAGATGAACGGTAGTCTTCTGCTCGTCGGAAATTTCTTGGGAACTTGCTGTGGCTCTATTCACTTCAGTTCAAGCGTTTCCCCTTTCCTAACGTTGGCATCGCCTGATTTCTAAGCCTATTTAGGAGGGAACATTGAGCAAACCGGTCAAGCCGTGTTTCTCGATTGGTTCATACCAAAGCTTGGAATTCCTGAATCAACCATCTGCAGCTTGACTCTCGAGCCAGGCTGCTCTCCATCGAGACGCCGCCATGCAACTTCTCACCCTCGTCAGAAATTTTGCAAATCCCACTACTTTTGATTGTTTTTTTTTTCAGAGTATGATGAATAGTATTAAATGCAATTACACAACCAATACCGTATTTCGTCCTGTATGGCGAGTATGGCGAAGAGGATTGCCTTGCCTAATTGGGAAGTGCCTAATTGGGAAGTACCTAATTCGGCTAGCGCCAACAGTAGTGTGGGCGACATCCCCACCACTCCATAAAATTCTCACGATCTCACCTCCACATCTCTCATCCTTCATATAATATATTACGCCGATTCTCCACCATCAAATGGATTCTAAATGGTCGAATCGTATAGCGGTTAGTACACATGCTTCACACGCATGAGATCCGGGTTCGATTCCCGGTTCGACTACATCTTTTGCTTTTTGCCATTCTTGAACTCACTTGTAACATGTTTGGCTTGTCAGTTGGCGTTGAGGGGTTTCGCAGCGCTGCCCTCTTTTTATCGCTACGCCAATATGTACCTAGGTAGGTAGCGAGCAGAGATGAATGGTAATTCCACTTCCCAGCGGGAGTTCCCTCGTACGTTTCTTTCGGATATCTCTGCATTCCCATGTCGACTTCAAGCTCAGCCACTAGAACGACTGCGCTTTGCTCGTCAACTAGAAAACATCAAAAATAGGGAATATTACAACCATAGTCACATAAATACTACATTATTACGCAGGCTGTTATTAAGCTATATATGTTACTGTAAAAGGCATCGGGTCCTTACTTTACCTCTACAGTATTGAAGAGGAGCTTCGAGGGGACGGATTGGGCCATGGTGCTCGTATCTGGATTCCCTCAGGCATGAGCTTATCTCCTTTCAATGTGAAGCTATGCATTGATAGTCTAGGGAATTGTAGGAAAAACTAATTATTCGCAGGGTTACTTTGTCACTTTGAACTCCCCGGGTTTCCGCAGTTGGTTGCTCCATCTGATCCTCTGTTTACTATCAAAAGCCGCTTATGGTGAGGCACAGTACAGGCCAAGGGGAATCTCAGAACAATCCTGCAAGATAGAGGTCAAATCGATGAGTAAACAAGATATTTTGATGTACTATATGTATACATGTATGAATTCCATTATATTGCCAAGTTCTTGCATTGTACTTTTGTATTGCACATTGTAACTCCAAAATTCGTGGTATCATTCCAAACGCCAACGCCTCGAGCCATTTTACACCCGTCCCGCCACCCTCGCCCTCTGAGCCTCGTTCTCTCTGAGAGCCTCGCTTCGCGCCAAAAAGTCCTGCCGTGACGCATAAGAATCCTTGGATTTGCCAGCCAGCTCCAAATCGTCCTTGATGCCCTCCTTGTCCACGAAGCCAGCCCAGTCCATGCGACTCTTCTCCACCGTGTTGAGCTTCTTTGCCTGTGCTTCGCTGGCTGCCTTCATCCTGGCCGCCAGTCCGAGGTTCAGATCGGTTCGACTTGTTGTGCCCTCTAATATGGGCTCGAAGGCGGACCGGAAAGCCTTTTTGGTGAGTCGCTTGGTGAGGGGTGCGTCTGGCGGTGCGTCTCCCTCCTGAGAGGCCAGGTAGAGCTTCGCTTCTGCCGAATCGCGAGGGACGAGCTTTTCTTCGGTATGGACTCGACCGGCAAAGTTGTAGGTTCGCTTGATGCGGATCATGGAAGGTTCGTCTTTTTTTGAATCGCGCTTCTCGTCTGCGACTGCCTTTTCGTTTTCGTCCACAGCCATGTCTTCTGCGTTTTCTGGCGGTCTTGACGCTGAAGAGGCTCCGGCAATCATCTCTGCCCAGATAGCATCGACATCGACCGTCACAGGCCCTCTACTCGCAGCATATTTGCGTTCTTCCTTTCTATACGTTTCTTAGTCATGCCTAGCGCAACTGTTTCGTATTCTTAGCGGAAGAGGAAGCATACTCAGCAGCGCGTTGACTTCTCGTCTTGATCAGGCCACCCTCACCACCTTCATCGTCTACAGCTTCGCCCTTGGCTTTGGCTCTTTTTTGCTTTTTTCTGCCTTTTTCAATTATCGCCTCATCGCCCGAGTTATTTGGTTCTTCTTCTCCTTCGGCGCTCGCATCTTTCACCGGCCGCTGGCGTTTTCTCGCAGTCTTGTTATCGTCGCCATCTTCCGAGTCTGAAGGGCTGGACGCAGCGTCGGGCGCATCATCGGCATCGGGCGCAAAGTCGGAATCTTGAGAAGACTCGTATTCTTCGTCTTCGTCAATTATGCGCTCTGGCGGCATTGCGTAGATCTGGTGAGGGAGCAAATAAGTGGTGGCGTGTTCCAAGGCGACCGCGTAGACGCGCCGGTGAGGCCGCTTTCGGTGAATCTCTTTCGGTGTGGGGCCAATGACGCACCGCCTATCCTCTGTAGAAGACCCCAAACCTTCTATATCTGCAAGTACCTATCTCTATTAATGAATTCACACAAGTCGTCACTGCGTGTCTTTAATATTTGACTATATCATCACGAACTATGAATACTCTCATATCATGATTCTCATCTGCCGCTGGTCATGAAAAGCATCGCTAGCTACTGAGCCAGCTCAATTTCGTGTCGCTTGTAGGGTATGTCGAGCCTCCAGACTACCAAGGTACTACTAGTAGATTCGTACCTAGGTACCTAGCTTTCGAATTAAGCCTACGTACAACCAAAACAGGCACCAAAGGGCCTTATGATATGCCGCTTGGATTCGTTTCAGTCTCGTTTAGGCATGCTAGAAATACTAGTGAATTAACCTTTCGCGTTGAAAGCCAAATATCTTTACTGAATCTGCGTCTAGCAACCAGCAAAGCACACGAATGAGCCTTGAACCGCCCCAGGAAATGGGGGTACGTGAGCTATTTTCCTGGCATCCTTGATGGATGATTGGTGTCTGTCAATAGCGTATTTCTCTGTGGAATGCATCCAAAGCTTTCTCATTGAGCGGCCATGCGCTCGTGACCTTGCGTAGGGGGAATAGGGAATAGGGAGATGCATGGGTATCATCGCCAGCGGGTAACTCTGGAGATGCAACGGCGCGACATGCTAAGAGGCCTGTCTCAGCCCAAGACATGGATCCATCCTGTAGCAAGCAAAGAGCTCACCGCAACTATTCTGCGTGTTACCAACTGGCCTGACTTGAAGCCGTGCCATCTACCGCATATTGCATTTGGACTTGTAGGAACTTGATAGTTTATTTATACTTTGCAGGGGACGTAGGTTCTGCTTCTCGAAATTTGCTTTCTGGCGGATCCCAGCCACGGCTCTCCTCGCCCGCGAGCGACTTTAATTACGGTGGCTCCGAGCATCGAATTGGTTCGTGATAGTGTGCCACGCGGACTGTCGTCTACTGAATCGTGACATGGCATGGATGCCGGTTTTAGGCTCCCCCCAATTGTGCTGAGTTGTCTGATCTACGTATGGGGTGCGCACTGAACAGATTGCAGCAGCAGGGATCACTGGGAGAAGAAAGCAAAAGAAAGATGATCATCCTGGAGAAGAGAGAAGGAAAACCGCAATTTGACTGGCTGGGCGTTGTACCGGTTTAGGTTATTGGAACCCGACAGGCAAACAAGCAGCTTAGGCGCCAAGGTTCCCACCAAACCTGGTCGCTGCATTTTGCACTTGCATCGTGGATGTGGCGCTTCCGTCATTCCCCTGCCACTGTGAAATTCCTGGCTCCCGGCTCCCCTCCCACCTGCAACCTCTCCCGTTTCTCTCTCCTCTTTTCTTACTCTCTCTCCATATTAGGCGGCTTGTCTGCCCTCTCCCACCCGTTTCTGCCTGCTTTTCGCCATGGCCAGCGACGACGAGTACGAAATCGAGGGCCCTGAACTCGCTGAGGATGATCCCATGAGAGCCTTTCTGCCTGCCTCCTTCGGAAAAAAGTCCAAGGAGACTGATATTGCAGCCCAAATCGACCGCAGTCGGAGACCAGTGGATAAGCCGCCAGTAACTGGCAGCAAGGATGGCGATGGGACACCAGCACAAGAGTCGAAAGAGAAGGGCGGCTCGAGCGACTCCGACTCCGACGACAATAGCGACGACTCCGATGAGTCTGACGACGAAGACGAGTTCCCGGTATCGCATGAACTTGTTTTGAAGACGCACGAGCGCGCTGTTACTACAGTCTCCATGGACCCTGCTGGTGGTAGATTGGCCTCTGCCTCTCTGGATTGTACTGTCAAGCTCCACGACTTCGCCTCGATGACGCCGACGACGCTCCGCGCATTTCGCAGCGTTGACCCTTTTGTGTCCAAGCGAACTGCTGCCAGCGCAGAGGCCCACCCAATCCATCTGGTTGAGTTCAACCCGCTGTCGGGCGGAGCATTTCTATGCGTGTGCGCCCACCCCCAGGCGAGGATTATGTCGCGAGATGGAGATATTTTGACAGAATTTGTCAAGGGAGACATGTACCTTCGTGATATGCACAACACAAAGGGACACATCTCCGAGATTACAACTGGCACTTGGCATCCCACGGACAAAAACCTCTGTGTCACGGCAGGAACCGACAGCACTCTGCGAATCTGGGACATCAACAATAAACGTTCACAGAAGGATGTCATTGTCTTCAAGTCAAAGGCTGCCGGGTCTGCTGGGCGCACCAAGATGACCGCTGTCGCATGGAAGGTGTCTGCTCAAGGAAGCAATGTACTGGTCAGCGCTGCCCTCGACGGCTCGCTAGTAATGTACGGCGGCAATGGGCCGTTTACGAGACCGGCGGGCGAGATCAAGGAGGCGCACAAGCCCCAGACCTGGACAAGCGGCATCGACATTTCTTCCGACGGCCGCATGGTAGTCACGAGAGGCGGCGACGATTTAATCAAACTGTGGGATACCCGAAAATTCAACAAACCCCTCGTCACGGTATCGCACACGTCGACTTCGGATAGCTATCCGACTAGCAACATTCGATACGCTCCCAACTCGACCAGCATCATCACCGGTTCAGCCACGGGCCATCTCCACATCTTAAATCCGGGCAATCTTCAGCCAGAACACGTCACTCCGATCACGCCGGGCTCAGCTTTGATTGCTGTGGACTGGCATCCCAAGATTAACCAGATTGTTACAGGGTCAGCGAACGCCGAGACACACGTCCTGTACAACCCGACCATGTCTTCCCGCGGTGCTGTGGAGGTCATGTCGCGAGCGCCGAAGAAGCGTCATATCGACGACAACCCCGAGTTTACAATGGACCAAAACGTCGGCATATCGGGCGACTCCATCGTTGTCCCCGGCGCGATGGGCGGTGGGCGCAAAGCCGGAGTCACGGGCACGGGCAAATCGAAGGACCCTCGGCGACCTGAAGTCCCGCTGGCGACGCCCTTTCAGAAAAGCCAGCCAGACGAGAAGCACATTGCGCAGAACATTCCTCTGGCCAGGATGCTGCACGAGGATCCGCGTGAAGCATTGTTGAAATATGCTGACAAGGCCCGGAGCGACCCCATGTTCACAAAGGCCTGGAGTAAGACGCAGCCGCAGACGCAGTACGCCGAGCTCAGCGACGATGAAGAAGAAGAAGGTCCAGACAAGAAGCGTGCCAAGCGATGAATTAAAATTGCGCCCAACACAGAAGAGGAAAGATGGACTGAAAAGAAAAGGACTACGATACAGCTGCTAACTCGGGGGTCGGATCTATCATCGCGACGACATCAGCGCGCTAGCCCCGAGACTGCGCCTTCGTGCTTTATTGCCGTTTCTATCTATCTGAAAAGACGAATATCGATGGAATACTCGAGTAGTCTTCGGAATATAGCCACCCCGGCTACGACCAAATATCATATCAGGAAAAAAAACACGCGGTAATGATGACTGCTTTGAACGAGCATTTAGTTAGTAGGCTGGTAGGTGTTGCTACTAAAAGGCTGAGGAGCATCTGACTGTATTCCTACAGCGGATACCGGTAGATATTGCTAGATATTATTAGGTAGATAGAGGCTTCATAGCAGCCTCTTGGAGCTACTGCTGCTGCCTCTCTGCTCTCGAGACGAGACCCAAGAAGAAATTGTGGGTCCTGGTCCGAGAGGGAGGTTCCGGGTACAGGGTACAAGAGCAAAGTATCGCCCCACGTGACCTCCAAAGCCGCCCTAGACCCAATACGACGCAAATTCTCTTCCTTTTGCTGTGCCAGCCTGAGGCGTGCGCAGGCGCCGTGCTGAGATGTACTGAGACGCGCCAGGCCAGAACCGCACCAGCCATCACGCCGAATCTTGTCAGTTGTGTCTTCAACCACTCCCCATCATCAACCGGCCAGCGCGCGCATCCCCAAAATCGCCAGGTCCCCTCGCAAACCATCGGCGTCCATCTCCAATCCTCGCAAACCTCGTGTTTCACGCGATTTTGCACGCCGAAAACGCCTGCGGCACCCGATCCGACGCGCCGCGCCGTGCCCTGGGCAGGTTTTTTTTTTCTGCTTCGCTCGCAGCCCCCTTCGGCCTGCATCTTTTTGCGAGCCTCGACATCCCCCACGTCCGCGTCCACGGCTGCGTCGCAAGGCTGAAGCTGCTCGAGTTTCGCTTCTACGCCTCGCCTCGCCTCGACTCACCTCGACTCTGTCCTTGCCCAACCCGTGGCCTCACCTCTGGTGACTTTTTGTCTCGACGACGCCAATTTGCCGCGCATCAATACTTTTTTTTCCTTCTCTTGCTCTTGTTCCAAGTGACTTGTGCAGCTTTGACGCGCCACTCTTACACCAACCTTTTTTTCTTCTCTTCTCGTCACTCTTGATATCACTTCACGTCTCGCACCGAGGCTCAACATCAGCAACAAGGAAAACAAAAACAAAAACAAAAAAAAGCCTCGCCTCGCACCCACCAGGCCCGACTTCCAGACACTCGCTCCTCGCTATGCACTGTTTATAGGTGGATTTATATCGAGATACATATTGGGGAGTCGATAGTTTTCACGTGTTGGTCCAACGCCACCGCCAAACGCAACCATGGCTTCAGTACAGATCCCGCCCCCCGTGCAGCACCCGGGCGCGCCAATGCCTACCGGGGCGACTAAACAACAGGCCGAAGAGGTCTTTCGGGTACGCACAGCCTTACGCGTGTTGCAATGCGTCTCTCGCGTTGCTTATGTCCTATCCGACATGTGTAGCTGACGTGACAACTCTGCATAGAAACTCAAACAAATGAAAGAATCGGGCGTCCCGCCAAACGATCCCGAGTATATGAAGGCGTCGCAATTCCTGCTCAACTTCCAACAGCAGCACCACATGCGACGAAACCAGCAGCAGTACATCCAGGCCCAGCAGCAGATGCAGCAGAATGCTCAGGCCGTCCAGAACGGCAACGCCAACGGAGTCAATGGAAACGTCAATGGTGTCCAGCGACCGCAGCAGGGCGTGCCTCAGACGACGCAGGCTGCTGCTCTGCCAACCGCCATGGGAACGGCGGCTGCTGCATCTAATGCATCTGCTACCACTACCCCGAATACCCCTGCACAGCCGAATTCGAGTACACCAAGCCACTTTACAACAAAGCAGCTTGGTCTACTTAGGCAACAGATTCATGCCTTCAAGCTTCTCGGCAAAAACGCAGGGATTTCAGTTGCGCTACAGCAAGCTATTTTCCAGCAGCGTCAGCAGCGCCAAGCAGCTGTCACGACTTCAGCCCAAACTGCCGCTGCATCAAAGACTCCCCAGCCTGGCTCGGATGCTACAAAGCCCACACCAAACGGTGTTGATGCTGCCGCCGCCCAAGATGACGCCCTCTCTCTCCCTAAACCCCATACATACAAGACTGTCAAGTCACCATATGGCAGCAGTATGATTCGGCCCTCTATCAAATATTTCGACCATGCGCAGCGGAAGAATCGCTGGTTTATTCCTGGCGTCTTCCCGACCGGCATTGACTTTGACCACCTGCGTTACGAGAGAGAAGTCGTCGTCTTCAACCGCATGAGCCAGCGATATTCAGAGCTGAAGAATCTGCCCGCCAACATCGCCCATTGGGATACGACCAAGGAGAACGTCGAAGTTGACGACTCTGTAAAAGTCAAGGCCGTCATTGAAATGAAGAGCTTGGCTTTGTATGCCAAGCAGCGAGCTCTCCGTGAGAAGATTGCGCGTCAGATGATGCACTACGATAATCTGGCAATGACGACCAACCGGACAAACTACCGTCGTATGAAGAAGCAGAATGTCCGGGAGGCTCGCATTACAGAGAAGCTGGAGAAGCAGCAGCGTGATGCTCGCGAGAATCGCGAAAAGAAGAAGCACAACGACTTCCTCCGAGCCATTTATAACCACCGCGCCGAGATCACCGAGACCGCGGCGGCTCAGAAGAACAAATCACACAAGCTTAGTAGGCTCATGTACTCTCACCATTTCAACATTGAGAAGGAAGAGCAGAAGCGTATTGAGAGAACGGCCAAGCAGCGTCTGCAGGCTCTCAAGGCCAACGACGAAGAGGCGTATCTCAAACTGCTTGACCAGGCCAAGGATACCCGTATTACGCATCTGCTTAAGCAGACCGACGGTTTCTTGCACCAGCTTGCCTCTTCAGTCAAGGCTCAACAGCGCCAAGCTGCCGAGACATATGGCACAGACATGGGCGAGTTTATTGACGAAGAGAGTGAAATCGACGAGGAAGATAGCGGCAAGAAGATTGACTACTACGCTGTGGCCCATCGCATCCGCGAAGAAGTCACCCAGCAGGCAAGCATTCTTGTTGGAGGCTCGCTGAAGGAATACCAAGTCAAGGGTCTGCAGTGGATGATTTCACTATACAATAACAACCTCAACGGTATCCTTGCAGATGAAATGGGTCTCGGAAAGACGATTCAGACCATTAGTCTGATCACCTACCTGATTGAGCAGAAGCAGCAGAGCGGACCTTACTTGGTCATTGTCCCTCTAAGTACCCTGACCAACTGGAACCTCGAATTCGAAAAGTGGGCCCCGTCTGTATCTCGCGTCGTTTACAAGGGCCCCCCCAATACCCGTAAGCTACAGCAAGAGAAGATTCGCCAGGGACGCTTCCAGGTACTGTTGACTACCTACGAGTACATTATCAAAGATCGACCCATTCTCAGCAAGATTAAGTGGTTCCACATGATCATCGACGAAGGTCACCGTATGAAGAACACGCAATCCAAGCTCAGCGCGACTATCCAGCAGTACTACAACACCCGTTTCCGACTTATTCTCACCGGTACCCCTCTTCAGAACAATCTGTCTGAGCTGTGGGCCATGCTCAACTTTGTCCTGCCAAACATTTTCAAATCAGTCAAGACCTTTGACGAGTGGTTCAACACCCCCTTTGCCAACACTGGTGGCCAGGACAAGATGGAACTCACTGAAGAAGAGCAGATTCTCGTCATTCGACGTCTGCACAAGGTTTTGCGGCCTTTCCTCCTGCGTCGTTTGAAGAAGGATGTCGAGAAAGACTTGCCCGACAAGACGGAAAAGGTCATCAAGTGCAAGTTTTCTGCGCTGCAGTCCAAGCTCTACAAGCAAATGGTTACCCACAACAAGCTGGTTGTCAGCGATGGCAAGGGTGGCAAGACTGGTGCCCGTGGTCTGAGCAACATGATTATGCAGCTGCGAAAGCTCTGCAACCATCCGTTTGTCTTTGATGTGGTCGAGAATGTCATGAATCCCCTCAACATCAGCAACGATCTTCTTTGGAGAACGGCTGGTAAATTCGAGTTGCTGGACCGAGTTCTGCCCAAATACAAGGCAACTGGCCACAGAGTTTTGATGTTCTTCCAAATGACGGCCATCATGGATATTATGGAAGACTACCTTCGTTACCGAAGCTACAAGTATCTGCGTTTGGACGGTACGACAAAATCGGATGAGCGATCCGATCTCCTGAGAGACTTCAATGCGCCCGGCTCAGATTACTTTTTGTTCTTGCTGTCCACTCGTGCTGGTGGTTTGGGTCTCAACTTGCAGACGGCAGATACTGTCATTATCTACGACTCTGATTGGAATCCTCACCAGGATTTGCAGGCACAGGATCGTGCCCATCGTATCGGTCAGAAGAACGAGGTGCGAATTCTTCGTCTGATTAGCTCTAATTCCGTCGAGGAGAAGATTTTGGAACGTGCTCGGTTCAAGCTAGATATGGACGGCAAAGTTATCCAAGCAGGTCGTTTTGATAACAAATCCTCCGAGACAGATCGTGACGCCATGCTTCGAACTCTGCTGGAAACCGCCGATATGGCTGAGTCTGGCGAGCAGGAAGAGATGGAAGACGAAGAGCTCAACATGTTACTTGCCCGTAACGATGACGAACTCGTCACCTTCCAGAAGCTTGACGAAGAGCGACAAAAAGAATCCATCTATGGTGGTCCGAGAGGAAAACCACGACTCATGGGCGAAGACGAATTACCCGACATCTATCTCAACGAAGGCAACCCTATTGAGGACGACGCTGAAGAGATTATTCTTGGTCGCGGTGCTCGTGAGCGAACCAAGGTGAAATATGACGATGGCCTGACAGAAGAACAGTGGCTGATGGCGGTGGACGACGACGAGGATTCTCCAGAGGCGGCAGCAGCGCGTAAACAGGCACGCAAAGATAAGAGAGAGGCCAATAGGACCAAGAGATTGGGAGGCCCGGACAACTCGCCTTCCGTAAGTCGCGCCAGCACGGAGGAATTGGAGACACCCAAGAAGAGAGGTCGCAAACCCGGAAGCAAGAACGAGAAGCGGAAGGCAGAAGACGTGGACGATGAGCCTCCTGCCAAGAAGCGACGTGGCCCTCAGGGCCGACCCAGCAAATCTGCCGCCCATAACGATTCTCGGCTGGGATCTCAGCAACGAGAGGTGCTTCAAAAGAGTTTGCGAGCATTGTACGATAGCCTGATGAACTTGGAAGTGGATGATATTGAACCGCCTGCCGAGGACGACGAATCCGACGCCGGTAAGCGTCTCATTATCGGGCCGTTTGTCAAGCTGCCCCCGAAACGCGAGTATGCCGACTACTATGTGATTATCCAAAACCCTATTTGCATGAATCATATACAGACGCGTATCAAGAAGGAAGAGTATAATAGCTTGAGCGATCTTCGCAAAGACTTTGACTTGCTGATACGCAACTGTCAAACGTACAACGAAGACGGAAGTATCCTGTATCAGGATGCGAAAACGATGGATGTAAGTTGCAAAAAAAAAATAAAAAAATAAATTGATGGCCTAGAGAAAGCATATACTAATTCATTGAAACAGGAATTCTTTACGAAGAAATACCAAGAGGAGCTGGACGCGCACCCTGAGCTTCTTGATCTAGAGCCCAGTAAGGCAGGATCAGCAGCGCCTTCAGGCAACGGAAGCACACCACAGCCAAGCGGAACTCGGATCAAGATCATCTCTAGCGCAGCGCGGGAAGCCAATGGGGCACGATCTGCCGCACAGAGCGATGAGGACTGAGCGAGAAAAAAACGAGAGATTGACGATTGCACACATTCCTCTTTCTCCTTGATGACCGAGAAGAGTGACGTGCTAACTTACGACGAAATTGGGGGTTACGTGCTTGCCAGCGGGAATATAATCTTTAAAAAGAAGAAAAACAAAAATTGACGGCACTAGGAGGAAGAATCTCTCCCAACGATTGCCCCGCAAGCGGCTCATTTAATCATTTATTCTGCGGCGTTGGAAGGAATGGCGTTTTATTCATGCGAACCCAGGGAAAGGTGGAGGAAACAGGTCCAAGGCAGGCCAAAATACCAACCATGTATAAGATGAAGGAAGAAGGAAGAAATGGAGAGAGACACAGACAGAGGAGATGAAGGGTTGAAGCATCTGGGCGGCATATTTGGATGACCAGAGAGATTCTTTTTTTTTTAATTCTTTCTAAGTTTTCTAATTCAGGAAGCAGGAGATGGTGGAGAAGACGAGTCAAGATCAGATGGGGGCCTTTGTCTACTTTGACGGGTGGCTGGCTGGCTGCGTCTTGGTGAGCTGGTCGTCTTCTTGCCTGTGCATTCTAGATAAAGTAGTAAAATGTATTCTTAATAGACGTTGATACAGTCGCGGCAGTCTTGTGTGCAGGGCATGTGAAGATTAAAACACGATGAATTTACAATTGTGAAATCAAAGTCAAGTCTTTGCTTCTATGGCTTCAAATGCCATGATATCCATCACATGTCTATAATTGAGACGGCCTTCACATAATCCGTAGCTGGGAGAATAGCGCTAGACGGTACTGCTAAGCCTTAGCGCTCTGCTGCACTGTACCGCCACAGCGCCAGTAGCTGTAGCCTGTACCGTACAGCACTAGAGACTAGAGGCTGGCCCACCGCCCCAGATGCCGTCAGCGCCGCCAATCCATCTTGGCCGCCGCAGCTTCGCCACCCACTCGGGCAACCTCTACTGGCCAATATCTGCACTTGTCCCCTGCCTATTGGGCCACTTTGCATCTCCTTTTTTCCCCTTGTCGATGCCCAGTGAGATGGTATCAAGCTGAAAAGGACACACTGGCGAGATCCATTTCCGTTACTTGCAATCTTTTGCTGGGCGGCGGCCGTTGAAGGTTGAAGCTAAGATAGAGAAGTTGAAAGGGTATCACTCTGATGACGACAAGATGAGGAAGACGCTTATCTTGTGCTTTATCCATGGGTTCAAGGTACGTTGCTTTTTGGGAGTTTTTGCTTGTGATGAATGGATGCTCCACCGCTTGTGATGGGAGAGTCTGTGATGGCAGGATGGTATGTATCGTGGGATTGAAGGGTGCGGTTTGGCACAAGGAGGCTATGAGCGAGTGTGATGAAGATGACACCTTGTGGTTGACTGATGGAATGAGATTGAGCTTGATGAGTGATGGATTGACTGACGGGTTATTATAGGGGGGCGAGTCAACGTTTGGCAACGACTATTCGTTTGTCGAAGACCTACGCACTGCCGTGGCACAGGAGCTGCCCGGCTTCAGCATCAAGGTGCTGGTGTATCCCAAGTATGACACGAGAGGCGACCTGGGCGAGGCCGTGAGCAGATTCCGCAGCTGGTGAGTGGTTACGACATTGCGATTTATTCCATCATCGGGATGGACTGCACGCCTCAACAGAGGACGCTGAAGCAAAGGTAAACGAATCATTGGGCTGACGTTGGGCTGGGGACTCGACAGGCTGGAGAACAAAATCATCGACTATGAAGTGGCCAAGGGAACGGCCTCACCAACCGTCGAGCCGTCGATTCGCACCATCCTGATTGGCCATTCCATGGGCGGCATCGTCGCCGCAGAGACCGTCATGGGCCTGGCGTCGGAGCGGCCCATCTACACCGAGGACGGCATCGACAAGTCTGGCGGCCGCCCCAACTTCAACGGCCTCATGTTCCCGCGCATCCAGGGCGTCTTGGCCTTTGACACGCCGTATCTGGGCATTGCGCCCAGCGTGGTTGCGTACGGCGCCGAGGGCCACTACCAGACGGCGCAGTCGGCGATGGCGCAGCTGGGCTCGGTGTGGAAGATGGTCGGTGGCGGCGGAGGCGATGCTGCTGCCTCATCTTCTTCTTCTGCCCTCACGACGACGGCATCCACGGCTGCCAAGAACGACAGCGGCGGCGGCGGCGGATGGGGATGGGGCAAGATTGCCATGTATGGAGCTGCTGCCAGCGCCGTCGCTGCGGGCAGTGCCGCGGCGTGGATGAACCGCGAGCACATCTCCGTTGGCTGGTCGTGGGTGTCTTCGCATCTCGAGTTTGTGGGTTGTCTGGCCCGGCCCGAGGCTCTCAAGCAGCGCATGGCGTACATGGTGAGGCTGAGCTCGGAGCTCAACATTGGCTACGCGAATGTCTACACGCGGCTGGGCAAGGCCGCGGAGAGCAAGGAGGTCAGCATGGTGGGCACGGTGCTGGGCAAGGACAGGACGTTTTGCGTGGTGCCAAGCAAGCAGCCGTCGGGGAAGTGGATCGACAATGTCAATGACACGGCCAAGGACGAGGTGACGGCGCATGTCAGTACGTTTTGACTCTCTACCGTCTCCCCCTTTTCTTTTCTTTAATGTCTGATGCTAATCATTTGTTATTAGCCATGTTTGAGCCTCAGAATAATCCGGCGTACGGGAAGCTGCTGCAGGATGCCAAGAGTCTGATTGCCATGTGGGTGCAGAGGGATTGGTCTGAAGGCAGCCATGAGCCGCGGTCAAGGTCACAACAGTCGAGGTCTCCGCAGCAGCAGCAGTATCAGCAGCAGCTCCAACGTTTGAGATGATGGAAGATGGCGATGCTGCCATGCCGTCAACATGCGGTCTTAAAGGATATATGATTAAACGGATACAGGTGTTTTGAACTTGGGGGGAACAGGAGAAGGCGATTGATTTTGTGTGTATCTTTTACAATTAGCATTACTACTGTCTGTACCTACTTATGCAATGCACACTCGGTATTTTTGACTATATTTCCGTGCATCATTATATCTTTGTGGTTTATACCATGTCCAATGACAATAACTCGCACTAAACTTAACCAAGTATGCCAGCGATGCGACCTCTTGATAGATTGTGTGCTTCTTTGCCTCCCATTTTGCAGCCATTATTGCCATCTCTTTCTTTCCTTTCCGTATTCTATTATTTATTGTGTCGCCTTCTCGTTCTTGGCCTTTAAGCCGCGCATGACCTTTCTTCGCTGGGCCATCATGTGAGTGTAAAGGATATAAGCGCCTAGTAAAAAAAAAACCCCCCCGTTTGTTAGAAAATTTTCTCTCCTCTTTGTTTTTCCCTTGATTGATTGCTTACCAGGAACATAGACGGCCAAAACACCATACAAGACATACGGCATCAAGCTCAACGGAGGCTCCGTCGCCGTCGCAGCCGGCCCCACCGCAGCGAGATAGACCAGCGAGCACTCGCTCAGGATGCCAATCGGGTACAGGATGAAGAAGGTGTTGTAGCGCAGCCAGGTGAGGATGCGCGGCGTCAGGCCGGACAGCGTCAGCGCAAAGTAGGTGTAGCGGATGACCTCGGTGACGGACCAGGCGATGAGCATGGAGCTGTAGGTGGGCGACTGGACGGCGAGGTACGGGTAGAGGAAGAGGACGCCCCAGACGAGGAGGAAGCGCGAGGCGACTTGCATGAGGGTTGTGAAGAGGGGCGCGCGGACGACGCCTGGTGGTCATGGTTAGTGTTTTGGATGCGAATTAGAAGATGTTGATGACTGTTGGCTTACCGAAGAGGGAGTGCAGAATCTCCATGGCCGCGGCTGTTTGCGTCCACTTTGTGAATTCGCCGACGTTCAGGTAGACCGACTCTGGGCCCGATTCGACAAGCGACGTGACGGTGCCTTGGAGGACGAGACCCCAGGCGAAGGCGGAGGCGGCATTGTAGAGGATGAGGTAGCCGTTCTTGACGGGGGATGAGGTCGGCTTTGGGGCCGATGCGCTCTTGGAGGGCGCCATGGTATTGATATTTCCGAATTGAGTGAATGGGGGAAAAGAAAGATGAAGAGGGAAAGAAGTTGGTGATGCTGCAGGTTGTGGTGGTTTGGATGGGAGTTTTTTTTGGAGCTGCCAGGGGGACAAGTTCCAACGGTTGGGGGTTCCGCTGTGGGGCCTGCCGAGGCGGGGGATCCGCTGGAGATCTGTGTATATCAGATGAGAAAAAGAAGTAAATTCAATATTTCAATTGATGCATGGCTGGCTATTAATTTTAACGTATGGTGTAAGCAAACATATAAAAGGGGTAGAAAATCACTTCCTGCTCTCGATAGTCCCCATATCTTGTGCTTTGTCGCTCTCACCACCAAAACAGCTTAATACTCCCTTGATGCACAACCACAACATGACCAACGCATCGCTCCAGATGATTCTCTTTTTCAAACAAGCCAAGACACCATGTGCCTCCAGAAACAGCCGCAGCTTCTGAATCTCCGAATCGTCTCTCCCAACCTCCACCACGCGGTCCATCTTCCCATCGTCAAAGGCAATGCCCCTCCAAAGTAGAATTCCCAGCTTCCGCGCTGCTCCGGCTTCTCTCAGCAACCCAAGTCTATGATGGTCCATGATTCCATCTCGCCCAATAAAGGACAAAAACTCATCCCAAAAGACCCGACGCAGCTCCTCATGGTCGTCAAAGTATCTGAACCCCCCTTCAGAACAAGGCCTGTCCTCTCCGAGAACTTCCTCCACCCCGTACAGGGCCATCCCAAACGGAAGCCACTCAGCTTCAGCCCAATCAATAAGTCCCGTTAAATGACCGGTCTCGGCATCGACCATCATGTTTCCCGGGAGGAGATCGCCGTGTGTCAGGCCCCAGCTTGATGCCTCGACCCAGTCGAGCTGGGCCTGGGCCTCTGATACGTGCGCGAGCAAGTCTTTTTCTGGCAATCCGTTTAGCAGATTAAGACGCCAGCGCATCGATTTCCCGACTCTCCCCTTAATCATGGAGCCGGCTGGTAGCGTCCCTTGCATTCCCCGTGAGGGCTGCCGTCCGCGAAAGCCGAGCGCAAATATTTTGGCCAGGCCGCTCATCAATCTCCTCTTGAACATCTTGTCGTCATTAGCCCGACATCCCTCCTTCCTTTTTCGAAATTCCGATAAAGGAACTCCTCGTATTCGTTGATGTAGGTAGACATGCATCATCGCCGACGGCCTGGCATTCGCACATAGTACTCGTTGTAATGATATTCCTTCTACTTCGCCGAGATATGTAGTCGCCGGAGCAAACTCGCCGTAGATAGACTTGACTTGCCTGCAGGTGTCTATATCCAACATGAACGCTTCCGGTCGAAATTGCAGCAAGTATTCATCTGATATATTCAGCGTATAAGAACAGTAGCCCTGCGTCGCCGCGGGTTTTGCTGCCGAGTCGGGAAACCGTACGCGAGCATACTCATCACATGCGTCTCTAGTTGCTCCGTCAAAGCCGTTGCGAATGAAGAATGCTTCTATTTCTTCGTCGTATGGATATATGTTATTGTTGGCTGTGTAGCTGCCGGCTTTTTGATCATCGCTACTCCAAAACATATTCAAGTGAATGATTTAGATACCGTTGCAAGTCGCAAAACATCTATCACGGCTTGCTAATACTTATACCGTGCAAGTAGCGCCAAGGCAATGGAATGAACATTTTTCAAGACATTTTTTGGATTAGGTAAATGGTGACGGGACGATGAAAGCTCAAAAGGCAGAAGCTTATATACCAAATAAATAAGCCTGTAGGATTGCCATCAAAAAGCCACCCCCACATCCAAAACATCCTCGTAGCTCTTCGCACATGACACGACCCCTCTTTAGCTGAGGCTGGACGCGAACACGTTTTCGCCATCATTGGCTTGCCCGGACCTGGTGGGTGCCTGCGGCGAATCCCAGCCCGGGTATTGCAGGGTTCAAGTCATGCCATGCGAGAAGAGCGGGCGTTTTCTTCTCTTTTCTCGCCAAATCAACAAACACGCTTGCTCACCCACACAAACACACATGCCATCCTTTTCCGTTAATATGTTGCAGTGAGTCTCTGGACAAGATAATCGCCGCTGTTTATGCTCTCATACTTCTTCTCTTTCTCCGTTGCATATGTTCCCGGCAGCACTTCGATGAGGTCCTTGAAGTTGGGATTGCAAAAATATCTGCATCTGAGATTAACACTGTACTTTCTCATCAAGCTCATTTGGATGATGGATTCTTGCTTACGCAATGCTGTACCGTGAAGGATACGTCTTGCCTTCCTTTCGTGGGGGCTCAACTACACGATGAATGGTGCTCTTGATCGTATCGTTGCTCCATCTCGCCAGTAAGTCTCCGGCGTTGACAACGATGGTGTTTTCGATGGGAGTTGCGTCGATAAAATTCCCGTTTGGACTCTTGACCTGCAGGCCACCGCGGTTGTCTTGGAAGAGTAACGTGATTGATCCATAATCCTGCATTTAAAAAAAAAAACAAAGACGTTAGAGGAAAAAGAGATGTACAGCATGACAGCTTATCCGGGTTTCTTACGCTGTGTTCCCCAGCACGGACTTGGCCCGGGGTGTTGAAAACATCAGACCTGACTTCTGGGTAATGCAGCAGCCGTAGGGTGTTATCGCCAACATCCAGAAATCTGTCAAAAAAGGTTTCTTCAAAGCTCATCCCCGTAGCAATAGCCCGCATAACCTCTAGATGCAAAGCTTTGCACTCCTGAAAGAAGCTCTTCATGTCTTCCTTGAAGCCCGTAACTGCGCCTTGTTCCTCGGGCCAGTTGTTCGGGTGGCCGGCCTCATCATCGCGGCCGATTTCAAAGCTCTCTTTCAAGTCCGGGACTGCGCTGCGAATCTTTTCTACTTCCGCAGCGTCATCCAGCTGGCAGACCTTTTCTCGCCCGTGAGCCACATAACCGCGATTGGCCTGTGGAGTAGTCCACTCCAGCGCGGCTTTCTTCTCTAAAGGCTGCGCGAAGAAGTTTGCTGACGTGGCAAAAGCATGTCTCACCGTGTCTTGGGAAATGGAATGGTTTTTGAGATAGATGAAGCCAGCGTCCTGGAAGCCTTTGAGAATGGCCTTGGCCGTCTCCAAGCGTGTGGACGAATCGCCATTCAGGAATCTTGAGAAATCGATGAGCTAGATATGTATAAGTCACAGGTTAGTTCTCAAGTTGTCTGCCCGCTCAGAATCGACAAACGATCTGTGCCCAGGGCACCAAGAGAGAGAAGAAGAAAGAACATGGAGGTGATTTTGCGTACGGGAATGAAAAGTCCGTCTTTGCTCACTGCAGCGTCCGTCGCCATTGTGGCTTGTTTGAGCAAAATGTAATAAGCTTAAAAAGATGCAAGTTGATACACGAATTATCCGATAGGAAGATTCGGGTCTATGTATTGCTACGGGAAGGATTTATGTTGCCAAACTCCAAATCAAAATTAACGCAGAGTTACATGGCTCCCGTCTGATCACACTCTCGTCGGCGGCGCTGCCAACGTCACCAAGCAGCGGGGGATAAGATCGAGCCACCAAGCGTGAGTATCTTGAGCCAGAGTTTGAAGACAGCGATAAGCTGGGGTCGAAAGACGGCAGCTAGCACGCTTAGCCCGGGGCGTGTGCATCGAATGGCGGATCCGGCGGTTTCTGACTGGTGACGGCTGGTGGACCTTTGAGAACTGGTGCGGGGCTTGTGATCTTTAACGCACCGGTGCCCCTCAGTGCTCGTCGAGGTGGTGTTCTGCCGATAATTGATTCGCGTATCAACACATGTGTCGATGTAACGTCCTTGTCGCTACCGAAGCCGCTGAGTGCAAGGCGGCAGCAAACGACAATCCGCGCTACGCGTCCAGCTGCGCGCGGGGGAGATGATTTGAGTCTCAACACCAAACGAGGCTCAAGCTCTTCATCTCCTGCTGAACCCATCTCCACTCCAGATTTTGAGCCGTATTCTGTGAGAATTTGGTTCCTCCTTCTCAGACCTGTGTGATGGCCGCCTCCAAATCGCGCGTCGTGGACATCCACACGCACATGTATCCGCCGTCCTATATCAAGATCCTCGAATCTCGTTCCACGATCCCTCTTGTTCGCTCATTTCCTCAAGCACCAGATCCGCGATTGATACTGCTCGAAGCCGAAGTCAAATCGCTCGAGGAGGCCACCAACAACCCAGAAGCCAAGCTTCCTGGACGGCCACTCACTTCTCACTTTGCATCGCTTGCTCAAAAGGTCCATTTCATGGACACTCACAGCATTGACATTTCAGTCATATCCTTGGCCAACCCATGGCTTGACTTCCTCAGTGCCTCCGAGTCGGGCAAGATGGGCGAATCTGTCAACGAAGAGTTCTCGCGCATGTGCAGCGAGCACCCTGGCCGCTTATTCTTCTTTGCAACTTTACCTCTGACCGCGCCTCTCGAAACGGTGCTGGCCTCGGTATCCCACGTTCAAGGCCTCAAGTACTGCAGAGGCATCATTCTCGGCACTTCGGGCTTGGGCAAGGGGCTCGATGATCCCGCTTTACTTCCTATTTTCGAAGCTGTAGCAGCGGCTCGACTAACCGTCTTCTTGCACCCGCACTATGGGTTGCCCAACGAAGTATGGGGTCCTCGAGCCAGCGCCGAGTATGGCCATGTCCTGCCGCTTGCTCTAGGCTTCCCCATGGAAACTACTATTGCGGTGGCGCGGATGTATCTGTCAGGTGTCTTTGACAAAGTACGAGACTTGAGAATGATCTTGGCCCATAGCGGAGGTACCCTTCCCTTCCTGGCAGGCAGAATTGAAAGCTGTATCATGCACGACGGACAGCTTGTCAAAGAAGGCAAGGCGGGAAAAGGCCGACGAACAATTTGGGAGGTCCTAAAGGAACAATTGTATTTGGACGCCGTCATCTATTCCGAGGTTGGACTGAAAGCAGCAATAGACGCCAGTGGTGCTGATAGATTAATGTTTGGAACTGACCATCCCTTTTTCCCGCCACTTGAAACAGATGAGCAAGGAGAATGGGAGAGTGTGAGTTTGAATGCCGATGCTGTAGCCAAGGCTGTTGGCGAAGGGTCGAAAGAGGCGACGGCAGTCATGGGAGGCAATGCTATAAGCATCCTTCGCCTTGACCAATATTTTTAATAATCTTAAATCTGGATGTCATCGTTTCATTAAGCCAGGCTGCAGGCCATTAATAGCAAAATAGGCTGATGTGATGCCATCTCTCGTCCGTGAGAATCATTAGATAGCAGCTGTATCTTGTTGAAACTTCATCTCCGCCTCATGGATTCGCTGCCTCGCTTGTCTCATTTCCTTCTCGGCTTCCTCGAGCTCCTGGCCATTCGTCGTATCCAGTTTCTGCAGGTTTCTCACTGCTTGAACAGCTCGCAACTTGTCGCACACCAGTTCCCAGTACATCTTCTTCGCAGTGCCGACATCTACGAGATAATCGCCGGGTACGATAACGGCGCCGTTTGCGGGCCCCGACGGCTTTTTCACGGCGCCTGTGGCCTTTAGAGACTCCTTGACCTGCTTTCTCCTTGCTTTCTCCTCCTTCTTTTCCTTTAGTCGTCGCCTTGCCTCGGCCAAGTCTTCCATTTCCTGCGCCGCTTCAGCCTGTCGCTTCTTCTCTTCTTCATGTATCCGTTGCTCTTCCGCCAGCCGCTCCCGCTCCTTGTTTAACTTTTCCTGATCTCGCTGCTGCTGCTGCTCTTTTTGCTGCCTATGAGCATTTTCGCGAGCTTCCAGATCGTCGGCGAATTTTTTATGCTCCTTGTCCATTGCTTCGCGCTCTTGTTTGCGCAGAAGCTTGGCTTTTAGGGACTGGTCGTATGCAGCGCGAGCATCTGAATCGGACAAAATGTCCCTCGCCCTCTCGAAGAGCTCCCATTTCGAAGCATCAAAATCCTCGCCTCTCTTGTCGGGGTGATACTTTAACGACGCTTTTCTCCAGGCTCTGCGAATGTCCTCTTTGGAGGTGAGAGCATCCACTCCGAGGAGCTCATAAAGATCAATATTTTTGTCCGCATACTCAGTTGCGAACCGCAAGAGGTCCGCCTTGTCGTCGCTCATTGTGAGAGTGTCGACTTTCTCTTGACTGCTATGAAGTGACGCCTTTGTAAAGTAGCGGATATAGAAAGTGTGCTGCTGTCTTTTGAAAAGAAAGATGAATGGATGGAAATGCCTCTGGATGTCTGAATAAAAGAATTATTCGCAAAAAGACGGCATAGAATTCGAGATTTCGAGATGTTGCTGGGGTGGCGTTCCGCTAGCTCATGAGATTTGCGAGTGACAGGCTACAGCGCGCCGTCGCGCCTTGGTTCGATACGTCATCACGTGACAGCCACAGAGCTTATTGCCGTCTACCTATGAAGCCCGGTATTACAACATCATACTTCCAACTATCACTTGGTGGTTTTCAAAAAAATCAAATTCTTTCATGCTGATTCTAATGTCCCAAAGAAAATGCGCCGCGCTACTAAACATATTGATACATCATTGAAGTCACTCCCTTGCAAGTTACGGAGCGGGAATCGTCTTCCCCTGCCAGACAATGTCCTGAGTCTCAGCAAACAGGTAAACATTTGGCGTTCCCGCAGATAGCTGAAGCAAGTACCGTTCATGCGGCCCTAGGGGCTCCTCCACCATGATTCTTTGCTTGGGATCTGCGGGTTCGGAGCTTTTTGGCCCGGCATATTCCCAAATCCACCTCCCTTGCTGCCTCTCAAGCCCAGATTCATCGGGAGGGCCTTGCCACCAGCTCGGGCTCTGAGGGATGGGGTCCTTGTATGTTTCGGTGGTGTGCTTCAATTGCCAGTTTGCCAGTGATGGGCAGGTCCAAACGGCTTTATCATCCAAACCAAGGCCTTTGCAGGCTAGCCTGATCCTCGCAGAGCAGTGAATGCGCTCGTTGGTGTCTTGCAGGAACATGTTGGTCTCGCGGTCCGTTTTGGGGTCAGTTCGCTTATACAAGCCAGGCGTCCTGTTTTCGAAGCCTGCAAGTTTGTATATGAAACTGCCGGCTTTGTTAATGGACCCGAGTGCCCATGGCCTCACTGGCTGATTGTTCGAGTAAATGGGGTCAATAGCCCACTTTGGGCCTCCTTTCTTTGAAGCAGCTTTCTGGTTTTTGTAATAGCTGATGGTGCTCTGTGCGACCCTTTCTAGACATGACAAATCGAACTCGACTCCCACGGATGCCATCTGGTCCATCATCCCTATTGATAACATCAGTCTCTGGCCTTTACTCTTTGCAGCAGGTTCAGCTCTTCAAGGACAAAACTGCTTACATGCAAGTGAGGCATCGGCGGCTTCCTGGTCCGGCCATCCACCACCACAGTTGCCATGATTGCCTGGGAACCAGACCTGCCTCAGCTCAGTCGTCATTTTGTTCTGCGGGAGGCGTTCCCAGACAGCTGGACTGAATGGAGCGCGAGTTTCATCCAAGGCGAGTGCCTGAAAGGCATGCTCTATTCTATCCGATAATGAAGTATCATGCCATCTATATGTGCTGTGTCGGTTAGCTTTCTGCGACGAAATACCCGGAGAGAGTGGGACTTATTCTTTGTTCGCGGGGTGTATGCCTATCTTTTCAAGCCAGGGTATCTTGGGTATGCCTAGACTGCCGACAGTATCCCAGACACAAACAGCCTTGATCTTGATCAAGTCGCCATTCTCTTGGTACACGCGAGTATAACCCAGTTTTTCGAGCCTTTCTCGATATACGGCCGCTGCATTTGGCCCCTTGGGCTTATTGTCAAACGGCTGTCCTGGAAACTCGTCTTTATACCCGTCGTTGTTCCAATTCTCCATATCTTTGAAGATGGGATAAAAGTATTCCAAGCCTTCTCTAGTAAGAAGACCTAGATTACCGACCATGCCGGCAACCGATCGGGCTGTAAAGGCCCCTCTAGAAAACCCAACTAGGAATATCTCGTCGCCGTCTATGTGATTGACGCACAAGTATGAGTACGCATCGCGAACTCGCTATACTCCGCATCTGTCAGCATATGCCCAAGTAAAGAAGAAGCAAATGGATTTTCTCTCTCTTGCCTCAGATAGACCTAGGCCAAATGCGCCGCCTGTAAAGGTATCAATGGCATTACTGCCTGTCCCTACGCCGGATTCATAAGTCATGACTTGCAGTGTGCCATCTTGACATCGCCGCTTGAAGCAACGGCTGATTCGAGTCACGTTTGAGGGCACTTGAAGTGTCGGCTGAGGATTTCCCAGAGTCGGCTCGTTATAGCCGTTGTCGCTATTCATCCACGTCCCATCGCAGCAGACAATGAGGCGCTTGTGGACTGGGGGCTGAGAACCCATCAGAACAATCTCTTGAGATTTTACTAAAATCGTGTAAACGCGAGATGAGAGATGCAACAAGAAAATGATCCAAAACTAGTAGACTGCCAACCAGTGTTTTTATAAATACTGCGTAATAACATACACCTCCAAGTGAGGCCGCCTCCCCCGCATACCCCAGATGTCTGATTCTGATTCACGCCTCCAAGACACCGACGACAGAAGCATGACCACAGCCGCGAGACCAGGTTCACAACAAGCCACTGTTGACGGCGCATGCAATCACCTTGGGTGGTCAGCCCCAAAAACGGTCTCAAGCCCGTTCTTTTTGACGCCTATTTAGCAGCTCCAATGATACCCATGACCCAAGGCCATGGCTAATAACCTAGCGCCGAGGCCAAGACTCAGGCCTTTTCAGAACCAACCACTCAGGTGATCCTCGTCATTTACATCTTTCAGCTCCGGCCCGCTGTGGAGAGCGTCTCCCCAACAAGAGCTTCTTTCAGCCTTACCATGCGCCTGGGATAAGCATCAATATGTAGGGGAAAGCATAATCCTACGTTGGCTGCAGCCACAGTTACAATGTATTTGACGGTCCAACCCCTTTGGGGCGGTACGGCTTACACCACATCAAAATGTTTTTTTACTTTAGCACCCCGGCTTGACTCTTTGCGCTTCTAAGGGGGGGGCCAAAACTTGTCTTCCCAGGCAGACTTTTACAGCTTTGGGTCGTTTTGGTGAGGTCAGCCGGGCTTGTTGTTGGCAACGGCACAAGGTGTTGAGGTGGTGAGATTTGATGGCTGCTTTAGTTGCATGTTCTAGGCTGTGCGCGAGAGCTATTGAAAGTGAAACACGCAAGGCGCAGTGTTAGTAGCCAGTGATGGCTTTCATGCCGCGAAGGAATCGCTTGGTACTAGCTGCTATCATCATTTCATTTAGCGAATCATAATGGAAGAAACCATGCTAGTGAAATTTACATTCCAGAAGGGTAGAGTAAGATGGAGTATTCTTTTCGTCTAAATATCATACACACGTAAAATATACATGGCGAGCATCACCGCTGCGCTTCGTCTAGACCCCGTCTCAACCAGTCCGGAACAAACGCCTTGACCTTGACGCCGCTCTTATTGTCCTCCTCTCCCCATTCCAGCTCAAACTCATCTCCATCTTTAAACGTCGCCGCGGCCTGCTCGCCCGGCAGCACCACGTCCGTCATAATCTCCAGGCGGCACAGCCCCAGGCCAATATTGCCCACTCCCCGAAGCCACTTGCCGGCGCTGCGGCCCCTTTTGCCGGACCGCCCGATGCTGGTCTCGACGGGGATCATGTCTGCCGTCAGGGCCTCGGGGGAGCCGCTCTCGGGATCGTAGTGGAGGCTCGTGGGCGCCGCCTTGTCCTTTTCGTAGATGACGCATGGGAGGATGCGCTTGCGGACGACGCCGCGGTGCTTGGTGCGGATGGTCAGCTCTTGGCCTACGTAGCAGCCCTTGTGGAAGTCGATGCCGTCCATGTGCTCCATGTTGCTCTCGAGCGGCAGGGCTTGCTCTCGCAGGATCTCGTCCTGGCCTTCTGCCACGCCGTGTAGATAGCGCCGGATCGTGTAGGCGTCTTCGCTGGCCTGGTTGATGTCGACTTCGGGTGGCTTTTGGCCTGCGAGCTGGATGATTCTGTATCCTAGACCTGGCGCTCGGGGGTCTTCAAACACAATCCTGGATTCGTCCGATGCAATGTCGAGCTTCCCGCCAGTGGTATCGTTCCATGCATGCCATACGGCTACTTCGCCCGCATCTACCGGCCGGAGAGCTATCTTGGCCCTGAGCTTGTATCGCTTGATATATTTGGTCAACGCATTAATCTGCGCTGAATCCACCTCGATCAAGAAGCCATTCTCCTCTTGCGTCGCGCCTCGAACCGGATAGATGAAGACATCATGGAGCACTCTCCCCGTGGCATTCAAAAATCCCGTATAAAAGGCATCGGTCCGAGGCTCGCCCTTGTTCGACACCACGTTGGCCGTGATGATGCCCTGCAGAAACTTGGCCGCGTCGGGACCGGATACCGAGAGCAGCTGCCTCGAGGACAGGGCAGCCAGGCCTGAGGACGGTGGCCGAGCCGGCGTGGCTATCGAGCTGGCGAATCGGCGGCGCTGCTGCTTGCAGTTGCGGCAGACGAAATTGGGAGAAAGGTCATTGAGCAACGAACGCCTCGCGAGGCTTCGCATCATCGGTATCGGGGCCATCGGCGGGTATGTTTTTTGTATGCTTAAAGAGAGATGTTCGATATCATGGAGCCGCGAAGGCCTATTGAAAGTGGATAAGCTCTTGACGAAACCCTTTTGACAGGCATAGAAGAGAAAGAAAAAAAAAAAAAAAAAGAGCTAGAAAGAGCTCTGGCAGCTGATGACGCAGTGAAGGTGGGAAGATCGGAGACCGAAACCGCCTGAAGCCGAAAAATCAGGTAGCTGTGATCGGATGGTGGGGAACGTGGAGCGGTGGGGAAACCCGGGCCCTTGGACCGAGCACAGCCGCTCTATGTGACTTACAAGTACACAAAAAAATGACAAATGATTTTGGTAGAATGGATGCCGGTTGAAAGAAGAATTGATGAATTATTTACAAAGTGAGGCCGTGATACTTGAGTCAGTCACCTTATGGCGGGTGAAAAGTCTTACAAGCGTTCTTCAACGAATCAAGGCATTGAAAGGAACGCATGAGCTTGGGTAACAGTTCACGGCCTCAGTCTGCTCAAACCCGATGCTGGATAGTTCATATATACTCATGATACACATTATATGTTTTATTCAGTTACCCCCCCATTACCATTGGTTTCATGAGAATACCTCAAAGGCCGAGGGCCGCACATGGCCTCGGAAGCAGTCGTGATTTCTTGCGCCTCCAAGATACTCAAGTAGACGTCTAGCTATGCAGTCAGCAAACTGGAATATCATGATATATGAGGATAGTCCCCCTGGTCATATACATACTAGCAATCTTCCATCTAGTGGCAATATCTCGCAACAGGTCCTTAAAGAGCGATATACGCTCAGCTGCGATGCTACCAGGAGCTCCTTGTCCCATCCTAATCAGAAGCAATGCTGCCTGATACGACACGTGGGCTAAAAATGGAGTTGCGACCAGCACGGAAGTGGTGTCTACCATCTGATCCCGAAAGCCTTGACAAGTTGTAGCAATGTAGTCCAGAGATGATAGAGTCTCCTCCCAGGTGTCTGTTGCTGAGACGATGTTGGGTACATCGCTCATGTTATTGCTATTTACTCGCCATTGATACTCTTGAAGAAGGAATATAGTACTGCCAAAGGTCATCAGAAGTCAGCGCGCCTTGCTCACATAGCTCGATGCTCGATGCTGGGTCCACTGCTTACCTAGAGCAAATAGATAGTTGGGGACAGAAGCCGGCGCATATCCTCAGCTCTCTAGCATCAGCTTCGGCATTTGAAACAGTCATTAATGCAAACAACGTTCGTCTTAATTGAGCCATCTGCTGGCTTCTATCGATTGCGCTTTGTTGGTTATCCGGGCTCACAAGGTCGAGAGCCTGGCTGAGCATATAGGTGGCCTGCCCAAACCGGGAAAACATGCCCATCTGGAGAGTAAATGCTTGGGATATGGTGTAAAAGTCGCTCACTTTAAGCGTCTAACAGTCAGTTAGGTCGAATTATACGCAACAGGCTGGTGGAAAGGCGGGCAAATCTTACGCCGTCGTCCCACAACTTGTCATCAACCGGAAGCAAGTCGTCAAACGTCGGAGTCTTGGTTGCGAGCGACCTGCCAGGTTTACAGATGTTCAAAAATCTGTAAATTTAGTCACATAAAATTCGAATGCTCCGTATATACAATGTATTATAGTTGGACTTACCGATCCAAGAAGAGAATGATCCACCAGGCACGTCTTCGTTCCTCAACTTCAGACAGTGTGCGAGAATTCCCATAGCCACTAGATGTATCGTCGTCTCTCAGCTGATCGACACCAATTGCTGTGGCATACCGCGCGCAAGAGCCAACTGTTAGATACGCGGCAGGGTATATAGCTTGCCCAAGCTCGTAAAGCGCAATCAAGATGCCCGCTTGGAGGACTCGCAGTGAAAAGACACCAGAGGCCTCCATCTCAAAGTGTAATCTCTTGGCATTGTGATACAAAGCTTTGGCGTCAAGCGTCCCCGTGGCGGAGCCAAGGTCAGGCTCGCAACAAAGCTGCATGCATATAATGAGCAGACTGAGTTCGCTTCGGCGTTGTGATAGGGGATTCAACATGTGCGCAAAGAATCCCCTTTTCGAGATGACAGGCATCCACCAGTGGATCGAGTCGAAGAAATTATAGGCGATGCTCCGGATGCGAGAAGAATCATTTTGGAATGGCGTCAGCTTTGCTGGAATCGAGAGATGAATCTGCGGCAGCTCAAGCTGTGCCTGCTGGAAGATGTGTGGTGCGATAAAGTACAACGCAGTAGCCGAAGTGGTGTTCTCTGAGGCTGTAGGGGATTCGAGGCTCACAAAAGGAGTACCAAAATGAGAGCCTTGGCCATCAACTCGACTATCCGAGCATGAAACATTCACACTGGAGCTTGAAACATTGTTTGGTGTAGCTGCAGCGGCCAATCGGCTTTCGGATCGAGTCTGTATCGGTCTCCGACGAGTCTGACGACTCCGACGACGCGAGAGGTAGACGCATTCGACCCCCTTTCGAGAGCACAGCTCACAGCTCGGCAACACGCGGTCACATCGCCGCTTGCCTTTTCTACAGGGCTCGCATGCAAGCTGAGAATAACTCACCGGCCCTTGACCCCCAGATGGAGATGCCATGCTATGAGGCGGCCACTCTGTATCATGTCCCCGTCAGATCAGCCGTATAAAATGCGGATAAGTCTTCTTCGGATTGCCGCCGGCGTCATTGCGGGACTCACATGCTGAGGGATTATTAAACGTACGCAAGCCAGGATGTCTGGTTTCACAGTAGCTGAGTCCTGCGGTGGTCAGCTGCGTCGCAGTGGTTTCCTTGTTTGACGACTGGACTTTCAACCAAAGTGTACAGTAGGACGCAGCAAGTTGCGGAAGTGCGGAAGTTCCGCCATAGGCTACCCAGCAATGGATGGCTGTTTGTTAATGAATGGGGCTTCTCTGTCAGGTCTGGTGGCGCGCCATAAATGCCAGCGCTACTTGACGCGGGTCTCCAAGAAGGGACCGAGCCAAACTCTCGATATACCTGCGATGGGATCTCTGTAAAAAAATTCTCTGCACATGATACATGTATTTAAGGTTAAACCATCTAGCATGGCGCTAGCATACGGCTACTATGCATGGCACAATGTGGCGTTGATGGCGAGTACAATGGTCTGTTATGTACATGTATCATGACGTCCAATTCTGGTATTTAGACAGACTGTAAATTGAAAACACATCAATGCTAAAATACAATACTAAACAGCCGGCGCAGTGGCCCGCTTACGACTTCGCTTCCATGAGACAAGCATAAACAACATTGTCAGGACCATTCCGAATCCTGCCAAACTCACGGCAAAGTACAACGCTGCCCTGTATCCTCGAAGTAAATCACTCCCGTTACGGTTAAGATGAGTCTCAATGGTTCCTGCAAAACCCAGGCTTATAGAGATGGAATAGTTGATCGCCGTTGCAATGAGCGACGCCGCAAGGCCTTGGTGCTCGGGCGGCATCGAGTTACTCAACAGGATGCATCCTGCGGGAAACGACATGTCCCTAAATTATCAAGTTAGCGTTTCCCCTTCAGTCATATTCAAGTTCCCTTGCAGGAGATTCGAGGATGTTTTTGCTCCACATACATGCCAAAAGGGTAGATGAGCGTCATTACAAAGGTCTGCGCCCAGTATGTCTGGTCCATGGGAAGTGTGGCTATCAGCGTGCTGCCAATAAGGAATCCGCTCATTGCCATGAACATGATTACGCTCGGCGATACACGGCTGAGCAAGTATGCCGTCGTGAGGCCTGCAACAACGCCCATGATTGGCGCCGCGGACCATTTCGCAATTGCCAGCAGCGGTGAGTCGCCCTTGATGATTTCCATGATCTGGTAGTAGTAGTAGAGTCCGATACCAAAGCTGGCCCATCCTGCCACAATGCAGCTCAGAGTCCAGCCAAGGTCGCCCGTGAAGATGGAAGTCGGCAATAACGGGAACTTCGCCTTGCGCTCCACGAATGCAAACACGCCGAGGGACAGAAATCCGATGATGAGAAGGATGTAAGTATATGGGTCTTGCCATCCGACAATCGGCGCCTGGTTCCACGAGAAGTTGATGAACAGGAGGCCGGTGATGCCAAAGAAGGCACCCGGGAGATCAATCTTGTCAACAAAGTCAAATCTGCGTCCCGTGTTCAAGGCACTGCTCGATCCCGCCGGGGGATCCAGCGCTCTTGGGATCACAAAAAAGCCTGCGACGGCAAGGGCCCAGCAGTAGACTGCCATGATCCAATAAGACCAAGGCCACCATGCCCGCTCTGCCAACAGCGCGATAAACACACCCGCGACATTGAAGCCAGCCGGCGCAGTCGCTCCAAAGAGACTAAAGACCAATTCTTTCCGCCGGCCTGGAGGATAAGTCCGCCCCAAGATGGCAACCGCATTTGGCAGCACCAGTCCAGTTCCAATGCCCTGAAATGCGCGGCAAACGATAAAAAACGTCGGTGTTGTTGCATAGACGCCAAACCCAGCCAGCAGAGACCACAATCCGTACCATAAGAAGCCGGTGACGAAAAGCCGCCTGTGTCCGTACAAATCGCCGAGCCGGCCAGCGACGAGAATGAGCGTTCCGCTGGTCAGAGAATAAGCGGCCGCAAACCAGCTCAGCTGTCCATCCTGCACATTCTCCCAGCTTTTGCCAATGATGTGCGCAGGAATGATGGAGATGGCGAGGCCCGTCTGCGCGAGGAACTGCGCCATGGACACGACAAAGAGGAAGCAGGCCTCGTGAAGCAGCGACTCGGGCCTCTTGGCCATTGAGTGCGTCGAGATGGCGCGCGAAATCCGGCGGTTGATTGCATTTTCGTCGTTGTCGTTGTCGTCGGCCTCGGCCTCGACCTCGAATTCAAGCTCGTCCCGGTTGCTGCCTTTGTCCGACCCCAGCGTCGACGTCAACGGAGGGCTCTCCAGCGGAATGTCTTCATGTTCCTTGTTGACGAGCGCCATCTTCGTGTTCCGCGCTGCTGGCGCTCGGCGGAGTGAAGATGACGGACTGCAAGGTAGGCATGGCGGTTAATCAGCGAGGGCCCCTGGCTCTTATAGAGAACCCTCGGGCGATGTATAAGGAATTGGTAACGCCTGGCCGGGCCCGTTTCTTGGTGGAGCGGACCGCTTGGCCCTACGGCCGGTAGTTGGCCAGGACTACGGCCGCCATGCGGCAAAACGGGTTAATTTGGGCAGTGTCTCCGCCTGTGATTTGACAATTGGAGTTCATCTGGTGCTAGCATCGACTGTAGTTGGGCCACCGCATGAACGCAGCTCGGGTCGGGCCAGCCATGTACCGACACCTTTTCGGCGCTTTGTACTTGCGCAAAACATCAACGATATCTTTGGTACGGGATACATTCATCCCACCTTCTGCATGTATCTCAATTAATCAGCCTTACTACCTGTAGATAGCCTATCAAACCGTGTATTCGCTGGTAATTATAAATGCTCTGCCCCCGCAGTTGATTCCCTCAGCCGAATCTGGCATGCCGCAGCGAGCATGTGTATCCGGCGTGTATCCGAGTTGCTCGCTGCCAGTGGGCGTGGGGGCTGCGGATTCTTGAAGCGGACTCTTGATGCGGGTGCGGCGTCCGCAGCGGACGTTTTCCATACCCAACTCGACTTCAACCCGTGTTAGTGACCTCGGCCACATCCAACATTGCCAATTCGATAATTACTATAAGGCTTCAAGATTATTAATCGTTGAGTGGCGATACAGTAGAGTGCGTAAGAGCGTAGGGACCAATGTAGACAAAGCCCCCTCGTATATGCTAGCCTGCAGCTCTACAAGCTTAATCAGACCTTATGAAGCTGCAACTAAAAGCTATTAGAATAGAATACTGCCATTCAGAAATACTATCTCGTCCTCGACTCTCCTAAAGTTTTTTCATATCATGCACCAAGAATAGTAAAGCACTATCAATTTGACATTCGAAAGGCGCAGACCCCTGAGACTTACATGTGAGACTTCAACTTTTCGCTCTGTCCCACCAGAACGTAGATTGTTCACTAGATCTTGTCAGCTTCAAGCCTGTTTGGTAGCATGGCAAATAGTCAGAATAGCTAGCTTCATAGTGTCACGGGCTTATACTCGCAAGAGTTGTACGTCCGCGAGCTAGGCGGCCCGATCATGTTGAGTATTCAGGGTTATGCTTAAATGGAATACGCGGGTATGAGAAGTCCTGGTTGGCGTCTGAAACTATAAGAACAGGACTTGACAAAATTTTCCAGCAGTCTTGAGTCTAGCTGAGCTGACTTGCGCAGCTCCCCATAGCTGTGTTAATACTCGGGCAAAGAGTTGGTCTGCGACTAGAATTGACGCCTTTCTCCCCTTCTTTTTGATAAATCATTATTGATTTCGTCTCGTCGATTTCCATCTCCCAGGCTCTTGGCATTGGCAGACTTGCATGTCAATGTCGATTACAAACGAGTATTGCAACTCTTGATCAGTCAGCCGTAGCCATGGACATGCCAGCAGCAAACTCAGTTCTCTTCTGCCCATTGAAGATCGGCAATGGAACCATCTCCAGCCGAATTGTCATGGCACCTATGGCGAGACTTCGAGACTGCAGGCAGCACGTTCCCTTAGCCCCCATGGTGCCAACGTATTTCGCCGAGCGCGCGCCAGCTATCCGGGGACACTTGTCATTTCCGAGATGACCATCATATCGCCCCGCGCCTGTGGCTACCCGCACCCTCCAGGGATCTGGACGAATGACCAAGTTGCGGCCTGGAAAGCGGTCACGGCCGCCGTCCATGCTCAGGGATCACGAATCTATCTTCAGATCGGGGCTCTTGGCCGCGTTGCGCATCCTCTTGTGCTTGAGGAAGACGTGGCTCTGTTTGGTTTGCAAAAAGACGCGATCCGACTTGCTGCCCCAAGCTCGATACCATGCGGTAAAGGGCATCCTATTCCGGCGGAATTAACAACGGAAGAAATCAAAGCCCTGATAAAAGACTTTGCCACAGCGGCACGGCGGGCCGTGGATGATGCCGGCTTTGATGGCGTGGAGGTCCACGGCGGCTATGGCTATCTCATCGACCAGTTTATCCAAGACACAGCCAACCAGCGGACAGACTCCTACGGTGGCAGCGTTGAGAACCGTTCTCGTTTTGCAGTCGAGGTTATGCGCGCGGTTGTCGATGCTGTAGGCGCGGAGCGGTCCGCAATTCGTCTATCGCCATGGTGCTCCTCGCAGGGCATGGGGATGAGCGATCCCATGCCGCAGTTCATCTATCTCGTCCAGCAGCTCCGTGATTTGAAACTCTCATATTTGCATCTTGTTGAGCCTTATGCAGCTTCTTATACCAACGACACACTCGCCTTATACGGCGATAGTAACGATATTCTCATTCGCATGTGGGGAAAGACAAGTCCTGTCATTTTGAATCATGGACTCGATGCATTGAGTGCCTGCAAGGCCATTGAGAAATACATCGGCGTAGTGGACATTGCCGTGGCCATGGGCGCACCTTTTATCTCGAATCCTGATCTGATCTATCGCATCAAGAAGGGTATCCCACTTATGCCTCCGGATCGATCCAAGTCGTTCTCAGTGATGGACCCGGACGGCTACATTACGTACCCCTTTTCAGATGAGTGGGAGGCCGAACAAGAGGCCCGGCGACGGGGGAACAAGGCTTAGCATAAACAATTCGTCGACGATGGAGTTTTTCTCATTGTGGTAGAGCTAGAGATGTTGGGGAACAGTGATGTGATAATCAATACAGAAGAGTTACAAATCTTTGTCATCTTGTCTGTTAGAGCGATCATAGCGCTACACCAACGGCAGTTGAAGCAAGCGGTTAGTGCAGTGTGAAATGCCGAGTAGTATTTGGTCTTAAGTAGTATCCGTAAAGCGGTATCAGTCATCAGCATGCATGTAGGAACTCGCGAATCTCGACCTACAGCGTCAAGGGCAAGGCCAATATGCCACCTGGCCAAGACGGGAGATCGCTTTGCCCAGTCGCAGTCTTATTTTTCGCAACAACGGACGTCCTTTTCTGATTTGGGAAAATCTGGTAGAGTTTGGTATAGTCACAGAAAGGCCTTGTCCCGAATAATCTACGCTTCAGACTGCTGAACTTATCGTGTCTAGGATCTATCTAGGCATGATAGAGTCAGTATCCGAAGATGCCGAGGGATAAACAAGCGCGTCGGCTGCCTTTCACGAATGAATCCAACCAGCTTTAGCTCTTCACACGATAGGGGACTCAACCCTACGGACCGAGGATGATCCGTGAGCCAACGGCAGTCGCTTGCGCTGCATGAGAGGAAGCAATTGCCGTCCTGAAAATCGCCGCAGTGCAGTAGTAGCTCGAACGCTAAGACTGGTTCTCCAATAGTTCGGATGATGCCGTCGCTTTCATTTGTTAATCTTATTAATGAGAGGCGAGGGAAGTGAAATTCCCAATCAGGAATCGAGGACCGTCCAACGACTGGCTAGTTTCCAGACGATTCAAACCATACAAGCCCAAAACAGCCATGCCTATCAGCCTCAAACTTACTTAGTAATCTGCACGAATACGCGAGGAATCCCCAACGCAATGGTCATCTCGTAGCATATCTTGCTGTTGCTCCGTAAAACCCGCAAATTGAAGAATTGCCAAAGAAATGTCGCAGATAGCGGTCAGTTGAGGCTTAACAACTAAAATGACTGACACCCAGGGCGGTGTCTGAAGGTGCTCCGATTATTAGTGGCTCTGGTTCCTGGGTCCAAGATACGAGGAGATAGAGCTAGCGGTAAGCGAGCCACAGCTAATCTCAAGTCACGTGTCGGTCCAGGAGAGCCGCACGTTGTGGCGAAAGCGCCACCGTAGAATCTAGACCTGTTGAAACCTTGAAATCCAAAGCAATACTGGTGACCGAGTGACTTCGCAATGATGCAGGCACACACGCAAGTCAACCGTCACCGCTTCCAGACCTTCATTTCGTCCAGGCCTCGCTTCCCCAGGTTGTGAAACTCCGCAGCCCCGTAAGCTGGGGAAATAGCCTTTGCGGGGGACGACCGGAAGGTGGTATTTTGCAGCTGCATCGTGATCATTCGCAGGCTCGTGGTATGATTCTTGACACATCCGGTTCCGGGATATGGGGCATTCATCTGGCAACTCCAACTTGTTCCGATGTGGCGCTGAATAGTGCGGGGAGAGGTCTCCCTGACACGTCCCAGCTCGCCTCCGTGCAATTCCGTCACGACGCACGAATACGGCCTATTCGCATGTTCATCCGGCTGATTACCTACTACTGGCTGTCACTTGCTGCTCCATCAGGGTGAGCGCTTGTCAAAATCTCGTGGGAAATGTCGGAGGCAAACCTAGCTGCAGAGGCTGAGAAATGGAGCAGGATGTCCAGCACATAGGAAAAGTGGCGCCCTAGCGCGTGCCTGGCGTGGAGAAGCCAAGGAAGGCCCGGGAGAACCTGCACAGAAGGGAAAATCGCCGCCGCTGACCTTGACTCGGAGGGTTTTGGGGAGAGGCGTTTGAGGCTTTTGGAGGCTTGGGGCAGCCATTGAGCGACCAGATCTGGCCAAGGCTTTCGTCAGCGGGATCTACGGCATTGGCCCAAAGCAGGCTGTGGCACACGTCAAAGTTTTCCAAGGCCAGGCACGCTGCGCCAAATCGAAGGATCGAAGAATGGCGCGCGTGAAGGCTTGTTCATGAGAAAGGCAATTGACGCTGTGCGCAGAGCCTGGGCTGGACCCGAACGAACCTGCATCCATCGCATGATCCATGGCCATTACTACGTCGACAGCGCTCAATGCGCGAGGCGGAGTCGCATCTGAAGATAAGGCAGGGGCTGGACCTCGTCGCTGAGCTGATCTCGAGTCAGGGCTGATCCATCCTGTCTCCAGGCTCCCACTTCCATGATTGCGATGCGACGCGCACAAGACCCACTGGCGATAACCCAAATGCCAAGCTAGCATCTCAAGCGGCGTCTCACTCTCGTTATCTAAGGCGGTCCACCGGTGCGCATACCGGTGTGCCGACAGCCTCGCGCGCAACATGGAATTCTGGAGGCGAAAAGCTTCCCCAAAGCCCAAAGGCGAATCTCGAGATTCCACCTGTTTCGTCACGACTCAGCGCGCGCGGGCGGATGGTCCCCAAAAGACATGACAAGATTACCCCATTGATACCCCAAGCCCGACCATCCGCGTGCCATTGGATGGAGAAGATTGGAGCTAGCTGGTTCTTGGGGATGACGGGCCAATCAGCGCGAGGCTCCTTCTACGCGTTATCAAAAACGGGCTTGTCTGGGGGAACGACCCCAGTTTTCTCCAGTTCCCCGACTCCAGCATGCCACCGTTCTCGGGGGCCCCGACTGTCTATCGACCATGGAGATGCTGTCTAGTTGAGTTTATCGGGAACTCGCCCCCGGTCGCCAGTGCCGGGAGTCTGACGCCTTTGGGCATTTGACTGCCGGTCCCGGTTCCGGTCCTCTAAGTCAAAAAGCTCCTGCATTCCCGGCTCTTGGCCCGGATTTCCTTTCATTCATTCCGTTCCAAGTTGTCAACCCACGCCAACGACAACCAACCATGGAAGACTACAGTGACCCCAAATCCGACCTCTCCCCAGAGGCTGCCCACCTGGCATCACTGGGTCACAAGCAGGAGCTCAAGCGAAACTTTTCCTTGATTTCTATGCTGGGTCTTGCTTTCGCCATTCTCAACACATGGACTGCATTGGCCGCCTCACTAACACTGGCCCTCCCCTCCGGAGGCTCAAGTGCCGTCATCTGGGGTCTGATCGTCGCCGGTATCTGTAACATGACCCAGGCCGTTTCTCTGGCAGAGTTTCTTTCCGCGTATCCCACAGCCGGCGGCCAGTACCACTGGGCCGCCATTGTTTCATGGCCGAAATGGAGCCGTGGCATCAGCTACGCGACAGGATGGATCAATGTGTCGGGTTGGGTCGCCCTCAGCGCCACCGGTGGTTTGCTGGGTAGCACGTTCATCATGAACATCATTCAGCTTCTGCACCCGGATTTTGAGCCCAAGCCGTGGCATCAATTTTTGATCTACATTGCGTTTGCCCTCGCTGCCTTGGTCATCAACGCTTTCGCCACTCGACTTCTTCCTCTCTTCACCAAGGCCGCTTTCTTCTGGTCTGTTGGCGGCTTCGTCGTTATCAGCATTACGGTTTTGGCGTGCGCTTCGCCCGACTATCAATCTGGCGAATTCGTCTACGGCAACTTCATCAACGAAGTTGGCTGGCCAGACGGTCTGGCTTGGCTGCTCGGGTTGCTTCAGGGCGCCTTTGCTTTGACAGGTACGTCAATAGAAAACACAACAAACCTTGATTTGACGACCATTGTAACAATTGCTAACTTTTTTTTTTTACCAATAGGCTTCGACGGTGTTGCCCACATGATTGAAGAGATTCCGAACCCGCAAAAGGAGGGTCCCAAGATTATGATGTATTGCATCGGCATCGGCATGTTCACCGGTTTCATCTTCCTCAGTTGCCTCATGTTTGTCATCACCAACCTCGATGATGTCCTCGTAGCTGCCGAGGGCCCGCTGCTTCATATCTTCATGGACGCGACCAAGAGCAGGGCCGGCAGTGTTTGCCTGCTCATGTTCCCTCTCGTGTGCATGCTTTTCACCACCGTCACCCTGGTCGCCACCAGCACCCGAATGAGCTATGCTTTTGCCCGCGACCGTGGAATGCCCTTCAGCCACCTCTTCGCTCAGGTTCACCCTACCCTTGACGTCCCCATCAACGCCTTGCTTTGGACAACCGCCTGGGTTATTATCTTCGGCTGCATTTTCCTGGGCTCCACCAGCACCTTCAACGCCATTACTGCCGCGTCCGTTGTTGCGCTTGGTGTTACCTATGCCATCCCACCGCTCATCAACGTCTTGAGAGGCCGCAAGATGCTTCCCGAGAACCGCCCTTTCAAGCTTCCCAACTGGCTTGGCTGGATCTGCAACATTGTTGGAATCTGCTGGGCCATCCTTACCACCGTCCTGTTTGTATTCCCTCCGGTGATCCCCGTGACAGGATCCAACATGAACTACGCCATCGTCGCATTTGGCGTCATTCTTCTCATTTCCTGCGGAACATGGATCTTTGATGGGCGCAAGAACTACAAAGGCCCTATTGTGGAGATCCAGGGCGTGTTTGAAGGCACTGTTGACGGCATGGACCCAGCAGGCCATTCCGACAGCGTTCGTGAAGAACACGCAGAAAAGAATTGATAGATTCGATTTGCGGATAAAGGGTTATATAGTGTTTTATTTTGCGTTGCGTGTACAATGATATCAAAGTTTTTTTATTCTGTTCAAAGAACAATTGCCTTGCGCTTTTTGTGAATCAACCTGGATGCGTTACAGTAAATTTCCATGCCAGCCAGCCCAAACCAATATTCAGAGACGTTTCAGCTGAACCTGCATGCTAATAAATTTGGTATCAACAAACTCCCACGCCGTCCCAATAGGCTCTTCTGCTTGCCTGAGCAGCATGTCATGAACCCCTGCGATGGCTACCGGCAACAGTTTATTATCATTCAAGGCTAAAAGTGTATAACCGCCATCGGTTTGCCTATCTGCTATGAAATATTCGTCGGCCTGGTGGTGAGGAGCTTTTGCAAGAAGCCTGTGTTGGCCATCCCACCAAGCATGTCCGAGGTACGTGCCAGAGACGGTGTTTCGAAAGCCGAACCATCCGCAGTTCTTGAAACAGTGCCAAAGCCAGCCTCCTCCGGCCTCAACGCTCTCTAGTAACCTTAACTCGCCGTTTTCGAGAGAAAGATAGCGGTATGGCTGCTGCTTGGTGCGAATCATGAATGTCCTGTCGGCTGCAGGATGATGCTCCACGTGCGGGGCTTCAGTAACGGGAATCATGGCGTCTTTCTCATCAGCGAATATCGCGTTTGTCATGATGGTAGAGGTGGGCGTGGGACAGTCATCTGCTGCGATGGTTGAGATATCTGAGGCGATTTGATCCATTATAAGGGGATCACATGCGAACGATGAGAAAATAAGAAGCAAAGGTTTAAGAGACGGCGACGCGAATTGAGGGCTAATGTAGATATTATGCGTGCGTAACCCAGGTACGTTTGAGGGGAGAACACTACAAAATTGTGTTGCATGACACACGTGTTAAATTCATGCATTATGGCAACTGGGTGGCCTACAAGGTGTCTCAGTGAAGCCGGGTGAATTCGTTTGGTGGCTGAAGTTCGTTGTGGCTGGCCACATGCAATTGGAATGAATTGCAATGCAAGGGAAGGATACTGCATGTGAGATCAAATCGCTTGTTGTGCCTATAATCTACACCTACAAAGACGGTTTGGCGCTCAAGAGTAAGAATGATTCGGCAACAGGTCGAAGGTTCTTAGATTTTGGCGGGTTAATGGAACACCAAAGATAAGAATTCAATGCTCGAGTCATGCAGCTTGACATTATCGACGGCGCCTTTTTTTTTTTTTTTTTTTTTGACGTCTCCGTGTGGCGTGATAAGATAAGAACTAGATATGTCGGTACGCTGAAAAGATTTATAACGCTTTTGTTACATGTTGCTGATCTGATATCTTGTGAGACCATCCAATAAGACAAGATATAATTGAAGTCTTCATTTTCTGATACCTGTAGGGCAATAAATTCGTTCCGCAACTAAGCATATTTACCGAGACGCAAGGAGAAGAGCAAGTACCCTAGATATTAGCATTTGAGACACCGCCATCAATCTTCCATCGCCACTCATTTGATGATTTTACTAGAAAATGACTTGTTCCCTGGAGAAATAAACCTGGCCGGCGTGCTCGATTCTAGACCATAATCTTCTATCAAACTGCATGTCGGCATTTACTACACGTATCAGCCGTATGTAAAACAAGAGCGTTGGTGGCGTCGCCTCATCCACAGCACTAGCAGCCCCACAGTCGGATAGCGGGAAGATCTAGAGACTCACAAAACTTGATGTCTTTTTGACCTCCGAATATCGCTCTCAGGATCGGGACTTTTTTTCACAGCAAAAGATGACGCGCTTTCGCCCCTGCATAGACCTTCATGCCGGCCAGGTGAAGCAGATTGTGGGCGGGACCCTGGACAGCTCATCGACGGCCCTCCAGACAAACCATGTGTCCCAGCATTCGGCGGAATACTTTGCCCGGCTATACAGAGACAATGAGCTCGAGGGCGCTCATGTGATTATGCTGGGAGGGGGAAACGATGTCACTGCGAAAGAGGCGTTGAAGGCATGGCCTGGTGGTCTGCAGGTGGGCGGTGGCATCAATGACAAGAATGCGAAGGAGTGGATTGATGCGGGAGCAGAAAAGGTAAATATCACAAGATATAGGCTGTGCAGTCATGGTGTTGCCTTTTTTTGTGTTGATTATTTCATATTTATTTATGTAAATTTTGAATCACTAACTCGGATGCTTCATGATAGATTATCATCACATCGTACCTCTTTCCAGATGGCCACTTCAGCCAGGAGAGACTAGATGCTGTCTTGGGAGCTCTTGGCGGAGATACGAGCAAGCTGGTAATTGATCTCAGCTGCCGTCGCCAAGGACACAAGTGGTTTGTTGCCATGAACAAATGGCAGACATTGACAGATATGGAAATCAACCAAGGTTAGTGTATACGTCGCCAATTATGGCAATTTTCCTTTACAACTTTGAGTAATGTGGCTCATTTTTGAATCTGCAGAATCAATACAGTCATTAGAGCCATACTGCTCAGAATTTTTAATCCACGCCGCAGACAACGAGGGGCTACAAAGGGGAATAGACGAGCAGCTGGTTGAGCGCCTGGCAGGGTGGTGTTCTATTCCGGTCACATATGCCGGCGGAGGACGGCACTTGGAAGATTTGGAAACAGTCAAGCAGCTCAGCCGGGGTAAAGTAGATCTCACGATAGGGAGTGCCTTGGACTGTTTTGGTGGGTCTGGCGTCAAGTTTGATGATTGCGTGCAGTGGAATAAGAGCCAGGGTGCCTGACGGATGGGGGAGAGGCTGGATGGATGAGAAGAAAACATGAAAACATTCGGTTTGTTGACACACAAAAAAACATGTGAAGTTGACCCGACGCTAATGGTTTTGGTGCGTCGATGGAGTTTCAATATATTCCCATACAGAGCATGCCGTGTTACCAGAGAGATAGCAGCAGCAGTAGCCGTAAATTAAGTGCCTACTAAGCAGTTCGTATAAAAATAGAGTTTTATCACGTCGGAGCAAACAAAATTATCTACAGGGACTGCAATGTTGCTGCGTGGTGGATTGACCTCGTGGAAGATCCGAGTGGATCAAGGAGGTCCGTAATACGCACGTACCAGACACAACGTGCACAATTCTGACAAGGCCAGCCAGGGCAGGAAATTGATGGCTCAAGCTTCGTATTCACAAAGGCAGGCCCTTTTTCTCGGTAACCATGGCGTTGCCGTGTTTCACAGCCGCCTGCAGGTAATGATTGTAATAAGACGGAGTAATAACACAAATAAAAGGAGTAAGTCGCACGACTAGTAATCGCACGGGTCAATGCAAAATGAGAGAGGGAGCAAAAGTAAACAAAGGGAAAAAGGAAAGAATTGGAAGCGAAAAGAAAACACCACAGCTACTGCACAGTACCTGTAATGGTTGCGCGCGAGCACTCGCTGCATGAACACCAGACCCGAAAAAAGAAAGTAAAAAAAAATAGATGGATCAACAGACGAAGGAAGACCGAAAAGGAAAAAAAAAAAAAAAAAGAACTGGAGCATGCATTGCCTTTATGCCAGCAACGGGAAAAGCAAAAAGCGACCAGAGTCAGGATGGGCATCTATCGGAAACTGACCGCATGTCTGATGAGGCGATGACGACACCAAGTCGCAGGGCACGCAGAAATGCTTTGCAGTTGCAGGCCACTGCGCTCTAGCGTGGGATGCGAGTGAGAATAAACTCGCCATGCATCACGGACGGTAAAAAATGGATGCATCATGCGGCGGCACCAGCCGAATCAGAAGCCTCAGACGAGCCCAGACGTCTGTTGCCGCCTTATTGTTTGCATGCTGCCTCGTCTCAGACCCCTGCCGGCTGCCATGGCGACTCTCCGACTCTCACGGCGCTGAGCCCAGGCGGCGCTGCCCGAGGCTCAGAGCGTGCTAGCACTGGCTGCGAGGCTCTGTAGGCTCCCATGGCTCCCTTTCCCCCCTGCTGCACGTCGCCTACAGGGCCTGTGGCGGGCCTGTAGCAAAGCACGATTTAGTGCATGCAACCCCTCCTCAGCTGTGATGTGCCCCCCGGGGAGCCCCCAAGGCTAGGCAAAATAGCGACGCGTTGCTACGACAACCCCTGGCTCACTGAGGGGCCGTGTTTTGTTTTGCGTTGGGCCAATCACGCTGCCCGACGGCGCTTCCCTTAAACACCCCCGACCTGCAAATGAATAGCCCCCCTTCTGCCCTCGTCAAGTTGTCATCGTTGAAATTCGATTCTGGGTGCCAGCGGCCGAGTCGAGTTCAGGGCTTTGACGCAACTTCTTCTTCTTCTTCTACTTTTCTTTTTCTTTTTTCTTAGCATCACCAAGAGAACAGAATTAACCGGGCGAACATTCTGATATCTCGCGCCCCCCCTTTCCTTTCCCTTTCCCCTCTCCTTATTCAATTCCAATCATTCGTTTTTTCGAGGCTGCCGTATCGAAACTAGCCTCTTTTTTTTTATACTACTATATACGTTTTTGCGACAAAGAAGAGAGGAAACAGAGAAAAAAAAAACGACGCCGGCTAGTCGTTGCATTCCTCGCCCGAGTCACATCGCCCTTTGTGCTGATCGACTTGCGTGCCGATGTGTCCACGTCCTAGCCCGACCTGATTGCAAGGATTAACCAGCCCAGTTTCGATCGATATGTCATCTGAACCGGTGCGCCCAACACCACCCAATGTTGGTTCCGCCAGCACTTCGCAGCAGCTAACCTCTGCATTCTCTCTGCAGGTGCACCCATTGCGCATCACCAAGGGCAGCACGCCGCCAAACGCATCACCCACGAAGACGCCCAACCTTCCCCAGCCCCGCCCCCTATCTGAAATCTCGCCCACCGAAAGGAGACGTAATTCTCCTAGCTGGAACCAAATGGCTCCTACCAAGGTTTGTGGAATGCTTAGCGACATTGCGCGTTTGTGGTGTCTCGGGCTGACAACGTTGTTTTTTTTTTTCGCCTTTCTAGAAAACGGCGGCGCTCAGCAATGACTCGTCTCCATTCCAGACTTCGCCCGCCGACTCGGTGACATCGCCGCGGGTCTTTTGGCAAAACCGAAATTCGGAAAACATGTACAGCAACGGCTCGCCTTCGTCCCACCGGCGCTCCTCGATCGAGCGTCTCCAGAAGGCTTCACGCGTCAAGAACAGCAATATTCTGGCGCTTGAGCAGAAGCAGGAATATGATCCGACTCGGCTTCCTCAGATCGAAAGACCCCTAGCCAAGGTCCAGCCCGGCGCATTCAACTTTGCAGGAGGCTCGCCTGGCCCTGATGGCGAAAAATCCGCATCCCCGATGAGCCCAACCAAATCAGACTACTCGGGTCCCAGCACGCCGAGGGGACCCAGCAAAGACCAAGCTTCGCCCACAAAATCATCGCTATCTCCTTCCAAATTCAAGAGCAGCTTCGACCATGAGACGGGCTTGTGGTCTGCGGACTCGTCCGCTCTGGACGGCCCCCCAAACGGTCGATCTTCACATCGCCACACGAAGAGCGTGACCTTCGATAATGCACCACCTCAGATCAACGAGTATGAAATGGCCACCCCGGATCTGTCTTCCATCGGAACGAATTCGCGCGAGGGTAGTTACGACTCGGAGGAGGAGGACGACGAAGACGACGAGGATCTTCTTTACGATCCCGCTCACATGGGTGGCCCAGAGGATGAGAGCTTCGATGCATCTCTCGAGGATACAGACAAGACTCCAGTTGTGGGGCCCGATGACTGGGCTCGAGACAACTCTTTGGTTCACCACAGTGAAGGTGAAGACGATGACGGGAGTCTGATGCCCGAGGGCACTCGAGGAGCAATCAGTTCGGGGCGCCTATCCATGGGATCTGTTGGGTCCGTCGCAGAAAACCGCCCTCTCCCTCCCCTCCCTGGCGCAGGTCACGTCAGGAGTCAGTCTGCCGGCTCTGTGCCCTCATCGCCCGCCCTCTCACAAACTCCAGAGGGCTCCCACAGAAGCCTGCCCGTTCCACCGCCTACCTCTGCGACAAAATCCGATATTGAGAGCTTCATTAGCGGCAAGATGTCGCTTGAAGAAAGACTCAAGCTCATGATGTTGTCCGACGATAATAGTGGTAAGACTGCTGCCGAGCAACAGCGCGAGCGACGTCTTCGTCGCAGCTCTGGCCGCAGTCGAAGCTCGTTATCCCATGACAACTCGCTCGCCTTGGTCGACACTCAAGATGACCAAATCGGCGACGACGTTCACAATGATGATGAGCTAGAGGCGCATGATGCTCATGAGACTCGTGAGGAGGAGGAAAATATTGGGGACATGTCCGGAATTGGAGATTATCAGCTGCCACAGCCCATTTCCAGAGAGTCCATTATGAAGCGTGTTAACGGTAATAATGCATTGACGGATCCCGAAGCAGACTATAACTTTTCTTCGCCGCCTGGTAGTCCTCTTCGAGACCAACACTTTCCTCTTGACCCTGACGTCCCCATTCCATCAACTGAAGATTCATTGATGGGCGAAGAAGACGATGACGATAGGAGCTATGACGACGAAGATGATTATGACGACGAAGACCCGGCGGAGAGCAGTGTGATTATCCATCGGGTCATTCATGAAGACTCCACCGGATTCGATATGTACGACTCCGATTATGACGATGAATATGACGATGAGCTTGACGATGAGCTCGACGGTTCTCACTTCCAATCGGATGACGATCTAGAAGGCTCCCACTCTCATTATGGCGGCGAGGGGGATAGCGAGCACACAGAAGATGGTCTCGGCTATAGAGACGGATCTATCCAAGAAGATATTACTCTTGAAGTCCCTGCCAGAGACCCTGTCGAAGAGCCGGCCAAGGAACCTGTCCAGGAACCTGCAAAAGAAGCTGTTCAAGAACTTTCACCTCTGGACCATGAGAACGAGGCCGAAGAGGCGCTGACTCCACGAGCCATCTCGCCATTAGACGCCGATGAAGAAAGCCACGCTGACGCCGAGTCTAGTATTGTTAGCGAGTTTGCGGGTTCGGTGGTTTCTGAATTAGAATCGGATTTCACCTATGACACAGGCCTAGATCCCAACCACGACGTCTCAGAGGAGCTGGATGATGAGTCGCCAAGAATATCAACGGATATCCCCCAAATCAAGACACCGGAAAAGTTGATCCCGAAGCCAGATTATGACGGTGCCGGTTGGGGTGATGATTCGTTCAAGTCGTACGACGACGATAGATCGACGACTCCCGACTCTGTCATCCACAATCCCGTATCCGAAGATGAGGAAGAAGAACACACAATCATTGAGAGAGAATCTCCCGAGATTCCCGAACGGCTCGCAACGATCAAGGCCTCTGGCTCCAAGTTGAAGACAAGAATCTCCAACACGCCTTCCGACATTGTAGCCATGCGAGAAGCGCGCAGGCACGTTAGCGGCGAAATACCAAGCGTTCCATCAATCCCGAACAAGCACCGTGGGCTTGCGCCGCGAGATGGCAAAGACCTTGAGCTGAGCAGTGACAGTTTCCTGGCGCGACACCCAAGTTTTAAGAATCGGAGTCTCACCCTGGATCTGGATATGGGCCTCAGCTTGGATAAAGATTTTGAACGAGTCATCGAGACGCAAAAGGTAGCTTTCAGTCGCCCACTTCCCTCTACACCACAGATTACCTCCACCAATCACCACCCTTCGCCTCGACAAGTGTCGGGGAAACAACCCACTTCACTAGGTACAAGTCAACTGGATGCTAATATTACATCTCGTTCTCAGCGCGGATATCTCATGCGACAAAACACCAAACTCGTGTCTGCCAGCGACAAGGATGCGGAGGATTCTTGGAGGACAAAATCAGCCAGTAATTCACCCATCAAAGCCGCGAATCGGCCGCAGTCATGGACTGTCGAACCGTGGAACAGCCAAACTCGTCGCAGTATTCGAAAGGGACAGCCGGTTTTGAGTCCTGTACCGCCCCTGCCGGGTCAGGAGAGCAACGCCACCGCTCTGAACAAGGTTGTTGAAGAGGACTACAACGTTGATGTGGCCGGCCCAGAGTCGGGTGAGAGAGGCCGTCTCTTTGTCAAGGTCGTTGGCGTAAAGGACCTTGAGCTTCCCATTCCGAAGAGTAAGCAGCGGCGCATCCCCCATCCATTGTGTCGAGCATGCAAAAATATCTAACAAATGCCCATTAGATGAACGAAGCTGGTTTAGCCTGACGCTGGACAACGGCGTTCATTGTGTGACAACAGCTTGGTTGGAACTGGCTCGCAACGCACCGATCGGCCAAGAGTTTGAACTTGTCGTTCCAAACGACCTCGAGTTCCAATTGACCTTGAACGTGAAACTAGAGAAGCCGACCTACTCTCACGTCCAGCCTGCGGCGGTCAAGATGGCAAAACCCAAGACGTCAACATTCAGCAGAGTTTTTGCGTCACCCAAGAAGCGCAAGGAGCTTGAGCTTCGGCAGAGAGCAGAGGAGGAGCGCTTTGCGCAGCAGCAGAAAGAGGCATTGGCGCGGCAGCGTAAGGATGCCGGCTCGGCCTACGAGCTCTTTTCACGGCTAGCTGCCGAAGACGGAAGCTTTGCTCGGGCTTACATCTCCTTAAAGGAGCACGAAAACCGATGCTTCGGTCGCCCATACACCGCCGAGGTTGTCTGCTTCAATGAGTGGGCTAGTGAAGAAGAGAGCTTCGCATCTACCATCAAGAGCAAGCGAGGCAATGCTTCTGGCATTCTCAGGCGGGCGCCGTACAAGATTGGAAAGCTGGAGCTTCAGCTTCTCTTTGTACCTCGCCCCAATGGCATTACAGACGACGATATGCCCAAGAGCATGAATTCATGCATTCGAGAGCTCAAGGCTGCCGAGGAGAGACTCGCCCGTAACTGGGAGGGTGTCTTGAGCCAACAGGGTGGTGATTGTCCCGTAAGTTTCTTCTTTTTTTCCCTTTTCTCTCACATTCCTCTCGCCCTTAGCTTCCACCTTTGACTAACCCTATTGTTTAGTACTGGCGCCGTCGATACTTTAAGCTTGTTGGCACAAAGCTGACTGCTTATCACGAGGCTACTCGCCAGCCTCGCGCAACAATCAACCTCTCCAATGCCAAGCGATTGATCGATGATCGTAGAACATTGATGGAGAAGGAGACAACCGGCAAAGGCGGCAAGCGCCGTAGATCTGCTTTCGCAGAGGAAGAAGAGGGCTACATGTTTGTTGAAGAGGGCTTCCGGATACGCTTCAACAATGGTGAAGTCATTGACTTTTATGCCGATACGGCCGAAGACAAGGAAGGCTGGATGAAGGCCCTTTCAGACGTCATTGGCCGTGGTGATGCCGGCTTAGATGAGGAAGCCGGTGGGCCCCGATCGCGGGCGAAGTGGTGTGAGCTTGTCCTCAAACACGAATCGCAGATTCGACGTCGCACTGAGAGCCGAAGAGTGCACTCACGGACGAGGAGTACGTTCAACTAAGAGGTGGCGGGCAAGACGCGCGGGCTTGGGATGTACTTGCTATGTTATGAATACGTGTTGGATTATGGGGTATGGAGGTGGAGGGGCATGGCGCAATTTTGCTACTACACACACATTCATTGGCGTTGCCGGTGCTTTTACTTCTTCTTCTTGTCTCTTTTTACCTTTTCTTTTCTGTTACTTTTCTTCTTCTTTCTACTTTCCTCATTGCTTGCTGCTATCTCATAGTTGTTTGCGGCAAAGACCGCTGTACGTATGGATTCTGATTTTGTACTAAAAAAAAAAACGGTAGCAAGTATAATGAGACCAACGCAGCCGATGCGCAGTTTCTTGATGTAAATGGAATAAATTGGCACAACTCTTTTTTCCTTTGATCTTCTAGCTGAAAATAGTCTGTGATTTGCCCGATGTGCACGGATGCTTTGTCTTGGGGTGGTGAATAAAGGAGGGTTCAAGTGCGTGTTATCTGTACATACCTGCTTGCTCTTCAATTTACTCTGAAGAGAGATTTGCCAGTTTGGCATGCTGAATAGAGATTGTGTACACTGAGATGTAGATTAGGGCCCATACTTGAAGTCATATTGAATTGAAGCTATCCCTATTTCTAACTTTTGTTTGAAGGCTCTCTCCTTGTGATTTGGAGCCTCAGTGCTCGGCATCTTTGGCCTCGTCATTTAATTTGAGCATCTCTCCATAGTCCAAGGGGTCTTGTTTAATGCTGGGGCACGTGACCCGCTACCTCGTTACGGCCAAATATCAATGATGAACTGTACATGCATATTGACATGAAGCCGTTGCATTATTTGGTCCAATACAAGCTCGATCAAAATGCATAGACAACTACAGCTATCGTCCACAGCAGACAGATAAAATCATCATCATCGCCAAGGTGTCAAGGCAGCGCTGACAGAAAGCGGGCGCCTCCTGGTGGGGTTTCGAACCAGCTGGCGAGGCGCAGCGGGTCCCTCAGTGGGCTCGGCAGCCAATTGAGCTCATCCGGGGGGTCGTGCTCGGGGGGCATCGTCACCTGTAACAGCTGCGTATCAATACGCAGCACCCTTTCTCGAGCAGCCCCCCGATTCTACCTCTCCCAAAGCGCAATCTTCCTCGCACCTCTCCAAACGCCCTCTCTCCACGCCCTCTCTTCTCCTACGCCTCTCTTCTCCCCTTCAGCTTCTCTTTCTCCAGAGGACGCCACAATGGCTGGTCGATTTGTCCGGGCGTCCAAGTACCGTACGTTGCCAGTCGCGAACTGATAGCTTGCCCCCCCTCTCTCCTGCGCTGACGACGACGAGGCTGACCGGTTTGCACACCACTCTAGGACACATCTTTGGCAAGCCCACCAAGAAGGAGTTTTGCTACGATAACCTGCGCATCAGCCGAAATGCCTGGGACACGAACTTGGTAAAGGTACGGCGACCTGCGAGACGCGAGACGTGCTGCGGCCTTGCCTCGACACGATGTGCTGATACGAGCTGAAACACAGGCCAACGCCGAGTACCTGTCGGTCAATTGGGAGTCTTCTGGAGGCGGTGCCTTTGCAGTCATCCCGCTGAACGAGAAGGGCAAGGCTCCTGACCAGATCCCTCTGTTTCGCGGCCACACTGCGACTGTGCTCGACACTGACTGGTGAGCTCTCCATTGAACTTGAACCCCCCCTATTTCCCTTTGACAGACCCTTGTCAGCCCACCTTTCGCCCAGACGTTTGGGTCACTGACTTTTGTCGCAAAAGGAACCCGTTCAACGATCACATCATCGCCTCTGCCTCTGAAGACGGAAAGGTCTTTATCTGGGAGGTCCCTCAGGACTTCTCGCTCTACACTGATGCTGAGGTGATCCCCGATGTGTCACCAGTCAGCAAGCTCGGAGGTCACACGAGGTAAGGCACAGATCTTTATTGAGTTTTTCTGCCCTACTCTTGACAGGATTGAAATGTGCTAATGCATGCATAAATAGAAAAGTCGGACAGGTCTTGTTCAACCCCGCCGCCGAAAACATCCTCGCCTCGGCCTCTGGCGACTTCACAATCAAGCTCTGGGACGTTGGCACTGGCCAGAGCCACCTGACTCTCCAACACACCGACATCGTGCAGAGCTTGTCATGGAACGCGAGCGGTAACCTGCTTGTGACGACGTCGAGAGACAAGAAGATTCGAGTGTGGGATGTCCGTCAGGAGAAGCCTGTGCATGAGTCGGCGGGCCACACGGGTGCCAAGAACAGCAGAGCAGTCTGGCTGGGCGAGCACAACCGATTTGCCACGACTGGTTTCTCCAAGATGAGCGAGCGACAGATTGCTTTGTGGGAGCCCGGTCGCAGCGATCCCATTGGAGGTTTCACTCATCTGGATGCCATCTCTGGTGTCTGCATGCCATTCTGGGACGAAGGTTCCAACTGCCTCTACCTTGCTGGCAAGGGGTAAGCATAACCCCTCTTCCCCGCCATTGATCACGGTATCACAGCCACCAGGAACCACCAGTTACTGACGAGCTCACAGTGACGGCAACATCCGCTACTACGAGTACGAGAATGACAAGTTTGAGTACCTGAGCGAGTACAAGTCCGCAGACCCCCAGCGAGGTATCGCCTTCGTTCCGCGACGCGGTATCAACGTGAGTATTTGGACTCGTGGGTGTAACTTTGACAGTGCCTGGCTAATCCGTTGTTCTAGGTTCACGAGAACGAAGTCATGCGCGCCTTCAAGACGGTAAACGACAACTACATCGAGCCCATCTCCTTCACCGTGCCCCGTAGAGCAGAGACCTTCCAGTCCGACATTTTCCCTCCCGCCATTGGAACTCGTCCCGCCATGAGCGCCAAGGAGTGGCTCGATGGCAAGACTGATATTCCTGCCAAGATTGATTTGGAGAGTATCTACGAAGGAACTGCTCCTAAGGAGGTTGCCGCCAACTACCAGCCACCGGCCCCTGTTGCTGCTCCAGCCCCTGTTGCTGAGCCTAAGAAGGAGGAGCCCAAGGAGGAGCCTAAGCCAGCTTTCCGAGCTCCCGTCAGTGTTAGCGACCAGAAGAGCTCGATTGCTGCCATGGCCAACAAGTACCAAGACAACGAGGAAGAGGACGCCCCCAAGAAGGAGGAGCCATCAAGCTTTGACGAGGAAGTCAAGCCAGCTCAGCGAGCTCCTCTCCCCGTCCGATCAGAATCGAAGCCTGCAACTCCACCAGTCGCAAGCCTCGCCCCAGCTCCCGTCAAGGCAGCTTCCGCACCCGCTCCCGCCGCTGCTGCTTCCAGCGATGCCGCCGCCTCCTTATCCGAGATTAAGGAGATGATTGAGAACCAGACGAAGATAATCAGTGCGCAGAACGACCAGATTGGGCTGCTCACCTCGGAGGTCGAATCCCTAAAGAAGCGTCTTGGATCGGGATCCCAGGACCAGAGCGAGCGAATCAGACAGCTGGAGCTGGAGCTGGAAGAGGCTCGATCCTAAGCTTGGCGCATAGCCAATGCAGTAGTACATAGTATCACGGCCTATCTATTTACCCGCGTCTGTCCACCCCCGTTCTATGAGCCCATGTGTGTGTGTGTGTGTGTGTGTGTGTATCATCGTCTTTGTTTATCAAGGGAGGGGGGCGGGAATGAGGGGAATGAGCAAAAGGATCTTGGAAAAAAAGCAAAGAAAAATACTACTCCCTCTCAATCCGAAGAGGGGAATAAAAGCGAGATGAGAGAAGATGAGAAAAGAAAGATGAGAATACAGAGATGCAACTTTTGATTCAGGGAGGGTGTGTGAGGGAAGATGTATGCAAGGGGCGAGAGCTTCTTTTCCTGTCTTTTCTCTTGTCTCTTTTTTTTTTTTTTCGCAAATAAATCAAAACAAACTTGTTGTAATACCGCGTTTTGTGTGTGTATACCTACGTGTGTGTGTGTGTGTGTGCTGGGGGCCAAGAAAGTCATCTAAACTGTTCTTTTTTTCCTTTTGATTTGAGGCTTTTTGTCATCTCATGATAACCACGTAAAATTAACGAGGTGTGATATCTGAGGTATCTGGCATTAGCTTTGTTTTGTTCAAATTACAAAAAACGGCTCGCAAAGTCTATTTTTCGCCTAAAGACAGCAATCAACGGACTAGGTACCTATGTCTTGTTTCCTTTTTCTATATGTCTACCTACATGTGCGCTAATGCAGTGATGATGCTCTGCCGTCTCCTATCTTTATTTTGACCGTTTTTACTTTTTTGCCCTTTGCTTTTTTGTCTTACTCTCCTTTTTCTTTCTTTTTTTTTTTTTTTTTTTGTCTTGCTCTTTTCGGAAGTTTGTTTATTGTTTTCTTCTTGTTTTCTTCGGGACTTTCAGCCAGTGACATACAACTTACATTTCAAGCCTACCCTGCTTGTTAGATTTATTTACTTTTTTTTTTCGCCCCCTTTGCGTGTGGCTGCTGACAAGAAGGATTCAATAATTAACATGCCTACATAGACTACCTTTTGACGAATTACAGAGAGAGGGGGAAAAAAAAGCATTGAGGGGGCTGTGCAAAGCATGCCAACCATGTAACTCAACGGTTTAGTGGGAGGCAACAATCAATCACTCACTCACCGGGTTTTTAACTGGTTTTTCTTACCTGTACCAGCATCTTCAACAGGCATCATCCTTCTTCTAGATTTCATGCATGGGCCATCGGTGTGGAATCCAGACCTCTGATTTATGTGATTCGTGCTGCATGCAATTTGCCACTCATATGCTTCTTTAAACCATCACCTACTATTCGTGGCTATTACAAGACTTACCACTACTATCCCGATCCAATTGCTCCGATTTGTTCTGTTTTTGTTGCTGATTCCCACACAAGGACTTGTGAAACAAGAACAGGTCTACCATCTGCATCCCATTCTGCACGCTGCTGACAAAGTGTGCATATGCGAAATTAGCAAAACTACCCTACACGCTGCCTATGGAGCTTGGATCTGCAATGTAATTTCCACACCTGTCGTAAGAATCAGGCCATTTCGTTCAACCAGCCTCAACTTTCTTTTCCTGTCTCTTTTCTTTTCTTTTCATGGCCTAAAGTCGGGGATCCAAAGCAATCTCGCCTGTGCCACGGGATTTACAGGTAGCAGAAACCCGAACTCTCTTAGTAACCCTCAATGTCCAATTACAGACTTTCAAGTCAGGCATGGGACCCCTTACCGTTCTCACCATAAGCCGCTCGCATCGCCGGGGAGACGGGTAGTAGTGACTAAATCATCACGTCCACGAATTGATCCCGGACTACTTACTGCATCAGCCCTATTTTTGTATTGGCTCTCCCAGTTGCTCCGTGGCTAGTTACTGTCCAGTCTCAGGGAGCAACATTCTGAAACCCAGATACCGGACGTCGTTGCTCGAGTTCTGCCTCTTTGAGGTTGACCGAAGCGGCTAAGCGGCTGAGAGACTGCGAGGCATCTACGCCGATGTGATGGTATTTCCGCCCCTTGCCTCCCCCAGGGACTCCGAATAAGCGGAAAAGTGATCAAGTAGAGCCCACGGAACTGGACGAGCGCTGTTTCAAAGGCTAAAAGACGCGGTTTCAGAATGCCATACTTGGGACCTGCTGGTACTATGCGGCCAATCGGATCGCAACCCACGCGGTGGTCACGACTTGTATGCATGATGCAGGAGGGGTAAACGGCATTTCTTGATTATACATTTTTAGAGCACATCGTCGGGAGAGATGGAGTAGCAGGCATCGGATGCATGTGCTTGTACCGGTATGGCAGTCGAAGCGGTGGTAGCCTGTCTGCTTGGATTAGCGAAAAGAGAAAAAGAGACGCGAGACAGCTCAGCCAGGGGGTTGCAAGCGGAGATGGACATGGGATGTGATATTATCCCGTAGCTGCATATCGTACGAAGGATGCCTAGGAGTCTCGACTGCTACGTAAATTTTGTGGCGATACGGAGACGACTTCGGAAGGAAAGGGGGAGAGAAGAGGGAATACTACCCAGTAGGAGCCATTCGGATACTGGCTGCCAGAGCTTTTTGGCCAAAGACCCCAGCCGCAGACAATATTCACACGAGGGTTCGGCATTGCACATCTCTATCGCCGATGATTGTAGGCCTATATCAAATCTTACCAGCCACCTAATATGACAGATTCCAATTGTCGATGACTGGAAATCCGGGGCCGAAGGGAATCGCTTGTCCTCAGGAGCATGGGTAGGCTTTTGACCCCTCAGCGTGATGTACAAGAAGATGCAATGGGTAGGCATTGATCAAGCTTTGAGAGAGGAAAAGCACATCAGCTTCAGGCGTCTCAACACGCCTTCCACGAGTCAAGACTCGATCCAACCTGCATGCTTAGGCCAGCCTCTGGAGCGCATTTTCCTGCCTTCTGATTCCTATTCTTCCACAGTTCACTTTGCTTAATAGCTGAGGCTCTCTATTTAGCCACATAGCCAGATAAAATGGTCTTAGTGGTAATGGTTGTTTCAAAACACTGACATACTGTACAGTTTCCAAAATTGGAACTGCTTTGGATAGTTTGGAGCTGAATTCAAAGTGGCCCCGATCCCTAATTGTCGATGCTTCTCTCTTCTAGTCTTCTAGAAGAGGGTGAAACGAAGCCTCGATGTCTCAAGTGTACAGAGGTTTCGGCTTCTGCGAGTAATTCGCGCGGGCCAAGTGCCCGTATCGTGTTAGAAAGAGCCAAGTCTCGAACACTTACTCCGCATATCGTCACTCAAACTTGAGCTGATGGTAATAGCCTGGTACTAGTAGCGGTCTTCGCGGCTGATCTATCATTCTGCTATACCTCATTCGAATCAAACGGTGCTCGAGTCAGCTACGCACAGAATGCAAGACGAGAGCAAATGACCCCCATAGGCGATCACCCGGCAATAGCGAGAGCGGGCAACTCCGTACATCAGGTAGGTGGATAGTTGTTCGCAGCTCTTGCAGATACGCTATCATCGATATAGCTGCTGCGTGGAGAGCTGGATCTCGATTTTGGAGCAGTTTCGTCTTTTTCTAGAAGCTATGGTGCTGTTTCAGGTCGTCAGCCTCACCTGGCAGAGCAAGATGCGAGCTCTACTTTGAGCTCTTGGAAGCTCGATGCATCGTGAGATTGTAGATTAGTTCGATCTCGTGAGAGACTGCTGGAGACGACTGCTTGCTAAAGGAAATGAGCGAGGTCCTAGTATGCGCTTACATCAGTAAATAGGCCAAGCTAAGTACGGCCCAAAGTCAACAAAGGTATTAGCACGCCAGGGCTGAAGAATGAATGACTAGCCGACAGCAGCCCCGCGCTGCTTTGGCTCCGTTTCAGTACCTGAAGCCGTGTGGCGTTGATCAAAAGGGCCTTTTTTGACGCCACGCAATATCAAATTGGCCCAGCTTAGGACAGAGCTGCATGGCCAAGCGTATAGCTTCACTCTTTCGGTTTGGCGGGCCAATCAATGCCTCCGTGTTACTATCTTTATCCATCCTGCTCTTGAAACGGCGTCTTGAGAAGGAGGAGACGTACCTGAGCGGAGCGGTGATGTAAGATGGGGTATAGAGCAGAGCGGGAAAAGAATATGCACAGTGATGTGCAAGGATGATGCGTTGTAGGCCAATCAAACACGACCTTTGTTCGCGGCATACTTGGGCGTTGAAGAGAAAGAAATTTCGTCTCTCTGGTTGGCCGGTACAGTGTTAAGCTTGATCTAATTTTGGCTCGGGCCAACGATATCTGAGCGTCCAGCGGCAAACCGTAGCGCGCCGGTCGAGTAAGAGACCAGATTACTACCAATGAAAAGCCTGGACAACAACGGTGGCTGACAAAAGGCCAATTTGCAGGCCATCGACTTGTATATTGTTAGATGTGAATATGCTGGCATGCCGTCACTGGAAAAGTAGGCTAGTATATACTTTGCACCCAGCCCCAGCCAGTGTCATGAAAGAGATATATCATGAGGTGCGAGTCGAAGCGCTGGAGATCTTTGTGACTAGAGGTGTTGGCGTTGATTTGTGAAGAGTCTTCTGCATGATGACAATGGTGCCTGCATATCACCACATGAGTAAGACCCGCATGGCCCCTTACATGCCTCTTCTCACAAATCGCTTTTGTCGTCACATAGTGGCCCGGAGTTGTTAGGAGGGTCGCGGCGCGTACCGGGCTATCAGCTCACACGGGCGGGACGATCAAGCACGCAAGCATTTATCGTCATGTTTCAGATGGCCACTACCCTGGCCAGGGCAACCAGCCATCAACGTCGCAAAGGCCCACGGCCGCAGGATGCCGACTGTTGACTGCTGGCAGAACCATACTGGTGGTCTGTTCAAGGCCATTGTCATGATGTGTGGCGTTTAACTGCAATACCTAGCTCGATGCCACGAATTTTTATGGAGCAGGCTGGGCTTCTCTGTTAGGTCCTCTTTGATGTGCGCCGTGCGCCAGCCTCGTCGATCAACTGAGAAAAGCCGTTTAGTAGCATGATTTGTACATGATTGCATCTTTGGCGATCTGATGTGCTGGATCATCGCCATGGCTTGCTTGCATGAGATGACCCTGGCGAGGAGCAACGGCGGAGGTTCTAGCGCCAGCAGCTGGCCTGCACATCGAATGCATCGTTTGGGGGGAAGCTTTGGTTAGCTTCAACTTGGCTTGGGCGATGCCGTGCTCGTCTTACGTCTAGTAAGGCTTCTAGCAGTCGAATTGCAGCGTGGTTGAATAGGCACGCAGGCGTAGTCGCAAGCCACAAGCTATATCTCGCGGTTACCCTTGGGCCACGGCTGGGTTCTACAACGCTTCCCGCGTTGTCGTCGTCGGACAAGGTGGTCGAGAATAGACCGGACCGTCTGCTCGCTATCCAATGCCCCTGGGCGTAGAGCCACGACCCGCCTAGATGCGGTCACCTGCATGCATCGCCAACTCTACCTCATGGTATCAGGCTTAGCGAAGTCGCATCCCATGCTGTGCAAGTTGAGTCCTGTACAAGTATGTAGCAACCGACTCGTTCCCCTGTTCGTGCATCACGCATGATAGCATGAGGAGGGGAAGATGGACGGACACAGCCATGATTCGGCCGGAATATGCAAAGTAAGACCAGGGCTGGGGCGTACAGAATCTGACGCAGCCAATGATGGCCGCGCGTGCCTCTAGCAACGCCTTCTCTCCACAGGGGGCCACTCTGAAGCGTTGCTCCAGGCGCGTTTCATCTTGAGAGGTCTCTCGTGCAGCAGCCCGGGCCGCGCGGTGGTCCAAGCAATCCTTGATCCCAAGGCCTCGCATCGATTGGCCTGCGGCGCGATTGCAGGGAAGGGCTCGTCCAGCCAGGTTCTGCGCAGAGAGGATGTCGGCGGCGGAAAAAGGTTTGGCAGGCGACGCTCGCCAAGCATGCTGTACGAGATGCCCGAAGCGAGTACAGAAGAGAGATGAGCGCTGCCCAGCATGGCGAGGATGAGAGTGCCGTTTGATTGCTGAAGAGGGAGCTGGAGGGAGCTGGAAGAGGCTGTGAGAGTCGTCGAAGCGGCTTTGGGAGTTGCGGAATGGGCACAGGCTGTAGCGGAAGGTGCAGCTCGGGCGTGGCTTCCCGACCCTGCAGAGGCACCTGCTCCTGCATTTTTGGGCTCGTGGTGCTGCGACTCCTCCCGGACTTGATTTACAGAGTTTCTTTTCCACTGGACTAAACCCAGTCCACAGTCGCTTTCGCTGCCTCCTCTTCTCTCCTCTCCTGCCGGAAATGCAGCGGCCACGATCTCCTCATGTTTCGAATGCGACCAGGGGCGTGGCCGTGACAAATCGACAGGCGAGCAAGAGTCCTCGCGGCAATCCTACTGGTACGCCTGCCAAGGAAAAAGTTCATCAGATCGTCACGATAGAGCAGCATAGAAGAGCACAAAGCACTGACATCGCGAGTCCTGACTGGAGCACGCTGTGGGGAAGCCAGATCCATCACAGCAGGGAGCATTGCAATCGAGCGTTACAGGTGGCAGTTCGGACACTATCTAGTATCTACCCATCTTTGCTCAGCATGTCTCCGATGATTCTATGCAGGAGAGCTGTCCTGACACTGCTGGATGCTACTAAAAGACGACTGGGATACGAGTTCTAGCTGGGATTGAAGCCTCTGAGGCCACCATCAAGACGATGGCACTAGTACTTTGGTGTCTTGGCCTCGATCAGGCATCGCCATCACATCAGAGGCAAGAAAGAGTGTACCCGTTCGAGATGCCGTTTACAAGTAGGATGCCACCTTGTTTCAAATACTGCGTAGAGAGTTTAAATCTCCATGAATGCAAAGAGTCAGCGCCACTTGCAAGCACATGATGACGGCTGGGGACCTCCGACTCTACCAATGGTTCTCGCTTGTTTCTTTCCGGTAGTTATAACAAGCCAACAGAGAGATCTTATAGGCCATCTTTGGCGTCTTGGATTGATGAATCGAAAACAATGTTTATCGGATTCTTTCGTTGGGGTTCCTGGCTCGCATGCCGGCAGTGACGAGCCACGGAAAGGCGAGACACCGGCAATGGGGAGCACGGAGACACCCTTCTGGCCTGTTCCTGCGTCAAAGGCAAGCACCAACGAGTCCAATCAGATATCCTTGCTCACATGGGCTGCCAGATGTGGCCGTCTCATGAGCCGCCGCCAAGTTCTAGTACCTGCATACCGCACAGCAACAGTACCTGCGAGCGTCGCTCTCGAGGAATTCCTCGATGGAGCGGGTATGGACGCCAGCGGGGCCAGCAACGAGGCACCAGAGCATGCGCTGCTGTCCATTCCTAGTCTGTTCATCTGCTCCGAGGCTTTCATGTAATGAATAAGGGACCTAATGAGCTCCAGATTGCAACTTCATGCGGTCGAA